GTTTAGAATTAGAACCTCTATTAGAATGCACTTCTAGCTACCTATACTATAGTAATTCTTATACTTCTTCTTTAATAATAATATATAATACTTAAGGCTATACTTTATATAATACTAATAAGATACTATTATAAGTTATCTTATATAGTTAATTTAATTACTAATAGATTTATAGTATAATATACTTCTAAAAGTTATAGGTTAATTTATAAGAATATAAAGATAAGAAGGGGAGAATAGTATTATAAACCTAAGATAAGATATAATAAAAGATAAGAAAGAGAAAGATTAATAATACTTAGAGATAACCTAAAAGTCTTTAAGAAGGTTAGTATTTATAACTAATAATAATATAACCCCTTTTATTCTAAAGCCTTAGTAAAATGCTACTATAAAATATATTATATATTATTCTAAGAATTCTATAATATTCTATAATCTTCTAATATTAATATAATATAGAATGTTAGAATAACTATAGAATATTTCTAAGTATATAGTAAGTAGGAATATAACCCTTAAAGTTTATATTTAACCTAAGTATTAATCTATAACATTAGATCTTAACTTAACCTTTTAGCTAGATAGTCTACTCTATACTACTTATTATTACCTTTTACCCTTAAGATAGATAGATTATATCTATACTTCTTAGTATAAGACCCCTTTAGTTTCCCTAATAGTATTTATCTCTAAGAACTAATTAAATAGTGCTTATAAGCTTTACTTAAAGTATAACCTTAATAGCTAATAGGCTTAGCATAATATTATATAGGCTATTCTATATAGTATAGTTTTATTATAAGTTATATAATAAGCTTACTTCTTAGTAGTTAAGCTAAAGTAGGTCTTATATAGAGCTTGCATAGCTTATATTAAGCTTAGTAAGCTTAGCTTATATAGCTTATATTAAGCTTAGTAAGCTACTATACTCTCTATAGTATATAGCAAGTAAGAATATAACTCTTATAGTTTATATTTAACCTAAGTATTAATCTATAATATTAGATCTTAACCTAACCTTTAAGCTAGATAGTCTACTCTATACTACTTATTATTACCCCTTACTCTTAAAATAGATAGATTATTTCTATACTCCTTAGTATAAGACCCCTTTAAGTTCCCTAATAGTATTTATTTCTAAGAACTAATTAAATAGTGCTTATAAGCTTTACTTAAAGTATAACCTTAATAATACTCTATACTATCTTCTCTAGTTATACTAAACCTAAGGCTTTTTTTCTTTATAGATTACTACTATATAGCTAAGCTTATTTACCTAATACTAGAAATAAGCTTATATATTAGTAGAACTAGGCACTTTAATAAGCTAGATATTATAGTTAAATATGTAACTTAGCTAGTATTCCTAAAGTCTTTTCTTTTTCTTTAATTTTTTTAGAAACCTAATTTTTTCTTTATAAGGAATAGACTATAGTAGGTAGAGTACTAATATAGGCTTAGAGTTTCTTTATAGAGTTTTTAGTTAGAGTAGAATAGAATAGGCTAAGCTAGGATTATAAGGGGGTAGCTATCTAGTCTTAAAGGCCTTTAGCTAGAGGGGGAGATCCTATTACGTGCCTAATAGCTTATGCTTATAGGTTAATTAGAACCCTATGTAGGCTAGATAGCTTCTCAGACTTATACATATATTTATAAGATTACAGATCCTCACACTCCCCGAAGAGCCCTGCTTCCAATAGGCGTGACCAAGAGAACATTGGCGCTCAAAAGCTTCTCTTAGCGCTGCAGCCTACCTTTGAGTTGATGAAGCGCACATTCGAGAACGAGGCCGAGATCGACGCCCTTCAGAAAGAGCTGGATGCCAAGACCATCCCATTCGTAGTCCCGGAGGGTGCGGAGCTAGTTCTGTCTATCCACAGAGGCATGAGAGCCATCGAAGATTTGATTGTAAGTTCTTAACAGAGGCCGACGATATCCCGAGACTCTAGACATTAATCGTATGGCAGTTGGCATTGAGAAAATGCGCAGACGATATCGAGGCAGAAAGAGATGCTTTCCGCGAGACGCCTGGCATGAAAGAACTCGAGTCGGACTTCGAAAAGCTCAAGAAGAAGCACGGACACACGAGGGCCTTCAAGAATGTGTTTGAGCCCAAAAGCTCTTCTGGCGAGTCTGAGACGCTTGACGATTAGTAGTGTCGAGGTGTGGTCTGAAGTGAAAAGGTGCTTGCGTCAAGTGACAAATCTCCGAGCAAGGCTCCCATGAGTATTCCTGTAGTCTTTAGTTCCCAAAGAGAGCAGACTTCATTGTATGGCATTCAGTTCGAGCACATCAATTCAGTGGGCACGAGGATAAAGTAGAACTTCAGCCGTTGATTGATCGTATGTGGTGATGTCACTGCTTGACTTAGTTGGGGCCACATGATACTAAAAACATCACAGCATGTGTAGCAATCTCGGGACTGAGCAACTCGTTCGATCTATGTACAAGAATGATTCACGGGAATGCTCCGTAGAACTCATGGAACATAACAGCGTGTGTTCCGTTAATTTCGCCACGGGTTTCAATGAGGTCTGAGTACATCACGACCGTTTTCTTCGAGATAGTGTCACTCTAGGCACTGTGCAGCTGCCTCAGGTCCGAAAATCGACGTCGATTTTCAAGTGGCCAACCTTGATAGATGGCTTGCCGCCCCCATCGAACTGTACTCCATACTTCTCCGACCAGACCTTGAGCGCGTCTTGATGGTGAGCGTGCTCTTTGCGCAGACCTTTCACGTCAGCAGATTCTTACTGGTATCGATAGGATGGCTGACCATCTAGGTAAAGAGCTTGGGCTTCGTGATCTCTGTGTATAGTCTTGAAGGTCTGGTCGCCGCTCCTGCGGAAAAGTTTTTGCAATCGCCACCAACGCCACTTCTCGCCATCCTCAAACCTTGGAGGAGTAGACTTTCGGAGGTTGTAGAGTCAATAGAATGCGGGGCCAAGGAATTTTGAAGTGTCTGGGAACGTCAGAGTCGCACGGATCTCGTAGTACTGTAAGATGCACAGCAGTCGCGTGACGATGAGTATCTGGTCCTCTCGTTCCTTCTCGACACGGCTCCCTGCTGGTTCCAAGACTTCATCGCCAAAGTGGTGTCGCCATTTCAGGACAAGAGTGAGCTTTCGGATACCTGTGTCAACGTGCTTGCCCTTGTGACCTTGTCCAACTGCAAACAAGAAATCGTCGAGCACGGTTGCGGTGTAGACGGGATACTCGTGATCAGTGTAATACACGAAATGTGCACGTCCTTTGAACTTCTGCATGGCTGCCCTCCATAGCACTGCATCGAAATCTAGTGGAGTTCGTATGAATGTCCTGATCGGGTCTTCTCTTCTAGCGATGCATGGATTGCAATTGCAGTCAATTCTAGGGGGTTTATGAGTACCGCTATCGGCGTTGGAGCTTCCAAGTTCGCAAGTCGGAGACGCGGTTATCGTGAAGCCCTTTGTGGGGTCTACTTCGAGGGCATGTTTGCTCTCTTGACCAGGCAGGAAAGTTCTCTGCTATGAGAAAGTAAACGTCCATGAGTAGAGTGCTCCTCATCTAAGTCATGCGGGTGGCCAGACGGACTGCTCATAGTTGTTAGCGGGCAATTCATGCACCCTGAGGACTACAGAACGATACCTTCTGGGGCACTATGAACGCCTTTGGAGTCTAGCACAACTGGGCTTGTCGTCTTTACGTTATCCAGTAACTGGGTGGCCATGCTTGGACTTGTATTGAATGTATTGCTGAGGGCAGTGAGCAGGCGAAGGTGATGATGTTGGAATGGTCGATGGACGAAGTTGGAAAGAAGAAGACGAGGGATTGAAACATATACTAGCTCCGATCGAGGTGATTTAAACGAGTCTAGTGCCAAGTATCCGGACAATGCCAAGTATTAGTGGTGTATTGGCGTCGAGGAAGCGAAATGTGAAAGCAGACCCCGAGAGACTAGCCCGCCTCGCAGACCTTCGATCCCGATCTTGCATTGGCTTGGGTGGTGACAGTCAAGACTATCTTTTCCAAGACGACATTTACAATACCAGATACTTCCATCTTGAACAACATTCCAACAGTGGCACCCGTGTTTGCTGAATGCGGCCCCACAACTCCATACTGAACACAGCTGCACGTTCACCAGCGCTCTTGTGCCACATGCAGGAAGATTGCCCGAGACCGACACGCCGCAATGTGTGCAATCGAAGGCGAGGATACATCGGACAGCTAGAACACTGACGCGTACGAACACACGACCGGCCCAGGCGAGGTGCACATGATAGAGGGCCTCGAGGTCTTGAATAAGGTACGGTTCAACGAGTTCCACCACAGTCTTTCACGACTCCAATCTTACCAAATCAGCACGAGCATCTGGAAGATCCCAGGCCTTGTACCATCACTGTTCCCCGTATTACCTTCAACCTTATATGCTTCTAAACCTAGCAGATTTCGTGGGGTATGCTGTTCGTTGTTTCTTGACGCGGAACCGTTGGTGCGCGAGACGGACTTTAATCATGACTACGATACTCTTCTTATCACGATTACAATTGAGGCTAGGGTAGGTTCTTATGAGAATATATACATCACAACAATAAGGTTCGTTATTGAAGGTCCGCTGAAAAGGATACCTAGGCGCAGCCGTGCAGCAGTAGCTCAATCCTTTATTGGTACTGAAGATCATGGATGTGCTGTGGTTCCGAGACAGTCGCTACCTTGCCCCTAGATCCCTTTTGGATGGCGATCCAAAGTTTGGCTGTAGCAGTCCTTGGAATGAAAATCCTCGAATCTGGTCCCTGTGTTCAACAAGACACTACAGTTATAGAGAAATATATAAAGGGCAAATGTCTGCTCTATATAATACAGCTTCGCTTCTCTACTGGCTTCTCCCTCTGTTACGGAATCCTAATCGTATTATACTCGCATTTATCAATACTTAACACCTTCAAGCCCAGTAAAAAAACGACAACAACAACCTTCCTAAGACACCTGAACGTATCCCAGTTCCTAGTACCAAGATGCCTTCAAAAGTCCTCCGTTTTTCGAACCTATTCAGCGGAACAAGACCAAACACGGTCTACGCACAATTTTCTGACCAGAAGCATCGCGAGAATATTGTGGAAATTTACACCCATGCCAATCACAGGTCGCATGCGTGGGTAATCTTTTCTGTAGACGTTTCGCCGGGGGAACACGAGCAGCGGTGCTTGAATGGAACCGAACAGAAGTACTACGCATACGAGTCCAATCATGAAGAAATTCCGTTTGACATCACTTCTCACTCAAGCAAGATCAATCGGTACACCACTTTCGTTGCAGAGAAAAAAAAGGAAGCGAAGACATCCACGCTCGTAATTACTGGGCTTACTTCATCAAATTGGTCTACACATCTTGACGAGATCTTGTCGTTCGAGTCCGCGTATCGTGCGAAAGATACGGCTGGCAACATCACGGTTCAATTTCGCGACATGGAGCGTGCCGAAACGATGTGGGAGAGCATCAAGGAGACAGGCATGCACAAGATATACCACGTCACTGCTCGGTTCGTGCATGATGTCTACAGCGAGGAGGAAGTCAAACAGATGTATGGCGACGATTCCGACGAAGAGGTTGTCATTTAAGTACCTAGATACCTTCGAGCCTGTCAAGGTAGCTTTACGTGAATGGGAACAAAGACTGAGGTGCTTGTCAGCTTCGAATATTTCATATCTGCTTAACAATACACAAATTTCCTCCAATCATAGGTACTGGGATCAAAAGATGCAACTTCAAGTGTGTAAGGTGGTACTATGGAGTCAGAAAAAGCGATCAGTTCCAACGGCAGAATTAGCACGAGATATCATTGACATGTCACTGGTACGAGCTAATTCTGCTTCTGCCTAGCAGACTATTTAGGGTAGGAAAGTCTTGGCATATCACGTGCTACCTCTCTTACTTCACCACAACCTTGCGAAGGTAAGCTGCACCTCTTCTTCACCAAACAATCCAAAACACGTCCAATAGTTTCTCGTCAAACAAACTCACGCGATGGCCAGTCACAAGGACAAAGCTGTACGTTGATTATCGTAGGCCTTCTGAGAACAACTGCGCTGAATATCACACAGAATAACAAGCCTGCTCGCAAAATGGGAAAGAAGACAGAGAAACGGAAATACTCTGGCAATGGTAAACAGACCAATGACAGAGTCATAATCGCAATGCTGGAGCGACAAATCAAGAAGGCTCAGAAGCTTGAGAAGGAAAACGCCGCAATGCTAGAGCGACAAATCAAGAAGGCTCAGAAGCTTGAGAAGAAAAACGCCGCAATGCTCAGAGTGGTTCGCAAGCACTACAAAATGAAGAAGAAGAAGGAGCGTGCTGCCTCACAAGCCGTCAAGAAACTGTATCGCGACCACTGCCCCGATATCCTTCAAAGAAACCAGCAGGAGCTGACCGCTTCGCCCGAGCTTGTCATGAATACAACAGATCTCATCTCAGAAGCAACTGGACCCGCTCCAGAGGAGAGTTTTTCCTCTGAGACGCAGTCTCTACAGAGCGGACCAGACGACTCAGCGACGGTCTCTGAGGAAGATCATAAGGGCGGCAGTGAGGCTCTAGCCAGGGATGACGCATACGATGACAACGAGGAAGACGACACCTCTAGCCTAAGGGACGACAGGTTGAAGTATTACGCCTTCAATACTCCTTGCAGTGACGCTGTCCTGAGTCGCGTAGCAACTGCACTCGTCAAAGAGCACAAGCTTACAGAAAGGCCATCAAACGCCCTACTGTCTGAGATTCGCAGCTTCGGTCAGACCCTCGAAAAGCAACACCCCAACAGAGTGTTCTGGGCTCCTTCCTACCTCGCCTTCAGAAAACTACACACCCTCAACACCGCTCGTACCGAAGAAAGGAGACCCACGACTTTCAAATATACAGGTCTCGCGAGTATAGTCGAGCACGCCCGCAAGTCGGCCGATGACTTCATGGTCGTACTCAAAGACTACGAGAAGAACCATATGAAGGACGGCCAAGAGAAGAAAAGCAGCGCTTGAACTGTAACGGAAGCAGGAGGAGGTGGGTATTGAGCAGAAGAACTCATGGATGACCACACAGGCTATTTTTATATGCTTGCAACGAGCCTAAGACTTCGAAAGAAGTATAAGGGCAAGGCAAACAATCTCTTTGTGTTTGACGCGTCAGGATTTACCGAGTAATTTGGGCGTGGATCTATGGACTGCTGGCTACTGCGACATATTTTTTCTTACTCTATCGCCTGGTGGGCTCATCTCAATGAGATATACAAAAGCGATCATTTCTGTAAGAGTTTTGCTCCTTATGACGTCTTTGGACTCCGGGCTGCCTGTGCGACTTACAGAGCCCGCGATTTTGAGACTCGATAGACATCAGATCCGTACTGTCAGATTCTGCTACATACATATCAAGTCCTACAACCTCCATTGTTTCAGTTGATACAAGTTCTACCGATACGCAGTAGAGAGCGCGACAAGTAGTCGATACACTGAGATAATAATTGCTACTAATCACCCCTGCGCGTCCCATATATCAATGTGTGTCTATGTGGGCAGTCTGTGATAAGAGTGTCCTGCTCTCAAATAGTCTCAGGGCTACTACTACGTGAGTCAGAGAGCTTCTCAGCATTATGATGTCTTCATTTGTCACTCACAATCGATTTCCTCTGCTGGCTGTTGGTTTTTGGTGCAAAATCAAAGTCTGATAGCTCACTGTCCCATTCACCGCCATCAGTGCGAAGCTCAGGTTCTCGTCCACGACCTGTCTTCGAGAGCGACTAAGTGTTGCGAGTTCTGCGCCTGTTGTTAAATGCAGAAACACGCTCTCAAGGCTCTGTAGCGTTGCTAGTTCCAGTTGTGCGCCTGTTATCAAACTCAGAAACACGCTCTGATAACGATGGCTGGAAGACTATTCTCCGATTCGCGATCACGGTGCGATCGATGCTCGAATTCGCGTCCACGACCCGATTTCAAGAGCGATTTAGCGCTGCGAGTTGCGCACCCGGGAAACACTTGTAGGCTGCAAATTCTTAGCTTGAGTTTCATGCGATGCTTTAAGTTCAGTTGAAGGCTTCTGTTATGAAAGAACAAGAACCAACTTAAGTTGGCTTAGTTCATTTCTGTTGAGTACGACGGTAAGGCAGCGCGTAAAATTATGCAGGGGAGGTATAGAGAAACAAGCATAGTAAAAGATGCCGGCAGAGCATCGGTCCCATAACCCGTTGGAAGTCAATGATTGATTGGGCCATTGAAGGCACCAACGGAAGCCCGGAGAGTGGCGCACGGTAACCACATTATGTAGTAGGCGCCTGCCAACCAGTCAGAAGGCACCTGCTCTCCAACGATTTTCATACCTGATGAACATTGCTACAAGGCGCCCCGCCTCCCCCGTACCCAATGCCCAGCGCAACCACCATAGACGAAACTACTCGGCGGGAGACCTTACATTCAGTGCCAATTAGGAGTTTAGAATGGACAACACTGGATTGTCCTATGAGCCCATAAAAGGTATTGTGCTAGAGACTTCTTGAGACCAGCATCTTCGCCGGTGGCTCCCAAGACCTCATCGCCTCACTCTATTCAACACCAAGGCTGCGACGGACAGCTTCGAAGACAATAACGATGACGACGGGATCGCAGCCATCGTCGCCCAAGAGGCTGCCGAGACACATCTCGAGGCAATGACCATGAACATGGACACGCCAAACGACGAACGGAAATACAATAAGCGCCCGGCAGATTCTACAGGCAAAGGAAACGGAGTACGGATGTCCTCTCATTACATTCTCAGCCCAAGCATTTAGTAGCCTCGTCGAGTTGATCTGGATTCCAAGAAGTGACCTGCCACCCAATAGCGTTTAAAATTCGAATTCAAGCTCAAAAGCTATATATATCGACATACTGATTGTATCACTGATATTTTGCGTTGAATCAAGTTGGCTGTGATTCATGGCCCTAAGAATGCAGAATAGAATGACCTAATGCCTTGTCGGTGCTTGTGGATAGGTGCGGACCACCCCCTTACATTGTCGCAGTATGCTGTCATAGTTACGAGCTCAGATACCTACGCATCCTAATTAGCTAGATAGCTATAGGATATGTTGGAAATACAAAGAGTAATGAGTAATTAAGTGTGGCTGCAGCGCGTTGTTCAGTAAAAGTGCCTATCCAACAGGATCGATGCGCGTGTACCTAGGTATGATGTAGGGAGGACATAAGTCTAATATACACCTAAAAGATCCCCTGTAGTACCTTGATAAATATGTTACTGCTCTACTGTCTACCAAGGTATCTACTTACAGATGTCACTGAACAGTTATTTCTATCAGAAAAGGGCAACAGTCATTGGAGAAGTGTGTTCAGACCCGTGGTCTCGATTACGGGGCCTGCGAGTAGGTAGTCTAGCCCTGTTAAAAAGATACTACGCTTAAGAGGCCCTCTCACAGTAGCCTTCCCGCATTTAGGTATGTACTAAAATAGGGGTGGTCTGCATATTTCGGTCATAATCATATGATTAGGAACACCCTACACTCATAATCGCATGCATGCACTCTCGCACGTATATCTCATTCATTTCTTATCTTTCTCTACTCCTTTCGACTACACCAACGATGCCACGGTGAGCTTATAAACCAGACGAAACCCTCCTGTAAGAAGAAATCAGCACTTCACATGCCCTGTTCAGTCTACCAGCAGTTGCGCATAACAACCATGTACAGGGGGAAAGGCGATCAGAACAGTTTTTCATTCACTTGGTCGCAATACACGTTTGAGTCTCCGAACGAGGCGTTGAGGGTCAGGAGTCAGGGTATACTCGTGTTACGATGAATGTTTGGCGGGTCAACGAATACAGGGGGTGAGCGTCCAAGCGCGTCCTAGAGGTCAATGCATGCTTCGGCACAGATCGTTGCCGTGGTCAAGAATGTTTGTTTGTTTGAGCATGGGGCAAGTCAGGTCTCGAAACGCCAAGCTCAAACCTTCCTGAGACAAGCGATTATAGGCACAGTATCACTGACTGCAAGAAAGAACTTGAGTACCTCACGAGTGGGCAAAAGACAATGCCGTTGAGGCAGGCTAGAACCCCGTTTAACTAACTGTTCAGCATCTTGACTATTTACGCTCCCTCTGATACAATCCACCATTAAGCAACTCAATATCAAATATACATAGGCATTAACCATCCAATCATCCATGCAGAGAGGGTGATCCGTGAACCAGCCACAGCGCTCTCACTTCTCTGTTAGCATCCCGAAAAGACGCTCAGTTGTTCTTGTTCTTATTGCCCTTGCCCTTGCCGGCGTTCTTGCCACCAGCAGCAGCGGATGACTGAGCAGGAGCAGCAGCGGCAGCGGGGCTACCCGCAGCAGCACCACCTGCAGCAGCACCGCCCGCAGCAGCGCCGCCCTGAGTCTGAGTGCCTTGAGTGTTTCCGGTCTGCTGTCCGTCTGTGTAAAGTTAGCGATGATCATGCCAAGAAGGAGGAAGACATACTGGTTCCCTGTGTACCCTGGGTGTTAGCGCCTGTCTGGGTGTTGGCAGCGCCTTGCTGTCCGTTGGCGCCTGTCTGAGTGTTTCCAGTACCCTGGGTGTTGGCGCCTGTCTGAGTGTTGCCAGTACCCTGGGTGTTGGCGCCTGTCTGAGTGTTGCCAGTGCCCTGGGTGTTGGCGCCTGTCTGGGTGTTGCCGGTACCCTGGGTGTTGGCAGCACCTTGCTGTCCATTGACTCCAGTCTGGGTGTTGCCAGTACCCTGGGTGTTGGCGCCTGTCTGAGTGTTGCCAGTGCCCTGGGTGTTGGCGCCTGTCTGGGTGTTGCCGGTACCCTGGGTGTTGGCAGCGCCTTGCTGTCCGTTGACTCCAGTCTGGGGAGCCGCTGTACCAGCCTGAGGAGTGGCTGCGCCAGCCTGGGGGGGAGGGTTTCCAGCCTGGGCGGCGGCTTGGGCAGCGGGGATGCCGTTGGCTTGGAGGTTCAGCTGGCCATTGCCGGTTCCTTGCTGTAGCGCTTGGGCAGCTGCAAAGGCGGCCTGGGGCGTACCAGCGGGCTGGCCGGGCAGAGTGGGACCCTGGCTCTGGACACCGCCGGCGACACCGGTCTGGTCGCAGACCTGGGGACGGACCGCCTGGGAGGTGGAGCCGGTGGAGGCCATGTAAGCATCGATGTTGGGGAGGACGTTTGTGCAACGGTTCTGGTTGATCAGGTCGATGTTGTTTGCTGCGGCCTGGCCCTGAACAGACATGATCTGGAGCTTGTTGACGACATCCATGAAAGCACCACCGGTGGCGAGGGTGGAGTTAGCAGCCTGGACGTTGGGCTGGGCGCCATTGGCAGCGTCGATGATAGCCTTGTGGTTGAGCTCGTCAACCTCAGCGTTGTAGGCGACAAGAGCAGCCTGCTTGAAAGCAGCGTTGTTCTGAATGCTGGCACCAGTGTTGAGGAAGTTGGAGACCATGGAGGTGTCAGCCATCCAGTTGGACACCGCGGTGGCGAGATCACCCGCAGTAGGAGTCTGGCCATTGGTTCCCGTAGCACCGGCACCAAGGCCTGTGGGTACGTTCTGTGTTCCTTGCTGCTGAGTCTGGCCATTGCCCTGCTGAGTAGCTCCACCCTGAGTAGCTCCACCCTGTTGCTGGTTGGTGGCCCCGTTGGTATTGCCGCCATTGGCATTACCGTTGCCTTGCTGGGCGAAAGGAGCAGCAAGAGCTGCGGAGGAGAGGAGAGAGGCGACGAGAATGTACTTCATGGTGAATGGTAATATGTCGGATCAACCGAAATGTGAATTAGATGCTTGAGTGGATTATGGTGAACGAATTAAAGGAAGTTGGAAGATGCTGAATAGAAGTTATTAGCCTGTTAATGAATGAGGAACCTGTCCGATGATGCTAATGTGGGTGCAGGTAGTCGAGGTATTTGTAGTCGCTGCACACTGCATCTTGTGTCATTGTCCATGCGCCTGAACACTCCGTGGAGGCGAGTCAGGCTGGGCAGCGATCTGGAACGGAGCCGTTTGTGAAGACTTGGCAGCTATTCTCAAGACAGAAAATTGCTTGAAATGACAGTCTCGTAGTGTACCAAGCGGTGCTCCAGCCCCTTCCTTGAGGTCGAAGTCAGGCGAGCGATGTGTGCTCAGGCTAGATCCCCAGACACAAACACGGAATCTCGCTGGGTGCACCTAGTTCAAACGATCGATGCAGCTACTGACCCTGTTTTGTGTCCAAGTGTCATTGTTTTGGTGGCGTCTGAGGATCAGTTTCGTCTGTCTTGGCACGCAAAGCTTGCCGGAGATCATCGAGTCTTGTCTCAACCTTTACCCACGAGGGACGCTGTTTGCCGCAAGGTTTGATTGGTTAAATCGCCAATACATTGCCGGGCAGAACTTCTAATTGGTAGTGGTGAAGTACAATCTGCGAGTGATTCCCCAGGGTGTGGACTCACTGCGCTCCGCAAGTAGCTTCGCATGGTGGTCAGTGCGCATTGTAAAACGGATTTCGAGATGTTCCGTCTCCGGGGAGTAACATGTGTTTGCTCTCAACCTAGCGGTAATCTGACAATGTGCGGGCACCACCCATTCTTAAAAGAGCCGCAAATGCGAAAGCCCACGAAGGACCTACCTCAGACTTGTTTCATAAAGTTCTAGAGCGCACGTCCTTAGCCAAACTTAATTTTTAGCATCGTACATAGGGTTAGTTGGGGGAACGACTATGATATAGCAAAGCTCGTACGACGGTTCCCATGCTCTGGGGCCGCCCTTTCCCCGCTGTCATGCTCGTCAATATAAAGTTACATACGAGAGGTGCAGCATCAGTGATCGGCCCGGAGCGAACCACATCGCTGACCACAATGCATGCGAGACAGAGCAAGACTCAGTGGGCCGACAGGAGTGATAGACTAATGGCACGTATTCGGCTACCGTCCGCGGTAAACGGTCTTTCTTGATCAACAAATCTAATGAGCCTTTGTTTCATGCCTGGCGTTGCGCTCGAACGCGATGGCTATTGCTGCACATTGGCCTCTGTCTCATTCGAGATGGACCCTTCAGCACCTTTCGCTTGTTCGTTTGGCCACCCGCTCCATTCAACACCGCTCTGTGCGGGATCCATTTGCGTTTCGATCTTTCGCACGATACGAGCGGGGTTACCCGCCACAACAGTGAAATCGGGTACATCCTTTGTTACCACGCTTCCGGCGCCTACAACACACCCTCTGCCTATCGTTACACCGGGAAGAATCATGGCGTTCCCGCCAATCCAACAATCTTGCCCGACGTGGATTTCCTTCCCAAGTTCAGGACCACGAGTCCCCTGGCGAATCACGGGATCCAGTGGGTGTGTACCAGAGTAAAATGAAACGTTTGGTCCGACGAGTGTACGGTCACCCACGGTTATCAGACAAGTATCCAGGAAGACAGAGTTGAAATTGATAAAGACATTCCTGCCGAGACGGACATTGTAGCCGTAGTCCATGGCCAGGGGAGGCTCAATCCAAGGATCATCTTCAAACAAAGCGTCGTCTTCTTCTGGTGTTGCGGCTTGCGGGGGCATTGGAGTCTTGTCCTGAATGATGCTGTTCGAGGCATCAGAAAATAGTACTCCCAGCGCAAGACAAGAGCAGGGCGGGTACCTACTCTCTGAAAAGCTCGGTCAGCTTCCGGCGCGAGACCTCGCCAGCACTCGTATAGCGGGCACATGCATGTTTGCAACGTGCTCGTTCTGCAATGAGTTCTGGCGTAAACGCGGTATAGAGCTCACCGCGAGCCATATGCTGCTTGTTCTGAGAGATAGTCATGATGACGATGATGCCTGATTTGAAATTGCAAGTCTTCGCACGATGGGTAAGCGTCTTCTGTTATTACAATTCACGTGAAAGAGCACTGGCTCAAATTCGTGCCAATCAAGGAAATCCCGTTGTCCAGCATTTAGTAAAGGAAGAGTCTACGAAGGTTTCCCGCGGGGCAACCACGGCTACAAGATTATGTAATAAGAGCTAGATGCGCTAGACTAAATACGGCTTAGTTTTGTGACGGCATCGTCCGTGTTGTTCGCAAACACGCGTGAACAATGGCAGCACCACCCTTGCGCTCTTGATATTGTCTGTCCTCGTTTGCATAAACCCACAGAATTTGTGTGCCTTCGCCTCTTCTTTTGATAATGCTGTAGGCTTCCTGTATTATTTTACCAGCCGTGCCTTCCTCATCTCTTGCCCCAACATGGCCTCAAACGGATCAGCGACTGCGTCGCACAACAACATCTCTTATGTAAACCGCCCAGCGTCGCAGGAGTCGCGGAGCTCAGAGCTTGGTACAGACCTACGTGCACGAGAGGCGCCAAATTTCCAAACCAAGCCTGTCAATCATGTGCCACCAGAGTTTTTCTTGAACGGAACACGCTCACTTGCAGGCATCGGGCTGCGAGCTTTCTTCTTGGGCAACGCTGCGCTAGCAGGCTTCCTTCTCGCGGCACAACTCGCATACCATGGCAGCCACCTATGGCGACCATCTCTTTTCCTTGGAATACTCTCTATATTCCACTTCCTTGAGTTTTACACCACAGCTGCATACAACACACCTGATGCGAAGATAAGCTCGTTCCTGCTCACCAACGGCTCTCACTATCGTATTGCGCATACAGTAGCTTTGTCCGAAACCATTATCACATCCTACTTCTTTCCAAGATGGCAGTCTAGGGTCCACTCACCAGTGGCTGTTCTTGCAGGTGTGCTTATGGTGGTGGGGGGGCAGGTGGTCAGGAGTACTGCTATGGCGCAAGCAGGCACAAATTTCAACCACCAGGTCCAGTCGAAGAAGAACGAAGGCCATGAGCTTGTGACCCGGGGCTTGTACGCGCACTTCCGTCATCCATCATACTTTGGCTTCTTCTGGTGGGGCGTTGGCACTCAGGTCATGGTTGGGAACACCGTTTGCACCTTGGCATTTGCCGGGGTCTTGTGGTATTTCTTTATGAAAAGAATCGACCGTAAGCTTCCGATCGTTTTGGGCTCGGTGGAGCTATGCTAACAATCATACAGATGAAGAGAGACACCTCGTTCAATTCTTTGGCAAGGACTACGAGACGTACCGAGCGAACACACGCGTCTGGATACCTTTTATCTAAGTAACTATGGAACAATAGGAGAAGCTGGGGGCAGGTTGCGACCGGATTGTGTGCTGCCTGGCTAAAGCCTTACATATCTCCCCATCATATCTTGCTTCGCACGCGTCCAGCCACATCAATCGAGTATTTGAAAACTACCCATGAGTGGGGCTTTATGCTCTGCCCTCTCTGCGTCATCTTCCTTCACGTGCTCTCGGTGACCCAGCGGTACCGGTTGTGAATGTAGTTGCACATCTTGGCTGACAGGAAGAATGGTTCTAGGACTGTTGTATACTTGCTCCGCTGAAAGCTTGACGAGCGCGTATGATCTCATGCTAGTGAATGAACGGATGTCGCGACTAAGACTTCTTCAAACCTCTGATCCAGTCTTTCGCCATATTTACCCTTCGCCGCAGGAGTGGGGAATGTCGTCCAGATCGTATAGAATAGAGCATGGGGCATGGAAGAGAGTGTCTGTAACTTATAAGGATATCTCGTTACGTGCTTTGGTATCGATGCGCGAGCGGATCTGCCGTGTCATTCGTGCGGGTGTTGTGTGGGTGAACCCAAGCATCTCCGTATCAGCGTGTTTCCTGCCAGAAATGCAAGGCCGCATCGCGATATCAATCTTGGGTCGACAAAGACATCGTCTTCCCCAGGGAAATAACAACCAATGTAAAGTAAGCGATGATTGCGGCTGCTTGCAAAGATGTGCGTTCGAACCCCCGGACTTATTGCCGAGGCCCAGTAGTGGGCTCTTCACCGTAGGTCTGGAGGTTTCAATACTGTGCCACGAGTGAAACACAGGATTTCATGCTCCTGTGTACAAGTAAGGTGGAAGTCGGCTCCCTGCATATGTACGCCCTAGGTCGCGTGACGCGCCCGACCGCCGATGCGTGCCCCTCACGTAACCGTGCAGCACACCAACAGGCTGCAAGTTGGGAACCTCACTTGCGCTGTCTCACCGGAGCCTGGCAAGCAATGCGAGCGAGACCGGATGCATGTTGTTGATGAGCTGGCAACTCATGACGCCGCCCCAGCTGAAGTCGCCAAGCGCTTGAGTCGCTGACTACATTCGAGTAGTTCGCTCGTCACCGCCATCAAGGGAACTGGCATACAGCACCTTTGACCAGGCTGCTGCGATAGTCGCGCCGCAATGGCAGAAGCTCGGCGAGGTAGTGGCGTTCAGGGTGATCTGGAGAAGGAATTGACGTGTTCGGTGAGTCGAGGTTCGTTCTTCAAAGTTGGTGTTAGAGTCAGGGCGGGGAAGGAACGGTGGGCAGGAACGTCACAACAATGAGAGGGAGGGACGATGAACAGAGCCAGAGAAGGATCGAGATGCCTGTCCAGTGCTCGTTCTTTTCACGGTGCTTTTGTGGTAGGAAGCTGGGATGCGCCTGCTAACAATGCTTAGATCTGCACCGATCTCCTCTACCAGCCGCTTACGCTCCTCGACTGCCTCCACACCTTCTGCGGTGCTTGTCTGAAGGAATGGTTCTCATTCCAAGCATCTGCCGCGACTTCGATCCATCCATATACGTGTCCCTCGTGCCGCGCCTCGGTACGCTCTACCCAACCGAATGCGACTGTTACAACGTTACTCGACATTTTTTTGAAAGCGAATCCAGGAAGGGGAAAGAGCGACGAAGAGAAAAAGGCGGATAAAGAAAAATACAGACCCGGCGACAATGTGTTGCCCAAATTGCGGCGGAGAGGCGGTCCCGAAGACGAGGACGATCGCAGGGTCCTTGAAGAAGTACAACAACTTAGCTTGAGGGAGGTTGGCATACCGAGCAGTAGCAACCATTCTTTGGAGCCACCAAGAGAGAGAAGAAGGCACGAGAGGAGCCGTGAAGGCAGCAGAGAGTCGAGGCGGACCACCAGTCGTAATACCTCACCATCACGGGCTGTCGCACCAGCAAGGACCATAGAGCATCAGGCGAGCCTGCGGTCGCTGCTCAGCGCTTCAGATTTGGGCGCAGATGAAGTGGACGAGGACCTTGTGCGCCACGTACTGGAGGAGTTGCTAGCTGAAGGGGTGGATTTGAACGACATTGGCACTACCCAGGAGGAGGAAATCACCGAAAGGATCGCTGAAGCTGTGCGCAGACGTCAAGCTGAGAGGCAATCTGAACGACACTCAGAGCGGCAACGTGAAAGACGCGAGAGAAGAGAAAGGCTGGCAAGAGAAGGCCTGATGAGTTCATCGCAGACATCACTGCCGCAACCTATACGCAGCGCTCCACTGCGTGACGAAGACGCATCACGGAGACGGGGCCAAGGACGTTCAGAGAGTCGAACGTCAACACCACAGAATGGTACAAGGCATGGCCCGCCAATATCGCGTCCCGGCCTGATCGATGCGGCGAACGATGGCAGTAGGCAACATAGGCGCTCTTCGAGCCAAGGCAGCTCAAGATCAGCGAGGAGAGCAGACCGTCCACCTACTCTTGGCGTCTCGTCTTCCAGACAGAGTGCCAATGGACAGGAGCGGGAGTCGACCTCCGACAATGTGACAGTGTCGAGACGTCGACAGTCAGACAATCAACAGTCGGGCAGCGCAGAGGCTCGTCAGCAATTTCGACGCAGCATCTACGATAGTATGGCTGCTGCAAGTCCGGTCTCGCCTCTAACAACGGGATTCAATATACCCGGTAGCGACAGCCCTGTCAGCACATTGACGACGTTCGCTCCGCCACTGCATCCCTCTCCATCATCACCACCTGCAGAGACCCCTTTCCGTGTCCCGTCATTGCGTCGGATTACCGATCCCGCGAGTGGAAGACCGCCTCGTATTTCCCTCACAGGCACTCCACCACTGGTGTCGCCCCCATCGTTCCTCCGTTCTGCAACTGACCCAAATGTCAATGAAATACGCTCACGACAAGCTTCAGATTCAACGCCTTCAACGCCCATTCTCCATGCGGAGCCACATGTTTCATGTAAGTCTTGTGGCAAGGACCATATTGAGTATGAATTGCACTACAGCTGTCAACGGTGCGACGATGGCAACTACAACATCTGTCTGCGCTGCTTTCGTATTGGCAAAGGCTGCAGGCATTGGTTCGGGTTCGGCTGGGCTGCATGGTTGCGCTACGAGCGCCAGACTCCTCAGGGTGGCTACCCGCCGAATGACGAACATCCTCACGTGCTGACCGGACGTCGATATCGAAGGCCACTCGCCCAACTCGTCGAATCGACCCTACCTCCGCATGAACTCCTAAGTGAGCACAACCCCGACCAGCGCAAAGAACTAGGCGTGTTCTGCGATATCTGCAAAGCGTTCGCGAATGCATGCTACTGGAAGTGCGACTACTGTAATGAGGGCGAATGGGGTTATTGTAATGATTGCATCAACCAGGGTCGTCACTGCACGCATCCACTCCTTCCTGTTGCACACAAGTCTCAGACCGATTTATCCGATAGCCCTGAGCTTTCGCTGCCCTCAACGCCTCACGCCAACACCGATTCTCTCGCACCACCTGACCACGATTACGAAGCTACAACACCCCCGTTGACGCCTAAGACGGCTTCGTTGATGCGGGGCCCGATCCTCTTCACCATCGCAAATCTCACCTTTCGCCCTCTTACATTCACAACACTATGCAATATCTGCAGATATCCCATCCCGCCGTCGAACACTCGCTATCACTGCTTGAAATGCAACGCCGGCGACTATGATGTATGCATGGCTTGCTATCATAAGCTGGTGGTTTCGAACCGGATCAGCAAAGAAAATGGTATCAATGGCTGGCGTAAATGTTTCCGTGGTCACCGCATGGTCGTAGTAGGTTTTGAAGATCGTGACGGGGGGCAGCTGCGCATTGTGGTCAAGGATCTTGTCGGTGGCTGGGCGCTCAAAGACGATGAGGATCAGGCAAGGTCGCCAACATCAAGAGCTCCGCAAAGATATCCTCCAGACGGTGGTACTGGACTTAGATTACAAGCTCGCTGGGGCCACTGGCCGGAGGAGGGCGTCAGAGATGAGCTTGCATTTCCGAAAATTTCAGAGATAAGGGAAGCGGCCGATGTTAATGGCGAGTGGTATTGGGGGGTGTACTGTGGCATGGTGGGTCTATTTCCTGCCAGTCATGTCGCTACTGTTTGAGTTGCAGACCTGCTTTTTGAACACGAAGATATGAATGCATGAACGTAATTGTAAGACATTATCCGAAAGAGTTTAATGGTTGCTAAACTTAACACACCACAAGAATGACCGACTGGTATTGAAATTTCAACTATCGACGGAAACTAGCAGTATCTTGCATCAGGAATTCTCAGTGGCCAAGATGACTTTGTGGTCACATACATCAATCTGGGTTAATCTGTCTCAGACGAGCAGAATGAATTCGTCGAGATTATGTGATCTGTTTGTTTCAGGTGCAACGTCTGTGAAGAAAGAAAGGGACAATCGGTGATGTAAGTACTCTACAGAATTGCCAGAAACTCGTTTTATCTACTGGTGGATTTCCTATGAAATCCCGATCGACTTCCTTTATCGAAGACCTCAATTATGTTCGCATGGCGTAAGCTCAGATTAGTACCATCTGCTGATTCTCCAGTTCCCATCTTGGACCAATTGCATGCATCTTTCAAGAGTAACATCTCTGCAAGCAGTGTCCATCAGAAGCCGGCCCAAGCGCTTATGTGTAACTGTCTCCTTCTGAACATATGATCTGCCATATGTTCTGCCATGTGTGCTGTTGTGATGCATCACAAGGAACACGAAGAACAAAATCAGAAAAAAAAACACAAACGTTGAGACTGCACACTGATACCCTGGGCGCGTTTCCAGCAGAGCCATATGACGGTGGCGGCGAAGGGGCTGTGGCTTCCAACCAGGCGTGTATACGGTGGTCCCTCGGGTGCGGTGAAAGGGCCATTGCATGATCAGTATCTCGGCTCCGTTCGAGCGCTCTTTGCGCAGCGATCGGAGCAGAGACAAGAGGAACCGGCCTACTTATGAAGTTGGATGGTTGTTGACGCTTGGAGTTGTCTCTCAACTCGTTGATGTAAGACAGTGGCGCAAGATAGGTGGTTCCGTCTTGGAGGGTAACTACCTCTTGCCTTGCCGTTTTGCGGAAAGTGTAGCGCATTGTGGATGTGCGTTTCCTGTACAACCTGAATTCGCGTTGGAGATGATAAGAGCAAACGAGTTTCCTCGATGAGCTGAAGCTGTGTTGATGATAAGAGCAAGAGGGTTTTCTTTGTGAGCTGGAGCTGCGTTGATGATGAGAATGAGAGAATACTGTGTGAGGATGGGCAATATATGGAAGCAAGCTACGAAAATTCCATGGTATGGGACGAAAACAATAGTTGTTTACATGATTGACACGATGGCACGAACCATAGGTGCGACGCTGCTTCACTAAAATTCGTCCCTGACTTCCAACACAACCGCCGAAGTCTCAGTCTCCTGAAAGAATTACAGCTGAAAAGTCACCGACAGCGTCGAGAGTAGCATCATCATCCACAAGGCTGCATCTAAATTAATACACGGGAACGAATATGTATCGACACGTATGACCGAAGTCTTGTTGGTCTTGGTAAGAGATCAAAGTGAGGTTATCATTATTTTATTGCGAATCGATACTTGGCTGCCACGTGCGAACCAAAAGAACAAACCAAAGTACAATACTCAGCACTTGAGTTGTTCTTGACAGAGTGATTGCTATCTAAGTAGTCCTACAATATGTATACATGTAATCCAAACGCAAAATTCTGCTACGCCGCTCGTGTTCGCAATTGAACACCATGCCACTGAGCAATTTCTTCCTTCAGCACCTGGTTGACCAACTTGTGCTGCTTGATTACAGTCAATCCCTTGAACCTAGGCGACTCGATTTCAATTGCATACATGGAACCGCAGCCGCCACTGATGTCTTGAACCTGGAAGATGGGTCAGCGTGCCATCCACGAAACATGTTGTCCGCGGTGCTCGATCCTACTGTCGCGAAATTCTCGACAATAAAATCCACTTGTCCGTTCATCTATCCGTTGCGAGACTGGCACGGTGAGGGCGCCGACCGCACGGCGATTTGTGTTAGATGACGTGCATCTCAACACTTTTGCGTACACCGTTCTTCAGCACTGCCAGGCCGCCCCCCAAGGAATCTGACCACGCACCTCAAGCTTAGTAGGTTCCAGCTCCCCCCTTATCTTGTTGAAGATATGTAGCTCTGCATCATTCAGGAAGTCTGGTGGCTCTGGCATACCACTTGCTTGCGTACTGTATGCTCGAGTCGCGCCATGTGTGGCCTGGAACCGTGTCAAGGCGGTCGCGCGTATGCACTGAGGCCTAACTATTGCTGCTGCGGTCGAGAGGAGTTGCGCGCCGGCGCGCATACGAATCTGGGGTTGCACGGATGCAGAGGCTATGCGGCGAATGAGAAATGCTCTGGAAGGCGCCATGGCGTGCTGTAAATATGTATCAGAGAGTGCATTGCGGGGTGCATACTGCAATCGATATTCGTCTAAGCTTACGAGAGAGCACGCGACTGTTTACGTCGAAGTTTGGTTTACGTGAATGGCAGTCGCGAAACTTCGTCATAGCTCCACCATGCCTCCAGGGCAAGCGATCAGTCACGTGGAGTGAGCGTCGTTCTAACTGCAAGCGAGCGATCCATCTCCGAGCCATCTTCGAAGCATTACCGACAGTGCGCTGTTCACCCAGATCCCTTGGTGACTGGGCACTGTCGTTGCTGCATAAGCGCTCCGATTCCTCAACAGAAGATGCAGTCTATGGATCGCACCGCCGAACGCTCTGTGGTTTGTTGGCACCGCTGCATGCATTTCTGGGGTGCAGAAACTTTACAGATTGAGGAGCAGGCCCGGTCGCTCACCGCCGGATCTGTAATGTGTATCTCTAGGTACCCGGGTGTACCTAATCAGGCCATTCGCTCTCAGCCCCGCTCGTTCGACCCTCGACAATAATTACCACCCACTCTCAAGCCCAACGAGGAAACTTTTTGCGCTACCGATGAATGCAACATTTCAATCTGCACGCTGACACAAAGCGATTCCCAACGGTTCGGTGACCACACTTATCCCGCTCGATGGTGATGGCGGGGTGCAGTCGGCTTCTTTGTCTCCGCAATCCATCTCAGCCCATGGGCTCATGTCACCGTATCACGTTTCTGGTCGACATGATCCAACACGGAGGACAGACCCCTCTTTTCCAAGACGCCAGGCCGAGACCATGATCAGCACCATGGCTGGAGGATTTTCACATGAAAACTCAGGGTTCAAGGCAATGCATGGTACTACCTGTCTCTTTCCAGACGCTAAAAGCTGGGGATTGCGAGAGCCGCAAAGATTTGCGCAAGTGGCCATTGGAAGAGGGAGCATATTGGCAACAAATCGCTAGACGGCAGGCACGATGGTGTAGACGCTTGTCGTAATGTTGCATCCCTTGACGTACGGTGATGCCATCTACGCTGTGCGGCAGGATCCCAACGAGGCGATCAGTTGTGAGGCTGGCACATGAGGTCTTAGATCATGCCTTACGGGAGCGCGATTTCGGGCAAGCTAGAGAACATTGCAAACGTCGTAGCCGAGATGGCCCAGCATGGCACTGCGGAGACCGGAGTAGCTCCCATGTCCGTTATGGGCCGTGGCGACGGTTGCTCTATTACTTCACACTCTCAAGTAATGTGATCGCATTCCCTGATAGATTTTTGAGCTGCTACCATAATTGCAGAGATTGCCGGACTCCGACAGGTCCACGAAGCGCACTCCTGGCTCCGAGTAAGCAATTGCTACGACGAGACCCTGCTTCTGCTTGTCAGCTATGCATCGTCCCTTCTCAGCAACGTCATGTTCAAGATTAGACGATGATGCTGGGTTGTATGTGCTGTGTAAAACGTATGACGACTGGCTTTTGGTGGTTCAGAGTTGCCTCACGATTGACCTCATTCTGAGGCTTGCATGAATCGACTGCAGCAATCAGACCAACCCACCACTTCCTGTAGCCTCTCTTCGGAGCAAGACCTTCGAGATCGACGAAAGATGATCGCCGCCACGGCCCCAGCTTGCAACACAGCTTTCGCGCAAACAGACGTTCCGCGCCACACGCTCATCACCGGAAATATGTACCCATTCACCTTCATCTTATCCAATCACCCACGCCGGACATCGCCTTTCTGTGACTACTCTCTAGCGTCCCGTTGCCGCCGGCTGGCCTCCAGACTCCCAAGAGCGCCGTTGATGTCCAGGCCGACTCTTGTGGCTCATGCAGGGCCCACACCACCTCCACGGGGGAGGAATGCCTTGCATGCACAAGACGAGGCCAGCGGCTCCTAGAGCCTCACAAACCAGGAGCTTTACACCGAGCGTACGAGTTGCAACGGCCCACTCTCAACAATTTGAAGTTGCGACCGAAGACATGCCGCGACCCTCATGTAAGCAGCTAGAGGATGGTGGCCGAGAGTGTATGCATACTGGTGGGGAACGGACGCGACAATGAAGGATTGGGTATGCGGAGTGCGGAGATGGTAAAATGTCTCCAGTTTTCAGGGCGTACGCGTTACATCCAAACGCAGCCAGGACATCATCTAGTCCTTCGAAGGTGACGAAAATCTGTGTTGAACGCGTACCAACGCAGATCGTGGATTCTGCTTGTGAACCATCGATGCTACTGTTTGACTTGCCTACGAAAATCACGGTACACGTCTCGACTCGGCGTTTGAAATACTGAAGTCCGAAGCGTAGCGTGTGCTCTGCCGTCTTGGAAGACCCTGGGCTGCACCTATCCGCTCAGGGTCTCATGCTGCATTCGTTGTTTTTAGGTAGTTTACTGTGACAATGACTGCTCGTGTGCCTCGGATCCTCATCAAGCTTCACGTCTGTCGACTCGCCTCCACATCTCACCCCAGTTTGCTTGCGTTCTTGGTTTGCTTTCCCTGCATGTACGCTAGATGCACAGCAGGATCACATCTCTCAAGCTCTGTCTTCCCCTGTCACGTCATCACATCCTTCACGGCTTCTGATAGCCAACCGGCGCTCCATCTAACCCATAACATCCAACGGCCCGCTTATTCGCGCCACCACCTTGGAGTTCATGGCCTCAACACATCCCCAAAGCAGAGCGTGGTTGTCAAAGGATTCAGCAGACCCTGATCGTCGTTCAGCGCCTGTCATGCACGACACAGGTTACTGGCTTGAGCGGCATATGGCTCGTGTTGCGCCGTCAGTGTCTGTTTGTTGGGACATTGCCACTCCGCAACCCATCTACCAAACAGCCACAATATTCAACAAACAGGGGTATTGGTGTTTTTGACAACGCTGAACTGCACATTTCAAGATACTATCATCCAGGGCTCACATTATGCTTTATCTCGCCCACAGCGACTTACCATATTTTGCAAGTGAGATGCTGATGAGAGGTGGTTCTCGCAAGTGGGGCATGTGTGGACGAGGTGTGCTAAGAAAAGCCGGCGCGTGCGTGCAGCCGAGACCGCTAGTCTGCATTGCGGAAGTGTCCTTGGCTGAGTGTCGCAAGGGTCCTCGGTTCCGGACAACGGTTGCGGGGCAAGTTGCGGCCTCGTTTTGTCAGTCAAAGCACGAGAAGCAGTATTCACCATCTCCTGAACTTGAGCTTGGTATACTGGACCCTCACCACTAGACGGAACTTGAAGTTCACTCTTTAAGGGAGCCTTGTTTCGTTGAGCTCAATGATCTCCCCGATGGGACAGAATGCACAGTAACAGCGCGCGTTTGGAGACTAAACAGTGGTAACGCTGCGGGTATTCAGTTGTCGCACAGGAGCACCGGTTATCTCACATGTCCGAGTCTTGTCGATCTGATAAGGTAATGTACAAAAGGCCGCACTGCAAGCTGTCATGCATGATAAGACACGATTCGCGGGACCTGTTAACCGAGTCCTTTGGCAATATGGGGTATGCATGTTGTGTATTTTCCATGGATGGATTTTAGCGCGCGACTGAACAGCATCCATATGCCTATCAGGCGGCGTTGGCACACTGAAATAAAGTCCCTATCGAGCATGCCGAAAGCCTGTATGTTATCGGTCCGCAACCGACCTATCACTTTCGGACCACAGAGCGTAGTGCTGCGGGTATCTTTCATCCTTCCCGTCTCACCTCACCTTACTGCATACTAACGTGCTTTTCTGTGCTTCAAGTACAGCATGTTCATGCACAGGAACCAGGATTACGCCTTTCTGGCATCGCTCTCTGCGTTTGGCATTCGATGGCGAGTGGCAGTTGCCGAGTGGGATTTCGGTATCGTCAGGGGACATTCTCGTGAGCCGACCCGAGCACGTCGTACAGTGCGTGATATCATACACAAAGCTATGTAAGAAATACTTCAGGTGGCCAGGGAGATGACTGAATAACGCTGTGCTCACAGCACGCCTGGCGTCCGCCTACTGTGTACGTTGTAGCGAACGTAAAAACCATTTCAAGTATGCCAACCTGCGTGAAGCAAACCTGTTTGTTGGGCGACAAATTGAAGCAACTGTCTGTTAAGACTAAACCTTAGGTGCTCATCATGGTTTTGGGTGGATGTTTGCCGGTGTTGATCTGGCCTCTAGAGGGCTTCTCATGTCAGCCCACTACGGGATTTGACTGGATCACCGCTGACGGATCGGTCCATACCGTCATCTACACCGTTCAGCGGAAGCCTCTTGTGCCCCGCAATGACATTCCAATTTGACGTGATAACGCGTATAAGCTGGTGTTGTGCGATGTGTTGCCGTAGTCCTATCAATCACCAATCACTGTGATGGGATGACACAGATTAGCCGACCACGGATTGCGGCTGACAAGGAGCAGACGTGCAACTGAACCTCTGGGTTAGCTTGCAAGAACTGTGCAGCAAGACTCGAACTAAAAGAACCCGACTGATCAACGACTGCACGGTCCGACATGTGCAAATCTACAGCATGGTCATGATCATGTATGTAATGTGGAGCGATAGGTGACAGTAGATTCAGATTGGTTATGCCCCACGAGTGAAGCCGAGAACAGCGGCCCGACCGAGAGCGGCCGAAAACGGATACGCCGGGGGCCGTACAATATGCTGCGGATAGCCCGGCCTCGATATCACGTCCACCAAAATTCGAGATCCCATGGATGCGAAGGAGCAGTGTGTTACGCTGTCAGTGTTGGTCGTTGATGGCCGGCCAGTAACTGACGTGTTGTCGAGATGTTGGAGCTTTCGAGGCCAATCATTCGAGTCAACGTCACTAGCGGTACATCGCTTACCGTCAACACGTCGCGCGTCTGTCAAGGAAGGTTACGCATGGTTTCCTTTGGGTACACTGAGTACGTGCGAACCATGCGCATCGGTTTTTTAGGTAATTTCTTTGCTGCATACCTGCAGACTACCTAGCTCCTAGAGGACTGATAGTTGCCATACGAATGTTCTCAAGAACTCTTGGGAGTCGAAATGACAGGAGACTTCAGCGTGCAAGACCCTGGTCAATGGAGCTCTGCTAGGCTATCGTCCGTTTCGGTCCGTCACATCCATGATGTTGGAGTGGGGCACTGGCGGGTACCCACATCCAAAAATGTACATGCGATAGCTCCTTTCTGGCTCTCAAGAGGAACGGCAAGAGGTCCCGCGACCGTGAAGACTTAAACGCGATGCCGGGCATGATTAGACTGATGGTGTTAGAAGACGGTGCTTCAAGAAGCGGTGTACATCAGACACATCGCTGGTGAGGATCAGGTGCCCACGCATCCCTATCTCTGAACAAAAACAAAACTCGCCGTGTGGCTCAAGGCATTGTGACTGGTCGTGTGCACTAGGTATACTGATGGGGCGTCCCTACGAGACCAAGCGCTGTGTGACATCACGCATCGTGAAAACAGAACGGGTCGTGCACATCCCACATCGCTAAAAAGCAGATTGCTGCCTGTGTGGAGATGCACACGATGCATGGGCCACTCCAAGCAACGTGGCCTGACGTCGTTCATGGATGTCTCCAACCCCAAGGCAGTGTTGTCGTAAGATGAGACTGTCCTTGAGTCTCACATATGTTGTGCGCTACAAATCGATCAGGCATTCCTGTTCTGCAAGCATGGCCGCCTGCAACTTGACGCGCTGGAATAGCAGTACCAACTGTGTCAATGGCGTATCCGATATCCGCATTCTTTGTCCTGGTTCGAATGATGGCTGACTGATAGCAGTGACCCAAACCTTGGCTGTAATGGCATCGCCGGAGATGGAGAGTGCATTGACCGGCCGGTGTGGGTATTAGCGAGTCGGGTCTGATTCGCGCATTCCATGCTTTTTGGTGAACTTGGTAAGAATGCCAGTGAGCAAGCTTGCGGCCATGGTTCCATCCCAAACCTAGAAGAGTCAAGGTTATTCCGTTTGTGAGTAGCCCAGCTAAGTACTCGTCAGTACCGTCAATTGGCGTGCGGTGCCCGATCCCGTTGGAAGTTGAATGGTGCTGAGTGCAGCTCGACAGTGGGGATGGAAGCAAATTTCATCGAGGGAACCCACTGCCTTTGACTCCGGTATCTGCGAGCTGCGCGCTTGTGTGACTCTCTGTCCGTATCGTTGCGTCCCGCGCGGTGCTGTTCTTGCGAGAGTGCGGGCGGAGTATTGCTGTAAGGGGCATAGCTCCCGGCAGTCTCGAGTCAAAGCTTCCAACTTAGATCGTCCATCCAGTGGGGATCGACGATGAGCAACGGCGGCCCAGGCGGGGCTAAGAGAGGCAAGGCGGTACGTTCGTGACTGTGCGCTGAGTGGCCCACGCGGGCTGTTCTGCCGGACAAAAAACTTTGGATGCTCGGGCGTTGACCAGAAAGCGGGCTAGTGCAGCTTGGATCTGTGGTCTGGCCAACATGAGGATGTTAGAAAACAGGCGACGAGATGCGTTTCACGTCGCGATAGGGTGGACATTGCTCTCAAACTCCTTCACCGCGTTTGTCCTTCACCGTGTTTGATCGTCCTTTGGATAAGTGCGCGACCGTGGCCTGCAGCCGTGCTCCACAGTGTGTCGGTCAGCGCAATCTACAGGCGGTAAGCCAAATCTGCGCGGTTACCAGTTCCCTTGAGCAACGGTGGGCAATATTAGTGTTGTGGTGGTGTTCGCGGCGTGTCAGCTCACTTGTGAGCACAGCGAGGCGATCAGGATGTCAGCCACCAATGCTTAGGCTCGCGACATGCCGATCAGTCTATGGAGAGCTATGAAGACGCGTAGACGCGCGCGGGTGATTCGAGGCCTGCGGATAGAACGGTACGGCTTGCACGCAGAGGGGTACACGGTCGTAAGCAACCGGCTGGAACAGAATCAGATTGTGCACCTGGGTACAGCTACACGCTGCGTACGCGATGATGCCCTTTGTAAAGTTTGCTAGCGCACTGCACACTCGACGCGCAACAGTGCGGGGAAATTAAGTGGTGAAGCCGCACACATCGGCGCTTTACTGGACCAATGGACGAAGTATCGCAGTGCATTGCTAGGGCAGCCGTGAATGGGCGAGGAGTGTCGACGAGGCATGTCTCTGATATTGACGTGTCCTGTGCAGTCTGACCCCAGGCCCCACGGCACAACGTGCCCGCAGTACGCAAGAAATGCTCCACGCCCCGTGGAGGTTTCAGACGGAGTGGGTTGCTGTGGAGCGTGGAAAAGCTGGTTGCGAGAATAGAGTTCGCTGACGGCTCGCTTGTTTGGAGCAGGGGTTGCAGGGCCAAGTGTGGCCTAGCGCACGCAGCAAACGGCGATCGCAGCCTCATCTGAGCAGTTTGACCACCGAGCAACTGGAAAGAGGTGTGGCTGCGAGCACGAAGCCGCGCCCTACTTGCTCCGATCATTCAGGTACCGCAAAAGCTTCTTTGCGGGTCGCGACACACACCAACACGGGCAGCGCAGAATGGACGGTGCGAAGGGCGGGCAGATGCAGCCGTTTTCATCAGCTCACCCCCATTACAATGACATCACCTCGCTCGGACGCCTGGCTTGTGCGCAAACAGAGGCGAAAGTCTCGTCGACGCTGGCCGTGGGTTGCCTGCGTGGCTTGTGCGGCGACGAGGCTCCGTGGCGCAAACGCATCGCCACGCATTGCAACGCATCAGAACGCGTCTGCACATTGCACACTGCGCACCGCACTCTGCACGTTGCAGTGGCAGCATGCTGCAGCGGACGTCCGCCCAGTCCGGGGGACTAGCAGTGCCATGTCGAGGTCTGAGGTCGTCCGTCTCAGCCCATGTGGGCTGCAGTCGCGTAGTGCGCGGGCACGACGAAGCCGGCGCCGCTGTCCGGGCGCGCACTGGGCGACAGGCCGCGGTGATGAGAGATGGGCGAGGATTGCTTGCGGGCAGGTTTGCGGGCAGGTTTGCAGGCTTGCTCGCAGGGCTCGCGGGCACGCAGGCTGCTGTTGCACCGTTTCGAGCAGCGGCCGTGCCAGACGAGCCGCATGCGCTGCGCTCGGGAGATTTGAGATTTGGTCCAGTCCGGCTCGGTGTGTGCGCTGATAAAGACAGCGAGGCCGTGCAATGGATGGCGCCACCGTCGCGTCTGCCATCTCCGCGCCGGTACCGTCAAGTCGCTGGCAGTCCTTTGTCCCCGCGACCAACAAGCGCCGCCGCCGGCGTCTTTGCGTGCCAGCCAGCAGCGTGCGAGCTCGCAGCCCGCAGCCCATCGCCCACCGCCCACGTCTCCGCTCCCGCGCGCTCGCCCAGCGCCGCAGCTCGACCGGTTGCTGCCGCTTGGCTGCATCGCTGCGCGCAAATCCTTGGTCTGTTGGGGGGTGGATCGTGCTGCGCGCTATCAACTCGCTTGTGCACTGGTGCTGCAGCTGCCCTGGTCAAGGCCGTGCGGCAAATCCTTGGTGGCTGCGGCGGCCTGGGTCCAGCGATTTTCAGCGCGCATCCTGGCACAGCGACTGCCCCAATAGTCGCGGCCCTGCACCTCACCTGCGCTACGCTCCTCAACACTCTCCGCTCCCCGTGTCTGCCTCCAACACTTTTCTGGGCCTCTGCCAGCCTCAAGATCCTTTTAACTGGCCCGCCTGCAGTCATTGAGCCGTTTCGACACCCGCGACCCTCGCCCTCCGGTCCTGTCCAGCGCCCTGCCCGTCGCCCTGCCCTCGGCCGTGCCTGCCCCAGCACCACCTCTGCACTCAGAACCCGCGGAAGCCACCGGCCTCGCCGCATTGCAGTCGTTCCACCCGAACGCTGCACGCCGTTCGTCTCGCGCCCCGCCAGGCCCGAGCTCCCCGAGCACTCCTCCCCGAGCACTCCTCCCCGCCGCCATTGCAGCTTTGACTAGCTGTGACCTGCCGCGTCGCGCCCTCCTCCCAGAACGAGCACCGCCCGTTCGTCTCCTCATCCTGTGAGTGCCTGAGCACCCCCACGGCGCAGCCGCCGCAACACGCAGCACGCCTTACGCAGCACCCGCACGCAGCCGCCGCCCGCCGCTGCTCGACCTGCTTTGTCACCCGCGCGCTGCGGTGCCGGGATCCGCTATCAGACGGTCGACTGACAATCCCCAGATAACCCGCCCGTACTAGCTCCATTCTTCTAATGCGCCCGCAACCCTAATACCTACACGTCTTCCTTCGTTCTGCTTTCCCGTCCCCACGAAGCCGGCCGAATGCCTTACACACCGCCCTCGCAGCGCTCGCCAGCTTCGTCCAAGCCGACCAGCCCTGCCCTCAGCCGGAACCATTCCTACGTCGACACGCAGGCCGCCCAGTCGCCCAGGACCTCACAACGGCCAGCCCTGCCGCGCTCCGTATCGTCGACGTCGTACCTGCACAAGCACCGTCGCTCGCCGTCGTTTCCCACCGCCACATCGCACAGCAATGGAACCCCGGTCGACGGCAGTATGGTAGAGTCGCCGACAGACCTCCACCGCAGCCGCGCCGCCTCCAAGACTAATGGTAGCATCCGCCCGTCTCCTCTCCCTGTGAACGATTCTCTGATACCGTCAGGTGCCATCACCACTCCCCCTGACTCGTCGGACGATGAGGACCGGGGCCGTAGCGTGGGCGACCTGAAGGACTTGGAGGAGGCCCTGCAGCACATCAATGTCAAGAGGATCTCGTCTCCGGAGCGGACCGGAGTCACTGCTACGCCGTCAAACACACCTCAGCTCATGACTGCAGCACGGTCGCTCACTGCCGAGGCACGCAAGATTGCCCACTCGCGCTCGTCTAGCGAAATCATGCTCTCCAAGCACAACGTCGAGCCCCTCGACACCTGCCCAGCCATCATCACATCTTCGGACGATAGCGACGCTGAAGATGATGGGCTAAGGATGAAGCCGCCGCTACTGCGCAAGAAGTCTGGTGAGCTCGTCAAGCCTGCCCTTCGGCCTGCATCGCGACGCAGGCCATCCAGCATGCCTGGCACCCCCACATACTCCAAAGCCGTACACTTCAACGAGGAGATTGAGCAGGTACGGCACTTCCTCTCGGTCGACCGACCGATTGCTGTCAGTGCTGGCTCATCGCCCGTCGAGTCTGCCTACGAGAGCGAGAACGAGTACCCCTTCGAGGATGACTCCCGGCCTAAGACACCGGAGTGGGAAATCAAACTGGCTAATTGGCCAGCGTCCGACTCCTACGAGCGACAGACGGCACCTGTACGGGTCGAACGCATTGCTCTCGCATCAGACAATCAGACACTGGTTGGCAACATCGCGTGTGCCAATGTCGCCTTCCATAAGTTCGTCGTGACTCGCTTTACACTCGACTACTGGAAGACAACGTCTGAAGTCGTCGCCGAGTTTAACCATGATGTTCGTAAGAAGCAGGCAGATGATGGTTATGACCGCTTCAACTTCAACATTAAGCTTGCTGATCAAGCCAATCTCGAATCCAAGACCTTGTTGTTGTGTGTTCGTTACCAGGCCAATGGACAGGAATTCTGGGACAACAACAACTCCATGAACTACCAAGTTGACTTTGCCAAGAAGGTCAAGCAGCAGCAGCAACCGAAGCCAAGGCGTAACAATAGTGGCGGTCTTGGGGCAATACCTCGTAGCAGGCATTCCCCTCTGTCGTCCCGCCCACGCTCGACTGCCGCACTTGACGACGACTTTGGGCATGACCTGGAGAACAAGTTCCAGTTCGGTAGCTCTGGCCGCATCACTGGCGACGTACCCAGTTCAGCTATCCGACTCAAGCCGAAGAGCAAGCAGCGTGCTCAGATCTATCCTGATCAGGCTGGTCGACGATCCCAAGGCCAAGCCTTTTCATCTCGTTATGACTTTGGAGCCTCCCTCTCCGCTGCTTTGACCACTGCCCAGAGTGCTCTGGGTGATCGTAGTGGCCTCAAGGTTGATACTGGCAACAAAGGTTACTTTGATCGGCCAACCTCTCTTCCCAGGTCGCACACGACCGGCCCGCCTGTTCCTGGAACTAGACCTCAAGCGCTATCGACTGACAGCAAGCCTGATCTTCAATCTGCGGAGTACAATGAGTTGATCCAGAAGTTTTGTTTTGTACGTTCTCAACCTCAACAGCCCGACAAATTGGCCTAGACGGATACTAATACGGCTTCAGTTCGGCACACCCACCGGTAAAGGCTCACCTAAGGCAACAACGCCCCTGGTCCAGAACGCTCACAGTGACGGTGCGGCTGAGTACATCAACAGTGCTGAGTCGTCTGCCACAAACAGCCCGCCCTCGCCAGCCATGCCTGTCATGGTGGATGGTGCGAATGACAACAAACCTTCTCGAACACCCTCACCTTTTTTAAACCGCTCTACATCCCCCGGCCCTGTTACAGGATCCGGACCTGAAGACATCCTTGCCTCTCAGTATCAATATGGGTACAACATGCACGGTGGCATCTTCCCTGAGCGAAGCCACACACCTCAAGCATGTGTTTGAGCTTTGACTCACATCTTTACAGGCTATGAGGGATCACCCTTGAGGCCTCACGAATCTTCTTCAAAAACGAAGACACGCTTACGATCCGAATGATACCGACGAGTGGAGCGGAAGTTGCTTGTCCACGAGCAACCGAGCGCTCACGAGTCTTGTTCTTTCCGGTACGAGTTGTTGTTGTGAGACTGGCTATTGTTCTTCTCTCGAGTTTCTTCTCAAGGCAATTGGTTTCCAGCATTCCCGGACGGCTTCCCTTGCTGCATTTCCCGGTTGACCTTGTCGCATGTCTTTTTCGACTGGTGTTCGCAGTACCGCGACGGCGTTCCTCAGTATTCTGTTTTTTGCTTGTTCTTCTAAACCATAGATTGGTTTTAATTGCGCTATCGTTTCAGCGACTCCCCTCTTGTTATGGAGTCCCTGTCAGTCGTTTCCAACGGATGGAAACGGAAAAGTCTGGCTTGCATTGCATTTTGTAGCGATTCCCTCATTCATAAGGACCATCGAGTCTTCGTATATAGGCGGCAGGAGTTGTTACGACGGAGAATGAGATTGTGTTATTACAACCAAGGTCAATAATGTCGTCGTTGTCGTTACTGTCTGCGCTGTGTCAATGCTATTACGTCCCTTGCCATGTACCCAATAGACTGCCGTGTAGTGGTCCCAGCGTGTGTCTGGATACATGTATGCAGCTCAAATATTAAATCAGACTGAGAGGACGGTAACGTCCTTATATACATACCTGTGCCTTGTGAGCCAATCCCACCGTTAGTTGGCCCGTGGGCACTTTTCTTGCCGCCCGATTGTGAAGTCTTACGGTCTGGATTGAAGGGCTTCGACTGGCGATGCCGACAAGTCCGTGTCCCCGCCCACCGCCTTCCTCCTTTGGACAGCTTTGCCCCACGTTTGGCTAGTGGACCCCGTAACATCGTGACTTCTTACACCAACTTTCATTAGGCTTCGTTTGACGGCCTCCCGTCGATTATCGAAAAGAGCGCGGAGCAATACTCCCCGGACGAGTACGCAGTATACGGCAGATTCGACAACGCGAACCATGTCCTTCTGGAGTAGGAAGGCTACTCCCCCGCCTCCTCCGGCGCCCGTCCCGCCCGTCGCAGCTGCCACAGGCCCGCAAATTGATGCCACGACTATCATCTCGTTGCTTGGTGTTCTTGTGCTCCTGGGCGGAGCTTATGGCACGAGTGTCAAGATACTGCCCCATTCGACCACCTTGAAAACGCGTGTCCTGTTCATCTGGCACTTGTTCGATGCGCTCATACACTTCGTTTTTGAAGGCAGCTTCCTGTGGAACTGCTTCTTTGTCTCTTACGCTCTACCAACATCCTTCACTGCGCAAGCGCAGGCCAAGAAGGTCACCTTATTCACGCCGCCGGACGTGTACTGGCTGGGCCAACCGAGTCTCTTGTATGGGGCGAATTACGGAAGCACGCCCTTTAGTCGGCTGTGGCAGGAGTACGCGAAAGCCGACAGGCGGTGGGGTGGCACTGATCTGACGGTCGTCAGTTTGGAATTGCTGACAGTTTTCGTCGCGGGACCATTGGCGCTGTATGTTTGCCATCTGCTGAGCAAAGACGAGAAGAAAGGGGGCTTGAGGAAGTGGTTCTGGATGGTTGTCCTGGCCACAGGAGAGATATATGGAGGTGAGTCACTTGTCCCTGTTCCCCCTGAAAGCGACAGTGGAGCGCGTACATTATTCACAACCCACTCTGATTCGGTGAGGCGGACATGTGGGTCCGCTGATGTTGCGATGTTGTCGTCTCGCGTGCGTTGGCAATGAGAGATTGTGTGGCTGACACGTGGTTGACCAATCCGCCAGGCTGGATGACCTTTGCTCCTGAATGGCTGACAGGCAGCCCGAACCTCGACACTTCGAATTGGATGTATCTGTAAGTCGCGTCTCTCAACCCTGGTTCTCACCCAATACTTTGCTCTTATTGTGCTGCACCTCTGAATTTGCTGTTGTGAGCACCGATACCGTTGTGCCACTTGCACCTTGCCCCTTGTTCCAAAAATTATCTAGAACGAAACGATCGAAACGGTTCCTTGCATACAGTTAGGGCTGGCTTCTCCGCGAGTCCGCAGATCCAGACCCTCGATGGCGATGCTCGCTGCACCATCAGTACAAGTCACTGAACATGGTGCACATTAGTCTCAACGTCTAATCCATTGCTTGTTTGTGTTTTATCATATTAGCCCGATGCTTACACTATCAATGCAGTTACCTCTATCTCTTATTCTTCAACGGTCTCTGGGTCATATTTCCTGGCTGGATCCTGTGGGAGGCATACCGCGCTATCAGTGCTGGTATGAGCCAAGCTGAAATGGTTGATCTGGTTAACTATCTGGGCAAGAAGACCGAGTAATCGTAGCCTCGAACACCTCCGGCCAAGATGATATTTGGAATTTCAGTTCAGAGACTGTTTGTTGGGTATCTATGAGAGTGCGGCAAAATGGCGCTGCGCTTTTCACATGGACTTTCTTTCTGGTAGAACACTCTGCGAAGGCTTGAAGTTGAACATTGAAATGAAGGATACCTAATGTTGATGCACTACGTTGAGCTCACAACAACCCCTCAAAAGGAAGCATGGCATCGTCGATTTATATTCGTTCACTGGTATCAAATTTCCGCCGTTATATCTAGCTTCTGAACGTACGGCATGTCAGATACGGTTTGATCATCTAGTTTCTTATATGCAGTTCTTGCACACATCACCCTAGACATATCTGCCCTTCCACGTTCGTCACCAGAAACCTCCACTCCACGCCAAGAACCATGAACTCACACAACATAGCCCCTATTTGCCTTCCAGACGATACCCTTCCTGGAATCATCCTTCTGCTTCTTCTGGGCCGTAAACTGCTTCCTTTGCAAGATCCAGCTCGTACTGATACCGACAACCAGCGCGATTACCATCCCCCCGCCAAGCACGTACAGCATCATGTTGTCCAAGTGGCCAGCTTCCATTCGCTTCTTCAGGCCATGCTCGCTCGTTGGAGCCGATGGGCAGAAGCCGATGCCTGCTTTGGGTGTGTGGTCAGCATTCGCGCTGGTAGTCTCAGTACTTCGGTAGTTGTTGATTGACTTACCTACAGATACGATGAGGGAGGTACTTATTACGAGTACGGTGATAACTACGAGCATCATGTATGGGCTAGATGGGGCCATGTTGGATTTGATAGTGCGTAGGCACATGCAAGATCCTGAGCGAAAGAAGCGCTCGTTTTGCTCAGGTGCACCCTGGCAGACGGGTGGTGAAGCATTCTCCAATGCTTTGGGAGACATTCGAAGAGGATTGTCATCAGTGATGAAGGGAGACATGTGATTATTGGCAGATTCCGAAGCCGATGCCATGGCCTTGTTTCGATCACTAACGTGTGTTCGACGGGGTATGATCTGCGACAGGGTCGGATCTTAGTGGTGTTTGCGATACAAGGGAAAGAGAAGGGAAGTCTTTATCTAGTGCTCTCAAATACCCTTACTCAACATCCCCGGTTGAAAATCCCATCGTCGAGTCCAACTGCGGTTCTGAATCTCACCCTGAGCCATTCCAATGTTGAACCCTGGCAAATCTATGTAACATGGGACCAACGGAACCACGTTTTCAGCGACGCCTTGCACTAAAATTGCAGGTTCTGACGAGGTCCAATGAATTTAGATCTCATGAGCTCAACGGAACAATATTGGCATGCACCGTAGTCAGTCGAAAGATGGTACCATATGTCGATCGTAAAGATAGAGTGATGCGTTAGATCATAAATGGGTGTCGTGTTTGGCCGTAAATGTATTTGTATCCTACAGTTCCCACCTTTCCCTTATGCACCTCGCTGACGCGCCTGCTGAACGTGATGAAAACGAAATTGACCCGCATATACAGTAGTAGTAACGCTAAATTCCCTCATATACATGTTGCACATGCAATCTGATACAGAAGTTGGAGACTTGCGGCGAACCGCGTCCATGAGATTTGCCAGTAATAACCTGCTCAGCTCTTAGTCCTTGCGCTCCGTCTGGTGCTCGTCCCGTTTGTAGGGGGGCTGCTTTTCTTTGCTTCTCCCGCGCCATTGACTTTCGCCTTGCCCTTCAAGACGGGATTAGTTGCTTTGTCAGCCTTGACAGGGGTGGGATCCTTTACTGAGGAGGTTTTGACAGATGCGACCTTTGCTGGGGTAGCTGCCTTCGTGGAAGTGGCAGTTTTGCGCTTCTGTGCCGGTGGAGAAGACTCCGCTGCGTTCTTCGCCTTCGCTGCTCGACCTCGAGCTCCCCTTTTGGGTGGATCGGGCTCTGGGATCGCTGTGGTCTCACCGGCTTCAGGCTCTTCGTCACTTTCAGCTTTATCAGCGTCAGCCATCTCGACATCCACCTCAGGCTCAGAAGTTGATTCCCTTTCTTCTTCCTCCGTCACATCTTGTTCCTCGACCTGTTCTACCGATTCCGCACCGATATTAATATCCTCGTCGTCGCTGCTGACTTCAACGTAGCTCTTGCCAACATTACTGTGCCGGCCGCTCTTTCTCTTCGGTTCAGTCTCGGGTGCAAGCTGCCCGTCGTCGCTTTCTGCATCATCATCGCTTGCGACGTGCTTCTTTCTCGGCGTTTTTATAGGCCTCTCTTTCTTCTCCTTTCTTGGTCGATCACCCTTAGACTTCTTTTTCCTTGCGCTCTCCACACCGTCGGTAGCCTTCCTCTTCTTTGTACGAATCGCTTTGCGGACTAGCGGATCGAGGTCTTCAACAAGGTCCTCATCAATCCATGTCTTCTTCGCAATCTCCTGAGCGCGTTCATGCGATTCCAAGGCACGAAAGATGCCTGAAGGCAACCGCATCTTACCAGGCCATGATTGCATTGTCCAACTGTTCTGCTCTTCCCAAGAACGTACAAGTGCTTGCGAGAGGTCGGACAAGACGTAGAGATTCTCGTCTGCCTGCTGTGATGGAGCGATGTTATCGGCAACACCTTTGACTCGTTGGGCAACGTGAAAGATGAGGGAGAGATTATCCTCCGTGGCAACACATTTGAGGTAATAAAGGATGTACTCGGACATCAACTTGAGGGTTTCTGGTTCGGTGTCGAAGTCAGGGTGATGGGCAAGAAGACTGAGGAGACGGGAGAAGACAGTCTCAAGTACAGTCTCTTTACGAGCTGCAAAAGCAGCACGGCGAGAACGAATCCACGTAAGTGTGCTCTCTTTTACGCTTCGCTCAGGCTCGTGGGCAAAGAAGAAAAGGATGGTGTAGAACCGGGGTGGCAGACGGTTCTGCCCAAGGTACTTCATCAGCTTCTCCGCGAAAAGTCTACGGACTTGAGGGCAAGGATCGTGAGTGACAAGAGCGAGTTGGACAAAGTCAGCGGGCTTCAACAGAGCGTCCAGACGCTTGTTGGTGGACAATTTGAGGAGTGCATTCGCCGCTAGCAGTCTCTGGCGAGATTTGTGTCCTGCGGGGGTATCATTCGATTCCGATGCTTCGCCATTGTCTTTGACGAGGCGGTTGAGTAGGGCGTAGGTGCTTATTGCAGCTTCGTCAAGATCAGCGTCAGACGGAAGAGAGCGCAATCGATTGATAAGGACTTTCAACGCCCACGCCCTGCCCAAGATGTCGTCGTCAGGGACATCCATCCATTCGACGTCGGCCTCTTCCGTGGTCAAGTGAGGTTCATGGAGTACCTTCTCAATCGCGATCTCGATGATAGAGTCCATGCTATCCTCACACTCTGTCTGGGCAAGCAACACCAGTTGGCTGAGCGCAGCAAGGTTAGTCAGCCAGTGGTCGCCGTTGTACTTGAAATTCTTGATGCTCTTGTCCAGAATCTCCTTGGCGTGCAGCTCCTTTTTGTTATCGCTGTGCATGACGATAGTGATGGCGTGCTTCGCTGCCTGTGCTGGTGTACCATACTGCGAGAAGTTAAGGAAGCTTTGCACCAGCTTACGGCCATCCTTTGTGTTCATCGGAATGTCACTCGGGAACTTCTTCGCAAAGGCTGCGCATGCCTTCAAATCATCGACTGCGCCTGGGGGATTGGGGGTCTTTGCTGTAGGTGCCTCGCTCTCAAGAGTCCTGCAAAGATCCTTGACGTGTGTAGAGAATACTTTTGGGTGCCTGAGAGAGATTTCCTTCAGCAGTTCGTGTGCAACAGCGCCAAGACCCTTGTCATCTGTTCGAGTGTATCCGATGATGGCGGAAACGTGACTCTTGTTGTAGCATAAAAGAGCCATACGGTAGAGCAAAGGGTTTATCACGTCCAGTAGCGTTGCACCCGGTCCGTCTTCGATGCGCTTGCGGAGCTCTTTCTGTGCACATGTCAATACCAGGTTACACGGTTGCAGGATTAGACTTACGATGGACTTGAAGACTCTGCGGTAGTCACTTGCAGGATCCATACAGAAGCGTATCAGAGCGTACGCGCGACGGTCGTGCGCCTTGGCAAACTTCCACAACTCTTCGGTGGTTTTGGCCGGTTCAGGAAGGGTTCCGGCAAAGTAGGCGATGAGACCACTGAGCTTGCTCTTGATATCTTTGTCTTCCTTGTTGATCACACCGCCATTGTACTTCTCAAAAAGCTGCAGAGAAGCCTCCATGGTCAAGGCATTCTTGACTTGATTGCCTTGCTTTGCAAAGTAAACCTTCTTGGCTCTCTCACTGAGCCCATTGACCAACACGAGTTGACGTTCTGTACGAAGCTTGTCGAGCTCAGCTTCCGTGAAGCCTTGATCGCCGTTTGTTTGGCTATCCTTTATCACTTGTGATGCGCCATTCGTGATTGCTCGCGGTTTCATTGGCGGATAGCCAAGAGGCAGAAGAGACTCAAATAGAGCCGTGTCAATCTGAACATTGATGTCTGCATCATTGACGTAAAACGCTTCCAGAATTCTGGAGGGAATTGAGCCGAGTAAGTTGCTGACGTTCTCGTCACCCTCTGCAATCGCACCCGAAGCCACACCCCAAATACGTCCAATGAGTCTGGTTGTCTCGGAATGTATAATACTCTTCTTGTCCTTGACCCGATCTGCAAGATTTGAGAGGATCGAACCAGGCGCTGTCATGTTTCCGTTGCTGCCGAGCCTGCGAACGATGTCGTCGAAGCTGAAGAGTTCTACGGCCTTGACCGCTGCTAAGCGTACCCTCTCGTCACTATCGATCAAGCATTCGGCGAAGGACTTGAGGAGATTTTGTTCTTCTTCAGGATCGAGTCCAATGCCGCCAGCCGAAGTGGTTAGTATGCGGCCAATGGCGGTCGTCCAAGATGCTCGTATGATGGGTGATTTGTCGTTCTTACGCTGCAAGAAGGAGTGGTACGCAACGGGATGCTGTGTTGGGAAGGAGCTGATGGATGTGGGAGTGGTAAGGAAGTCAAAAGGCTGTTGTGCATCTGAACGCGAAAGACTTTGCGACGGATATGCCGAGGGGTCCATTTGTGGTGGCGGTGGAGGTCCTGCTGCGCCAATGCCAGATATCATATCGCCCAGAGTCTCGGTAGCCAGCTGGCGGAGCTGCACGTTCTCTGTGCCAAGCTCGTCGACAAGGTGTGGGACGATGTCTTGCAAAACACCCGGAGCGCACTTCCAGAGCTCGCGCAACAGTCTGTGTGCTTTGCTTGCCTCGTTGAGATCGTCGTCAGAAGGGCCTTTGGCGGCAGCGCTCTCGGCGTCTTCGCTCCCTGCGCGGGCCCGCCTGAAGGACGGGCCTGAGTTTGTGAAGTCGACAATGACGGAGCTAAAGTAGTTGCCGACCAGACGTGCCATCTTGTCCTGGTTGCTGTTGCACACACTCTTGGCCATGTTGTAGGCTGGCGGAGCGTCTTTGCGACGCAAAGTGGTCTGCCTCGCGTCGACTACTGGCGCGCTCTTCTTGGGCTTGGAGCTGCCCAGCGCAATGGGATCGGCCCATAGGAACTGCGCGACGATGATGTCGACGACGTCATGCGGCAGGGCGGCGGCCTCGTCGATGACGGTCGAGAGGACGTCGGTCATGTTGTGCTCGACGTTCTGGCTCAGCTCCTCGGGGCCGTCGTGCTTGGCGGGGCCGGCGAGGACGTCGAAGCAGGCGGTGAACAGGGCCGTGGTCAGGGCGTCGGCGCCCGGCAGGTCGTTGATGAGCAGGATACTCTTCCACTCGGCAAGCGAGCGCAGGACATACAGGTGCTGGCTGTTGTAGGGGTGCGAGGGGTCGGCGAGGAGGGGTAGCAGCTTGGTGATGATGACGGAGAAGATTTCCTTGAGCGTCTTGGCCGGGAAGGGGGCGTCGGGGGCAAATAGACGCAGCATATCGACCAGACAGCAGCAGGCCCAGGCACGCACGCCGGCGTCCTTGTGCTGCAGCAGGCCGGGGCTGACCAGCTCGGTCGCGACGGGCCGCAGCGACGCGTGATGGGCCTCGTCCTGGTCCATGGTGCGCAGCTCGTCCAGCAGCGTCTCGAGGCGCGCCAACAGCACGCCCACGCCGACCTGCTTGCCCAGCGCCTGCTTGAACACCAGCGGCCGCAGCCCGTCGCGCGTCGCTGCCGCGTCCTCGCCCGGCCCGGCGTCCTGGTCGGCGTCCTGCGCGACAGCGGGCGCGTCCTCGACCGCCTCGACCGCGGCGGCAGCGCTGCGCCGGCTGCGTGGCGCCATGTCGCGTGTGGGCGCGTCCGGGTGCGGGCGTCGATGCGGTGCTGTGCTTCTAGCCGGCGGTGTTGAGGTCCCAGCTCGACGCGTTGTTGCCGCCAAGCCGGCTATGTGTCGGGCGGTGGGCGAGCTGTCCGTCGAAGCTGTACGTTTCTTTGCCTGGGGATGCGCGCGCGGGAGAGGCTCTGAGCTCTGAGGCGCTGGGGATGCTGCGTCTGCCCGTGCCGTGGCCGCTCCGCTGTGCTGGCTGCTGGCCGAAGAGTGACGCGCTAGCGAGCTGCACAACGCGCCTGCCCGCCGCCGCGCCCGGGCCACCCGCCCGGCCCTTCACCTCGTCTGGTCTCTGATCTGGTCCTCTGGCCTGGTCCTCGCCCGCTGCTCCTCACCCGCGCCCGCTTGGCGTGTCGCCGCTGCAATGGCGAATCCGATGGAGACCTTCCAGCGAGTGAGTGTTGCCGCGTCGCCCCAGCCCGCCCGCCTGCTCACTGTCGTCTGCAGTTGAAGCAACCCTGCATCCAAGTCCTCCACGCAACATCGGCCTTGGCTCAGGCGCCGGATGCCAAGCGCCGCCTGGTCCACGCACTCGCCAGCTTGCTCCACACGCTCACTGCCGTCGCTTCGCAGCCTGGCGCACTCGACCCCAAGCTGGCCGAGTATGCTTTCGTCCCGGTGTCCCAGGTGCTCAGGCTGTCGCGACAGGTTCCCGTGCGTGCTCTTGAGCTCTGCCTGGAATGCGTCTCGGTGCTCTTGCGTTCGGGCTGGGGCGGTGGGCTTGAGCCTGCTCTCTCTGGCCAGCTTCTAATCCTGTTTACCTTCTTGGCCAAGCCTTCCTCAGCCGAGAACGGTATCGCTGCAACATCCGAGGAGCTGCAAGCACACGCCTTCACATGCATACGCGAGCTCTTCACCCAAGTGTCCCACTCAAAGTCCGCCAAAGACGCTCTTGTTGCCACCAACAACATCCCGGCCCTAGGGGAAGCTGTTCTGATCACATTAGAAAGTCTGGCTGAGAGTAAATCGAACACCATCAAGCTTGCAGCCGTCGACGTCATCAAAAGCCTGATCCCCGCAGTTGTTGATGATGATGCTCTTGCCAGCTTCTTCCCCAAGATGGTGTCTTCGCTCACTAGAATCTTGACTCCTGGCAGCTCCAACAAGGCCGGATACCGTGTCATTGAGCAGGGCCTCCAAGTCATGACTTCACTTCTCTCACGCATGCTGAACGATGATATTACCAAAGACCTTCGAGATGCAACTACCACGAGTGATTCAAATGACACCAAGCAAACGTTGCGTACCATGTCTTGGCTACAGGCCACCGCTTCTCAAATCAAGATTGCTCTGGCCAACGTTTACAAGATGCGCAGTCACGACAAGCCCGAAGTTCGTAGGGCCCTCCTTAAGCTTTGTTTGTGCGTTATACAGGACTGCCGAATATCGCTCTCGGATAGTACTAGCATGAGCATCGAAACAGTTCTTAGTCTCATCGGTCGAGATAGCGCACACGATGACATTGAGAATGAATTGAGAAACACTTTATCTGCAGACCAGAAACTCGTTGGCCTACTGCGCGAGAGCCTTCACGACTGGGTCGTCTCCTTTCCCCGTGTCATGCGCTCACCAGATGACAACAAACGCCGTCTCATCATACACCAGATGTCGGTAGCGTTGCGTTTACTAGGACAAGACCCCGCAGTCATTGACGACCGATTGGCTGACGGCTTGAGAGATGGAGTATCTGCAGTTCTGGCGGACTCGAAAGGCTTGGAAGAGGTCAGCCGTATAGCGGTAGAGGCGTCATTGGAGACAAGTCTCACGTTGGGGCCGAGCAGGCAGTCATCGTTCCAACCCTTACAGCTACAGCTCAAGGGTCAACAAGATCTCATGGCCGAATTCAGATTGCTTTTGTCACATCTTGCCAAGACAGAATCTGCACTAAACATCGCGCGAGACCTCATCCACACTGTCAGCCAGGGCACGCGAGAGATGCAGCTGGCGAGCTACTGGATTTCCGTTAGCATACTTCGGGAAACCACTGCGGCGCAGTCTTTGGATGACTTTATCGACGTTGGGTCAATAAATCCACGGGAAGAACTCCTAGACGACCTATATTCACACTCTATCGAAATTTTGACAGATCAAGACACTGATGTGGATCTTCCATGGCACTTCTATGCGCTAGCCCTGGAGACCATTGCCCTACAGGCAGGACGTTTCCAGGCCGAGTTCCGTGCCGAATTGGGCGAGGTGCTGTATCCAATCTTGCACCAACTCGGAAGCTCAAATCCCGCCCTCCGTGAACATTCCATTACCTGTCTGAATATTGTATCAGACGCATCCGGTTACTCCAGTGCCCAACGCTTAGTCATCGACAACGTTGACTACGTTGTCAATGCTGTAGGCCTGAAGCTCGCTGTTGGCGACGTCTCACCTCAGGCACCGCAGGTTTTGTTGATGATGATGCGGCTGTGTGGCCCTTCGCTTCTACCATACCTAGACGATTTGGTTGGGAGCATATTTGAGGCCCTAGAACGATATCACGGCTATCCAAGGCTTGTTGAGCTGCTATTCTCTGTGCTGAAAGGCATGACAGAAGAAGGCGTGAAAGCACCACCGCTTGCTATCGAAGCGCCGGGGCCTTTGAACACAACTACGGTAGGCTACGCAGACATTCCAATAACGGATGTCACATCCACACTCGGACACATACGATCCGACAGGACCAGGCGCGCACACGAAGCTACACAGGAGGTGCCCATCCCGTTCCCACAAACTCCTTGGACAGGAAACTCGGCCCCAGATTCGGAACATCCGGTGGACCAGCCAACACCCGAGAAGCTGGAACCACCGCCTCCCGCCCCAAGGACATACCATATTCTTTTCACCATCTCAGAACTCACACAACACTATCTCACATCACCGTCCCCCTCTCTGCGCATGTCGCTCCTCACTCTTCTACAGACTACCCTTCCTGCACTGGCCAAACACGAGAACTCGTTCCTTCCATTAATCAACACCCTCTGGCCGGTGTTGCTTCCTAGGCTGCACGACTCAGAGGCGTATATTGTGTCAAGGGCCCTTGAAGTCATCGGGGTGATCTGCAAGCACGCTGGGACGTTTATGCGGTCACGCATCGAAAGCGCGTTTGACGTGCTGAAGAAATTGCATCGCCACACTCAAGAACGCCCAAACACTGACGCTAGTAAAGGCAATCAGGGAGGAAAGCATGAAGTTTCAAACCTCGACACCATTGCTACAAGCTTCTCTTCCCTTGTCATTGCTCCTGCCGCGTCCAACCCAGCACAACTCGACCGCCCAGAACTTTACAGGAGTACACCTGCGCGCATGATCTGGGCCGCTCTAGTCAGTTGTCTGTGTGCTGTTGCATCACATGTATCGCTCCGGGACGAGCAGTTTGAAGAGGTGCTTGACATACTTGATCCGGTACTATCTCGTCCGGATGTGAAATCCGCTATAGATAAGGTCAACGCAGACTCAGTCTGGCTGAGGCTGTATAAAAAGCAAAGATCAAGCCAAGATAAAAAGGCGCAGATTGTGCCGGAAGCACAGGGAAGATGGGAATTGATTTGTATATAAGACTATGCGTGGTCGCTTACGTGCTCGACACTAGAACAGCGCAAGGTCCCAACAACGGCTTGGCTCCTTGAAATGTATATCTATTGAATGCTTCAGGTAGATGACACCTGAATGCAAAGCAACCTTTTCACCGTCCTTTGGAAAACGTTCATCTTACGGTTGCACGCAGGGCCCTTGGGAGGCCCGGCCGCTTCCACGATCACTCGGCGCTGAAGTCAGCAAAGCTGGAGTTGCTAGATAGGGTCAACATGATCAGATCAGACTCCTACTCACAGTCTCGTTAGTAAGGTGGTCGAAGGCGGTGATAATGGCGAAGAAGAGGTCGGAGACAGAAATTCGGGTGAAGAGGATATAGACGGCAGGAGACCCGAGATCAGAGGAGTATTGCTTGAAGATGGAAGCTGTGTTTCATAGAGAGTCAGGGCCAGTTCTGAAGCAGTGGCTTCTTCAAAGCGGCGAGAAGATGTTGGCTTGCTGAGAAGTGTCTTGTTACTTGAAGGTAACGCCTTCGAAAAGACGCCGGCAGAAGTGAGGCACTTGGTGCCGTTAATAGTAGCTGTCACAGTGACTAAGTTGGGTGCCGTTGTTGACGAGGGCGATGAAGTGGTCGCGTCGAAGATTGGGCTCTGCCTTGGCGATCCGATAGAGGTTTCTATCGATTCAACGACCAAAGTGAACGGCGAACCAGTAAATCTTGGCGGGACTACACAGTCAGCTATGTCAGAAGCGAACGTAGCCACTGGAACGAAGATGCCGTCTCCCATAAGATCAATCATTGCAATGCATACACTAATTTTGCTTCCGCTGTGTGTGCTGCTGACAGCTGATGACAAGCCTGAGGAGGATGACGCTCCCGGCACATACGTGATAGTCGTCGACGACAACGTGGGCTGTCTCTGCTTACCGGCTGATGTGACTGAAGTTGGTGCAACGGTGATTGTGCGTGTCTGGGTGGTATGCGTGGTGCGAATTAATCTGGTTGATATGTCAGATACGGTTACCGGGGTTGAGGTGGTAGATGCTGAGGCCGAAGCAAAATAGACTGTCGAGAGAGTGGTCGGCCGTGGCTTGCCCAAAGATGCTTGAGATTGCTCCGGCACGCCAGCGGACGCGGTGTAATTAGCCCGGCCACTGCAGCTTAGGTCCTTAATCCTTGGTTGATAAGTTTTCGTGTCCAAGAGCCCCCAGTCTGGCTGATCAGGCTGGCTGTCTTGTAATAGCTCGAACCAGAAAGTGTTGTACTTGCCAAACGCTTGACAGCCCACCTAACTCCAATATCGCTGGTAATTCTCGGCGCTGGCAACAGCCTCATTTATCTGAGCACCATCGACGGGCCAACCCATCTCTGTTATCCAGACTGGGATGTTACCTGCACGACGCTGAGTGTCTCCCAGGACGGACATGAAACTAACGTTGGCATTATCGATGGGCTTACCCTCCCAGAAGGGATACGCGTTCATACCAGCGAAGTCAGCTCCGGTCACGACAGAGTATGGCGCCGTGTCAGTGTGACCGATAGGCTTATCTTTCATGTACTTGGCGTATGGCGAAGCTGCAATCTGTTCACGCACGCTGTTCATGGTAAACACGAGGTTGTCACTGCTCAGGCCAGCTTGTCCACCGTTGAAACGGTACACGTCCTCACTGCCGACGGAGAGCCCAATCACAAGGTCGGCAAGCCTCTGTCCGTGCTGCTCGAAGCCCTTACCAAGTGCAACAAGCTCGTTCTTAACCTGGACATCGTTCGGCTGCCCAGTCGCACCAGGAGATACCCACATACCCAGCAGCAGGTTCGTGCCTGTGTCGATGGCAGCTTGGAATGCTTCTGTGGGGTCGTCCTTTGTTCCTGTAGTAATGCAAGTGTACAGACGTGCGCTGTCGAAACGCACTGGGGTATTGGTGAGGTTCTTTGCTAGCGTGAAGCCGTGGTAGAAGTCGGCGTATCGCTTGACGTTGCTCTGCTCGGTCCAGAAGGCACCGTAGTTGAAGCCGGTGTAGATCCTTGCAGCAGCCGGCGCAAGACAGGCGGCCAGCATGAGGAGGAATGTGAGCATGATGACAAGATACTGCATCGAGTGGGACTGTTGTGAGCACGCTGAAGAGCACCTTGTGGGAAGCTTATAAGCATCTGCCAGGTCACCTGGGCAAGGGTCCCCATTCACGACGCGTGAGTGTGAAGGCAGCACTGTGATGACACGGGCTGCTGCGTCGTCACGGGCTGTTCAGGTATCGCCAACCTTGCACGCGTGGACGCGACTGCATACACGTGACTGTGCTGTTGACTGTTGATCGTTGATGCATGTAGGTAGCGAAAATGGTCGCTTCAAGCCTGCAAGGGCTGATGATCGCGGCGCCCTTGATTGGCCGCCCTTGGGCGCCAGGCGGTGCGGAGCCACGCACATGTCCCCGACGGAGCGATGACCGGACGTCCCAGCGTCATGGCAGAATAAAAAGAGCCGGGCCGCGCGACGACGCATTCCGTCCGCCATCATGTCTCTCGCCCGCCTCGGAGGAGCGCTCTCGCGCGCACAATGCTCGCCCCGCCCGCAGTGGCAGGCAGCGTGGGTATGCCCGCCAATTGCTATGGATGGAAGCTGACGGTCGCAGCCGCGCCCTCTCCAGCGCCGCTGCGCGCGCCGCCAAAGCCGACTCTGAGCTCAACTCGGTGTCGCGGCACATCACGCAGCCCAAGTCACAGGGCGCGTCGCAGGCCATGCTGTACGCAACGGGCATGAGCGAGTCGGACATGGACAAGGCACAGGTCGGCATCAGCTCCGTGTGGTACTCGGGCAACCCGTGCAACATGCACTTGATGGATCTCAACCACAAGGTCAAGGAGGGTGTCGAGCGCGCCGGCCTACTGGGCATGCAGTTCAACACCATCGGCGTCAGTGATGGCATCTCCATGGGCACCAAGGGCATGCGCTACTCGCTGCAGTCGCGCGAGATCATTGCCGACTCGATTGAGACCGTCATGGGCGGCCAGTGGTACGACGCCAATATCTCCATCCCCGGCTGCGACAAGAACATGCCCGGCGTCATCATGGCCATGGGCCGCGTCAACCGGCCCTCGCTGATGGTCTACGGCGGCACCATCCAGCCCGGCTGTGCCAAGACCCTGGAGGACCAGAGCATCGACATCGTCTCCGCCTTCCAGGCCTACGGCCAGTTCATCACCGGCGAGATCACCGAGGACCAACGTTTCGACATCATCCGCCACGCCTGCAACGGCCAGGGCGCCTGCGGCGGCATGTACACGGCCAACACCATGGCCACCGCCATCGAGACCATGGGCATGTCACTGCCCGGTTCCTCCTCGAACCCAGCCAACTCCAAAGCCAAGATGCTCGAGTGTCTCGCTGCTGGAGGTGCCATCAAGAACCTGCTCAAGGAGGACATTCGCCCCTCTGACATTCTCACTCGCCAGGCCTTCGAGAATGCCATGGTCGTCATCTCCATCACCGGTGGCTCCACCAACGCTGTCCTGCACTTGATTGCCATCGCCGACAGTGTCGGCCTCAAGCTCACCATCGACGACTTCCAGAGCGTGTCTGACCGCACCCCCCTCCTTGCCGATCTCAAGCCGTCAGGCAAGTACGTCATGGCCGACGTCCACGATATCGGCGGCACGCCCTCTCTGCTCAAATTCCTCCTTAAAGAAGGCCTTCTTGATGGCTCGCAAATGACCGTCACTGGCCAGACTCTGAAGCAAAACCTTGAGAAAGTCAAAGACTTCCCCTCAGACCAAAAGATCATCCGCCCACTTTCTGAGCCCCTGAAGTCTACTGGCCATTTGCAGATCTTACGCGGTTCGCTCGCACCTGGCGGTTGCGTAGGCAAGATCACTGGAAAGGAAGGGACAGTGTTTACTGGCAAGGCGAAATGTTACGAAGCTGAGGATGACTTCGTTGCCGCACTTGAGCGAGGCGATATCAAGAAGGGTGAGAAGACTGTCGTCGTCATCAGGTACGAGGGACCTAAGGGTGGCCCCGGCATGCCTGAGATGTTGAAGCCGTCATCCGCAATCATGGGCGCAGGCCTTGGGAAGGATGTTGCCCTGATCACCGATGGACGTTTCTCTGGAGGTTCTCACGGTTTCTTGATTGGCCACATCGTGCCCGAGGCACAGGAAGGTGGACCTATAGGTCTCGTTCGCGACGGTGACGAAATCACCATCGACTCGGAAAGCAATGAGCTCAACGTCAACATCAGCGAAGCGGAATTGACAGAGAGGAGGAAGGGCTGGCAGGCGCCCCCACTCAAGTACAGCAAGGGCACGCTCTTCAAGTACGCGCGCTTCGTTAAGAATGCTTCTGAGGGTTGTGTCACCGATTCCGCGTAATCGGTCTAGCCATGACATTTGTCTTCGTATTTTGGATTGTACTCGTATACTGTCACAGTAAAAGTTAGGTTCGGAGTAAGGGTGACACTATCTGGAGGGTTTCAATGGCTCACGACCAAGACAAACGTATTATGCCGTTCCACTGTTGCGCGCTTTTCTTCTATTACGAGTGATGTACCCTGAGAGATTTGCATCACGACGACCATTCAGCTATGTGCACCTCTCTTTCTTCCGTCCCAAAGACCCTCAACCTGTTCCCAAAGCCGTGCCAGAACTGATCATCAAAATCGGGGATGGTCTCCATATCCTTCCTTGTATGCTTCTCAACAGGGACCCAGCCGGTCTCATCTTGCACATACTCCTCGTCCGCCCAAGTTCCAATTACTTCCGTTCCGTTCGCATATGACTGATCTGATGTCGAAAGGGTGTCATGATCAAGTTCTTCATTGCCATCGGATGCGTCAGACAAGCCCTCGGTTTCCTGAACACTAAGTTCACGGAGCTTCTCGAAAACGGTCTTAGTGGCGAAACGGTGGGCTGCCACACCCTCCCGTAGAGCTTCGTTGTTCTTGCGCTTAGTCTTGCGGTTCTTTCGGCCGGTAGCCACAGAATCGGGCTCGAAGAGCGGAACGGCGACGGGGCGCTGACCTTTGTCCCTCCCACAACCCTGGGCAACCGGTGGCGGGTCTGCCGTGAGCTTTATGCCGCCTTCTGAAGCTTGTCTACCCAGCGCCGGTTTCGATGTCAAGGACGCAGGACCGCCAGGCTCTGACTGTAACACACCCTGCTCCCTGCGCTCAGAACCAAGCTTGGCCGCCAGCCTTAGCATAATTGTTGCGGTGAGAAGACTATCGTATCCCGCCTCATGGAAGGCCTCAATTTCATTGTACTTGACGTGGTCTTCATGCGTTCTGATATTTGGCAGTGGTTGCTTCTGCAAGCTCTTTGCAATTTCCTCTAAACTCGGACTTGCATTCAGATCGCCTTCGGTGTGTGTTGCGAGGTATTTCGTGTCCACGATCCTCGGAAGTAGTGCATGAAGAGACTTGTTAAACTCATCCAATGTACTGGGTAAAGGTCCGACAAAGGTGCGATAGAGGTACACGATGTCAGTGAACATGTTATGACCCACCAGCGCCGGTCGCTTATTCTTCAAGCGCGCTAGAGCGCGGTCAAAGCGACTTCTCTGGTCGCGGGGACCGTGGGTTCCTAAGATGTACAGTAGGTCGGTGTTGATCTCGCCGCCTACAAGCGCCTCGAATATCCATCGAAAGCCCGTTTGCCGCGATATCTGTTCCTTTACGCGACTTTTGATGCGACTTGTGTTTTCTGCCTCCCGCGCCTGGTCAAAGGGCAAAATCCGGATGCACTCTTGGCGGCCTATCGCAACTGCATCTGGAAATTCGGCGCGGACAAGCTGGTGGACAAGTCGTTTCTCGAATCTCGAGATGGCGTATGTGGCCGACGCGTTGGACAAACCGGTAGACGAAGTGATATCAAGGGTCGTCGGCGTCGGTGTTGTCTTTTGCCACGCGGTGATGGCTTCCCGACACCGGCGCACAAAATCTAGAGAGTCTGTGTCTGTGTCTTTCAGCTGCAGATCTGCGATGGGGTTCTTTTTGTCGATGCGGTCATATGCCAGATTCTTCGCCCTTTCCGCCTCTTCCCGAGACAGGTACTGCACGCCCTTGGCAAATGGAGCGCCGAGGTCGAATCCACAGCTCAAGAGGAAGGTACATGCGCCGCTCTGAAAGCTGATCTCACGCTCAAAGTCCAAACGCTCATCGAACAGCGGGCTGAGATTGATGTTGTAGGGCCGCAGCACGTACCTGTTGGCGAGGTAGTCGAATTTGGCGCACGTCAGGCCGATTTGAAGAATCTGGTAGCGGTTGGCACCTTCCTTGGTCTCGGCATAGCGGTCCTCCAAGGTCGGGCGGCCGGCGCCACGGGGGGCTTTGTTGGGCAGTCGACTGGGGATGCCAGAGAGCTCGAGGTCAAAAGAGACAAAGTCGGCTTCGGAGATGTGGATGAGCAGATTAGGGAGTTGGTCGGGGAAGGAGGGGCCGTCGACGTCCATAGCGGCTGCGGCGGTGTGTGCTGCGGCGGAACGGTGGTAGGCGGTGGTAGACGGTGGCAGTTGGTGGCAGTTAGTGGCAGTCGGTGCTGTGCAAGTGAGCGCGCAGATGGGCAGGTCGCGTCAAACGGGCGTAGGTCGCATTCAGGGCGCGTGCAGGTGCGTGTGCAGAGTGGAGGCGTCACAGTGAGAGGCAACAGGCGTGGGCGACACGGTGAGGTCAGTGAGTAATTGATTGTTAGCTCATGATCAAGCGAGACGGTCGCCGTGCGCTGCTGCACGACCAGACGGCATCTGCGCGCTGGGTGCGGTGTGCGGCGGGCTGGTGCTGGTGCTGATGCCGGTGCTGGAGCACTTGTCCAGCGACGCCGACGTTGAACGCGACGGTGCACGTGAAAGCTGGGCTCACGTGCGGCGCAGGGCGTCTGGGGCAGCGCTACGGTGGTGGGCAAGCCGAGGTTGCGCGCTCGGATGTTGTGACGCGGAGCAGGAATGGCGGCCGACAACGTCGCGCGGCATGGGCGTGTGACCGGCTCGCCGCCCCAGCACCACCGGCACCCCAACAGCAGCAGCAGCAGCAGAGCACATGGCGGGGCTCTACGAAGACATTGGCGGGTCGCGCTACCTCAGCAGCTCCATCAGCTCGCTGTCGGCGTCGCGGCAGCAGTCGTCGCAGATTGCCAAAGCGTACCGCCAGGCCGCGCAGCTGTTCCTCACGCGCCGCCTGCCCGAGGCGCTGTCGACCATTGCGCCCATCATCGCGCCGCCGCCCACGCCCGACGACGGCCACAGCCTGCCCGCGCCCGCGCCCGTTGCCACGGCCTCGCGGGGCACGCGCATCAAAGTGTGGAGCTTCTACCTGACCTTCCTCAACAGCGTCGTCGAGCTGGGCGCCGAGGAGGGCAAGCACGCCTTTGGCAGCGCCCGCTGGAAGCAGCTGGTCTCGACCTGCCGCGACGGCAGCGTGTGGGACGACGTCGTGCGCGACGGCTACGCGGGCGTCGCCGGCCATGTCGACGCCGACGTGGTCGTGAACCTGTAAGCCCCAGACTCGCCGTGTGCTGCCCTCCTGCCACGCCCGCTGACCGCCCAGCTCCACCCTGCTGCTCACCCACTCGCCCTCGCAGCGCCTCAACCAGGCCCGCCTTGAGTCGTACCTCGCCGCCACCGCCCACCCGACCTTCGACATCGCTTCGCACCTCGCCTCGCCCTCGTACCCGCAGCGCCGCAAGTCGCACACCGGCACCGACACCCCGCGCGACCTCAACACACGCATCAAGCTGCTCGAGCTGTACACCCTGCACGTCCTGCCGCGCAACGACGAGTGGCACTATGCCCGCGAGTTCATCACCATGAGCGAGGTCCTGGACGACGAGCGCAAGGAGGCTTTTCTGCTAGCCCTGCACGGCCTACAGGAGGAGAAGGAGGACGCCGAGAGGCGTGAGGAGAAGCTGCGCCAGCAGCAGCAGGAGCAGCTCGACGAGCGCCGCCGGGAGACCGAGGCCCGCCGCCTGGACCAGGCCAAGCAGGACGACGACCGGAGGAAGCGCGACGAGGAGAACAAACGCCAGTCAAAGCCTGATGCTGAGCGAAACAAACTCGACGATCGCCCGCGCCAGCCAAAGTCCGCGTCGACCGGCAGCCAGTCGAGCGGCACCCGGAGGGCTCCAGCGAAGAAGCCCCCGATCCCGCCACCTGGCTTGTACCACCGCGTGGGCGGCTTATTTGCCACCATACAAAAGGTCGTAACCGACTCAGCACGCCAGATGACCACTAATCCGCTGGCCTTCTTACGCACTGTACTGTTCCTGATAGCCTTTGCGTTGGCCTTTGGAAGGAGGGACTTAAGAGAGCGCGTTATGCGACTGCTTCAACAAGCTATAGACAAGGTTAAAAGGACTATAGGCATGGGCGTTAAGGTATCTTATATATAACTTCTATATATTAGTATAGCAGCCTCTTTAGCTTTTCTTAAAGATTAACCTATATTCTCTAAACTTACTTTACTATTAGCTACTATAAATAGATGTATAAAACTATAAAGTAGACTTTATAAGTATAAGAAAATAATCTAATAGTAAAAGAGATAGGTAGCTAAACTAACATCTACACGATAGCCTAGGCCGAGAAAACAATACCTCCTACAGCGACCAATCTCATCAGGCTTGATGTGGCGTGGTTATCAAAGGTCGAGTTTGATAGGGCCACAGGAGTCGGCAAATTTCAAAGTCAGAAACGAGTGTCAGAAATGTAAGCCTGCACATCGATGCGTCCGCATCTGACCCTGCGTCAAGCTTGGCAACATACACTGGCAGACGTGTGTGGCTCCACGCATCAGAATTCGCAACTGTACGGGCGATAACAGCGCCATGCTTTGTAATACAGTAAGGTCTCAGAACATGGCTGAGGTCTCGTGAGACTTTGTACAAAGGTCCCTCAATGTTTGGCACAGTTTTGGCTACATCTCCTCCACACACAACGCAAAGCAACCACAATGACGCCCTCCACAATCGTACTCATCACCGGTGCGAATAGGGGCATAGGCCTCGGTCTCACCGAGAGATTCCTCGCAAAAGCTGCCCATACTGTCATCGCCGCAGTGCGTGATCCCGCGCATGTCACCGTGCAAGCACTACAAAAGCTGCCCAAACATACTGAGAGCCGGCTTGTGGTCGTGAAAATCGACGCCAGCATTGAACAAGATGCGCACGATGCGGTTGTGGAGCTCAAGCAGACGTACGGCATTGACCACCTAGACATTGTGATTGCGAATGCGGGAATTGGGTACATCTACCCTACAGTCGCGGAAGTCAGAATCACAGACATTGAGAACCACATGGAGACAAATGTGTATGGGTTGTTGGCGCTGTTTCAAGCGACACGAGCGCTGTTGAAGAAATCGGCGCGCGAGCCCATATTTCTGCCCATGGGATCGTCGGCGGGCCTGCTGGTGTAAGTCAGATTTACCGTTGCTGGCTCGATACGTCATCATGGAGTGCGCTCGGTTGACCAAACGTGTTACAGCAATCACCTCCCCATCCCCAATGCTGCGTATGCGCCTACCAAAACAGCGGTCAATTGGTACACGATCCGCATCAACGCGGAAGAAGAATGGCTCAACTGCTTTTCCATCGACCCCGGCCATGTGGCGACATCATTGGGTAATGGGGCCGCAAAGGCTGTGGGTATGGGTGACTACGCGCCGCTCTCGGTCCGGGATTCGTGTGACGGCATGATGCAGGTGTTTGCCCAGGCTTCGAAGAAGAAGTACGGCGGAAAATTGATCGTGTACACGGGTGAGCTCTCGAGCTGGTAGATCAGTTAACAATAATGAGAACGAGAATTCGTATACGAGGTCTAATACTTTTGAGTGAAAGACGAAACAACTGTGTGCCTAACCTGTCTTTGGAGAGGCTGAGGAAAACCGTTTGATAAGAAAGAAACATACACCTCGCAATCAGGCGGCGCACAGCTGACCTTATTCGTCCAGTTCACAGGCATCACTGCCAACACCGGGCTGATTCGACGAAACAAAACCCGGATCGTAGCATTACCTGATGCTCTACAGGCGTCAGTTGTTGTGGCCTTAGTAATCAATCTTTTGTCGCGCTCTCGCTGTTCATTACCACCATGGTGATGGCAAACAGCGAATTGCGCCAAGCCAGCGCAACGATATTGTCGCAGGTCTTGTTGCCAGGCGCTGTGCTCGTGATATTGTTACTCAGCTGGGCCAGCATGGATTCGCCAGTCGATTTGATGTCGGCTTCGAGCATGCTGTGAAAGGTGGCGGCCATGAGGTGTGGCAACACGTTGGTATCCTTCGCAATTGAGTCTACTTAGCACCAGGCAGTTGCCGAGATGCGCATGTCTTGGAACTGTTGGTAGCGTAGTGAGCCACGAACGCCGGCTGTTGCGCCGTCTTGTCGGTAGGGAGCGAGACGTTAAGCTGGGCGAGCGCGTGGTGGAAGGGCGCCAAGGCCGTCGTTGTATTCGCGGCTGTCGCGCCTGGTAGCGTGGCCGTATTGGGCGAAAAACCCGTGCGGGTTAGCCGCAGCATGACATCAAGCGCGTCAACTTGCTGCATCAACACCTCAACCGCCGCCCAGTACACAGCGCTTGGTAGCTATGCGCGCGCAAACGCTAGACGCGACCTCGCCACAGAAACGTCGTGATGTACCTTGACAGTGACGGACAGTACAACAGCCCAGTTGCCCGCGCCGCCGGCGGTCATGGCCCAGTACTGCAGGTAGTAATGACTTTTTTGCAGATTAAGACTTAGTTTGGTTCTTTCTTAATCTTTTCTTTGCTTCTTCGTGCACAAGATTGGACTTGTTGTAAAATTTGTGATATAGTAACATTTTCTGTTTAGTATCCGTATATCTATACACCGACATCAGCTATAACATTGGAGAGATCCCGTTCCGTAGCCTTCCCATCTTCTTTGAACCCAAGACAAATGCGACAGGGTACGTTCGTGTATTCATCAAAAACCCTAGGCACCGGATGAAACCCGACAACATGCGATGAAACGCCAGATAATGCCGAAAACCAAACGAGCATGCATATGCGCAAACAAACAGATGCTGGACGCCAACCTTGATGACAAAATGTAAATGTCCCTGGTATACCAAATGCGGAACCAGACACTGGAAAATAGAACGTCAACCCCGGCTGGATCCGCCAACCCTCGCCAGTGTTCCGGGCGTTTTAAGAAAGCCAATGTTTCATTCATTCGAAGTCGATGGGATGCAACAAAGGTCGCTCCTGGTGACCCAATCTCGATGCTGCGGGAACGTCATGGCGAGGTACAGCGTCAGAAAGATGCATCGACATAAGCCGTGCTCAAATGGTTCCATGTGTTCGGGTAGAGTGTCATTGACAATCAGACAGTGGATCGTCTATCCTCCTTTACGCTCTGAATAATTCGTAGGCAATGGTTCGCCTGTCGACTTTTGCTCTGTCGTCTTCTTCCGGTTGTTCTTCTTCCTTCGACCCTGTGGGTTCTGCCACGACCCAGAATTGCTGGTGGACGAGCTCGGCTTTTGACTTTTTTCGTTTAGTTTACTTTGGGCGTTGCGAGTATTGTCCTTGGAAGGGACTGTTTTGGAAAGTGATGCTCGACGAGGCTGTTGACTGGTCTCTTTCTGCTGGCCCTTGCCACTACTCACTGTCTTGTGTTCTGTCTGCCTATTGGCAGTCGGCGAAGGCGTGCGTTTTTCGAAAACTGGTGAGAGCAGCGGCAAGTTAGCTGTCTTGATCTCCTGGGGTAAGGCACGAGAAGCATTCGCCGTATCCAAAGAGGAAAGACCATTCGGCAAGGCTGTAGTTCGCCATGGGGGAACGTCTCGCTGGGGAGAAACGTCCTCGATGTGTGCATGCTGGATTTTATCAGCATCGGAATCTAGGGTATGTTTGGAAGCATCTGCGCAAGGCCGTTGATCTTCGCTCGCTCCAAGTATCCAATTGTTGGCGTCAGCCTGGGAGTTGCCCTTTGTCGAGCCGTTTGCGACTGGGCTGCTCGTCGAGTTTACTGTACTCTGTCTCCGCATCTCCTCGAGTACAAGTTGCTGTCGAACTTGGAGCTCCTTGATTTGCTGTTGCGTGTTCTGCTGCAAGCCTGGTTGGCCTGCATAAGCGCTGACAGGGGACGAGGCAAGGTTGTCAGTTGTAACACCGTCTGGCAGTTCATTCCTGTGTTGATCACGAGGCGGCGTTGGAAACGAGCCGTTCACGATGACAGGCCCAAGATCAAGAGGTGGGCGAACGTAATCTACGCGGACTCTGCGTTCCTCGTCGGTTGGCAAGGTCGGGACCGGTCCTTTCGAGTCGTTGTGAACATGTCCTCGAAGTGGTGAGGGCGAACGAGAGACCCGCCGCAGTGCAGTGTTGAGAAGGGGCTGGGTGATCTCTTGGGATACTCGCTTCTTTCTTTGCGCCAATTCGCTGAATGATGGTATGGCGCCAACGACATACTCTTGAAGCGAACGTGGAGACTGGTCGGAGACATAATAGCCTACATGTTCTTTTGGTGTGCTGGACATTGCTGAACCTGCGGGTTCAGCATTGTGAGAAGGCGGGCTTGAGTGCGAGTCGGAGGTAGAGTGCGTCTCGGACGTATTCTGAGATGATTTTGCGACAGGATATCCGCCGAATGTGGAAGGGTCATAAAATTGAGGCATTGGGGGATAGCTAGCCAATACAGGCTGTTGTGGTAGACCACGAGCAGGTTGTGACTGAGAGCGGCTAACGCTTGTGTCGCTAGCATTCGAGGCCCGGTGGACGACTCGACGTGCTCCAGGCATGCTATTGCTCAATGAGGGGGATGATGGATTTGTCCGCACTGAATCTTGAGCAGCAGTTGCGTGCTGTGTGTTGAAGAAGCCAGAATATGGGTACATGAATCCCTGAGGAAGAGCATTTGGTGGAATGTTAAGATCAGCCAATCTGGGACTTGATCTCCCGTTGACATATGGCGACTTCTGTGGAGATCCATTCGCGCTATTGGGGGCAAAGTGTTGTGCTTGTGCCTGCGCGACAGCATGTGCGTGCATCTGGGCTGCACGGTGCGCTTGTTGAGCATGCTGTTGGGCTGCTAGTTGAGCGCGCAACGAGTTCGACTGCATCTCTAGCATCTGATACTGCTGATACAGCTGATCATGCAACTGATCATGAATCCCTCGAACGGTAAAGTATTCCTGGCCAGACCCATGCTGGATCGGTGGACTATGCAAGAAACCCGGCCGTCCTTGGGCAAAAGGTTGGCTACCAGATGACCTGCGGCTGCCATTATTGTGCTGTCCCTTGATGCTGAATCCGCCTCTTCCACCACGATGGCCCGAACCTCCTCGGCTACTCCTAATTGGAACACTGGAAGTAAGTGTAGCCTTCTTTGAAGTCGGTTTCTGGAAAAGCAGAGGGTTGGGCTTTCCCTCAACCGGGAACTGATACTGCTCGCAAGCTTTGTCAAGCTGCTGTCCATCAGCGAGCAAAGCGAACGCTCGCCGAATTTCTAGGTGCAGTCCGTGCCAAGCATAGTCGTCCGCAGAATTTCCCAGGTTGCGCTCGACGTTGAACGGCTCTTCTACGCAAAGTCGATTTGTGCCTTCTTTTTGCCCACCTCCTGGATGCCAGCCCTTTTCTTCTCGTGCGATGCGTTTTCCTTGCCGAACCGAGATGGCCTCTTTCTCGTAGTCTATCTCATGTCCGTATAACCGGAAGAAGTGGAACAGCAACTGTCCGACTGTTTCCTTGTTTGCATCTCCAAAACCGCGGAGCTTCTTGACATCATCAGCAAAGCCAGAGTGTGACGGCAGGCCTGTGAGACTGTCAATCTCTCGGAAAGGAAGGTTGTGCAAGGCCGGCAGGATTGGCGGGTCTCGAGTTTGGAGGAAGTTGATAATCAAACAGATCCAGGTGTACGAGCTGATTGTTCCGCCGATGCCAGCATCGTTGAGAAGACGCTGCTTTGTCCAATGTTTGATGATCATAGCCAATGGTCGCACGCGCTCGTCGATCTGGATGTAGGTCCTTATCATGCGCGTGTTCTCGAGCGCTGCTACATTGTTCACGTTCATGTCGCAGGCAAGCTCCAGTACGGGATCCCAGACCTTTACTATGCGGACCTTGGCCTGTGGTATACAGACTACACGTTCCATCCCGTCTGAGGAGTACGTTAGCATACCGCATGTGCGGGGTCGTAGGGAAACATACGCTTGTCTAGGGCCTCGGCGAGCGGATGCACCTCTTCCAGAGAGACCATGGGGGTTTGGATACAAATGTCGACTGTCAATGTGTCAGCACAAGTATGCAAGAACGAGGCTCGCGTGCAATCTGACCATCACTGTCCGTAGTGTAGAGCATGTTGCCCGAGGAGCCGAAAACGTGCACCTTGGACAAATGTCCAGGGAATTCAGCCTCGAGTATGTGTTCCACCTTCTGGACGAAAAGATCGCGTTTGCGAGTATTGTCTAGGCTGGGCTGTAACCGGTCGTACAGTTCACGCATGTCACCACTAAGCTTGTCGTCTTCGTGGGGGTCCAATGCCTTTTTAGGGGCCTCTTTCGCCAACTCGAGGATTTCCGACGATTCGTACGGCATCCGTCTGCGCCCTAAGGAGCCCGCGTTCGTCTCGTACTTGCACTTGAAAGGCCGCCCCAGACGCAGGGTTGGCATGGTGCTGTTGGCCTCGGACGACACGGAGCGCGGCGAGTGGCTTCCCAAGCCACTGTTGGGGGACGGGGAGCGCGAGCGCGACTCGTACTTGCGGGCGAGCTGCAAGGGCGTCGACGGCACCGAATTGGAGTGCTGGGACACTATCGAGGGGCGCTGGAGGCGCTGGGGCGTGCTGCTGGCATCATCGCGCTTGCCTGCGGCGGAGTTGCCGTTCCGCACGTGGCTTGATGTCATCTTGGGCGCGCTGGTGTGCACGCTGGACGCTGGCTCGCTCTGCCCATCGAGCTGCTGACGCGTGAGCGCCGTTTTGACAAAGAGCTTCTGGGGCACAGAACGGGGCTCTTCCCGCTGCGGTGGCGGGCTGTAGTGCGGAGACACGACGGCGGTGGCGGGCGCAGGCGGGGCGGCGGCGAGGGGGTGCGTTGGGTCGCTGCGCGCGAGATGCAGGCGGGTCGACGGCGTCGGCGGCGAGGGCAGGGCCGACGGGGGGTGGCGGCAGTGCTTGAGCGAGCGCAGCGGGTTCAATGGCGAGCACGAGCCCGGCAGCGGAGACCAGCCGTGGACGGCGAGGGCGGCGGGCGAGTGCACGGCGCGTCGCGGAGAGCGCCCTTGGACGAGCCCGTGGTCTGGATAGGCGGCAGCGGTTAGCGGATGCGGGGCGTAGAAATAGACAGCGCTGGCGTGGTGGCGGTCGCCCATAGAACCCGGCGAGCGTTCCCAGGGCGGCGTGGCGGTGCGGGCGTGGGCGTGGGCGTGGGTGTGGGCGCGGTGCAGGTGAGATGGCCAGGCGGCGAGGCGAGGCGGGCGCTGTTCGAGCGGGCTGGACGCAGTGCTCCGGGGCAGTCGCCAGGGCAGGGCAGTGCGGGCTCAGCAGCGCGGGCACGGTGCGGGCGTCGTCGAGCGGAAGTGACTTGCAGCGAGCCCCTGCGGCGAGGCGAGCGGTGCGGCGCTGGTGCGGCGCGGCGGGCAGAGGCAGTGGCTGCACGGCACGGCGGCGAGGAGGGCAGGGCACGGCGAGACAGAGGGTGTGGACGAGGGCAGCGGGCACAGAGGGTGCGCAGTGAGGAAAGGCAGGTCAGGTCGTGCACTCTGGAATTGGCCCACAGCGCGGCCACAGACAGATGAACGCCAGGGCCCGCCCTCGCCTGCCAGCTAGCACGGTATAGGACGGCCGTGGCCGTGGCCTGCTCCCCAAGAGACGTGCAGACGAGCCAGGGGCGCCTTTCGAGCCGGAGCAATCTACCCAGGCACAGTCGCCGTCGCCGTCGCCGTCATTGCCGCCGGCCTCTGAGCACGGCTGCGTGCAGCACAATACAGACGCGGCTTGGCCGTGGCCTCGAGCATTTCCCCGCGTCGTCCGCCCAAAGACGTCCAAGCACAAAGCACCTCGCAGCAAACAACGAACGCGCAGCGCCACGCCGCGCCGCGCTGGGTGCTCTGCCGTGCCCATTGGGTGCTCTTCACGACACATGCGGGCTGCCTCCACCCAGGGGCTGCTTCACTTTGTTCGTTGCTCACATGACCTGCCGTGCAGAATACCCGTGAACCCCTTGACTGCGACATCAGTCAGTTGCGGGCAGCCAGGGCCTCCACCGCCTGACAGCCAAATGCCCTGAATGCCCTGAAGGCCCTGATTGCCCTGAATGCCCTGAGTGCCATGGCTGCCAGCCACTGCTGCACCGCACAATGCGCGCAAATAGAACGGCTGACCGAACACGATGATAGCTGATGGTGCCCGTGTGCCGTTCCAAATGATGAGCCCGTGCGTCCGTTGCCGTTTCGGAGTAAATTGACAGCCTCCACCGTGCTCAGCGCAGTGACTGCGGAGCACGCTGACCGGCGGCTCGCACATGCGCGAGCTGCTGCAGGGACAATCTGGTGCTGAAGCCGCCACCGTTGCTTCCGCTACGCCGTTGGCCGTCGCTCAGGGGGAGCGTGCCTGCAGCAGCAGTCGAGTGTCTCAGTCGCTACAGTCAGCATGACGTCGCTCGCTCGAAACACGAATAAATTGGGCCAATATGGGCGCAATCGCTCGCAGCGGGTCTGTTTCCAACCAGCCGCCGTGGCTTGTCTCCACATGGGCCAACACCGTGGTAGAGTGCGCTTGCGCTTGCCGAGGCTACTCACTACTCCGGATACAGCAGGAAAGCCAAGAGCAGTATCATGTTGCGCCCTTTGCAGCCACGCGCTCTGCAGTCGTTCAAACTCCTCAGCTATACCACCCGGCAATCGATATCCTCCACCATGGTACAGCAACGCATTGGTAAGCTCCAAGCCCCCATCCCATCCCCACCGCTGACGAGCACGCAGCAAACCCCGCTCTCTTGTATGTGTCCCACCTTCCTGATCTCGTAGCTTGCTGATGCCCTGTCAGTGTCTGTGACCTGCAGGAAAAGTTCCGGCCCGCAATACACGAATTTCCCAAAGTCGTAGCGACCACACAGAAGCTTCTAAAAGCCAGTACGCCACTCTGCTCCCATGCTCCCTCACTGACCAGACTCGTCTGTCTTGGCACGTGCATGCTGTGAGCCAACATTCACATTGATATGCAGGCCAAGTCTTGAACATTCCAGTCTTTGCAACGACACAGAACAAAGGTCGACTTGGAGAAACATGCCCTGAGCTCCAGCTCGATGCGCCAGAAGGCGTGCAGACTCGCGTCCACGCGGACAAGACGCTCTTCTCAATGATGCATGTCCCCACTGCCCGTTATTATACCACCCTACCTATTACTAACCTTTCACAGTACTCCAGAGGTCCAGAAAGCCCTCGACCCTCTTCGTGCGAACGGACCCATCTCCGCCATCATTGTTGGCATCGAGAGTCACATATGCGTGACACAGACGACCATCGATCTTCTACGCGCTGGCCACAAAGTCTACGTCATTGCCGATGGCGTAAGTAGCTGCAATAAGGAGGAGGTTCCTGTTGCGCTCGCGAGGCTCAGGCATGAGGGTGCAATCGTAACGACAAGCGAGAGCTTTATATACGAGGCCGTTGGGGATGCGGGAACTCCAGAGTGAGTCAAGGCCTTACACCTCATCCTGTACTTCAAACTGTATAAGCTAACGCAGCTCAGGTTCAAACAGATCATCAAAATTGTCAAAGATACATCGGCAAGCACTAGAGAGACATTGCAAACGTTGTGCAAAATCTAAGAACCTTGTTGCTCCGAGAATGAAGTACCATCTTCCACCTCGCGACTCGTCAGCATGTTGAGTCGTGCTTTTGAGTTTGTACTCTAACATCTACTTCTTTCCTACAAATCGATTCTTGTCGGCCAACACTCCTTTCGCCATCTCCAGTTGTTCGTCCGTCTGAACTACCAGCGTTTTATATCGCGAGCCCATACCGCTAATATCCGTCACTACATCCACCACTGATTGTTCGTTTTTGGCTTCATCAATCTCAAAACCCAGACACTTTACGCCTCGCACAACCTCTTTCCTCAACCTGGACCCCTTTTCGCCAATGCCTCCAGCGAACACCAATGCATCCACCTTTCCATCCAGTTTGGTGAAGTACGGAGCAACATAGTTCCCAATGCGGTCTACGAAGATATCAAAGGCCAACTTGTCCTCGGGACGGTCACTCGCGCTGATCTTCCCAAAGTCCGTGGTTCCAGTCAGACTCTGCCACCCGCTCTTCTTGTTCAGGATTTCCTCGGCCTGGGTGATTTGTAGCTGCGTGCCTGAACTATGACTTGGTTTTCCGGCGCTGTGGGTAAAGTGGAACATTAAACTCGGATCGATGCTGCCGGATCTTGTTGCGCCGGGCAAGCCGGCGAGAGGTGTTAGTCCCATTGATGTGTCGATACTCTTGCCGCTATGGATGCAACATGCACTTGCGCCGGAGCCAAGGTGTAGAGCTATGATGTTGAGCTTGTCCACGGGCTTCTTCAAGTGAGCTGACACAGCGTGCACGATGAACGAGTACGATATGCCATGGAATCCATATTTGCGGAGCTTGTTTCGCTTTGCGACAGACTGGTCGATTGGATAGGTGCAAACGTGTACTGGTAGCGTATTGTGAAACGAGGAGTCGAAGTACGCAATGTTCTTTGCATGAGGCAGAGTGTCGGCGACTGCGCGGACGATGCTGAGAGCAGGTCCGTTGTGCAATGGCGCCAGGTCACTCAATTCTTCGATGTGGTGATAGGTTTCTTCGTCAATGACTTGGGATCGTGGATAGTCGCCACCATGCACAACGCGATGGCAGATGAAATGGATATCATCCTTGTGGTTTAGTTCGCGAAGGCCATTGTCCTGGGTCAAGTGATCCAAGATGTATGTAAATGCATCCTTTTGTGTTGAGATATCTTCTAGCTCTTTACCCTTGATGACTTCATCGCCGCGCGAGTATCTGAGCTTGGCAGGAGGGGAGGTGAGTCCATCCACGGATGCTTCTGCAAGCTGTACCGGTACATCCGAGCTACCTTCTGGGGTCTTGTAAACGGAAATCTTGACACTGGATGAGCCAGCGTTGATTGCCAGTATTATTTCAGGCATTGTGTATGGACTCTGCTAATGACGTTAAGCTGGTTTGTGTGAGAGCGATTGACTCAAGCCGGTGTCTCGAAATCGAGTTGAAGGGAATTTGTGAGGTTTTTCGCCTTTAAGTAGCAGTCCAATAAGAGTTGCGTCGTGCTCAGCCCACCTTAAAGGGTGTGGATGGTCGAATGATCGGATGGCGGGACCCGCGCTCGACGTGTTGGCGAACGGACTGTGTACGTAGTACGTACCGTACCCAACAAAATATAATTTCGTCATCCCCAATACCTCAACCTTCTGCATTGGACCCTTTAAAAGCCTTTGTCACCATGACGAACTAAAACGCTGCTTACCTTTACTTTGCAAGTTTGCAACACCGTTCGCCGTCAAGACAATGACGTCACCCCGCTTTCGCATTCTAGGCATAGGTGTCTCGATACGGTCAGCTTTTACTGATACACACATTTGCTCGAACCTGAGAGGACCAAACCTCTGCAGATGTTCAGACTACTGAGCCTTACGTTGTACCCCGCAGTATTGCTTTGCATCGCTCGGCTGCGGGGAGAGTCAAGCTAAGCTTAGTATAAAAGAAGCCACTCCTCGCGACGTTGTGAAGGGGTTGCATTTCCAAGGGTCATTTCAAAACCTCGGGTTCCTGACGCTATGAGTAGAATACTGCAAACTATATCCAAGACTGCATTTATCACAGGTGGGTGGCCTGAAGTCCTGGCATCTAGCATCTACTCACCAGAATGAAAAGGTGGTGCAAGTGGAATTGGGCTTGCACTCACTACACGTCTGCTCGACGATGGGTGGTACGTCTTTGTGGCGGACAAGAATGTCGCAGACATGCAGGATACCGAAATGCTCCGCACTATAGAATGCGATACTTCGTCCTGGGACTCGCAAGTGGCAGCCTTCCAAAAGGCGATCCTCTGGCGAGCATCTGACGGAGGCCGCATCAACTTTGTAGCACCCATCGCCGGAGTCGGCGAGCGGCAGTGGCTCCCGTTTCCGGACTTGAGCTCAGCGGAACAGCGGCAAGATTTCTCCAAGCCAGACTTGACAACTCTCGAAGTGGACCTCACTGGAGTATTGTACACGGTCGCGCTAGCAGTGCAGTACTTCCGCCGCCAGACACGTGCCGATGATGGTCTCCTGGGACGGATTGGACTTGTTGCAAGCGTGTGCGGTCTGTACTGTGTTCCAAGTCTTCCAATCTACACAGCTGTAAAGCATGCACTAGTTGGACTGACGCGTAGCTATGGGAAGCTGTTGGTGGATGAAGGAATAACCGTCAATGCTCTGGCGCCGAACGTGGTTCAGACGAGCATCAGCTCACCGCTATTCTACGAAAAGCTGGCCAAAAAGGATTTGCTGACACCAATGGAGGGGTTGATAGATGCGTTCAAGACGATCCTCGATAGCGGGTGTACCGGCGAGGTTTTCGAGTGTGGACCGGCTGGTGGGTGGACAAAGAGGGAAGGCCCAGCATATCTGGACGAGAAGAGCGGGGAAGTATGCAAGCTTCTGCATGAGAGAGCAATGTCCCTACACTACTCTTCGTAGCCAATGCAAGAATCATCGCATAGAAAAGTCCAGCTTGCTTCGCAGGTGTCGTGGTGACCGGGCGGTTTCGGTTGCAACTGCCCCGACGCGACGCGCATCCCAACCTCAAAATGTGGAGAGCCATCCGTCAAGGATGCGCAATCGCCATGTGGCTCCACGGACACACTTCCAATATCTTACGGTCGTAATTTCACGCACTGACAACTCTCTTACTGATCTGAACACGCAGTCACCGCCGCTCTCGCTCTGAGCCTACCACCGTCGCCTGCTGATCCTTGTCGCCCGCCCGTCGCCGCCTGCGCATCTACATTGCGACTGCTCTTTCTCGCAACTGCGACGGTCATCCACCGTACCGTACGATGACGCGCCTCCATCCCATGCTTGTCGCCTGTGGGTCGGCGCTCATAATCGATTGCTGCTCCAACGTTATCGCGCAACGACTAAGGGCGTGGCACGATGGGAAGCCCTTTGTCTTCGATCGCGTTCTCTTCTTTCAATTTGCCTTCATGGTCGTGCTTACTGCGCCTGTCAATTACCATTGGCAACATTGGCTCGAACGCACCTTCCCAGGCTGGAAAGCTGTCAAGCGGGCAAGGCACGCCACCAGCGAAGACGGCGATGCCGCAGAAAAGGCCGTCTTTCTCAACGACGACGGAGAGGACAAGCGCATGGTAGAGGAAGAAGTCCTGGAACGCAATTGGCTCAATATCTTTAAGAAATGGTTCACGGATGTATGCGGATCAGCTTCCATGCAGCAAAGGATGTACTGACAAGCCACAGTGCATCACCATGGGGGCGCTCTTAAACCAAACCATGTTCTTGATCCTGATAGGCCTTCTGAAAGGCAGGACCGGCGCTCAGATCATGCAGAGCTTTCAGAACGTACGTCTCGTGGCTACTTCGCACGCTTCAAGCTCACTGACACTCGACTAGGAGCTCCTCAAGCTCATCTGGGACTCGTACAAGGTTTGGCCCATTGCCAACTTCTTCAGTACCACCTACTGCGCAGTCGAGCGACGTATGATCTTTCTTAGCTTCTGTGGTCTATTGTGGAATATATACTTGTCAATGGTGGCAATTCGTCTCTAGTTGCACAACGATTGTATATCGGAAATGTATAAGGAACATCACCTGCACTTGCCGTTCCTCCACGCTTCCAATATTGCGGCCCAGTATTTGCCCTCATCTTCCCTGATATGCCCGCAATGCGCGCTCTTTTCAAATCTCACCATCGTGACGTCCCAGCCTTTGCTTCGCGCAATAGCAGCATGCTCCTCAACCTCTTCGCACCCTACCATCTCATCCACCCGACTGTACAAATAAACCCTAGGTATCAAGTTATCAAATGTTCTTTCATCATTCAATTCCCGACACAGAACCACCATCTTATTCTCCTTCCTCCTTGCCACGTTGACCACGAACGAGCAAAACAAGAGCAAATGCACCAATACTCCCCCAAACCACTTCCAAAACCACGATTTTGGCAGCCCAGCAGAGATAGCAGCGTAACTTTTCATCCACGGTCCTTTTGTTGGACTTGAGTCCATAATTTGCACTCTCATAGGCAATTTGCCGTCATACCTGGCTCTCCAAGCCTTGACAAATTCATTGATTTGGTTGCCTCCGCCATTGGAGAAGCTGTGCACCAGCAACTCGCCGCCTGCGTCTGTGTGCTGATGAGCGTAATCGAGAGCCGGAGCCAGGAGAGTCGGATAGCGCGCGCTGCGTGTGAACATGTCGGACGTATAGCACCGTACAAGAACGATCCCGGAGCCGGGAAAGAGACGTTGGTAGGAGGCTGTATACTTCGCAATATGCTTGGCGGCTGCAGCATTCCAAGCAAATAACAAGATCAGAGGCAACTTGGGATTGCGGGACGATGGGGCCCAGAGGTAGGTGTTGTGGCCGATAGTGGTGAATTCGGAAAGGGGTTGAGCGACCTTTGGGGGCGTTGTTGAGGCTTCCATGACAGCCAGCGTCTTGCAGTGATGGCGCAGCGGTCTTCAATGTAAGTTGTCAGATGATACATACATGCGCTCCCACGCGGCCTACAGCTAGTCTAAGTGTCGTTGTCCACATCAGGTTCCCACGCAACGTGCCTAAGTGCAAAAGCCGAGGTATCGATCTCATTGGCCATCATTGCCATTGTATCCGCTGAACCTTCCACAACACGAATGTATGTACTACACTACGGCCGTAGGAGTCGATGGCGACTCATCCGGCTGTAGCGTTTCTTCCCAGCAACCACGCCGTGGCAGAAGTGAGCGCTGCTCCCACCTGCGCTGCGCCCGCAGCAAGGCCCGCCCCGTAGCCGCCCATTGCCGCACTCTGAGCTGTGGCGAAGACACCTCCAGCAGGCACAATGGAGAAGTATGACATGACAGAGGCCGCAGCCGAGCCTATTAGCTGCATAAGCACCTGGACTGGAAACAACATGATAATGTGTCAAAGCGAGTGAGGCATACCTGATATTGGACCTGTAGCTCCGAAGCCAAGTGCACTCAGGAATGGAACGGTCGCTGCTGCAGGCGTACAGATGATGACGCCGTTCACCACATGAAAGGCTGTTTGATACGGATGTGCGCTTATCCAATCGATGACGGCTTGAGTGGCGTTCATTGTCTTGGATGTAGCAGATAGTGAGGTTCTTTGGCAGTCGGGTCGATGATGGGGACAGCAGTACGCATGCAGGTGACTGTATGACTATGAGCGTGACAAGGCTGAGAGTGGGGTGCATGAGTGAATGTTGCACCAACAGCCTGCGAGCGTTGCAATTGGGCGATTTTCCATGCGGACAGATGGAAATACCAACACCGTAGTCAAGTCTTCTTTCTACATCTTCTATCACAACGAAGAGGAAGTCTGTAACTTCCACATCTCACGCCTTAGCGATGTGCCGGTCCAGCAAAGTCTGGTACTTCAGCAGACTGCACTACAACATCTACGTCTTTGGTGGACCTGCCCTGACTGCACTGCTGCGGTTCGCCCTCGATGGGAACGATATCATCAGGAGCTTGCGAAAGCGGCTCAAAGTGCGCATTGCCGAGTCTCTTCTTGTCAACGCGGCGCCTCCACGGCTTGTACAGCAAGACACTGAGACCCCCGAAGACGACGAACGCGCCGCAAATGGCCCCGCCTGCAAACACGTTAGCATTTGATCACCACTAACAATGGTTCCTTCTTACCGACTATATCCCAGCTGTCACCCAGCCTCTCAACTCCGTCCCAGAACCGTCCGTCCGGCTCCGCGACGTTCAAGATCAAGTTGAGGAATTGAACAGTGCCTATGATGATCGCTACAATCACTGTGATGACCGTGAGTACGATGCTGTAGTAGCATATCGCAATCGGATCTCTTGCTAGCTGGGTACTGGTGTACAAACTCATCATCAGCGCACCGTCGGTTGTGTCCAGAAGGCACATTCCAGCCGTGAAGAGAAGCGGAAATATGAGGATCAGCCAAATCGATGTGCCTTTCGTTGCCTGAATAGATGATATACCAAGAATAGCTATTTCGGAGGACGTGTCGAAACCCAGCCCGAAAAGAACGCCTAGTGGGTACATCTTCCAGGGTCGGTCGACGAGTTTGAAGAGCTTCTGTAAGATTGGGAAAAGGCAACCGCCGCCCTGAATCTTGAACTCCGCATGCTCCTGACCTGGTTCTGATTCGAGTATCTTACGCATCTGGACGATTAGCTTGTACAATATATAGATGTTCATGAGGCCCAAGAGCAGGAGGAAGACCGCGGATACGGAAGTGCCAATGATGCCGCCAATGCGCTCGAAGCTATCGAACTTTGATGAGACAGCGGCCGCAGTACCAGCGACGATGAGCGAAGTAATGATCACTATTGTGCTGTGTCCGAGCGAGAAGAACATGCCTACAGTCACCGGTCGCTGGCCTGCGGCGATGAGACGCCGGGTCATGAGATCGATGGCGGAGATGTGATCTGCATCCAATGCATGACGAAGTCCAAGGGTATAGGATAGAATAGCTGTTGATACTAGTGGCGTATTAAAGTGCTATAGCTACTTTAGCACCTTGCTTAAAAACCCCGGAAAAATGGCATCAACTCACGAGAACGACCCCAACGGCAGCCCAAACAATCAAATTGACGACAATGAGCGTTACAATAATTGCGATTGCAGGAAACGGGAGCTTGCTGATATACGGCACACGCGAATGATATTCCGAGGCTTTCTTCGAGACATTGCTGAAAAGCGTCGGTTTGTTGGTTTCAGCGTTGAGAACGTGGGATGGAGTCGGAGAATTGGCCATTTTTGTTACGCGGACTACAAGAAGGAGGAGCAGGCATTGAGAGGGAGGAGGAAAGAATGGACGTGGAGGTTCAGCTGGTCTGCGGGCGGTACCGAGGAGCATGGTGGGGCTGGGCAGTTGCCATATCGCAGCGCGGGGCAGCTAACAGATGTGATGCCGAAATCTTATCGAGTAATTCGATGATCATTATTTCCAGAGTGGTCATTTGAGCTACTGTCCATTAGACCATCATTCTTGTACACGTTGGTCTTACTTCGACTCTATTGAAGTTTGCGAAAGCACAACGACGCATTGGTCCCCCCAAACCCAAAGCTATTCGACATTGCAACATCAACGTGTTTTTGCTGCGCTTCGTTCGCAACGTAGTTGCAGTTGAACTCTTCTGCTGCGTTGCGCAAGTTCAAGGTCGGTGGCAGAACATTCTGGATCGTCAGCATGGCTCACGCTCTAAACCAATCAACTTACATTGTGCAAGCTAAGAATTGTAAAGATCGCTTCAACGCTGCCAGCGGCTCCAAGCAAATGCCCGATAGCACCCTTTGTACTACTGACATTGATATCACTAGCATTTGTTATGCCATCTTCACCAAGTAGCAGGTCTTTAATGGCTCTGTTCTCCGCTGCATCACCAAGAGGCGTGCTTGTGGCGTGTGCGTTGACGTAGTCAACAGCAGCTGGCTTGATGCCAGCATGCTTCAGTGCTTTCTTCATTGCAAGTCGGGGGCCTTGCCCATCTTCGCGAGGTGCAGTCATGTGATATGCGTCGCTTGACAAGCCATACCCAGCAACCTCTGCATAGATACGAGCTCCTCGGGCTTTAGCATGCTCGAAGTCCTGCTGTTGTCAGTGAGACTCGTCTAGCTGAGGTCTACTTCTTACCTCGAGAACGACAACTCCAGCGCCCTCGCCGATGACGAATCCGTCTCGATCTCTATCAAAAGGTCGACTAGCTTCAGTAGGGCGATCATTGAACTCAGTAGCCAAACTCCTAGCTCTTGAGAAACCCGAGATAGCGAGAGGGTGTATGCATGATTCTGCACCACCAGCGATCATTACGTCAGCGTCGCCCATTTGGATCATACGCGATGCGTCGCCAATACTGTGGGCTCCTGTTGTACAAGCTGTTGTGGCCGCGTGGTTCGGCCCCTACAGAACATTAGCATCAGAAACACAACCACCAACGAACGACCCACTTTAAAGCCGTATCGCATTGAAATGTGACCCGCTGCAAGGTTGATGAGGAGCCGCGGGACGAAGAGAGGAGACACCTTCCGGTGGCCCTTGGAATGATAAGCAATCAGGATCTCCCTACATCTGGATCGTACGTACGCCTTTCTCGAAAGCTATGGCTGTGTTATACGCATCGTCTAAGCTTCCAATGCCTGAGCCGATGTAGACACCCTGGTTGAATCAATAAATAAGCCGCAGGATCTTTGAAAGCGACCCACAGTAGCTTCGAGTTCATCCTCTGTAGTGGGTGTCCAGCCGGCATCGTTCAGAGCTTCCTCTGACGCCACCATAGCATACTGTGCAAATTTCGCCATGCGGCGTTCATCCTGAGGACTTAAGCGTGATTGTACTGGCAATGCTGCGAGGAACGTACCCCAGCTTTCATAAACTCTTTGGAGTTCCAATTCCCATGCTCTCTCAACCCTTCAGGTACAACAGCAGCGACTTGACTTGGTAGTACTGAAAATTGAGGACCTCTGTCTTTGGTGGATGTGATGCCGCATTGCCCGTTTAGCAAGCGCTGCCATGTTCGACGGACACCTTCATCTCGCACGTCAATCGAGCTCGAATAGAAAGGTGGACAGCATTTACCTATTCCAAGGGGCGTGACGAGCCCTATTCCTGTGACTACTACTCGTCGCATTGCATCTCCTGATGGGGTTGGGTGAGACTGAGTCTCAAGGGTTGGAGGAAATGAAGCTCGTGCCACAATTCAGCCACTGTGGCGCTATCCTTGACTACGGACGTCCCCATCCGCCAACACCGGAGTAAAGGTTGTTTGATAGAACGCTCTGAACTAAATCTTTATGGCACACATGATAGCTGATCGATACACCATACAGTATACCTATGGAGCAATTTTAATGACCGCACGTCCCACGAGCTTGCCGGCCTTCATCTCATCACAAAACCGGTTGATATCTCCTAGCCCACCGTGCGTCAGGATTGGACGCACAAGGCCCCTTGCAGTAAAGTCCAAAGCTTCATCACATTCCTTCAGTGTTCCTACGACACTCCCTACCACGTTCAGTTTCTTCATGCACATTGTGATGGGATGCGCGCCAGCAATGACTGTCGAATCTGAAGGTAGTCCTACGCATACCATCGTGCCTCCAGGACGTAAAAGAAGAGGGGCTTGTTCATAGCCAGCCTTAGTTGCAGAGAAGACGATCACGCCGTGAGCACCGTATGATGTGATCTTCGTGACCTCAGCCGGGACATCAGCCGCAGTCGTGAAGTCGATGAAGACTTCGGCACCAAGTTTCAGACAAAGCTGGCGCTTGGACTCACCGCCGTCAATGGCAATAACACGCATACCCATTGCTCTTGCGTACTGAACACCGAAATGACCGAGACTACCACACGTCAGAACCAAGACCATTTCATAGCAAAACAACTTACCCTCCACCAGCCCCAGGAATAACGATCCACCCGCCAGGCCTGACCCCACTCCTCTTACAGGCCACATATGCGGTTAGTCCGCCACACATGATTGGCCCTGCCTCCTCATCCTTGACTCCATCCGGGATTCTGGTCGCATATCTTCCATCCGTGAGTGCATACTCCTGGAAGGTTCCTGCGACGGTGAAGCCGGAGTTCAATTGCTTTGGACAATGACATTCGTCGACGCCATTGGTGCAGAACTCGCAACGTCCGCATACACTTGCAATCCACTTGATGCCGGCACGGTTGCCTACCTGCCAGCGGTCCTGCATATTAGTCCCGACAGCGACGACTACGCCGGCACCTTCGTGACCAGCGATACCATGTGTAGCAGCTTGCATGCCAAACGACCATTCGTCACGGAGGAGGGACTTGTCCGAGGCGCACAGGCCAGAGTAGTGGATCTTTACCAAGATCTGGTCAGGTTCGGGATGCTGCAGCGGAACCTCTTGGACGACGACGGTGGCGGTGTCGCCTGAGCCTTGTTTGACGGCGGCCTTCTGAACCTTTGGAATATCCATAGTTGCTTATTTATCGACTAGGAGTGAAATAAGAACTTCGGTGGGAAATGATCAAGGATAAGTTAGACAGCGATCCGCCACTAGAGGGCTTGAACAAGAGAAGTAGTGGTATGTTGCACATTTTATGTATCCTCTTAGCTCTTTGAGCTTACCTGCGGGGTTAGGTCTGAGCATGATTCGATGGTACGACTCGCTGTACCGCATGTGCGGATGCCGCGGTAAGAAGTTTATCGTGTTTGTCAGAGGTCGTCCAGCAACAACGTAGTACCACTTTACTTCATGCTCAGGCCACGCCCGGTGAGACGCTGCACGAATCATCATTGCAAAATCAACAGAGTCCCGAGGAACATCGTGTGAGATAGAGGGCCTGCGGTTGTGGCGTTGAGGGGTGCAGGGTTATACTGTACAGCGGACGGATGTCGGAACGCGGGGTAAGCTGACATTGAATCTTAGCCGAGCAATCGCATGTGGAGATGTAGTGCCAAAAGGGGAAGCATGGATTGAATGGAGAGTGATGACTTGTTACCGCCTTGTATTTTGTACATGATCGTCTATCTCCACTTTGCCATTGATTGAGGGGTTGAACCTCAGCTCTTCTCTTCAGAGCGTATCATATCGTACAGCTTTCTTTCAAGCGTATGCCGAAAACTGACGCCGGACCATGCATTTATTCTTTGTACCCAAAACGCCGCGCTTAAAAATAAAAATAAAACTAGACTACCAGGCGGTGATGTCGTCGACCTCGGCTTCACCAAATGTGCTGGTCTTTGTGGCCTCCATGCCAGAGTCATTGGGAACGATGTCTGTATCTGGTGTTCTGCTCATGATGTCTGGAAGATATTGGTTCAGGAAGCCCAACAGGTGGCGATTGACCTGGTCGAACTCCAGGAGGAAGGCGTCGTGGCCGTCGGGAGAGTCGATGGTCTTCAGAGAGGCGTTGGGGATGTGGGCGGCAAGCTCTTGCTGCTCGGCGTAGGTGAAGAGACCATCGGACTGGATGCCGAGCACGAGTGTCGGCTGCTCGATCAGCGAGAGGGCGTGGTGCAGGGCCGAGACCGGGTCCAGGGTCTGCTCGTCTTCGCCATCGGGGTAGCGGTGGCGCGAAACGTCGTGGGTGTCAAGCTTGCGGGTGATGGCAATGTAGCAGTTGGCGTCGAAGCGCTTGATGAACTTCTCGCCCTGGTAGCGCAGGTACGACTGGGCGGAGAAGTAGTGCTGGGCCAGCGGCTTGTGCTTTGCGCTCGCGGTCGAGTCGGTGCGGCGCAGGGGCGGGGTCGGCGGGTTGGAGGCGTCGTGGAACTCGAGGTCGGCGGTGGTGGCGGTGGTGGCAGGCAGGGCGGCGCTGCTGGAGGAGCGCGAGGCGGCGGCGCGCGGCGAGCCAGCGTTCTTGTGGCCGTGGTTGTGGATGGCCCAGTGCTCGTTCGAGGGCGTGTGGGGGCGCGACACGGTGTTGATGCTCTGCTGGCGCGACAGGTCGGGCGTGTTGCGGCCGAAGCGCGCCTCAAACGAGTCGCGGCTGCGGTAGGTCAGCAGGGCCGACATGCGCGCGGCACCCAGGCCGGTCGACGGCGGGTCGGCGAAGGCGTAGTAGCCGTCGTCGTACTTGGGGTCGCTGTAGATGCTCTGGCGCTGGGCCTCGCCCCAGCTGATGCCCCAGGCGCTGTAGCGCGCCGACGTGGCGATGGGCGCGATGGTGCGCACGTAGTCGCTGCCAAAGTAGGCGAACTCGAGCACCAGCATGCCGCCCATGGAGCCGCCGACGACGGCCGCAATCTGGCGCACGCCGAGGTCGTCGAGCACCAGGCGGAAGATGTTGACGTCGTCGCGCACCGTCGTCAGCGGGAACTCGGGCCCGTAGCGCGCGTTGGCCGCGTCGCCGTCGCGGGCCGTCACGGGGCTGGCGCTGCCGTACGGGCTGCCCAGGCTGTTCATGCACACGACGAAGAAGCGCGACGTGTCGAAGGCCTTGCCCGGCCCGCCCAGCAGCGGGCCCCACCAGTCGCCGACGTCTGCGCTGCCCGTCAGCGCGTGGCAGATGACCATGGCATTGTCTGCGCCCGCCGACAGCCGCCCATATGTCTTGTATGCCACCGCCACGTCGCGCAGCACCACGCCCGACTCGAGCTCGACCTCGGGGATCACGGCAAACGTCTGCTCGGGGATCAGGCCCGCGTACGGGTTCTCGGGCTGCGCCGTCACCCTCCCTGCGCCGCCCGGTTAGCTGTCGCCCCGCCGTGGTCCGCGTCGAGCCGTACTGTACTTGTGTGTGCCATTGCTAGCGGCGCCCGCGGCAGGTGCGGTGGCCATGATCGATGCGGAGCGTGTGGGAGGAGCGATGTCCGCCCGCGCTGCTGGCTGACTGCAATCGCGGGGCGCCATCTTTTTTGCGCCCCACCTGCAGTTCACTCAGCCGCCGCTAAAGCGTGGGGTTGCAGCGTCGCCGAGCACGTCATCGCGCCTGCACGGGCAATAGCGGGTGGACCGCAACTCACGCCTCACGTGATCGTCTCCACAACACCCAGCGCACCAATTTGATATACTTCAGGACTTTCTCAGCAAATCACACCTAACGTGATGGCCTCCACAGCACCCAGCGCACCTCCCTGACCCAGTGACTTTCTCAGCAGCTCACGCTTCACGTAATGACCTCAATGTCGTTCCATCCAACTATCGTTTTCTGGGTATAGTACAAGAAGTTGAGAACCTGGCAGACAGCCTTCAAGCCCTTCGCCCCATGCATATGTACACGTTGCAGTCGTCAGTCGCAACTCATCATTACTCCAACCATTTCCCCCTTTCCATCTGCGCCCTGGAGCCGGCTGTCCTATCGTCGGTCCCTTTCCCGCTCCACTCGCTCCATCTCTCTCTCCACATCGCCCTCAGTCCTGATACCTCCTCTTCTCGTTCTTCCTGCATTCTTCCTCAACCCAGCAGTGAACATGTTGGCGATACTGTTGTCGCCGCCAGCACCCGACTTCCTCCGCTTGTCGCGATGCGATGCGGGACCAGTGGGCGCTTTGACTTCACCCTGGCTGGGTTCACGCGGTGCATCATCTGCATCTACTTCATCCTCGCGCGAGCGTTTCGAGGACAGCGAGCTTCGGGATGACGAGTGGATACGCGAGTGCAACGATTTGCTGACCACGTCGCGTTGATCACGATCCACACGATCGCGGCTGTTGCGCTCGCGAGCATTTCTCTCGCGCTCAGCGGCATAGTGGTCTTGTGTAGTGGGCTCGGTGGGTGTGGCTGGTGTGGATTGGACAGACGAGACACTGCTCTTCCCGCGTGGCCTGTCCCTGTCGCGATCTGCTGCAGGTCCCTTGGGCGGCTGGAACTTACGCGGTCCTGTAGGAGGCTGCGGTGGCGGCATTACATTGGATTTTGAGCGGCCTGCACCTTTGATAGAGAAAGTGTTTGCTGAAGGGCCGGTAGGCGCATTGAGGGGTGGCGAAGCCGCACGCTTTTGCATCATCTTGCCGACCACATCGTCCTCTGCCGCACGGTCGATCTTTGTGTCCCGCTCGCTCTGACTGCGATCGTCTCCATCTTGTTCTTCTTTGTTTCGCTCTTCTCGGTCGCGGTCCTTGCGGCTTCGTCGAGACGAGCGGTGCCTATCATCATCGTAATCACGCTCTTGCTCCTCCGCCTCGCGCTCGCGGCGACGCCTCCGCTCCCTGTCTTTGTCTCTTGGTCGGTCCTTCTCACGCTCGTAATCGTAGTCTTTCTCTCGATCCTTGCGGTCTCGTCTGTCTCGCTCACGATCCTTATCGCGTGATCTATCACGGTGCTTATCTTTGTCGCTCCTGTGCTTTCGTCTAGCGCCAGACTCTGATTCTCGATCGCCGTTAACATACGCGTTGTCTTCATACTTGCCCTCTTCGACAGGCGAGCGCGAACGGTGACGCCGACGTTGTTCTTTGCTGCGATCCCGGTGTGAGCGTGAAGAGCGGTGCTTCTCCTTATCACGCCGACTGCTGCGGTGCTTTGAATCAGCCGATGCACTACGTGTTCTGTCGCCTCGACTTCCTCTACCCTCGCGATGCCGGTCCTCATGCTCGTCATCCCAGTCATCATGTCGCACTGAGCGCTGGTGTCGGCGGTCACTGCGGCGCTCGTATTCATCTTCACCTGGTGGCGTTGCGGAGCGGACTCTATCTTCTCGCCTTGATTCGCGGGCTGCTGATCGCGAACGAGAACGCGAACGCGAACGCTCTCGACGTTCGTCCCTCTTTTCGTCCTTCGCGCGAGAGCCTGACCGGGAACGTGACACCGACTTGTCCTTGATACGGAGATTCTCATCTCTCAGAGGCGAGCGACTGCCGATGTGTCAGTGTTACATCTGCAGAGATGGCATGTGCTGTACTCACGATTTAAGTCTACGCTGTGGGCTGCGAGCACCGGTGCTTTGCGCAGGAGTTACACTCTTAGGGGGCGGCTGATGGCGCGTGTTGTTCATTCGGCTCGAGAAGCCAGTGTTCGGTCTACCCTCGCGCATTGCTCTCGGTCCTGTGGGCGCACCTTCCACACCACGTCCCTGTGGCTCACCTGTTAATACTGTAGCTGCGCCGTATGCGGCATTGAAGCCACCACGAGGGCCAAAATTGTTGTTCTGATGAAACCCCATATTCATGCTAGAATCGAAAGGCGCATTCATTTGCATCTGGTTGGGAAACTGATTCATCATACCGTTAGCAAAACCCATATTAGGCTGCATGCCGTTGACCATCATCGACTGATCGTAATCTTGCATGTCCCCGTTTTCAGTATCAACGGTCTGTATCTGACGCAGTCCGTTGGTCTGTGTGGAATCGTTCTGACCTCCTCTTGCAATCGAGTCCTTGGCATCACTCGCGCTATCGGTAGTGTTGGCGACTAGAGCAGTGCTTTGCGTGCTACCATCAGGATTGTTACCTTCTTCAGTGGGTTTTTCAGCAGTGTCTTGCTCGCCATCTGGTTTCAGACCGACGGCTGCATCAGTATGTGCATCAGATGACTCGCCATCACGCTGTTGTATGCCAATGTTGTCAGTTGCTGGCTTCAAATACGGGAGTACCAAAGACGGTTGTCTTGGCAGATGTTCAAGAAATCGACGTACGGTTGGGGCAGGTCCACTGCGACTCCCAGGACGACTGTTGGTGCTCTGCTGTCCACCAGGCCTAGGCACGGAGTCTCCCTGACTGCCAGTCCTATTGTTCTGCTGAGGCAGAGCTCCCCCTTGATCGGCAGGAAAACGATTCTGGTTCTGGTTTTGGAAATTGTTCTTGGGGAATTGGTTCATCATCTCGGGATATGCTCCAGATTGATTATATCCGCCCATCTGGTTGAACCCGTTGAAGTTTCCATAGCCACCACCCATGCCATTCCACCCGTTGCCGTAGCTGCCACCGAAGTTCATCATGTTCATGGCGGACATATCATTCATCATGCCCATGTTTCCACCAAAGTTGTTATACATGCTGTTCATGTTGTAGTCTGTGCGGCTGTCAGTCGTTGAATGCCAGATAAAGCAGACGGGAGAACGTACCCATTTGATTCATGCTATTCCAGCCAGCATTGCCCATCATGTTCGACATGCCGTTGAAGCCCATGCCTCCGAAGTTGCCTTGACCTTGGAACCCAAATCCCATCTGGCCCTGCATACCGTTCATCATGGAGCTGTTGCCCGTCGTGTTTGCTGGGCCGTCAGTCTTGTTTTGCTCGTTGGAAGACGCGTTGGCGCCAGACGGCTCTACGCTCTGTGTCGCAGATTGCGATATCAAACTTCCGCGGCGTTCCAAGTCATGGGCCTCTGGTGCAGGTGGATCCTGTCGATGTCAGCAAACATTCAAGGTAAGATGGACTACTGCAGCCACCAGCACGTGTAAGACGGACAGAACACGTTCACTTGAACGGTCCAAGATGCCCTGTTGGGTCTGCATGGTCTTCACGGGGGCTGCACACGCGATTACGTGTAGGAGATGAAGCAAGAAAAAGACTCACCTCAGTTGGCTGTGCAGAAGCCGATACTGTCCGCAGCTGTCCGTCTCCAATGTCCCCTGCAGGCGCTGCAGGCGCGGCCGGCGCATCGCCTGCAACCGGGGTCTCCTCAACACTATCGATCGGCTTGTCCGCACCCTCCAGCTCGAACGGTGCTTCTGTTACAGCAGGCGTGATTTCTGGAGCGGGTGTGGCGGCTTGCGCAGCCGCCTTTGCCTCTTCTTTCTTCTTCTGCTTCTGCAACCATACGCGCATTGTATTGCGCAGAGCCTTGTTCGGGGTGCACGAATCGGCCTCGAGGGGCGAGTGGTCGCATGACGGGCAGGTCGTCGGAAAAGACAGCTTGGCTTGGCCTGTGGACATGTCAGTCACCGCGTCGCGTTGCTACCGTCGCGCGCGAGAACATACATGGTGAGCAGATGGCCTTGTTGCAGCACAGCAGCTTGTACGAGTCGATTGCAAGCTCACTGCACAGGGCGCAAAAGAAGGCCTTGGGAAAGCCGCTGGTGGGCAGGGAGCTATCCCCAGTCAGTGCGTGGTCGCGATGCGCAGATCAATCGTGACATACAGCGCGAGTTCCTTTAGGTCGTCGGCGAGCGGCGCCGCCTTTGGGTCGGTGGCCATGGCGAGGTCGTGCGTGCGAGCTCCCAGTCAGCGCAGGCGGCGATGGAAGCGTTCCGAGACTGAGCTTCTGCGGTACCACTATTCCATGAGAGCGTAGAGCCGACCGAGGAGAGACTGTAGGCAGGTCGACAGAAGCTGTGACGATGGGAGTGGTGGGGTCGACTGCGCTTGTCGCAACCGTTTTGCGGGCATGGCCATGGAATTTCTTTGGTCGGGCGCGCCTTGCTCCACCGGGCGTAGGGTCACGTGTCTACCTGCACGTCGACTCCCCCTCCCAGGCTCTGCGCCACTCCTTCTGCTTGCTGTCAGCCGCCTCTCGCTGCCATGCTTGTCTGCTGCATCTGCATTGGGCCTCCCCCACGCGTCTGCATCTCAGAGGCGCCGTTTCTTTGGAAGCACGCTAGCCGCCTCTTCGTCGTCATTAACCAAGCCGCCATGTTGGCGACACCGTGAGCCACGTTCCGTTGACAGATGGTCTATCCAACGCGCGGCTTTCTTTCGCTTTTTGTCTCCCGTTGTGACCATGATACTCGGTCAGATCTCGTTCCTCGATTGTTTGGCCTTTGTAGTCTTCCTGGCCCCTCAATTGCTGATCCAGATTGGCCTGTTCCCTGTCTTGACATGGCTGGTCCCAGCGCTGCCGTTCATAGGTGAGCACGCGTATCGTGGCGTCGTCGCGTACTGATATTGACAGCCTGTCAAGTTTGCCTCATACCATATCAATTCGTGCGCGAGCGATACTTTCTCCCATATGAGAAGCGCAGTCCGTTCGTGAAGAAGGCGACGCCGTTCCAGGACTTTGTCATCAGATGTGTTCGCTACGCATTCGCCAATATGCCCGCCTTCATTGGCCGGGTCTTCTTTTCAAAAGCCGTTTCCTTGCCTTTTCTTCGCTTTCGAATGCTGCGCCATGGCATCGTCACAAGTCCCATTAGGTGGACTGAAGTCAACAGGGTATGTCCCGCAGTACTCCCGCGTCTTAGCCACACAAGACTGACTTCTGCAGCCTGACTTCAGAGGCGTATTGATCAAGCACAATCAACAAGAGCAGCCTGATATCATCGTGTACTATGCTCACGGTGGTGGTTTCTCCATGGGTAGCTCCTACTTCTACATGGAGTTTCTGCTTGCATGGGTAACGCTCCTGAAAGCTGCTGGTTATAGAAATCCCGCTCTCTTCGCACTGGAATACACTCTTGTACCGGATGCAACCTATCCAGTGCAACTCCACGAGACGTTGGCAGGATATCAATACGTCCTTTCGCTCGCTCAGTCTTCAACAAGAGTAGTGGTCGGTGGCGATTCTGCTGGCGCAACCCTAATATTGAGCTTCTTACTTTACTTGACAGACCACGCAGAGCTGAGGCACCAGCAACCGGGGTTGGCAGTGATGATAAGCCCATGGGTTACCATTGTCTCGAAGAACAATCGCAATACAGCTTCAGATTTCCTCAACGATAAATCGCTCGAACAGTACGGCCGCCAGTACATTGGCACAAAGGTGTCTGAAACCAATTCAATGGTATCGCCTGGCCATTGCACAGACGCCAAAAAGTGGTCTGATGCCTCGCCCGACTATGGTTGGTACTTTTTGTACGGGAGCGAAGAAGTGCTCGGTCCTGAGACCAGAGAACTCATCAGCCTTCTGAAGAGTGTAGACACGCAAGTGGATGAGTGGGAAGAGCAAGGCGGCATTCACGCATGGCCCGTTGCCAGTCTATATCTGGGCGAAAGCAGGGAGGAAAGGCTCGGAGGACTGCAGAGCATGGTTGGAGCTATCAAAGACAGGATACTTTGTTAACGACGGAGTCTGGCCCAAGAACGCTATTGGCAGTCATCTCTTGTAGCACTGGAGTGGCAAGTTGAAGCCAAGCTCATGAGCGGCTTGTTGAAGCCGCGCAATCCTCCTCACTTCCTCCAAAGCCCACAGCTGATCGACCGCGGACGGATCGGCGTTTTGCAACGACAAAGCTTTTGCAGAGAGAGGTGTCAAAATTCCTGAACATCTCCGTCTACGTCAGCAATCGGAAACATGTGCACGCCACACACACTTACGAAGAGGGTGTTGCATTGTTGCTTGTGGATAATGAAGAAGCTCGAGACGATTGAGCGGACGACTGGTTTGACAACATCGAGTCTAGACTGAGATGGCAAAGGGCCGGAAGGTCTGGGAATATCTCATTGTCCTACATGGCGCTTAGGAATTGATGGAAATTTATACCGCTCAGCCCAATATGCCGCATGACCACGTTAAGTGCCAATCTCGCTACCCGGTACCTCTTCCAATCTGGTTTTCCAACTATAGCTCCTCTACTATCTCGTCGAAAAGTAGATGGTAGTCATCTCCATTTGGTGTAGTTTTGGCTGAAAGTAGCTTAGCGGTCGCCGTTGAGCGGTGTTTTGCGAACCGATCCCGCTCTGGTCTGCCTCAACCCTTGCAGGCAACGAAGTGGGTCCGTGTCCTGCATGCGTTCGTCAGGTGCCGATAGCTGACAGCCTTCGTAGTCCTGGGATTCGGTGTACGGCCTGTCAGGTACGCTGGCACAATTTTGTTGAGAGTGGCAATTCTCATTTAGTGACGTCCAGTGCTCACGCGCACACGGTGAATACAGCTACGGACGTCAATGTCGCCGAATCTGCGAAATTCACCAATTGCACCTAGACGCCGAGCCGCTTCGACTAGATATACTGCTGACAGCAGCGTCATGGCAGAGAGATTCTGCAACGATGTTCAGTGATCCGCAAGCCGATCCAAGACTAATATCGACAGTAACGAGCTTGAGACTGGCAGTGCGTACCAAAATCTATCTTTGTCAAGACGAAATCGGTGCCAGATAACAATCATCGTCTTGGGCTTGCCCATATCCGCCTTGACAAGTGGGGATGCATGTTTGTGCTGCCCTCAAATATGAAGATCCGTTCTCGGGTCTATTTTGGTGTAAACGCGTCAAAGCACGGTCATCCAGTTTCTGCTTCGACGCTCTTTTGGTAGTCGAAATGCACAATCAGAATTGTAGAGTCTAAGAAAACTTTCAAGAAGTGATTCCAAGAGATACAGCGCGGAAGTGCGCTAAAAGATGGAAATCTCGTCAGGTCCCCCAGCAGCGTCATCTCGAAGCAGTCGGCGATGTTGAAACAGAATTCGAGATGAGGTCCTTTACTTGAAGACCGTGATAATCACTAAGCCTCATTATACTGACATTATGGTTCTATGTAAATCAAGTCATATCGCAGGTATGTTCCGCAAACTAGCTGTTCCAGTCCTCATCGTCAAGGTCAGCGAAGTGCCCTCCAGTCTTCACTCACAACCCTAATCTCATTCGTAACGCCAATGATCCCAAGTTCAATTGGTGCATCCGACCTCAGTCTCGATTGACTCTCTGACCCGTAATCTCTCGACTTATAGCGTTGCGAGCCATAGACTTGGGATGCCGTCGTCTCCCTCACCCACTTAAGAAACCTAGGAAACGATATAAAGCATCCGCACAAAATGACCATCGCAATCTCGACAGCCCCCCAGAGACCAACAAGAGCAAGCCAGTAGGTTTTATCGTTGCTCTTTGCTTCCTGGGAGGAGTAATACAGTCGAAGTACCGAAGCGCCGCAGGCACTATTCGCGTGAGCTTTTGCAATACTTAGACATCGAAATACGCACATGAAACCTGTTGCAAATACGGCCGAGACGGCAGCTTTCTTCCGCTTGTCCATCTGCAATTGCACAGCGCCGACGACCGGAAGCAGCAAGACTGCGATGTCGCTGATAAGATTGATCGTGCCGGAAATGTAGCCAGCAGCTGAGTTGTGGCATCGGCCGGGCAGAAGAGGGTTCCAGGCCTATGTGCTGATTAATCACTTTCTGCAAGACGAGCAAGAAAGCTCTCACCTTGCGCACTGGATTGCATGAGAACAGAAGTACCATCAACGTAGCAGTATATGCGCAGGTAACAAGTACAATGAGCGTCCAGCTGGCCCAGAAGATGAATGTTTTGCGCTGTTGCGTGCCTTCGAAGATGTGTTTTATCTGGAGAAGGATACTGAGCTTCGCAGCGTAAAGCGAAAGACAGTACATAATCTGCACAGCATACACGTACTAGGTCTGGTCAGTATTCTATTTTCCCGCAGAGCGCGCTTGCAGACGTAGACTGAACGTACGCGGAGAGCTATAAGTAAGTCGCCAACAGTGACATTCCATTGGTGTTTGGAGCCGCCGAATTGATATGCTTTGAGTTGTAAACCAACGATGGGAGCGAACAAGATCTACGCAAGACATGGAGTCAGCTTAAGTTTCCCATTTTTGAATTTGTCAAAGTTTACCGTTGCGAAGATCATTAGCGCTGTGAATGGGTTAGCCTATAGTAGCACTCCAATGCAATCTGTAGAAATTACCATCTTCCAAGGTAAAGAACCTTTTGATAATGTACATCCTAGTGAACACACGCAGGGCCATACTCAGTGCAATCAGCACACAGCATGCAGTCAGAATACCCAGAGAGGTGGACCATAACGAAGACGCGTTTGGATCGAAAGGTAGCTCACCAGCTGGTGGTGCCAGAGCCGGACATGCGGGATCGATGTTAGTTGTTGTGTTGGAGCACTTGAACATCAACTGTAGTAGCTCTCCAGGCGTCATGGTGCTGCAGTGACGACGATGAGTATGAGGGTACGACAAAGCGTGTGGAAGTGGGAGATATGGTCAAGGACGTCGAATTAGGTGAGCCAGGCAGCCGGTCAACAAAGAATGTGTCAGGGACGATCACTTGTGTCTGTTTAGAGACTACTCGAGAACTCCTCTTTGACATGTCAGTAAACGGGCCTAGCCCTAGTACAAGTGATGATGCAGCACAAAGGACACAATTTACAATAGCAATGAGGGCTGCGCTAAGGTTTCAATGATCAGTGCACGACGGACGATTCCAACACGAGAAGACTTCGCAGGAGAGAACTGATCTCACAATCATTGGCCAGCATTGATGAAAGCCAGCCCTTCCCAGTCGCAGCCCTGGCGAATACCAATTTGACTCAAGGCGCCTGTAATAGTAAAGCGAGACATGCTCCAAACATCACGCATTTGCGGCAGTATGTAGAGAGTGCGGTCGAACAAGTCATGTGCTCGTTTTCATGTCTACTTGGATATCATTTCTTCTCATGCGGTTGCGATGCACTAAGAGTTTATCGTCTGTGGTTGACAAACTCCCTTTGCTCACCACCCAGTCTCGATGCGACAACACAGGCTTCTCTGATTGCTGTCGCAACCGCGTTCCTGACACCGTCCTTCTCAAGGGACATCAGACCGCCGATGGTGCATCCACCGGGTGTCGAGACTTTGTCCTTGAGCACAGCGGGGTGCTCGCCGTTCAGTACGAGCCCTGTGGTTCCGCGCATTGTCTGTGCGGCCATCTCATAGGCCTGAGCACGCGGCATACCCATGGCAACGGCACCATCGGCAGCAGCTTCGAGGATCAGAGCGAAGAAAGCGGGACCTGAGCCGCACAGTGCAGTTGCAATGTCCATGTTCGCAGGAGGAAGTGTGGTAACGCGGCCAATGGAGCTGAAGACAAACTCAACCAGCTTGTACTGTGCCTCTGACAGCGGCGGGTCGCTGGTCTCGATGACACTCATGGACTCACCGACGAATGACGCAGTGTTGGGCATGACGCGAACCACTCTGCAGGCATCGTCGGCCTTGTCGGCACCGTCGGGGTAGAGGAACTCGGAGATCTGCCTCTGTGTGACACCAGCCAGGATGCTGACGATGATCTTGCCCTTGAGGGCGTCGCGCATGCCCTCCTCGCCCAGAATGGTCTTGAAGCCGTAAGGTTTGCACGACAGCAGGACAATGTCAGCCTGCTGGACGCCCTTGAGATTCTCGTTGGTGAGGGTCTGTAGGTCGAAGTTGTAGTGGCCGAGGGCCTTCTTGACATTGTCCTCGGCAGGCTTCCATGTGTCGCAGGCAACGAATCTGGACACGTTCGGCGTGTCCTTGGGGGCGGACGAAGGGTCAATGGCAGCGGCGGTTTTGGACTTGGCGAGCGAGGCCATGACGCCGCCCATGATGGCGATGCCCATGGTGCCTGTATGGCCAGGTTAGCTCTGCTACATGCTGAAGAGCGCCGTGCAGACGGTGGGCCTGTGATGGGGGACGTACCGGCGCCGAGGACGGTCAATGTGAGGGGCTTGGATTCTTGAGACGCCATTGTGTGTGTAGGTCGCGCTGCAGTACACGGTACAGCTTGCGGTGCTGGACAGTGTTGCAGTGTGTGGCTGGCCAGCGGCCGGAATGCCAAAGAAATCCCCAGGCCCAGAGCGACGTCGGCGTGGGGTACGAGGCAGCTCCGCACGCGCCGACGGTATGCGCGCACCAGCCTTGCCGTCGCCCCTGCTTTCTCGCCAGCACTCTTGCGCATGCGCCGTACGCTCCCACGCAGCTCCCGCATACCCACGGCTTGTTTCCCCGGGCTTGTTTCCCCGGGCTCTGCCGCGCACCGCCAACGCGCACCGCACCGCGCACCGCCCCGCGCACCATGGCGGACCCCTTCGAAGTGCGCCAGCGCTTCACGACGCTGCTGTCGCATCTGAGCGCGTCGCACACGTCCATCCAGAAGGCCGCCGTCTATGCGCTCAAGAACCGCGACATGGACGAGGACCTGCACTCGTGCATCCTCGAGCAGCTGGAGCGCACCAACATGAACACGCGCGCGAACATCATGTTCTTCATCGAGAGCCTGTGCGAGATGGCGGTCAAGGACGCCGGCCCGCCGACCGGCGAGGGCAGTGCCATGGGCTTTGTGCGCATGCTGCAGCGAGACATACTGCCCGTCGTGGACTGCGTCGTGGGCGAGGAGGGGGCCAATGTCCGCGTCGTGCGCAAGGTCCTCCACACTCTGCAGAAGATTGGCATCCTGCTCTCCGAGACCGTCGCCGAGCTCGAAGTCGTGCTCAAGGCGCGCGAGCCAGAAGACCCTTTCCAGCCCTCGCCCTCCAATGCCGGTGCCCACAAGAATGCAAAACTCGACAAACGCCAAATCGAGCACCGCATAGAAGAAGATCGCGAGAGACACAAGAGGTTGCGCGAGAGCATCTGGGCTGTGCCCGGCGAGGGCGAGGAGGAGATGCACAAGCTGTGGGACGAAGCAAGCGACATTGGAGAGGATGACTACATCATTGGACAGGAAGACAAAGACGAGAGAGAGCAGGCTATCGCCTTTGGGTGAATTGCGGCTTTTGGACGCGCGATACCGTCTTCACCGCGTCGTGGCGTTTGGGGAATCTGCATTTTTAGGGCGTTGGGGTGTGGACGTGATGTGATACCTACTGCATGGCTCTGGTGTCAGACTGGGGTCCCCGGTGTTTGTTGGATGAATCAGTGAATGCCGACCAGCTGAGATCACATGGTTGATTCTTGTACGCCGTCTATCGTACTGCACGTATACTCAATACATCCAAAGTTGACCAATGCCATATGCCATACATATCTGTACACGCCGCAACTCGCTATGATACAGTTTCTGTCCCCATGCTGACCTTGCCCGACACCAGTTGGTCTTTCTACTCCATGACGACTGTCGCACCGAGCGCCTTGAGTGTCTCGACGATCTTCTCTGCTTCCTCCTTGGGTACACCCTCCTTCATCATCTTGGGTGCGCTCTCGACGAACTTCTTGCTGTCCACCAACGAAAGTCCCAGCATGCTCTTGATCTCCTTGATGACCTTGGGCTTCGACCCGGCGTCAAACTTCTCGAGCTTAATGTTGAAGAGCGTCTTCTCGGCGGCGGCGGGCGCGGCTTCTTCCTCTTCGGCGGGCGCGGCGGCAGCTGGGCCAGCGCCACCAGCGGCAACAAAGCCACCCATGGGCATGTCGGGGATGTTGAGGCGGGTCTAGCAGTACCATGTCAGCTATTTGAATCACGCAAAGACGAGCGAGTTGCAGGAAACAAGCAGGCATGCAGCGTGGCAGTACAACGCTCGACTGGACCGGGGCTCCTTCAGGCTCACAGCGCTCGGCCTATTGAAGGCACGTGACCGTTGGGTCGAATCAATTGCGCCGTGAGCGCGCTCTAAGGCTTATTCGGATGCCCACATCACGGTGCTGCCGCTGTAGCTCTGTGAGCAGCGCCCGTGTCGGACACTGCCAGCGCTCCTGCTGTCCGCACCCTGCTCTCATGGTATGTCGGTCGTACCTTTAGTGTCGAGACGAGGTCTGCTGTTTCCAGCAGCGTCAATTGGCTGATCTGATCGACAATTGTTGCAATCTTGGGGTTTGCAGGCGGCGCCGCGGCATCGGACTGCCATCTCCGCTGTATCCTCTGCTGTGCTCCTCCAACGGCCGGACGGGCTCCCATCGCAGGGCGGGCGGCGCAGACGCAGCGCCTGAGAGCGCGAGATGCGGGGGCGGACATGATGTGCTGTGCGGATCGGGTGGTCGATGGATGGATGGCTGTCAGTCGTTGTGTCGTACTTTCCTAGAATTTGCGGACAGCAACGCCCTGTTTGCGGTTTAGCGCGCTTCGCTAGGGCAAGCGCGCCCGAGCCAACCCTGCGCTGTCCAGAAACTTTTGTGAACGAAGAATTCGAACGCCACAACAAACCCACGTTTGTTATATGAAAGCGTCGGAATTATGGGAAGGCGCCCCGAAAACACAATACAACAGAACGATATCAGGATTGGACGGTGATAGCGCCATCATGGCCCCGAAAATGGCCAATATCAACGAGCTTGCCACGGAAGCACTGAAGCCTGCATCTTCCGACGACCTATTCGTGCGGTATGAGGGCTTGTATCCTGAAGTATGTGCAAGATGGATCACATCTGGCGCCCAGAGCGAGGAGAAAATCGCCGCTTTTGGACGAATCCTTCCTCTTGCGCCTCACCTTGCGGAGCACGCGGAGCGCTTCCTTGCACATGTCTCGCAGTCGCCGTATTTTGGGTCGCATCACCAGCACAGTCCTAACGGGCCTGCAAACTCACAAGTCGTCGAACCTTTGCTTGGCGCCTTCCGGTTATTGAGCTACGACTGCCGGACCTTCGCCCAGTATGTGCGTCCAGTAGCCATTCAGCAGCTTTTCCAGCATGCGAACCGCTTCGTACGGTATATTGCAGTACGGCTGTTTTGCCTGTACGTTCATGCGGCAGATCATGCTACTCAAGAGATGGTTAGGAGGCATGTCGGAGAAGGCGAAGTGGAAGGAACCTGGGAAACACAGCAGATTGATTACAGGTTTCTCTCGTTGTGGGAAGAAAAGAGGTGGAAGAATGTGCGCTTAAGACTGCACCAGCAGTCGGAAAATATGGAAGCTGCCGCCCCCCACCTGCTCTCAGACCTCTCACCATACACTGTGAACATCAACGGAACACTGCTTCCACGACTTGATGGCGCTGCTTCTCAAGAACGGCCTTCTGACCTCATTTCTACACCCACAACGGTCGCTAACCTGAGCAAGATTGCCCATGGACTGCTTGGTTCAAGTCCTCTTCTTCTCACTGGACTTGCAGGCTCAGGAAAGACGCTTTTAACAAGACACTTTGCCTGGCAGCTTAATAAGCTTGACAAGATGGTTACCCTTCACCTGAACGAGCAGAGCGATGCAAAGCTGCTGATTGGCATGTATGCCACAGGTTCGAAGCCAGGGACTTTCGCATGGAAGTCTGGTGTGCTGACGACAGCGGTCCGCGAGGGGCGATGGATTTTCATCGAAGATCTGGATCGAGCGCCGAACGAGGTTATCAGTACACTTTTACCACTGATTGAACGCGGTGAGCTTTTGATTCCAAGCCGCGGAGAGACAGTACATGCCGCAAGGGGCTTCCGCATTATCGCTACAATGCGAAGCACGCTCAACCCAAGAGGGCAGGAGATTATCCCCCGTCAAAACATGATTGGTCATCGATTCTGGAATTCCATCACGGTGCAGATGCCCCAGCTCGAAGAGTTCAAGCAAGTCATTTCCGCCAAGTTCCCAGTGCTGCAGAACCACCTCGCCGGTATCATGAAGGTATACTCTCGATTACTGGAGCTCTATTCCGACGCGAAGTTCTCGTCCGAGAATGGCACGTCGCTCCGAGCATTGACTCCACGGGATCTCCTGAAATGGTGTGACAGAATAGCTGTGCTTCTGGCTCAGGTATCTTCTTTCAGTACCGCCCAAAGGGATGATATCTTCATGGAGGCTTTTGATTGCTTTGCCGGCAGCTTGCGCAGCGACTCGGCACGGTTAAGAGTCATGACCTGCGTAGCTGAGGAGCTCCATATTGATCCGCAAAGGCGAGATCACCTCCTTCGAGACCGCTCTGTGAAGCTTTTGATTTCTCCTAAATCGGCAGCAACAGGACTCATTCAAGTTGGACGAGCCAAGCTTCCAAAACACAAGTCTTCGAAGCGCACATCGTCTAACCGAACCTTTTCTACCAACAACTACACTCTGAGATTACTCGAAAAGGTTGCCGTGGCAGTTGATCGCAACGAGCCTTTGCTTTTAGTTGGAGAGACAGGTACCGGTAAAACAACGACTATACAGTACCTAGCTGAACAGCTTGGTCGCAAGTTAGTAGCATTTAACTTGTCTCAACAGAGCGAGAGCGGTGATCTTTTGGGTGGCTACAAGCCCGTGAATGTTCGCAGCCTTGTCATTCCACTCAAAGATGAGTTTGATGACCTCTTCGACACTACCTTCTCGAGAAAGAAGAATCTGCGCTTCCTTGAGATGCTGGGCAAGCGCGTTGCAAAGGGCGAGTGGAAACGTGTCTGCACTCTGTGGCGAGAGGCACTAAAGATGGTGGATGCGGCGCGTAAGGCGCACGAGTCGCAGCCTTCTTCTCCAGATGCGGACGGTGATCAACCCAGAAAGAAGCGGAAGATGGACTCACTACCAACAAACTTCCCGGCAGCACGCTGGGAGAAGTTCGCGGCAGATCTACACGATCTTGAAGCTCAGATTGCAAGTGGCTCTGAAGCGTTCGCATTCTCTTTCCTGGAAGGCAACATTGTCAAGGCTGTTCGAAACGGCGACTGGGTCTTACTTGATGAGATCAACCTGGCGTCATCGGATACCCTTGAGGCACTCACTGATCTCCTGGGCGGAGGACCAGACGGGACTCCCTCGATACTGCTAACTGAGACTGGCAACGTCGAGCGAGTTGTCGCGCACCCCAACTTCCGGGTCTTTGCAGCCATGAATCCTGCCACCGATGTTGGAAAGAAAGATCTGCCCCCAGGTATTCGTTCAAGATTCACAGAGCTCTACGTTGAGAGCCCAGATAGTGACGAACAGAGCTTGCGGAACATCGCAGAGAAGTACCTTGGAGGTGACGGCACCGATCCGGCTATTATCAGAGTAGCGCGCGATGTTACTAGCCTCTACCTCGAGATTCAACAGCTAGCGAAGGCGAACATGCTCGTTGACGGTGCTGATCAGAAGCCTCACTTCAGCTTGCGTACTCTTACAAGGACCCTTGCCTACGCGCGAGAAACGGCACCATTATGTAGCCTCCGAAGAGCTCTCTATGAGGGTTTCCACATGAGCTTTCTGACCTTTTTGAACAAGGCGTCTGAAGATCTTGTTGCATCCCTTATCATAAAGCACCTGTTCCCACAGAAGGCGTCTTCGAAGGCTGAGCTGAACAAACCGCTACAGCAGCCGAATGACGGGCGCGCATACGTGAGACAAGGTCATCACCTCCTTCGACAAGGCCCACATCCTGTGCAAGAGGAGCCACACTACATCATAACCAACTTCGTCAAGCGAAACATGAGCAATCTTATTCGAGCTGCATCAACACGACGATATCCTGTCCTGATCCAGGGACCGACTTCGTCTGGTAAGACAAGTATGATCGAGTACCTCGCGAAACGATCCGGCAATACCTTTGTTCGCATCAACAATCATGAGCACACAGATCTGCAAGAGTACCTCGGTTCATATATATCAGGTGCTGATGGGAAGCTTATATTCCAGGAAGGTATTCTCGTACGCGCTCTGCGGGAGGGTCACTGGATTGTGCTTGATGAACTCAATCTGGCGCCCACCGATGTGCTAGAGGCTCTCAACCGACTGCTTGATGACAATCGCGAACTTCTCATCCCCGAGACTCAGGAGGTCGTTCGACCGCACGACGACTTCATGCTTTTTGCTACCCAAAACCCCGCTGGTCTCTACGGGGGTCGAAAGGTTCTGTCTCGAGCGTTTCGCAATCGTTTTCTCGAGCTCCATTTCGACGATATTCCGGTCGAAGAGTTGAAGGAGATTTTGCATCGACGTGTTCAGATCCCCGAGAGCTGGTGCGGCAAAATCGTCCAGGTCTATCAGGAGCTCTCTACGCTGCGACAGGAGAATCGTATATTTGAGCAAAAGAGCTTCGCAACACTTCGAGATCTGTTCCGATGGGCACAGCGTAAAGCCGAGACCATCCAAGATCTTGCTGTGAATGGCTACATGCTTCTAGCGGAGCGTGTACGCAAGGAAGAAGAGCGCATTGCTGTCAAGCAAATCATCGAAAACGTCTTGAGCAGGAACGGGCCGAGAGTTGTCATCGACGACGAACAGATCTTCAGTCAGGAGAATGTGAAGCACATCATCAACAGTGCCCCTGAAGAGTCGAAGCAGATCGATAGCGGCGTCGTTTGGACCCGGGCAATGAGAAGGCTCTTCGTGCTTGTTCGCTATGCAATGGTCAATAACGAGCCCGTTCTGCTCATTGGCGAGACGGGCTGTGGAAAGACGAGTGTCTGTCAAATGCTGGCAGATGCATTTGGGAAAGAGCTACACGTTCTCAATGCACACCAAAATACTGAGACTGGTGACCTGATTGGAGCCCAACGACCGATCCGCAATAGAGCAGCGATTGAAGAAAGTCTTAGGCGAGATGTTCTGGAAGCATTCGAAGGCATACCCTCAGAAGTCGAGCCCCATACTTTGGACCTGGACGCACTTCTCCATTTGTATGATCAGCTTGACAAGGAACCTGCGATAACGATCAGGCAAGATCTCCGCGTATCAATTCAGGTCAACCGTATCAAGGCCGGGACACTCTTTGAGTGGGCAGACGGGAGCCTTGTGAATGCTATGAAGACAGGGCAATACTTTTTGCTTGACGAGATCTCACTCGCTGACGACTCCGTTCTAGAGCGCCTCAATAGCGTTCTTGAGCCTTCGCGCACACTTCTACTCGCCGAGAAAGGACCTGTCGATTCGCTCGTGGTTGCGGATTCTGAGTTCCAATTTCTTGCCACCATGAATCCCGGGGGCGACTACGGCAAGAAAGAGCTCTCACCTGCGCTTCGTAATCGATTCACTGAGATCTGGGTCCCGGCTTTGTCTAACCTCGAAGACATCTTGCAAATTGTTAGGTCGAAGCTTAACTCGACTGCTGCACAATATGCTGAAGCTATCGTCTCTTTTTCGCAATGGTTCAACGACAAATACAATACATCTGTGGCGTCGTCTGTCTCAATCCGAGACACTCTTGCGTGGGTCACGTTTGTCAACAGTACAGAACATGACAATCCCGTTTATGGCATTGTCCACGGAGCTGCTATGGTCTTCATAGACACACTCGGTGCCAACCCAGCAGGCCTACTTGCCATCTCCGCTAAGTCGATCGACCAAGAACGGAGAGCATGTCTCAAGCAGCTCAGTAAGCTTCTCCAACAAGATATCTCGCCACTGTACTTTGGGAACATCGACATTATCAGCACAGCACAGTCCTTCCAACTCGGCAGTTTTTCGATCCCCAAATTTTCGTCCGCTGCTGCAGACGCAACCAGTTTTGCGCTAGAAGCACCGACTACTCGTGGCAACGCCATGCGAGTGGTCCGCGCCTTGCAATTGGCCAAGCCAATCCTACTCGAGGGTAATCCAGGTGTCGGAAAGACGACGCTTGTCACAGCACTTGCGAAGGCCGTCGGGAAGCCTTTGACCAGACTCAATCTTTCAGAACAGACGGATCTCATGGATTTATTTGGTTCCGATGTTCCGGTCGAGGGCGGCGCTGCGGGCACTTTCGCATGGCGTGATGCCCCGTTCCTCAAAGCTATGAAGAACGGTGATTGGGTTTTACTGGACGAGATGAACTTGGCTTCGCAGTCCGTTCTCGAAGGCCTCAATGCTGTTCTGGATCATCGAGGTGAGGTGTACATCTCTGAGCTCGACCAAACGTTTCAAAAGCATCAAGGTTTCCGTGTCTTTGCTGCGCAAAATCCTCACCACCAAGGTGGTGGACGAAAAGGCCTGCCGGCATCCTTCGTCAACCGTTTCACGGTTGTGTATGCAGATGTTTTCCGCCCTGAGGATCTAGTCCTGATTTGCAAGAAGGTCTTCCCTAGAATCGAAGAAGAAGAGGTCAACAAGTTGATTGGGTTTGTCGCACAACTAGACGACCAAGTTGTCACTCATCGCGCTTTTGGTAATCTTGGCGCGCCCTGGGAGTTCAACCTGCGTGACACACTCCGCTGGCTTCAGTTACTGGCTTCTTCGGAGTACCCTGGCTCAGCGAGAGACTTTCTTGACGCAATCTTTCTACAACGGTTCCGTGCTGAGGATGACCGCGCGCGGCTACTAAGACTGTTCGGAAATGTTTACGGCGCGCATGAACCACGTACGAGTCTTTACCACAACTTTAGCACTGAAGCAGTCCAGGTAGGATTAGGCTTACTGCATCGCGATACCGCCATCGCACGACCGCACCCAGTTTCTACACTGAGAGTCTCGCAGCTGGGACCCATGGAAGCATTGCTCATCAGTGTCAAGCAGAATTGGCCTATCATCATGGTCGGCCCGCCAGGTTCTGGTAAATCCGCCATGATTGGCCATCTCTCCTCATACGTCGGTGCAGAGCTCGTCACGTTCTCAATGAATGCCGATGTCGATGCTATGGATCTTGTAGGAGGTTATGAACAGATCGACCCATCGCGTCACGTGCATCAATGTCTGGAGCAGCTGGAAGCTTGGATCCGCCGTAAGATTGCAGTCTCCGAGCGGCCTTCTCAGCATCTCGTCCAACTGCTGGAGCATCTATACACTGACGGGACGCGTCTCACTGACGGCTTTTCCCGTTTGCTGGAAGATATTGCACAACATGACACTGAAGCTGCAGTATTAGCTCGCGATCTGCACACTGCCTTCGAATCTTCCAACCTGCAGATAGACGGCGCTCGTTTCCAGTGGGTGGACGGTATTCTTATTCGTGCACTTGAGCAAGGCAAGTGGCTCGTGCTCGACAACGCGAATCTCTGCTCCAGCGCTGTTCTTGATCGATTGAACTCGCTCCTTGAGCCTAACGGTTGTTTATCCATCAACGAGCACTCAACGGCCGATGGAGAAGCGCGTGTAGTACGACCGCACCCAAACTTTAGGATCTTCATGACCATGGACGCAAGATATGGCGAACTGTCGAGAGCTATGCGCAACAGGGCAGTTGAGATCTGTGTTGTCGAGACCGAACAAGCCGCAGGTTGCACGACTATGCCGCAATATCCACTGGAGTCCGCCATGTACCGTTTCCGACAATTTTCCACCCGCGAGGAGACTATAGTCCAGACTCTTCAAGCGAGGTTCGAGAACACTTCCTTCACTGACAACAACCTACTGGAGAGCTTTGCAAAACAAGCCCGTCTAGGTTTAGTGAGCCAGTACGAATCAAGCGGTATCAATGGCATTTCAGCCCACGAGACGCTGCAGATGGTAGCACCTGTTCAGCTGCCACGCACACTGGAAGATGACTTCGCTCGCTTCACTCAATTCATCAATAAAACATGGACACAGAGAATGCAAGTACAAGTCGGTTTTGATAACATGGCCGGATTACTCCCGATTCATCCCCTTGGCAACGAGCTGAGCCTTAACCGCTCAACCACTCTACAGGCGAACGCTTTGCAATATTCTCAAATATACGAGCTAATGCTCGATCTGTATTCCATGCAGCAGGCGATTCATAGGTTGCCTTCCGCCAAATTCGAGCGTCGCAAAGAACGGCAAAAGATGCCTGCATTCTTGCATTCGTTCTGGCAAGCCATGGTAGAGCTCACCGACGGTATCTGGGCTCTTCACAACGAGGGTCAATATATGGATCTCTCCTTCCTCAAGCCTTTACGAACCATGTTCTGGGCGTTTTTCGCACTGGCAGAAGGCTCCGCGTTCGATCGGGCCACTTTCCACACGTACCTTAAGATGCTGAGTTTCAGCACACCAGTGGTGTCAACTGAGTCTCACATCGTGGTACGGACATTGGCTACTGTGCTATCGAAGCAGGTTGCCACTTTTGGTGCAGACGTTCAATTGACTACTGGTCTCTACATGGAGCCACTGTGGCGTCATCTCAAACCGAATACGCCCAAGTCTGTTGCAGACCTGGAGGCAATACTCGGACTCCAAAATCTTGCTGACAGATTGGACGCCGTCATGTGGAAGTCTGATCTGAGTGCAAGCGAGATGATACAGATCCGAGAGCGGTTCGCAAGCTCTTTGCAGCTTGTTTGTGCGACGGATGCTAAGCCTGACGAGCTGGCAACAGTTCTAGACAGTGCAGTGCGGGAACTCGAAGAGAGCGTTGGTCAGGACGATGCCACAATCGCACCTTACTTCGAAGAGGAGTTTGAAGGGCTCTGCCAGTTCCTCGATGTTGCTGTCAGACAGGATGGCGTCCAATATCTGCCTGACAACGCGTCGTCTACATTGTTGACTACGAGGTCGAAGGCAGCTCTATTCGCTCGACGCCCGACCAAACTTACTTACCTTACAGTTGGCAGAGCCCAGAGTGCGACCGATATTTTTGCTAAAGTGTACCGTCATATTGGATTGGTCAAAGAGCCAGCAGACTCTATGGCGCTTCAATCTCGCTTCCATATTGCTGTGTTCGCGAAACTCCACGGCGCCAATGAAGTGAAGCTTACACAGCTTGCACGCTTCGAGACAGAGCTTCAAGTCATATCGCAACAGTTGGTTCTTGATGCAGAGAAGGTAACTAATGATCAAGACGAAGCCTTGGACACGCTCTATCTGGACCTGTGGCAAGCTATCGACTCGAGCATTCCTGGAACTCTTCACACAAAAATCAGGGCTTCTTCCAAGGCCTCTGGGCAAGAATGGATCGAGCTTGCCCTTATTGGGCTGAGCGCCTACGTGCCAAACTACCCCCATGACCCAGCTCTGCGACCTATGATCGAGCGCAAGATGTTCAATGAAGAGAGAAACAGTCTCCTTCTTGCTCTCAGCGCTCTCAGGCAGTTCCAAACCCAATTTACTGGTCAAGACACGAGCCTGCGTATCCGACAGATCGAAATTGCCATTCGGAACCTGGGCCAAGAGCCTCCAGTACCTGCCATTGCACGTCCTGAGGTGTCACAGCTTGACGAACTGCAAGGTGAATTCACAAATCTGCTCAGTATCGTCCAGCCTCTACTCAGCAAATCTATGTCGGCGAGTGAGGCAGCCCTCGATGTTACGCTACATCAGAACGTTGTCCGCGTCATTCAAAGGCTGACGGAAGGGTACCGAGCTTATGACGATATTACCGACACCGTGGTTGGTCTCCTCGCCTGCCTGTATCTTGGATTGCTACTGGCTAAGAAGGAGCATGAAGATCATGTGAGGAGCAAGCCGAGAGAAAGTATACAGTACCTGTTCGGTGCGACTCCGTTCCTTGGTCTACACAACAATACTTCTTCTATCACCACATCAGATTTCATTCAGCGCGCGGAAGAAGCTTTGTCACGGGGCAATACCACCATCGACCCTCGCTGGCACGCCCTTTACGTTCTGTCTTTAGTCAAGAGCACAGACCCCAACTCAATGTCCCAGCCAGCAGCACGAGGGTTGTTACACGGCATCTTTACGTCATTTTTTACGGAGTTCAAGACAAAACTTCTCAAGGATCAAGAGAAAGAAGCGCAGGACAAAAGCCTATACTCTTTCCGCGGTATGGAAGAAGAAGAGAACGAAGAAGAAGACCGAACGCTGTTCCCCGACTATGAGGCTGAACAGGAGAACGGTGATCAATCTGCAACGTCTACTGTGCAGTCTGAAGCTCAAGCGACGTCACGTGACCATGCGATACGTTTGGCTAATATACACACCGAGCTATTCCTTGGTGGCGGGGAGGTGTCAGACTCGGTGAAGAACCTGCTCGATTGGTGTGCACTGGAGGTGAACCGTGTCGCCGAAGGCACCAGCCATGGCACCTCGCCCGAGGATAGTCTCCCTGCCATATACCTGGCACTCGAAAGGAAGTCTGACGCACTCAACAGCTCCGGCACTGGATCAAACTACAACTTCTACTTTGATGCGAACCTGCCTGAAGCCAAACGTTTGATCACTTTTGTACACCGCATCCAGGCTCGCTACCGTCAAATTCGTAGCGTCTGGCCCGAACATATGACGCTCACAGACGTTTTACGGACCTGCGACGAAGCTCTTGCCTTCCGCCATGTTGATCCTGTTGCCAAGTTCATCACCAAGGCCGAGAAACTGCACGCCTACATGTACGAGTGGCAGAGAGTCGCTAGCAAGCAATACAGTACTGCAGATCTTTTCGATGATCTGACAAAGTTACTGGTCAGTTGGAGACAACTTGAGCTCACGACATGGGCTAGGCTTTTTGATTTGGAAGTCGAAAAGTGCCGCGACAGTGCAAAGAGCTGGTTCTTCGTTGCGTATGAAACCATCATCGCGGCGTCTGAGAGTATTGAGGATGAACAGGCCATGAGAAGACATGCCAAAGACCTACTGAAGTCTCTGGAAAGCTTTTTCGAGAGCACCACGCTAGGCCAATTCGAACAGCGACTCAAGCTCCTTCAGCAACTTCGACAACATGCTGCGATGCGGATGCAGGACCATGAGCATTTCAGGATTCTCCACTCCGCGCTCGAAAATTTCATTGCGTACTTTTCACGGCTGGAGAAGCCGGTACACGAAGCGCTTACTAAGGGACGGCAATTGCTGGAGAAAGAGGTCAGCAACGTTATCAAGCTTGCAAGCTGGAAGGACACGAATATCGAGGCCCTTAAGCAGAGTGCAAAGACAAGTCATCGCAAGCTGAGTAAACTTGTGAGGAAGTTCAGAGCTGTGCTCAACAAGCCGGTCTCTAGCGTTATAAGCGCTGGGTTCGCGGACGACGGGTCTTTGCAAAGGGACGCCTCGGAAGCACTTGTCAGCCCAGCAATTAACCCTGAAGCCAACGCATGCTGCGATAGTCATGTTCCTGGCTGGATAGAGCGGCCTACACGTTTCAAGAACCTGCAGGTTACAATCAACATGATGCGCCACTTGTCCTTGCCAAGTAGCGACAGGGTCAATGGAGCGGCATATATCGAAGATCTCGTGAGTAGCGTCACAGCGTCGATAATGGAACTGCAAAAGGCCACGCCTTCTACCCTGACGGAGGACAACAAGACAGAAGTCCAACAACTCAAGACTCAGAAGCGCAAACTTTACGCGGATACGATGAAAGAGTTGCGCCAGATGGGCGTCAAGTCAAATCTGAGTGTTGACACTCTGGTCAAACAAGACGAGCTTTCTACAGTATTGTCGACACTGCCTATAGTTCACAGCACAGGTATTGGATGTGGCCTTGTTGCTGAAGGCCACTTGCACAAAGCGCTCAACCTGATGCCCCAAGTCCGAGCAGTGTCAAAGGAGCACTCGGGCGATTTGACAAGCAACGATGTTGCTAAGAGCATTGGGTACATTGAAGGCTTGTTGCAAATGTCGATCAAGCAAAGAACAATCCTTAGCCGTGCTAGTCAAACTCTCGAGGCAAACAAGACAACACTGACAATCGTCGCAAATCTTTGGCGGGCCGATGGAAGTACTCTTGTGGCTGCAACCCAACAGCATACTGAGGCAATCCAGTCTTTGCAGCCTAACTTGAGGTGGCTTGTCGCCGCGCTTGAGACTGCTACTAGTGTCGTTGCTGCACAGGCAAAACTTGGAAAGACGAATGAGCTTGATGTCTTGCTAAGAGCTATGCGGGATTGGACGACGAAAATGAATGATCTTGTCAGTGTATCCGACAAGTTGCCTGAGTTGCCATCCAACATCCATTCGGACGCCCATGAGGCATTTGACAAGGCTGTCAGGGCCACAACCGCAGACCTCCGATCCGCGTTCGACGGGTGGAACACCAACGAAATTGCCCGAACAACGCTCAAACACATTGTGCCGTTCATCTTCCGGATCCCGGAAGTCGATACTCGACAGAATTCGGACGAGTTGCAATACACAATCGATCAGTGCTCGAAGGACATCTTTAGTGCCTTAGACTCGATCTTGGGATCCATGCAAGATGTTGATGTCGCACTAAAAGAGCTCCCAACATCGTCCGAAGATGCTGCATGGCTGGTGAAAGAGGAACAGGCTCTGTCTGCTGCCATAGGTAGCATCCATGCGACCCAGATCTGCAACACTCTACAACTTATCCTTGAAAAGATGCAGTATCTCCACAGCAATGTCCATCTTCAAGGAATCGCTGCTATGTTCGCAGCCATTCAGCCTGTCTTGAACCAATACGTTGCATCACATCAGTACCTCGTAGATCGCTTTGACGCACTACATGCATCAACAACCGACCTTCTCTACCGACTTTCGAGATCGTTCATACAGGTTGGTACTCAAGGTTTCTGCCAACCCCCCGAGAAGTCTTCAGATCAACAAAAGGCTAAGGACGACAAACTTGAGGAAGGCACTGGTCTCGGGGAGGGCGAAGGTGCGGAAGACATTTCCAAGGACATTGAAGACGACGAGGATCTCGAAGACCTGGCTCAAGAGAAAGGTGAACGGGAAGGTAGTATTGAAGAGCAAGACGATGCTGTCGATATGGGCGAGAATGATATGGAAGGGCAGACTGAAGAGGTGGGTGAGAGAGAGGACAAAGGTGATGAAGAGGGCGAAGAGGGCGACGACGATGTGCAGAGCGAAGTTGGAAGCGTCGATGATCTTGGTCCAAGTGCGGTGGACGAGAAGATGTGGGATGAGGGCGGTAAAGACGAAGACGCAAAGGACAAGGAGGGCAAACAGGATGTCGGTACTGAGGACCAAGAGGAGCAGGTCGCTAGTGAGCAGAAAGAGAAGGAGAAAGAAGAAGCTGGCGAGGAAGGCAAAGAAGAGGACAAGAAAGACGGTCGGGACGGCGAAGAGGATGAAGAAATGGAAGGAGAAGATCAAGATGAAAACGTAGGTGCGGGCGAAACTGAGCAGATGGACCCACACGCGAAAGAGGAAGAGACCCTTGACCTTCCTGAGGACCTCAACATGGATGGTCAAGATGAAGACAGCAAAGATAACGAGCTGGATGACTTGGATATGGGCGATGATGTTCCCGAAGATGGAATAGATCCTGATGTGGACCCCGACGCTGGACCTGACACCGTTGACGAAGAGATTGGCCCCGAGCAGGAAGATGAGGAGGAGAAGGATACGACCGGTCATATCCAAGATGAAGAACCACCGGCGGAGGACGAAGACGAGGAAGGCGATGAGCTAATGGAAGATGATGCCATTCCTTTACCCGACGAAAATGTGCCGGATGACGAGCCCCGCGAGCAGAAGGACACCGACCAGACCGATCCGAATGCTGAGGCAGGAGCCGGTACAGAGGCAAATGAAGAAGCACATCAGAACAAGAATGAGCAAGCCTCCGCCAGCGCTGCCAATCGCGACGAGGGTGAAGAAGGCGACGGGTCAGATCAAAAACAAGATACTGCTGCCGAGGATGGTACACTAGGTGAAACAACTGCTCCTGATGCAGGCGGCCGTGGTGAGGAACCTGAACAGTCAAAGGAGTCTCAATCCTTTAAGAAGCTGGGCGATGTGCTAGAGAAGTGGTACAACCAGCAGAAGGAGATTTCCGAAGCGCGGGAGAAGGATGAAACCCAAATTCAACAGATCGATAAAGAGATTGACATGGCCGACCAAGACTTTGAGCATCTTCAGGATGAAGAGCAGCAGGCTGATACCCAGGCACTGGGCACCGCGACCGAAGAGCAAGCCAAAGCGCTCGACCACGACATGGCCATGCCGATGAATGAGAAAGAGGAAGAAGACAAAATGCCTACTCGACCCGAGGACAACGATCAAGACACGGCCAATCCACAGGATGTGGAGATGGATGATGCGGATAGCAAACCTGAGGTCGAACAAGAGGAGCAGCAGCCTCCACCTGGTGCCACAGACGGACTGCCACAAGCTTTCATAGGTGATCAGAAGCCTTTCACCAGTCAAGACGATGAAGATATGAACGACGCTATGCCTCTTGACGAAGACTTGTCCGATTCTGAGTCCATACAAGAAGTCGACCATCGACTTGAGACTACGCATCTCGAAGCATCTGCTATGGACTCAACGACCGCCCGATCCCTTTGGCTTGCCCACGAAACAGCAACGCACTCGCTCTCTCAACAACTTACCGAATCTCTTCGCCTAATCCTTGCGCCTACACTTGCGACCAAACTCCGCGGCGATTTCCGTACAGGAAAACGTCTCAACCTCAAGCGCATCATCCCTTACATCGCATCGGGTTATAAGCGTGACAAGATCTGGCTGAGGCGTAGCCAGCCAAGCAAGCGCAGCTACCAAGTCATGATTGCACTGGATGATAGTAGGAGTATGGCGGATAGTGGGGCTAGCAACCTTGCGCTCAAGACTTTGACCTTGGTTACGAGATCGCTAGCTATGCTTGAAGTTGGCGAAGTGTCAGTCGTAGGATTCGGCGACTCGGTAAACGTGGCGCACGACTTTGACAAGCCATTTACGTCTGAAGCGGGTGTAAGGGTATTCGAGCAGTTTGGGTTCGACGCCGCGAAGACCGATGTCCGCGGGCTTGTTGACAAGTCGCTCGATCTCTTCGCCGAGGCAAGGAGCCAGGGAAGTTCAAGTGCAGGCGAAGATCTGTGGCAATTGATGCTCGTTGTCAGTGACGGTATATGCGACTCACATGCGGAGATTCAACGCCTTGTCCGTAAGGCGCAAGACGAGCGAGTCATGATTGTTTTTATCATTATCGATGCAACAGCAGCTGCGCCGTTTGCTGCGCCGGTGCCAAACTCCAGCGACAACTCGGCCAGTCAGACCGGGGTGCCAAAGAAGGAGTTGAAGAAAATGAGTATTCTGGATATACAGTCAGTGAACTTCACACCTGAAGGTAAGGTGGACAGGTGGAAGTACATGGAGCGCTTTCCATTCAAATACTACTTGGTAGTTAGGGATGTGCGAGAGTTGCCAGGAGTGTTGGCAGGTGCGCTGAGGCAATGGTTTGGAGAAGTCGCGGGAAGTGGCTCATAGGTATCTGCATCTGCACCATATGGCGTTCTGAACATGTGTGGTACATTTGTGGGGTCTGGGGTAAAAATTGTAGGCTTGGATCTACAGGAGTAGATGGGGGTCTGCAATAATCGCAATTGTTCGAGTTCAGTGTACGTGCCCTAGTTTGTGCATGCACGGAGATAATTGGCGCTTGGAGCATGAGGCTCTTGTGCCCGTTGTGGGTATAGTAGTTGCGGCCCGTTCCCGTTCACACTCTACCCCGCAGAAGTGATTGTCTGATGCAGTCACAGCTCTAAACATGAATCAAGCGTTCAGGACTGGATAGAATGATGATATTGACTGAGCTCTATTGAACCGACTCATGACACTTCTAGTTTGCCAACGAACCTCCAGCACCGTTGACCTTCTCGCAGTAATGGTTCAGTTCGTCTCCCCCAATGTGCCACGCTGGGGAGGAGCAGACGTTCAAGTTGCCAGTCACTTTCTGCTCAAAGTCAGTATACTCAACGACTGCCCCTCAAGAGGTGCTTACCATCTCGCAGTCCGGGCACTGATCCCACTGCTTGTTTCCAGTGTTTCGTGCTTTGTAGTTACCGCATGCGGCTTTGGTTGCGGCTTCGTTGTAAACCGCGACACCTCCCTTGTAGTCAACGCAGATACCGGCGTTGTGGAGGTCTGCGGCCACGAAAGGTGCCAACAGGGTTGTGAAGAGGAGGATTGCGGAAGTAGAACGCATCTTGATGTTTTTGAATGAGTGTCGAGGCCTGAAGCGAATGAGTGTATGTAAAAGAGAGACTGTTTGGATTGCGATGATGGCTGTCACGGCCAGGTTGTGCTGGATACTTATCTTCTGGCTGTCTCGATGTACGACCTTACTACTCCTTCTCTGTTGTAAGCTGCCAAGCTGTCAAAGTGGATTGGGAGATTACTCGGTGAAAATGTGGCGAACACCATAGGGCTTGAAACACCAGCCTCTACGCAATGGGAATCGTTCAACCGGTCTGAACTGGTGTTATTTCGGCTATTCAAGAGCGAACACGAGGCTATCAGCCCTGTAGAGTGTCCGCATGCAACTGTCACGCTCGTTTGGGTAAGGCATGCTTGTCTACGTCACGGTTGTGAAACGTCATGCACTTCGGTCCGATCGTTCTATTCTTACGCGAGCCAATTGGGAGTGACGCCGAGACAGCGCATTAAGGAACAGGAAAGTCGAATCTCAAAACAGTTTGTACTGGCGAATGGGAGTCTGTCTAGTGATTCTCCAGGTACGTGCTTTCGCCGCAAGGAACAGCCCGAGTAAGTTGCGATATTCATCAAGGTGCGGACCGATGATGCCCCTCCACCCCACTCAAGGTACTGCCAAGTGTCTGCCCTAGGGCTATCATGCGGTAGCATCGGATTTATCTTGTAATGGGGCTGAATGGTCAGTAGCAAGTCAAGCCTGTATAAGTACGGTTACCAAGTTCACTTGGAATCATCATCGTCGCTTGAGCATTCCAACCTACAACACACATTCGTTCCTTCGGTCTCTCAGACTCAGTCATTCTTTCAATATGCACTTCACTCAAGTTCTTGCTCTCGCTTCCAGCGCAGCACTGGTTGCTGCCGCCCCGGCTCCTATCACCGTCGGCGTCGACGATGTCATTCTCTACGGCAAAGATGGTCGCTTCACGGTCATGAAGCGCGACGATCTCGAAGAAGTCAGGAAGCTCCGCGAATCTGGTGTCGCGCCTCCTAAGCCCGGCAACCTTGATGATACTCTTATCACTATCCCTGCCAACTCGACCACCGGCTCCGACTCTCTTCAGAAGCGTGCAACTCGCCTCATCATCCCCAACCCTCACCAGCGTTTCTTGGGCTGGGACGTTCTGACCAGCCAGGCTGTCAAGGGTAAGGAACCTATCACAAGTAATGACACCATGCTAACAACCCTCTAGGTGCGCCCACAACTATTTCCATCTCCACTGGCTACTCCATCTCCAACACCATCACCATCGGCTCAAGCGCTTCGTTCTCGCTTGTGGAAGACTTCCTCTCGGCTTCCGTCTCGATTGATTATAGCACCTCGTGGCAAACTTCTCAGACCCAGGCGTTCAACGCCGAGGTCCCGGCTGGAAAGTATGGTGCATTTGTAACCAATGCATGGACCAACCGTGAGAGCGGAAATGTTTGGGAGGGTACGATCGGTGGCGAAGGTAGCTTGACATACTACCAGGCAGATTCTTTCGAGAACAAGGGCTACGGAGACATGCAATGGGTCGACGGTGTCATTTCGCTCTGCACGAGCGATTCGTTCCCCATCAAGAGGTGTATTGGTGAGGGCAACTTGTAGATATGGTAGACCATGAGCGGAAATGGGGCTGAGTCGCATGCTTGAATGCATGGAGTTTGTCTGCGTGTGCATCAGGTTACTTCATATCACATAATAGACAAGATAAAGCACGAATGCTCTTGCCTTATATCTATGTAATGACCCTCAACCTTCCTCTGGCGTTTACTACCAATGTCGTAACATAACAACCATGTATCGTTTAGACAAGAACTGAAGTCATCGATGTCTCCAATAACAATATGAACGGCATTGAATACAAGATTCCCAGATCCTCATCACGCGAGCTGCCCAATATTGGCATGTGACTTGAGCTTGCGATGCTACCATCTGACGAATTGCGCCTCATTGAAGTTACAAAATGCATCCACGGAAGTGAGCCATGGGCTTAAGGGGTGACGAAAATGAGGTGTTCGTCACGCGATTCGTTTGACTTCGAACTTTGTTCGGACGTCTAAATTGTTGCTATCTCATTTCGATCGTCGTGAGATAGCCTACCCACCAGACTGCAGCGTCATATTCTAGCTGCACTGCGAAGACTATTGGGAGCTGCAAGCAAGGCCCTAGCTCCCAATATGTGAGCTCACAGTCCAGAATACACCATGCCCATGGCTACGTAATGTTAAGTTCTGTTGTGGAGGTCAGATGATATTCAAACCAGACTCCACTCTATCTTGAATTAGCTCGAACTTAGGACTTACATGCTCAGAAACATCTCCGAGTAGACTCCTTTCCTATTTCCTAAGAGCATTCGATACGCTAGAGCGAGGTCCATTCATAGCGTGGTAGCACTGTGCTGTCAGTGTACAGTTCGGCTTACTGCAGTCAGTCCCACTGCCGCTCGGACAGACTGCACACACCATTCTCGATGTAATGGGACCCCCTGACTAGTGAGGTAATCGCCCCATTGAACATGACACCAACGATAAATCCAACTAAGGGGGGGTTCGATGTCCCCCAGATCCAGCCAAATGGATTCACTTGGATCCTCAAAGCAGCCTTTTTCAGAAATAAATGAGTTCTCTGCTCGCAAGACTTTTTCACTCGATGCACATCATGCATATGCAGGTCAAACAAGAACAAGGTGCTTGCAAGCGTGAGTCGCATAACATGCTAACTTTTGTCCAACACATCTGTAGCGTCTGGGTAAGGATCGAGCATATGTATTGAGACAGTTAGAAGGCAAGGGTGTAGTGCGTAAACATCGCTCGGGCGCAAACGATTCAAACTTCGAGAAGTTTGCTGCGGATCAAGAAATTGGGTACTGATTCACAGAGATGAAGGTCCACAGTGAATAGGCATACTGCCGGCCGTAGAAAATCAAAAGACTAAAATCAGGCGGAATTTGTCTACTCATACTCATGGCTCCTTCTTGCGGTACAGCCCGGGGCATGTCAACATCGGCTGTAACGGATGCCTTCTGGTATGACAGCGGTAACGAGTATCAGCTTCGTGACACTGGGTGACTAAATAGCACAGCATCTTCTCCCGTTGCAAACGATGATCGAAAGTCTTAGGTGTCCTTCTTGAGAGTGTTTGGGGTTCGAAGTAGCTCTGTAAAGATCGCAATCAGGGCCGAGCTTTTGGTCCCGATGTCTCCAAAAGTCAGAAAACGTATTCTATTGAACTTGTCTTTGAGGATCGGATGTAAAGATTGAACGATGTTTCTCAATAGTCTGGCGTATATAGATAAGTTGGCGCCACTGATACTTGCCTTCACATATGATGATCGATGACCTACTGAGACAGCCACGATTGCGAGGTACATCGCCTGCAACTATGTTGAGGATATGAAACGCTGTTGCAAGGTAAGCTTCATCCAAGATTCGGCGTTTCTTTTGCTGAGCCGATTACCCAGGCCAGGTTCTCGGTTCTCCATTATGCCACCACGCGGGATTATCCTGAGCCTTTCAACAAAAACTGTCCAGCATTATGCACACCCATGTTGCGGATTTCTCCACACAAAGCCGCTCTTCAGGGTTCGCGACTGGAGCAGCGACAACGGCGAGCTTCCTACTGTGTACGTACTGCCTTCTTCATGTGCAGGGACAAGAAGGCCACACTGCATGTGACCCACCTGCGCTAAGTTTGTGTCGGCCCGAAGTATCGCATCCCCGACCCCGGACCCACTAGCAAGGCACACGTCTCAGGGAGCGCTGTGATGACCACGACGACACGAAAGTGATTCTGCGAGAGCCTTCACTTCCAAGGTCAACATCGAGGTTTCGTTATGGATAGGCGCACTTTTGGACCTGCGGATACTGTACAGTACATTTGGACGACCCTGGGTCTTCCAAAAGATGCGCTAGAGTCCCTGAATCTTCCGACCGAGGCAGAATACTGCCCTTCTTCATTCAAGGTTGGGCACCTGGCTCAAGCCTCCATCGCCTTATCAGCTCTTTCTGCAGCCCTCGTCTGGTCGGCCCACCACGAAAAGCCAGTACCGAGTGTAACAGTATCAGCAAAGCATGCTTGTGCCGAATTTAAATCTGAACGCTTGTATGTGCTCAACGGGAAAGCCGCGCCCTCCACTTTCGGCACGATTGGTGGTCTACACAAGACTCGGGATGGTCACATCAGAATGCATGATGGGTTTCGAAATCACAGAGAGATTGCTCTGCGAGTTCTAGGGCTGAGGGAAGGTGCAACGAGGGAGGATGTCGCTCAAAAGATGTTACAATGGAATTCGATCGATCTCGAGACCAAAGCGATCAGGGAGGGTGCAGTGATGGCAGCGCTTCGGTCTTTCCAAGAGTGGGACGCGCTCCCACAGTCGAGAGCAGTTGCTGATCTACCTATCCTATTAGACAAGATCGCAGATGGAACAAGAGATTCAACCAACAGCAGTCAATCAACGCAAGCAACTAAGTGTCTCCAAGGCATTCGCGTGGTTGAGATGTCGCGCGTCATTGCAGCTCCAGTAGCAGGAAAAACCTTGGCAGCACATGGAGCGGTCAGTGATGATTCGTGGTTGTAATTAGTCGAGCAGCAACTAAACAGATGACAGGACGTTGTGTGGATTACCTCTCCTTCGTTGCCGGATCTCCCAGACGTTGATATCGATGTTTCGAGGGGAAAGCGGACGGTACAGTTGGATATCAAGCGCCCCACCGATAAAAAGGAACTGTTAGAACTTCTACGTACAGCGGATGTCTTCATCCAGGGCTACCGACCAGGTAGTCTTGCTGCTCAAGGTCTATCAAACAAGGATCTCGTTGAATTGAACCCGAACCTTATCATCGCAAGTCTGAGCGCGTACGGTCCAGACGGTCCTTGGTCACAACGCCGTGGCTTCGACTCCCTTGTGCAAACATGTTCCGGTATCAACGTTGCCGATGCTGAGCGGTACGGGTCCAGTGAGACGGCTATGGTGCTTCCATGTCAAGCCCTAGATCACGGCTCTGGCTATCTATTAGCCACAGGCGTCATAGCGGCTTTATATAAACGAACGACTGAAGGTGGAGCTTATGAGGTGAGAGTGTCCCTTGCAGGTGTGATGCGATACCTGCGTTCACTCGGTCAGTACGAAGGTAAAAGCGGATTTGATCGCAGGGATATCAAAGGACCTGAGGAAGCGGGCGATTTTCTGGAGACAAGGCTGACGGAATTTGGTGAGCTGAAGGCTGTCAAGCATGCCGCCCATATCGATGGAGTGGAGGTTGGGTGGGTGCACATGCCAAAACCTTTGGGTCGCGATAATCCGGTTTGGCTACCTAGGTAGTCAAGCCACACGACCATTGTGCTGAGCCTGAGGCTGCATACTTTGCGTCTATGCGTCCAAAACTCTCACTAAGGTATCCTCGAGGGATGCGGTGTTTGTCATCTGAGTGTCTCGAAAAACGGGTCCATGAGCTGCATAACGTCATGATGCACTTCGCTGTTCCCATCTCCTACACAGGTACCTTATCTCTTCATATTCAAGAGCGGCTAGTCGCAAATGTATTTCATATCTCATCATCTCTTGTAGTCTCCGCCTCAATAATGAGGATGGCCTCGGCCAAACCCAAAGGACTCTCTTCATAATTGGTTCGACTGCAGTTGACTTGTTCGCTAACTATGTCTATCACAACACGCAGGAATATCGTGTAAGCAAGAACATAAAATGTGGGAGACGAGCTGCGGCCAGGCCCAGAGGATTGTCTCACTTGCAAAGGGTGTTTATCGTACGAAGACAGGCATCTACATTCCATCATCTTCAAGTCTGTTAGCTTGGAGTCTGTAGTAGTACAAAGGACGGGCAAACGAAGCTTAAAGAACGAAGGCGATCGTATGTGGTATTCCACCCAGGCCATAGAACAATGGTCTTTCGGTACATCAACCGTCGCTTCTCAATGAGAGCTTATGTAGATACTTACAATCTGCGTGTGCTAATCCTATTTAAACGATCGTACTTCTAAATTTTTAAGACAGTTTGAATCATCGCTCTATCTGCGATCGACGTAAAAAGGGAGCTGTGAAACACTGACGTCATGGCATACTGGTACCTGCAGCAAACATCACCGTATCCACCATTCCCCCTGTAAACCACCAATAACGAGCTTTCTGCCATCTGGAATCACGAAAGCCCTCCCGCCCGCACAAGGGAAGAAATCAAGAGACGACATGGCTGCCGAAGTTGTAGCCGGAGCTTACATCGCTGCAGAGGCCATCGAGCACACCGCTGAGGCTGGCTACGCAGCATACATCGTTTCCAAGCCAACGCTACCTCTCAAGGCTACCTTCCATCGGATAGCAACGACTTCGGGTGATCATTCCGGGTAAGCTTTTGCCATGGACTGCTTCCAGAGTCCGCTAACATCTGAAGTCGATCACTAGAGAGATCGCATCACACTTTGTCAGTCGTCAAGAACAAAGCATATATCTTCGGTGGTATCACAGCGGACAATCAGCTAGCAAGTAACGAAATTCATGCGGTGACTCTCCAGCACTCCGGCGAGCCTGAGATGGACTACGGCCTGATCCCGGCTATTCCTTCAATCGAGGGCGAACGAGTTCCAGATCCGCGATCGAGTCATGCAGCCTGCACATTCCATGGTAATATTGTCGTGTATGGAGGCTGTAACGAGAAAGACGAACTGAGCGATGAAAAATCATCAGTATGGATGTTCAGCCCAGAACGCAAGACCTGGGAACATCTGGTGCCTTCGACTCTCGACCTTGCCCCTGGTCCACGACGACAAGCAAAGCTCTTCGCGCAAGACAAGTGCATTGTTCTTTTCGGTGGCTACGATGGATCGGGCGATCGGGCTAGTGATATCTGGCAATTCGATATCGCTTCAAAGGTGTGGTGGCAATTACCAACTGCGCCGGTTGCTACCGGCAATGCAGCTCTAGCCAACGATCAGCTCTGGATGATCTCTGGCACAGATTCTATGAGTAGTCAGATTCATCACTTGGATATCTCTTCGCCCAAGAACGAGATGTCATGGGATACTTTCACCTTCCCAACAAATCCGATGGCTCCTGGTCCTCGCGCTCGGCAAGACGGTGCGCTCATACCAATCCACACCGGCTACGGCCGCAATTACCTTATCTACCTCCTTGGTGCCCGTGCAGACACATCATCAGTGACAACCATCGCTCCCGAAGACCCGAAGCATGCCAACGATGCTACGCAATGGAGCGACACCTGGGCTTTACAGATACCTTCTAGCGACCTTCAGGTGAAAGCCTCCACGTCGTTCAAGGAGGCTATCAAACCAGCGAAGATCAAAGACGCGATCAGATCCGCTCTCGGGGCAGACACCCATGAGCTGTCTTGGGGCGAAGCTGTCGTTCAATTGCCGTCTGAGAAAGAGATGGAAGAGATGGGAAAGCTACATCCGGGTCCCAGGGCTTTCTTCGGTGCTGATGTTATGCAGGACGAGACGAGTATAGCCCTGTGGGGTGGTGTAAATGCGAAGGGAGAACGCGTCGGCGATGGGTGGATAATCAGCTTGGCATAGACGATACTGCTGCTCTACATAGCCAGCAAGTGTGACAAGGAACACACGCGAGATAGTCGCGGCTCGGAAAGAAGTGATCGGTCATCTTCTCAGATTCTGCTCTGTGAGAATGTTTCGACGCATTTAGCGGAGCTTCACGTGCATTCTTGGCAACTGGGAGCGGATGTGGTGAACATTGTGTCTGTCTTCGCAGATGCAATGCACTGCTCATGTTGGCTTGCTGTGATTAGCATTTATCCCAGAGACTGACATAAGATGTCCATCCTCCGTTATCGAATAGATTGAAAACTTGGAATTTACACGGGTAATATTAGTTTACGTCCCACTCGTTGACAATGGGAATATAGCACAGTAATTTACAGTATACGACTCCGCTCCGTTGACATGGGAAATACAGTTCCCCCGTGATGGGCTTTCTTTCTTGACAATACTCAGTGTTACCAGATGCCTTCAATCTTCCTCCTGACGTATGGTTCTCGGAATTTTCTTACTTGAGTGCAAGTGGTAAAGATACAGTGTCGTTCATACGTACAGCTTGCTAACCGGATTGGCGTGATTCAAGCGTGATCTCGATGAGAACGTTTGTAGAAGCAATGGAAAAATGGTAGAGATCGAGCGGGGCGGTCCAAGCCGACTGACTTTCGATATGACTATACTCTAATCCCGTTGCCATATACCAATAAGCCAGCATACTCTCAGCAACGCCAGTCCCCAAGCCATGCCGATACTATCCCAGATCACGTTGAGTTTGCTTCCCATTACCTCCTTCCATCCTATCGCGACTTCGATCATGGCAATATCAGCGCTCTCGGCCAGCATGAGCATCTCAACATCGAAGATCCAGCCTTCTGAGTGCATGTAAGGCACGATATATGGCAGAGACGGCCTGGAAAAGAGTTTGAAGCCGCACTGTGTATCTTTGATGCGGGCGGTTGCGGCTGGAGTCATGACGCGCAGAAGAAGATGGAAGGAGTACATGAGAAAGTTGCGGAGCCTGGAGCGCTGGTTTGACTTAGTGTTGATAACTCAGCATGAGATAGTGGCAAACATACCTTGACAACGGCTTCGCTGCCTACCAGGTGAGCTCGGCTGCCAATTGCAACACCTCGACCATCGATATCCTCAATCGTTCTACAGCCCTCGACCAGCTTGCCTAGGTCGCTGAAACGACTTGCGCCATCTGCATCCGCGAAGACAATGTACTTTCCTCGTGCGTGCCTCATGCCATGAACCACTGCGCCACCCTTGCCTCGATTCACTTCCAGAGTGATGACACGAATACTACCATGTGGAATATGGGTGGAGGGAAGGGTCATTTCAGTACCGTTCTTTGTCCATGGCCCAGCAATTGGGACTGGGTGTTCGCTCAATTGATGTTCCTTGGCAAATTCCAGCGCCCTCTCCACTGTCTTGTCCGTGCTGCCATCGCTAACAATCAGTAGCTCCCAGCCCTTGTCTTCCTTGCCACCCTTCTCGCCTGCATGCGCTGAGCCATACTGCCTCTGTAGGTAGTCCACAGCCTCTTCCAGCATGCCACCCATTCGCTCTTCTTCGTTGTACGCGGGAACCACAACAGTCATGAACAGTTCCGCCTCTTCGATAGGCATCTGTGGCGGTATCACGACCTTTGTTCCCGGTGTCTTCGCAGCCTCTTTCTTCGCCAATTCCTTCTCGGCAGCCCATTTGTCCAGCCAACATGGCAGTTGCTTCAGCCCGCTTCGTGTGCCGTCAGGCAATATGGTTTCGTATTGCTTCTCAGATGGTCGTGGAAGTCGAGGAGAGGGCGCGAACAGTGTAAGGGCAACGTACGTCTACGCGATTGCTTTAGTGACCCTATGTATGCTATGTTGCAACGCGTGCTTACCCAAAACAACAGCGCGCCTACTAAGAAGGTCAGGCCCACGAGGATAGCCCAAGTCGGGGGCATTTCCAGTCTCTGTTTAGGAAAGCTCTCAAAGCCATAGCCAGATCCCAGCTTTGATGTATCGAAAGCGCGGTTCGACATGATATAGCGACGATACCCAGTGTGGGCTAAGGAATGCGTAGGCTACCGGAAGATCTTCTCAGACATCTACAACGCACTCAAAATGCAAATCTCGACGTGAGAAGCTCAATCGAAAGGTCAGCGTAAACTTGTAGTGGTGCAGCCAATTGACTCGCGAAGATGCAACGTGTTTGCTGACGTAGACCGAGGGAGCGGGTGGGACGCGGTGGCACTTGCGCTCCACAAGCCACACGCTAGGAACCGGTAGCGTCAGGCACAGCCGGCGACTGAAGACCCGTGTCAATCCCCGTAACTTTCCTCGCACCATAGGTCTTAGTTCAAATACATATTCTGGCACAGCATCATTCGACACAAGGACAACACACGCTATGCTCGCAAGCTGAACTCCTCTCTGATGTCTGTACTTGCTCACACAGATTATGACATTTTGTCTTTCTTCCAGCACCGCCTGATATCCCTCTGCAAGCAACAGAAATAGGCACGAAGAAAGCTGGAACTGCTTTGCTCCAGCCTGATCGTGGACTAAGTTACGGGTCAAACCGCTGATCAGACGCGGCAAGATGAATAGGGAGCGAGAGTTCGCCTCTGTCCAAACTACCTGGGTCCTACTCGGCACATTCAGTGCTCTTGACGTGTACGATGATCACCGGACAGGAACACAAACCTATTGGCCTGCTTTTGTCGCTCGTGCTGGAGCCCTCGACCGCACAAATCAACGACCGCGTGAGCTCTGCAGCTCAACGAGTTCTTGCTCCGACCTCGGCCATGGGGAAATCATGATCAAGTATGATTATCCTTCTACCATCAACGATTTCACATACGACCATAGGACGTTGAAAACAAGGCTTCCCGTTCGCTCAGCCCTATTTAAGCAACGTACCGGTAGACTAGTACTCAGGTGGGTGACCACTGGGGAATCCCTACTGTTGTATGTCTCTACTCTCTTTTTGCCTCCATTTTACATCTGAAGTCGTGTGTGGTGGCCCAAAAAGTTGTTTGGCGCCTCTGTCTCTGTACGTGGTGTTCCTTCCTCAGCATCGTGAAGGCAACTGCCCCTAATTGGCGCTTACTTTTGACAACGGTTTTGTATGGATGGTCAGTGATTGACTGGTCTCTCGTTACGCGCTCACAGCGGTTTAGGCGTTCTTCGGGTACAAAAAAACAATGCACAGCATGGATCCGCATTGCGAATCTTATGGTTACAAGACTAGCGGTTCCCTACAGCTGGGTCCATGCCGTAGTGTTGGATTCAGTGCAAAACAGAAACAACTTCAACTCTTTTTTGACAAAAAAGAGTTAGTTTGAGCTCACAGCACGGATAGTACCTGGTCAATGTTCCGTCCTGGCAATCTCGAGATGAGACATCCCTGCGAGAGCCTTCTTTCAGTCCGTGCAACGGGTGTCACACAAACAGATCTCGATAACGCACCTAAGCGAACATGTAGTATCTGCCGAAAGCAGCAGAGGTTTGAGCGCACGAGGCCGTGGCTTGGGTTTGGAAAGCGACAAGTCATCTCTTCAAGATCTACTACTGGCACCTATTCGTCAGCTTGGGTCAGTACATGCATCTTTTCTCAACAATCTTCGACACTTCGACGATCTCACCGAACACTCAGTCTTAACGGTCAATTCTTGGTGGGTTACAAAACATGTGTCCCATGTTCGTTCCCGAAGATGTGGAGGCAAGTCTATCGATATCGAAGCCTTCGTTTGATGGTCAGCTCACACCGATAAATTCGGTGTGGTGATCCGACAAGACGGACTGATCCATTGTTTGTCGAATGTATGGTAACGAGATTATGGATGGCCTGACCACATACACACCTTTGGAACTCGCGAGCATAGCACGGATCCCATTCATTTGCCGGGCTTTTCTAACACAGTTGTCAAGAGACATCTGCAGAGAAACATAAACAACAAACACTCGATTCCCCGTTTCAACTTACTTCACTTGATGGTATTCCGATATGTGGTCGTAGAGGTGTGAATCACTGCATATGCCAGACCATATCCGCGTGTTTGCCAAAAACGCGTGCCTGACACCCATGATTCAGGGATGTCTGCAGGTGAGCTTCGTGTTTATAGGTCGCCTTTATTTTTGTGTGACAAAGGCGCTTTGCGGATCGGGGCGTCTGTCACCCGAAACACGCCTCTGAGCGAAAGCTTCTCGCAAACCTGTCAAAACAAGATTGATGACATTGACGCTAACAGCGGAAGGCTTTATACTGTGGAGGTAAATGCAGGCATCATCTGCAAGCCGCCCGTCGCTCTTAAATTACCGACAACGCTTCGTGACGATCGTGGCGACATGCAGCCGTATAGGGATGCCATAGACAAGCTGACCGCAGTATCTTGATCAGACTTACTTCTTGCCTTTGTTTGAGATTACCGCAGAATTTGCTTGTCAAACCTGCAATCTTGAAACAGTACACGACAGGCCTCTGCACTACCACCCTTGCGAACACGCTGGAATGGGATATTACTAAGGCCATGTGGTTATCTGTATTTAGAAGGGGGTATTAGCATGCAGTACAACTATACTCGCGTGTGTTGACCTGTTGTGTGAGCTCGCTTGCCCCAGAACAGGAAGCCTGACTGGCTGCCATATTGCCACTCCCCGCACATGGGTCTCGGTTCTGAACGTAAACATTTGCAGAAACTCGTCGTTTTTCGATTCTTTTGGTTTTAGCCGCATCAGGCTACAAGTGCAGTTCCTGTGTCCGGATCATGTACACAGAACAATATAAGACTGGATACGGTGTCGCGGCCTCCTGCCTTCTACATTGGCGCCTCTTAAATTCTTTTCATCGGCCTTCTGTCATCATCTGCGTGTGATTTTTATATCCGCACATCTTCTCCTGCAAAACGCTACAGAACAGACCCGAGAACAGAGGTCGGCCAATTTCATTCTCAATCCACGCGTCCAAACTCGTGCAGTGTTGTATTTGTGGCAGCCATGACGATGGCCAGCCCCGATCAGGATCCTGGGCAAACAGCGAGACAATACTTTGCCATTCAAACTCTTATAGAGGAAGGATTGAAACAGGAGGAAATTTTGGCTTCTGTGCGTGCCTACAATCGCGCGGCTGAGAACCGATTCTTCGATCTGATCGCTGCAATTGCTGCTATCCCCTCTGAAGCTGTTCTTCTTGCAATAATGCAAGAAATTCGTGCGTATCATTAATCACATCTAAGTCGGAGAGACTGACTTTGCATCAGTTGATGCATCTCCCAGGACTATCGTTGGTAACCGCCATGTTAGTCACATCCATTCCTCCATGAAGTACAACGATGCTAAACATCATGAGGCTCGAACGCTCGACGAGGTATCTCCATATATTGAAACGCCTTCAAGGCAATCTACAGATATGATGTCCAGGAAGAGACCAGTCGTCAGAAGACGCTGTCCCGGCAACAGCTGTAGTTGGGCATGCCCTGATAGACCAATGGACGGAAGGAGACACTGGCAATCATTCAAACCGTTCTCCGATCACTTCATTGCTACGCACATACATAGCTACAGAACTGAGACCGGCGCACATGCCATATGCTCCTTCTGTCAACCACCAGTCGCCTTTAACGGCGATGGCACGTTGCTTGTTCATCATCTCTGGACATCGCACATGGATCCTTATCTGTCCATTTCAGCACTTCCTGCCTCTTGACACGATCGCTCCATTTCGGAGACCAGCTTTATTACTCCGGTGATACAATGATCTTCGGCCTCAATGTAGCGTCGCGGGCTCTCACTCACGACGTTGCTGGTCTTCATGCAGGTTCATTGTTACGGCACATCTTCTGGTCGGAAACTCATGTATCTGTAATAGTATCCGATCTTTTCCTATCATTGTATCACTACGGCGTCGTATCCGCCGAGAAGCTTTTGGCTCGGGTGTCGTGTTGTCGAAAAACATGTTGATGTCCCAGATCTGGTAACAACGACTGGAAATTCTCGCAAGTTTTTGTTCAACTTCCAGTAGATAACAAAGATTCCATTTCCCATAGACTCAGGACACATGATGTAAGATCACGAGCCTTCCACGGCCAGTCTGAACGTCTCTATAGCACTTCTGCGCCTGTCACGCAAGTTATAACTTTTTTCTGGTGACGACTAGATCCAACATGTCCTCTTCATATTTGATAAATCATAAACACACAGATAATGTGAAAGCAAGGAACGAAGACCAGAGGACCAAGATGGTATTTGCAAAATATGTTCATCTGCACATTGTCTTTGCGTGTGCTGGGATTTGAGCTTTGCAAAACCAGTCACGAACAAGTAAGCACGATATTAACAGGCGGAAAAGCATATGGTTATCTAGTTGTCATTGAAAGTCCAGACTCAACAAAGAAAACGATAATAATAAAGGATGTGTCCAATCTACATCTACAGTCTATCCTGATCCATGTGGAGCTACCAGGCTACCAGCCGTTAAGTCTAATTGTAACTCCAATCCCCAAACATGAAAGGTCATAATCTCAGTCTATCTCTATCACTTCTATGAAGCCAGCTTCACTATACACGCCCAGGGTGATTGTCTTCCTTTCACGCTCCAACAGGGGCGGTACCGGTGTAGATCTGACGGGGGCGCCAGAGGCAGGGCTGAGTCTGCATGGACTCGCGCCAGTGACCGAGAATACCAGCGGAGCGGGCAGTGATGGCGAGGGGAGTGAAGATGCGGACATCAAATCCGCTAGATGTTTGTTAGTATGCGTTCTGTCTGGTGAATCTCTGGAGAAAAAACTTACAGTGCAGCGTAGACGAAAGAGCCGTAGAGATCGGCGTTGATGCTGAGCTTCCTGGACAAGAAGTAGTCGTCATTGAAGACAGCGTTCTCAATCTCCTTGGCGACCTCAAGAAGCGGGTTGCCGTTGACCTCGTTGCTGAACTTGGACATCATCTCGCGAAGGTAGCCGACGCGGGGATCAACAGTGCGGTAGACGCGGTGGCCGACACCCATGAGGCGGAACTTCTTAGCCTTGACATCCTCAATGTGCTTCTTGACACCACCATCGGTGCCACGGATCTCAGCAAAGCGCTTGTACGCAAGATCGATAGCACCAGCGTGGAGGGGACCAGCACAGGCAGAGATACCAGTGACCATGGAGGAGATGGGGTCGGAAAGCGAAGAGGCGGCGTGCAAGTAGGCAGCGGTCGAGTTAGTCATCTCATGATCCGCGAAAAGAACCCAGAGCTTGTTGACAGTGTTGCTGTACTTCTTGTCCACGTTGCCAAAGCGGTCAGTGTGACCCATCATGATGAGCATGTTGTCAATGAGGGAGAGAGCAGGGTCGGACTGAACGAAGAAGGTCTTCTTCTGCTGATGGCATGAAGTCATAGCGGTGACAGTGGCAAGGGCGGCGAGCGAGCGGTACACACCATCGTCAACGGCTTCCATGTTGCCAAGGTAGATGCGATCACCAGCATGAACTGGGATCTTGGACGGGTCAGCGGCGGCCCAGGCAGAGAGACCAGCAGAAATGATCAGATAGGCCGGAGCGGCAGGGTCAAAGGCACGAACAGCGCGCATAACGGACGGCTCAGGTACCATTGCTTCGGCGAGATTGGCACGGAAATTGCGCTTTTGCTCAGGTGTTGGCAGATCCCCGAAGATCAAAAGGTAGCTGACTTCCTCGTAGTCGTGGTTCTCAAAGAGGTAGCCAACAGGGTATCCGCGGTATGCGAGAGTGCCTTTGTTTCCATCGATGTGAGTAATCTGAGACTTGACGACAGCGGTGTTCTTGTAGCCCTCGTCGAGGACGGTCAAGCCGGCAGAGAGATGGTCGATAACAGGAGCAGTCATGGAGAGAGGAGAGATCTTGCGGAACTGCATTGCGTCGATAGCGTTGTGCTTGATCGCAATGGAGTATGGGCGGAAAGTTCGTAGGTCCCAGACCCAGAGTGTGTCCCAAGAGGGAGTGGGGATAGAACAGATCAGCTCAAACAGGTAGAGGAAGAAACCCGTCATAAGCTTGGCGAAGGTGTTGAAGTAGAAGACAATCTTGTCGGTCGCATTGCGGTTGACAGTGATCTTGAATCCGTGGGCGCTGGAGCCCTTGGTTGACGGAGCGAAAGTAACGGCAGGCATCTTTGCGGATGATTGTTAATGAGACGATGAATATGAGAGCAGATTGAGAAGGTTCGTAGAAGCGAGGGTAATTGTAGAAACAGGAGCTGAAAGAGTGATACTGAATGTAGAGTTAGATGCTGAAGTGAGTGTAGTTGTTTGGTTTGAGAGTTTAGTTGATCAAACCCCTTCCATATATACTGAAGCGCAATACACAGAGCATTCTCCAGGAGCGTCATTCTCACCAGTCGTTTCGCGGATGACCTAGAAAAGAAACGGTGCTTATTGTGCATGTCAATGACTGTGCGAAGTCCGTATGGCTCGCTAGAAACCTAGGCAAGAGCTTCGGTGAGGAATCAGCTCTGGACTCAGGTCGTATAATGTTTTAGTGGCGTAGTATCTGTGCGACGAGCGGGGTGCTAAGACGTCCGCACAGTCACTTCTCGTATGGAACACACGTGAGGCTCCGAAGCGTTGTTCGTTGAGCTGGCGAGGATGAACGAATCATGGCCGAAAGGTGCCCGAAGCGCCGCGGCCTTGAAACTCAACTTGACAGCCACACCGAAGGTCCGTTGCGGCTGTGGCTGCTTACTCAGTCAGGTCTTGGCGCCCACCCAACTCGGGTCTTCAGTACTCCGCCACGTGCTATGTAACGTCCTGTACCTGATGAGCCGGGATTATTACTTCTGTCTCGCAAATCCTTTCGGTCCTTCTGACGGCCGCCTGTAAGCCCTATCTGAGGCCGACGGACGTATGTGGACCAACTCAAGTCGCAATCCTTGACGCCTGTCCACACTGTGGCGCACACACCTGTGCTCTACCTGGGTCGTCTTTGCATACCATGCATCGTGTTCCTCGAAACTGTTTTCCCTGGCAGATAGGACTTCACAACTGCTCATACATCATCGATTTGCTGCGTCTATGACGTTAAGTCCGTGTTGAGCCATCTCGCGATCACGTGCGAGTGCATGGAGAACGGCAACGGATGGAGCTGACCCGCCTTAATGGCACCTAGAGCTCGTGGAGCCTGTACAGAATCTGTCAGATGTCACTCGTTCCGCACTATCGGAGTCAGGCCTTTCTGTTACATCTGTCTGTCCGCGTTGTCGCACTGAGAGTTGAGCCTCTTAGCTGAGTTTCGGACTACACTTCCTGATGCACGCATCGACAGCCACAAACGGAATTATTGGGCGACATACTACTGTCATAGTGGAAAATGGGCTCGTTCTCACAAAGCGGAGTCGTGGCGGACTACAGAGCGGTGTTCATCGTAGGGACCTGTCTCAGCAAGTGGACTCTACGGTTCGATAGTATGATGCTCACACACTCGTACGGACAGGCAGCAGCGCTATGCACGATTCCAACTCAGCTCCGTGAGCAAGAGTTGTTCATCATTCAAATACAAGCTACTCTTGGGCCCTCTAAGACGAACAAGCACCATACACAGACACAAACGCCTCATCAGTGATCGAGTAGAGCATCAAGCCTCACTCGGCAATTCTACATTCATTAGCATGTCCATAGCCTTGTCTACAGCTCCCAGCTTTGCAACACAGGATACCAGGAGTGTCTACTTCGGGGACTCGACTGAATCGCTTGGACTTTGCGGTAAAACAGAGACAGTTGTAAGTCGCAGATTGTCTTGACCCTGCATCACGTACACATCTAACCCCTAAACAGACTTGGGAGAACGAAACAGATCCCCTCAACCCATTAAACTGGACATCGGGGAAAAAATGGTTCAATGTCCTCCTGATTGTGATGCAGGCCACACTGTCGCCGATAGCATCAACCATTCTGGCCATCGGCGCCGGCGAAATTGCCAAAGAATTCGAGCTGAAGAGCGCAAAAGTGCCATCGCTGCCTACAGCTTTGTACGTTCTGGGTATCGGCAGTGGACCTCTCTTCTTGGCTCCCTTCTCGGAGGTGTTCGGGAGAAGGGTAGTCTATTTGTCCGCGTTCGCCTGCTTCACGATGCTCAACGTTGGATGCGCTCTGTCACCGAACATTGCCGCGCTCTCGACGCTGCGGTTCCTGAGCGGAATCGCTGGATCTGTCGGGCCCAGTCTCAGCGCTGGTAGTGTGGGCGACATGTTCGCTGTACACGAGCGAGGCAAGGCACAGGCTCTGGCGTCCTTCGGTCCCGTATTTGGACCTGTACTTGGTGGTGTCATGGGCGGCTTCATTGTTTACCACACCACTGGTTGGCGGTGGTTACTCTGGACCGTGGCCATCGCCGCTGGAACTGTCACTCTTGCTGGCATCTTCTTCCTCCGGGAGACTTACGCCCCATATCTGCTCGAAAGAAAAGCCGCAAAGCTTAGAAAAAGCAATCCGGACATTGAGTACCGCACTGCCCACTCGAAGGCGAACATGAGTACAGGTCGGATCCTTGCTCATTCCCTCGGACGGCCGGTAAAGATGCTATTCACATCTCCTATCCTGGCTTTCATGGCCGTATATCAGTCTTTGTGAGTGTCCGGTGCGATCCACATATTATCGACACCAGCTAATCTTTCGTACAGAATTTACGGCATCCTCTACCTACATCTCATCACGATCCTCCTGCTCTTCGGACCTGAATCGCTTTACGGGCTTTACACATATAGGTTCACCTCTGGTACAACCGGTCTTGCATATCTGGGTGCAGGTAGCGGAGCATTCATTGGCATGATTCTCACAGTCAAGTTCATGAATCGCTCTTTCGCTGGTGCGCTCGCTCGTCAGATACGGAGAACGGGTGATACAACACCCACACCTGAGTTGCGCATCCCTTTTCTCCAGATCGGCATGATGATCGTTCCCTTCGGTCTGATCATCTTTGCATGGACAGCTGGTAGGGTTCACTGGAGTGCTTGCCTTGTTGGTGCCTTCTTCTTTGGCATCGGTATGCTAATGGGCTATGTATGCATCCAGTCATACCTTGTCGATTGCTTTGGTGATTACTCCGCGAGCGCATTGGCAGCTGTCATATTGGCGCGTTGTCCCATCACATTCTTGTTCTGCTTCTTTGGGTTCGAGCTGTACAAGTCATTGGGATATGACTGGTATGTTCTACCCCTTCCTCTCTCCTATATACGGGCTTGTACTTACACTTCTTAGGGGATCGATGCTACTCGCCTTCCTCTGCATAGCCATGATACCAGCCCCATTTATGCTCAAGATGTACGGCCCGGCTCTCCGCGCGAAGCAGCCTGTTTACTAACACCCAATTTTTCACTTTTTGTCACTCATTATCTGTATATAAATTGCACCACATAGACTTTGTAGCCTCAGCATACCGCAAAAACTTTGCGACGCCGGTGAACTAGACGTTCGTCGAGATGGTAGTTAGCACGGGTGGCATCTACAGTACTTAGCAGTCCTTGATCCTTGCGTAAGCGCGAGCGAAATGAAAGCATTATCCAAATGATCACCCTTGAGCATTACTTTTTCAGAGGTCAGTCAATTTTGCACCTAGCGTCCTACGATATTAGTTTCCCGCTATTTCAGATATTCTTGAACTGCGTGACTGAGACATTTGGCGGAACAGTAAATACTTTGTGTGCTATGCACATTACGTGGTTACGTGAAGCTGTCAGACATGGGTTGTTTTTTAAGGTAAGGGCAGCAACGGATGTCTGGAGAAAATCGTTCGTTCCGAGCCACGGCAAGAAGCATGTCGGCATGGGAAGAAGCGAACAATTCACGCTCGTCTCGAGTCTCCTTTGACACATGATACACATGCAATCTCGCAAGGCAAAATTCGGGTCTCACGGTTTGTGGGCTCCTGTCTACCTATAATCGTGCCATATAACTATTCATAAAGCGAGAAAAAAGCGCCTGCAGATACTGCGTCAAGCCTGGGTTTTATCTAATGCCATGATGCCATGCCATGTTACGTTTCGCGATAGAGTAAGATGAAGATGCTAGGAGATGCAGACTACGCTGGAAAGCGCGTCAGCTGGACTGCTGATATAAAAGCAATAGCGCAGGTACTGGATATTCAAATGGTAAAAGAAGAGACAATCGAGCGTGATATAATGGGAAGTTGAGCATCCTCGAAGTCATTGGTGTAGGATCGCCTAGACCGGGTATATTGGCGTTGCTTCATGTCGTGGTCACGACCCCCCTACCGTGTATCCCTAGCTCTTCTGAAATGAACGGACGTATAAGAAAGGTGATGTTACAGTGTCGCCGCGCATCGTATTCATCGGGCAGGCCAATGCTACCTGGATCGCCTCACTAGCGATTACCTCACAGGCAATTCAGGCGTTGTGTCGTTCGCATCATCGTCCTCAACCCGTCTCTTCAAACCGCCTTCGATTTGAATGCCTTGTTTCACCCAATCCATCTTCTCGATATCCTCTAGGCTCTTGCGTCCACGAGAAACCTTCTTGAGAAGACCTTCCACACATTCCCGAGCACCGGCCCATTGCTGGCCCTTCTCGGGATCCCACTCCCCATCATCGTCACCATATTTGACCCAGACCCAATCGCATCTGGCAATGCGATGAGCGGCCCTAGTTCGCGCACCGGCTTTGCCTGGTGGTGGGTCGAAAGGCAGACGCCCTTCCATCAAAGCGTACAATAAGACACCCAGAGCCCAAGCGTCGGTGGAGCGGCCATCGTATGGTTGGCCTAGTAGGATCTCTGGTGCGGCATAGTCTTCACTACCACAACGAGTTGTCAAAAGAGGAGACTCTGGAGGAGCGGGTATACGACGAGAGAGACCCAGATCTGTAAGTGTCGCAATGGGGTACGGGTGAGACTGTGGACTCTTGAGAAGGGGTACAGCAGAGACAGGAATGTTGAGCAGAACGTCTGTCATATATTAGTACAAGACCACTGTGAGTGCACTGACCGTTTTGTGATCAACGTTGAAGAGCGGAGAGATCTACTTTCTAGCTTGATGTCGCGGTGCACAATTAAGTTTTGATGCAGATACCGTGCCGCGCTGACCATTTCAGCGAACACACGTTGAACGATGTCTATGCTCAAAATGTCGCGGTGGTCGCTGGCCACATCAAACAGATCACCACCAGGGCAATAAGTCAAGACCAGAAGAGCCTGGGCCTCATTGTGATCAAAGGCTCGCAGGTGAACGAGGGAGGGGTGCGAGACGGAACGGAGCATCTCCACTTCTCTTTTAAGACTTAGCTCGACGCGTTCCTCATCAGCGCCACCAGCAGGACCGTGCTCGACGACCTTGATAGCAACGAGCTTGCGAAGGTCTAGAGATTTCTCGTCCAGCGGATCCTTGGCCGCAGTCCTCTCGCACGTGGCCAGATAGACTTTGCTAAATGTGCCTTGACCGAGTTGCCGGACGGGGCGCCAGAGCTTCCTCTTCATCTGAGAGCCGTGGCGAACAGCAATATACTTAGTATCGTCATCTTCCGCGACGTGGTCTTCCTCGTCGGTGACGCTTCGGTTGCTGGCATTGCTAGCAGGGGGCGTAGGCAGACCCGCGGGGACTTGCGCAGGAACGATTCCACGCTGCGAGGCGAGGTACTGCTCGCGGCGCAGGCGCTGCTGCATGGTTGCGTCACCGTCTGCAGTGCTGCTGCTAACGGTGACATTCCGGGGCCGGGGGTTGTGCAGGGACTCTGGGGTATACTCGCTGATGCTCCGGTTCCGCTCACGAGCTGTCTCGCTGTTTTGGTGCGCCTGTATGCGTGCTTCTGTGGCCTCCACCCCGGCAGTCTTGAGCCTCTGGTAGCCCTTCTTCTTCAGCGAGGGCGAAGGCGAAAGCGTGGCCCGGTTAGAGGAGAGGTACATGTCGTCGCGCGAGCTGGTAGACGCTCCTCGGGGTCGCGGCACTGCCCGTTGCCATGGCCCGGGAGAATCACCCATGACTAGCGGCGAAGGGAGTGGAGTGAGGTCACCGAGGGCGTTCAGCGCCGGCGAGGAGATGGCCGACGAGGGCGACAACGAACCTGCCAGGCTGTTGCTAGACCGTGCAGTCCTCAGGAACTTTTCGTCGATCATAATCGGCGCGGTGGCCAACTGGCGCAGCCCTTCGCTGCCCATGCGCGCGGCGGTGGTGTTGCTGGGAGTATTGCGCGCGGTCGACGTCGTGGACGGTGGCAGGTCGGTAACCAGAGTCAGGCCTCGTGAAGCGGGAGACGCGGTGCAGTTCGTACTCGGAGCTCTTATGTGCATGCGCGGCACTTCCAGAGGAAGCGGGGCGTTGGCAGGCGCGTACTGGGCACTGAAGAGCGGCAGATGGACGTTTGATATCGAAGAAGCAGCGTTCAGAAGCGCTGGAGATGCAGGACTGGCATCGGTGCCCGCTCTCAGTGCTTTGCTCAATTCGCCGAGGGGCGCTGCAGGTCGGGGGCCGGAGGCAGGGTCGCGGGCACCCTGGGATGACTCGGGGCCCTCCATGGTGGTTGTAGGCGGGCACTTTGGACGAGGCGCGGGGGAGCGACCAATGTCGGGCTGGAGGCTTGTGCGTCTTTCCGGTCATCAACTCTAAGATAGCGCGCCCACTGCACTGGCCGAGTAACCTGGTAAATTTGATAGTCCTGCTGCAGCAAGTGGAATAGCGCTCGACTGAAACGCGGCAAAGAGCAGGCGGCAGCATCTACGCTGGAGACATTGCGATGCGCCGGTCGACCAAGTGCTGTTTGCGGCGCTGTCTCTTGCCATCATCGACTGCCAGCCCGAGCTCTGCGTGGATACCGCGAGCCGGGCGTGCCTGGGTGCGCCAATAATAGAAAAGCACGACTAAAGGAACGTTTGACGCGACTAGCCTATGGGAAAAGCGCGTGCAAGCACGAAGGCGGCCAGGGCTAGATTGCTTGGAGTAAGCCTAGATCCATCATGCATGGTTCGCGCAACCCCAGCTTTTGGGCCTCAATCCTTCAACACTGCTCGTCTTCTCAGTCAGCAACCGCGCTGGAAGTCATCAACCGACTGTAGAATGCGTTATTCGCATAGCAAGCGTTGCGACGCCATGTCAGGCCATCAGCTGAGAGCCTCAATTCTAGGCCCACTAGTCAATACGAACACTAGCATAACAAATATAACAAACATGTCACGGTCAACAAGCTCTAGAGCTTCTCGTTGTGATCGTGTTTTATTGGCTATGCTTTTTGTTTGCTAGACTATTGTTTCGATACCCGCGAAAGGACACTCCGTGACATGGCAAGGAACAAAAGATCTGTGCCACCGCCTTGCAGTCCGTGTATCGCCACCAAGCCAAACCATGTTATTATACAGAAAACTCGCCAAACGGCATGTCGTGGACCGAGCCGAAATTTTCCATCGCCAGACTTCCGAATGCCTCATTGAGCTGGCTTCTGGCCATAGGTGTACGGCTGGTTAGGGCTGGACGGGGAGAAGTTGTCAGCAGAATAGCCGTTCATGTACGTGTTGTTGTACTGGCTGCCATTGCTGTAGTGATAGGGATTGACACCAGCGTACGAAGAGGCCTCCCCTCTGTGGCGGCCTTGGTATGTCGAACGGCCGTTCCATGCTTGAGATTGCCAGTTGTTGCCGTAGTTGCCTCGCGGATCGCTGTGTGAGTCGTACTGCTGGGCCGCCGGAACGTGGGGCATCGGGTTCGTATCATGGGACATCGGGTTCGTGGTATGGACCATCGGGTTCGTAACATGGGACATCACGTTCGATGTACCAGAAGTAGGCAATGTACCAGTACCTGGGTGATGAGGAGTAGGCTTGAGCTCGGACAGCTTTTCCACAGTCTGCTGCATATGCGCCATTGCCTTCTGGATCTCTTTCAGGCTTGACTCCACTTCGGCTGTCTTCTTCGTCTGCTCAGTCATCACACCGAGCACTTCGGTCTTGAGAAATGTTTCGAACTGGTCAAGCTTTGCACCGATATTGTGAGTTTGGTTGCAGTTGTCATCGGCCTTCTCGCTAACCAAGTTGATGCGAGATTTCAAGTCTTCGATATGTTTGTCCAAGATGACCACAAGCTGTTCATGCTTAGTATTCGTTGCGTTGATCTGTTGCTTTGTGTACATGTCGAGGGCATCGTATGTGGTTTTACCAACAACATCCAAATGTTCGTTGGTCATGAAGAAGTGATCCTCGACTGTTTTTTGTGTACGCGGAGAAGGCCAAGGACCAGAGGGAGCAGTACCGTTGCCGCCGCGGAGCATAGGCGCAGGTGACATCTCGGCGTGCTGAGTGTGCGCGCCGGATCTTTCGCTCTTACGGTTACTCTCACACCCACCAGTGGGCAGCCCATGCATACCCGCGAAGCCGTCCTTCACGCGCGGGGGACCTCCAGAAGGTGGCTGTGCGCAGTCTTTGTCGGCTGTCTGTGGTTTTGCGGCATCTGACTCAATGGCATTCACACTGTTCTGATACATCGTTTCGACCGATTTGTCGTTGGAGCCTTCGTTGAGCAGGCTAGGCTTGAGCGGCGCGAAGAGCATACGGCTGGCGTCAGTCTGAGGTAAGAGTCAGTTCGGTGTAGAAGAAGATGCTAGAAGCTATGGCTTGGGAAATCACAGTGAACGTGGAATGAAGCAGGTCACTTGAACTAGGCAGGAGCTAAGCGCAGACCCACTATTTCGACGGGGTGAGTAGGGGAGAAGCGTCTCTCACTTACATTCTGCGACGGACTCTCACCGTCGGTGAAAAGCTGAACAGATCGATCAGATGGAGAGTAAAACCGCGGTGGCAGGGGACTCAGCCGGCGACCAATTCGCTCGTTGTAATGTTTGTCGTCGCTGCGACTCGACTGAGGAAGCTGCAGCAGCAGATCACGACGTTCGTCGGCCAGTGGTGCGCTATGGCCGCCTTCTTTCATTTCGCCTGCTTCACCCTCATCAGCATGGAGCCAATGCAGCGCCTCACCTTCAATGAGCTTGGTGTAGTCTTCAGCAGTGTATGGCCGATATTTAGTCGGACTCACGTCACCCATACCGTGAATAGCGGTCTTTGGAGGCGATGGACTGAGTGCAAACATTGGAAACGGTAATTGAACTTGCATGCCTTTATTTGGATGGCTGCCGTAGCTCTCGCGCAAATCCTCGTGAGAAGGCGCTCGTCGTAGTGGACTTGACGGGCCCCTGTGAAGACGAAACTCGGGAGGCGTATCTTTAGCAGGAGGAGTAGGAGGAGGCATAGACTCGAATGACGATTGCACTGAGGCTTGCTCTTGAAGCGGCGTATTCTCTTTTTCCGGTGATGAGCGCACAGTGGTATGGTTGCCACGTGTCGAGGTAGTGCGGTGAAGCCCGTCCGACGTAATGTCGCCATACAAGGTTGCGGACAGAGACTTTGATGTGTCTGATCGTGAGATCTTTGTAGGCGTCTTGACAACACGCGCCGACCTGATTGGGCGTGGCTCGAACCGACGAGGTTTCCGTGAGGGTTTAGTACCAAAAATCTGGGCTGCTTTCTGTGGCATTGCAGGTGCGGTGGCAACTGCGGCTGTCTTGCTGAACATGGGGAGACTGACACCAAAAAGCTTCTTCTTGGGGCTTTTAGCAAGCTCACCGCTTTCAGTATGTTTGTCGCCACTAACAGCCCTGCACTGAGCGCGAAGGTCTTCCGTTCGAATAAAAACCTTTTCCGGATCGATGGGTCCTACAATGTGTGAGCATTGGCCGTCGTTGTATGACAAATAGGGTATCAATACCTGTGGTGGGTGTTGGAGGGATCTGACCAGTCATTTTGAACAACTTGTTCTCAGTGCGGGACTCGATCTGAGATCTTGAGGTTGTCTCGTCTTGATCAAAAATCTCAAGCTGGGCTTGAGCTTCAATAGCGCTGCGGTGGCTGCGCTCTGACTGGCGGGAGCGCGTAGTCGAGCCATGTCGACTGGGTACGGAGCCGTGATCTGGCTTCCGTGGTGAAGTGCGGGCTTGGCCCATGAGACCCGAAAGTGTTGTCATTGCTGATGCACGGTGCTTGCTCGCTTGGGAGCCAGATTTGGGGACTGCGAAACCAAATTCTCCAAGTTCCAGCGGCGACGTCAGCGGTGTCGTTGTTCCAGAGCGCGCGGCTTGTTGGGTCGACGAAGATGCAAAACGCTGCGGGTGCTGATTACTGCCTTTGCCTTGAAGTGGCGCATTGGGAAAGGCGTTTTGGCCGTGAGCAACAGGAGGCCACTGGGGAATAGCGATTGGCGGAGGCCTTTTCTTGTAGTCTGGAGCTGGCGCAGGCATTCTGAGAGGTAGAGCTGCAGGATTATCAGGGCAGATGTGAGAGAAAGTGAGTAAGGTGACAAGGGACCTGCGGTATCTGTCTCCAGATTGAGAAAAGTTCCAATCACTCCCAAAATACAGGGGTGGAGGTGGAGAGCGTGTCCGCAGGCTGCAATGTTATGGCCCTACCAATGCAAATCTGTTGGCACGGGCAACCCCACACTAAACAAATCCAACTTTCACCTCACCTCATGTCACTTCGGATGAAGGGGGAAGAGTGCCACCTCGGATGTGCGAGAGAGCGTTCGAACAGATGGGGCCGCTGCCTAGGCTGTCGTGCTCGTAGCCGGTCGCAAATCTATGTGGCATGCCTGCTTCAATTAGCTCACAACATTGGAATATAACTCCAGCATGTTCCCAAGGCGTTGAGGTGTGTAAGGCTGTCGCCAATGGTATGATCGATTCTGTCGTTTTCGCTCATCCTGCGTCTATTATGGCCAAGTAAGAGACGATCAATGGCCAGAAAGGAACATTGTGCAAGCGAGCATGGGCAAATTCATAACTTCGAAGAAAAGCCGCTACCCACAGATGGCGCCAGAGAGGTATCCAAAAAAATTACGCCCAGTCAAAAGTCCTGCAAACCAAAGCCCACCTAGCTTGCTCTCTCCACTGCACTACTGTCGTATCCGTGCCTTAGAGGATAATGCACTTCTTCTCCTTTTTCGGTCCCTTGCCCTCTTTCCTTGTTGCTGGTGGCTCCAGTGCTGCGACAATTGCCTGCAGTCAAGTTAGCGTTACGCACCATGTCGCCCTCTGTCCTCTACTCACCTCATCAAACACATCCTTCAGCTTATATTGTGTCAGAGCCGAGCACTCGACGTACTTGACTGCGCCAAGCTCTCTCGCCATTCGCTCACCATCCTCGCGCTTGACCGGGGCCATCCTCTGCTTTGACAGCTTGTCCTTGACGGCGTTGTCTTCCCTTAGATCGACCTGTGTGCCGACAATCAAGCACGGGACACCAGGGCAGTGGTGATGTACCTCGGGGAACCATTTCTCGCGTACGTTTTCGAATGATGCAGGCGATGTGACGGAGAAGCAAACCAGGAAGACGTCGGTCTGCGGGTATGAAAGGGGCCGGAGTCGGTCGTAATCCTCCTGTCCGGCAGTATCGAAGAGACCAAGGGTGTACGGCTCGTCACCAATCCTTCGTTACAGTCAATCACAGCTCACATCGGAGTCGCGCAGGTCCGCCAAGCTCGCAATGCAAGCTCTACAAGGGCAGGCGCGGGAAAGAAGAGTGGGGGGCTCACATTACAGTGACAGCATAGTTGTCGAAGACGGTCGGGACGTATTCGGAGGGGAACTTGTTCGTGGTGTAGCTGATGAGGAGACATGTCTTGCCGACAGCACCGTCGCCGACGACGACGCACCTGTGGGGGAGAGCTGTTAACGTCTGGCTGCCTAGCGCGCACAGGATGGGCGGAAGGAGAGGTTCTGGGCGTACTTGATTGTCGCAACTACCATGGCTGGGGCTGGGGGCGGTTGCTAGGGATGCAGCTGCGGGTGTGAGCGGTGTGGATGGCAATGGCCGGCTCGTGGACAGTATGCGACAGCGGAGGCAGGTCGTGTGATGGCGGCCAGGAAGTGCGGAGATAGAGCTAGCGGGATAGAAGTCCTGCTTGATGTCCAACAAACGAGGGGTCGAAATGAGTGGAGAGCGCCTAGAGAGCTCGCCCGTCAGTGTGCACATTCACGACCGTTTTGCGGTTGACATCCGCTCCCGCGTACCTCTTGAGTCGTCCTGCGGTCCGGCGGCGGTGCGTGCTACGCTGGCTGGGCGGGCTTGAAACCGAACGTTTCGAGTTTCACGGCGGTCGGCGAGATGGACAATGAAGCGAGCGGGCCGGCACAGGCGGTGGCGGCGCAGCGAGCGGGCAACAAAGACACGGCGTGCGCGACAGAGGCCAGCGAGGTCACGTTGGGGCGAGGCGGAGGGCGGAGCGTGGAGCGTGGAGCGTGGAGAATAGGGTTGGAGGTCGGTACGTCCAGCTTGCCAGCGGAGGTCCAGCTATCCTATCCATGGAAGCGGTTTAGTGGGCTATCGTAAACCCTGCATGGCCCCGTTGGTACATATTGCTAGGGATCTGCACAATTTGGTGCCGGGTCTGCCTCTGCACGCATCTGCTGGCCAGGCCTGCTGCCGCGGCCAGATTGAGTTCAACGCGTGGCAGGCCCGGTTTTCGCAATCTCTACCCGACGCGCCGCCTGTTGTACATGGCTACCCGACACGGGCACATGCACAACCGCGCCCGTCATCGTGTGTTTGCGAGCATTCCAGCAGCGCTGCGGCGGGCTCAGCCTCCGTTGTACGCTGCGAGCGTGTCCAGCACCGCCCGTGCGCCGCCATGTGGCTGCTGGCTGCATTCCGTCATGCCATGGCCGAGGAGCTGGCCCGTTGCCTCAACGGCTGCCGCAGCAGGGAAGCGGTCAAACCTCAGCGTACAGACTGCCTGGGGGACTGTCCTCGAGCTCTACTGTGTACACAGTGCAAAGCGCCTGCTGCCCCATAGAAAATGTTGCAAACGAGCCTCGGCGGTCACTGCGAAAGCTGCCCCTGTGTGCGCTCAACATGTCGAGCGTGCATCCCACGCGACGCAGAAAACAGCACCGGGCTCTTTGTTTCAGTCTCGTCAACCGTGCCGTGCAGGACCGTGGAGTCTCAAATTGCGCGACCACCGCGAAGGAGTCGGCTTTGGCTTGGGACGCTGGAGGCTGATCAAACCCTTCTTGTGCCTTCCAAGCATGTCCGAGGACTTGATCCGTGCCGAAAAGTGCACCAGAGCTATGACCTTTCCTCAAACACCGCCGCACCAAGCTCCACGCGCATGCACCAGCGCGTTATGAAGCCTGCACCCTTCATCAGCAAACACCCTCGGACTGCATGTCGACGTTATAGCCATGGATGATCTTGATGATGATCTGGATCTACGCCACCATCGAGGCGTGAAACCCGATGTGTACTATCGGGTCCCAGCTAGTGAAGTACAATGCCTTCCTAGTCTGCAGACACCCTAGCTAAGATGGTCTTATTGTAGTCTTTGGATGGTGCACTTCGAAACGAGCTGGACAGGAACGCTTCGAGCCTGATTCCTTCAGATGTAGTGACAGAGTTTGTTTTTGCGGCCGCCTCTACAGTCACAATCCCTGTGACCCAACAAACCAGCCTAGATGCTCTCATTGAACCTCAAGATTACGCCCAGAGCATTCAAGTCGAGTATGCATTATGTCGAGAAATTGATGGCAAAGAGAGACTTGTCATACAGCGTGCAATTGCGAAGTACGCCATGCGCCCCTGCATACATCGGCGCCAACGCTGACACATGCAGATCCATTGTAGCAGCCATCGAAGAAACTGACGGCTTCAAGTACTCTGAGCGCCATGCTTCTAATTCTAAAGCTCGTGGTGACGGCGCTCGGTTTAGGTATGTCTGCCAAGACAGTCTGGAGAATAAAGACCGAAAAGCCAACAAGAAGAAGAAAGAGACGGATGCAGATAAGGCTGATGAAGTCGTCGTAGCCAAGAATCTAATACCAACACACGACTGTGGCGGTGCGATTCATGTGAAGTTTTCGATCAAGCGCGATGCCATCCACGTGGTGTACAAGCACAATCCGCTTCACAGGGATGTCGAGAGCCGACGAAATGGCAACAGGTATGTGGGCATATACCCGTGCTTCTTGCGGCGTCGCTGCTCTCCAGTACCACTTCGGAGGAGGAATTGACTCTGTACAGCGACTCTGCCAACCCGGAAGCAAACGGGGAATCCACACCCCAATCTGCAAAGATCTCCAACGGTACCACTAAGAAGAGGAAGCGAAGCAAGACAGACCACCCTGTGGCGGCTGACACCGATTTCCATGATCCAAACCTCGACATGTCTACCTCGCCTGAGGCGCCTAGAACTTCAGTGAAGAAGAAACGCGGTAAAGGTAGCACTACTTCTGCTACAGGCGCCATCAAGTCATCGACCAAGAGGACCAAGGCTTCCAAGGCGGCTTCGGCTTCGTCTCCAGTCAAATCTCGAAGGAAGGCTGCACCAACAGAATTGACCCCGCCGCAGAGACTTGCTAGGAACAAAGCATGTATTAGGTGCCGCGAGAAGAAGATCAAGTGCAACGAGGCAAAGCCGAATTGCAATCAGTGTAAACGAGGGCTGTGGACCTGTCAGTATGAGGTGGAGGGACCCAAGCGACGCTCGAAAAATGGCTGCCTCAATTGTAAGCAGCGCAGACGCAAGTGTACGGAAGAAAAGCCATCTTGCGCGTATTGTCTCAAGGTCGATGACGACTGCGAATACGCCGAGTATTCTTGAGAAGCCTGTGGCTGATATGGCATACACTGCCTACGGGATCCTTGACGCCAGCGCTGCCCAAGCCATGCGTGTTTACATCAGGCGGAGCACCAACTGACAGCTTGCATCAGCCCGCGCGCAAGAGTTTAATGCCGGAAGCAGCGAGACATTAGACAACTCACACGCTTACCCAAACATTAGAAGACTGCTCCGATGGTGTATAGACCTCGATAATTATTTTTAACGTGGTCAGCGATACCAGTACATGGTCGACGCCTGCACGCTGCTCGAATCATAATAGCGGCCAATATTTAGTACTGCTGCCAAAACATGCAAGATATATGGTGGATTGTGCAGCTGTCATCATCATACATTGATGACCAGTATACCAGATACTTCAAAGTGGCTGCATAATTTAAAAATTCAGACGAAACAGAGCTTTGAGCGACACTGGAGACGAGCCACGCAATATTCCATAGGGAGAATGGATCTATTTCAGTCTTTAGCAAGCATTTGACTATATACTTCGAAACACCGAAACATAGTCACTCTCTCAAGTTTCAGAGAAAACGGCGGATAACACCCTAAGTTTACCAAGTTTATAGAATACTTAACTTGTAGCTATCATAGCACCTAAAGCTAGAATTTAGTTAAATGTTACCTATATTGTAAGTTAAAAGGTGTTTTATAGAGTTTTTTCTTTTTTCCCTACATAACTGTTGTGTGGTGTACTTGGCTTATATTCTTAGTTCGCTATTTATTCTGGAGAGCCACTGGGTGTAAATTCTCTGGTGTATCGATCAAATGTGTACATTAGCCGATATCGGAACGGCGGTTGACTGTAAGGCGCCGGCGTGTAGAGGTGACCCACAGAAGAATTCTACTGCTTCTGCCGCACGCCCTGCGGCTGACAGCGGGTTTCGCTGGTACTCTTCCAGTCCGCTGCACAATTGCCCGTTGGGGCTACAGTAGCTCATGAGCCAGTGCTGCTGGTGGCAGATCTGTAGATAAGCACGATTCCTATGAGCAAACAATTCTGCGTCACGCACCAAGCACCATCACTGCACGCCGAAGTGCTCCGAACAGAGCTTCGGTGCTAGACGAGGCTTGCAGGGCGTTGAATGGTTCAGGAGCCTCACAGTGGGTCGCACCGCGAGCCCTCGAGCTTCCCCGGACACCTTTGCATTTGGTGATGTGCTTCGATGTGTCCAATCGATGGGCGGACAAGTGAAATTTTGTCACTGCGCGTCATTGGCACGCCCTGAAAAGGACTAGCCTTCGAGTGGGGAATGACCGTCGGCCACCTCGCGATAACCTTTCACGACTCACACAAAACCCACCAACGCCTCTCGCAGCTCGACACCATCACTCACACATCTCCCAAGGGTCCTTTAACCCGCCCTGTACTGACCTCTCCGGCTCTCCTTCCGTTGCGCTTATGCGTGCTGTTCAAACAACCTTTACTTCCCAGGTACGTAACCACCCACCGCACACTTCCATGATCCCTTATCTGTGGCCGCACACCGTCAATTCACCGCTTCCCATCCCTTGGCTCCTGCCATGTCCACTACATTGTTACTCCCGACCATCCCGACACGCTTGACTCTTGCTGACTGACTGGTGCAGGACTACATCTCAGGTATGCCGCCCGATGTTCGGCGCGTCGCGAGCGTCACTGACAATGCTGCCAGACCACCTGTGGAAGGCCTCAGTAAACTGAAAGCCTACCCAAACGATCAACCACACTTCCACCGCTATCGACCAACTCACACTTCGCCACCATGTTGTCGCAAATCATCAAGCCTTCCGCCATGCGGTCTGTCAATGTCCTGGGACAAGTAACAAAGAACCGTGTCCAGGCGCGTTACCTGGCCACCGTCCAATCCAGCACCGAACGCAAGAGTCCTTCCCCCCACCGAAAGTCCACTGAGATCTCTACTGAGCGGGCTACCTTTACAATCAAGGTATGGACGGCTGTGTTAGCATGCAAAAAAATTGTTGCTCACCAATATATAGAACGGCCCTATCTTCTCAGGCAAGTCCTTCGGCGCCAAGGCGAACATCTCTGGTGAAGCTGTCTTCACCACCTCGCTTGTTGGATACCCGGAGTCCATGACCGACCCCTCTTACCGTGGACAAATCCTCGTCTTCACCCAGCCCTTGATTGGCAACTACGGCGTGCCCTCATCTGCCCGTGACGAGCACGGTCTGCTTCGATACTTCGAGTCCCCCTACATCCAGGCCTCTGGTATCGTTGTTCAGGACTACGCTCTCAAGCACAGCCACTGGACCGCCGTTGAGTCCCTTTCTCAGTGGTGCGCTCGTGAGGGTGTCCCCGCTATTTCGGGTGTCGACACCCGTGAGGTCGTCACCTACCTCCGTGAGCAGGGTTCTTCCCTCGCTCGCATCACTATCGGCGAGGAGTACGATGCCGATGAGGACGAGGCCTTCATTGACCCTGAGGCGATCAACCTGGTCCGCCGTGTTTCGACCAAGGCACCTTTCCACGTGAGCTCGTCTCTCGGCGACATGCACGTTGCTCTCATCGACTGCGGTGTCAAGGAGAACATCCTTCGCAGTCTCGTCTCTCGCGGAGCTAGCGTCACCTGCTTCCCTTACGACTACCCCATCCAGAAGGTCGCCCATCACTTCGACGGTGTCTTCATTTCCAACGGCCCCGGCGACCCAACTCACTGCACACAGACTGTGTACAACCTCCGCAAGCTGTTCGAGACGTCGCAGGTTCCCGTCATGGGTATCTGCATGGGTCATCAGTTGATCGCCCTCGCTGCCGGTGCTAAGACCATCAAGCTCAAGTACGGCAACCGTGCTCACAACATCCCGGCTCTCGACTTGAGCACCGGCAGGTGCCACATCACCTCGCAGAACCACGGTTACGCCGTCGACCCCACCACTCTCAGCAGCGAGTGGAGGGAGTACTTCACCAACCTCAACGACCAGTCTAACGAGGGCCTGATCCACAACTCTCGCCCCATCTTCAGCGCGCAGTTCCACCCCGAAGCCAAGGGTGGCCCTCTTGACTCGGCCTACCTGTTCGACAAGTACGTTGAGAACGTGCAGAAGTACAAGGACCTCCAGTCCAGCTTCTCCAACAAGAGCAATAAGCCCAGCGCTGTCCTTGTCGACCTCCTCAGCAAGGAGCGCGTCGGTGTCCACCCCGACCAGCCCGATTTCGACGTGGGCTCCCAGGCGCCGTCGGTCGTTGTTGGCGGTGCTGTGCCTTCGTACCAACCCATCTCCACTGCTGCTTAAGTACGCTTGAGGATGCTTGAGTAGGGGATTGTTTGGTGGCACGAGGGATGGGGTCTGGTCGTTTTTGGAGTTTTGACGCGGGATATCTGCGGGGAGTTTTGTTTTTATGCTACTGGGATCTAGCAAGGGGTGGACAAATTGAGCTGTAGCCTCTGATATTTTGTATATGAATCAATACAATCAACCACTTAAGACCAAAAAAGCGTGTATAGACATGTTTGTGAAAGTCGACAAGTCGGATGCGGTGCTGGAAGTTGAACGACTTGTTGCATCTCTAGCACGTATGCACTCTGACAGCTGTACACACTCCAGCTCCCCGCCGTGAGACGCAAACACCCCCCCTCTCCCACGCCCTATGCCTTGCCAAAATCAGCCTCGACCTCGTCGGCACCCTCCTCCCCCTCGCCTCCCGCATCTCCACTCTCACTGTCCTTGGCGGCCTCACCGGCCCTGACCTCGTTCACGCGCCTCTCCCGGCGCTCAACCTCCTTCTTGCGGGCGCCGGCCTTCAGCTTCTCCCACTGGTCGCGGTAGCGCCCAATGACCTGCCTATCCCGCTCCGTCTGGCGGGCGAGCTGGGCGTTTGTGGAGCCCAGATCCGCGAGGCGGAGCGACTGGGCGGCGAGCTGGGCCTCGAGCTCGGCGATGCGGGAGCTTGGGGCCGAGGAGGGGGAGGGGGAGTCCGGGGACAGCGGGGGCTGGAACAGGGTGTTTTGGATCGGGGGCGAGAGCGGGGCAGGCAAGGTGTTTGGGCCGTGGGCGTGGGCGGGGGCGTTTGGGTCGCGCTGGGGCCTTGTGCGGAACGACTGGGCGAGGGCGGTGAACTGGTTCTGCGAGTTTGTTTCCCACATCTGGATGCGCTTTGCCTGGTTGTCGACGAGGGACTTGAGGGTTTCGTTTTCGAGGGCGAGTTCCTCGAGGGTCTTGAGGCCGGCGCCGCGGCCGGCGGCGATGGTGCGCTGGGCGGTGACTTGGCCGGTGGAGCTGCGCGAGCGGGGGCGGCGCGCGGTGGTGGGCGAGGGCGGGCCGACGCTTTCTTGGGCGTCGACGAATTCGTCTTGGCTGCCTTTCAGCGAGCCGGAACCTTCGTCGATGGGGTTCAGGTGGTGGGGCTGGCTGGCGGAGCCTTGGAGCATGCTCGCGTAGGTGACGGTGCCGCCGGATGTGGGGACGAGGTAGAAGGACTCGTTGGGGTTGAGCGGAGTGCCGCCATCGCTGCGGAGGGCGCGCAGAGCGGGCTTGCTGATCAGAGCGGCGAGATCAGGTACGGAGGACTTGACGGTACGCGAGGCTTCTGGCGACGAGTTGCGCGACTTTGCTCGCGACGCCTTCTCGGCTGCTGGAGGCGGGGCGGGCGTGGGAGGAACGGGGTTCAGCGGGAGCGAGGTGAATGCCAGGGGCGCCGAGATGGCGGAGATGACGCCCCCGAAAGCAGAGTAGAAGCGGCGGAAGTTGTCCTCGGGCGGCGGCGACGAGGGCGGCGGGGCCTCTTGTTGCTTCGCGAGTTCTCGCGAGCGGCTCAGGTCGGCCTTGCGGGCCTGGCGCTCCAGCAGGTCTCGGACGGGCGTGGCCTGGCCATCGCGCGGGGCGTTGGCGCCGGCGACTGTGACGACGTTGCCGCTGGTGGTCCGTCGGGCGCTCGGGATGCCGCGCTTCTCGGCGAGGTTGCTGGCGATGGACGGCTGCGGGAGACGGCGGTGGGTTCGCGGGGACGGCGAGCTGGTGCGCGCGGCGGCAGCCTTGGCCGTGGAGGCGGCCGTGGCGCTGTCGGCGAGTTTGGCGGTGCTGCTGGCGGTGGTCTTGCGGGCGGTCTTGCGCGGGGCCTCCTTGATCAGGGCGGCGAGCTTGCGGTGGTGGTCCTCGAGCAGGCTGAGGATGCGCAGGGCCTCGGCGTTGTGGGTGTCCTGGGCGGCGTCGCGGAAGAAGGCGGCGGCGTGGTCGTGCTCGTCGCCGGCGGTCGCGATGCTGCTGCTCAGCGTGGCCGTCTGGGCGTTGCGGACGTGCTCGTGGGCGGTGGTGAGGTGCGCCGACTCCATCGCGTCTGGCGTGGGTGCAGCGGCGTGGTTCCCGCGACGGCGTTGCAGGCTCCAGTGAGCAGTGGACTGGAGCCCGGTGACGGCGGCAGGGATGTGGTGTGCTGTGCCGTGGCGCCGGGCGATCACAAGCACTCCAGGGACCATGACGAACCGGTGGAGGCAGGTTTCAGCTCGGGACCCGGGCTGCGGCCGCCATCCGCGCCGGAACCAAGCTTGGGAAGCTTGAAGAGCCCGCCATCCTCGCCTGCGAGCCTCCTGCCACTGTCCTTGCCATTGCCATTGCCAGTCCGCCTCCCGCACCGCGCCCGCACCGCCGCAGCACCTCCGCCGCAGCACCTCCGTCGCTACGTAATCGTCCCCGCACGCTCGCCCACACCGCGACCGCGTCGCCTGCCGGCCTGAGGCCCGCCAGCTGAGGCACACCCGCGGACGCACACGCGCACCAGCACCGACTCGCACCAGCAGGCACCGACGCCATGGCGACCGTGGGGCGCAGGCGCAGCATCACATCGTCGCTGGGGCGCCGGAGCCGCGAGCAGTTGGCCGCCCCGGCCGACCGCCTCTCCAAGAGCGCCAGCACCTCGGCGCTGTCGGTGGGCAGCGACGGGCAGGGCGACGCCCTGGACGGCGCGCTCGATCGCCTGCGCAGCCGTGCCTCGGACGACGGCCGCAGCGACAGCTCGTCGACGCACCACCAGCGCCGCCTGTCGGGCCTGTTCAAGCGCAAGAAGCGCGCGCCGCACAGCAGCGGCCACGGCAGCAGAGACGACCTTGCCCAGCAACACGCCGATACGACGGCCGACACGACGCGCCCCGGCCCTGACGCGCGCAGCCAGAGCGACGACTCGCTGGGGCTGCACCGCAGCGTGGCCAGCAGCCTGCTCACCGACGACTCCGACTCGGAGCCCGCAGCGTAAGTCGCGTATCCCGTTGCGTATCCCCGTATCCCGTAACCCGTAACCCGTGCGCCGCTGCGTCCTCCGGCACGCCCTGAGCCCCTGTGTTGCAGAGTGCGCCGAGGCTGCCTTGCGCGCCTTGCCCGCGCGTCGCAGCGCCGTCGTGGGTGTGGTGCGGTCCTGCGGCTGCGCAGTGCTTGGACGCCGGGGCGAAGTTCTGGCCTCCACCTTCCCCACCGCACCACACTGCACACCAGCCCGCCGTATCGCCTCCCGCACCCTCGCTCGTGCGCCTGTCCTGTCATGCCTCGTCGTTCGTGATTCCTGTCGCCTGTCTTTTTTGTCGCTTTTGCCCATTGTTCCGCCCTGCATCGCTCATAGTTATACCTCGCCGTCCCCGACTGACCGCCGCCTCAGCTCGCCCGCACCTCGCCCGGGCATATCACCGCACAACTCCCATGCCGGCCTGCTGACCCTCTCCTCGCCCCTGATCGCCTCCGAGACCCTCGACTCGCTCGCTTCTGCCTCCTCCGCCGATGCCACCCTCGTCAACTCGCTGACCTCCGACGAGCCCGCCTCCACCCGCACCGCTCCCACCGTCGACGCTGCGCCCAACAAGCGTGGAGTCTCGCCCGTCGGCAAGCTGAAGGAGGCCTTCACTCCCACCCGCCGCGGCACCTCGCCCAAGCCCCGCGCCGACACCGACAGCGTCAAGCCAGGCACCGGCGCTGGAGCACTCGGCTCGCTCTTTGGAGGGAAGAAGCGCGAACAGCGGGTCCTGGACGACCCCATTGTGGCCTCCCCGCCCCAGATCCACGTTCCGTCTGAGAAGCAGTCGTCGCCGTCCCTGCGGTCGCTAGGTCCGACGCCCATCATCACCCGTCTTCCTGCAACCCCTCCAAACACAGTCGACGCCCCCACTACCTTTGTCACACCGCCCACCCCTGTAGATGGGCCTGGACCCTCGCCAACCGAATCTCTGCACTCAAGAAACGGCACCAAGCACAGTCCTTCCCAGTCGAACCCCAACGTAGTCGTCTCCCCTTCGGGGAACATGATATCGCACAGACGCGTGCGCTCAACTTCAAACGCCCCAAGCAAGCTCTCCAACTACATCTCGGCACCGCTCACCCCTCATCCCGAGGAAGCAAAGACCCCTGGGGGCACCGCTGTACTCAACTCGCCCAATACCGGTTTCTTTTCGTCCGTCTTCTCCGCCGCACAGAACGCTGCGAACCAGTTTAGCAACACTATTACGCAGAACACCGTGCCCAAGAACAAGACAGACAAGCAGCAGCCCAAGGAAGCAGAGGAAAGCAAAGACGAAGGAGAAAAAGTCACTGGTCCCACAACTGTCGAACCAACAACTGAAGGAGCTGAAAAGAAGCGGCCAGCTATTGAGACACTTGGGTCTGGAAATCTCAGTCTAGCACAGCTTGGCATAGCAGAGAGCAACGAGGTTAGCCCCATGTCCTCCGCCACGAACGTCACCATGAAGGCCGACGAAGCCTCCGCAAAGGTCGAGGACGCGGCGGCTGCAGATGCTGTCTCAGCAGCTTACGCAGCACAACCTACACCGATCATCAATGAACGTCCGCGCTCGCTTACCGTCGAATCTGGAGGAGCTGGTGCCGCTTCACCCAAGCGGGATGGCGATATCACAGATTCCCCAGCTGCTGGCTCAGTTCAGAGGCAAGGAAGCATCCGCAGCCGCATCAGCGGTGGAGGAGGAAAAAGAAGACGGCACAGGGGTAGCTCCGCTGCCACTGGCACTACCGTTCCTACTGCCTTTGGAGGTAGCACCACCAATTTGGCTCCTGCATCTGCATTACAAGGCCACCGACTGAACGGTACCGGCTTTGCTGTGGCGCCGCCAAAGCGCAACAAGGACTTTCACAATCTCTTCAAGAGCGTCCCAGAAGACGACTATCTAATCGAGGACTACAGCGCAGCACTCCAGAAGGAGATCCTGCTCCACGGTCGATTATACGTCAGCGAGGGCCATCTCTGCTTCTCCAGCAATATCCTGGGTTGGGTGACTAATCTTGTCATTAGCTTTGATGAAGTCGTGTCTGTTGAGAAGAAGTCGACCGCCGTGCTTTTCCCCAACGCCATCGTCATCCAAACACTTCATGCTCGCAACGTGTTCGCTTCATTTCTGGCTCGAGACTCCACCTACGATCTGATTATCGGCATCTGGAAAATATCACACCCCAATCTAAAGTCTTCGCTGAACGGCGTGACACTCGATGGTGCTGCTGGTACTGGCGACAAGACCGAAAAGGCCGAATCGATCGTTAGCGATGAGGGGACCAGCGAATCTGACGACGAAGTCTATGATGAGGATGCAGATGACGATGACGGCATTGGTAGTTTCACTGAAGCTGGTGAGGGCAGTGTGGCTGGAAGCGAAATCGGCTCTACGGCAGGCGATGCACCAGCAGCACGCAAGGTCAGCGCCGCCGTTGCCCAAGCGGTGGGCAGTGGCGGGCAGACTACTGAGACAGCAAAGGCTGCCTCGAATGGCGCTGCAGCGGCAACTAACGATTTCCCTGGTTCCGCAACCCACGCGGCCTCAGATTGTGCTGACGCTGATAAGCACTACGACAAGCTGCTAATCGACACAACCATTCCGGCGCCTCTGGGCAAAGTCTACAGCCTGATGTTTGGTCCAGCCGCTGATGTCTTCATGCGAAAATGGTTGATCGAGGACCAGAAATCAATGGACCTGCAGATGGAGCACGACAAGGACGGCCTGGGCGAGAAGAAGACGACATTCAACTACGCGTATACTAAACCACTATCCGCACCAGTCGGGCCTCGACAGACAAGATGTAACATCGAGATGACACTCGAGCAGTACGACCTTGAGAGAGCCGTCAGCGTGAATTGCAGCACGCAAACACCTGACGTCCCGAGCGGCAACATCTTCCTCACGAAGACAAGATACTGTCTGATGTGGGGACCGGGCAATAGCACGCGACTGATTATGACGTTCACAGTGGAATGGAGCGGCAAGAGCTGGCTGAGAGGTACGAATCGTCAATTCAGTCTCAATTAATATGCTAACATGGTTTAGGACCTATCGAGAAGGGTGCAAACGATGGCCAAATGTCTTATGCTACCTCCCTCACAGCTGCACTGCGCACTGCTGTAGCCTCCAAGATTACCTCTGGCCCCAAGACACCAGGACGCAACGGAAAGTCTAAGAAGCGATCCAAGACTGCAGCCCTGGAGGAAGCGCCCGTTATCGCCGCACCTGTCGCTCCCCAAGCAAAGCAAAGCGACTGGGGCCTCCTCGAACCGATCCGTCTTATTGTTCCCTTCTCCGACACGATCGAGTCTCTGTTCACACCGCAAATCATCATCACCGTCCTCGGCGCCCTGCTAATGTACTCCTGGTTCTTCCGCGGCACACCCGCCGGCGTCTCCGGCCCCAACCACTGGAACACGCACCAGCGCCAAGTCGCCTACGACGAAATCTGGCGGCACGAGGAAAGCGAGCTGTGGAAATGGCTCGAGCACCGCGTCGCCATCGACCGCGTCCAGCACGAAGCCGCGTACAAATTCACGCCCGACGCGGCCCAACGCGTCGAGCCCAAAAACATGAAGGAGCGCGAGATCGACGAGGCCATCCGCGTCACCGAGCAGAAACTCGCCGAGCTCAAGGGCTCCGTCGAGAAGGAGAGGCTGCGCAGTAGAACAAACAGCCCCATGGAAAAAGCGACGTGATCCCGCTGCGCCTCAAAGGAGTAGAATGCAGAGAGCCGCACGCACACATAGACGGGGAGGAGTGTTGTATATTACGCATGGCGATGGCGTTTCCCTGCTTCATTTTTGTTTCGTTTTGTCGTCTCTTTTTTTTCCCTTGTTTCTCGGTCTCGTTTGTCGTTTCCTTGCGTCTTGGATCAAAGCTTGTGTTGTTCAGCGCTGCATAGCAGCGTCCTTGGGCCCGTGTGGCCGTGTTTCATAGCGTTTGGGGGGTTGTGAAGAATACATCCTGTAGAGTCCACAATCGTTGCCTGTGCCTGTGCCTGTTCGAAACTGGTGTGGCTTGATGTGTGTGGTCCGGCGTCTGCGCTAACGTGATCGATATGCTGCCTGAAGTGAGTGAGCACTACGATCACGAGAGGTTGGCCAGAAGAAGGTAATGGTAGGCGTGACTAGACTTGTTTGATTACACGCATGCACTGCGCCTTCAAACTACTTCGTACTCCCGGCAGCCTCCCAGCCAAGGAAACACCACCGTCTCCGCCACCAGGCGCCCGTATTACACATCACCTAGATATACTTCTTAGTCCCCGCCTGCACCGTGGTCTGCACCGCCTTGAACGGCTCCAGCGGCACCGGCGCCTCCTGATACAGCCCGGGCACGCGCGCAACAACATACACCTTCGCGCACCACTCCGCCTTGGCCTGCATACCAGGCGCATTCTCATAGAACTTCCTTGCCACCACCAGCGGCGTCAGACTGCCAAACTTGGCCGTGTACCCCGTCTGCGGGCGGCAGTGAAACGGCACGCTCATGCAGATGCTGTCAGCGTAGCCCGCGAGCTGGCGGCCCCACATCATGAGCTGCTTGGGCTCGAGCGCGCGGTGGGTGCGCAGCAGCTTGAACGTGTTGGACTGCATGATCAGCATGCTCATCCAGTAGATCATGTAGCAGATGCCGGCACCGAAGTAGTGGAAGTTGAATACGGGGTCGAACACGCGGTCCGGGCAGATGGACTCGAGGAACGCTTCCATCGAGGCAATGTCCACTCTGTCGTAGCGCGGGCCGTATTTTTCGAAATCTGAGAGCCATTCAAAGGCCCGGTTGGCGAGCTTTTGCGAGTCTTCGATAATGGAGTCGAGTTCAGTTGGCGGGCAGTCCGGGGTGCCGATTTTGTCGGTGCGTTCCAGGAGCCGCGGGATGCAAATGCAGATGTCGTTCAAAGCGACATAGGGGTCTGTTTTGGCGGAGCGTGCGGTCACAGTAAGCCATTCGGGGCTGTCTAGTAATGAGGCTTTGCGCATGTGGTAGCCAATACTCAGCTATTTGTGATTAGTAAGGGGCATCTCGTGATCGGAACAATTCATACTGAGTTGTAGCGGATCGCATGGAAGATCTGGAGGCTCAATCGAGTAGTGAAGGATGCTGGGCCACGTTGTCTAACCAGGTGGAGCAGGCCTTGTACGTGGTAGAAGAAGCCGTGTCCTTGAGTGACACCGACAAAGACCTAAAACAAGAATTAGAGCACAGCGCTGTTGATGGCATTATTCAGCACATGCCTCGTATAATGTCAACATATAGGTTGACAGGAGGGTCTCGTCTTTCACAGCCAACACCGGGTCTTGAATCGCCTTCAACATCTGGGTCAGAGCTGCGCCATACATTGACCGAGATCGATTGACTAATGCACGGTCGCGATCATTTACAGCAAGCTGTGCAGCGGATAGTGCATCTATTGCAGCGAGCAGCACCGGGCTATTCGCTGGCATGGTTGGAAGCGCAAGCATCAGGGCTGATGGAGGCGGCAAAGCTGGACCATCAGCTCTTGGTAGGTAAAGTCGAATGAAAGTCCCCAGGTGCTGAATGCGATCCACAGCTATGACGCTGACCTGTTTAGGCACATTTGGCTCGACAGCAGGGGCCTGCTCCTCCTGAACAACCAGAGTGCCATATGAATTGTTTCTCGACGAATGGGCAGATGTGGGCTCCAACGCTTGTGGCGTTCGGTATGCATAGCGGTAGCGCTCCTCGTCCTCTTTGATCAAATGCGGCCGCTCTGTCTCGTTGTCGAACTGATGGAGAATAAACGATTGCGGAGGCCTGTATCCTGGACATTTCGTGCCTCTTCGTAAACAAGTATTGCACTCGGGCTTGGTCTCATCGCAACGGACTTTTCGCTGGGGAACGGTTTCAACTTTCGATCATGTGGAATGTAAAGGCGAGCCGATTTAGCGTACCTTCCTGCACTCAAAGCACCCCGCGGATCTTTTGGGCATTGCAGTACAGCGCGCACAACGGGTTTCACGAACTTGTGGCTCGAAGAATTGGAGGCAGTTAAGGTTGCGTTAATCGTGGGTGGTTCGAGCGAGACGTGTGGGAACGGAAGCTGTCATTCCGACTCGCGCAGAAGTCGAGATGAGCAGACGGCGTGGGCGGGGGCTAGGAGGGGTGACAGGGGCTAAGCTTCTCGCATCCTCCATAACGGCGACCAATCGACGATGACGACTTTGCAGATAACCATCGCTCAAGTTTGCGCAGCCTCGTCCATCTCAGCCGGTGGTGGAAAGATTCGTTCCGAGAGGGGGTAGTGATCCCCGCAGTCATTCACGAGCCTCGGCTCCTCAAGGGTTCGAAGATGTTGGTGCGGTTCTGTCCATTCTTTTACTCGGGCCTACGACGGCGTGGCAAGGCTTTTGTGATACTTCGCGACCGACATGCTTCCTAGTGGGGCCGTCGAGGATCCAGACGTTTGTGGTACCTACAGATCCTGTTGTCATCTAAAGTCGCATGTGGCAATAATGAGTATTGGGTTCGACGTCAAGTTCAATCGAAACTCAACGAAGAGAAGTTGATGACACAAGACACTTGACATGTCGGTGACGTTGGCGCTTCGTCCGGAAGTGGGGGACCTCTTGTGTTGAGGACGTTCTTGCGGTTTCAAGGACAGCTGTAGGGAAAGCGCGACACCGAATCTTATACCTCCGGTGTGTATTCCCGCGATGAGCATCATCACAAATCCTCCGCCACGTGACGCTTCCCTTTACAGCAAAGTTCTGCGAAGATGAGGCCGGTAAGCGAATCTTTGGGGCCGGGACAGCGAATACTAACAACGACCCTCAACCATTGGACGTATTTCACCGAATGATCGGCAACGGCACGGCTCTCAACATCGCTAACTATACAGTTGTAATGCTTGTTTCGACATCCGGGTCTCGAATAGCGATAGAGATCCGTCAACTGGCGGAGGACTTCTCCACGTGGGCTGGGGGCTGTAGATCTCGAGCGCACTAGGATTTCTTTCGGAAGGCTTCCCCTCTTCTCTACAGCTTCACCCGTCTCACAGTACCCACCTGGAAGCTCAGATTCTACTTACACTGATGTAGATCAGCACCAACAGATCAATTTTGAAGGACACCCCATAGCCTAGTATCGCTTGATCAAATGTGCGTCACCCACAAATCCACTTCGATGGACCAACCTTCCACCTCATGTAACAGGACAAGCCCTGATAGCGGAAAATTCATGAGATGTTCATGTCATCAACAAGCTCGCCTGATTGCAATGCCATGATTGATTTGCATGAATTACATATTTCCATCTACAGAAAACTCTCTCTGTAGCGGAGGCCGGTAAAAATGGCCGCCATCTGCCAGATGTTTGTATGCAATGGAGAGCTACGAGCAGAGATGTAGCGACGTAATAGATGACATCCGCTTGCCATGGTCAAAGCTGTCAGTATGACACTAGTGACGCAAAAGCTTGCATAATATCAGCGGCGGTGGGATAGTACTGTAGGACTAAAAGAAACGATGTCAAAATTAGAACTGAGCCAACTCTCAATTGTAGACACCGGCCCACCGCACTCGTGTTAAAACGTATGAGTTTCCACTTATCTACTGTGACGACCAGAACTACTCAGATTACGAACAGCACATGTGCCTTGCAGCGTCCAAAGCGATGTCGACTCAGCATAAAGGCTTTAATTGAATGAGCAACAGATGACGATGTCATCCGTGATTGAGTGCTTTAGACAGCAGTAACATTAGATTTAAGTCACATTCTAGAAGAGTGTTTATCTAATCACGTTGAGCAGTGTGGATGATATGTTACTCTGGTGCGCATTACGAGGAGACACGAAGCTGGTGGCAAGAACGGGGGTCCTCGTTGACACAAGTAGGGTTCCTCCGTGTGGCAGGTACCAGAAAATACGACGAGTAACCAACTCTTTATGTCTTTCGTTATTGTTGCTCATTGGACCTCATGTGTGAAGCGAGACCTGACGTCCTATCACAAACCAGAGCCTGTCGTCAGCGTGCGACGCCTCGGATCACAGTCTCTAAGTGCTACATGTGGCTGATGTATGAGCAACAAAGACACAGCGAGACACACAGTAGATATGAAATCAGGTCTCCATCACATAATTCTCTGTAATAAATTGCACACCGCCGTAATCACCGTATTGCGCCCCACTTATAACATCTACTCGGCATTTAATTGACATAAAGCCCGAAACACGCAGCAGTCCACGTATCAGCAGTCTCAATTCGGAAAAGCTGCATGCTTCGTTGCTCAAGCTTCGCTGTCTTATCCACAATTTGCCCATCAACATCTTGGCACTCTTGTGCTGCTTGCACAGCACGCTGGCGCAACTCCAAAGTTCCAGTCCTACGTCACACCCTCGCGCACTTCCCAGGATGGGAATTCGCTCGAAAAGCCCTTCCTCTCCAAGGCCAATCCAATAAAGCCCATACCCCTCCCAAGCCACTACCGGGATGCTTACTTGCGGTAGCTCCACTGCCGCATCGCTGGTGATCCGCGCTCCCGTACCTAGCCCTGCCCCTAAGCCTAATTAGACGCATCGTTATCATCGCCCTTTGCGCCTCAAGTAGGCCGCCAGAACACAGTCCTCGCTGCTCCTTCCTCGCTGCAGAAATTCGAGAGCCAAGCCTTCAACGACCCGTCACACCCGGGCGAGAACGAGCTCAAGCCAAAATACCGTCGTAGGGCCTCAATCGATGACGTCGGGCTTCCGCGGAAGCCGGAGCTAAGAGTACCCATCTGCAGAGATTGGTCAGACGAGCACACTGAGCTTCAATTCACAAAAGTCCCCGGTGCTCATTCGTCCATACACCTTTTTCTTTACAGCGACTTTTCAAAACTCGACGAATCGGCGTGCCGCATTCGGCGAAGCACGGCCAGCACGCACTGTGCAAGTCTCTCGAGGTCACGTCAGGTCTTACTCTGGAGCGCGCGGATCGTTCATATCGACGCCGGCGCCCTTGCTTGCGTTTGACTCTTCTTCTCTGCATACGCGCGCCCCCGTTGATATCCTGAGATACCATTTTGCTCTGCCCATTGCCGCGTGCGACGTTTTGACATTTGAACATGGAGTTGTCGCGAGAGCAAACGCAGACGAGGTCAGTTTCCGCGGGCTCCCGGATCGTGCAAAGCGCGGTCAAGAGCGCGAAAACGCGAATCTTCGTACAAGCAAATGAGTTCTGACTGTGACTAGATTTCTGGCAATAATTCTGCCCGTGCTCACACTCTCGACGCATTTGCTACTTTTGCTGTCTTCTGCACTACCAGGAGACAGCCAGACATGCGCGCTTTGGTCGCTGACATATAACGGACTGGGAGTGTTTGCAAGCATGCTCGGGTTATTGGGCGCAGTCAAGGTACGTAGTCCTACACAGCACCGACAAGCATTCTTCCGGAGAATGGCAAAGACGGCCCAACTGCACACTGCAACCATGAACGTGATTACTGACATTATTCTACAGTTATTACCTCGGCTCGTATCAGTCTACACCCTCTTCCAGGCCACTACATTGTCCTTCGTCACCCTCGCTCTCCTCAACACACTTCTTCCATTCGACCTGCGTTATATGAACCCGGTGATTCCGAGTTGGCGGGTAGACGAGACAGCGATATGCCGAGACATTCATGCAGGTTTCGGATGGGACGAAGAGTGGCTCATGCGGTGCTCGAAGAGCTTTGGCATGGTGCAGGTGGGCGTTGCTTGTGGCGGTCTGGTGCTCATGATCGCGCAGTGGTGGGCGTTGGTCACCGTAAAGAGCTGGAGCAGCGAGTTGCAGGGCCAACGGCGGAACAGAGGAGATATCGAAAAAGCTGGCTTTGAGACTGGAGAATATGGTTATGTGGTCAGAGAGAAGCAAGCGCTCTGGGAAAGAAGCGATATGTAACGGAACCTCCGTATGTTTTCAAAACCACCTGGTACGAACCGGTAGCCACTACACAATGGAATGCCTCTCTATGGAAATCTTCTAGCCACAAGTATCGAGATCAGAGGTGATGGTCGTCTGGGAATGTCTGGGATCCGACATGAGTATGTGTCGTGTCTTCGTCAGAGTGCCGGACTCGCATGTGAATGATTCGATCTGGATCCGCAGATTCTACTCTCAAGTCAATCTGGAGCACGATGACCATGACTTGATACTACAGGGGTACATACCAGGATCGACACACGTTTCCCGGACAAACAGTTGACTCCTTTCAGCTTGTGCGGCGTCACCGTTGGTTATGGCTTTCCTGTAAAAGACGAACTTCTTGCATTCTGTCTTGTTGTTTAGATACCGTGTGTATGCTGTCACAGGCCTGACTGAGCAGCTGTCACACTTGCAATCACACTTCAACCAAGACTGGATCGCCCCACAGTGCATGCACATCTGTTCCGAGCTGTCGACCCACTCATTTCTGCCATTAGCTTCCGTATGGACGATTCGCGCTAGACGACCGACGTGCCAAGAACAGAGCCTTTGAGGTAGTTCGAGGACGTCTGTGTCTCCCACGTTGGAATCATATGAAAACGGTATACATGTCGGGCTACTCGACGATCGGAAGCTTCTCAGAGGATAGACTGCTTTGCACAGAATGCATCGAAGATGGGTTGGATTCAGTGAGGGCTTTGCGAGGTAACTGAGGACTGCAAGACGTGCGCAGCGCGATAGGGTCTGATTTCGGAGCCGCGGTGCAAGAGGTAATGAATAATTCAATATCCGGTGGGAGAATTTCAGAGCCAGGATGCTATCTGCCGGTAGATAGTCGGCAACCTCCAATATCAACTCTGGAGGGAGGCTGAGTAACGACAAGGCCGCCGAAGTCATCTTTGAGCACTGGAATAAGTAGTGTGCTCGAGTGTTATCGCGATCAGTATGATATATGTGCTGAAGCTGTCACAATGGAACGGGTCACATAAAGGATAGACAAAGTGTTGACCTGTGCAGGTACCTTTTGCGTCACATGCACGGGATTCCGTTTGTGCACCAGGCGCGACCCCAGGATGACGGTGACGAAACTTGCGCTGTGGCAATTATCAGCAAATCCTGGTTCGTGACTGTTTCCGGTATCAAAGGATGAATATCTGATGCCAGGATCCTCATACAATAATGGCGTTTGACATCAGTTCGATAACAATAGACTTTGTGGCTGAGGTGATCGTTCAAGACATGGAAACAGGCGTGATTGCAGGCCCCTGACATCTTGCCTGTTCACTGGTGGTCATCAACGCCGTACAGAAAAGACAAATCTTCGGTGTCGATGTCATCCTCAAAAGCGCGTGACAAAGGGCATCCCGTGCTGTCAAGGGTTGGTAATCTGGTCACACAGTCAGGTACAGCGGAATGCGGTTTGATGATGGGAGATGTGAGGTGAGACAAGAGCCAGTCAAGAGAAGAAGGTACTGCACCGCGCCACACAGGCACGTCTGACCAGCCACTTGGCACTTTTGAAGGATCCAACTCATGCTCATCGCAGCCAAGAAGCCGCGTCTCTGACGCTCGGTAACTCCGTTGAAGCGCATACACTGAAAGAGGAAAGAGTGTTGAGGAGACTATTGATCATTCTTGCCTGATGGTGCGGGTTGCCAGGTAAATGGTTGGACGTGCCTGTGCGCAGTTGAGCTGTTCCGAGACGTGCCGCTGAAGATGTTGAGAGAAGAAGGGCTGTGCCTCCGTTACGGGAGAATGGGCAGACATGGCAGGGGTGTCAGGACCGTTACAGTCTGCAGAACGGACCTGCTGGCACGGACACGCTGCATCGACGTTCTCCAGTCGTTGTACTGGTCGGATGAATCATGAGGCTCGTCGACGGGCCGTGTACCACAGACGACAGGTGGGACAAAGCGCTACCGGGTTGCTCGGACAATGAGATGTTTGTTGTGGTGTGTTACGAAGCTGACATGAGGAAGACCGGCAACAGATGTCCGTTCCTTCAGCGGCTCGCACAACTGTCGACTGCGAGCTCGGCACGGTACCGTGTGCATGGTGGTGCTGCAGGCCGTGCAGCTGGTGATGCTTGGTCCGCAGAAGCGCTACAACCGCAGAGCAGACGAGATGGCGTGCATGCCGGCCCCACTCCAGCCTCATTTGGAAAGACGGCCGCTGCGTACCTATTCGAGGGAACCGAGATGTCCCGTTGGAGAGGTGCAGCAACAGCCATGGAAAGCGAGCTGTCCACAAGCCACGCATGTTGCTGACCATGGTGCTCTCAGTCTGTGACTGCAAGAGCGACTCGACCAGCAGCCACCTGGCGATATCACATCGGCGGGCGGCGCTAATTGGACGGTGCTCGCAAAGTGGTGGCAGCCCCGCACGATAGTGGGCTGGCTATCAAGTAGTCTGCGATGGAGGAGGGCAGAGCTGATCACGCTGGCCGCCAACGCCCGCCAACGCCTGCCAACGCCCGCATTCTCCTGCCGAAGACGGACGGCGCAGTGGTTGGCCCGAGGCGGGGGTGCAGGATGGCATGCATCCCTTTTGACTGTGCTGCAGCCATGCGTGCGGTAGGGCAGGCTGGCGACGGCTGCGAACCGCCGTGTTCGCAGGCGCTGGACGCAGCACACGACTGCGCGCTGCGCGCTGCGCGTGGCCAGCTGGGGTGCGCGTGTCAGAGCAAAGAGAGGGTCTCAGCCCAGGGTCCACGTGCGGCTGCGGAAAAGGAGAGGGCGGCCTGGCGGGCATTTATGGTGCCCTGCGTCCCGAGCAGTGCTGGTGGTGCTCGACCGACGACGACGCTCACATCGCTAGCGCCCCAGCAGCCTGCATCTCCCGCACTCGAGGGCACCTGCAGCTGCCACAAACGTCATGTCCGCAGACTCTGCTGGTGCTGCGCCTGAGGCCTTGGCCCGCCGGGCGAGCGCTGCAGCGGGCGTGCGGGCGCTGGCGACGGGCACTGCGACGGGCACTGGCGATGGGCACCTGGCGAGCTGGCGACCACGAGAGCCCTCTCGCCGCGAGGCTGCGGTGGGTCGCCGGCGACGACATGCGCCGCTGCAGCGCGCAGGGCCCATCAGTTGATTGCGTGCGAACTCGAGGCTAACTGCATCTCTCAATCTCCCTCCGCTCCTCACGACCCACGGGCCTGAGCGCTTGGCCAGGGTTAGCGCTCGACTAATATGTATGTGAGGAATATCCCCCTCGAGCCCGCTCCGCGAGTTTTCCCGTACCAACCCTTCCCTGACACCGCCCAGCTGTGCTGCCTCTCGGTCTCGTCGCCTGCTCGTCCGTCGCGTGAAGCCGCAAACGCCACCGCTCCTTCAGCCTGCGTCGCATCTGTGGAGTTGCATTTCTCGGTAAGCGGCAGGACCCTATCTCAACCCTCTCCGCAACTTTAGCAGCGCGCCAAAAATTCTGCGCTGCGCTCCCGCGGCGGCCTCATTTCCCGCCCCCATTCCGTGCATGCCCAGCGCGCCCGACCCTGGCCGCTCGACCCTGCCATTGACCGATCCTCTCTGACACGCTGTGCAGCAGGGCTTCGTTGCTCTCTCGGATCCTCTCCATCCGTCCCCGGACCGCGTCCATATTGCCTGCCGACCGCCCGCCGCGACCGCCGCCCAACGACTCCTCGCCGCCGACCATGTCCTACTACAACGACCCCTCCTGGCCTGCGCCCGCCGCCGCCCGCCAATCGTCGTGGGAGCAGCCGCCGCCGCCCTCGCGCTCAGGTACCGGACACAGTGGTTACAGCCGCGGCAGGACACCGAGTAACATGGACTCAGGCGCCAGCTCGACCGTGAACAGGGACGAGGCCAATGCGTTTGTTGCGCAGTTTGACGGTACGTCGCAGCCGGACTGGACCCCGAGCGGGTCGCTACCGTAGCGCGTTGCACAGTGACAGCGCATGGCAGTGGCACGCTGCTGACACGGGTCCACGAACTCGGCTAATTCGCCGCTCACAGAAGTCGAACGCGCCGTCGAGAACCTCGCCAAGGGCGGAAAGCCCTTCGGCGGATATCCGCCCGCGACGCCCCCGGCGGGCACCCCGACCAGCCGTCGCGAGTCGATGCCCATGATGGGCGGTGGCGCCCCCCGCCCCCCGTACAACGAGCAGCAAGGTATGCCCGCACGCCCGCATTGGCCCCGGGCCCCGACTGACGGACGCAGACGCTCGCTACGGCGGCCAGCAGCGCCACCACTCGGTCAGCGAGTACGATGGCATCCGCTCCCACTCGGCCTCGAACGCGCAGGGCTTCTACCAGAACCAGCGCTTTGCGCCCCGACCGAACGACGCGGATCAGATGGCGCAGGCGAAGCGACGGATGGCTGCTCAGCGCGAGCGTGAGCTGCGCAACTACCACCAGGAGCAGCAATACCACAGAAGTAAGGACTCAGAGTCAGGGCAACAATAGAGGAAGGACAGTGGTTGACTAGGATAATAGACGTTTCGGGATCTGGATCCAAGTCGGACCGCTCCATGAGTCCCAATACCATGAATGAAGACGACCGCCGCGAACTCATCGCCCGCCAACATCGTGCCCTGTACGGCGAGAACTCAGCCCTCTACAATAACAACCCCACCTCCAGCCAGGACGTCCGAGTCCAGTCCGCCGGCGCTAACCGCGGAGCATCTCCACTGGCTTTCGATCCATTCGGCACCCAAGCACAGTCCATCTCTGGCGAGGCCGCCGTCCAGATGCCCCCTCGAGGCGACAAGGACGCTGCAGGCGGAGCACAGGAGGCCCGCACCAACAGCAACTCGTCTCCTTCTTCTCATCAGAACCCGGCCTTTGGCCTCTTCGACGCGCAGCAGGCTAGCCGCACCTCGAACTCATCCCCGGGCGGATCTCCCCCCGTCTCGGGTTCTAACAAGACGAACGGATCCGGCGTTGCTCCCATTGGCACTCGTCCGGCTCCCAACCAGCATCAGCAGGCTGGTGCACCCCTCGGCAAGCGGGCGACCACACCGCTCCCGTCGCCCCTTAGCTACGGCGCTTACAATGCTAGCGAGCAGAAAAACATCGCTGCTTCATCTTCTTCTTTGAACCCTTCGTCGACGATTACCGACAAGGGTGCTATCTGGAACAACGGTCCTTGGGGTAACACGCCCAACCAGGGCGTTCAAGCCTCTGTGTGGGGCTAAAACGGAGTTTTCATTAGGGAAATCTTGACGCACATTCGGAGTTCCTGCATTTCAAGGTGTCCTAGGCATTCGTGTCGGCTTTCCAATCAATATCCACAGGCGGAACAGGTTATGGGTGGTCGGCGAACAATTACCCTGGGTTCCAGTCATGCTTTTACGGCGCGTTGATCTGCATCTAGGTCTGGCTGAAGATGATATACCATTCACGTGTGGGTTACATGGGGTGTTCATTTGTGGGCTCAAGGTTGCCCACGGTTCTTTCGCTTAACGGTTGGGAGGGGAGTTCTTGAGGTTTTATTGTTTTTATGCTTCACATAGTCTTACGATTTGGTTGGACACGGTTGGGAGCATTTGCGATGGGGCGGTGGATGGTTCCGCCTCTGGTAATCTTTGGACGGTATGGGCACATCTGGGAATAATGCGAAAAAGTGGTTTTCGGGCAACACTCTTACATTATGCTGTGACGAACGTCTGTGTGAGATGGGGAGCTCTGAACTCTAGCCAATCAAAGCTTCGATCTGGGGTAATGCAGGGCCGAGTGAAAGGGAGCTGGTGGAATGCGCCTGTGCGTTTGGGCTAGCCGCGGCCGCGCTAAGCTCACCCTGACCACCCCCGGCTCGCAGCTTCCAGAAGCGTGGCCTCTCGTTAGCAAGAACCCCCGACGAGCAACTGCCACCTCGACCACCACACGAACACCACCTCCATTGACGCCCCCTCGGTTTACTCCTCCCGGTTTCTATTACGCCTGAACAAGATGGTGAGTTTCTAGTCCATCTCCGAACCATTGGACACCACGGCGCGCGCACAGTGGACAGATGGCTGCTGGATGCGAACACAATAATTGACGGCCACGCAATGTGACATGACAGCTGCGGCGCTCGTGTCTGCTCCCGCCGCTGCGAATGTCACTGGCTCGCTTCCTTGCCCAAATCACGAGCTTCGATGCGGTAGCCTTTGCGTTCTGCACATTTGTGAACTGCGACTTTCGCACAGTAACTGACACGCTTCTGGCAGTCTGCACCGCGCCCCACCTCCCCCGTCAACAATGCCGCGTCTGGCACGACAACAGCGCGCCCTGCGTCGCCCAAGCCCCCGGGTGGCCCTGCCACTGTCATGCGCAGGAAGGCTGCTGCCGACCGCGCTGAGAAGGTTTCCAACCAGCGACCAAGCAGCACAAGGGCTGCCGGTGCCGGTGGTAGCTCCAGCACCATGCTGAGTAAGTTGCTTGCCCAATATCAAGACGTTCGGGACGGTGAAAGATCGAGAAGCACACATCGCATCACCTGGACGGGACGGTAGAGAAACCACGATCTCGAACATGTGTGCTAACGTTCATCTTTAGGGCTGTACACCGATGAGTCCCCTGGTCTCAAGGTCGACCCCGTCGTCGTTATGACCCTGTCCGTGGTCTTCATCTTCAGCGTCGTTGCTCTCCACGGTACGTCTTATGACAGCCTTGATGATTTCATGTGGCTAATGCAAGCTCCAGTCATGGCCAAGGTCGCTCGCCGCTTCACCGCATAATCGCCCACAATCATACCCTTTTTATACCACCAACAAACCTCGCTCGGTGAGCGCTGAGCACCGACCACGCCACGACGCCGAGTCCTCGTGTCCTTTTTTTTCCTTCCGTCAAACGGCTCGTTGCTTGGGAAGACAGGAAAAGCATATGATCCGATTATCTGATACCTGATGTGTGCATGGAGCCATTGGGAAGCGCTTGGATTGGGAATCTGCATGCTGTATTATTAGGTCTACAATGAAACCGGATTTTGATCGAACAGCTGCATCTAGTCAGCATCTGCACTAATACGACCTGTAAGAATCATAACTTGTGTACACACCAATAAACTGCCATAATGCTTGTAGATTGCTTCACTTTCTCATTGCTCGTATTGCAAACACACAAACTATTCCAGCTGACACTCCGTTCCAGACGAGGGATCTACTGACGTTTCTTGAAGTATGTGTTTCGCTGCATGTTGTCAATCGTGCGTGGTATGAAGACTAGAGTCTTTCGACTTGGAAGCGCATGATTCGGCGCTATACCAAGTAACAGACTAGCACTGAACGAAGACCCTGCTTCTATCCTTACACCGACAAGTCCACGGGAATTGCCCAGGTGGGTTGAGGCCGCTCACGTGACATGGAAGATCCATGCGGCACAACCCCGCCAGCTTGCCCTCACCATTACCTTGATGGGCAGCTCGGTTCAATGCGGTCTTTCTCCTACATACGGGCCGAGGCAGCAGTTCCAGGAGTATCGAAGTTGTGGCGATCGTATTTTTGTCTACGTCATGTTCATTTTTGTAGTCTTCACTGCCTAATAGCAGCGCCGTAGCGATACTCTACTTCACCTTTTCCCCTCAAATGGCTTTTGAAGATCCCTGAACGGCCATTAGTCTATTTCGGACAAGCAGCGGGTCAAACGTTACAGCCATTAAGTCTTCACACTGCAAAGGCGCCCAGAAAGTATCCACCCGTGGATGTGTCTAGAAGCCGAGGTTCACCGCATTTAAGACGCTGCCACTGTTTGAGCCTCAACTGGTAGGTAATCGCATACAGGCTTCCGTCTAAATCTCTTTCACTGCTTTGTAAGAATTGCACTTTGTTGTAGATATACAGTGTCATCCCACCTCCAAAGTCGGTCATCCACTCTCCAATTTCTACTCGAACCATCGATCCACCAATACACAATGCCTGGCCAACAAGCACAACAATGGGTTCTGTCGAACCCCCCCACCGCCGACCCTGTACTTGAGGGCGACAACGCTACCTTCAAGCTCGCGAACGTTACCCTCCCCGAAGTTGGCGCCGGCGAGGTCCTCGTCAAGACCCTGTACCTCTCGAACGACCCCGCACAGCGCGGATGGATCCAGAAAGGCATGGACCCGGAGCGTCTCTACGTTCCTCCCGTCAAGCAGGGCGAGACTATGCGTTCGTTCGGTATCGGCGAGGTCGTTGAGTCGAATGCCGACAGCTTGAAGAAGGGCACACTGATCTCCGGCTCGCTGGGCTGGACAGATTACGCCATCGTCAAGGCGAATGAAGTCCGCGCTGTTGCTGCCGACGAGAAGGCTGGCATCCGCGTCACAAACTACCTTGGCTCCCTCGGATTCACTGGTCTCACAGCCTACTACGGTATCACCGATATCGGGCGCGCCACCAAGGATGATGTCGTCGTCGTTTCCGGTGCTGCTGGCGCTACTGGCAGTATGGTCGTCCAGATTGCCAAGAACCTGATCGGTTGCAAGAAGGTCGTTGGTATTGCTGGAGGCGAGAAGAAGTGCAGGTGGGTTGAGAGCCTCGGAGCCGATATCTGCGTGGACTACAAGTCGGCGACCTTCAAGGAGGACCTGAAGAAGGCCACCGAGGAGTATGTCGACGTTTACTTCGACAACGTCGGTGGCGAGATCCTCGATCTCATGCTTTCGCGCACTAAGCGCTTTGGTCGCGTTGCTGCTTGCGGTGCGATCGCGACATACAACGACCCCACCGTCGGTGTCAAGAACTGGTTCGAGATCATTGCCAACAGAATCGAGATCAGGGGTTTCATCGTCCTCGATGCGATTCCCAAGGCTGGAGAGATGCTTGCAGCGATTACACAGGGTGTCAAGGACGGCAAGATCAAGATTGATCCCGAGAGCGAGACTATCGTGCCTACCAAGTTCGAGGATGTGCCCAAGACATGGACAACACTCTTCACAGGCGCAAACCAGGGCAAGCTCGTCACTCAGATCCAGTAGAGGTCGGTGTGACTTAATACATTAATGCAATACAAATTCAACAACGTATACCCATATTTCTGTCTCGCTCTTCGTTCATCCAGAACACCCCGTCACTCTTTGCAGCACTCTTCACAGTCATAACGTGAGCCAGTACCTCCCTGAGATGCAACGTCTATCTTGGCACCCCTATGCGATCTCTTCGCCAGTCTTGTAGTCCTTCTCATAATCAGGTAGCTTCGTCCTCACACTGACATCAGGAACCATGAACCGGCGTTAGCAAGCACAGCACGTACATCGACAGTAATAACAATGCACAACCTTCCCACTCACACCCTTGAAGTACTCCGCCCCGCAGCGCAGCAGACTAGGCCCACAGAACAACGCAGTCGCAACTACCAAGTAGTGGCACAAAACAAACACAAAATCCTCGCCCTCCTCGACCCCGCCGTCCCACACGACGTCCCCGCAGTGCCACTAGTCTCTCACTCACTCGGTGCCAACAGCGCGCAGTTTTTGCCGTACTCGACCGTGCCACCTTGGCCCAACGACTGCGAGAGGTCGGCCCAGGGCTCACCCCGTACGAGGGAGGCGAGGTGCTTCTGTGATGCGAGCTGGAGACCCGGGGTCGCTGGAAGGCTTTAGAGGTTGTCGTGGTTCGCGTGAAGTGGTAGTGTGTACGGCGTGAGTGTTTGGCTTAGAGGTGGCGCGGTTGTGGGGGTTGGAAGGAGGGGGTGTGTTTGGATGGTGGTGAAGTAGGCTTAAGAGGAGGTAGACTGTGTTTAGTAGGAGCTCGATAGTATGCCGACGCTTGAAGGGAACGGTATGGGTTGTTGGAGTGTCTGGGTCATGGCTGTGCACTGATTTCGGCAGCAGAACAGTGTAGTACTGTATTGCCTGGAAGGACTACATTTGTGAAAGACTGTGTTACTCTGCAGGATTTGGGCAGGTGATAGTACGCGGGATGTTGTTGTATTCAACTTTCCCTGCAGTCCTTTTAGTTCTTCTATAGAGATTCCAGGAGACTGCCTCTTCTCTGGATTGTTACAACTAGGATCGAAAGTTGATCTTGGAAATGTCGATTGATGTTCTTTGCAACTGCCACTTTCCACGTGCAACGGCTCAGTTATCACCGATGGGATTCTTCGGTTGGGATGAACAGTCGTCAGAGACAGGGGTGAGCTAGACATCGACGAAGTTCGCCAAATAGCTATCGCATTTTTGGTAACGTCTTGCAAGATGCACAATTTCACTTGCAACGTCAATGCACGTGAATTTCGGTATTGCCTGAGAGTCATGGTAAGTTACTGTGAGAGCATAGTGACATATCAACATGTAAGGCGTGCACTTGGCAATGTTCGCATAATACCTGTGCTTCGTTTCAACTTTGTTGAGTCGTCGTGTATCCACAAGAATTGATCCACATTCACTAGTGGAAGGAGTTGAAGCACAAACCACAGACACGCAATTTTCTGTCCAATTCATGTGTCAAGACTCCACACAACGTATGATCGGGGATGCTCCACGACGCCCACGCAAAGCCCACACATTTCCACGTAGGTGATCATCCCCCCAAGTGTCTACGGCCCGCCCTACCGTGTCCCGCCGTTCGACCTTCGATATAGACCGTCACGTGACATGAAAGTAGCCCCGGACCCTTCTCAACGTCCGGACAGCTGCGCAGCTGTAAATGCGGTTGATAGTTGCCGATAGATCGGTGTTCAGAGAACTTTACCCGGTGCTTCAAATCAAATCAGCCGTCGTCAGTCGCGATGTAGGAATGGCGGGGCAAACTACGAGAGAATGCCCCACCTTGAACAACAACCGCGGACTTATAGCATGCTGTGCACCCACCATGAACATTGAACATAGTCGCTGACTTCTAGAAAACGCACCTCAGTGCATTTACAAGTCTACAGTTTGTCATTTGCGCTACTTTGTGACACCACGGAGAATCTATCTCGATGACTGCACGGTGATCTACGTAGATGCGGGGTACAGGTAGGCAAAGTACTCGAACTCCATATCTCTGCGCATGGAAGGCTAAATGCATCTAAGAGCTTATCCACCAGGGTAAAGAGAAGCTCTGGCTGTATGGTAGACGGCGTGAAGCCCGTGTTCGTTTCGTGTTTAGCGCGCTGTATATACCGAAGAGGTGCCCAAAAATTTGCATCATCCAAGAGGCTATGCTTGCTGGTATCTGTTACCGCGCGACTACTAATATCCCTCGAGCCTGCTCGTATTTCCGACTTTCATACCCAGCTTTCAAACCAGCCCTCAGTTCTGCAATACAGCGACTTCCTCCTTCGAACCGCAGCTTCCTCACAACAATGGCTGCCAACACTCCGTACGTCACGCTTAACGATGGCAACAAGATGCCTCAGGTCGGATTTGGGCTGTGGAAGGTCGATAATGCCACCTGCGCGGACACTGTATACAACGCCATCAAGACTGGGTACCGACTGTTCGATGGAGCCTGTGGTACGTGATCAGTCCAATCGCTTTTCGCGTCAGCCTCGAGCCATATACAGACCCGCAATCAAGTTCAATTTGAAATATTTCAAACATGGAGACTAATTTGATGACCAGATTACGGTAACGAGAAGGAAGCCGGAGAGGGTGTCGCACGTGCTATCAAGGAGGGAATTGTGAAGCGTGAGGATTTGTTCATTGTGTCAAAGCTGTGGCAATCTTTCCACGACTACGAGCAGGTTGAGCCTATCACCCGGAAGCAGCTTGCTGACTGGGGTGTTGACTACTTTGATCTTTGGGTTATCCATTTCCCTGTAGCGCTCAAGTACGTCGACCCCAAGACGCGCTACCCACCTGGCTGGTACAACGATGAAGCCAGCACCAAGATCGAGCACAGCACCGCAAGACTCGAAGACACATGGAGAGCCATGGAGGACGTGCAGAAGAAGGGTCTCGCAAAGAGCATCGGTGTCTCAAACTACAACGGCGCTCTGCTCCTTGACATGTTCACATACGCGAAGGTGAAGCCCGCGACACTCCAGATTGAGCATCACCCGTACTACGTCCAGCCAAACCTGCTCAAGCTTGCTGAGCAGCATGGAATTGCCGTTACTGCATACTCATCGTTCGGTCCTCAGTCGTTCATCGAGTGTGACATGAAGATCGCCGCAGACACACCTCTCCTGTTTGACCATCCGGTCATTACAAAGATCGCAGAGGCACACGGCAAGACACCAGCACAGGTTCTTCTTCGATGGTCCACACAACGTGGTCTCTCCGTCATCCCCAAGAGCAACTCGCAGAACCGTCTGCAACAGAACTTGGACGTAACAAGCTTCGACCTGAAGTCCGAGGAGATTCAGCAGATTTCGGATCTGGACAAGAACTTGAAGTTCAATGTGCCCACAAACGTATGTGGCCTTGCCACCAAACTTTACTTGAGATTTCCACTAATTAAACACCAGTATGGCATCCCCTGTTACGTCTTCGCCTAAGCGCCTGACAGCGGCGCAACGCTCGACTACGGACCAAACGGTATAGTCGCGATCGTATCGCGATCGCAGCGGATACTAGTCATGATGCAGCAATCAACGAGAAACTGAAGATAACCTTTGGCGCTGCTCGCAAGCACTTTTTGCATAGAAAGCGATCATGAAATGTGTCATGTCTCGTATGCCGACAGGAGACAGAATGCAGGGGGCTGACACATTGGATGCTAGTTTATGGCCACTTGCTAAGAGTTTGACCAATCCGTAGAACCGAAGCATTTGTCCTTGTGTTTTGATTTGCGATCATGTACGCCGCGCCGGCACATCAGCCCAACGCAGATACCCTCTTGTATACCACGAAGTTTCATGTCCCGCATTGTCTTAATTCTTCCTATAGTAGAACGAGGACATGCATCCGCAAATTCCGTGGCTGAGCTGTCGGTGTCAACGTAGCGAAGTCGAAACTCGTGCGTTCGAAGTCCGAGACCGCTTCTCTCCGTGCCGCCATGATCCGTATCGTATCGTTGTTGATTCCCCATCGAGCAGGTACCGAAGCTTCTACTCGCATTAACGATCACACGATATTCAGCTACCGACAGCGCCCACTTCACGATCGGCAGTTGGATTGGATGCCCAAGCGCACTAGGTATGCGGCATGCAGATGTGTAACTTATAATTCTTCCGGACCCAGATCATCAACTTCTCCAGCATCTCCACCGCAATCACCACACTAGTATTTCAGAGTCTTCTCGCCTTGTTCTTCCTAATGACAGTTGTGGCTCTGGAATGTCTCTGGCAATTTCCGCTATAGCGGCTGGACGTGATTTATACCCTGTCATGTCATTCCAAAACAAGACGTTGCCGCCCCCGGTCGGGCTACTGCACCCACCAGGGCGAGGCGAGGAAGGCGGAAGCGAAGGGCTTTAACCACAAGAACGAGTCATGGACAGCCGCGTACCCGTGGCACGGATGGTAGGATCTTGGTCGAACGTGCCGCTAAGCTTGTCGATCACATGGGAAGCAGACACATGGTGAGTCGGTCCGTATCGCCAGCCTTGCAAATGATCATCAACGTCTCTCATTGTCATCTTCATGTGGTTCTAGAATCCATTCGTGTACGCTAGAAATACACTAAACAGTACGCAGGGGGTATCCATCCATAGCAAAGTAGGCGCACAACGGCTTGCGTTGAAATCACTGGACTCAGTCGGCCCTGCCGCTCTCTACCTTCATTTCCGTCTTCTTCGTAATGACCAAGCGAGTCTCGTCACTCATGTGTCTGAACACGTCATCCGTTTCTCGTACACTCGATGAGCGGTTGCCGACCCAGACCTCGGCATCATGTTTGAGACCTTCGTGCGGCGGACGGAATGTCGGCGGCTCCGCCGCTCCGATGATAGATGTCTGCGACGTGGGCGAGACCTGACCGGGTTCAGGAGAAGGGGCTTTTGACGACATCGGGCAGAGGCTGCGTTGGCGCATCCGCACTGGTGCTGCTGCTGGTCTGTTCTCCTCGAGGTCAAGTCGACTCATCTGGTAGCTCGGTTGAGACCCTCCAGAGTGGGACCCAATCACGTCGCCATTCCTCGCGTACCGTTTGGCCACATAGCTCATCATCGGGTCCTTATTGAAGGGGCGTAAGAAAGGACCCATGCCAGTGATCGTCAGTGAGATAATGGCGTAGCTCATCTGCCACTGGTTGGCGACCAAGTAGAAGCTGCTGGCATAAGTGACGTTTGTGTCGAAGATCGCTTCCCGGAAGTAGTAGAGTCGAACTGCTGCGATCATGATAACTGGAAGTCGTGCGGAGAAGGCGAAAATAACAAGGAATTTGGCTTGCCATCGCATGTGCAGCGACCACACAAGTTGGAGAGCAATGCAAAAGATCAGTCCTTCAGTGCTGATATCAAGGGCTGTGATAGCCTGCCATTTGGGCCACTACAATGCCTGTTAGCTGGGAGTAACTACAACGATGGTCGCAAAGGCATACATACCATATCAGTGCACTCTCCAGGTTGGCTTGTGTAGAACTGCGCGGGATTGCACGGAACCGATACAAGTACGACGGAAGCGATTGCCCAGATGGCAGAGGCCGCCAGCATCGTCCATGATGCAAGTTTGTGAGTACCGCTCGGCGATAACCGCATGTACAATAGCAAAATGGAAGATTTGGTGGTCCATATGGTGAGGATGTAGAGGATCTGTGAGGCGAACCCTTGCTGTGGTGGTTGTTAGACATAGGTAGTTCTAAACAAATGGTGGGTCGCACGAATGCCCCATGAGGGGAATCGTCTGAACCGTGTGGGGAATTTTTTTGAATCTTACCTTGCCGATGACTTCCAGTTGTTCTCGAGGAATTTCTTCCTGGGGACCACCTAGGCCCAAGTGGATGAGGTTGAATATAACACCGGTCTGTATAGTTTCTAGGAACTACGCAAGTGATCAGCAATTGCGCTGCAGCCATACGGTCGAAGCTGAACTCACTGTCGCTGCTGCTAGGAAGTAATCGTCGGACCTCCACTCCCTAACCTGCGTGCGAAGCCATAATCGAATGATAAAGCACACCCAAACGAAGGCCAAGGTACATCCTGCTGTAACGGCGATCAATCCGCGTTTATCATGTTCTGTAATCGTGTATGGTGGTTGAATAACGTCTCCAGCCATGGCTGATGGAGAGTGACTCGAAGGTTACCAACGAGGCTGTAGGACTCACGTCAGCTGGCCGAGGTGGATTTGAGTAAGATGCAGACCCGCAAGCAGCAGATCCGCGTCCTCTTCTTCGCCCTGCATCCTACCCAGGTTCACAGCCATTCCCAGCGCAGGGGTACGCTGATGCCCGAATTCTTGGACCGCTTGGCCGGAGCACACGACCGATTGCGTTCCATTCGCTAACTGTGCGTCACCGTCTTTAGACGAGCCCATGCGAGTTTACCCATACAAAGCTACATTCGCGAACATGGCCGCCATTATAGCGCCAGCCCATCGGCGGAATCTAATGTACACTCTCGTCCCGGGTTCCAGCGGGATGCTTCCCACGAGCGATAGCTGGAAGTTTATCTGAAAACGACCTTAAGCGGCATCGTATGTAGTCCTCGGCAGTCGTCACAACGGCAACGACCGCTTAGGTACCCATCATCCAACTGTAGGTCGCTTTGTTGTCCAAGTTTCCAGGCGCCCCAACAGGAACCGGGCAGGATTCCAGAGGAACCGGATCAGCAACGCCCATGTCGTGCAGCATGCTCCCACGGGGCGAAATCTGCTCGAAAATTCTCTTACCCCTGCTCAACTCCTGGCATTTGTTAAGCGCACATAACAGACACGCCATGTACACGAGGGCATACCCTGCCGACGCGGGATGAAGCTCCAGTCCACTTTAAATCATACGCTCAAGAGCGGCTCCTGCATACCGATTCAGGCCAAGGGTCCAGCCGTCGCAAGACTCCAGACCAGTGGAAGCGGGCCGCAGGGACCGATTGGCTTGTGGCAAATGCATATGCCCCACTCAAGCTGCTAGATTTCTGCCACACCGTCCGTGACGTTTCGTTGGTCGACGGCCCATCGGATTAAGTGCACATTGCTGGCATTCTCTGCCGTTCATGCATGAGGAATCGCCGAACCCGTGTTTCTAGCGTGCGGCATGGATTGCACGGTGTTCAACATCGATTTACCCAAGATCAGAGGGAGCTATCCCCGCAGGTCTTTTCGCATTTGAAATTGACAGAACGTTTCTCTTCTATCATCTATCCTGCGTGGCGCTCACCTGCATCTGCGCTCCTGCAAGTCATTGAACAATGGGTTCCTCGTACGACAGCTCAGTCGTTGTGCCCAAGGAGGCCAGCACAACATCACATCGTCATCAGGACAGCTTGGAGTACGCAGAGACTGGCGATGAGTATCACAGTTCTATCCAGGGCCACACGAGGGCCGACAACCGCGACATGGCTCGCATGGGAAAGATCCAAGAGCTGAGGAGAAATTATCGCCCGTTGTCAGCGCTCGCGTTCACGGTCATTCTTCAAGGTGTATGGGAAGTCCTCCTAACGTAAGTCCCTGTCATGCGTTGCGCCTTTGTGTAACGGTGCTAACAATCGACTTCAGCGCCACCTACCAAGGCCTTCTTGATGGTGGCCCAGCAGGTCTGATCTGGAGTTTCGTCTGGACATGGTTCGGCTTTAGCATGGTCATGTTGTCCCTTGCTGAGATGGCCTCCATGGCGCCGACTGCTGGCGGTCAGTACCACTGGGTTTCCGAATTCGCTCCTGCTTCATGCCAAAGATCTTTGAGCTACTTCACCGGATGGATGTCGACCCTCTCATGGCAGGCCGGTACAGCATCCGGTCCCTTCCTGGTCGGAACTTTGATTCAGTCCTCAGCCACCGTCATGTATCCCGACTACGAAGCCACTAACTGGCAAGGCACCCTCATGGTCATTGCCGTTACCATTCTGGTCTGGGCGCTGAATGTCTACGCCTGCAAGGCCATGCCTCTGTTCCAGAACGTCATGCTTATGGTGCACGTCTTTGGTTTCTTGGCTATCATCATTGTCTTCTGGACTCTGAACCCTAGGAACACCGCCGAGGTCACCTTCACCCAGATCACCAATGGCGGCGGCTGGAGCTCAACTGGTCTGTCTCTAATGGTCGGACAGATCTCCGCCATCTATGCTTGTATCTGTAAGTGAAACTGCTGAGCCAAGCGTTTGACATCACACTAACATCTTCCAAGGCTCTGACGGTGTCGCGCATTTGGCTGAGGAGGTCAAGGATGCTGGAAAGACTGTTCCCAGGGCTATGATCAACGCGTACCTCATGAACGGTGCTATTGGTCTTGTCTTCTTGATCAGTTACATGTTCATGATCACTGACCTTGACACTGCTCTCAATGATCCCTCTGGCTATCCCCACATGTGGGTCTTCGCTCAGGCAGTCAGCCCCGGTGGTGTTGTTGCTCTCAACGCCATCCCCACCGTCCTCATTTTTGCCGGTACCTTGACGTACAACCTGTCCACCTCTCGCCAGACATGGGCCTTCGCTCGTGATAACGGCCTACCCTTCAGCAACTGGATCGGTAAGGTTGACAAGAAGCTCGACAATCCCGCCAACTCCGTTACTTTCACCTGCATCATTACTATTCTCCTCTCTCTTATCAATATTGGATCCGACACGGCCTTCAATGCTAGTAAGTCCTCCTTGGCGGTACATTCACACGAGCCTCCATTAACCATGCCATAGTTATCTCTCTCAACGTGGTCTCCCTTATGATCACATATGTCTTCTCCATCGGCTCTGTTCTCTACCGCCGTATCACCGCACCTCAGACCCTCCCTGTTTGCGCCTGGTCCCTCGGCAGATGGGGTATCCCTGTCAACCTCGCTGGTGTCCTCTACGCCTCGCACGCCTTCTTCTGGTGCTTCTGGCCCGATAGCACGCCCACAACTCTCGAGTTCTTCAACTGGGCGTCTGTTATGTTCGTTGGTGTTGCTTTCCTCAGCATGGTTGACTACGTCCTGCGCGCCAGGAAGTACTACAAGGGTCCCGTTGTGCTGGTCGAGGGCTGGAAGGGCGAGTAATAGAAGAACTTGCGCTGCTCTGAAGAGTAACAGCAGTTTTAGCTGCTTAATAGAATTATTTCTGTAGATAAACGATACTGAATATGTATCTTGAAACATGTAATAGAGCGTTCGACGATAGCAAAGAGTCGAACGAATACCCATGGCCTATGAGCCGACTCCTGTAACTCCGGTGCCCTGCCTCCATCCAATGTGAACCCTAAATGCGCCAGGCCTAGGAATCGCAGTCTATGTGGCGATGTCCTTGTTTTCTACATGGTGAACATCCTCTGTTGCGTTATCTTGCGAAGATGATGTAGGACTCAATGTGTCATCCTTGTTTAGCTCATCAGGGAACTCCAACGGCTCCTTGCCGTCTTCGTTGCCGCTGATAAGTCCGTCCGACTTCATCTTCTTCACCACGTCGTACGTAGCAACACCAAGATTGCTCGTCCTGCTCAATATGGTTTTTGGGTTAATGAAATCGAGATAGTGGCTCATTGAGAAGCCATGCAGCAAATAAGTGGCGGAAAAGTCCATTTCCCACTCGGCGCGTCTCCTCCTGTTTAGTACGAGGTTTTCATATAACTCCATCGGATTTGTGGTGTTTGTAAATAGTGGTTTGGGGGATGGGTGGCCGGGGTTGGGTTTAAATAGCGCGTCAGTGCCCAAGGCTGAGTCTGGGAACCTGAGTCTGCGTGAGTGGCTCGTCCTACGAATTGATGTCTGTGCAAACTTACCAGTGAGTAGGCGCGAAGGAATTACGGTCGAGAATAAGGACTTCGTTCGGAATAGTGACAAGGTGTTCAGCAACGATAGTCATGCTGTGCAAGTTCGAAGCCCAGGCGCCGTTGAACCCGGCGTGTTGCTCACGCACGATAATGCGAGCCATTGTGCTGTTCGGCTTCGTCAAGAAGGCGCCGTTGTTGATTGTGCCGTTCACTGAGCCGTCCTCGTTCGCTCCACCGTATTGGCGGCCACCAACAAAAGCAAACCCGGCGTTGAGAAGTGGTGTCAGGGGTCGCAGGGGCACGACATCCCAATCCAGATAGATTCCACCAATCTTCGCGATCGTGTCCCACCGGATGAAGTCAGACTTGTGCTGAATTGTATTGATGCGTTGGTTCTCGTTGGGTCCAGCAAAGTTTGGGACTGAGACTTCGTTCCATCTTAGAATGTCTGGGAAAGTGTTGATAACCGCGCGTGTCCATCGATCGCCACTGAGGCTGGCGTTCCTAATCTCAGTCTCGTTGAAGTCGGTGTGTATGTAGATTTGCGTCGGCTTTATGTACATCACCGATGCAAACAGGGTGAGGAAGCTTGCAAACGGGAATTGTATGACCGATTCGACATCCTTTTTGATGTATACATAATGGACGATGCTGGGTATCGGATCATCTGCGGACGGCGGAGCAGACTTCAGTCTCCCAAATTCTCTCCCCCTCTCGCCCGGCTCAACAGAGTTTATGGTCACTGCAAGCGTGATGATGATGCATATTGCTATGGCGATCTTGACACCTATGCGTGGGCGTGCAATAGGAGGAAGAGGGCTGAGTGGTGCGTAATCGTGCGATTTCCGGAAAACGTTGAAGGAACGGAGTATATGCGTCATGTTGACACGAAAGGAACGCTAGGAGCGAGTAACGGGTGAAAGACTGCACCAAAACAAGAAAAATGGTCGCTGATGGTCTTGAGGCCGAAGCGATGGAGTGCAAGATCAACTGAATGGCCCTGCGAGTGGGAACAGAGACATCGATAAGAATCTTCCAAAGGGATCTGTATTCGAGGAGTACAGCCACTTGTTAGAGTTTATCATTGATACACGGGGTCCGAATGCACCAGTGGCTTGCAACTTCCCTGTCACCCTGTCTGCCTGTCAGGGCAGCTTTGAGCCGCCAAAGACGCCACATCGCGTGACAAACCAGCACTACTGGTGCCAAATGTCAAGTCAGCTGGAATCGGAGGCATCCACCAAATGAAGCTGGGGGTCGCATCGCTTTTCCGCCTCCTCCTACAGCTTATCGGTCTCCGAATCGGGAGTCGAAGTTGCCGACGGCATTACAAAGAAAGACATTAATGGTTAAGGGAGGCATTACCAAGACAACAATAGCCAAGGGAGATTTGAAGCAGCGCCTGCATCATATCCCAAGAAAGTATTGATAGCCAGAGGAGGATGTATTTCTGTCGTTGTCGGAGCCTCGATTCGTCCTAATTAGGTAGTTTAGTAACTCGTATCCGTTCAAACGTCTTCAGCCGCTTGCGACAATTTAGTACAGCACACAGAATGTCACCGGAATGGAATTTCAGTTAAAAGCATCCAGATGCAGGCGTATCAGCCTACTTACGACTCTAGCTGGGCACATGCGACCTGGAGTGTTGGCACTGTGGCACTCAAGACGAGGAACCAGCAGAGGTGGAAGTCTCAGTGGGGCCATGTCAAAGTGCCGATCGACGCTAAAATAGATCGCCATCTCTCGGTCTCCACTCTCGGCTTGCTCTGTGGTTCAACACAATTGAGTTCCCCTGAATATGTGCATTTCTTTTGATGGCCAACTCATCCGTGTATTTTCTATGACAAGCGATATATTTAAGACTGCTCACTCCCTTGCGGCGGCTACCACTCTAGAGAAAATCTGAGAGTAGATGTTGTAACACATAAATGCAGATATGGCTTCAGTCTACTGCACTCGACTGGTGGCTGGCTGATATTGCCAACAGCCTCATCGTTAGCTGACGCCAGTCAGTCAAGTACGAGCTCAACGCCACGCAGCTGTCTGCTCTGGTGTAAAGGGCGTCGAGACCGATGAGACTATTCAAAGCCAGCAAACTTAGCACATGTTTCTTGATGAAAGCTCGGCTTGGTTCAGCACCTGCAGTGCCACATTCCGTCCATACGCAGAGTACCTGCAACAAGGGAAGTATTACACTAGTCAGATCGCTACTGCTGTGTCTCAGGTGCAATGCTAGGGGCTGCGCGTCTTCAAGGCAATTCCTAAACCAGCAATTGGTGGACATGAACATCTTCCTGTTCAGATGTGAAGAAGACTCATAACTCTATTAATGGAGATACGTCCCCTCATATCCACGTCTGTCGCTTCCACAGCTTCTCGGCGGTGTAGATTTAAATTGCCGACAAAAAGTTTTACAGCTCACCTTTGCAATACAGCTCCCGTCTTGCATTGTCGCTCCATTACTCATCCCATCTGGTACCGTCTGAGGAGAATTTGGAGGAGTAGGGGTTTACCTGTCCTCAGTCGCACATCCTTCTGGAGCATCTTAGGGCTACACTGTCTCAACGCTTCGCCTTTGTCTTGCGTGTGCTTAGTAATCTCGTGGGTCTTGGGTTATCATCCTCTGTTGGACGGACGTCTGCCAAAGGACCGCGATATTCGGGTTCTCCTGGCCATCGTGTCTGTTGACGGCAATGCATTTTTCGAAGACGTTGTCAGTACGATCATGAGCGCACTCATGTATGCCATCGCTATCGAAGTTTACGAGCCCATGATTGTTTGCATCACGTAATGTTTGAGTGCATGCACTATCCTCCTCTCAGTTGATGTCTTGAAATGATATTTGCAGATGTAATCGGGAGTGAACTGCGATATCCACGTTGGGAACCTTGAAAGGTAAGCGGGTACCTGCAGGTAGCAGGGCCGAGTCTGTTCAGCGATCTGTGTCATGTGACTGTTCGACAGCAAGCCTGGAAGTGCTCCTCATTTGGCTATCGAAGCAATGTCCAGCACGTTGCATCTCACAAGAAGCTCCAGTTGACACTCTGATCGGCATCTATATGTAGGATGCCGTGTTCGCCTGGAGAGACCAATGAGTCGTAATAAACCAAGCACATAATGGTGTTGGGCAGGGTCACCACCTAAACATCGAGGCAGCTACCGATCGTGCACGGACTTCTCCGCTCCAGCCAGACATCACCGCGTTCAATCCACTCGTTCTCGGCGCAATCCCAACCACAGTGGCTACAACCTCTTCGTTCGCCCTCTCAAGCTCCTACCCTTACGTAACAAGCTCTCCAGCTTTGAAAAACTACTGCATTCTGCAGAGCAGCTTGATATCTGCGAACATGCCTCAACAAGGTACGGCGCACTCCCGGTTCAGCGCGTCGCGCTGGTTCAACGGACGCATTCACAGGGCTGACCAACTTACAGCAGCGAGAGCTTTCTCGCAGAAAGATCTCCCACCTTCAGTAGAGGCTGCTTACTACCGCAAGTGCATCGAGTTGCGCCGACGAATCAATGACATCGAAGAGAACAACGATGGAACAAGACAGCGCATCCAGCGCTTGAATCGCGGCATCCAGAAGATGCGCCTCGAGCGTGCCTTTCTTCTAGATCGGCTACAGAGGCACCAAGAATACAGCATGGACGACTCAGATCGGAGCTCAAGCCCGCCTCCTACACCCACAGACAAGCCGCTTCGTAGCAAACGCAGCCACAGAAAGGGTACACCTCCTGCCGCCAGCGCCGACGCAGCTCCAGACAGTGGTGCTAGAGCACACTCGGGCGCTCCTCACGCAGCTTCACCTGGCGAGCATGGCTCACACCTCGCCATCTCGCACCCACACGCCATAAACCCCATGTCCAGCGCGCAAAGCACGCCCGACCCCTCACGGCATACGAATCCCTTCTTTAGCTCCATCGGCGCATCTGCCTCACCACATGCCTCTCACTCCACCGTGAACGGCAACCAGAACGCCTTGCCGCCCCTCCACTCCCTGCCCGGTATGCAGCCGCAAGGCCAGCAAACACCCACGCCGCGCGCATACTTCGACCCAGCGTACGGCGCCGAGCGCCCAACACCCGTACCTGCGGAGAGCGAGGGTGGGAGGCAACGCGCATACTCGGGTGCGCAGCCGCCGCAGCATGCCGAGGCGCCGCACAACGGGGACACGGAGATGCGAGATGCTGCCTTCTCGACCGCCAACAACAACCAGTAGAACTGGGAAGCTGTTCGCGGCCCACGTAACTTACGCAGGAGACCTCCAATACAGTATTACTGGAACCCATACAGATGAGGTACTTGGGAAATGCGTGGGACTCGTGGGGCAAGATGGTGCGTAGCAGCGCAGCAGCGCAACATCATGATGGACCTTCCTTTCTGCAATTTGGCGGTCGTAGGGAGGTCACGGATACTCGAGTATAAGTGAGTGGCTCGTCTCCACGAGTTGCAGTCGTCTGGATGAAAGCATCAGGCCTTTTATTATGGGGTGCAGCAAGGCGTTAGGGTTGGGCATAATTTGCGAGGACATGGCTAGCATGACTGCGTAGCACATGTCTGTATTAGTACTAGTCAGGGATAATGGCCGCCGGCGATTCCAAAGATACTCTCTTCATATACATGTTCCGTGAGGAGTGGCTGCACTTGGATCATACAGCACTGCCACTGGGCCCGCCGGCTAGTCAAAGCTTGTGTGCACTGCCAAACCGCACGACCCTGTGTCTATGTAAATAGATTGGTTGGCCGTGTGGATCTCTGTTCCAATAATACAATTATCCTAGTCGATTTTCCAGTGCAGACACGCGTCACAGACGAAGGTCTCTGGAACTCACGGCTTGTTCACAGGGGCAGCGAACATTCATGGCACAGGAGAAATGGATTGAGGATATAGAGTCGTCTCCCGGAGACGATGATAAGGAGTAAGCAAACTGGGTCTTGCGAGCAACCGAGTTGGCCCCAAATATAGAAACCTGCCCAATTACTCGTCGCAATCAGATCTCGGCCGTGGCACCGTCATGGTATGCGTAATCATCCAAACATGCGTTTCCGCCGCTTATTTCTGCATCATGAGCTGGACAAACTCGTTGTCTGTGGGACGTTAGCCGCGGTGCTGTTCCTGCAATAGAGGGAACTTACAGTCAATGCGACCATCACCGTCCTGGTCAGCCTCCCTGATCATCTCGTCAACCTCGTCGTCGGTGAGCTTCTCACCGATCGAGGTCATGACGTGACGCAGCTCGGCAGCAGAGATGAAGCCGTTGTTGTCGCGATCGAAAACCTTGAATGCTTCCCGAATCTCCTCCTCAGAATCGGTGTCCTTCATCTTGCGCGCCATCATGGTAAGGAACTCTAGAAAACTACCGTCAGCCAAGTCTCTTGTATTGGAAGCGCCGAGACCGTACCGGGGAAGTCAATGGTGCCGTTGTTGTCGGCGTCAACCTCGTTGATCATGTCCTGAAGCTCAGACTCGCTGGGGTTCTGGCCAAGCGAGCGCATAACGGTGCCGAGCTCCTTGGTGGTGATCTGGCCTAAAGGATAGCATTGTCAGCTACGCGCTTTTTAGGGTACGTATGGTGGAGGAAGTCGAGCAGCAGTACAGGGGCACTCGAGACTAGCCACAAGCCATTCGTGGCATTTGTTGTGGCTGTAATCGAGGGACTTCTGGGTGAACCGCGTTTTGTCGTGCGCTTGTGCTGGGGAGGGACTACCAACCATCGCCATCCTTGTCCTGTTCGCAAGACGGTCAGCAAGCCATTTTCAATAGGGGCAGTTGCACTGAGGCCGCTAGGCAACAACACGCCGCACGGCGACGGGAGAAATACTTACAAAGAGGGAGAATGCTTCCTTGAACTCGGAGACTTGCTCCTCGGTAAGAGAGTCGGCCTGCGGTGTTTCGTTAGCACCAACATCGAGTCTTGCGCAGCAGGCTGGCGCTGTGTTGATTTCCAAGGCGGGGTATGGCGCGGAGGGCAACGCGGGGTCCACGCACCATGTTAATTGCGAGATGTGGTTTGGCTGGGAAAGTAAAGGCAGGAGCGGAAAATAACCGGCAGAGGTGTGCAGGCTAGTGTGGGTATATGTAGGCCCGGGTGTGGTGTGTGAAGGAGGTTTGGCTGTGTTTGCGGCTGGAGAGATGGTGGAGCTCGCTGTCAGATTGGCACTGGCCTAAGCGGCGCCCTGCTGTTGGGAGAGGGTAATTTAGGAAGCTAGGCCGCCCAGAACGGCAAGGGCGGATGGTGAGCGCGGCCCAGCTCCTGGTGCGGCTCCAACCGTCAAGGCGACCACAAACCAACTGCGCAGTCCCAGCTTGCTCGTTTGCGCTAGAGATCCGTTGGAGCTTGCGACTGCCATGATAACTCCGCATTGAAGCTCGCCTACCCGCCATGTGGCGAGACCGGACCAACCTGTACGCTGCGCAGCTTGTGTGTTCAATGTGTCCTCGCTGACGTAGCCTGTATAGCTTCATATCCTACCGCCAGTCCTATTCGCACCACCCCCAGAAGAAGACGCGCTATGGCGGATCTAGCACGAATGGCTTCGGCGACGGCAGACGCATGTCGGAGGAGCGGCAGGGGCTGATGTCCAGCGGTGCCTATGAAGACGATGGCGACGCGGTGATTGAGATGGACCTGCTGCCGCCGCGCTGGCTGGATGTGCAGGACGAGATCACAGATCAGCTCGCGGAGATAGCGAAACAGACGCGCCGACTCGACCAGCTGCATCAGAAGCACATACTTCCGGGCTTCGATGACGAGGACGTGAAGAAGCGAGAAGAGCGCGAGATCGAACAGCTCACACAAGAGATCACACGGGGCTTCCAGAGGTGCCAGCAGGCGATCAAGAGGATAGAGACGATGGTGCGCGAAGCGAAGCAGCAGGGAAATATCAATCAGGGCGAAGAAGTTATGGCACAAAACTTGAAAATATCCCTGGCCACAAGAGTTGGCGAAGTGAGCGCGATGTTCCGCAAGAAGCAATCTGCGTACTTGAAGAGTAAGCGACGCATCTTGTCCCATTTGCCGTAAGGGTTCCCTAACGCAGACAGAATTGAAAGATCTCGGTGGCTTTGCTTCACCCTTTAGGTCTTCCACGCCAATGCAGAACCCGTACAACGATCCGGCAATGCAAGAATCAGACGCCGACCGCTCATTCGCGCAATCGACATCTCTCCAGACGAAACAGCAACGCATGCGTCATGATCCCAATGAAGCCTTGATTGCACAGCGCGAGCGCGAGATCGAGGACATTGCACAGGGCATCATTGAGCTGGCGAACATCTTTCAGGAACTGCAGACCATGGTAATTGACCAGGGCAGTATGCTTGACCGCATTGACTACAATGTAGAGAACATGAATAGAGATGTGAAAGAGGCCGATAAAGAGCTCAAGGTGGCCTCGGGCTACCAGAGGCGAACTATCAAGAGGAAGATCATGCTACTGCTCGCAATTCTGATCGCGGGTGTCTTCATTCTGCTCTCATTGAAGTTGGGTACCAGAAGTAGTACTTCACCAGCGCCAGCAATTCCAGACGAAGATCCACCGATGGTAGTGTTACGGACCAAACGTCAAGCTATGGCGTTGGCGACAAGTCGCAACTGGCACCGGCGAAAAAGACGTTTATGGAATGGCTTTACAGAAGATGCACTTGGTGTTTGAGAGGTCACGCCACTTTAGATGATATATATGCAACGATAGTGTATCCGCCCGTATAATGGTGTTTCTTGACTGGCACCGTTCTGATGACGAGGCAGACGAGCACCGTCAGCCTTAAAGCACCACCAAAAGCCCCGCAGCATAAGTCCAGTAGATGAACGATCGTCTGTACGCTATCGCAGTGCTATTTTGAGCGCTTCAGCCGTTTGTGCTACTCCACTACACGACAGCAGCGGCTGATGACGCCGGTGTATCTGCTTCAAAATCACGCCTGATCAAGCAGTATGATGGGGTTTCGACGCGTTTGCACTTGACGTCTCTGATATGAACAACTCGGTGGCACTTGTCGCGGCTCCTCTGACACACGGTGTGTAATGTTGGGACTCTGATACCGCTAACTATCTGGACTTGGAAAGGTTGAAGGGCAGAGCATCCTTCGACAGATGATCTCAGCTTCGGGGTGGAGGCTGACTTGGCGCTGGGCGCAATGTAACGCCAGGTGCGCAGCGGGCATCATCAAATGAAGATATGCGGCGCAGCGCGAAGAAGCACGTAATCAGGTCCATGGGTCACAGAGCGCGACATGCACTTGGGTGGTTTCTCTCGGCCCTGACACTGCTGTGAGGGTTGCTCGGCCCATTACGAAAGACCACGAGTGCATCTTCAGGTCGCCAGGGTCGCGCTTGCGCGTTAGACTTGGGCCAGGGTAGGCACTGCCTCACGAATGACAGCGTCCAAGCTCGTACCTGCCTTCCAAGATCCCCAGCCCTCCAGAACTCTCCGAAACGTCGAATTCGCTCTTGAGACGTGGAGCCATCTTGTGATTCTCTTACAGCCCGCGCACCATTCACTAGTACCTCGAGGCGACAACAAACGCGCATTCCTCGCAAACCGCTCGTCAGTCAAAGTGGTGTTACTAGCTTACGCAGCTCCGCAACCTCCTCCGCCCGCGTCCGCAACTCGACGCAGCGCGCACAAGAAACGTCAGCGGCAGCTGGGCGACTTGCAAGAGCTTGGACGGCAGCGAAGCTGCGCGGATAGTGCTCCACACATTTCACGGCCGCAATGGCCGGCCGTCCTGGAGAAGGACAGCCGTCTCACCACGACAACCTGATCGACTTCGATGAACCACAACCACATTATTACTCTGGCGCGCGGCCACCCGTAAACGACGAGGATCTTCTCACGCGCTACGATATCGACAGCTCCGACACTGCGCCGCAGGGCAGGCCGTCGGTATCTTACGATGAATTCGTTGGGGGCGGAGCGAACACCTCGAACTTGCCGGGAGGCCCTGGCGCGGCGGCAGGACAGACGCCATATCTGCAGACAGGAAGCAGAGCATACTCGCAAACGTCCGACCTCAACAACTATCAGCGTTACTCCGACGCCGACATACCCGTTGATGATGACGGGCGGTCAACCCAGGGCTACTATGCCACCGGCGGCGCGTTCGACCCCACGTCGCCAGGCCTACAACGAGGTGCTTCCAAGAAGAACCACAATAGGAATAGTATCATGAGTCTAGGTGGAGGACTCACTGGCCGCGTCAAGAACATGCTGGGGCGAGGCAATGAGTACTCAGAGATGGATTTACCATTGACAGAGCATGCAGCGCAGCAGGGTCAGTCGGGGGCGAGCACATACGACGACGGTCAATCAGCGAAAACAAAGAAGCGCAGCTCAGGCAAATTCAAGTTTGGCTTCGGGCGCGGAGCACCGGACCCATCGACTCTGGGACCCAGAATAATTCAACTCAACAATCCGCCTGCCAACGCTGCGAACAAATATGTCGACAATCATATATCGACAACGAAGTACAACATCGTCACATTCTTGCCCAAGTTCTTGTACGAGCAGTTTTCGAAATACGCCAACTTGTTCTTCTTGTTCACTGCTGTTCTGCAACAGATACCCGGGATTTCGCCCACTTCAAGATACACTACCATCGTCCCGTTGATCATTGTATTGCTTGTGTCCGCGGTCAAGGAATACATTGAGGATTACAGGCGAAAGCAGTCAGATTCGCAATTGAATAACTCCAAGGCGCAAGTACTTAAGGGCTCTTCATTCGAAGACACCAAGTGGATCAACGTTGCTGTTGGTGACATCATTCGAGTGCAATCTGAACAGCCTTTCCCTGCCGATATCGTTCTGCTCGCCTCGTCCGAGCCAGAGGGTCTGTGCTACATCGAAACCGCCAACCTGGATGGAGAAACCAACTTAAAGATCAAGCAAGGCATACCAGAAACCGCTGACTACGTGAGTCCTTCCGACCTCGGTAGACTTGGTGGCAAAATCCGATCAGAACAACCCAACAGTAGTCTGTACACCTACGAAGCGACTTTGACCATTGCGGCTGGAGGAGGTGAAAAGGAATTGCCTCTGCAGCCCGATCAACTGTTGCTACGTGGCGCCACACTTCGCAATACGCAGTGGATCCATGGTGTGGTTGTGTTCACGGGCCACGAAACCAAACTTATGAGGAACGCAACCGCAACACCCATCAAGACTACCGCGGTCGAGAGAATGGTCAATAAGCAGATTCTCATGCTTGTGCTTATCCTTGTTGGTCTCAGCGTCATCAGCTCCATTGGAGACGTGATAATCCGATCGACTCGGGCGCAGAATCTTGAATACCTTCGACTGGAGGATTTCAACGGCGCAAAGCAATTCTTCTCTGATCTGCTGACATACTGGGTCCTGTACTCGAACTTGGTACCCATATCTCTTTTCGTTACGATTGAAATCGTCAAGTACTACACAGGTTCATTGATCGATTCCGATCTCGACATCTATCACGAACCCTCGGATACCCCAGCAAATTGTCGAACATCGTCGTTGGTAGAAGAGCTTGGTCAGATAGAGTACATCTTCTCGGACAAGACAGGCACCTTGACATGTAACGTCATGGAGTTCCGGCAAGCATCAATTGCGGGTATTCAGTATGCAAACGAAATACCCGAGGACAGGAGAGCTACTGTAGAAGACGGAGTTGAAGTCGGCATTCACGATTTCAAGCAGCTTGAGAACAACCGACAGACGCACCAGAATAGGCACATCATCGATCAGTTTCTGACACTCCTTTCGACATGTCATACAGTCATCCCTGAACGAGGAGGCGAAAAGGGTGTAATCAAATATCAAGCTGCTTCTCCTGACGAGGGTGCCTTGGTGGAAGGTGCTGTAACACTGGGCTACACATTCACAGCGAGAAAACCGCGAGCCGTTATAATGGAAGTTGATGGACAGCGAAAAGAGTATGAACTTCTGGCTGTGTGCGAGTTCAATTCGACAAGGAAGCGCATGTCGACCATCTTCCGCACACCCGAAGGCAAGATCGTCTGCTATTGCAAAGGTGCCGACACTGTCATACTGGAACGCCTGGATCAAGATAACAACCCATATGTTGAAGCGACGTTAGCTCATCTCGAAGAGTACGCCTCTGAAGGTCTTCGGACTCTTTGTCTTGCTATGCGCGAGATCTCTGAAGCCGAGTATCACAATTGGTGGAAAATCTACAACACGGCGCAGACTACAGTTAGCGGTAATCGTGCCGAAGAGTTGGACAAAGCCGCCGAGCTTATTGAGCGTGACTTCACATTGCTCGGAGCGACTGCTATTGAGGACAAACTGCAGGACGGTGTGCCAGACACTATCGCAACGCTGCAATCTGCCGGCATCAAAATCTGGGTCCTGACTGGTGACCGACAGGAGACTGCGATCAACATCGGCATGAGCTGCAAGTTGATCAGTGAAGATATGAGCCTGCTTATTATCAACGAAGAATCGAAGGAAGCAACAAGAGACAACATCGCCAAGAAGTACAACGCCATCATGAGTCAAGGTCAAGGAGGTGCTGAAATGGACGTCTTGGCTCTAGTCATTGACGGGAAGTCTCTCACATATGCACTCGAACGCGACCTTGAGAAGCAGTTCCTTGATCTGGCTGTCAGGTGCAAGGCTGTTATTTGTTGCCGTGTCTCCCCTCTACAAAAAGCACTTGTCGTCAAGCTTGTGAAGCGCCACCTAAAGGCCATTTTGCTCGCCATCGGTGATGGTGCAAATGATGTCTCCATGATTCAAGCCGCCCACGTGGGTGTTGGTATCAGTGGAATGGAAGGCTTGCAGGCAGCACGAAGTGCAGATATCTCTATCGGTCAGTTCCGTTTCCTGCGCAAGCTACTTCTTGTCCACGGCGCGTGGAGCTATCAGCGTGTCAGCAAAGTCATTCTGTACTCCTTCTACAAGAACATTGCTATGTTCATGACACAATTCTGGTTCTCCTTCCAGAACGCTTTCTCAGGACAAATCATCTACGAATCTTGGACGCTCACCTTTTACAACGTGTTCTTCACGGCGGCTCCCCCATTCGTCCTCGGTATCTTCGATCAGTTCGTCAGTGCTCGTCTCCTGGATCGGTATCCGCAGCTCTATCGGCTGAGTCAACAAGGTTATTTCTTCAAGATGCACTCTTTCTGGTCTTGGGTAGCAAACGGCTTCTATCATTCGCTAATCCTGTATTTCGGCTCTCAAGCCTTCATCCTTTGGGATTGGCCTCAATGGGATGGCCGTAATGCTGGTCATTGGACGTGGGGCGCTGCATCGTACACTGCCAACTTGGCGACTGTGCTTCTCAAAGCCAGCCTCATCACAAACATCTGGACAAAGTACACCTTCATTGCTATTCCTGGATCCTTCCTCTTGTGGTTTATCCTCATGCCAATTTACGCGACGGTTGCGCCCATGGTCAATGTTTCGAATGAGTATATCGGAGTCATCCAGCGCGTTTTCCCGGACCCAAGATTCTGGGCGATGGTAATAGTGCTGCCTCCACTCTGCTTGATCCGAGATTTTGCTTGGAAATATGCCAAGCGGATGTACTTCCCGCAAAGCTACCACCACGTACAAGAAATCCAGAAGTACAACATCCAGGATTACAGACCAAGGTACGTTGTATCAAATTCGTTGAGCTGTAGGGCCACTAGCTAACATTGTATCAGAATGGAGCAATTCCAAAAGGCTATCCGCAAGGTCAGACAAGTCCAGCGCATGCGCAAGCAGCGCGGTTACGCCTTCTCGCAGACAGATGAGAGTCAAGCGAGAGTGCTGCAGGCATACGACACAACACAGGAGCGTGGAAGATATGGTGAGATGGCGAGTTCGAGAAAGTAATCGATGTTTGTCCGGCGTTGGTGGAGATACGATATGAAGGGACGACCTGTTTTGAGCTCCACGACAAGAGCCGTTCATGGAAAAGAGTGTGTTTGGTAGCGTACTATATTTGCAGTATCTTGATGCAATGGTTGATGGGTGATCCCCTGGCCTTCGCCACGATTTGCTTCCATGTCTTCCCACGTTCGCCAGATGCTACAGCTGGAGCTTCCACATTTGAGTGCCGCTCTGCGCCTGCAGTAGCATCACCAGAAAAGCCCCCACTCTAAGCTAAGGAACAACATTACATGTGGCTTTATTCCTACCCACAGTCGTTGTTGTTAGCCTCCAACAGCCGTGATCAGACGCGGCTTACCTCACGTACCAAGTACCATACGACAGCACACACTGTACAGCACGGGATTCACTCTAACCAAAGTGCAACCTACGCCGCCCCTTACCTAAGCCCACAAGCCACCATCCCCAGTAGCACCTGTTCACCCGCTCTTTTCATCCCAGCCTATCATCAACACAGGTATCGACAGGGTATCCTGTGTCGTGTGTAGGATATGTATGTCGGTCAGCGTACGCTTGGCGTCAGCGTCAGCGTCAGCATCAGCGTCAGGACCAGCGTCAGCACCGTCCTGTGATCTGGAAAGGCGGAAGGCTTGCTCTTCTGGCAACTTCCGGCAGCTGGTCCCGTCGCCCGTGCTAGAGACTGCAGTGCACGATGCTACCTCACTGACTGCCCAGGGCTGTGTTACAATCCTGTGCAGGAGCACGGCATAGCGTAATAAGTGACCAACCAGGCCTCACCCTTGCAGTATGTTAAAGAGGATGTGTACTGGATGTGTTTAAGAGAGGCACTTCTGCTCTGTACACTCTTTATCGAATGTACTTTATAATTTAGGAGTATAGAGTAAGATCCTCCTACAGGAGGAACCTTCGAGTTTGACTGTACGCTTGCGTTAACGTACGCGTCCTCGTTTCTCTGAACCATGTGTTTCCTCAAACTGAGCATACAGCGAATCGCTATCATCTGCGCGTCGAGTGTTGTTGCATCTAAACATTAGAACGCCATCCACGCCGCGTAGCTTTTACATACCCTTACTCTCGAGATACTCCTGCACCCTCTCAATCAGATCCGCCTTCTTTCCTGCCACCGCCTGTCCCCTTTGACTCAGATACGCCTTCAGTATAGCAACAGTCTGCTTGCTGATCTGCCCCTTGTTGTTGAGCCCCGCCATCTGCTCATCCGTCAACCCTCCATCACCGCCGTCCTCATTCTTGACCTTCGGCTCAGCCTTCACGCGCTTGGCTGCTGGCTTTTCTCCGTCTTCAGGCTCTGCCGTCCTCCTCTTTGCTGCAGGCTTGCCACGGACGGCCAAGGAGCTATGGGCTAGCTGCGCGTAGGTTTCCGCGAAGGCTTTGCTATAGTCTTCGATGTACTCGCCGCAGCGCTTGTCGATTTGCTTGTAGCGTGGGACCGTCTTGTCGACGGGCTCCTCGGGGATGTCTTCTTCGAGAGCCATGGCTTGTAGCATGCGGTAGAACCACTGCAGGTCTGGGTTGGGGTATTTAGAGGGGTCGTATACACCTCCTGGCAGTTGGAGTTGTTCCATGATGATGCGCATCTTATCTGTCAACGCATCTGTGGTCTTGAGAGGCTCCTCTGGTTGTTCGGGAAATTGGCGGATGTCGTCTGCGTAAGGTAACGGGATAAGCCATAGACCTGGTGGCATCTGTTGTTGGCCGTCCTCGTCAATCTTCTCCTCAGAAGGTAGCATCGCGCATAGAGTTGGCGATGCGTTACGTCGTGCGATGAACCAGACGAGACCCATCTTTTTCGACTTGATGAGCTTCTGCTGCAGCGCTGAGAAGACACGCGTTGAACCGATGAAGTCTGCTTCGGATGGATAAATGAATGTGGCCTTGTTCGTGTTCGCCCAAATTGGGACACAGGATATGGGCTTAAATCCAATGACCCGAATTACAGGATCACCAAAACACTGCCGTATCTGTGTGATTTCGTCTGGTGTGAATGTGATGGCGTCTCCACCAAACTTGTAGGCCTTGCGTAGTTCAGTCTTCTCAACTACCCTCGCTGTATCATCGGCCATGTGCGACGTAGACTGCTTAACAATTTGTGTTTTCTCGCCACCTACCCAAACGTAGCAAGATTTTACATGCTCTTGACGTTTGAGCAGAAGATAACCTTTGACACCGATCTTTAGGCCAGGACCAAGCTCTAGGGGTAGAGAAAACAGTGCTCGGCGAGCGGCAGCCTTTGAGTTGATGGACGACAGAAGCTGTCTTAGCAACGAGATACCTTCGCCACTCTTAGCGATTTTAGTGGTGGAAGGGATAGCTACTGGTGCATCGGGGTCTGATGGTGAAGTCGGATAGACTAGGTCGTCATAGAACTGCGCTCGGTCGAAGGTATGATCGTGACGCGAGATGGGAAACAAGTCAATGGTGCAACCCAGGTCGTACAGGTCGCGGGCTCGCGTCACAGCAGCATCTTTATCCTGCTTCACCTTGACTGGATAGTCGTTGTCTGTGACAAGGAACAGGCGTCTCGAGGAGAAGTTCGGCGCCTTCGTAGTGAAGATCTGGTTTGCACAGAAGAGAACAGTGGCAATGCTGGCTCCGTCTTTGTTTGGTTTCAACAGCTTCTCTGCCTCTTCCTCATCCTCGACTAGATCTCTCAATTTCTTGACGTCCTGTGCTGATGGGACATCAAGATCTGACAGCAAGTAGCAGTTCTGAAATGTGCTGTCACCATCTTTCAAGTCAGTCTTTTCAGTGCCGAAGAGTAAGATGCTCATCATGTCCGTAGGGTTTGAAATTATACGCTGTTGCATCAATTGGTACGCGCACTTGAGCGCAGCAGATGTTGGTGAGTCGCGATCTGCCTTCTTGTCGCTTGAAGGAGCTGGGCGCTCCAACATTGAAGGACTGACATCAATGGCAAACAGAACGGCATCTTTGATGGTCTTGTAGCTCTGTGAAAGGTCAACATTGGTGCTCGTGTTTTTCCGAGCCGAGTCATACGGTATCATCGAGCTCTTCCTCCTCATCCTCTTCGTCTGGCTTGCGATCTTGTGTGTCCGCCATTGTAAGCACTCTATGTCCAGTGTAGAATGCAGTAAATACGCCGAAATACAGTTTTTGTTTCAACGGGAGCAATCAGGTGTACGCCAGAACACGGTTTGCTGGTGATTGCTGTTGATTTATGTGAAAACCCAACGCCGTTTCGCGTGAGCTGCCTTGCACTAATTGTTTACAAGGCAACAGTGCAGGGAGACGCGTTTAGCAAGTCGCGGTATCCGGGGAAGCAGCCTAGCGTGAGTCGGCCGCAACGGATCGCCGACCACTCGATCTGCGAGCTCGATCTTCGTCATCACTGCTTTCAGGGCCTTTATTGGCCAGAGCTTTCCCTCCGGTGACATTATTCACATTAGCTGTCTGGCCACTGCTGCTCTTCTCATACATTCGCTTGACCGAGGTTCCTTCTTGTTTCTCACATCTTCCCCAATGGCTCTTCGCACACCTTTGGCGCACGCCGCGAGGCGTGTCACACCCACAGCGACCGCTACACCCGCTCTTTCGGCATACAGCGCGCAATGGAGGCGAGGGAATGCATCTGTTGCCCCCGTCACACAGAGCCACGGCTCAAAGAAGGGCACTGCTATGGTCTTCATGAATATGGGAGGGCCAGCGACAACAGACGAAGTCGGCAGCTTTCTGAGCAGATTATTCGTATGTTCGGTCGGGCGTCATCAATATGACAAGAGCTGACGGGTGCAGGCTGATGGCGATCTCATTCCCTTTGGTCGCTTCCAGGATTACATTGGACCTCTGATTGCGCGACGACGAACACCGAAGATTCAAAAGCAGTACGCCGAGATTGGCGGCGGGTCTCCTATCAGGAAATGGTCGGAATATCAGGCATCAGAGATGTGCAAGATTCTTGACCAGACTTCCCCGGACACTGCTCCCCACAAACCATACGTTGCCTTCCGGTACGCAGACCCCCTGACGGAGGACGTGTACAAGCAGCTGCTTGCCGACGGTTACGGTGGCGGTAATGGTGGCAGGGCTGTTGCATTCACCCAGTACCCTCAGTACTCGTGCTCGACCACCGGCTCGTCACTGAATGAGCTGTGGAAGTGGAGGACGAGACTTGAGGGCAAGAGGGCAACAGGAGAGGTCGACACCAAGGGCGCAATCAACTGGAGTGTCATTGACCGCTGGCCGGCGCACCCGGGTCTGGTTGACGCATTTGCGGAGCTAATCGAGAAGAAGCTGGCTGAGTACCCGGCCGAGCGAAGAGACAACGTCATTTTGCTCTTCTCGGCGCACAGCCTGCCCATGTCTGTCGTAAACCGCGGTGACCCTTACCCGGCTGAGGTTGCAGCCACTGTGTACGCAGTCATGCAGCGATTGGGCATGAAGTACAAGTACCGTCTCGTATGGCAGTCGCAGGTCGGCCCTCAGCCATGGCTCGGCGCGCAGACCTCAGACACTGTCAAGAACTTGATGAAGAAGGGACAGACAGACATGCTCCTGATTCCTATTGCGTTCACCAGCGATCACATCGAGACTTTGTACGAATTGGACAAGGAAGTCATCGGCGAGGATGCAGAGGGCCACGAGGGTGTCAAGCGCGTAGACAGCCTGAACGGCAGCCCCACATTCATCAAGGCACTCGCGGATCTCGCAAAGTCGCACTTGCACAGCGGCGAAGCTTGCAGCCCGCAGATGATTCTGAGATGCCCGGGGTGCACGAGTGAGAGGTGTCTTGCGCAGAAGGAGTTCTTTGCTGGGCAGTCTGGGCAGAACAAGCAGGAGGCCGCTGCGGCGTAAACCGGGAAAACACGGAATGTACATCTTGTATGATATTGTACGCTATCTCGCATAATAACGACGCGCGGAGCAACCTACGTTGGAACTGATTCTCTATCTTGCAGTGATGCGTGCTTTTTGTCTGAAGTCTGATGTGTGAGGCCTAGCTAGATGCCCTACTGCGAGCTGAGCTCTTACCCATACTCGGGCGCACTTCTTGTCCGATGCTGCCGAGTGACGGCTTTGCAACATCTGCGCGGTGGTTGTCTTGATAATTGGGATTATATGCTGCATCAAACTACTGTTCTGGTTTCCAGCATCTGACTATTCGTCCCGCCGCATGCTCGACCACGCGCGGTGACAGCTCTGGCAACTGTCAGGGTCGGAGTTCGGCCGCCGCATTGCTGCATCGCTGTTGGGGTGGGCCCGCGCACTAGCGTAGATGGTGATCCGCGACAGCTCAACCTTTTTGCACTGAGCGAAGAACGTCCACTCCCCCCGTCACCACCCCGCCAGTCACCTCCCGCCGGCGCCAACATGCTTTCCAGGTCCATCAGGAGGAGCATTGCCTCGCCGCTCCGCCAGCGCTTCGTCGCCCCCGCCACGCGCCCGGCCTTCAGCAGATTCGTGACCACCGATGCCGCTTCGTCGCACGCCGAGCGGGACCAGGTCCCCGAGGTACGAGAGCCTCAGCGCGCGCCAATTGGGGCCGCTGCAGCAGTCGTGATGGAGCTGTGATGGCTGACGCACCGCAGGCGGACGACCAGCCCTTCGAGGTCCGCCTCTCCGATGAGGCCTTCGAGACCTACGAGCTCGACCCCCCGCCGTACACACTCGAGACAACCAAGAAGGAGCTGAAGCAGATCTACTACGACATGGTTGCAGTCCGGTACGATTTCTCCGCCTGCAATTTGCGCCCGCACGCTCTCTGACATAGCACACAGCCGCATGGAGATGGCCGCCGACAGGCTGTACAAGGAGAAGAAGATCCGCGGTTTCTGCCATCTTTCCGTCGGTCAGGAGGCCGTTGCCGTCGGTATTGAGCACGCTATCGAGCGCGCCGACCACCTCATCACCGCCTACCGCTGCCACGGCTTCGCGCTGATGCGCGGAGGAACTGTCAAGAGCATCATCGGTGAGCTGCTTGGCAGGCGGGAGGGTATCGCCTACGGAAAGGGCGGTTCTATGCACATGTTTTCCCCCGGTTTCTACGGAGGAAACGGTATCGTCGGTGCCCAGGTCCCTGTCGGCGCTGGTATTGCTTTCGCCCAGCAGTACGAGAACAAGAAGCAGGTCACCCTCGCCCTCTACGGTGACGGTGCCTCCAACCAGGGTCAGGTCTTCGAGGCCTACAACATGGCCAGCCTGTGGAAGCTCCCCATCATCTTCGGTTGCGAGAACAACAAGTACGGTATGGGTACCGCTGCCAACCGCTCGTCTGCCATCACCGACTACTACAAGCGCGGACAGTACATCCCTGGTCTGAAGATCAACGGCATGGACGTCCTCGCCGTCAAGGCCGCCGTCAAGTACGGAAAGGAGTACTGCGCTGCCGGCAAGGGTCCCCTCGTCTACGAATACGTCACCTACCGCTACGGAGGTCACTCCATGTCCGACCCCGGAACCACCTACCGCGTAAGCTCCCCGTCACACAATATTGAAAGCCATAGCTAACAGGCCTAGACACGTGAGGAGATCCAGCGCATGCGCTCCACCCAGGACCCCATCGCCGGTCTCAAGCAGAAGCTTCTCGACTGGGGTGTCACCACCGAGGAGGAGCTCAAGTCACTCGACAAGCAGGCACGCTCCGACGTCGACGCCGAGGTCGCCGAAGCCGAGGCCATGCCCGTCCCCGAGCCTAACGGCAAGGTACTGTACGAGGACATCTACGTCCGTGGCTCTGAGCCCGAGTTCCTCCGTGGCCGCGTCCCCGAGGAGAACTTCTACTACACCGAGCACGACATGGGCGCGGAGAAGAAGTCCGTCGCCAGGACATAGAGTGGTCAACGTGGAGTGGAGTAGAGCGCGGCATGAGCGAGCTTGCATATGTGTAATTCTAGGGTTTCGGGCGTGTTCGCCTCGTGAGGATAGGCTTTCAATTACATATCACCATCTTCAAAGCGTTTGAGCTGTGACGTATGGAGTCCACACTCCCGACACGCATGCGCCGCGAACCCATCAAAGCTCCAACATGGACATCTACAACAGCGGGGAGGCTCAATTTGGGTATCAATTGTCGTTCGTTTAAAGATATCTTTGCCAGCGCTTTTGCTGGTGCTACTAGTTGTCGCTTTTGTATCCCTCGTTGTCCGACTCCTGCTCGAACTCGGGCTGTGTGGATTTCTTCTTCAGGCCCTGCTTTGTCGCCGCGAGACCGCCCGATGTCAGGTACAAAAAGGTCGAGTCTCTGTAGTTATCCAAATGTGTGAAGAACGTATTGAATCTGCAACATTGGTTAGCATCCCGCTCTAAATCCATGCCAACTTCCGTGTTTCATAAGGGGGAGAGTAGTTTAATAGGGTGCAACTCACTGGTTTCCCTGCGCCTCTTCGCGGAAGATGCGCTGGTAAATCTCCCGCTCCTTGAACTCCTGAATCTTATCGTCGTACTTTGCAAAGTCGATCTTCTCGCGGCCAAACGCCTGCGCCGACTTAGCGTTATAGCTATCGAACACAGGGCGCTCGAGGAGCAAGCCCAGCCCGGGCGCTTTCGGGACGCGAACGGTGTTGTTCTCGAAGCTGTCCAGCATGATCTTGGGGTTGGTGCCGCAGCGCACCGTGAGCGCGGCCATGCCGACCATCTTGCGGATCTGGTGCATCATGAAGCTCTGGCCGTGGACCTTGAGGCTCAGCCATTCGGTGTCGTTGATGATGATGGGTTTCGGGGCGACGTTGAAGTATTTGATGTAGCGCTTTGCGCTCGTGTCGCTGAACTTCTTCTGCACGGTGTAATTGTGGTAGCGACGGGTTCCGAGGTAGTTGTCCAGCGCGGCTTGCACGCGTGCCTGGCGCTCGGGGCTGATGCGGTACGCGCGTTTGGCGTCCATGATGGCTTTCTTGAGCGCTTTGACTGCTTCCTCGAGGGCGGGCTTGTTCACAATGCCGGCAGGAAGAGGAATGGAGCCGTCGGTTTGGTCGTCAAATGTTGTTGTGGGATGCTGAGCTTCAACCTTCTCCACAGCTTCCTTGACCTCGTCGACTTGCATCGCCTCGCCTGCTTCGGGTCTTGCGGTTTCGGCGGCTGCCTCTTCGCTTGCGTTTTCTGCTGCCGCAGCCTTCTTTGCAGTGATGGCGTCCGTCACGTCTTTGAGTGTTTCATCGATCGATGCTTCGATGACGGGATCTTGATCTTCGGGCGCGTCTGTTGTATCGGCAATGTACAGAGCCTCCTCCACGAGCGGCCGTATCGAGTCGTCCAACGTCTCAAGAATGGGCTTGATCGACTTCTCTTCAACGTCTGACCAGAAATCTGCCACCTCAGCCTGCCTCTTCTTGTACTCGTCCAGGTCACCGGCCTTCTCTGCCTCTTCGACCAGCTTCTTCCCCATGAAGCTCGATGGGTGCGGTGGAAGGAATGAGTGTGTTGGGATGAGGTACTCGTACCACCGTGAATCGCACGCCTGGTAGCAGCTAAAAGATCCTGTCGTTCGCTGGATGCCCCATATCCGAATCTGATCGGAGAGATTTGCGTTGATCTTGTCCACAATATCTTCTTCCTCGATGATCAACTTTAGGGAAATGACATTGCCAGCGGCGTGGACGCCCTTGTCGGTACGTGCGCAGCGCACAAGTGCCGACTTTTTGGGGTCGTCTGCGTTCGCTTTTGAAATTGCACCGGCGGCGACGAATGCCTTGAAAAGATCGCCCTCGATTGTCTTCTGCTTGTTGTCGATTTGCATACCCTTGTAGCCAGTGCCAGAGTAGCCAACCAAGACGGCGACTTTGCGCTTCGGCCTGCGCTCCTCGGCTGCAACTTCTTCGGTAGAGAAGGCTGCGGGAAGCGCTGGCTTCTCGTTCTCACCCCTTACGAGTGCTTCCTTATTGCGTGCCTGTTGTTCTGCGTTGCGACCTCGCCTATCTAATTGATCGTTGCTTGCTTAGTTAGAGAAAGGCAGAACGCAGACGCAAGCAAACTTACGCGTGGTCCTTACGGCCCATATTTCTCTTCTTATTCGGACGGCTGCCGTGCTGCATGTTACCACCCCCACGGCCTCGCCCGCGACCGCCGCCGTTGTTATCCCATTTGCGCTTGCCGCCGTCGTTCGAAGAGCCGTTGTCAGCCATTGCGAAGTCAAGTGCTTGCTACGAGAGAGGAAGAGCATAGAAAGAAAGTATGCGGTTCCAGATAATGGTGGGAAGCTCTGCTGCGATCATCGAAATTCACGAACTTTTGGACTTGGCGCGGCAGGTACGCGCCTCACCGCCCGCGTTACCGCTCTAGCATTCATGATCGCTGCCTTCAGTGTCTCAACGTCTGCTCTCCAACACCACCACGCTGTCACGTTCACTCGCTCGCGGACAGCCGTAACCCAGTGGACAAAGGACTAATAGAGCTCCGGTATTTGGTGATAGATTCAACTGCGCCAATCAAAGCAGTAATCGCGTCCGGCGCATGCAGACAAAGAACGAGTCTGCCTTCTCGTGCTGAGGAGATCGAATCCATCTTCGCCATCGAGCGTACACCTTTCATCTATCGCCATTATGGGGAAAGATCCTTTGGAGACTGCGAAGCAGCTCGTGAAAATTGTTGTCCGCATGTTCTATGAGACGGAACATATCGTTCTCCTCGATGCCCTCTGTTACCACGGCGCTTTACATGTGTCAGACATGGTCCAGATTCTCGACGCTGGCAAGAACTCAAAATACGTCGGAAAGCTGGTCGGTAGGCTGAAGGAGGCAGGCTTGTGCACAACGTATGTACAGTCTGAGAGGTAAAGTCGAGTGTAGAATGCTGACAGACGCAGCTACACCGAGCAAGTCAAGCGTGACGGCGCGACAAAACTCTCGAATCGCGAGTGGTACTATATTGACTACCGTCGTGCCATCGACTCCACCAAGTATCGCATTCACAAGATGCACGAACGGATCAACAAGGATGCAAAACCAACGACGGAGAAAGCAGAGCTGTCGTGCAAGCGCTGCAAGTCTCAGTACACCATGATGGATGTGCTTGATAACCCCGATTCCCAGGGCCGGGCATCGGGCTTCTTGTGCCTCAAGTGCAACTTCCCGCTTGATGAGATTGACGAAGGCAACCAACATGATGCCGACGACACTCCAGCGAGATTCAACAAGCAGTTCAAGCCACTGCTTGACATGATGAAGATAATCGACGAGTTGAAGATTCCGTTGATCGAGGGCAAGGATGCAGTCGACACAAAGATCGAACTGCCTCGCGACAAACTCATCGATCCTGGCACGAAGCTAGAAGTTGTCGATCCATCCTACACGAGACCTACAGCTGTCAAAGGGCTTGCTGCAGAGCCCGAGAAAATCAATGTCCAGATCGCATCCACAGCCGAAGAGAATGAGAAGCAAGCAGCGGCAGACAGAGCTCGCCAGGAGCAGATTGCGGCGCAGAACCAGCTGCCATCGTGGCATACTCAGTCTACAGTTATCAAGGACGCTAGCGGGACCGCTGCAGGTAGCAGGCAGGAGACGAATGGCACACGCGGGCCAGCAATCAAGACGGAGCAGACCGATGGCATCTCCTCGACGCAAAATCTTGATGATGTCTTCGCTCAGATTGAGGCTGAGCGTCGCAAACAAGAACAAGAGGAAGACGACGACGACGACGAAGATGAAGATGACGACGAGTTCGAGGATGTGGCTGTGGGTACCCCGAGTGAGCTTCCAGACTCCAAGCGTGTGAAGATTGAGTCATCGGCGGCGCCGACGCCCTCCAATGTTGCGACTCCAGCCTCAAACGGCAACGGTGGCGAAGAAAGTGAAGAAGACGAGTTTGAGGACGTTTGATTGTTTCATTGCATAGCGCTGGCGTCATGGTTCGATGGTGTGCTTAGAGTAATGCTCACGTTCGGCGTTGGATAACAAGAAAAACTACGGATTGTTCTTTTGTCCTTCAGCAGCTATAAATACAGACAGACGCTTATTGGATTGTGTGCGAACGACTCTTGCACTGCAGACTACTGGTACCTAATGTCATCAGGGAGCTCATGCGCACAAGCCACACCAAAGAGACAGCTAGCGACATCCCACCTCATCTCCCCGCGTGCTGCACTGTGACCTCCGCATCTAACCCCCGCCAGCGCCACTACACCCTTGCCGAATACACAATTCCGTCGCCGATGGATGATAGATAAGTGGCGACTGTAATAATGGCAAAAACACTCTCCGCGCTCCTTGCGCAAACCTCCATTGAGGACCACAACGAGATTCTTCGAGCCGCCAACGCCGAGATCAAGAAGAACAAGAATGATATCGAGGCTCAGCATGTGAAGGCAATCGCGCTGTTACATCTAGATGACTTCGAGGGTGCGCTCAAGGTGTTCGAGGACGTGAAGGAGCTGCAACAGAAGTCGCAATTCGATTACGCCTATACACTGTACAAGACCGGCGATGCAGCGAAAGCTGTACAAGTCGCACAGAGCTTAGGTGCTAAATCGGATCGCAAAACACAGCACATCCTGGCCCAAGCTGTATGTGTTTCGATAAAGATATAGAGGCTCTGAGGCTGACAGGCGCAGGCATACCGGTCAGAGAACTTCGCACAGGCTGCGAAAGTGTACAAGGAGCTAGCGAATCACCCTGTCGAAGACGAAGCCTTTGACATCAATATCAACTCTGGCGCCGTAGACGCTCAATTAGAATGGACAGGACAAGGCGAGCTTGCGCAAAAGAAGAAGCCTACAAGAGAAGACCTTGAGGCATTCGAGACAGCCTTCAATGCAGCATGTGGAAGCATATCGCGTGGCGAACTGGCGCAGGGAGAGGTGTGCCTGAAACGGGCCAAGGACCTCTGCAACGCGGTTGAGGACTTTACTGAAGAGGAGAAGAAGGCGGAGATACTGCCCATCACCGTGCAACAGGTGTATGTGCTCACACAGATGGGCAAGCTGGACGAGGCTGCACAGCTGGCGGCTACCATCCCTCTTGCTGAGTGAGTACCAAAGACAGTCGGATGTCATCCAAAACTAACGCTGTGCAGCATCAAGGATCTCTCTGTCCGCTACATTGCACAAGTCAACAGCATTGCCGCATCGAAGGAGCACTCGAACCCATACCTATCCCACCGCCTCTTCCACTCGTCGCCGAAGCCGCCAGTCACTAACCAGCACTTCTCGTTCCAGGCAAACATCCTGCAACAAGATGAATACGTCATCTCGCTCCTTTCGCAAAAGACTGCTGGCGTCGCATCGTCGACTGAAAAAGTCATCCAGGCATCGCCGTCTCCGTCTTTATCGCCAGCTGTGAACATGGCTGGTGTCATCAATGCCGCAGCTCATGCACGCAATGCTGAGACTGAGAAGGCAGCATTGAAGGAAATCGTACCTCTGTTGGAGAAGAGGCCTAACGATGTTGGTCTGATTCTCACAATCGCCCACCTCTACATTCTCACCAATAACTACGCTGCGGCCACCCACCTTCTGGAATCGTTCTTCAAGCGTCTCGAGCAAAGCGGGTCCGCGTCTGATCTCGATGTGCGGTTTGCACCAGGTTTGATTGCATCGCTTGTCTCCCTTTACACACAACAAGGGCGTCCAGGCGCAGCAAAGTCTGAACTTGCAAAAGCAGCAGAATACTGGAGGACGCCGCACAAGTCCAAAACAGAGGCGCCATCCAAGTCTCTCATGGTTGCAGCCGGCACAGCACTGCTCGATCCACACAACCCCGAGAACGCTAAAGCAGCAGGCGCCATCTTCCAGAGCCTCTATGAACAAGACGACGAAGACCGAGCTGCCATCGCCGGCCTCGTCGCCGCCCAGAGCATCTATGACCCCACCTCCATCCCTGCCGACCTGCTCGCCTACCTTCCGGAAGCGAACCGTCTTGTCGCTGATATCGATGCCGCGGCCCTCGAAAGCGCCGGCGTTCCCACGACCACAGCCCTCGTCTCCGAAGCACGCAAGCGCAGCGTTGCGCCTACAAAGACCATTGCATCGCGGCCGAAGCGATTGCGCAAGGTCCGCATGCCGAAGGACTACGATGCGAACAAGAAGATAGACGCAGAACGATGGCTGCCAATGCGCGATCGCACGTACTACAGGCCGAAGGGCAGGAAGGGGAAGAAGAGGGCGGAGGGCCTGACGCAAGGCGGGCCGGTCGCCGAGGAGAAGAAGGTTGAGGTGAAGAAGGATCAAGGGAAGAAGCAGCAGCAAAAGAAGGGTAAGGGGAAGAAATAGAGATTTGCATAGAGAAAGGCTCGTGTAGTGAATAGCTATCATGTGGCAACTTGTTGTAAGATCAACAGAGTGCCTTGCAATGAAAGAGCTGTGTTTTGCAAAATGCGTATAGAGAATTGCCACAGTCTCCGCAGAACTGCACTGTAGCCATTCTGATCAAGCATAACCAGCATGAGCCAGCCTCGCAATCCCTCCCTTCCCGGTACTCGCCTGCACCAGCCCATACAGAAAAGGTCACGGCAGAGCACATGGAGGTGTGCTGGAGCTACTCAAGGCAGGGCTTAAGTCGCTCCAAAGCATCACCAGTCACTTGGCAAAATGCAGCGTGAGGCAAATAGTTTGTAAGGATTCTTCCTGATTAGATTGTATACACTTGAACGAATCTATTCGATGATATTCCTTCTGCTTGTTTGCTACGGTATCGATGGTTTGGATCCAACAAAATTGCAAAGTAGCTGGTCAGACATGTCTGGGTGCAGTGTAGTGTGTATGACACATGGTTGAATGTCGAAAACGATCCCAAACAAACCGACCGTACTACAAGCTGTATGAACAGCAGGGAGATGTTGCACCGTTATTAGCTATCCAGTTGAACTGGGTCTTATCTCCATCGAACTTTTGAAAGAAATTGGTGCGTTGTTACAGCATGCTTTCTGGAGCTCAGCCGGTACTACGCTCTTTAGGTTTGACAAACTTGCAAGGTGATCACGCATCGTCCCACACTCTTCGGAAGCGAACACGGGACCCACTTTCCGCACGCAATCAGGCGACAACGGTGGGACCGTGTCTAAAGCTCGATATTGTAGCAGTATATATGTTCTGTTTTTGACCTTCTTTTCATCAACATGACATCCAATCATGGCACTTTGGGTAAGTCACACCACGAGAAGAACCACAATTACGCTGTATCCTAACATGAATTCAGCGGAGTGGTTAACGCGATGCCCTGCTATCCATAGTCAGGCATTTCCTTCGGGAGCGTGTGTTCGAATCACACAGGTGTCGATCTTTTTGCTGGTGTGTTCCACCCAACACGATGGCAAGATAGCTGTGTTTTTTTGACTCTAAGGATATTACGTATTTGTGTGTACTTATTTATACAAGTTCACGTACACTGTTATTCAAACTATATATTGTACTGCGTTACGCACTACCTTTATCTCAGAGGATGCCATATGTGTAAAATATTCCAAGTATTCTCCCAGACACCAAGTGCTCTTCGAGAAATGTCTACCTCCGGGCTGAAGAAGAAGGTCAGCATACTATGCGTCCGCAGGGAGATCTCCCGATGTGGGCTCGGAGTTCTCTTCAAGGTGGACTATGCATGATCAGCAAACCATCTACTAACTGTATCGCTTGGAATCTTACCATGAGGTCGTACGAACCAGCTGCACAAGAATGCCAAGCCGAACATTGAGGCCAGGACTACAAACACAGTCTGTCGATAGCCTGAGACAGTCGCACTGTAGATACCGTTGAAGATAGTAGGTCCAACGACTCTAGCGATGGCATGTAGCAGTCCTGTCGCACCGAGCAGCTGCCCGACTTTGTCACTCGGAACATGCTTTGTCAGTGCTGCCCCAAGTGCTGGCGATCCAATACCTCCGACTGCGGTAACAACGCCGGAAAGTGTGAAGAGGGTTCCACTGGGTGCCAGCGCGTAGCCGATGAAACCCAAAGTATCGAAGAATATAGCAGCGCGAATGATTGACAGATCAAATCGATCAGTGCCTGTGCTGCGTTGCTTCATAGCGCCGTTCTTGCCTCGCACCAAGCGGGTAAGGAGAGGGAGGACGCCAAGAAGAGCGAACACACGACAAGCGTTGACTATGCTGACGAAGCGTCCGGACTCGAGTGTTTGCCAGTCGAACTGAAGGCGAGTGTAGACAATTACCACGCCCATGGCACCCATGGCAATGCCAAACATGATGGTGTCTGTGGCAGCAAGGAGGATCAGATTCCATCGAACGACAGAAGATGAGCCAGGGCCGGTGGGCCAGAGGATCTTCAGTGGGCGGAACAGGTTGATGTGTCGCAGCTGGTTGATCCAGTCTGACTCTGGGCCCAGTCGCTCCATCTCCTCTCTATGCTTCTCTCGTGCAGCTTCCTGACGTGACTTGCTCAACGACTCCGGAATACAGAAGAGAAGGAACATGATGAAGAGGCCATGAGCCGCAAGCGCCAGATAGAAGATGAAGACTACAGCGTCGATCTTGCTCGTGTACTTCGAGCGGGCCTCGATAATGTAACCTGCCGCAACAGGCCCAAGTGCAATGCCGCCGAACAAAGCGGCGTGGAAGTAGGCGAAAGCGACGTTTCGTTTCTGTGGTGCCACACAGTCACTTGCATAGGAATGTGCTAGAGCCATGCCCACAATGAATGAGCCGGATAGGCCTTCTAACGCGTAGCCGACTAAGATCCAGTTTACGTGCACAGTCTGGGGGAACTTAGCGGCTAAGATGGTGAGGATCTCTCCGAAAAGTGCACCAGACGTGTTAACGACCATGAAAGTCTTTCGACCGAACCGGTCTGATAATGCACCAAGCTGCGGACTTGTAATAGCGGCCAGTATTCCGGAGCAGAGACTACCGTAAAGGAGAAACAACGAGGATCGAGAGGATACGGCGTCGTTTCGGCATCGGTCTGTGCCGGGGTCCATGGGGCTTGAGATAGGATCGCCGTTGCCGTCAAGAGAAGCATAGTACTCCTCGCACACGAGATCCATTATCAGGTTGAGTTTAGGCACCACAACGCCTCCAAAAGCTACGGTAAACAGAAGGAAGGGCGGCAAGAGCCAGTAGATCGAGGGTCGCTTCCACCAGGGAAGACCTCGGAATTCACGAAACCACTCTGGCTCATCGTCCTTGTTCGCATCGTTGTTTGTAGTCTGGTAATCGATCGGTGTGGGATTTAGGAGTCGAGCGTTCTCGTCGTCGCTATCGAGCCCAGGCGAGCTTGCGCCACTCTTGCCTGGCTTGCTATGGACAAGAAGCGGCACTTTCGCATTTGATTTCGAGGAGCCAGGCCGTTGGCGAAAGGTCCGATCGATGTCATTATCGTCGACGAACACACCATCTACATTCTCCGTCATTGTGAATATTGACGGGTGCGCTGGGTTGACACAGGGGTTTTCGAAAGGCGTGGTCTTTTACTGCTGCATAAGCATCGCTATTGTGGACTGCGGTGAATAATTAGGACAGGTTCCCAGATGTGCTCTATTGGGATGGGAAGACAGCATGCTACATCATCACAGACTTTGTGGGGCTGGTGTAGTTGTCACCGAAACTCGCGCTTTGCTTACCAAACTGACACGCTTCGACGCGCCACAACGCTTGTGCTAAGGACAGAACTGATAAGAGATTTGAAAAGGCTAGGACTTCGTCCGCAACATCTGGTCCGCAAGGGTCAAAACGCTAGCAACCGTGGTTCCCTGCGCCTGGAGATGCAATGGGGGATTTCCATCATGACGTGGTGATTTCCACTACATTCGCATTCGTCGGTGATCCGGCCGCGTTCCTCGTCCGGCGCTAGTCACACTCCCCCACACTCGTGGAGCTGAAAGCGTGGGTCTCCTGAACACTTCAGGTCCAAATTCTCCCAGCTTCCCGATAGTTTGCCTACGCGATGTAGGATCTTGCTTTGTGGCCGCCGTTATTACACTTCTAGCTTCTCGTTGTGCGCCCTCGCAGCTATCGATTTCATGTTGCAAATACTGGACGTGTGAAGGGTGTCGCGCTGCTCACTCAAAATATTTGGGTGTTCTCCGTATGCGTTGATATCTGGCAGAGAATCGCAGCTGGAAATTTCGGTGTGTGTCGCGGACAATGTCGTGAAAGAGCAGGATTGGTGTTCTTAAGATAATTAGGCTGCAACTCGAATTCGTCCACACAGATGCAGTACGACAGCGCTGCTGCAACAGACTCATCGCACAATTTAAGGGGCGATTTACCTAAACTGTGCTTTCGAGTTTCGCCTCTCATGCCCTTTTTACTTGAAGGTATCGACAACTGAGCACTACTTCTCTGGGTCCTGAAATCACGCCCGGGGTACTAGTGATGAGCTTGGAGAGACTTTTCTCTGTAATTACAAGTACGTCCTTGCATTTTATCTCTAGGTGATTCGCTACTAGAGAGTGTTTGTCTTAGACTACATACGTTCACCGGTCCTTGTTGCTAGGCAGCCTTCCAAGGTTGCTTGTCGTAAACGACGTATAGTAGGCACACGTGATAGCAATAGGGTTCCGTCGCAGTACACTGTGCATATTCCTAGTATATTCTGGGGCTTCGAGACCATGAACGGATACAATTTCGAACACTTGACGCCATCACAGCTTTCATTATCGCCTTCCAAGTCCACTCGAACATGGTTATGTTTCTGCCTTTGATCTTTGGACCCTTGCTGTCCCCAGCAATAAAACATGATTCAGGAATCGTCTTCGTTCAGCTGAAGATACAATACGAGTCCTACCACGCCAATTTTATGAGCAACAAATCAAACGCGAGGATCGTTGAGCCTTGGACGGGCACCTCCGTGGTAGGTTCAAATATTCACATCCAACACGACGCACGCAACAGAACACAGCCTCAAAGACCGAAGCTCCCGCAACGAGAGAATACAGAGGTAAACCCTGATGATGACGAAGCATATGGTAAGACTAGGCTGGACGAAATTTTGGTCCCATGCGCAAGGCGATGCAAAGGTCTGTAAACACTAAGCTACTTCGACTCACCTATTGTCTTTGATATTGCGAATCTATCCTTCCTCGTTCACCGACGTCTGAAGCTGATTCTGCACACTACCGAGACAAAAATAGTTGCTGAAAAGGCTGCCGTCCCAGCCACTGACATCGTCTGACACCCAGCGTAGACAGGTTACGCAAGTTCTCAGCCTCACTTGCACGCAACGCGCAACCCCCCGAGACAACACAACACCTGCGCGTGACAACATGCGCGTGCTCTTTTGCAGCTCTTAGGCCCAGTCTCGCGAAAGGAGCGGTCGAATAGTGCCTGCTTTCCGCTCCTTTAAGAACGTGCTTTGACCGGTGAAGCGACTCCTTAGCGCGATGCACCTTTGGAAGCAAAGGACCTTCGTGGCACGGACGCACGCAAGTCACTTCTGCGGAGCGGCCCGAGATCATGCAAGTGATTAGCACCAAACTTTCACGCGGCAAGCGCGAGATCTGACTGTTGTGTTACACAAAGGCGGCGTGGCGGTTGCGTTGGCAGATCATGTGGATACCTAGGTACCTACCTAGGTAGCTTAGCCTTACCATCGATGTCCAGGTGCGCATCGTTCTAATGCCATCAAACAACTTGGTATGACTTCAATGCGAAGCCTCGGGTAATTCCATAAATGTGCTTTAGTCTTACCAGGATGGTCTTTTGCCTTCTTGCTCCGCGACTCAGACATTGCTTTTTCCTCCGTGTCCCTACTTTTTCCACATGTCTTTGACCTTCCAATTTGGGATATCCTTCGGATCCGAGTTCAATGGTATAATTATGGATTAGAGGTTATCTGAAGGCAATCGCCTGGACAGTCTTGCAGCAAGGTCCGCGTAGCAAGTATGATCGTAGTCCAGGATGACCTCTGCTCGCGATCGCCTGGGTGACCCACCTTCACAAAATTGTAGCGACAAGCGCGCATGGTGGTGTCATTTGAAAAAGTAAAGAAAAGCGAATTGGGGGTTGAGGGCTTAGGGGTTTGGGGTTCATGCCAAATCTCAAGGTACTTGATCGTCGACCGAGGACAGACTGAGTAGTGGCCCGATTTATGCCTTGATCGACCGGAAAGTTTGTAGTAACAAAAGTATGTCATTGATGGAAGAGAATGACTCAAAATCAAGACCTCTGCAGATCCAGGTCTGCATCAGGCGTGAACGTCATGGCCTAGGGTTGTACTATCAGCCTACCTAGGTTCAGTCCTGCACCAATTTGGCCCCCATTTTGTATAGTGATCAATCTAGGCTTTCGAGCCAAGGCTAGTATACTTCAGCCTTGTGGATAACAGTTTTCGTACCGTTCAACCTCATCCAAGCATGTGAGCCACGTTTACAGTATGTTCACTTCATCTTTACACTAGGGAGTGCAGTGCAAGATTTGTGCATCGATCGATATCTAGGTACTTAGAGGACCGTATTTCCCTGCATGACAGCCTGTTAGGAGGCCATATCGCCGACCTGGTGACATACAACGCATGCATGAGCTGTAAGCTTCGAACTCGTCCTTCGTTTAGTTGCATCAATCAAAGTCAATCAGGCAAATTCGATGTGGCTTCGGATGGTGATACATGATCCAGGACTAGTAGCAGCACTTACACGAGATAATTCATTATGGCAATGGCGGCCGACGTTTGATTATTAGCTGACCGTCCCACTACACTAGGCAATCCTTCAGAAATAAGCATAGTATGCGCCACCAATAGGACCATCGGTCATCACTGGTGATTGTTACTTGGGCCCATCGTTCCAATCTTACCGGTGCGGCTGAGACGTAAGCGTCTCAGGTTGCGGAGGCCGCTTAGAAGTCATTGACGGCCCCAATCTGACGACAGCTACGTAATTATTAGATAGACAGTGTCGGGTGACTACTGCCTAGATGAGACGAGCTTCATAGATGGCTTACTTAGACTGACAATGATGTGCAAGGCCGTACCAAGGTACCTAGGTAGTTATCATGCGCCGATACCGGTGAGATACCTCAGCTTTTGCCTAAACAGTATGTTTTTCCAAGATTACGACCCCCTCAAGCTTGCAGTTCAATGGAAACGCCGTCAAGGACCATATCCTCACTGTGACGAATGACTTGTGCGCCGTATGGAGTCGCCCTTTTTCTTTCTTTCATGATGAAGTATATCACCGTGTCAGCCCTGACTCATCGCTAAATTAGCTTATTGGGGGACATCTTACCTTGCAATCACTCATCTGACTTTTACATACCCTGGTGCTCGTTGTACTGAACAGTGAAGCGGCATCTCACAAAAGTACCAACCAGGTGATAAAGTGTATCCACCGAAAAACCATGATGCTTCTACTTTATGCGAGACAGTTTCAAAGCTCGGAATTCAATCATTGAGAAAGCCATGCAGACAGGCGTGTAACATCGTTGAGCAAAGATTTGATCTGGATGAGAAAGTCACAAAGAAGCATACCTGTCAATTCCAAGTGTGTACAAGATTAAGGTACGTATAGTTGTCTGCATAAAGAAGCCCCGTAGTGAGACTTCCTGAAAGTCAACTTTCACCGCATGTAAGTGAACTTGCAGGTTGCACGGTGTATCGGCGATGCAGGAACAACTCAAGCAGGTGGGGCGTGTACTGATACACATCCATGAATTTGAACATTTGTTTCGATTCTGGGTAGGTATACTGCTAGGAAACCTCACCATTCACTGTTGTGATCTCACGTACCTATGTGGATGTCTCAAAGATTTGGTCTCCTCTGTGAGACCGTAAGTAGATTTGATCGTCATGCACCCAGGGCAATCATAATCGCGTTGTGACTGAGCTCCAGAATCCAGTCTCAATGAATTGAGACGAGCGAAATAAACTCCAGCAGTTCCGAAGGCCTGGCGAGCAACATGGGTGCACAAGTGCAACGTTCTTCGTGCACATAGTAAGCACGCCCTTTGCCCTTCTCTTTATTACACCACCTGCAAGCATTGGTTTGCAAGTCTGCATGCCGATTATTGAAGGATTTGGTCATTCAGATTCAACCAATGACTATCTAGCCAACGATAATGCAATGACGGCAAGCACAATGTCCCTGGCGTTTAAGGAGGTGCGGGACGAGCGGGCTGTGGTCCCCGCTTTAAGGCAAATGTTTGCCTTCCCAGGAGCTCGCTTAGTGTTATTGGCCCAAGAACCCTTAGTTACTCTCTGGCAGCTGTAGAAGGACTCTGCATCGAACACCTCTTAACACAAAGACCGCGGATCTGGTTCTGGGTCAGGTCTTACATGAGACAAGAATCGGTACTGTCAACTCCACTCGTTTGCAGATCGGGGATTATTCAGTCAAAGGCTGACACCGGAGGAAAGGTCCAGCGTTCTAGAGTTTCAGACCGTGCTTTGTGTAGGGTTCATATGTCGTCGATCATCTATCTGGTTGAGCGTCTCGGGATCCGAGGAAAAGGCATCGCGATGCGCCTGCAGCTACCGTGCGTCTGATATAGTATGACTGTGCTATGTAGAATACTAATGAGGTACGCGCTGGTATGTTGCACCACGATTTGTGATAGGTGGTTCGGACCTGTACACACCACATGCACGCCTCGAAGAGAGACTGACTTCTTTGCCTACATTGGAAGCCATTATGATTGGTCAGAGAAGGTACTCAAGGGGTACACACCAGTTTCCATAAGCGTGCAGTGTCATCATTCCCGCTGTATTGTGATGTACATTGGTCATATGTCGAACCAAAGGGTGGACCAGAATATTCGTTGACTGGATGCATGCACACTTACATTCATCACAGGGTCCGCGTCTTTGGAGGTCGCAACTCTAAGCATGTCGTTGGGTGTACCAATATTCGCATGCTGACGCTTTCGTGATCGGTCCCGGAATCATTATGCGCGTTGGGCTCATTCGGTTGGAATCCACCTCTAGTATGCACTTGAATGACGCAGCTATTATCGTGGAATCACAATATGGCCATTCACTGTGGTATAGTGTTCTGGTCTCGTGCATAGCTCTGGCACACGCACGGATCCAGAGACAAGCGCTAGATACTGCGAGGCCCTGTCAGTCGCTTGTATTATCAGAGGACTCCAGGCAGTGAAGAAACTGTGTCTGGCGCTTCTCTCGCTGAACGACGCTTTTTCCAGCCTTTCGCATAGACTAGCGCTAAGGACACCAAAGCAGACGCCTCGTTAATAGGAAGGCTGGCAGGGCAACAGATACACCCAAACTGTGTCAACGCATTGTGCATCGCCAGCACGTTTCGCAGGACTCCACACTACGACTGTCCAGTATCGACGAACCACGCAGTCGTGGATGTGCGGACCCGCAGTATAATGCAAACTTTCCTCGTTGAGCTTAGATTACCCCTCTACGAAACACTTTAATTTTCTCCGTGCCAATGGGAGAGTAATACATGTCTCTCTGTGTAATTGATGGCTCACGGAGTGATCCGAGGTGGTGGCAACAACGTCTTGAGCTGGGCAGTTTCTGTTTGATGGCACATGTGTCATCACCCGTCTCGAGCAAAGTGGAGGACTCGTGGCTGGCTGCGTTGGGTCTATGCATATGTGTGACTGACGATACAAGGAGGTCTTTGCAGGTGGCCTCCAAAAGTAAGCAGTGGACGGGTATGGCAGTCAGATGCTAGAAAGCTGAGGTGGGTGTAGATTGCCAATAATCAGCTATAGCCTCTCATCGGTCTAAAGACTACAGCACGGTTAGCAAATCCATCGCCAGTACTCTCAATCGATCAGAGGCAAACTTGAACACCGCACAGGCATTGGATAAGTAAATTCCAGGCAACAGAGCCTAAGAATGAATCCACGGGTTCAAGAGCTTACACGAGCTGCGTACTGTGCATTTCTGTGTTATGCTCTGCATACGACAGCTGTTTTACATCAACGAAGAATGTGCACGCCTAAGTCGCCAAAATGGGGAAAATTTCATGGCGCGACCTAGGTATGTAGAATGTGGAGCGAGCTCAGTCTCAGCCTCGACGCGGCTCAACACGCTGTCAGCATAAGAGAAGGCAACGGTGCGCCTCCAAGAATATCCATGAGAGGTAACTGGGCAAAATGGGACTACTGCGGTGTTGGCGCAGGATTGTTGCCTAGCGTTTGCCTGTTTTGCCTGACGGTTCGCATTTAGGCGGAGCGACTAGTGTCAAGGCGGCCCTGCCTCCAACCCATCAACTATGCAGAACTATCTCTTTATCTTCTTCTATTAATTAATGAGATACGCTCGATCTTGTCTGCTCTTTGATTCGGGTCTGTGTACTCGTTGTTCTCCTGGGTCAGGCCTCGATTGAGCAAACTAGTCTCTTCTCGACCTACACGTCACTTTCCTCTCCATGTGTCGGCTTGAACCGTAACCCCCACGAACATCAAACTTCTTCTTTCCAGCAAGAGATACGCACAAATACCTGACATTTCAATACGCAGCTTGCTCATGTTCCGTCATTTGTCAACATTATCGGGCTGTTCTACACTACTTATCGTTCGGCAAGCTCGGCATCTGGATGAGCAGCAGAGTTGCGGGGCTTGAACATACAACATTCGAGATGGAGTTACCACATGTTGACATACAGTCGCGTTTTGTTACCGCCCTGAGAACGCAAGCAAGTCACAACGCGGGCGACCGCTTATCTGGGTCGTTCCTTTGTCCCTATGCCCACGACCATAGCAGCGAGGTTTTTCAGACTCTAGAACAGTTGTTAAATCATACGAGAGTCGAGCATGCTTCAGAAGTACAGGATTTAGATGACAAGCAAGGACGTCTAAAGGTCCGAGACGCAGTCGTCAAAGCAAGGTAAGCAAAGAAGGCTGCAGCACTGACATAACTCTAATGCCGCTATCAGACAATCGAGGCGATCTCCAGACGCTTTTACGAGTGGTACAGGTGCACCTGATGTTGCTACTTTATCTTTGGACGCAGGGAAAGAACGTCAGACATCGCCTTCCTCAGGAAAGAAGAGACGAGCTCAGTCAGATATTCGTACATATCAGAAGAAAGGATCCCCCCCTCGTGACAATGTTGCATTTGCCGATCCCGATTATTCGAGGGATTTGGCCTATACGATGGGACCTAATAAATCTCCCTCTAAAATTACCGACACTCGCCTATATAACCCTAGACAAGGTGCAAAAGGTACCTTATCTTCCCGTCAGTCCAACAAGGAACAATGGAGTGATAGGTCAGCTGATGCCTCTTCAAATCAAAGACATCTCTTATCGTCTACTAAGCAAACACGGAACGATGCCTCACCGTCATCGACTGGACATCCTCGCCAAGCTGGAATACTTGAGATACAGAAACACGACTCTCGTTTTCCGGGGCTTTTGTTACAGCCAGATAGCCGCCCTATATCGCAAGAACAGCTTGGGTCAGAAGTAAAGTCAATATACGCCGGGCTAACCATGGTGGAGACGAAGTGCATCCATGTCGATCGAGCACAGGCAGCTGTTCCGCAAGACTCGAATCAGAAGCTGGCTCCTGACCACTGGCAGGCGCTTATCGCACTTCATCGTACTCTTCTACATGAACACCACGATTTTTTCCTGGCCTCTCAACACCCCTCAGCGTCTCCAGCGCTTCGACGACTGGCTGCGAAATATACAATGCCAGCACGGATGTGGAAACACGGAATTCATTCGTTCCTTGAATTACTCCGTAGACGTCTCCCGGAGAGTCTGGACTACATGCTCGCATTCATCTATTTGTCCTATCAGATGATGGCATTGCTTTACGAGACAGTGCCTGCTTTTGAGGATACCTGGATAGAGTGCCTAGGCGATTTAGGACGATATCGCATGGCTATTGAGGATGAAGATATTAGAGATCGAGAAACTTGGGCTAACGTTGCAAGATCTTGGTACATGAAAGCAGCTGACAGGAATCCTCCTGTCGGCCGCTTGTACCACCATCTCGCTATCCTTGCTCGACCGAATGCTCTTCATCAGATCTACTACTACGCGAGATCTCTCAGCTCTGTCGAGCCGTTTCCTAGTGCTCGAGAGTCTATCATGACCTTGTTTGACCCTGTTTTAGGGCGGTCTCCAGCGAGCATGTCGGCTGCGCTTCCAATCGATGCCAGCTTTATCAAGGCCCACGCCTACACTTTCGAAAAAGATCTTTCGGATAAATTCGAAACAGCACGTGGGGAATACTTCCTTCAACTCGACAATCATATCGGTCGAGTTACAGCCAAGTGGAAAGAGCAGGGCGTATACACCGCAGTGACGAACATCGCGTCATGGTTCGACTATGGCTTCAACATGAACATTTTCCGACAACTTTTTCTGCTACGCGCTGAGCAGCGTAAGCAACCTGGATATGCGGTTGAAGCGCGTGATTCAATAGGCCCTCCTGATGCGGATCTGCAAAAGCCCAAGGTTCCCGAAGAAGAGATAGTACCCAAGCTCAACACTCTACTATCCGACACAGCGTTCAACAGAGCCACATGCCTGACGAACGATACATTTTCTCTTGTCCTTCGCCGCATTGGTGACAAGAATGTTCTCCCACATGTACACGTTATGCTTTCCTTCTTTTCCACTCTTGCGTCTATTGAATACGTTACCAAATTTCTCGACAACTCTCCTTGGTCAGATATCGCCGCATTCCTCAATACGTTAGTCAAAACCGAAAACCAACAAAGTCAACCTTCTGAAATCAACGCCTCTATCTGCCAGTCGGTCTTTCCGTTGGATCAGGACACGCAGGAGCAGGACGAACTGCCACTTCCAGAGGACTATCTAATTCGAGGATTAATTTGGGCTCAGGAGTATCTCCCAGCGAAGTGGTTCGACAGGGAGCATGACGAGGAGGACAGATACCTGGAATTAGCTAGCACGGCAAAACGACGCGCAGAGCGAGTTCTTCGACTCGGTCACCAACTAGCCATAGTAAGTTCGCATCTTGTCTTCGTAAGAAATATACTAAGTCCTCAGCCTAACCGTTGGATGTCGTATGACGAAGCAAGTCATGCATTCACAGCACTGTAACCATAACACTGGCGAATCCGAATTAAGCCTGAGAACAGCACAGCCTATGGGTAATACGTCGGATCGTAAGATAAACAAGCACGGTTAGCCACGTTGGCGTAGGTTCGAGTTTTGAGCGCAGATTCCCGTGAAGTTGGCTCCAAGTGTGGTAAGTCTTGCAGTGCTGAGATTACTCGGCTCGGGCCGATCTCAACAGGCAGGGGATCTGCCTGCCACAATCTTGTTGCCGAAGGAAAAGGCCCTTCTAAATACGAAGGTGCAAGGCAGCGGCGCTTGCAAGCCGCCCTCTCTGGGCGGATCATGCTGTGCTGCACCAGCCGAGTTTTATACGTTTTTGGTTTCTTGTTCAACGTTTCAGATAAGTTCGTTACCATCAAGCGTGTGTGCAACAGACTTTTGTATGTGAGATGCCCTCCAGGTCTTCCGCCACAATTCCGAGTTCGGTCTTGTCTTTATTGAGATTGCGAAAGTGCACGATGATTACACCTAAGAAGTAAGTATTCGAGCCTCCTCTCGTCCTGCTAATGGTCATGCACACAGCCCAGATGTGTACGTGTCCCACGAGCCGCTTTGGACATATGCGCCCAAATCCATGAGCAACTCATCATTACGCCAGCATTGTGAGCATATCTGCATCATCCACGGAGTATTGGACTAAGGATCGAGACCGCTGTGGCGATAGTTTCGAGCCGCGCGGTTACAGAATCCCCATGCAATAAACTTCCAACAAAGCCCCACAAAAATCCTGGAATACGGAGCCAGTCAACCCTCACGTTTCCGCATCTACTAGGTGCCTCGAGAAAGTCTATGTATGGTGCTCGACTGGTCAAGTCTAAATGGACACTGTACAACACCATAACTCGTTCGACCTAGTTGCCTACGACACTGCTTTTTGAACTCAGCACATACTTGAACAGAAAATATCTCGTTGGTATCATCACTCGGGCCATCAGAAGATGTCACCTCATCTCTGCCTCGTTTGTCGATCTATTCCACCCAAATTGTGGTGTCACTCTTTCAATCTTAAGGAGAATAGCAGAGAACTCTGTGTCAAGCTTCAGACTCTTGAGGGTATGGAAGCAGCCAAAGAAAATGGCTGCCAGCTCTGCACAATTCTACTCGACTCCCCCCAGTTCTGTCGAGAGCAAGAGATATTTGGTTACAAGCTCTGTGGCAAGAATGAGATGCTGCATTTGCGTAGATCACTAGCGTTTCCAGAACGGGCTGTCGAGCTGGGTGTTGGGCCCAAGGGAGCGCAAAGCATCTCCAGGACATTCTTCTATCGCATGCCTGCAGAGTGGTGTAAGTACATTCGCAGCGCACGTTACTTGTGATGCCGTGTGTCCTTTGCCAATCAGTATGTAGGCTAATACTGCTTTAGGCCATCCGGGTCTCTGGGCCAAAGAACTTGAGGTTAAGACCGGCGATATACCAGACTCCAAGCCTGTGTCCATAAACGAAATTGTTGACAATGCGGGGCTAATGAAGAATTGGCTGCGTATGTGTAAAGAAGAGCATGCTGAGTGTTCTAAGCATCGGTCGTCTTTCCTCCCTACGCGCTTACTAGACGTATGGGCATTTGAAAGAAGTGCGGATGTCAGACTGATCGCAAGTCAATCTTTGGTCAGCGACGTGTGCTCTGCACCCACTTATCTTACGCTTAGCCATTGCTGGGGCAAGACACAGTTGATCACTACCACAACAAAGAACATTGAGTCCAGAAAAGATCGGATCTCCTTCAGCGACCTTTCGCAGACCTTCCGCGATGCCGTTACGTCAACCCGGGAGCTAGGCCAGCGATATTTGTGGATTGATTCGCTGTGCATCATACAAGATGATAAAGAAGATTGGGTTGAAGAAGCCGCCAAGATGGCAAAGGTGTACGGTAATGCCTACTGCACACTAGCAGCCCTAAGTTCGGCTGATGGCCAAGGTGGATGTCATCGTGAAGCTTATGTGCAAAAGTCGATGAACAACACCTTTTTCGATCTCCCGAACCCAAGTTGTGCAGCAGAACCGTACATTCGCATCTTCTGCAAAGAGCCGACAGACTGGAAAACCGACTACGACGGTACATTGGGTCGGTCGAACGAGTGTCAAAGTCCCCTCAGATACCGAGCATGGGTTCTGCAAGAAAGAGAACTCTCTAGGCGATCGATTCACTTCGGCAAGTGTCAGCTCTTGTGGGAATGTAAGCAAATGAAGGCATCTGCGCAGTTGCCCTGGCTTGAGATGAAGAAAAAGAAGGGGTTGACATATCCAGAGGGCTGGCTTCAACTGGTAGAAGATTACTCGCTTCGTGCGCTCACTAAGTCCGAAGACAAACTACCTGCCCTTTCAGGTGTCGCAGAACAGTACCAGGAGCATAAGGCGCAATACATGGCCGGTCTATGGAGTAGCCAGTTGCCCGCTGCATTGATGTGGCAATCTACAGATCCTTACGCCAAGAGACATGATGCTTATAGAGCGCCAAGTTGGTCGTGGGCTTCAATTGAGGGACGCGTGTCATATGTGGGTCTACCAAAGTGCTGTTGCACTGCACATATAGCTTACTTCTCTAGGACAGCCAACGCCTTGTGCCGCCGTACGAAGATTATTCTGACCCTCGTGACAATCCTCCTAGGATGTTGAACAGCGCATACGGGGGTATTGAGCTTGAACAAGCAGTGGTAAAACCCAACCATCCCTCTTACATGTATGGTGAGATCAAAGAAGGGGCTTATATCGAATTGAAGAGTGCGTATCTTTTCGAGATAGACGTACCTGCTTGGACCCTACTTCTCAAGGAACAAGGACCCAAAAGGGACTCTGAGCCATTGCTCAAGAATGGCAGACAGGTTGGCGTCTTCTATCGTGACACTATGGACAACGTCATCGATGCAAAGACGGCATTCATGTTGGTCCTTCAAAACGAGTCAATATTCCCACGCACCGAGCATCCTTTCCAGTTACACCAATCTAAGGACATGATAGACACCGTAATGGGCATCGTTATTGTAGGCGACAGGCATCATAAGTATTCCTTCATGAGACTCGGTCTTGCTCGCTGGGTGGATGAAGCATTGCTGGAGGGAACCAAGCCGTGCAACGTAAGACTTGTATGAAGCAAAGTTGTAGAGGAGTAAAGAGAACAAACCACTAGCACATTGGGACGCAAACTCCGCAGACGCATCGTGAGGTTACTCCGTATCATTATGGCGCATTGGCTGGTCACATGTCATTTCAACAGTCATGACCTGTTATCGCCAGTCTTTCGAACGAAAGAGCCATTTTGTTTCCTTATTGCAATAGTCAGCACCCAGAGGCCTGCAGTGCGTTCAGCCCTGGTTTGTACTGCGTGCTTTGTTACCCTGAGTCATATCGTGCTTCTTCTCACTGTCAATGCTAAAAGGGTCATGACGGAAGATCAGGAGACGAATAAAGTGCAGTGGATGTATTTGAGTAACATTGGCACGCATTGAGGCGCCTCAGTGAACAGTCTGGACGGAATGGGCGGTAAGAGGCTTCTAGAATTCACTAAGAAAGGGAACACGACGATGGAGAGTGGCAGCAAGCCCTACATAGGTTCTCAAGATCCTCTCTACATGGACGTCACGACTGAGGCCTTGTTGGTGTTCCAACGCGTAAGCACAACCAATTTGATGGGTACAAGAGGGCCCCGGGGTCATTCTACTTGTCTTGCAATTTTCTGGCCATGAGTGATGCCACTTCGGGAATTCAGCATACCTAGAGTCGCTCATTACCCAGATCATCACATTGAGGATAGTTGTAGATGTTGATATATTAGCACAGAGAGCTAGACAGTAAGTTGCTTCGAAGAGAGGGGCTAGCGGGGTAGCTGCTCACGGAACTGCGGCTAACCCCGGTTGCTACATAAAGATGGAACCTGCAGCTCGCATCGAGCATTAGCATTTCTACAACATTTCCCCACAAACGTCTCGCAATGCCCTCCAAATCACGTGGTTTGAGGACCTCGACGGGCTGGTAAGTCATTCGAAAGTAGAAGCATTGATGCTTTCTGCAACCTTTTGCAGTACATTGTAAACCGCGTGCTAAACATGCTTCAGTCTTGTCTGTCGCAAGCGCAGAGTGAAGTGCGATGAGACGCAGCCTCGCTGTAAAAACTGTACAAGAGTCGAACGGGACTGCGAGTATCCGCAAAAGTCGGCGACTCCTCAGCGGCCTCGCGCCCTGAGTGCCCGGACAGTCGAAGAGGCGCCAGTGATCCCCGGTAATCTACCTCTTCCAGGTCCCGATGCGACTCCTCTGAGTCTTCCTGTACCACCCGATGGTCTGAGCTCGTCTGCGCCAATTACCACGCAGTCTTGGATCCCGTTCAGTATTGATCCACCGCAGATTCCAGGCACCGCACTCCCGGACGACAGCTTCTTCTTAGACGACAGCCTATTCTCATTCGGTGACACCCTGACCCCTTCATTTGGCCCGTGAGTACGCAAAAGTGTCCTGCAAATCTTAGGCTTAATGTGACGTAGCATTGAGTGGTACGATCTCTTAGCTCAAGATGCCATAGACACCATGCAAGATCAGAATCCCAGCAATCGCTGGAACTTCGACTATTCTAGCTTGTCACGTCGACAGACTCCTCGACAGTCTGTAGCTCCGGATACTGGTCTTGACGATGGCGATGGGCCAGCGTCAGTAACGCAGGACCTAATATCTGAGCCTTGGAACACTGATACCCCTATCGAGCTGAAAGAAGATGAATTGATATTCTTCGAACACTACATTAACGTCGTGGCACCCATCTTAGATCTTTTTGATCCACTCAACCACTTTGCGAGCATGGTCCCGCATCTTGCTCTGCGCAATGTTGGTTTGTTGAAATCAATCCTGGCCGTTGGGGCTCGGCATCTCACACTTGGACAAAGCCACACTGACTTCAGCGAAGCCACCCTTCATGTTCCACCAGATACACCGACGTCTGTACATAGTCTCTCACCGAACGCTGCAAAGTTTGCCGAGCAGTACTACTTCGAGACACTACAATATCTATCACAGAACTTACTTTACCAAACGTACACTGGATCTCATGAGATACTGGTCACTGCCATCATGATCTCGACGTACGAGATGTTCGGGACGGCGGAAAACCCTGACCACTCCGCATGGGATCGCCATCTGAGGTAGGTATGCTCAACATGTTTGTAGATGTTAGCTGATCACATTCAGGGGTGCATTCTGGATACAACGCAACTCCAACACGAGCGGTGAATCGAATGATAGCCTCAAACGCGCGGTCTGGTTCTCGTGGTTGCGTCAAGATATATGGGCTGCTTTTCGCACAGGTCGCCCAGCATTGACTATACATCAGCCAACAAAGTCAATGTCCGAACTGACGACAGAGGAACTCACCACACGCATCATCTACATTACAGCCAAATGTGTACGTGCCTGACACCCAGAAGCTTCCACGGAACTGACGCATATCAGGTACAATTTGCAGCGACTCCGAAAGAGCAGAACATCACAGAATATATCGAAGCCGGTGCAACACTGATGCGAATGTTAGACGCATGGAAAAGGCGTCTCCCCCAGGCCTTCGAGCCGATACGCATTACCAACACTTACTCGACTCCAAGGTCGGCTTCCGATTCCGTGTCACTTACACCAATATGGATCCATCCACCTGCCCACGCTGCCGCGATACAAATGTACCACTTTTCACGCATCGTCATGGTTCTTAATCAGCCCTCAATAGGAGGCCTGAACGTTCATCAGACACGCTTCAAAATGCTACGCGAAAGCACTACCGTGATTTGCGGAATCGCTGCTGCGCAACAATCACAGAACCTACCTAGCGCTTTTGTCAGTTTTCAGGCTGTATATGCTGGTGAGTCACAGTTTACAATTCCTGCTGGTATTTGTACTGATAGGTAATGTGCAGCCGCCTTGTGTGCTGACAGTCAGGAGAAGCAGGCTGAGATTCTTGAGATCCTGGATAGAGTTTTGCATATCAGCAAGTTCCCTTCAAGGTCAATCTTGAGCGACCTTGTAAAGGTCTGGAGTGGAGGTGGCTAGTCATCGCTGCACAACAATCATTTGGCGAGCTCGAAGCGAGTCACTTGCATACCACCATGCACGTCGCAACGCACATCGCAGGCCCATCGAATGTCCACCCCCAGAGCATCCCCAAGCAACACATGTTCATATCTCAAGTATTTACAAGTTCACGTCTCGAGATGCGGGGTCATGCATCAAAGACGGGGACGGTAGGCTAGCTCTCCGCATTGCTCGAGACGAGCTCCAATCGATCTGCGCTAAGGCACCGCCAATCACAGGTCTCACACTCGTGAAGACTCGAAAGCATACACCTGTCGCATCGAGCGATCGTTGCGGCTTCGTTGAAAGTTATTGGCAACTGTCACCACAAGCAGCAACGATGTTGATAAATACAGACCAGCCAGATCTCTTAAAAACAACATCAGAGGCTTCAATTCAACACCCACTTTGCATATCACATATATAATGGCTCCTTCTCTCGAGTATTACGATGAGGTCTCACAAAACCTTCCCGTCAAGCCTGTCGATACAAAGATAAATGGTGTTCCAGCAGTCGCGGCCGTACAGCTCGAAAAGTGCGATCAGCATGGTCTCGTTCTCAACCATTTTCGCGCATACATCGCAGATCTTTGCCAGCAATTCAATGGTGGACATCCAGGGTAAGAGCCTCCGAAAGATAACTTCAAAGACATTGTTCTAACAGCATACAGGTCGGCCATGGGCATGGCTGCAATTGGAGTGGCACTGTACAAGTATGTGATGAAGTTTTCCCCCAAAAACGGCAGCTACTTTAACCGCGATCGGTTTGTTCTATCCAACGGTATGCTCATGACTGGAAGACAGGGCATCGAACACGAAAGCTGACATGTATCAGGTCACGCTTGCCTATGGCAGTACCTATTCATGCATCTCGTTGGTGTTGAGGAGATGACTACCGACCAACTCAAGTCATACCATTCCGAAAAGTATGATTCTATATGCCCAGGACATCCTGAGATAGAGAACGACGGTGTCGAAGTCACCACTGGCCCCCTTGGCCAGGGTGTCGCGAATGCGGTCGGTCTCGCCATGGCTACTAAACATCTTGCCGCAACATATAATCGTGAAGGCTACAAAGTTGTAGACAACATGACATATTGTATGATTGGCGATGCTTGCCTCCAGGAAGGTGTTGGACTCGAGGCAGTGTCACTTGCTAGTCACTGGAAGCTCAACAACCTGTGCATCATCTACGACAACAACAATATCACATGCGACGGAACCGCTGATGTCGCCAACTCCGGCGAAGACATGAATGCTAAGATGAGAGCAACCGGCTTCGAAGTTATCGATATCCTGGACGGTCACTCCAACGTGAGCTCGATAGTTCACGCATTGCTCTCCGCTCGTAACAGCGACAAGCCCACTTTTATCAACATCCGAACCGTAATTGGTATTGGTTCTTCAAAAGCTGGTACGCCAGCGACACATGGCGCTGCATTGGGATTGGACGATATTAGAAAAATCAAGAAGACCTCGGGTCTCAATCCAGATGAGCATTACATTCTGCCAGATGAGATGTACAGCTTCTTCGGAGATGTAGCCCCTCGTGGGAAACGCCTCGAGACTGAATGGCTAGAGACTTTGAAGTCATACGAACAAAGTTATCCTGAGTTGGCTGCTGAGTTCAAGCTTCGTGTCGCTGGAAAGATGCCCGAGGATTGGACCAAATTCATCCCAAAGAAAGAAGATTTCCCAGAGGAGCCTACTGCTACTCGCAAGTCGGCAGGTCTTGTTGGCAACCCTCTTGCTGAGAACATGAAGAACTTTTTGGTCGGCACCGCTGATCTAACACCTTCCTGTAATGTTGCGTATAACAAGAAGGTTGACTTCCAGTCGCCTGAGCTTCGCACGGCTTGCGGCTTAGATGGGGACTACACTGGACGCTACGTGCACTACGGTATTCGTGAGCATGCGATGTGCGCTATATCTAACGGTCTTGCGGCATTCAACAGGGGTACTTTCCTGCCGGTCACGAGTTCCTTCTTCATGTTTTATCTCTATGCTGCACCCGCGGTACGGATGGGTGCCCTCCAGGGACTGCAACAAATTCACATTGCAACGCACGATTCTATTGGTACCGGAGAGGATGGTCCTACGCATCAACCAATCGCTCTGGCAGCGTTGTACCGGGCTATGCCCAACGTTCTCTACATGCGGCCCTGCGACTCTGAGGAGGTTGCTGGTGCGTTTGAGGTCGCAATCGGGGCGACCGAGACCCCCAGCATTATCTCGCTGTCTCGACAAGTTCTACCTCAGTGGAAGCAGTCGTCACGAAAAAGTTTTGCAAAAGGCGCCTACGTCTTGGTTGAGGAAGAGCACTTTGATGTGACCCTCATCTCGACAGGTTCTGAGATGGTTTATGCCATGCAGACCCGCGAACTTCTGAAAGAGAAATTCAACCTCACCGCACGCGTTGTCTCATTTCCTGTTCCTCGCCTATTCGAGCAACAGTCTCGCGAGTACAAGCAGACAGTGCTGAAGTCCAAGGCCGCAAAGCTTACAGTCGTCATTGAAGCATACGCAGCGAATGGCTGGGAACGTTACGCAGATGCTGCCTTCTCAATGCGCAGGTTCGGTAAAAGCTTGCCCAGCAAGACGGCATACAAGTACTTTGGTTTCGAGCCTGAGATTATGGCGCCGAAAATTGAGGCGCTGGTCAGAGAAGTGCAGCAGGACGGCATTGAGGTCTTGAGGGGTGACTTCAGAGATCTCAACGGCACTTTGGGTATTGGTTTTGAGCACTAGATATGAAGCCGAGTTTTTGTCTGTTATATTTGTAAGCAATTTAGTTTTACACGTCACATTTAGTATCATTACAATCAATTCACCAATCACGGACCTTTGTAGACATCGTTACCTTCTATCGCGAAGTTTTTGTTGACACCTGTGGGTAAGGGCTACGTTCAGACGCATCTCGCTTCCGATACAATGCTTTGTCTGCATGGAATCTCGTGGTACTCCCACTCGGATTCGTCTATGCGACCCAAAAACCTCATTGTTGAAATACCTCTTTCCTTGTTGAATTTAAGGCTTACGTTCAATCACAAAGCCGTTGTAAGTAAATTGGGTTTATACACCATTTGCCATCATGCTGTTTCGGAGGAGTGCCACAAATCCCAGGTAGACTTCTGAGAAAATCGTTTGCGCTATCCTTATCCTGACAGCCATCAACCTGTAGTCTTCAGCTCACGCTGATCTAATCCTGCGCTTCTGGATTTAACAGTCGACCCTCTGTATTATAGAAGAACCATCTTTGAAATTTTCCTGGAATCTCAGCCGGTTTGCCAGGCCTGTTCATCTCTGGTAAATCAAATTTCTTGGTCACATCTTCACAGCTTATGTAGCTATCAAGTTCGCTGTCAGACGTCTGCGCAAACTTGATCTCGTTCGGATTGGCTTTGCCAGCTACCAATTCTTTCCAGAAGCCGTGACTCTCAGCAACTTGGCGTACGCAGAAGGTCTGGTTTTGGTATCCCTCGCCAATAATTGGCGTCTTTTCTGATTCAAAACCAGCGAACCAATTGTGAAAAGCTTGCATAGTTCCAGGGCGATACCTCTCGACGTCTTCGACAGAGTTAATGAGTTCTGCAAGAGGATCCTGCACGTCGATGCCCATCATTTTCCAGTCTGTCTCATTGTCGTCGACAACCGCAAGACCTCCAAGAATCTTGATTTGCTTCACTTGACCGTAGTAGCCGGGATCCTGACCGATGTCGAAGAGATCCATGGGATCGTTGTCACCAGGATAGCCAGTGGAACTGTGGTTGAAGTTCGGAGACTCCCAGGTTTGCGGGATAGATCCATACAAGAATGGGTGCGCCTTATAGGGCCAGACGTTTTCCCTGAAGCGTGGAGCATCGTCCATCTCGTCGTGAAAGATGGGATTGATGGGTTCGTCACGCTTGATCTCGACCTTGCCTGCCGTCCATCGAGGTATCTCGACGACAAAGTGCACGACAGAAGTATCACTAGCACTTGGATATGTTGGCACATCGTGCCATGGAGATATCGGGTTGCCATTCAACTCTAGCCACATGCGCCAATTCTACTTTTAAGTCAGTACCGCCGACGAACCCTTTGGGCCGTTACTTACCAAAGTGTTTCGGCTGCCACGTTCGCGAAGGCTTAAGGCTGAAGCATCAAATTTAGAGCATGGTGCAGGCTGAGGATGACGGAATGTCTGAGGGGTGGCAGCAGCGAAGCCCAGTAGCGCGAATTCGATGATATTTGCCCTCATGATGCCTCTTGCTATATTGTCCTCAAGTGGCAGATCCAACTTATCTCTGTAGGCTACTCCTGTACTTATGCATGATGAGTGGAATCATCTCATCTTGACAGAGCGATCGAGTGAGCCTGATTTCAGCGTTGATCGTTGGAATGATGATGGAACAGACGTCACATCGATCGATTTAGTGGACAGAAGTCGCGGCCAAGAGCTCACTGTGTCCTTCCTGACTACGCCGCGTAAGTGAGCGATCAGTGTAACTGGCAAATAGAACACTAAATGGCTACACGTGAGAAAAGCTCGTGCAATAGGCGTGCTTAGTGCCTACACGTGTGCTTGTATCATGGCAGCCGTGGAGAAGAACCCGTCCCTCGGCGCCAAGAGAAATGAACGGAAATCGGCGACCGGAAGTGATCATGACTTGTAAATTGGTGCCATAAAAGACGGAAGCCATCTTTAAGGACTAATAACATCTGGTTCATGATGCTGTGGAGCTGAGATTGCGCAAGAGCATCGAAGCACTGAGGTTCACGCCGGATGTGTGTGAAGGTCACCCTTTTACGTTAAACCAGGATAGCACACAGGTTCACCTCGTAACATCGATGATGCGGAAAGATTTTGAATTTGCGACGCTTCAATACACTCATGGAAGTTGATACTACTTATGCTGAGGTGGTACAGCACGCGAAGTGTAGTTTGTCCTCGGCACCGATACCGCTTGAGCTACTTTAGGCTATGTACTAGCGCGGAGCTAACATGTTGCACTATGTATGACGAATCCTGTTCACGTACCTCATCACCGTACCATTCATGGGAATCAGCAGAAAAACCCATGTAAATTCGTGATCTCAGCGCAAAGCGGCAGCTGCAAATAGCGGTTTCACCATCGATCTGCCTGAGCTCTGGCTCAGGCCAGTTCCGCCGTAGTCAACGCGTCAGGAGATTCAAGGACAGCAGTGCAGTGAAAAGCATGTAATGATTCGTATATGTATTATCGTTCGTAAGGAATGACTCGTTATCGTCAATGCATGTCCACGCTATGCAACCCATTGTTTAGGCAATAAACATTACGGCCTTTGGCCTCTTCCATCTCCAAGGAATATACAGAGTAGCTCATAACCTTCCATCAATGCAACTTAGAAGCCGCAGTTGCTGGTGGCTACCTGCGCGTACTGAGCCTCGATGCGACCGAGGGCTGCCGCCTGGCCGTTGGTCAGGTCGTCCATAGCCGCCTTAGCAAGGTTGAAACCATTGGCGGTGTGGTCGACAGCCAAGACATAGATGGTCTTGCCATTGTATGTGACGCCGTAGCAGGTACCGCACTGAGGAGAGTTCCAGCCCGCAACACCCTGGTAGCCACCGATACGAGGGAACGAGGGGACGTTGGCCTGGTTGTTCCAGCCGAACCTTGTGATGAGACCGTTTGCGCCGTCCGAGCAAGACAAGGCAGTCAAGGAACGGCTGCCGTCATCGTAGCCAGTGTCGTAAGAGACTGCACATGTTAGTTATATCCATCTTTTCAACAAATCCTTCATATCGTACCAGAGATAGCAGAAGTAAGGCTAGCAAGGCCAAGGGCAAATGCAGAGGTAGAGAACTTCATTTTGATGTCGAGGGGATTTTGCAAAGGATTGAGCGGGTGTTGATTTGTGACGGAGATTGAGGAAGCTGGTGCTGGATGATTGTAAAGCTGATAGTGAGGTCTAATACTTGAGGCCTCGTTCACTTTATACTCATTTACTCCGCTTGCCGTATACAGCTTCATTCCATATTTGCGTCATAGCAACAGTCGTACACGGCAACGATAAGCGGAAAACGAGGGAGATCCATGGGTTGGAATACGGTGTCGTGAAGCTAGCTGCAACCGTCGGCGCAGGTGACTGTGTGCAGGCGGAGCTTGAAGGCAAATAGAGTAGGTGAGCTCATAGCGTCGACGAACACGAGAGCAGATGAGGAGACGGGTATATTTTTGGCAGGGTAAGAGTGGGTCTCGTCTGCTTTGAGCTATGTAAGCGAGAGAATTGTCCGAGGCTACTGGGTGGGTGTTGGCTGGTTACATCCGCACTTTCTACAAGAAGTAATTTTAGACAGCGATCAATAAAGATGGTAGCGATGCTTTCCCTCGCGCGGATACAGTCAGGTTATCTTTGAGGTCAAAACGCAAATGCCAGTGCTGAAAGGGGTAGCCTCAAGGTGGACCCTGCCGGCTGTGGCGGGAGTAGCGTCCACGTCAGGATCCGATGGCACCGCGCTTGTAACGTTGCACTACCAAAGGGCAGTGCTCGAGCGGCTTAGAAGAAGGTCGGTATATAGTAGAAGCAGCGAGAAGCAGACGAGTGTGCTCTTCGTGTGCTCTTCGTGTGCGTCTATGTAGCAGCTGGGTACACCGCTGAAGGCAGGCCTAGCACTGTTAGGATGGACTGTTTTCACGGGCTCCTCTCGAAACCGTGTGTTGACCTGAGCGCTGGGTCAATGCAAGCTAACGACCACGTACTTATCGTACCCATAGCTAGTACCGGCATCTTCGCTGTGGTGGGGAGCAGTCAGTAATCCAACACGATGGCGGTGAGAATTTGGGATGGGTGAGGAAGTCTGTACGATTGCGCTGGTGGCGCGGCTGCGCGGTCTTCGAGCGTCACCCTCAGAAACACTGTTTGCGACATGCGAAGGGCCTTGTCAACGAGTCGGCTCTTCAGATGTCATGGGACAAACGGCCGTTATTGCCGGTGCTTGCGCTGTCAACGGGACAGCGACAGCAGCGAGGCTGGCGATTGTGGGGTTTCACGCGCTAGGAATGCTCTGGGAACGCGCTAGGAGGGATTCCACACATCTCGCGTCTCCAACGACAGCCGTCATCAAGTTTCATCCCCTTCGCAGAAACACAACAGATTTCAGCCGTGAGCTGTACGCGCTGGCATGATACCAGCCACACAGCAGTAACTCAGTCAGGCCTGTTGTGCCCAGGCACCTGTGGCTTTCCCAGGCGCTTGCCGCGAAGGTGTCCAATCATAGCTCCTCCTTGCATACCAAGGCGTTACTAGAAACGAGGTTCTAGGTAGCAAGGCATCGATTCTTCATGCCTTCGCGACGCCTGAAGTCTCGAAGTCGTTCCGCCATGGCCAACTCAGGCCGACATTGCCATCTTGGTGATGCTCAGCCCGGCGGCAAACAACTCTTATGTGATATAAAACCAGCTCAAATGTTCTCAAAACCAGAATCATCTCATCAGGCAGGCCCAATACTCTCTTCTCTTCTCTTCTAGTTCACAGAACAATCTCTACGTTTCACCACCACATTTACACCGTTACCCAAACAGGCTAAACTCTTACCTTCACAACCAATCATAATGCAGTTCTCTACACTCTTCGCCATGACCGCTCTCGCTGGTTCCGCACTAGCAGTGGACCACAAGGTCGCCGTTGGAACCAAGACCGGCGACTTGGTCTTCAAGCCTGACACAATCACCGCCGCCGAGGGCGATACCGTTACTTTCCGTTTCTGGCCCAAGAACCACTCGATCGCTCAGGCTGCCTTCAACTCTCCATGCGCACCTCTGAACACTGGCTTCTGGTCTGGCTTTGTGCCCACCACCGACACCCAGAACGTTGCGAACTGGACTTTCACTTATGAAGTGACAAACGCCTCGGCCCCCATCTGGTTCTACTGCACACAAGGCCAGCACTGCCAGAATGGTATGGTCGGTGTGATCAACCCACCGTAAGTCGGACCCTTAACATTATGTCCATCGTCATACTCACAATTTGCAGTGCCACTGGCCCAAGGACTCTTGCTGCGTTCAAGAATGCTTCTGCTGAAGCCAGCACCAATGTATCGCCTACCGTCCGGGCTGGTACAGGAGGCAACCTCACAGAGAGCTCTGCCTCCTCCACATCACCATCCGGCACTGCATCAGGGTCACCGGCATCTTCGACTGGTGCGGCCTCCCACATGTCTGGCAGCATCACCTTCGCTGGTCTCGCCGGTGTCTTTGCATACTTCCTGATGTAAGAAATGGATTTGAGTGGCAGACTAAACGATATACCCTGGATGAGAGAGACTAGTAGTCGTGAGCACTCGGTAGATCCGAGCGCCACGCACACGGGAGGTAGGAAAAGACAGCGTCTGGAACGAAAACTGTAATAGATTGTCTAGTAGTAGCAGGTGGTTGAAGTACATACTTACAATACATACCTCATGTGAACAGTCTTGGGGCCCTCCGAATGTGTGAACAGAAACCCAAAGTGCATCCACAGAGCCAACGCGACCTTCCGGCTTCTATGGCTGCAAGACTGAGAGCCAAAGCCACTGTCTTCTCGATCTTCCGACAAGTCACGAAGAGCACACCTGGATAATTCATACCAGATCAGTTTCTACCCAATGGTTATCATAGCCGTTCTACGAGCCGTCAAGCTAGCACAAGTCTTTTGCCCAACCATGACCCTGCAAAATTGCGGTGCATCGGGAAGTTCATCAGTAGCTCGGTAACATCCCTCAACAAGCAGTCAGGTTGTGCACTATCTTCAGCGCGAGATTCTATACTGCAGCAGCACTGACGGAGGAGGCTCTCACCCTCATCTGCTAGCATCATGTTTGATCACGGAAATGGGCGCATCAAGCTACATTGACGGACGAACCCCGAATCTGTACTGGGCTCAGTCATTGAGCGTTTGATTGAGTTCATCACTCTCGACGTACGCGCACACATTCTGAACCTGTGTATGTTGTGCAAGTTCCACTGCGCAACTGTCATAGCACGCGTCTGCAGGCATCACATCGCAACACTCAAGTGAACCATTCCAGGCCAAGAGTAACGACCTCGCGAACGCAATCAAAGCCTGCGCGTCAGTTGCCATCCGGAAGAAAGCAAAACACGCCCAACCTCAGCGCCTCAACAATCGCTCAACTCCCAGGACCATGATATCATCTCCCAACGATCCTGCAAATTTTCCGCCTCGAATCCACACTGCACACACGATGACGGAGGTTCTCGGTATGTGGAGGCTCAAATGCGAAAGCACAGACTTGCGGCTCTGGTGGTGTTGCGTCGCGCGGCCGTCGGGTGAGGTCGGGTGGAATCGGCTTGTGCGACGGCTTTGGGTGAGTGGACAGACCACCATCATCAGGAGAGATTTTGGCTGTGCGACGTCAGGAGTGGGGTGGAAAATTGAATGGTAAGGGGGGGTTGATTCGGAGTGATCACGAAAGTCGACTTTGGTTGTTATTTTATTTGATTGTTTTTACTGAACATACGGAATGTTTGCTATGGATGTTTATTGCTTTCGTGGCTTCGTAGCTGTCTCGAGGACAGTCTTGTTTCCAGTTTGTCCTGGTGCTTTCTCTCTCAATGCTAATCGCATGTGTTCTTCCTCCGTCACTTCTTGAGGGGTTGGTATTGAGCGTTCAAACTTTGCAGTGACGGTCTCCTCGTGCCCTGTGGTGTGACTTGTAGCGTCTTGTGCGCATACATCCTCCTTTCCCTCCTCGTCGTACCCTGTGTCTTACAAAGAAACGGTGTGAGGTGCCCTCGTCAGCCTCAAGCTGGTGGTTGATCTTCCTTCGTCATACATCTTCTTCGGTGTAGTGATCAATCACTGAACCTCGTAGATTTGCATGGCCCTCTCAAGGTCCTTGATGCTGCTCCTGTCGCCGTACGCTGCCTCGAGTGCTGCATTTCTGTCTTTCTGGCTCGTAGTGCGGGCCGACATGCCAGCGATAGCCCGCTCCATATCCTCGAGGCTAGATCGCTCGCCATAGAGATCCATGAGTTGCTGGTTCTTTTGCTCCTGGGTGAGCTCAGTGGGCACGTGGACGGCTCGGTTGGCTTCGTTCAGTGCAGTGGTGATGCTGTAGCCAATTTGACGGTTGGCAGCATCAAGAGTGACAGTTCGAGGCTTGGCTGGTTCGCTGGGAAGGTACACGCTGGCTGGAATGTACATCATGCCTACAGCCGCGACGGCCATTGAGGGGAGATACCATTTGGCGATCCTTCCAAGCTTGGGAACAGCCCTGGAGGCTGCTGCTAGCTCCTCGGTTGCAACATCGCCAATAGCAATAGCGTGGCGAGACCTTGTCGATGTAGTGAAGAGCCTCTGGCGAAGTAGTGGGGTGAATCGTGAGAAAGGCATGGTTGCTCTGGGGTTGATAGAGTTTGATGTTCAGGATGCTTTCGTTGCAGTGATATTTATATGTTCGATTTCGTCTTGGTGAATGCTCAACGCTTTAGCCAAGAACGGTGGTTGTGTCGAGTGTATTTGGGCGTGTGTGATGGTCGCTTGAAACAGTGTGTACTTCAAAATCGTCCAAGCAGCGGAGGTGTTTGAAAGTATATACTGGAGCCTCGTGCGGGGAAGCGTATGTCACGAGTAGGCTGTGCGATGGTCTCTCCACCCAGATTCATCTCCGCGTGCCAGAGTGTCAGGCCACGAATCACAGCACCCGACGTCACGCGAGAATGTATCGGATTGGCCACTTCACCGCATTTGGAACGCGGAGAAGCGTCACAGCCTTGACGCCCAGGCACCGCAGCTTCCGCGAATACCGTTAGAGATGCGCTGACGTAGAGCTTCATTGAATGTACTGCTTCTCGGCCGCGCAGATGCTGCGGCTACTGCAGCGGCTCTGTCTCGCGGCGTCTCTGGAAGGTCGAACTGACTCGTACGACACCGCGGCTTAACGTGTTTGAGCATCGGAAAGATGGGGGTAGACCCAGGGAGGCAAAGTGGAGGTTCGAACAGGTTAGCTGATCGTGGAGTGAGCGGGCGGCCGAACTGAGAAGGGATCGCTATGTCAGCCAACATCTGCAGGGACTGACCGGAAGCCTGCTTTACGACTGCAACACGACGTCAACATCATCGTGAATTCCTCCGTCTTCAACATCGTCATTGTGCTCCACCACAAACTCAACAATTTCAGTAATTTTCTGCAGCCGAACTTCTTCACTTCTTGAAGTTCGCGAAGAACGACGTCATGGGCCCATCCTGTCGGCCTACGCTCGGCAAGTTAAGTCTCACACCTTTTGCTCTTCCCCAGATTGTATCGGTGCGCTCGCTAGTTCCTAGCCCGAAGAGACGGCTCGTGTACGCGGCAGCAAATGGTGTTTCACGTGCTTATCGACCTCTGTTCTGACCAATAGGGGCGTGACACTGCCATACCTCGCTCTCGTACGGGAGGGTCCAGCACTGGAGTCGGCCGCAGACCTGGCCCCAGGGCCCAGGCCAGGTAGCCAAAACATATTGTTTGTGTTGTTGTACAACCGCATCCGCGGCCTATGCCTTCACGGAGAAATGGAAGCCCACGGATAGCACTTTCGGCTTTGAGGGCATGAACACGTATCCATTCACTCGGAACAGACGACCGTCGTTAGATTGAGGCTGTGCAACGAGAGACCTTCATTGGTCATCATACTATTCGTTGTATCTACGGGTATGGAAACAATGGGTTGTAACACCCCTGGCGGCTTATCAAGGTGAGAAGTTGCCGCGCTAATCAGTGTTACCTTCGGTATCGTCGCTGTCGCTGGAGCAAACCTGCGACGAGGTGCAAGACACTAAGTAGGTAGAACGTTCGGTGATGGTGACCCTACGCGCTGTCGTTTCTAGTGAAACTCGACGGGCCGAGCCGATGCTGGGGGTGTTGGCTATCTGTACCGGGGAGATCTTTTGCTGGATGTTCGATTGCAGGACTCAAGTGCGCGTGCGTTTCATGCCACCATCATTCTTCTTATGCTTGTAACAGAAATGCCCAGCGGAATGATGATACTTCTCCTGTGCTGTTTGCGACGCCGGAGGTAATTGTTCGGTCGCTTTCGCTAATATTTCAATGCAGGACGGCTGGACAAGGGGAACAGGATGCAATAATCATGACCACCTTTCACCACCCGCCCTCAAGCCTCCAGGACCACCGCCGATGTCGAAGAAATTGCCCTCGGGCGGCCCTCCGTAGCCGCCCATAATGTTGCCCATCCGGCTTTTGCCCTGACTCTTGGCATTTTCGACGATATGGCTTTTGCGGCCGAGTTCTTTGGCTGAAGATACAGAGTTTGTGATAGATGCCAGGAGGTTCACGAGCTGAACGTCTGATGCTTCTTGTTGGGACTCGAGTGTAAACGCATCAGAATCTGGTGGAGCGAGGATGTTGAGGCGCGCAAGTGTGGCCGAGATGCTACGGAGGATGGTGTGATCTAGCGGTAGTGATTGGTTGGCGTCTGGAGCCGCGCTTGGTGCGAGAGATGGGTCTGAGAGATACGATGGCGGTAGGGCGTTGAGATAAGCGCGGAGGAGCGCGACGCGACGACTTAGCATGCGGACGGCGTTCATCTTTGCTGTCAGTGACGAGAGGACTATAGGTCATTAGCATGTGCTACACCGAACGTTAGATTGAGTCCACGTACTCTCTTCGTCATCCGCGTCCAATACTGTCGCCTCGTCGATGGGAGCATCCTTCTCGCTGTCTTTCTCTTTCTGCTTTCCCTTTCCCTTCCTTCCTGCGCTCTCGTTGGCTTTCGAAGTCTCGGCTGCATGAGTAGAAGCGTCAACAGAGCCCTCAACAGCAGTAGCGTTACCTCCTCCGCGCGCAACAAAGTCCACGCTGATCATCTCAGCCTCGCCAGTCTCGACGGAGTATACGAGTTCCCTGAACTTGATAGCTTTGGCTTGGATAGCGCCATCGATGTCCATAGCCTTGTCGTTGGGATCGCTGGGTGCATTTTCGGAGAGTGATTCGTAAAGTGTGAGTGGCAACTTGCCGGCCGCGGTGGCCTCTGTGTATGTGCTCTCCGGGTGGAACAATAGGAGGATGGGTGAGTCGTTGTATAGCTCGACTATGCGCGTATGTATCGGTAGGACGTGAGGACCGGGCCCGGAAGCTGCACCAAGCGTGAACCAACCAACCAAGTCTAGTTGAGGCTGTTTGTGCACTTCCTTGACTACAGAACGTCAGTATAGCAGCGGAACAGCGCTCGAGGGGTGTCAACTTACAGTCTTCGACACGCTTACTGAACCAGTCGTCATCAAGTGTGACCTCTCCATTTGCATTGCTGTTCAGCTTTGCTTGGAAAGCCACCTCCATTGTGACTTCTTGACCATTCTGAGCGCCTAGAATAGCTCCGACCACTGGCCCTGACTGCTGTCGTAATGTGTGTCGTGATATACAGTCTGATATTGTGAGGAGTACAAGCGGATGGAGTTGAACGATGGGGCTGGTGTCCGATGCACGGGAAGTCGAAAGCAGCGGGTTTTCTGCGGTTGTCGACATGGTTGCGATAATAGCCGACTTATGGGTGGAATTCGAGCGGCGAATACCGCAGGATAGTGGTTGTTTTGGAGCCTCGTAACGGTGAGCGGCGTTGAAGGCAACCGCGGGGAGCTTGCAATGAGCTCCGACTCGCCGCTCTGGGCCCCACTCTACCCCGCACGTGACCGCGCGTGTTGGTCGAGCTGCGGACTGTCACTTTCCAGTGTCTCCATCTCGACACAAGAAATCACCACATCGTCCATTATCACCTGCAACATCACCCAAGTAGGCTGCCTATTGCATGTCTCATAGAATTTACCGTGGTATTGCTGTCCCGAACGCCTATTGCATTACTGCTGTTTTATGTACGCTGGCAAACGATGGTATCTCAAAATGCTCCAGCTTCTAAAGTCACTCAAACGCCAAACTCCAACCTGTTGTATCCATCTTGATGACTGAGAAGTCAAATCATGCCTCAACGAGAACTTTCAGTACAAGGTTTCCATCTTTGTCCGTGGTTTTTCCAGCAAGGTCAAAAGCCTCCTTCGCGGCAGCAAGACCCTTGAAGCGGTGGGTGATCATGTTCTCGAGACTCGGCAAGACACCCGATGAGATGATCTTGATTCCAGTCGCGTACGTATTCGCGTATCGGAAAATACCAATGATATCGACCTCTTTCAGATGAGATGCGGATATCGGTAAAGTCTGGATTGGAGTGCCCATCCCAACCATGATGAGCTTGCCACCTGGTCTGGTCGCCTGCCATGCATTAGAAGCCACTCGTCGGACTACGCAAAGACAACTTACAAACAGTCCAGCTTGCATGCAAACCTCCTTTCCAGTACAATCAAACGTCACGTCTGCACCTTCAAAGTCGACATCGTCCAGCGAAGCGACTTGCATGACATCTGCAGCGAGCTCCTTTGCGGAGCCGAACTGTCCCATCATCTCTGGATTTTGGCGCGATGGAACAACAAAGCCTTTGTGCGCAAAGCTGTTCCTCAGTGCGTATTCGATCCGGCCATGGTCGACGTCGACAATAACAACTGTCGTTGCGCCAGACATCTTAGCCATGGCAGCAGTAAGTAGACCAACAGTTCCGGCACCAAATACAATAGCTGTGTCACCCTGCTCGACGGCTGCTCTCCGTGTCGCATGAATAGCCACAGACAGCGGCTCGAGCAACGCAGCCGACTCCAAAGACACATGAGAAGGGAGTCTGAATAAGGTTGTCAGCTGAGGCTGTGCAGTCGTTCGGGTATGCAAGACATACTTGTGGCACCACTTTGCCGGGTGGTTTAGTCGTTCCTGGAGCGTACCCTGGAAGTGAGGTACTGACTTAGCGCTGCTTCGGAAGCGCATTGACGGACATAGATTGTATCGTCCTCTCTGACATGATCGGCAGTTGTCACAAGGCACGCCAACTTCCAGTGCCACGCGCTCACCGACTGAGAAGCCCTGCACACCAGGGCCGACGGCGACCACGACACCGGCCGACTCATGGCCCAGGCTCAGTGGTTGGACCGCCTGCAGGTCACCGTTGCGGAATTTGTTGTAGTACGATACATCGCTGCCGCACAAACCAGTCGCTTTGATAGCTATTTGAAGCTCACCAGGACTGGGGTCGGGGAGTGATCGAGTTTCCTATTCGTTCAGTCAACACGCTGTCTCAGACTGCCATGCAAACCCCCCACGAACAGCGGGCAGCGTGGGATGCGCGACGGAACGGCACGCTTACCAGCCTTAGATCCCGTGGCCCATGCAGGACACTTGCCACCACAGTCGAGGACTTTGAGTAGTGCCTCGCTGGGATTGGGTAAAGGTCGGCCAGTGCCGATGGAGCCATTACGAGAAAGGTGGGAGGGCAGTTAAAACAGTGTTGAAGGCGGCAGTTGTTGAGCACTACCCCACGGGAGAGCGTGGAGGCTGATATACCTGATGGTAGAAATCTACACTAACGGCTTCCAGGATCAATCACCTTTCCAGCTTCATCAACAACCTTTGCATTGGCGCGATAGGTGTCGTTGAGAGCAGAGAACCTAGGATCCACGTCACTTGCCGGACCGACCAACCTGGCTCAATGCACATGCATTACGATGCACACGGCGACTACCTGCCATGGAAACTCAAGACGCTCTTCTCTATCTTGTTCACGGCTTGTCTGTACTTGAAGTTAGATCGCCATTTCGACGAACCGGAAGTCTATGCGTCATATCCGCAGCAGCCTGTGATTGGATGGGCGTATCTTGACTCGTTTTCTACCGGATTAGCAGCCTTGACCCCCCGGGGCTGCATAACGGCTACGCTTCACATCACCCAGTTGTCATAGAATCGTGTCTGGAGTAGCAGCGATTCGAGGCGTGGCGCTCTAACAGGTGATGCAGTAGCGCCGTGGAACTATGATAAGGCAGGCTCGTCCCGTGGAATCGGCATCGACATCGTCTGCATGCAGCCACCGCTCTTCTCCAGCAGACGTGGAGCTGTACATGGGTGGTCTTGAGCAGCACGTCTTCTCTCGCCATCGTCTCGGCCGTCACAGCAGTGGGCAAATGTCGCGCCATCGCAACAGCGATATTCGTCAAGAGACAAACGAACTTTGATTGGAGTCGAAGAACGGCCTCAGTCATGCCGTACTTCTACTAGCCATGAAGATCCTCAACGGTGTAGGATGCCAGGGTTCCAGAGCACGTTTCTACCCATAGTACTGTACATACCTTAGCGGATCCTTCGGCAGTACTCAGATGGTACATGTTCTGTCCAATCTCGGGTGACAGTGCTGCACGCCTCGCGGCATTTCAACCGAGTAGCAGCCAATCGTCGGTAGTGTTCGATGTTTACCAAAACCCCGGGATCATGATCAAGCACATGCTTATCAGCTTCGGATTATGACACAACAGTGCTTGCCAATGCAATTCCTACTGGGCGAGAACGCAGAGACGTACGATTGACATGTGTCTTTTCAAGACAATCGCCTGCGAGATGATGCATGGTAATACCGTGGAATGTGCTGCTCGATCCATGCACACAGGACATGACGATCATATGAAACAGATGACGGCCTTGGGACATCCACAGAAACAGATCTTCGGTGCGCAATCTATCGAGAGTGGCGCTGACAGATTCGTCCGTCGTGCAAATGTGGCAGCGGCACGGCAAAAGCAATAAAGTGAGGCCAGCCGACAGATGCACGCTGCATGGCACAAGACTGAATGGTTCCGGGAACGAGGCGCGATTTGGGCGGACTGGAGCCAGGGTCCACAGCACCACAGCTTTACTTCAACGTCACAAGCTGCATCGAATCAACAACTGCTGCGGCAGTCCGATGTTTACGAGGAACGATTACATATTGACAGCACATGCTAGATACGACGCGCATTATCATCTACCTACATGCATCACAATCGTTGCCTTCACGATTAGCGTTACGAGTCGACCAAAGTACATCGGGACAGACCCGACTGACAGACTCGGCACGGCCTAACTAATGCACCATTCACCCAAAGCAGTAATCGTCCAGCTACGCGTCCAGGGGCTGTCCTCGGCTGCTCAGGTACAGAGCAGCAGCACACCCTCAGCAACAGCCGGGTCAAGCCTCCGTCATCGCTCATTGACCATGTACCACGCGGCGGTGAACGGAGCCGTCTCCTCGACTAACACCCTGCCAGCAAAGCAGCGCGCGCGGCCTTGACCATGCACTTTCATCGCCAGAGGCGAAGCGAAGGCGGTCTACGGAACACAAGGTTCCCTATCCCAGCATCCTTCGTGCGCCGTACCGCATCGAGCATCGGAGTGCTGCTTCCGCCCCTGCCACCTCTATCAAATCCACCAATGCGCCCACGGAGCCTCCGTTCACCCGTCAGCGAGCCACGAGGTGCCGTGCAATTGTGCCACTGGCTATACATTCTTCCGTGCCGGTACAATTCACGTCGGATCCGCATTCGCTATCTGCGATAAGCGCCGCACCGGCTGTATGTACAGTACTCACAACGCGGCGCCTCAAGCCATCACAAGCGAAGCACAAGCGAAGCGCGCAGCTCCGCGCAATATCTGGGTACGAGTAGCTCGCAGCGCAATCAACTGTAGAACAATGTAGAAACGGCTTTCCAACAACCGGCGTCGCTACCCCGGCCGCCGCGGGCCCTCCCGCTGTCACCGCCGCCACAACGCCACCCTGCCCACCCTCACAACGCGCTCTTCGCCCGCACCAGACCCTCCTTCTCCAACCACCCGCGAATCAGCGCATTCACCTCCGCCGGCTTCTGCGTCAGCGCCCAGTGAGTGGCCGCGACCTCGGCGCGCGTGAGGCGCGGAATCAGGCTGTCCATGCTAGCCGACATCTCGGGCTTGAGGACCGAGTCGTAGGCGGCCTGGATGAAGAGGACGGGCTGGTGCAGGGTCTTCTTGGCGAGGAGCGCCTGGTCTTCTTCCCAGTTTGTGTAGCGCTGGCGGTACCAGTTGAGGGTTGGGTGGATGCCGTGGATGGCGTATTGTTGGACGTAGAAGTCGAGGGTCTGGGGGCGTTAGATGTGCTGTGGAGTGGAGTGGAGTGGAGTAAAGCAAAGTGACGTGAAATGCTGTGGGTGAAATGCTGTGGGTGAAATGCTGTGGGTGAAATGCTGTGGGTGAAATGCCGTGCGTGAAATGATGTGGGTGAAATGCCGTGCGTGACATGCCGTGCGTGAAATGCAGCGGGTGAACTGAAATGAAATCAAAGAACAACATACCTCCCCATTCAACACCCGGCTCTCCCCCACCCGCCCCAACCCCTCCACATCAATCCCCTTGAGCGGGTCGAACACCACCTCCCCCCCCGGCCCCCGCGCCCCATACACGCCCTTGAGGAACTGCCGTATGGCCGCCGCGTCCGTGACGCTCTTCTCGATCTCGCCCGACGCGAGGTGGATCTGGTACGCGAACTGCGGCAGCGGGCCGCTGACGAGCTGCTCGGTGGAGATGTAGTGCTTGTGGGGCGCGGTGTAGGGCGCTGGGGGTGGGTGTTAGCGTGGGTAGGGTACGTGAGTAGGGTACGTGAGTAGGGTATGTGAGTAGGGTACGTGAGTAGGGTACGTGAGTAGTATATGTGAGTAGGGCACGTGTGTACATGACGGGATGGGAGGGGGGACGTACTGCACACGGAGAACACATGGGTGATGAGCTGCGGGTAGTACGCTGCGGCGCGCCAGACTACGGAGCCGCCCCTGCGTCCTGTCAGTATCGCATTCACCGTCTCTCTCTTTCACTCTTGTTCTTCTCTCGCGATGGCTCGTGTGGTAGCAAAGAGTGGAAGGGGACGCACCAGTCGTGGCCGCCCAGGATGATGCGCGGCGCGTTTACTTCCTTCGCGAGCGCGGCGATATCATCCGAGGCGCGTTTCAGCCCGTAGAGGGTTATAGAGTTTGGCGGGACCTGGGGCGCGTCCTGGGGGTGTCAGTATCCGATCGTGTCCTTTCGCGTGCGCGGTCGACGAGACGCGGGATGTCGTCTGGTGCACCCAGCTTTTGTCGTCCCGCGTCCCAGCACAGAAGCAAAACATGATCATGAGCACGGATTCTTGATGGCCGCGGTGCGAGTAAGGTGGTGTAGAGGATGCAAACTCACCGTCCCCCCGTACCCCATCATGTCCGGCGCGACAACCCTGAACCCAAGGCCCAGCAGCATGGGGATCTGGTAGCGCCAGCCGATCGAGAGATCGGGCCATCCGTGGATCTGTCGTGATTGAATTAGCATCTGTCATCTTGAATCGGCTCAGCTGTCCCTCTCTTCCTCTCTTCCTCTCTTCCTCTTCCTCTCCCTAATACCGAGCACTAATACATCCACACACGCCTTGAACCACCAGAAGTAATCCTCCCATCCACCTCGAACCCCATACTCGCTGTCCACACATACCAAAACAACAGTGTCGCTCCACTTCCCCCCCTCGGGCTCGGCGTACAGGTAGTGGTACTTCACGCCATTGAGCACGGCGTAGCGGTGCTGCACACGCGGATCGTCGCCGGGGCGGATCGAATCGACTGGCATTGCGTTTCCTGCGTGGACTGCGACGCGGGATGGACGGTGGGGTGGGATTCGGGGTTGGCGTGTGGGTGGGCCTCCGACCGGGCTTGAAGGTTCAGGATTTTGTATGTCTTTTGCAGTACTGCTTCGCCAGTCTTTATTTCGTATGGGGCTGCATAGTACGAGTGCGTTCAATGGGTTGGTGTAATGTTGCTGGCAACGGGCGGCGCGTCGAGTCGCGAGAGTCGCGAGCTGCGCCGAGGTGCCGAGGTGTGTGCGGTGCGGTGTGGGGTAGCTCCAAGCTCGACGGCGATCAGCAACGACACCGAAAACGGGCGGGGCGCTTCGACTAATCCCACGTGGCAATTGAATGGCCTGCGGGATACAGATGCTAGTGGCTTCACGGACAGACATAGGGTTGTTTCACGTGATGGCTGGCAGGGTTTTGAGGCTGTTGAAGCACGCCGATTGAATATGGCATGTGCTGGTGGCTTTTGGATAGCGCTATTTTGGGTCTGCGCGCAGGAGTGTGGAGGTATAGCGAGCTTTGATGCTCGTTGTAGGCTTCTACACGCCGTCCTCATCCTTTTTATGCCTCCGTTCTCACACCCACCGCCGTGAAGACATGTTTCGTGTGTTTGGTGCTGACAACCTCCTAGCAAGCCTGCGCACCAGGGTATGCGGTCCACGTGGGACGTTCGCCAAGTGTCTGCGTTTGCCTGCGGACGCCGCTGGTATGTAGCTGTTGCCAGTCTCGAGGGGTGGGTATAGGCCGTGGGTGTGATGTGGTGTGTAGAGCGCGCCATGCGTACTGTCTGTCCTCGTAGATCATCAGTGAGCCGGTGTCTTCGCGCCTTGTCTTGGACCAAGTTGATATATCCCTCGCGACTTCCTGACCGTGATCGAAGCCGGGAGTTCGGATAGGACCGGGTCCTTGCATGGACCGAAGATATTGTCCTTGGATACTGTCTCCAGATATTACCTAGGATATCGTTCTAGGATATCGTTCTAGGATATCGTCCAACGTTAATGTCAGCTACTAGGGCGTCTAGTAAATAACAGTATCCTCAGCAGCCTCGACGACTTCCTCGTCCGCGTCCTTGGTGGGCTCGTCGGCAGCGTCGGGTTCCGCCGTCATGTCCGTGTCTGCAGGCTGTGGTGCCGCGGGCTCTGCGTCGTCGCGCATCTCCTGGTCTTGCATAGGAGCGTCCGCCCCGTGTGCCGCCTCTCTCGCAGGCGCCGCGTCTCCCACATTGGCCCCCCGATACGTCCACTCATCCGGGCTCGCGCGCTTCTCCCGCGCCCGCTCGGCCTCCTCGCGCGCCTCAAACTCCTCCCTCTCGCGCCGCACCACCTCCCGCGCCTCCGCCACCTGCGCCTCGACACACGCCTCCTCCTCCTTACTAATCTCCCACGGCCGATAATACAACCGCGGCTCGGCCTTGGTGCACAGAAACCGCGCCTGGAGCAGCAAGCTCTCGTGTCTTGCTTTGATCTACTTGCGTCAGCGTCGCGTCTCCACACTTTACACGTTTGTTGTTACGCACCGCCAGCCGCTCAAAGCGCCTCGTCTCGACCCCGCGTTGCACCGCGCGCGCCGCCAGCCGCTCCGCCTTGCGCGCCGCACTCTCCGCGTCGTCGTGGCGCCGCTGCGCAAACTGCCGCTTCTCGATCTCCGCGCGGCGCTGCTGGCCCGCGGACGAGGGGTTCTGGGCCAGCGCGCCGAGCACGGCGCCGAAGAGGCGGCGCTCGCGGCCGCGTTCTCTGCGCTTCGGGGGCGCGGGCGGCGGGGACGTGCTGGTGGGGCGCGGGCGCTTTGTCGCTGTGGACGCGGGCGGGGAGGGGTGCGGCGGCGCGTCGTCGGCGTCGGGCAGCACGACGGCGGAGGCGATGGGGCCGCTCATGGTGGGTGGGGTGAAGGTGGTGGGTGTGGGTGTGGAAGCTTCGAGCTTGGGCGCGGCGCTAGGGAGTCCGCTTTCACGACTGCCATACAATAACGCGGCGGCGCTTGGCGACTTTCTCAACTACACCACTTCGCCGCAGCTTCCTCTCGCACCGCGCAAGCTCCACGCGCCCGCACTCGAATACTCACCGCGCATCGCTTTCTCACGAGCCAGACTCAATAACACTCTCCGACTCAGCAACACACTCCACCTCACCATGTCCCGCCACCACCCGTAAGCCTCCCCCTCCTCCACCGCCACCTCCCCCTCCCCCTCCCCCTCCCCCTCCCCCTTCTCCCCCACTAACACCCCCCAGCGACCTAGTAAAATGCCTCAAACAACCCGGCACCTCCCTCGGCCGCCTGTGCGAAAAATGCGACGGCAAATGCCCCGTATGCGACTCGTACGTGCGGCCCACCACACTGGCGCGCATCTGCGACGAGTGCGCGTTCGGCAACTACGCGAACAAATGTGTTGTGTGCGGCGGCGAAGGCATCAGCGATGCGTTTTATTGCTTCGAGTGTACGAGGGTCGAGAGGGATCGGGATGGGTGTCCGAAGATTGTGAATTTGGGGTCTAGTAGGACGGATTTGTTTTATCAGAAGAAGGGGTTTCGGAATTCTTGAGTCTGGGCTGGGGGGTTTGAGGTGGAGGGGATGGGGATGGGGATGGGAGAGAGGGTTCTTAGACTTCGGGTGGTAGGATGGGAGGAGAGAGAAGGAGGGCATAAAAGGCGTTCGGCGTAGGCGTAGGCGCTCAGATGATTTCGGATTCACAGCGGGGATGGAACGGCATGTGTACGCAGTGCACGGCGCTCACGGCGAAAAGTTTACTCAGAATGGATACTAAATACTAGACACCAGTCTCCCCATGCTGCACCGTGAACAACCCAACGGGGACAGATGCTCTCGCCAGCTGCCTTATCGCAATGCCTTCCAACAGTCCCTCGGCCATAGACATAGATATGCCGCTCATCAGCAACAATAAGACGTCCACACCACAATCATACAAGCAGCCAAGACATTACTTGCATGCAGTACACATATTACAACACTATGGATATCGCGACAACGGAACAAACGGGGGTATAGCGGAGCCTGACGCTGGCAATCTGGTGGTACACGGAACTTACAACTCCAACACCTCGTCCTCGACCGCGGTCTTGGGGGCGTTGTCTACAAGCACCCAGTCGTCTTCAATTTGCACGTCCTTCACCTCTTTCGCATCTTTAGTGTCCGTCTTCACATCCTTACCGTCTGTCTTCGCCTCCGCCACCCCCACCTCGCCCAGCATAAAGCGCCCAAAATACAGCACCGCATCCAGCATCTCCTCACCCGTCGGTGCGATATTCTCCTTGGGGAGCAAGAACCCATAGCTGCCCGTATCGCGCAGCTTCACCTGGAACGCATACTTGACTTTCAACTCATGATGGAACCAGTCTAGGGCAGAGCCGCCGCTGGCCTCGATGCGCGGCAGCACCTTGCGGTCGCGTTTCCCGCTGAGCAGCACGTTGCCCTCACACGCCGAGGCGACCTTGTAGGCGTGGCCCTTGCGGCTGATGCGGATGGCCTTGGCCAGGCCCATGGCGAGCTCCTCGAGGTCTTCGAGGGCGGGCGGGTCGTCGGCGCAGGAGTACGAGTAGGGGTACAGGATCTGCTGGGAGTACGAATGCAGGTCGAGGAAGCCGACAAAGTGGGTGTTGAGGGCGGATTCGTTGCGGGCCCAGGCGGCGAAGGAGGCGGACTCGGCGGCGGCAAAGGGGGCGCTGCCGGCGTACGACTCGCTGCAGGGGTTGGTGCGCAGGGCGTCGCCGTCCCACTGGAAGCCGTAGCTGCGGTCGAGGTCGATGCCGTTGCAGAAGCGCAGCGGGGTTTCCTGGCGGTTCTTGCGCCACAGGCGGTCCGACTCCCACGAGTAGACGTAGCCGTCCGGGTTGAGGGTGGGGACGAGGACAAAGTCGAACTCCTCGAGCAGGCGGGTGATCTCGCGGTCCTTGCCGTAGGCGTTGATGAGGTTCCAGGCGACGTAGTTGACGGTGCTGGTGGAGATCCACTCGCGGGCGTGCGAGCCGGCGGTGATGAGCACCGTCTTGCGCGGGGCGGGGGCGTCGTTGTTGGTGGGGTGGACGCCGACGCGCAGGGCGGGGATGTCGCGGCCCTCGGAGGTGGTGCCGACGGTGATGCGGCGCACGTGGGTGGTGAACATGGAGGCCATCAGCTTCATCCACGGGTCGATGACGGACAGCGGCTGGTAGTCCTGCAGGAACGGGTGGCCCTTGCTGCGGGGCGCGCGGAGGGAGGGGGCGAAGGCGTCGTCCTGGTGCGACTGTGTGGCCGAGGTGGTGGGGTACGAGTCGAAGACGGCCTGGGCGAGGTCGAGGTCCTGCATCAGCGGCTGGTGGGCGTGCCTGAGCGAGTGCGGCAGGAGGCCGAGCAGCGAGGGGACCTGTCTGTCAGTGGCGGCCAGGCAGAGACGACGGGCAACTCACCACGTCCTTTGCGACGCGGATATCGGCCCAGTCCTCATTGAACTCCCACACGTCGAGGAACAGGACGTCGGCCGCGTCGGCCAGCGCGTGTGCGTCGGCGGCAGAGCTGATGGTGAAGCGCAGCACGACGTCCTCGCCATAGCGGGCCACGAACGGCTCGGTGGCGGCGGGCAGGATGCGGCCATTGTGCTCAGCACTCTCCGGGCGCGGCAGGCTCCATATGCGGCGGATGATGGCGTCGGACAGGCGGCGCCAGGACGGCGGCGTGCGGCTGGGCCGGGAGGCGGGCGCGTCGCGGTGGTCGTGCGGGGCGGCGGCGGCGAGTGGTAGTAGCAGGCCTAGCAAGGCGAGCGAGTGGGCGCGCATGGCGGCGAGGGCAGAGCGAGCATGTGCGGGCGGCGGGCGGCGGGCATGCGCTGGAGACGTGGCCAGGTAGAGGGTGGCCGGGCAGAGGTCAGCATGCGCTGTCGCTGTCGAGAGGGCGGCGGGCGACGAACGGGCTCTATGGGCGATGCAGGATAGATTCAGGGCTAGAAGCCCGCGCTGCTTCTGGGCGACTCCACAGACGCAGGCAGCCACGGGCGACGATCCAGCCAGCCGCGCCCCCGGCTTGGTGCAGTGCACAGCTCCGTAGCATGCGCTGTGTCCGCGCCGTGTCCGCGCGCTGAGCCTGACTGCTGTCTGACTGCTTGCCCCGGCTTGTGTCTTGCCGCTCACTGTGTGCACTGTCTGTTGTCTGCGCTGTCTGTCTGCACTGTCTGCCTGCACTGTCTGTCTGCACTGTCTGCACTGTCTGCACTGTCTCGCACGCCCTGCACCGCCTGATCCGTCTGCCTGCCTGCCTACACGCCCACCCGCTCGCGCCTCCTGGCCATCCTCGCACCTCGACCTCGCACCTCGACCTCGCACTCGCACCATCCTCCGCCCCACGCCGCCGCCCGTCCTCCTGCTGCTTGCCATGTGCTGCGCTGAGACGACGTGAGCCCCGCGACAATGCGGCTTCGCCCCGGCCGCAGCGAGCACGAACTGCTCAAACGCCGATCGACGCTCGACCCAGCGGGCCTGTTTCGCCGCAGCGAGAAGGCCGACAGCGACAGCTCCGAGCTGGCCCCCGCGCGCGGCGCCGTTTCTGCAGACGGCGGTCGCCCCGATCCGAGCCATGTGCGCCCGTCCGTCTCGCGCGACTCCCACGACATTGCAGCGTCGCCAAAAGCGCCCGCCTCGCGCCGCTTTTCGATGCTGCGCTTCCGCCATGCCTCCGACTCGCAGCTGTCGACCACCGCCAAGGAGCACGCCGACCGCGATGCGCCGCCTGTCCCGTCCGTGCCCGCCAGCGCCGGCGAGTGCAACGAGCGTAGGCTGTCCGCAGGAGACGAGACGTGGACGTGACTGACAAGCCCAGCGCCCGCCATCATCACCACCCCCGCCGACCTTCATGGACCCATTGCCTGTCGCCGACCCCGACCCCGAGCCGCCGCGCCGCCGCCGCCTGCAGGCCTTCACCCTGCGCCGCCGCAGCTTCGATCCCGCGACCGTCGACCGCCCGGGCGGCCTGCTGCGCAAGTCCATGGACCGCAAGCGCAAGCAGAGCAAGCTCGACCTGCGCGGGGACGCCGACGTCGCCCGCGCCTCCACCAGCCACGACCAGTCCGAGGCCCGCGACTTCGCCGACAGCGCCGCCCTGGCCCCGCCCTCGCACCGCGCCTCCGAGTCGTCGCGCTCTGACGGCTCCTCGGGCGGCCATGTCTCGTTCGAGACCAACACGCGCCCGGCCCCGCAGCGCATCGCGTCGACGCGCTTCGCCTTTGGCCGCCGCAAGCAGCGCGCCTCGCTGTTCCCGCTGCCCATGAAGATCGAGCCGCCGCAGTTCCCAGACACGGCCCCCGCAACCCCGCGCCCCTCCACCGGCTGCGCCAGCTCGCCTACTGCCAGCCCGCCCCTGACTGCTCGCCGCTACACCGCCGACGATGGCGCCCACACCTCGCCGCTGCTCTCGTCCTCGCAGGTCGCCCTGGCCGCGAACTCGCTGGGCCTCGCCTCGCCCACCCGCGGCTCGCTCTACCGCAACGACTCGTCGCGCTCTGCCCACTCTGCCCGCTCCTCGCCGCAGCCCCTGAAGCGCATCGGCCTGCGCGGCCGCTCGTCGACCATGGGCTCGCTGGGTGGCATGTCCGACGACAACCCCACCCAGACCCCGCCCAACGGCCTCAGCGGCCGCACCTCGACCTCGACGACTGCTGGCCGCAGCAGCTTCAGCAATCTGTTCAGTCTGGGAAGATTCCGTCAGAACGATCTGCACCCGTCGAGACATGGCTCCCCCGCTCACAACTACGCAGGCACCTCCGCCTCGTCGCACCAGAACTCGCTCAGCATCAGCAGGGAGACGCTGGTCATGCCCGAGCGCGTCGAAGGCGAGACCCCCGGCCGCTATCTCGAGCGCATTGAAGCCAACAACGTCGACAAGAGCGTCATCGCCAGCTTTCTGAGCAAGACCGAAGACGCCTTCCTGCTGTCCGTGCTGCGGAGCTACATGCGCAGGTTTGCCTTCTTCGGCGATCCCATCGACATGGCCATCCGCAAGCTGCTCATGCAGATCGAGCTGCCCAAGGAAACCCAGCAGATCGACCGAGTCTTGCAGGGCTTTGCCGACCGCTACCACGAGTGCAACCCCGGCATCTACCTCAACACTGGTAAGCAGTGTCTCTTGCTTGACATCACGTGCTAACAGCTGCAGACAAAGCATACTTCATCTCCTTCTCCATCATCATTCTGCACACCGACTTCTTCAACAAGAACAACAAGCGCAAGATGCAACGGCCGGACTACATCAAGAACTCGTCGTGCGAGGGCGTGTCGGATGACGTTCTCGGCTGCATCTACGACAACATTGTCTACACGCCGTTTATCCACATTGAAGACGAGGTCGATTTAAAAAACATCTCGTCCAAGAAGAGTCGGAGAACAGCCGTGCTCAAGGGCCCGAACGACCCTGCACGGAAAGCAAAGAGGGAGCCCATCGATCCCTACACGCTGATCTTTGAGGGAAAGCTGGACGTCCTCCGGCCTACCATCAAGGACGTTATGAATTTGGATGACCCATACAACTACCTTGGAACCGCCGCCACGCTTGACACCAAGAACCTCTACAAATCGTTCACTAGATACGGCGTCATCCAGATTGTCTCGTCACGCTCCCGACCGGAAGCCTTTATGTCGGAAGCCGCCCAGGAGAACCCATTCGGGACGTCGGTCGGTATTGTTGAGATGCCTGTGACCAAGGTCGGCATCCTGTGGAGAAAAGACCCGAAGCGCAAGAAGGCACGCTCCCCGTGGCAGGAGTGGGGGGCTGTCCTCACACGATCCGGCCTCTCGCTGTTCCGTAACAGCAGTTGGGCCAAGAACCTCATGACGCAGCACGAGCAGCACGTGAAGCATGGCGAGACCGGGCCTGCGGTCTTCTCGCCCGCTCTTTCCGAGTTCAAGCAGGACCATATGATACCCATGGACGGAGCGGTTGCTTTGGTCGACAACACCTACAAGAGACACAAGAACGCCTTCTCCATGTGCTCCAAGATCGGAGAAGAGACATTCCTGGCCGACAGCGAGCAGGACCTGAACGACTGGCTGGGCGTTCTCAACTACACCGCAGCCTTTGAAACGATGGGCGTCCGCTCAAGGGGCATGATCGGCGGGCTATACGAAGGCCAGAAGAACCGCGGAATCAGACGTCTGGATTCGTCTCAGTCTGGGAAATCCATGCCCTCGGCGACCGGGGAGGTGGTTGTTCAGAGCGGCAAGATCGACCACCAGTTCGCGCAGGAGGTGGTAACTGCAAGGAGAGAAACCATGCAGGCTCGCATCTCAGACGCCGAGGACAAGCTTGCGGATGCGATCAAGGAGCTCGAGGCACGCTTACGTGATGCCAGGCATTTGCAGATCCTGGCGCCAATCCAGCCAAAGACGCGCGAGCTTGTCATCCACGCAGCTGGACGTCTGTCGGCGAGGCTGAAGTGGTCGCGCGTCGAGATCTGGCGTATGAAGTGCCACCGCGACATCCTCGCACACGAGCTGGACGACGAGAAACAGAGTGCGACAGAAACACAAGCGCGGAATGACAAGATCGCCGAGTCTTCGCAACCGCCACCGCCCGTCTCCAACGGCAAGGCGTCCAAGATCGCTGGCCTTGCGCGTCTCGCTTCCAAAACAAGCTCCCTGACGAGCAGCCACAGGCCGCCACACTCTCCAGAGGGGTCCACCGCGCGTCCGACCACAAAGTCTTCTGCCAACACTGAGATGGACGAGGCTGTGTTCAAGACGCCTCCTGAGACGTCTCGCCAGACAAGCCCTACGTTTCCCTCAGGCTCCTACAGTGTGCCACCGATCTCGTTCAGTCCGCCTGCCTCCGATCGCCGCAGCTCCATGGCGAGCAGCTCCATGCAGTCTCCGAAGATGTACCCAGCTGACAAGCGGCCGTCGGTATCTACCTTTGATGATGGCACGATTGGTTCTGATGATGAGTCTGATGACGATGTTAGATATGCTACACCGCCCCTGATCGAATCGGATGCAGTACACCCGAAGACGGCAGAACCCACAGACGGTGCTGCCGAGTCGGACGCTGAGCTCAGTCTTGCAGCGCATGCTGGCTCTCCTGCATCGCGCACAAAGCATAGACGCAGCTTGCACCGCACACTTCGAGACTCACACGGCGGCACGTCGCACCGCCGCAGTCACAAGGGCCGCGACTCAGCTTCGACCATCACCAGCGAAGGAGCGTCGGAGAGCGAAGGCCTGAACCGGAGCAAGGGCAGCTTCACCGTGCACGGCAAGAAGGCATCTGTGATCCAGTTCGGGCCTGATTGGCACAATTCAACCGCCGAAGAAAGGCTAAAGGCCAAGAAGCAGCTCCAGGAAGCCCAGGAGCTGGCCTCCGCCGACGAGCGAGACGGCAGCGTCAGCGACGGCACTGTCGTCAGCCCGGTAGAAAGACCAGACGACGCACCGCGCCGCAAACTGTCGTCCGGCCAGGTCAAGCAACGGCACGTCTCCGCCCAGACCATCACCCCCGACAACTTCCACCAGTCGCTGGAATACCAGGACGCCTCGGACGGCGACTCTGAGCTGAGCGACGTCGCCGAGGAGCGGACAAGCAAAGACGGCGAGGAGCGAACGAGCAAGGACGGCGAGCCGCTCGACGCCTCGCCCCTCGACACCTCGCACCTCGACACCACGCCCGAAATCGCAGCAATCCCAACCGCAGACCCAGCACCGCCGCCCGACCCCACCAAGCTCGCCGCCGAACACACCGAGAGCCTCGCCCCCAGCCCCGACCCCGAACAAGTCAAGGCCACATAACCCTGCCATCGTACACGCGCCATACCATTTTCATTTGTGTTTGTCTGTCTGCATCTCCCGGATCTCGAAAAGCGGTTCCTCATCTCGTTGTTCTCTCGTCGCATTTGCATGCACCGCACTGCACTGAACGCATGACATGCATGGCTGCAAGCGAGTTTTGATTTCTTTACATATTGTGCTTTTTTTGCCGTGCCTTCTCTGGGTCTTCTCTGTCGCCGGCAAGCGGGCTGGCACGTCGCGTCGCATCGCATCACGGCTCAAGCACAACCTCGTACACGCCTTTTTTCTTCTTCTTGGCTTTCCTCAAACTTCCCTTTTTTTCGTTTTCGTGGTCGAGGGCGTCGATGCTAAGACGCGGTGTATCTATAGATGGGGTGTGGGGCGTTTGGGCGCGCTGGTGTGCTGTGCGGTGCGTTGCGTTGCGTTGGTTGGATTGAATGGGCGGATGGTGTGGGTGCGCATGGACATGGGGTATCAAGTAACCAGGGAGCTGGGCCGTCTGCATAGTGTTGTGTCGGGGTGAGTAGATTAGTAACGTGATTGTTCAAAGGACTTTGGCTGCTGTGGTGACGGTGATGTGGGGACGGTGTGTGGTGGCTGTAGTGTCTGCGGTACTACAGTCCGCCGTATGTCATTGGTATAATGCACTAACGCCGCGCTATACAACCGCAACACTACGTTTACAAGAACAACACTCTCCTATTTACAACACCTCTCCGCAAAAATGCCAGGCGAGTTCCGCGTCGAGGAAGCCGACCCGGCCGACTTCCCAGCCCTCGCCGCCATCGTCGCAACCTGCTTCCAGTCCATGCCCGTCGAAGCCCTCACCACCGGCCCCCCCACCCCATCCAACCTCTCCGCCCTCGCCGCCCGCTACCTGCACGCCCACCATCTACACCAGGCCCACGCCACCGTCCCCGCGTTCCTAAAATGCGTCTACACTGACCCCACCACCCGCGCGCAAACCATCGTAGCCACCGCCCAGTGGTACATCTACCCCCGCCAACGCACCGCTGAGGAAGTAAGCACCCCGCACTACCTCCTCAGCTGCGCCTGGATGCCCGACGGCCCGGACAAAGCCAAAGCAACGGCGTTCTACGCGCCCTTTCTCGCCGCCCGCAGGCGCTGGATGCGCGCGCGCCCGCACGGCGTGTTGATGTATCTGGCCGTGCTCCCGGCGTGGCGGCAGCGCGGCGCCGCGTCGCTGTGCGTGCAGTGGGGTCTCGAGCGCTGTGACGCGCTGGGTGTGCCTGCGTATCTTGAGGCGAGCGAGGCGGGGGTCCCGGTGTATGAGAAGCTGGGGTTCGAGGCTGTGGAGGTGGTGGAGTTTGAGTGGGAGGGTAAGGGGGGAAGGTGTCCGGTTATGATCAGGGGCGCTGGGGGGAGCGGGTGGGAGGGCGATGGCGAGGGGCGGGAGGGCGCGCTGGGGGAAGCGGATGGGTGACGGTGGGCTTGGGTGTGCGTGGTGTGTGTATACAGCACGTGATTATAGTTGGTGTCGAATCGCCAATCCGAGTCAGCAGGAGCTAGCTCACTAATGCTACCGAGTACCCTAGCTCCCGCCGGCCCCACCCAACTTCCTCCCCACATTTCAACGTCGCCGTCTCCGCTGTTTCTTGACAACGGATGACTGAGCGTGCGTCATGCAGCATTGCACTTTGACGCATGTGCATGCCGTGAAGCGGAGCCTAGTGCCCTGGTAGCTGCGTCGCCACACCCACGACTTTTCTGCTGTGCGTTGGGTGGGCATACTGTAGAGTGCCGAGGAGGTGACTAGCTACAATAGTACGGGGAGTCGCGTGGTGTACTTCCTCCCTCGCACTGTCGATCTGTACTCGAGCGATTGGTGAGGAGACATACAGTCCAGTGCGCCCGTAGCTCGATCCCATAGCTCAACCCCAGCTTTACCTCGGGGTCCGCGCCAGGGGAGGGGAAGCGGACCCACTTGGCCCCTCGGCGGCGTGCGCTGTGCGACGTGACGGCGGGCTCGGGTGCGGGACTGCGTCGGGGGAAGGGCGAGCGGGGTGGAGGGGAGGGGGTGTTTAAGACGCGAGGTGCCTGCACAGCATTTTTTTGTTTGCTGTTCCTGTTGATCGGCTTTGGGGTGTGGTTGTGTGTTATCATCCTCGTCCACGGCCTCGTCCTCGTCTTCGACCTCGTGCTTGCAGAGCACGGCTGCCGCCCGTACTCTCGCGTGTACATCTACATCCCTGAGCCCTCGGGTTTTCATCTACACCCCGCCGCTCACAGGTCCTGACTTCCTCGCCCCGCTACCACACCACACAACACTACACCACACCCTTGCACCCCCCCCCCCCGACACCATGGGCGTCAAACTCACCCCCGACGCCCCCCGCACCAATGCAGACCACACGCGCGCCAGCGTCGCGATCATCGGCGCCGGCATCTCGGGGATCTGCATGGCGATCGACCTGCTCACACGCAACAGCTGCGCCGACTTTGTGATCCTGGAGCAGTCATCGGGGGTTGGCGGCACGTGGCTGGACAACAAGTACCCCGGGTGCTGCTGCGATGTGTGGTCGGTGCTGTATTCGTTTTCGTTTGCGCAGAATGCCGGGTGGACGCGGGCGTATCCGGGGCAGGAGGAGATTTTGGTATGTACCTTCCACTCCTAGGAACGCGTTGGAGACGGGTGGTGTGGTGTTGGTGTTGATGTTGATACTGATATTGATATTGAATAGGAGTATCTCCGCAATGTGGCCAGCAAGTACCAGCTCTACAAGTATATCCGCTTCAACAGCAAAGTGCAGGCGGCGACGTGGGACGATGCGGGCGGCGTGTGGAAAGTCGACGTCGGCGTCACGGGCAGCAAGGATAAGGAGTTCTCGCCGGGCTACGTGCTCGAGGCGGATTTCCTGGTCTCGGCGGTCGGCCAGCTGAATCAGCCGCGGTATCCCCAGATCGAGGGCTTGGAGTCGTTTGAAGGCAAGGTCGTGCATAGTGCGCGCTGGGACTGGAGCTATGATCTCCAGGGGAAGAGCGTGGGGATCATTGGGAATGGTGAGTGTGGTGTACACGATAGGAGATGTCCACTGACCACGGTGAAGGTGCGACGGCGGCCCAGATCATCCCGGAGATTCTGCCTGTGGTCAAGGACCTCACGGTGTATCAACGCTCGCCCAACTGGGTCATCCCGCGCGACGACGCCCCCGTGCCGGCCTGGCAGCGCACACTGTACAGCTGGGTCCCGCCGCTGCGCTGGCGCAAGCGCGCTGCCATGATGGACTTCCGCGAGTCGTTCCACGCCGCCGTGACCGACGGCTCGTCCGCATTCGCCGACCTCCTGCGCACACTCTGCGGCGACATGATGCGGCGCCAGATCCCCGACCGCCCCGACCTCTGGGAGAAACTGACCCCAACCTACAACCCAGGCTGCAAACGCGTCATCATCTCCGACGACTACTACCCGGCCCTCGCGTCGCCCAAAACCACCCTCGAAACCACCGCCATCGCACGCATCACCCCCACCGGCATCGAAATGCGCGACGGCACCCACCACGCCCACGACACCCTCGTCCTCGCCACCGGCTTCCACACCACCACCTTCCTGGCCCCGCTGCACATCACCGGCCCCCACGGCGTCCCCCTGCCGCCCACAGCCCCCGAAGCCCTCTACGGCACCTCGATCCCGGGACTCCCCAATCTCGCGCTCTTCTACGGCCCCAACACAAACCTGGGCCACAACTCCATCATCCTGATGATCGAGGCACAGTCGCGCTACATCAACGGCCTGGTGTCCGCGGTGCTGGACGCGCGCCGCCGCGGCACCAGACTCAGCCTTATGCCCAAAGCACCGCGCACCCGCGCGTTCAACGCCGACATGCAGGCCGCGCTGCAAGAAAGCAGTTTCGCGGATAAGGGGTGCGGGTCGTGGTATAAAGACGCCGAGGGCCGGGTCGTGAACAATTGGTCGGGCACGGTGGTCGAGTACCAGGAGTTGGTGAGCAGGGTGCGGTGGGATGAGTTTGAGACCGTGGAGGGGGCGTGTGCGAGTGGTGTTGTGTTTGGGGGCAGGGAGGAGACGAAGGTTGGGAGGGTCAGGGAGGAGACGGTGGTGAGTAACACGGCGTTGGCGGTGGGCGCGCTGGGGGCGGTGGCGGCGGGGGCGGCGTGGTGGGCGGGGTTGGGGCGAAGGGTGAGGTTTGGGAGGTGAGGTGAGGATGTTGGTGGAATGATGAACGTTGGGTTTGCTCTGGAGCCGTGTTTTCGCCGTGTTTCTGTTCGTGTGCAAGGCAAGAAGGGGAGGTACAGTTAGACGGTGACCGATACAGGGCATACTGCTGTACGAACAATGAATCTTAAATCGTGTTCAGATACAGTCTCTACTTTACTACATGTCGCTATCAGTGCTTGTCCAATGTACCGACCCTCATTTCATGGAGCCGAGCTGCTGTAGAGGCTACCATTGGCTGTACATGTTCGGTTTGGCAGACGTTACAATTCAGGAGTCATCATGCAGGGCAAATCACAGAGCTAGTTGCCTTTCGTACCATGGTACGCATCTCAATGCTTCGTGATGAGGAATCCGCATATCGTGATAAGCGTTATAGAAGATGCAGTAGCAACGCGAAACCTTCTGACGTCAATTATGGCGGAAAGTAAGACCCGTATCGGTTGATCAATACGACTATGGTAATTCTACTGCTGAGCCACGAGCCTCAGACAGTCCTTCTCATCCTGCTCGAACCGCACCAGCACCTTCCGCTGATTATCCTTACTATCCGACCTCAACAACCTCTGCGTCTCGTCGTCAAAGCCATGCAGCAGCGTCGGCAGCGCCGATTCCTTCCACACCGGTATGCGCAGGCGACTCGACTCGATGATGGTCAGAAGCACATACACGATGCCCGCGATAAGCATGGACACAGGATACGCCAGATACGCCCAGTCGACGTGTACGTGCAGCACCCATTTCTGCAGCTCTCCGCGGTGGCGGTCCGGGGACGAGTTGCGGATCTGGTTTGTCAGACTGCGGGCGACGTTGTCGAATGTGGCGGTCAGGTCGGTCGAGTTCCACAGCGCGTCCAGGACGGCGGGCTGCGAGGTGTCGTCCCACGGCATGCCCATCATGCCCCATGTATGATCGAACTTGAAGCCGTCGAGATCCAGATCGCTGTCTTTGAGTTTGAAGCCTTCCTGTAGATTTGCTTTTTGCGTGTAGTCGATGAGGAAATCGATAGCGCTGAAGATGAAGGCGTGGGATACGTTGAACTCGCGTCGGACGTGCGATGGGAGACCTTGAGACTGTTCCGGAGGGATGAGTAACTGGAGATCTGTTCGGTCGATGCGCGCATCATACAGGCTGCTGCCCGAGCCCTCGGCCCAGGCCTCAGCACCTGGGTCAAAGTTCCAGGCATTGGCGTCGGGGGTGTACGAATCTGGGGCTCTGTTTGCCCATGAATTCAGTACACGCTCCTTGACTACGCCGTTCTCGCTTGTCGACTCATAGGCGTTCGCACAAAGGTATAACGCGCATTCCGTGGCTGTTGGGCTCGCATCTTCCCATTTGATACTGGAATCAAGCCAATTGTGCGGGGCTCTCATGACCGTGAATGCCATTAAAAGCGTCTCCATGTCCTGGAATGCTACGGTCCCTTTCGCATCTACTGTAGTGTTTGCCGTCATGTAGGTGCGCTTGGCGGTGTAATTCACCCCAGGCGTCTGGCCGTCCTCAAGCAGGCCTACGTAATTTCTGATATTTGCGTATGGTGTCTCAAATTTGATGTAGCTGCCATTGTATCCGTTATAATTCGATGGGATGTTTGTCCCGTTTGGGCCGTAGAACGCTTTGCGATCCAGACGGCTCGAGATATCGTTGCAAATACTGCAGACAGCAGCTGACGTGAAAACTGGCCATGTGCAATTACCAGTGCTGCACTCGGCACCAATTGCATCGTTGCGGAAGTTCGAGGTGTTCTGGAATCCGCTCCAGACAGAGCTTATGAAGCCAAAATCAGCTCGGCTGCTAGCAGCTACATACACAAGTCCGGTTTTCATGTCTCGCACTGCAGCTCCGTGGGTCTGCTTTATGGTGCCACTATTAATTCTGAACGACTGTCCAATAGTCGCGTCGGCATTCGACGCAATGTCGTCCAGCTGACCATGGGTACTGATGACTGCTTGGAGGAAGGGATCGAAAGCTATGGCGCCGACGGTGACAAGCGCCCCTAATGCCGCCCAGTGTCTGCTTCAGTGTAAGCTGGAGTCAGGCAGTCAAATGCGCATAGAATGCTAACCTGGCGCGCAGCCACACAAATAGGCGTGTGCCCCCCCACGGCCCTCGACTGGCTTCATCAAACCTCTCCCAGGCTACGAGGCTGTCTGGTTTCCGCCGTAACCAATTCCACTTTTGCTGTCCAATACACGCGCTAAGCGCGAAGGCAAGGGTGGTCCGCGCTAGCGTACCAAGGGCAGCAACTACTGTATTGAGCGTGACAGCTAATTTCCATGAGGAGAGTGACCTCCCGTTCTCGCGATGTAGGAGAGCAACAATAGAGACAATAGCGCCAGTACTGATGGTTATGGCAAAGATTTCAAGAATCCAAGAACTGATAGGAGCGCGGGTTGAGGAAAGTTGTTCGGATGAGTTGCGCTTCGTGGACTCTGATTCGAGATGGCTTGGCTCGTATGCTGTGGAAGATCGTGTTGGCGATGAATATCCAGGGACGGATACCAGAGGTTGATGGGGCAATGGACCGTAGCTGTTTTCATTGTGTGGTTCATAGGGCTGTCTCGTTCCAGGATGCCATCGAGGAGCATCATGCTCGGGACTATTGTGAGGAATAGTATAGGGCAGACTGCTGTAAGACGTCATGGCGGTAGAGGTGGCCGCCGATGCTTAGATCGTATTGATCCCGGAAGAGCTATCAGACATCTTATACTGTGTAAGTAGAGCCCCGCACTTGTGCGCAACATAGCTGGACGACGTGTATACTTAGCCTTGCTGCGGATGCGGGGATTAGTCGTAGCGCGTCGCTTTCGATTGGTAGAAGCCTGCAATCCGGGCGCAGTTAGGCGTCAGCCTCACGCCTGGATTGTAAGCCTTGCCCACGTCTGTCATCACCGGAAGTGCCTCTCTGGCTGTCGCGTATACATCTTGGTGGCATTGGCTGTGATTGAAATAGCCACTATCGTCGTACATCATAACGACCATTGTCACGTATTGCAGAGCAGTACGTTTTATGATGGCGCATCTGTGAATGTGGGAGGGGGCTGGAGTTGCTTAGCTGCATGTTGTACTTCGCACTAGTGAGATCCCCGAAGTCACCACTACTACCTGATCAGTGCACGTGCTCGTATGCTATTTTGGTCTTGATCATCGAACTTGGTTCAGTCAACGCTCACTGCCTTGCATAAGAGTAAAACCTTCAGAACTATCACTACAGGTGTACTTGTGGCACCATCGAGTACGCCTCGTCAAGATCAGCGAACAATATCGCGCTCGGCTACAAGACGCAGACAGTCGCTCTTCTCGTCATATCCGAATCTCACAACCGTCTCATTGGCTTTCATGCCAGCTGCTTGTGATTGCGCATTTCGAAGCAAACTCTGCGTTTCGCTGTCCAGACCGTGCAGCAGACTTGGAAGAGCCGACTCCTTCCATGCCGGAAGATGTAGTCGCGTGGATTCAACGATCGTGAGCAGAACGTAGACAATCCCGAGAGCTATCATGGCAGCGGGGAAAGCCAGATATGCCCAGCGTACGCGAACATGAGTCTCCCACTTCTGCGTCGTTCCTTCCACTTGGTTGATGTGCGAGGCGTTGGTGGCTGTCTTGCGTACCTGGTTCGTCAGGCTCCGTGCGACGTGATCGAAGGTCTCAGTGAGATTTTGAGATGCCCATAATGCGTTGACCAAGGGTCCCATGCGACCATCCCATGATGGGAAAGCCATCATCTGCCCTGTGTCTTTGGCTCCGGCGGTAAAAGTCTTCATGAACTCTGAAATGGTCCTTATAAATGCGTAAGATACGTTAAACGTCCGTGGTTCGATTCCCTCGCTCTCGCCTTCAGGAACCAACAGTCGAAGGTCTGTTCGCACAATGTTTCGATCATAGAGTATGTCACCCTTTTCGGCTAGGAAAGCGTCGACTTCAGGGCCTGTTTCAAAGATAGACGAGTTTAAGCTAGCTTTATAGGACTCTTTATCCCTCACAGCCCACGAGCTTAATACGGTTTCTTTGAGTTTGCCATCTCGGATCTCGGTTTGATACTTGTTCACACACAAGTAAAGGGCACACTCCGTGGCTATGGGTTTGGAATTGTTCCACGCTACCTCACCCTGCATCCACTCCTCTGCTGCTCTCATGATGACGAAGGATACTATCATGGTCTGTAGGTCCTGGAAGCTTGTCGTCGCAAGTGCGTCCAATGTTGTATTCGCTGTCAGGAGTGTGGCTTCCTGTCCCGATCGTTTACCACCCTCTGGACTCTCATATTCTTGAGTATTGGCATTCACCAGATTGGCGTATGGTAGTAGGAAGTTGGTGACATTTCCAGTGAACATCACATTAGTTGGACCAGGAACGGTACTTGACTTGTTGCCAGCTCCTCTGCTCACAGATACTTGATCGGAAAGATCGTTACAAGTGCTGCACATGGCTGCGGAGGTATAAGGGGCCCACGTACAGTTGCCTGTTGTACAAACACTGCTAACAACTTGTTCGTCGCGGTACCACGAGCTATCGTTACGGAACCCGTTGTAGACTGCACTGATTATACCGAAGTCAGGCTGAGCGGACGAGTCTCCGTTCAGTGTCAAGGTCCCAGCCGACGTAGTCCATCTGCTCTGGGCGACAGTCGAGATCTCCACGATGGTTCCAGCGTCAATGACAAGAGCTTGGGGAACATGGGCCACGGCAATGTCATCATCCAACTGTCCCTGTATAGATATCACGGCCTGGAGGAAGGGATCAAAAGCCACGGTACCGATGATGACCAAAGCGCCGAGGGCCGCCCAGTGTCTATGTCATTGTCAGGCTATCTCGAAACATGAAAGTAGAGAAGCTTACCTAGCTCGTAGCCAGATGAAGAGTCGAGTTGCACCCCATGGCCCTCGACTCGCCTCGTCGAATCGCTCCCACGCAACAAGTTGATCAGATCTCATGCGAAGCCAATTCCACTTTTGCTGTCCCACGCAGGCACTCAATGCAAATGCTAGCGTGGTCCTGGCCAAAGTGCCGAGGGCGGCAATAACTGTATTCAGTGTTATAGCGAGCCTCCATTCTGTGAGACGTTTGCCGTCCTCGCGCCTTAAGACCAGAATTATCGCCAGCAGGGCACCGAGACTGACCGTTACAGCGAAGAGCTCAAATCCCCATGACAGAAGTGTTGCTCGTAAAGCTGGATTTGGTTTGGCTGACTCTGGATGCGTTAAACTTTGATCATGCTGAGAGGTCAGCGAGTTTACGGAGGCCACAGCTGTTTTTGTCGCCTTCGACCCTGGGTTTGTGATGCTCGACACCGGCGAATTCGATTCCGGTATATTGCCTTGATAAGATGTATAGCTGTTATCTTGTGCGAGATAAGGGCTCACGTATGGCGCAGGTGGCTGCGGTGTGAATCGTTCATATCGCTCTGGTACCTGCTGCTGGAACCTCCCGAGCTCGTATCGATCATTAGTTTGCCCCTCTCCCGCGGGCTGCACAGGCAGTCGGGTATACTGAGACGCCATGGATAGCGGGTCGATGTGATCTGAGTGCAAGCAGTGACGCCTGAAATGTGCAATGTTGATCAGTGGGCTGAGTCAGAATTTGGCCCCCAAGCAAGGCATCAGCCTCGTGCGGGGCTGCTTGTACCGTACGATCATTGGCCTGCGATCATCACTCGTGAAACCGCATGGCGCTGCGAGGCGGGTGACTGAAGTATCACATATGTACCTAAATAAGCCATCGCAGCGAGCTAACCTTGTTTAGAATCACGCCAAATGGCATTGACTCTTAGAAGAGTGGTAGCGCATACTTCTCCTACGATGGAGTTTTGTACATCATGATCTCGTGAAGTTGTATACATAGGTAATCTTCAATGGCACTTCGAGTCTGACGAAGTACTAGGAGAGTCTGAGAATTTGGTAGGCCCCGTTGGATGCGACGGGCCCTAAGACTCCTCTCTGTTGGCCCCAAGGTGGACTAGCGCTCTGAAAACTTACCCGACAACCCGTCCGCTGTCTAAATAGTACAACATGTATTGTGCTGAGATTCTTTCTCTGCACCTACTTACGGATCAGATATTCCAATGCAATAGAAAATGGTGTTGACATTCCGATGAGCGACCAGAAAGTTTCTCCAACAAGACAATGCACTTCTCAAGTATTCCTCTGTACATCGGAGAAGGTAAACCTGAAGCGGTACTCGAACAATACCTCAGTGCAGATGACAAGGCAATGAACTTTGACTGACAGGAAGGAGGATATTCAAAACGAAAATGTCGATGAGTAGAGCTCGACAGGTCTGGGGCGCTGTGCAGATGTAGGCGCTGAACCTCAGTTGTTTCCCACCGTGTGTATCATCCTGGCTTCTCCGAACAATCTTCGATTGCTTCTCTCTCCTGCTGGAGCGAAGGCGCCTTCTGAATGAGGTGGCAGGTACCTACTACTAGCGTGTTTACCTTAAGCCTTTCCCGGGTTTCCTTCAATCGTTCACCCTCGTTCACCCACTCAATCACATGCAACGACTCCTAAAGATTGCCAAACCTGTCTGCTCAAGCTGCTCAACATGCGGCCCTCAATCCTAGTCATTGCTCTTGCAGCCTCGGTGTCCGCCATCCACATCCGTCTGCACGCCGCTGCCGACTGCACAGGTGCATATCTCGAGTGCGACAATGTCGACCCGATTGTCTGCTGTACCGACAGCAGTGACTGGTGGTTAGCAGCTCGATTCTTTGCGATTCCTCGAGGTTGGACTCTCCGAACCGAGGTCTTCACCGGTCGTGACTGCGGAAAATTGCTGGAATCGTGGACTGCAACAAACAACCGAGATAAGTGCATGGGCGGTAGTGAGTACTCTCTCGGTGACCAACAGCTACGATAGTCGAGGCTGACTCAGATTGTGTCTTAGTGGCCACTCAAGGTAGTGCAGTTCAAGCGGGACTCTACCATTTCGCGTCAGTAAAGGGAGCTGTAGACGAACAATCTCCCGCAGAAACCGGCTGCACCCCTCAGAAGCCTAATGTTTTGGCTCTTGAAGATGGTCAGAGGTACAACATCTCCGGAATGAACGATAGTCAGCTCCAGCCGCTTCTTAAGCTTGCTGTCGGTGGTGCGGCAATTGACGGCATCCCAGCAATTTACGGTAGCTTCGTGATTTGAAGGAGGTCGTTTGTGGAGTCCGGATGTGTTGAGTGCGGCGCATATCATACGAGGGGCGTCCTCCAAGTACAACAAGGCCGTAGACTACCAGCTACCTACCATTGCGGATTACAAAGAGATTATGCAAGCTTCGATATGCTTTTGTGTTCCATGTGCACGTTGATCAGATGTGGCTAAAAGGAAGCAGATGTGGTATTTAGAAAGCAAGGGCAAGCGATTTGTGTGCCATCCTGAAAGCAGATGCGCCTAACATGCTGGTGAATTGTAAGGAAAAGCAGTGACGCCCGCAAACAAGGAAAATCGAGGTGTCGCGTTATTGATCCCGAGTTTAAGCCTTACACTCCCATTGTGAAGTCATGCTCTATACCGGGAGTCACACTGTCCAGTATTAGCATAGTTCGTTATCGATGAGAGTTTCTCAGCACTTACCTGGCCATGAACTTCAAGAAGACAACGAGGTACTGATCCACGCGAATCGCAACCTCGTCGTCTTGCTCCTCAAGTACTTCCCAATCATCCTTGACCTCCTCCCCACCCTTATTCTTCGCTTGCTCGGTGAGCTTGAGCAGTCTTGTGTCGTCGACGAGGGCCTCCATGCCGCTGTCGAGCTTACTTACTTCTTTGCCTGCCTTGAGTTTCGCAAGGCGAAGCTTTAAGGCAGCATCTGCGCGATCGAGAAGCACCTTCATCACTGACGAATGCTTGCAAGGGTGCACTGAAGCGGTCTTGAGAGCGTGCTCGAAGAACGGGAAATCCTCGATGGTCACTGTCTTGTCCTTGTAGTCACCAACGATATCCTCCATCATTTCCTGCGGCTTGAGTGGTACTGACGTCGAGCCGTATCCGGAGAGGTACAGGCGCGGCGTTCGGTAGTGTGCGGAGTATGTGATGTAGAGGGTGTACGTTCGTAGGGGACTTTGTCTTTGTTAGCCAGTAGTTCAGACAGGCCTTGATGTCCAACATGAGGTGACCTACGCTTGCGTGTTCGAGCCAGCCTGCGGATCTCTTATGATCGCCTCTTCGTCATCTTCATCGTCCTCCATGTCCGGAATGTCATCCTCCTCCTCTGCTGCCCCGAGATTGCCGCTTTCATCAACTGTCCTAACGTCGCGAACTTTGGCTTCTTGACTTGCCGCCATGCCACCAGTCCTCAGCCAGCCATCGTCGTCCGCGCCGCCTTCGCCTGCCGTGAAGCCGTCGCCCACTATAGTCTCATCCTGCCCGGCCTCTCCGGCGAAGTTGTCATCGAGACGGCGGTGGCATGGTACGCCGCGAGTAACTAGGAACTGCTTTCCCTCTGGCAAATACGGCGCGCGCTTTGCTGGCGAGGAAGCGTCCGCCCACTGCCAAGAGGGGAACTTGAAGACTAGAAAATCTCCGGCAAGGACGAACTCCTCTGGTGTAATCTGCCCAGTTTCACGGAATGTGGAGGTGTGGCTGATCGCGGCGGTGCGCTCCCGGAACGTGTCTATGTATGAGCGCACGAAGTTGTACGCCATAACGATATTTGCTGCGTGGATCTCGAGTTTGTATATGCAAGTGATCTAGGTTCGGTGTGCAGAGCTTCTGTGCTTCGAGATACTCGCAGTTGGTGGAGGGGGCAAGGCGGTGAATGGAGGGGCAGCTGCCTACGAGCACGCTCAATGAGGTTAGCGCCATAACTGTCACAGCCACCGTCTCCGAGCCGCCTGCACATGCCGCTGTCGAGGTCACGACGCCGTGCTCCGCGCCTTCTTGGTACAAGCTACACTATCACAAGCTCGAGGTCATCAACGCTGATCCGAACACTTGATCACGAGGTTTCTGAAGCATGGTCAGCAAAGACGTCACTTCTGTCACGGGACAATAAGACTCATCAACCACATGTCGGAGGTGGAATGTGTTCAGCCTTGAGCCCGTTGAAAACAGTAACAGCTTCGTAACCCGTAGACACTCGCAGCTATTGGCTCCGTCGTACTCAGACTCAACAAATATCATCCGGGGGTTATTACTACGCTTTCTACTGGCACACAAACCAATCGTCGTCCAAGCATTCGACGCAGGAACCGGGACTGCAAGATTGAGCGGGCCGGCAGATCATAGATCGCTGTCATGAACACTGTGCCTCCCGAATGCAACCTGTACTTGGCTCTAGGTGTGCGTTTGCCAACGATAGCATAGAGGTGGGTTACACGACCTGAAATGCCTTTCTAATTCCGCCTACCCCTCTTGCGGTTGCTTCGGCCCGTTGACATGGTACAGCTTGAACCAGAATGTAACGACGGCTTTCATACATTCATGTGTGATCTGCGGACATGAGCGTTCCATCCCCGAATCTCTTGACAGAAATAGCTCTAAGTACCGAGCATATGTCAAGATCAACGCCGGTTTTCAAGGTCATTTGGCAAAATATCTGTGCGCTAGTAGCCCTCCTTGGGCAACGGCATCTGATTCGGGCCTGTTCTTCAGGTCGGGACTCGGAGCATACATTTACGCGTCAACAATGCACCCAAGTAACAGGGTCCAAGGTGCTGGGTGCTCATGCGTCCAACTGTTTGAAGCATACATGCAGCGGACCATACCCTCTTCAGGATTGCTCTAGCAATTGGTGTAACAATTCGTCTCAATTGATCCTTTAGGCACACAGTTCTTAGAGCACCAGCTTATCTCGCCTGCAGCCGCGGAGTATCCAAAGAATCCGATGACAGCTTTGGTCAGTAAGCGAACATCTCACGAAAGATGCACGACTATTGCACCCTCCCGTCAAACGTCAACAAGGATGGTTGCCGACGCTAACTATTGTGAGATACAGTGAAGACAAGTCCGCGTCTATTCTCAATGAGTGGCGATCCCGCCCAACAGATGATAGTTCTGGAGCTTGCGTTCAATGAATAACTAATCGCTAGATGATATCTTGGCTATAACAACTCCATTTTGATGCAGAATCGAAAAGGCTTAAACATGACCGAATACCCACACGCTGTAGCACAATATTTAAGGGCCAATGAACAATTCTGAGCCCCGATAAAGTACGTGCGACCCACCATGGCCATGACGGTCAGACTAAATAAGGCGCTAAGGCACGATATTATGCACGACATGACGCGCTATAGGATGCTGTGTATAATACAGCCTCATACCGTACTGGTCTCTAGCACGTCCTGAAGAGGCAATACCTGTAACTTGAGATCTTGGTTTGTTTATGACTGCCAACAACACATGCACAGCATCACTATCGGAACCATCCGGATGAGATCCAACATCTACAGCGCATGACATATCGTCGGGGCGAACACCAGTGGAGCAAGTCTCGCGAAGTCGTACCATTCGGCTCGCTTCCACACAATCAAGATCGTGATGGACCCCTGGCGTTCCCGGTCCTTCACGTTCAGAATCCTATGAAAAGGACCAGAGGTCGTATAAATTCTCTTTTGATCCATTGTTGCTTGACTATCATATTCCTGGACACGATTGCCTATCAGTCTAGGCTGCTTGTTGATCATCAACATCAACACAGCTTCCATATATCCACTCTAGTTGCCTCGTCACTACATCAATATCGTCATTTGAACTGCCCCTTACTTCATCACTGTTAAATGGCGAACCCTAATCCTCACGTCAACACCGAGGGTACACAGCCACGCTGTGGGGGTCTTCATATAGGGGGTAGCACCGGTGCTAAAAATGACAAGGTGAGGATACAATGTGCAGTGGGACCGAGCTTCATTGATCAGTGCCTGTCGGCGCAGCTCTCAACTTCTTCGCGGTCATAGCCGGGTATCAACAAATGAACTCGTAACGGCTTTAGTCGGATCGAAATGGAAGCTGTACACTCTACCCATGGTCTTTCAATCCTTGGAGATTGGCATGGGTGACATTTGGTCGACCGGGTTCCGCCCTCAAAGCTGATTACGCAGTTGTTGTTTTCAACTTCTCTTGTTCAGTCTTCACCCAACTTACTGCATGGCAAAGGTGGTATCTGTGTACTTCATCGTATCTAGTCATTTCGCTTAGAAAGATCCATAGCGGAACACATAATTAATGCATGAAGTAGATGTTGAGATGCCCACGATAGCTGTACCCAATGAGCGAATTATCGCTTTCGCATTGTTTCATCTAACCATATTCCTTCCTAGCCCACTCAATCCAACTGCAGCGACGAAAGTGTCAACAGCAGTTTCGATTGGTACGGTGTGGCCTTCGAAGTAGTGACACCAAGAGTCTCCAGACCTGCACTGAGAAGCACTCGCGGCAATCGATGCCCGTTTGTCGGGTCACAGTCTGTAGAAACCTCGATCCAATCCATGCAAATCATCTTCGACTGTACCTTATGCAAGTCATTGTTGCTAGCGTGTGTGTCTTAATGCAGTGGACATTACAACACACTCATTGTAGTTGCAGTGGGTCTGTCACTACAGTGATGCAGCTTGACTGAACCCCTGTCGCGCTAGCACCCCGCATTTGGCCCATGGAGTCCTGCCGAGGTTCGTCGCGACTCTCCACACGTAGATACCGAGAGTCATGTCTCAACCGGCATTGGACGCTCCTCATATTTCCAGCTCTCCTCATATGCCTCCCTGAACTTCGAGCAACGGCCTGATCCCCCACTACACACTCGTACCCACCCGCGCAACACGCACGACACGCACAATGACCCACGCAGCCTCTGCTGACGATCTTCGCGTTTCAACGCTCTACGACTTCTCCAACCATGTCGCATTGGTGAGCGGAGGGGCGACAGGTCTAGGCGAGATGGCCGCTCAAGCCTTCGTTCAGAATGGTGCGACCGTATTCATCGCTTCTCGTAAGGAGAAAGAGCTTAAAGCCACTACCGACCGACTGAATGCCTTGGGCCCCGGGAAATGCAGCTACATCGTCGGTGATTTGAAGGATAAGGCTGGCTGTCTGGCAGTCTGCAACGAGCTGAAGAAGCGCACCGATAGACTGACGGTCCTGGTCAACAACACGGGAGCGAGCTGGGGCGACGATTACTACAACTACCCCGAGCACGCATGGGATAAGCTGTATGATCTGAATGTCAAGAGCATATTCTACATGACTGTGGAACTGGAGCCGCTGCTACGTAAGGGTGCGAACGCTGATAGTCCTGGACGAGTTATCAACATTGCGAGTATGGCGGGTATCCAGACTCTAGACGTTACAACAGGCGCAGCTGGTGGCCTTTCTAAGCCCGGACACGGCACCTTTAGCTGTGAGTGCAACATTGATCTAGCTTTACCGTTTCCGTACTGACCATGGCTGCGTAGACGGACCTGCTAAAGCAGCAGCTATTCACCTCACCAAAATGACCGCGTCCAAGCTCGCACCCAAGAACATCATGGTCAATGTCATTTGCCCTGGAGTGTTCCCCAGTCGTATGACGAACTTTGGTCTCGAGAAGTTCGGCAAGACCCTCACTGCAGGACAACCCACAGGCCGCATTGGCAAGCCTAGTGACTTCGGAGGTTTGGTCTTATTCTTGAGCTCAAGGGCAAGTGCACACATGACCGGCAACGCAATCGAGATCGACGGCGGTGCAACACTGAGCGGATGGAGAGGATCAACAAACGGCGACAGTGGGAGTAAGTTGTAGATTGTGTGGATCTTGAATAGAAGCAGCTATTCGAATGAAGTTGACGCGCTCTCAGAAGCCCTGCTGACGATGCCACTTCTCTTCCCAACCCGGAAACCACGGACTCTCGTCCAACGTTCTCGGCTCCCAATCCCTCTCCACAATCCCTCTCTCGACTTGTTCCTTGTGGAAAGCTTCGAGCGCAGGCTTGACCACGTGCTCCGTATGCCACGAATTCTTGTAATCCATTAACGTCCTCTTTCCCTCATTGAGCACCTTCAATACTAGACCTGGTACGTAGGGCTCATCACGAAAGTCCTCCACGGGCGTAAAGAGTGCCTTGAAATTGAAAACCACACCGCCTGAGAGTGGGAGGCGACGTAGCGTCTGCCAGTCGACACGTAAGTGACAGCGCGACAACTCAAGGTCTGGCATTTGATGGGATCGATAAGTCTCGTGGCCATCGCCGGGCGGCATGAATAGAGGCTGATCAACTTCTAGACCCCACGAACCGCGCTGAATGGGTTTGTCGGTTGGCTTTTTGGCAAAATATCTATCGTGCATTGGTAAGTACATGTCTTCTGTATCATGCGAAGCAACATACCTGTCCATGGAGAACTGCATCTTCTCTTTGTAGTCCGGTATCGGGGCATGGATCTCGTGTAGATGCAACCCCATCTTTGTGCCGGCATTCCAGCCCAGGGCACTGCAGATGATGCCGGCACGGAAGATGTAGAGTCCAGTCTTCTCATCGCGCAACATAATCGCAAAGTCCTCTGGTACATTCTGGAAGAGCACGTGCAGAGGCGGTGTCTGCTTGAGATCCGTTTCGGTCTTCAGAATGGCATTGTGAAACACCGTTTTGGAGGCGCTGAGGGAGAAGTATTGCGGGTATCGGGCGCACAGAAATTGCAGCACCATCTCCATAAGTTCTTTGCACGCTAGTTCGGAACCTGGGAGCGCTTGTAGTACTGCGTCACCATGCTCAACGAATAGCTGCGAGCGCTGCCTCATGCGGTGTTCGTATGTGTTCTCGAGTTCTATCCACCAGTCCGGCTCCATCTTCGTAAGTGCTGTGCAAGTGATTAGTATGGACAAATTTTATGGACAAACTTTATGGACAAGTTCACCTACACATTGTCTGATGATATGCCCATCGGAAGGGTCTGTATGGTCTTGGGAGTGCCTTGTGAATGTCAAAGTTGTGGTATGGTGCAGGAAGAGGCACGCCACTCAGGGTGGCGTAGTCAGGGAAATCGCCTAGGGCTTTGATGTCTGCAATAGAGAACTCGCATGGCGTATATTCATCATCGGTAGCTTCAAGGTAGGACGTTTCGATAGGTAGAACATGTTTGGTCCAGTCCTGATGTGAAGCTCCTACTGCTTTAGCTAGAGTAGAACGCCGAGAGGGCGGAAATGTAGTTGAGTAGTCAGGAGCTGAGACACTTTGGGCTCTCTTCCTTTCTGGTGAGAACGATCTTGGTGGTGTTCTGGAGCCAGAGTCTCGGCGTCGTTTTAGGTGGAATCTTTCGAGGATGACGTCTCGCCTCTCGTTCTGCACGATAAACAATGTGATAGAGGACAGCACGAACACTGCTCCGAGTAACAGGAGTATGGTCGCCATTGTAGTAGCTGGCTGACCTAAAATCGGAGCGGAGATGAAGATCACAGTTGGAGGACGGTCGTCAGGAAGTCCACAGACCAGTTCATGCCAGTAAGATACTTGAAGTGCTGCCTTTATAACTAGTTTACGCACGAGGGACGGCTCCTATGTATGGCCCCGGTCTGGAGACAGTGCCTTATCAGATAGAGGAATATGATTGCACTTGCTGGTGTGGGGCTCACTCTAGAGTACGATGTCACACGCTCAAAGTACGTCAAAAGAGCAAAGATCTTAACCCAAGGAGAGTGAGGTGAGGTGCGGGCACGCGCTGCAAACGCAAGCCTCTAAGGCATCTTGACAGGCACTGTTATCTTGACCACCTACTTCGGGATTAGTGATTACCGTACATAGTATACAAGTCCCAAAGTCCTTGGCGCGCATCGATGGTTCGGTGCGGGAGGGGAAGTCAACTCGATAAGACAGGGCAGGGCTCCATGTATCGACGCTAATTTACCCCGCTACTCACTTCACAGCTGCCAGCCCAACATGACACGATCGCGATGTTGAACAAACATGATTCGAGGTGTAGCTATTCCAGAAGATAATTAAATCCATTATCGACTGATATCGACGATGGTTATCGAGCAATTTGCTAGTTGCTCCATGTAGCGTAAATCCCCTTTCATCGCTGCTTGATGGATATGCCCGACTTGCACACTGTAAAGATAACATTGGAAGACCGCATCAGGTCTTGGTTCTTCGACCTCAGTTGAGACTTTTTAGTCTCACAACATGGCTTGAGTATATTGCGTCTACTCTGGCAGCAATTCTTCGAGCTTGCTAAAGCTACATCAGGTTCCTGACTCCTGCCGTGGCAATCTTCCGACTTTGATGCCGTCCTGTCGCTATTTCGAGTGGTAGATAAATCTACTTTTGTATTTTCTCAACGACCTTGACTGAGCAGTTTCTTGACCCTAGTTGGGTAGCCGTGTAAGGAGCATCTTCACTAACCATCAGCTCCTCGCCACTTATTCTTCAGAACCACTACGTGTTCTTACGATAATGATGCAGTAAACGCGAGTCGATACTCGGTTCTTGTCACGCAACAGATCCTGTTTACAGAACCCTTTGACCTAGAACAATCATGGGTTCGGCAGTCTTGAGGTTCTTATACACGACACACAGTACGAGATCCTGGGATTAAAGAACCTCTTCATACGAATACAGTCCTAAAGGGCAGGTCGATTATAAGGTTATGGCTGTTGTCTAGTGGTATACAAAGGTATGTAGAAGTTTGAAGGTTTCTTCTTTCTGGCTTAAACTGAGTTCAAAGCAACGAGAATGGCGTTCTACTACCAATGATTTCCTCGCCAATCTGCGTAAGCATGAGCCCAATTGCTGCAGAGCCATAACCTCGTATATTGCCATATCCAGCCTTGCGAGGCTGGTGAGAAGTCAATATAGGAAACACCCGGTGTCATTGCGGGGATTCATCGTCCTCAAAACTTATAAAATTGACCCCTTTGCATTCGACAGATTGACATGTTTACGTCTAATAGCATTTCTAGCTATTGGGAAGGTAGCCGAGTTGTTGCTTGACAAGACGACTGACAACATCTGGATACACTTGCAAGCATACCATAGGCTAACACCTACAGTCTTATTGCACCCGAAAAAGGCTTAGTGAAGGCGAATTCCCCACCATACAGCTATATACTGTCGTTGGGGTGGAGACAGTAATGATTAGAGAATACCGGGACTACATACATATGTACTCCACTGCTCCAACTAGTTGACAAAGTCTCACGGCGTATGCTTGGGAAACGAAAAGATGATCAGCTGACTCGGACGTGAAAACACGTCGAAAAAGTAGCTGGCCGAGGTCACTGAATTGTCGATCAAGGTATACAGCGGTTATTCTACTCAGACCCACTACACAGACTTCCGCACGTATGCCACCGGTCCCGCATACACGTGCTTACCCTTGAAAAGGTAGTAAGCTATAGATAGCAACACCGTGGAGCCGAACATGAGGATACTCCAATTCATACCTGCTGCATTTGGCCGTGGCCCCATCGGCATGAACGAGAAACCAAAAACGAAGACGAGAAATACAATGGACGCAATGTTGATGGGAAGACCTGCTTTTCCCAGGTTAAACTTTGACGGGAGAAGTGGCTCGCCGCGAACACGCTTGAGAATGATGCAGGATATCGAAACAATGTAAGAGGCAAGAATAGCAGCAGTCGAGAGGGAAGCAATGTTCTAGACCTTGTCAGTATTTATCGAATACGAGCTGACTGATATGACATACCAGGAGGGCGGCGGTCGACCCGAGGTTGATCAAGGAGAGCAGGCATGAGATTGCGAAAGACAAGCAAATTGCGTTAACCGGTACGTTCCATTTTGGTGAGACCTATAGAAGTTAGGTACGCGAGTGTCAAATATCAGGGTACTACTTACGTAGGCAAAGGTGCTGCTGAACGGAACGCCCTGATCTCGGGCAAATGCGAAGAGCTGGCGGGAAGATGTCGCGGTAATGGAAAGATTGCAAAAGATTGCCATGGATATGACCAACACTCCCATGACCGTTGCTCCTGCGACCGACTGGGTGGAGTTGTAAAAGACGTAAAGGTACGCTTGCTTTGTAGGGGAGGCCAATGCGTCGTCGATACTGCCTAGGACAGAGCAGAACGTAATGAGCATGATGAAGCCCATCGAGCCGTTCACAAACGTCGTCCACAGCATACTTCTGGGCAACGTCTTCGAAGCATCTTGGAGCTCTTCCGACATGTGAACAGCAGCATCTGCTCCAAGAAGCGGCAGGACTACAGCTACGAGTCCAGACAGTGTGGCTAAACTGATAGAATTCCATCCGCCAAAGTCGTTGAAGGTAGTGAACGTCGTGTGGGCATCGGCTATTGGTCCAGTCACCCAGAGGACAACGAGTATCGCGAAGAAGCCGAAGATGTGGACCACTAGAACGATAGACTCAATGAGAGGTAATCTCCTGACAAAGAATGTGTTAAAGACGATGTTGAACGCGGAGACGGCAAAGACCAGCAAAGTGCCATGCCATGCCTGGAATTCGTAGTCCGGCTTGTTCAGTGCAATGAGTCCTTGTATCTGTGAACCAGCTAGGAACGCAGTGTTGGCCGCACCTGTCTGCCACCCAAGCACGCAAAGCCATCCTAGGGTCTGAGTGAGCATGACCTCATCCCAGCAACATACGATTCTTACCAATCAAATAGCTCAAAAACTTCTGGCTCTGTGGTGGAGCAAACTCCGAGACCCAGTGGTACTGACCGCCAGCCTGGAGGTGCATCAGCTTGCATACCTTGCAACAAGACAATAACGTACCGTCGGTGCCATGGAGGCCATCTCTGCCATGGATGTGTTGACACATATGAAACCAATCCAACATATGAGATACATCCAGATCAGCCCAGCAGTGCCGCCGTCGATAAGCCCAATAGCTGCAGTGCTACTTCTTATCAGCTATGCTTCTTCTTTGTAAGAACATGCAAACCTACCCAAGCATAGTCTCCCAACTGGACATCAAGATCATGGAAAACGCCCATACGGATACAAACCTAAAGTTGCGCCGCATCTCTTGCACCTTGCCCATCCGATGCATCGCATCCCTGTCTGCGGCCGTGCCTGTTGCCTTTGTGACAGTGGCATGTTGCAGTTCGATTTGGTCCTCACACGCTTGCCCACCAACGGTAGGCGTCTTGATTGGCTCTCCCATGATGAAGTATAGAAGAAGTTGCTGGGAAGATCGAGAAAGAAAATGAACTCATATGCCAATACTCGAGGGAAGAGTCGTCTTGAGTCGTACGACTGAGAATCCCGTTCCGCCTTGCTGGCACCAACAGTGAGACACAGACATTAAAGAGCAGGGGGTAGCGAGAGGCGTTCATGCAATGAGTTAGTGCAAGGTAGGTGTTACCGTCCCATCCCCTCGGGTTCATACCTTCGTATCTTTGACAGGAGTCAGCTCCGCGCGGACGCATTGCTCCGACTTGCTGAGAGCAAAGACCATTCATGCATGATTGGGCACCAGCTAGGCATTCTGGCCGTCTCTTTGGTTTTCCTAAAGAGTTATTCTCGTATTGCCTGTAGAGCGACGATCATATCCCGTGTCTTGTTGGACCCATGTTGATATCCCCTGCGGCAGTACGGTTCTGACAGTCCATTGGGGCGGCTTTGCTCCTTCTTCAGTGACGGTTGCACGTTAGTGATGCGGCCTGCGACAGTGGCTTGCGAAACAACTGATTGTTGCCGTTCGGTGCGCGGGCCGCTGCCGCCTCCGGTGGCCTCGCACCAGTAGATCGTTGCGGACGTGGGGTCCGCGGATGACCTCTGAACTCAAACACAATCACGGATCAATTAAGCGAAGCGACATTCGAGGGACCAAATGGGTAGCAGTGACCCGCGTAAGAGCAGGTGGCTATTATGAAGAGGGACCTGGGTACTCTTGCCGTCTGCGAGACTCTAGCCGCGTCCACGTGACAGACGTCGATCTGCCCCTGCGCCATCTGGACGTGTACCAAACTTGCTACATTACACCTGTATCGCAGTAGATGGAGCCCCATAGTAGCGTTCTCAACGACCCAACCTTTCACAGATGGCAGGAAAGCGTCCTCTGATGGGATCATTGCTTCGTAGAATCCTGCCAAGATTCCGACATTCACCCCCACTCGCTAGACTACGACAAGCTTGTATCAGACGGCACGTTAGCCCAGCCTCACGCTACATCCCGTCCGGTCTTTCATCCGATGCCCCGTCTGGGCTCATACCACTGCACCCGTCCGTAGGGATGTGGCTTACTGCAGGTCTCCTCGGTCAACGTCAAGCCAAGGTGCGAGGTCTAGGTGTCACCGCAGTACGCCCCTCGATGGGCAATAATTCATTTGAACGACCATTCCTTTGGACGTCGACAGATACCTCTATGCCATGTCGTTGTATCGCTTTGCTCCCAATACAGCAGACAATTCTTCTGGACAATTGTGGATTGCTTCTATTCTTTGCCTCATATACTGCACCTTGGTATTGATTGTTCGCCTACATATCAAATGGAGATTGTACGGAATGGACGACGCTGCGATCAGTTTAGCGACAGTGGGTCAACGCCTGGTAACATGTGCTCATTATGTACTGATGGACCATAGATTTTGCAACTGGGCGAAAATATACCGCTATTCATCGCCCTGAGGAATGGCCTTGGTACTTCAGAACAACAGCTTGATTCATCACAGATAGCAACCATAGGAAAGGTCAGTATGCACCACTGTTGTTGGGGGCTGTGATACTGACATAGTCGATAGGCTACTTTTGCAGGACAATTGTTCTTTCTCCTTACACTTACAGCATCAAAGCTCTCGATCGCCGCGTTGATGCTGCGTCTCTTCACTCGCGACATTATAGTGACCCGAAGAGCCCGAATACTCTGCCACACGACGATCGCCGTCACGTTACTCTGGGCAATCAGCTCCATCGTTGGCACAGCAGTATCCTGCAGCCCGTCTGATTTCGTCCGCGATGGGACAACAAGTCACTGCTCCAGACGACTGCATCAGTGGAAAGTCACAGCTGCCCTCGACATCTTAACGGAGCTTTCTCTCGTGCTTCTGCCGATACTGTTTGTGTGGCCAATCCAGATGAAACGCCACATCAAGGTCCAGGTCGCTGTGGCTTTTGGGTTCAGAATACCATTAATCGCCATTGCAGCTGTGCATCTACATTACGTATCGAGATACAACAATGAGTCCAATATGTCACAAGCCATCGTTCCAGCACTTGTGCTGCAGCAGTGCGAAGTCCTGTGGTCACTCCTATCCGCAACTATTCCAACACTCAAAGCGTTCATGCGGGCATTCAATTCCGGATTCGGTATGGAGATGGATGTATACTCTCCTTATGGCCAGAGATACGGTCCTCAAGGGAGCAAGATGTACATTTTAGGGTCGGTTCATGGTTCGGCAGATCGTAACACGGCCACAACTCCCGATGCATGTATAAACGAACACCAAGCGCGCCCCTCTTCTGTCGAAATCATACAAGGGGTAAAAATACACAGCTTGGATGAGGAGGCTTTTGATTCAGATGGGTCTGACAGGAGACCTATGAGTAGCGTCAACAGCGACAGTAGTCAAGACATGATCATCAAGCGGGAGACCACATGGAGTGTCTCCTACGAAGAGAGCAGCCGACAGGATTCGTGAGGCTCTCCTATATGTATCTGAAAATGAAACTATATTACAGCGACAATACAATCATACGCCTCCTGGCCAAAGTGAGGTGCTCCGCACGCGATCATTTGACTTTACACTATCCCGAGATAAGCTTCTCTCTGGAGTCCTGGCATCTCAACCACGCGTCATCGCAGGGAACGTTTCTAATCTAGCTCTGATGCACCTCAACGAACAAAACGGCCACCAAGTACATGACCAATGCGATATTCTATCGCTGTGTGCACCCTGTATATTTTTTTTTTTTCAAGATTTCAATGCATATTACTGTAAGTAGAGGTGCGGTGCTTATCACGTTCTCATTTCGTTGCCTAGACCTCATCGAAATTCAGTCCGTGAGATAGCAGCAAACGTGTGGACATGTTTCTGTAGATGAAAATGTTTTTTTGGTGGTCGGGAGCTGCAGTGAAAGCTACATAGTCTTCTCAATCAAAAACGCTCTGCCTCGACCATTTGCTTCCCCTTCTAATTCGCTTTCCATAGATATAGAACACAAATGGGACCGGTATCAGAAGTGCTGCAAATCCGCCAGTAATGCTGCTCGCCGGCCCAACTCCTATGTTATGATACATTGGAGTGACGACCAAGGGAAACGCACCAGCAAAACAACTCCTGAGGAAGGTATTCGCCGCAACCGCGGAGGCAGCATACTCTGTAAACGTGTCGACGAGGTAGTTTAGCGCTGCTTGGAAGATCGTGAAGAATCCGGTGCCCAGCATGACAAGACCGATAACAGGGGCAATCCAATGAAATCGCGGGTCCGCCGTCCATCCCATAACGAACTGCCCCGAGGCGAAGAGTACAGACCCCAGCATCATGGGTGGAAGACGCTTCTCCGGCACTGCGCGGTCACCAGCTGCATGATACGCCTTGTTGTACAGGATTTGGTTGTACGAGTTTATTGCACAGCCGAAACATGCTCCGAGAAAGATGGCCAAGAATGGAAGGGTGGAAGACACAGCAGACCAGCCTCGTAGCTCACCGAAGATGATGGGAATGCCGCCAAGCTGCATGTACAGAATACCGTAGCAGAAACTGGCGTATAGCGCAACGAGGAAGCAGATGGGTGTCATCAGGAGCTGCACCGGGCGAACCAGGAACTTGCGGCAGAGTTGAGAGAAGCTGACATCCCACTCCTCGAACTTGGCGTGGAGTGCCCAGTTGCCCGTTTCGTGGCGCAGGCGGCGTGCCTTGTAAACGAGAAGCTTGGGCGGGTAGCACTCATCGATGAATATTACATCGACCACGAGAATAGCACCTTGTATGATGCCAGTGAAGTATTCAGTCCATCGCCAACCGAGAGAGGGGTTGGCAACAAAGGCTGCGGATACGATAGGTCCTGAGAATGGGGTTAGCCGATGCCCACACGTATATGAGAAAGTACTTGCCTAAGCATGGACCGCCCACAACAGCCATAGCGTAGCCAGCAAGCGCAAGCGCTCTCCAAGCCGGACTGAATAAATCACCCAACACACCACCCGTATTCGTAACCGGCGCACTGGCAAAGAACGCTCCAAAGAAACGAGTTATCATCAGCGTCTGGAAGTCCTTCGCTACCGCACTCGCAAAGCTAAAGCACATCGCAACAAACATGGGACTCAGGACAGCCAGCTTCCTGCCAAAAACTTCCGACAGAGGCGCCCACAGCAGCGGTCCTGTACCAAAGCCGAACAGAAATAACGTCGTACCCAGCACAGCGACCTGATTACCAACATGGAACTCCTCAGCAACCTGCCGAGTTCCTGCACTGTACGCAGAAGACGCCCATGTCGCAGTCATGGTCGTCATACCGTACATCATAGTCGTAAGCACCTTCTTCTTGGTCGGCCAGTTCATGGGTCGGTACGGATCGTCCGGCCCGTCAAAATCGACGAGCACATCTGCGGTGGTCTGATGGTGCGCCAACGGGTGTGTGAACGGTGCTGTGTTCGTCCGCGTCCGCAGCCTTGACAGCGCTGTATCGCGTCTCGACAATGTTTTCGAGATGGGTGCGCCGATACCGGTGGTCGTTGCGATGGGTTGTTGAAGTGGAAGAGAGTAGCTGGCTCGGCTGCGTGATCGGGATATGCTCTTCTTTACTTCTCTGCTCGACGGTCGATGGCCGTCATTGTCCTTTTCATCTTCGTCGTCGAATTCCGAGTCGGAGGTGTCTGAGCCGGATCCTCTTCTCCTCCTGTTTCTCGGCTTTCGCTCTGGTTCGATTGCTTCTTCTAATTCTAATGACGCGGATCGATGCTTCTGCGCTGAGCTTGCGCTTGGTGCTTCTGACATTGTGGCGCTCGTGTAGGAGCTCACAAATAGAGTTGTGCTGATCAATAAGTAGGTAGCAACGGGTTCGAGCGTCGCAAGAGCACGTGCTGAGCGATTTCTTATCCTAGTGTTGCTATCCCAGTTTCCGGCTCTTTATGTACGAAGTACGATGGCGAATTCGATATAACTTGGCGGCGACAGCAAACAGAGAGTTGGGATCGTGAAAGACCAATGCTACGTGTCAACGCTGATGTAAATCCGACCTTCAAGATAGTGCGACTGTCAAAGATCTTTAATCTAGAGCACTCCGTCGCTATCAGCATTGCGAAAGGCTTTCATATCTAGTTGAACATGACGCACTGTTGCTAAATTCGACGCTAGGAAATACAAGGCCGGCCAGGGTGCTGGTTATATCCGTGCATTTCCGGCCGGAAAACCACAGGACGTTTCTGACAGCTTCATGGCTTTCGCCTCAAACATGCTGATAACTCCGTGTGCTAGTTGCATGACAAGCAAATCTTTTCTTATTGTGATGAGTCAAGTGATATGCGCCCTTTGACGTTGAAATGTGGCCTTCAGGTTTAGCTCATTGATCATCCGTGACATCTCAATAGTGCTATTCCTGCGAATAGTCTGGTCATTTCGAAAGAATCCTTTCCAATTGCAAAGAACGAATCAAGATGATCGCAAGCTTTTTGCGCTACGGATCCTCGGCGTCAACTACATAAACCCACCGACACCATCCTCAAACTGGCCGAAGATCTCCACGGGGAACTCATCTGCCAAACGCTGATATCCAAGAGGGCCAGGATGCAAATAGTCCCCAGAATCGTACTGAGGAGCAAGTTGACTCGGGTTACTCGGGTCAGCAAGGAACTTATCGAAATCGGCAACTGCATCAAACGTCCCAGAATTGCGAATGAAGTCGTTGATTTTCTGCCTGCAACATTGTTAGCAACAACGCTCTCCACTGATAAACACGCATTCACAAACCTCGTCGCCTCTCGAACAGGATTCGAATAACTTGATGACGTGAAGTTACTCGGAGCAGAGAACGGCGTGATAGTGGCGCCAAACACTGGGATACCGTGTGCGTGAATCAGCGTCACGATCTGCTTGTAAGCCTGGACGAGATCCTCGTACACTGCGTTCTGCACCTCTGCCGTCGGCGCTGCCCCTCCAATGTCGTTCACGCCCTCGAAGACCATTGCATACTTGACACCAGGGTGCGCGAGGACATCGCGGTCAATGCGGCCGAATGCGTTCGGGCCCAAACCATCGATCAGAACGCGATTTCCGCCTGCTGCGAGATTGCCCAGAGAGATGGATTTGGTGGCATTGTTCTTTTGGAGGCGAGCGAGGAGCAGGTCCGGCCAGCGTTGGTTTGTATCGGGGATAGAGCCGCGGCCGTCAGTGATCGAGTCGCCTACAATCAGCAAGCTACCGATGCTCTTTGGCGCCCATGCTTCTACGCTGGAGAGGAAGTACCAGTGTGCTGCTGATTGCGTGGCAGCATCTGTGATGGCGAGCTGCGCTGCATCCACAGCGTTGCCAAACTGCCACCAACTGGTCGTCCTGCTCCCAGGATGGCTGGTGATTGTATTGGTCTTTTGGCCTGCTGCAAGATATGCGGTTACTGTGATGACCTGCTTGGCCTTGATAGCGAAGTTGAGAGGATCAGAAACGGCCAGAGCTCCGTTAGGAATGCTGATTGAGTCCTTTCCAGAGAAGGTGACTTTCTGCAATGTCTGAGCCTGGATCTGATGGATGCCCGCAGTATTGTTGGCAGACAGAGCGACTGTGACCGCTGTAATGGGTAGGTTGGAGCCTCCGAACGCATTGGAAATTTTGATGCGTATCTGCGAAGCGTCCGTTGTCATGTACAAAGTCTGCCTGACCGTAGAGTTGACGAAGACTGCGCCGGTTACATTCTGTGGTTGAAGTCAGCAGGTCCATACGTGACGGAGTTCAATTGCTCTTACGAAAGGCGCTGGAGGGAGATTGGCAGGCTCTGTGTTTTGTGGCATGCATGCCCATGCATCGACCCAGTGTCCATTGGGAGGGTTTGGGCGTATGGCCTTGTCATTGGTAGTTTGCCCTTGGACAGACACAACAGCACCCGCCAACACAGTACACAACTTAGCGAACAACATTGTGACGAACAGCAGAGCTACCTAGTGACTCCAGCTCCATAACTGCGGGGTGGCTATTATATCGTCTCGCGGCAAACTGCGGAGATTAGACGCTAACGTTGGAACTGGTGATGCAATTTGGACCTTTGCCAGGGTTCTGGCTGAACACGGGAGGATCTGCAGCCTGTGCCTGAGCTTGCGACCGAAGTGCGGGTGTATGGAGAAGGACGGCTAAATTGCACCGGACAAAATCCTGGGGTTGTTCCATAGAGCCGCATCACGAATGCAGTTGCAGGGTGGTTTAGCCGCATCGACCGCCTGACCAATCATAATTTGGGTGAGTTCGAAGTATAAATACCAACGATCGCATTTAGAGAAGCTCAACTGCGGCTGCAACAATAGCGGGTGTATTTCGAGAACTCTGCGCTTCATCACGTTATGGCGGAACAGAAATCGGGGGCGCAAGTAGTGTCATCATATTTCATTGGTATCATCGCCTTACGAGCAGACTGAAAACAGCAGTCCGAGTAATTGAGGCGTTCTTCATCGCATCATCATGCGCTTATGATATGTCGTCAGGCGCGGGAGGGGTACATTACCCGATCTCATTATCCCTATTGTCCCACCAGATAGCCTTGTATGCGGTCGGTGCGCAAAAGCTAATTTGTAGAGTCCGCCATAGGCATTCGGGGTGATATGAGGAGCGGCGAAGATAGAACGGGCGTACCATTAGGCTTGATGGCGCTGGAGAGGACTCAACGGATACAGTTCTGACAGCCTTGGACTCATTCCAATGCTGCGCGAGAAGAGTTCCGCACGCGCTCGCAACACCTAGCATGCCTTCAGAGGATGGAATACAATCTTCGCTTGGGTAGTTCAGAAGTCGTCGTCATCATCTGCCTTCTTTCTGCGACCGCGAGTCGCCTTCTTCTTTTTGCCATCGTCCATCGCATCAGCCTCGTTCTTCTCGGGCGCGTCGGCAACCTTCGATACAATGTCGTTGAGGAAGTCGAATTGTTCGTTCTTGACTATGGCTTGCTTCAGGTGGACTGCGCCGACGCGTTTCGAGTTGCGCTGCTTGGCCTCGGCGGCTGCTTTGGTGACGAGAGAGATCATGAAAAGCTCCAGAGCCTTCGCTGCAGTGGTGTTAACAATGATACATGCGCGTGGAGTATGCTCAGTACAACTTACAGACAACTACTGGTGTGACCTGCGCAACTTTTCCGACGTCATCATCGGCCTGCATAATGCGCTTGATGCGCGCGACCGGAAAGTGATTCTTGATGATGATGCTATCCACGTTCGGCGGGAGCATGGAGCCTCCAGTTGATCCATTGCTCATCTCAGGCATCTGGAGAGCCGCGTGCGACGCGTCTGGTATGTAATCCGCATCTTGCATCTTTTCTTTGCGCCCGCTGGTAGCTGCGTACGGTGAATACGGTGATGTGGTGGGTAGCGATGAACTGGACAGGGGCCGGGGGTTCTGGAGTACGGCGTGCGAGACTGATCCTCGGTAGCTCTGGTGCTGGGGGTGTATGGGCTCTGCGTCGGCGGAGTGGTAGGAAGACAAATCGGGGGACTGTGGGGCCCAAGAGTCCATTGGCCGGGTATTTAACAGCTGCGCGTGGACAGCTGCTGCAATGCGATCAAAGCTTGTGGGTGGGTCTCTGCAATGCACACTGATGAAATGTTTCGCTGTGAGCGGATTAGACGGGCGGTGAGAGAAGGCAAAAGGCAGGAACAGGACTAATGGAATAGCACGGTGGATTCAAGCGGGGCAGGTGCAGGTTTTATGTGGAAGGCGCAGCTGGTGCCAAGTCTTCGAGAACGAAACCATTCGTGCTGCCAGTTTCTTTCTCCAGCTGCGCGTTTGCGGCAGTGGACGGCAACTCAACCAGCCAGAGACTGTTGTGATGCGCGTTTGCAGCAGTGGATGACGATACGAGCAACCAGAGACTGCTGCGATGCCAACAACATCGCAGCGCCTTGCCCTCTTGCACCGATGAAACCCGCCCTGCGGTCGAGGTTGATCTTTGTAGTGGGTACGGGGAATCGCTGACGGTCATAACTTGATCTAATCTGACACTGAAATACACTCAATTATATCCTACAACATGTTTCACTCTTCTTTTGTAATACTGCCGTCATCCTGGTGACCTTCGCGATTAGGCCCCTCTCTGAGCCACGTGCTAGCGAGGTTGTTCTTAGGGTCTTCGTCCGAGTAGCCACGCTGCCGCCTAACATCAAGCACAGCCTTCCTGATGCGATCAGTGCATTCAATCCGTATTCTGACAGCCTCGTCCGAATATTTGAGCGCCTCGTTCAGGACGCCGATATCCAGCGTCCCGTTCTTCTGCTCTTCCTTCTCGCGCAACTGCCTCCACCTAGCGCGCAAGTCTCCAAACACCTCTTCTGTGTTGAGCTTCTCGCCGAACGTCACCCTGACGTTTTGAAAGGCTCGTGGTATAAAGCGCGGGAACGTGCGGTCCTCGTTCATAATCTGGTCAAAGCCTTCAATGAAGATGGGTACAACATCGGGCATCGGTTCGCTCTCCAAGACCAAGCGCGAGACTCCCCATTTGAAGTAGCGCATTATACGCTGTTCAGACTGGTGTATCATGCCCTCTGGAAAGATGTGCACCCATGCATGTCGTCTGTTGATGTATTGCGAAGGCGCAGGAAAGGTGTCGGTGCCGTTCGTCGAGAAAGTAAGGTGACCACTACTGAAAGGGTCAATGAGGTCTGGACTCTTGGGAGAGTTGGCGGGTTTTTGAGGAAGATCGGCATTCAGGAAGGGGCCGCACGACAGGAGGCGGATAGCTTGTGTGATTGTAGGTTGGAACAGACCACCAAACTGTGAATGTGCGCTTCGATGGGTGGGTAATGTCTGGCCGAACGTGAAGAAGGTAGAAAGTCCTCTGCCATCATGTCAGCGGTTGTTACGTGCCTCCAGATACCAAAGTGTACTTGTTCGTGAAGCATAGATCGTAGCTAGCCAAGCCCCAGCGCAAGTTGTCCGGTTTGAACATATAGCTCAGAGGCATTATCCCCCATAATATGGGATCATCCATTCTATAACGCGACACTTGTTAGTCATATTCGAGTATTATCGTTGCGCCTCGGTACGTACACAGAAATGTGGTTCGATACTGCAGCCTGTTAGCCCTCGAGGTACTCATTTTCACACCAAAATGGTCGCATACCTGTAATAAGACCTCGTTCCCTTTCTTTTGGATCCTGCCTCTCATCGAGCAGCTGTAAGAAGCGCTCCATGCCATGCAGCTCAACCTTATTCAACCCCAAAAAGCCCTTGCAAAGTAGGCCCACCGCGCCCATAACAATGGCAGACGCCGCCCGCCATGGCGCGCTGGGAGCCTCAGGAGCCTCAGGCCGCTCCTCTGGTTGCATTGCTCGATGTTGCGATAAAGACAGACATGCAGGAGGACTCGGGTCAGGTGAATTGCAAGAATCGCTTGTGCTTCCGATCAGGCACGACGGCCGCCCGCGGTGACGTGCCGCGGCGCAAAACTTCGACAGGGGTCAGGGTTTACGCGCTCCGCGCAGCCACGTGTGGCGCTCTTTCTCGCGACTGGCTCCGTTTTCGTGACCTCACCCGTGATTTGTACATCAACTTCATACTTCATCATGCCGCCGCCAAGTCACGTTTTCTCTGCTCACGAGCGCAATGCTCTGAAGGATCGATGGGGCTCGCAAGCAACGCGCCTTACACGCGACTCCTTCCTACCATTTGGATCATGTCAACTATGTCTCCTTCCTGCGGTTGACCCAGTATGCTGTCCTTCGGGCGACCTGTTCTGCAGAGAGTGCGCCATGACCAACCTCCTTGCTCAACGGAAAGAGATGAAACGACTTGAGAAGCTTGCCGAGCGGCAGAAGTTGGACGAGGTGGACCAGCAAGAGCGAGAAGATGAATCGGCGCGGCAGCGTGCTGTGCAAGACTTCGAAGCAGTGCAGATGGGCCTTGAATTCAAAGTTGGCGCGGGATCGAAAGTCGTAGGGCGAGAAGGTGGAAAAATCATGGTTGAGCAGGAAGGGAGTGCAGGGAGCAAGGGTACGAAACGCAAGTTCGAAATCGACGAAGAGGAGCTGAAGCGCATTGCCTCTGAGGAGCGTAACAAAGCCAAGAAAACGCTCGAGGACGAGCGTAAAGCTGCGAAGAAAGAATTGCCGAGCTTCTGGGTCCCGGGTGAGACACCAGAGTCGCACCACAAGGGCCTCAGCAAAGCGAAACAAAATCCCACATGTCCATCCAGCGACCTCGAGCACCCACACGATCTATCACTGAAGACGCTGACAAGCGTCAATTTTCACGAGGAGAAGTCAGCAGAAACCGGCAAGACCGTTCGCACCTGCCCAAGCTGTCAAAAGGCTCTATCGAACAGCACGAAAGCTGTTCTCGCAATACCATGCGGGCACGTTTTATGCAAGCCATGTGTTGAGAAGTTTTTGAAGCCGGAGCATCGGCATCACCGCGATGCACACGACGACAGCCCGGACCCGGAGACCGTGCACTGCTATGTGTGCGACGCGGATCTCACGACGGCGCCTGAGTCGAAAGAAAAGGAGGGCAAGAAGAAGAAGAAAGACAAGGAGAAGGGCGTCAAGCCCGGGCTGGTAGACATCAGAAGTGAGGGCACAGGTTATGCGAGTGGAGGGAAGAGTTTGGTCAAGAGGCAAGGTGTTGCATTTCAAGTCTGAGAGGTACCTAATAATGCATATACTACCCTCCCGCGTAATAACAGTTGAAAAGCTTGCTTACGCAAGACTGCAGTCCCCAGTCAGACTAGCCACGCTCCGGTCCGAGCCAGTCTATCGCTATTATTCCTACGTTTCGCTATCATCTCGTGGGTATCAGTTTGTTACATCTCATCTCGTCTTCGCCACTCAATCATCCTGATGCAACGAATCCAGTCGTTATGCCCATTTGTGCCATTCACATCGTCGTCGAATACCGATCTCTCGGAGTCCTGAGCAGCTACCACGGACTGACCTCGAAGGCAAGCGTGATACCAGGACCTTCACGCTTACCTCCGTGGACCTCATCGTAATGATGCCGGATCGAGGTCGTGGTGTAAATGGCATCGAGGAAAACAGCCCGCTCCGGAAACATCGTCATACGTTGTGCGCAGAGCGTACGAGTCTTTCCGCAGCAGAGCTCGCCTTTGTAGGTGCAACAAAAACATATAATCAGAAAGTCTGCTTTCATCGATTTGCGATGGAGAAACGGCATGACAAGACAGCCAAATTCACCTTCCTTAAGCCAGGCCTTATTGCGCAGAAGCCGCTTCTGTTCGATTGACGATGGCGTAGGCTCATATTTGCACTCACCCCCGAGGTCGAAGCAGTGGCGAGCGAGATTGTAGACATCCAGGTAGGGTGCCAGTTTGCCGCAAGTGTCGCAGGTCGTCTGGCATATCTTCGCGAACAGTTGAGGGAGGGTGATGCGTTCAGCCGATCCCAGGATCACAGCCAGACGAATGGCGTTGGAAGTTTGGGTGCGTTGCATAATCTGCTACCGGTTAGCATAATCTCAGACCTTCGAGAGGCTTCCATACCTTTTTCCACTCGGGTAATGAGTCTACCAGCTCCCTAGCCGCAGTGCCAAGAGCGCGAAAGGCCAGGAGAGACTTTATGTCGAGGTGGCGTATGATCTCAAACTTCATTTCCGTCGGTAGCCAGAGTTCGTCAGGCTTGGTCTTAGCTTGACTGTTGCTGGCACGACGCCTGGAAGGGTAATCGAGCGGCACAAGCGTTTTCAGAAGCGAATGGTCGACAGTCAGTGAGCTGAAGATCTCGGATGATACGAGAGCATCCTTCATGAGGGTGGTTTTCGATAACGCGCTCATGATTAGTAAGAGGGTTTGGGATTGGTTGAAGAGTTTTGCTGCAATTGGTTGGAGAGGTTGCAATCGGTGGGAGAGTGCAATTGGTGGGAGAGTCTGCAATTGGTGGAAGAGTCTGCGATTGGTTGGAGAAGTTTTCACTTGTGGGAAGAAGTAGATGATGAGAGTTACAGAGAAGAGGCGTAGGGGGAAATATAAATACAAGAGAGAGCTAGGCCTTCAAAGGTACCGATATATTGTTGAAGAAAGAAACCATAGTTACGCATTCGCGCAAAGGAAGAGGATTGGGATCGACCAGTTGAACCCGCAAGATATGGACCCTGCTGGAATTCAATAGTAGTCACCAAACCAATTCTCTTCAAAGTATTATGAGCATTTTACCGGAATATATGATAAAGCGTTAGGGGTCTCTTCAGAAGATATACATTCAGCCGAGACCCTTAGTACTCATACCAGTTCACGGCTCCACGCCACATCACCAACCAACCAGGATATTCAGACACTTCAAGGTTCTTACGAAATTTCCCAAGCTATGGAATCTTATTTGTAAGAGCCTTTTTCACTGCACTGGGTCGACCTGATACACGAGATACCCAGACGTAAAATTCAGCCCTGAAAGACCCGGCAAACGGCAACTATTCAGTACGTACGGCAGAACAAGCTTGAGGCGCTCAGCTTGCTACGTTTGGCCAGCAAGGGCGATTCCGCGCTCTGGGTCACTTTCGAGCCTTCATTATCGACATCAAATACGCTTATGATCAAGAGAAGTTTGCAGACCACAACTTTACTCCACCACATGGGCTTTTGGTCTCGAATAGGAGAAAATTTCTATCCACGACCTATATATGTTTTCACATCCATTACAATCCCTTTGGCTGGATGAGACGAGTTCAGCCACTTACGACTGATCTAAGGCCCGCACCGAATCACTGCCTAGACATTAGTTCGGGAAGGCTTCACGCGGCCTGCATGTCATCAGATTGACACAACAGCATATGGTTTTCCTTTGGGGAGGCTCCGTCTGATCGAAATCACCACCACCTAACGATTCCATGACAAGCCATGCAAGTTCTACATCCAGGACGCACTCCCGGCGGACTAAGACTGCCACGTAACAGAAGAAGCCTGCTAATCGCCAAAATTGTACCTTGTCGTTGTAGCGGCTACTCCAACTTGCAATTCCACACCCTATGGACATACTTCACTGTCCTCATTCCTATTTCCTCCCAACATCAATCTCCAACCACCTCCCCCAACCCTTCCTACCCGCCCAAGCCATGTCCTAACAGTCAACGCCATGCACCTCCCTCAAATGCCTGCGATACTCCCCCCTGCAAAGATACACCGCCCACGGAAACGGCCCCGACGAATCCGCCCCCCAGTTCTCCCTCTGATGCCTCACAACCCGCTCATCGACATCGCCATCATCCGCGCGACAAAACCCACACCGCACCACCGTCTCGCCCACACAGCTCTCCGCGCTCAGAAACGGCGCAAGCACGAGCGTCAACCGCCTGTGCTCACTGTTAATCACCGGCGGCGGCACGACGCGCGGCTCCTCGCCCGCCATCACGGACAGCAGCTGCGCCAGCTCCGCTGCAGCGCCGCAGTCGTACATGCGCACGCGCTTGCTCTCGAGGTCCGGGTAGCGGGCTGTCGTGTAGCGGCCGGGGATGCTGCGGAAGCTGGGCAGGCGTGCGACCTGCGCGGGCGAGAGGCCGTACATGTACGCGACCATCCAGGCGTGCTGGGGGACGTGCGCGGGGTCGGGGCTGTTGCCGCAGGGCACGCAGAGGCGGGCGAGGGTGAAGACGTCGAGGTAGGGCGCGGGGTTGGTGCAGTGGGGGCGGTCGCAGGTGCGCTGGCAGAGCTTGGTGAATAGGGCGGCGAGGGAGAAGTGCTGGGCTGTTTCGAGGGCGAGGGCCATGCGGATAGCGTTTGCGGTGTCGCGGTACGCCATGATCTGGGGGTGTTAGTGAACGTGTGGCGTGTGGTGGGCTTGGGATATGTGCCTTTATGAATTCTGGGAGCGAGCTGGTTACCGCTCTTGCTTGTTGGCTGACGCGGCGGCATCGCAGGAATGATGCTACATCGAGATAGCGAAAGACCTTATGCTGGATCTGTACAGGGAACCGATCGAGGCTACCCAGGCTGCTTTTCGGATCTGATCTCGCTGAAGGGTGCAAATAGTCAAGTGAACAGTGATTGAGCAGCGTCTGTGGTGAGAGGATATTGTCGCGCTCGATCTCTTGCGGCTCGAAAGCGGTGTCATGCGTATGGCGTTGCATGATTGCAGTGAGAGGGAAATGAAAGCTGCGAAGAACTTCCTAGGCACTCGAGCAAACGGTTCGCTTCCATTTTAGGTAGCCGGCCGCCGACTCACCGACTTTGTTGAAGTGAAGGCATTGTTTTTTAGAACTCCAGACTGAAGGCCCGCTAAACGGGTACTGTCGCAATATATGGTGTATTATAATACACAGCAAACATCACGACGATCTAAACGGAGCCTGAGCCTGGAAGGTCAACTGATGAGCGTTCAATTACGTTATCTTTGGTTCTATGGACCATGCCTCCCTGGGGGAATCGTCCGACGGGCAAAGCTGTGGGAGGTAGCTCTCTGCCCACTACCATGTCCCTATTCCTGTTCGTAACTCGCTTGAAATCCACACACCATGCATATATCTTGCAATGAGATCTCGGCCAGTTGAGTAATCGCTGCTGGATTCAACTAGATGCAGATTGTCGGTGCTGGAGTAGCTTGAGACGGAGTCTTAGTCTTCCCAAGGATACCACTTCTTGACCAAGGCAATATCGCCAGCCGAAGGCATATCTCGCGGTGGGATCCTCTCCAACCCAGCCGTCTTGCCGCCTTCTTTCTTGTATTGGAGTAGTGGACACTGGTGCATATCTATCACACAGATGCTGTTGGACATGACCAATGAGTGATAAAGCATGATGGAATCCAGATCGAAATTCCCCTGGTCCACATTCTCGCCCCCAGGGCTTTTGAGGAACTGAGTGCCAAAGAAGTTATATTTGGTTGCGAAGTCGAAATCTTCACACAGCTTTGCAGACGCATCCTGTTGGCTCATTTTTTCGGCCGCCATCGCTTTGTCCAAGCAGTCTTGGTAGCCGATGACATGCTTGCATTGATACAGCACGTAGTCGTCGCCTGTCAGAGCACCAGATCAGCGTGGCCATAAGCCTAGTAGGTAATCAAGGAAGCTTACGGTCGCTTCGGTGCACCTCATGTACCAATCCAAGCACTGTGATTGAGTTAGCTTGTTACAAAGAGCGTTATGTTACACAAACCGTGTCCGAACTGTATCCGGTCAGCCGTGCTCAGAGTCAAATCGGGTCTTTGTTGACCTACCTCATGTACAGCATCGCTAAGGTTCGTCTCTAAGCCTATCTTTACGAAGTTTCGTCCTGGTGTTGTAGACTCAGAACTGTCGCTATAGCCAATACTAGACAATGCCAACCCAGGGTCTTGGAAATATATGCTTATCATAAGGGCGTCTCCAGGGACCTTGGGGTTCCAATTGCCGTCTGGGGTGTGGCAGTACTGAAGCACGCGTTTCTTTGGGTCCGGATTGTCGTCGTGGGTCTCGTGCCATGCCAAACTATGACCAGTCTTCGCGCTGGCAGGAGTCCCGAGTTTGTTGCCCCATACAGTAAGTGCAGGCATAACATGGGAGCAGTGAAGTGCATTTCGTGCTTCAGGGCCACTGTAACAGTATTTGATCAATCGATACTTCACGTTGTTGAGTTTGACTTGAGGCCATGGCTTCCGATGACCTAGATGGAAGAGACCGGCACCTCCGTGTTGTTCTTGCTCACCACTACCATCCTTCACCATGACAACGCGTTCATTCGTAGCGCAACCAGCGCTCACGAACGCAAGAGGCCAGAGGGCAATCCAAGTTAGAAGTAGGACCAGCGTACGCATGTTGAAGGTGCGGGGCAGGTGAGGAGCCCAAAGTGAAGATATCGAAAGAGCCGTGTATGGTGGAGCCGCAGAAGCAAGTGATATCCCGCTGTTCCGCTACGCTGAGTTAAACGGTGACATACGAGGCTGGGTTGTGCGAGGTGGTCTGGGCCTGGTGTGGCGGAGATGTCGGCGAAGATGTAGCGGGGGAAGGAGCGGTCTACGACAACGAAAGACTTTTACGTCATTACTGCCTCAAATTTCCAGGTGCGATTAGCTCAATACAGATAAACTAATTCATACGAACGCAAACGATGCCCCATAGCACATGTACAACCAGTGCTGTGAATCACAATGCTTGAATGGTGGCTATGGAGAGAGGGGATATGTTGTATCAAGATCTATTCCTGACATCTATTCCTAGAATCTATGTCTGCAGAACCGAGATAGGTGCGAAATTCTACGTCTTCGTGACCAGCAAGTGACCAAATCCACTTCTAACAAGTTTCTCTTGACCATGCCTTCTATGCCCAAAGCCCTGTAGCCACACTCCACCCAGCCCGCCGCTCCAACTTACGCCGCGGCCGGATACCATCTCTGAACAAACTTCGCGTCCCCGTCCGAAGGGTCTTCATTCAGCTTGAGTCTTTCCAAGGGCAACTGCTTGTTAGGCGGATCCCCACTGTACCGCAGCAGTACGCATACGGAAAGATCGTGCTCGCACGCCGGGGCGGAAGCAAGCAAGGAGTCGTATAGCATAATGGACTTGTAGTCGAATGGTATCGTGGGCTCGTCGTGGATGCGGCCGAAGGGGTCTTTTACGAAGTCCGAGCTGCCGAATTTGTAGCGGTCGGCGAACTCGCGGTCGTTGCAGAGCTTCTCGTGGGCGTCGGCGTAGTTGAGTTTATTCTCGACTCGGGCCAGGGCGATGGTTTCGGAGTAGTTGGGCAGACTCTTGCACTCGAAGTGGACGTAGTCGTCGCCTACCAGGGTGTCAGTGTTGGTTAAGATGGCTAGCAGTTTGGCTTACTGTCATGGCGGTTGTGTTCGTGGACCATACCGAATACTGGGATATGTCAGTTGAATTTCACTGATGGCGTTTCTAACTGACCATGGCCGAGCTATTTGTCATTGTCAGCTGCAGTATTTTTGACCACCTATCGTTGTTACCTCATGTGCGATTGTAGCGGTCGTGACATCAGGGCCTATATTCATAATGTGATAACCGAACAGGTCCTTCTCCCGCGTGGGATCGTATCCGACTGTAGAGGATGCAGATTTGCCTGCGTTTCGATCGATTCGAATGGCAAGAGTGTCATGGGGCACATTCTTAGAGTCCCAGTTCTTATCTGCATCGTAGCAATACCTAGGCTGGCGCTTCGAGCGGTCAGGGTTGCCATCGCTAAGTTCCTCCCAGTAAAGGTTCGTCGTGCCCTTGAAAGCCGGTGAATCAAGCTTCTGCCTCCATTTGTCAAAGGCGTCCCTGAACCGGGGGCAGTCAAGGTGATCCCTGACGTGTTTCTCGCTGTAACAGTACTTGACTATGCGCATCTTCCGGCCTTTCCTGTCGACTTCGGGCCAGGGCTGCTTGAAGCCAGTTGCGAGTTCGCTAGCGGCGCCGTACTGCACCAGTGCAGCAGCCACATCGGGAACGAGAGTTGTGTTCGATCGGACCGAGCATTCAAAGCCATTACGACGGGCGATGATTGAGGGTAGAAGAGCGAGCAGCCCAAGGCAAGCGAGCAATACACGGCGCATGTTGGGTGTGAGGAGTTGAGCGAATGGTGGAGCAGTCGGTGAGGTGCGAGAAATAGTGAAGGCTGTCTATTGGGACATAAGTGGGGTCAACAAACAGGCACATGCTCACTGTCTGTGAGCAGGTTGTCACCTTGGTGTAAAAGAGGAAGCTACGCACGGTCACGGCGAAAGACCAAGGGACCGCGTGCTGAGGTACACTTTTTGATTACACGCGCAGAGACGCTCACCAATGCTTCCAAACGCCGCATGCGACTCCGCCGTCATCATGTACAGCTCAGAGTCACTGCAATCGCGATCGTTTCAATCATCTAGTCTAATGCAAGGCATGACAGTGCGTAAAAACCTCCCTCTCAGGCTTACAACTTCGCTGGGTCTTGGATAGAACAAAGTGCTACGTAGCCAACGACAGTCTCTCTTCCCTCCGTGGTGGTCGTTCAGACATCAACGAGACGTTCGAAGAGCGGTTCCTAGACGCTCGGAATATAGATCTCCTTGACATCGTCGTCATCAACCCCGGACACGGGTTCAAAGGTGTGCAAAGGCGTTGATGTGCCGGGGTATGTAGTATCATCATCGCCAAAGTCCTCTAACATGCGCTCTGCCAGGTACTCGCCACTGTCCGAGCCCAAGGCGGGTGCGTTGGACGAGGCATCGTCTGAGTCATTCCTGCGGGTGTTGAGGGTGTCGAAGCTCCACTGCGGTTCGTCTATGTAAGCAGGGGCGTGCGGACCGCTCATCCCTCCCTCAGTATCGATACCACTGAAGCCCTCGTCATCGCCTAATGTTTCGTCGTCGTAGTAATCGGGCGGACTATGACCGTCGAGAATCCCGAGATCTGCTCCGCTCTTTGCTAGGCTCCCTTGAGGGGTTGCGGCTGCCGAAAGGGCTGAGCCATCCCCGCGCAGGACTACGGCTCCCGCTCCTGCTGCGCCAACTCTCGACGACCCATTGCGGGACGAACCGCCGAGGCGCGAGCCGTTTCCCGCCGGTGAGCGCGATCGGTTCTCGGTATCAGAGTCTTCATCAGAGCCGCCCTCGATATCCTTTTGAACGATGTTCTGAAGGGACTCTGGTCCTAAAGGGCTGCTAGAACGTCGACGATAGAAAAGCAAGTAAGCAGCCTTGGTCACAGCTTCCCGGCCTGACGAGAGCGATACTGAAGAGTCTGCTTCAAGTCAGTACAGTTGTAAAGGAGACTAAGGCGAAGAGTTCGATACATACCATTATAGTTGTACCACTGCTTGTCGAAGAAGTTTTGAGCAGTGGCTGTATAGTGACCCCCTCCAAGTCCACCGAAGTGATTGTCAACCGCGAAAAGATCGTACACCAGGCCCTTGCCCTCGGGGAAACCAACCTTACCAGTGAGATCGAGGCCCTCGACTGGAAAGTCGACTTTGTCGTCAATCTTGTCCCGGAACGACCGGAACCCACTGAACCGCTTCAGATGGAAGATGAGAATGTCGGGTACTGTCCAGATGTCGAGAGTCTTGGTCGCACGACGCATTTCCTTGCAGTTGCTGCAGTACCACGGGTTGTCTTCGGACAGCGTCTCGCTCTTCGAGGTCTCCGTCAAGCACTCATCCAGCGTGATCCCGCTCTTCTTACGAGCAATGCGCTTGGCCTTCTTCTCCCGGATCTCAGGGTCGTCAAATGTCTCGATGGTCTTCAGCACATCCATACCACGAGAATCATCTGCATTCAGGCCGCCGAAAAGCGCATCGAAGGCTTCTGGGTTCCAGTCCAGCACAATAGCTTCCCCGAGACGAATCAGACCCTCGTTCTCGTCGTTGCGGTCGTCTGCGAAAACTGGCTGTTCCGGTACCCTAGTTTTCTTCGCCTTCCAATTCTTGTTGTTCATTTGTTTACGTTCCAGCTTGCGCTCGTGTTTTCTGGCCTTCTTACTCTTCTTTTTCTGGCGACCGCCCTTCAAAGGCTCAGAAGGTTCGACAAGCTCGATGGACGGCATCTCATCGTCGCTGCTGACGTTCGCTTCCTCGATAGCGGCCTCAGTGTCAGCGTCAGCCGCCGAATGAGGCGAGTTGGCGTCTTCCTCGCTCGATGACTCGCTGCCTGCGCGGGAGGATTGTTCGGAGTCTGCCCGCTCCGAAGGTACTGGGATTCGCTTCGAGATAGGGTCTAGCGCCTTTTGATGATCAATCGAGTTCCAGCCGGTCGGCACAAACTCGTTACCCTTACGGCTGTACTTAATCTCAAACAGGTGCCTGAACTCTGGATTGATGAAGGCACCATCTTTAAGAACCTCTGGAAGTTCAGCGTGGCCTGCGGTGCCAGCAACAGGTACCTCCGCATCCGTCATTGTTACTTCGACCATGTCCTCGCCCTCGATAGAGCCATCTTTGACACGTGGATCGCTGTTAGGTAATGCATCCTCTTCAGTCGTCAGAACAACATCCGACCCTGGACGAGACTGGTCAGAAGAGTTGCCACCGAGTTCTGTAAGGATAGGACGGCTAGTAGACTGTGCAACCTTTGCAAGCACTTTGCGTAGAATAGCGTCGTAGTCCTTCGCCTCCTCACGAGTTACAACAATATGGAAAGGCCACAGTGCCATTGCGTACGATGAACCCCTGTACGATGACGCACTTGGCCCTCTCTGGAAGACGGGAACCAGCACCTTGTCGTGAAGCGGAGATGCCGAATTGGGAATGTCTTCGTCAGAAGAGTGCGACATGAACGACTTGTATTTGGCCTTTTTCTTAGGGGCCGGCCAGTTGCTCGGAGCATGCTCGAGTTCGTAAAAGTAAACGTCGTCGCGGGTCGTGATTTGGCATTCAGAGATCGTAGCATTATCGTCGAAATGACGATAGAACTTGTGACTATAGACCTCGGAAGCCATAAGTCGATTGGCCTTTACACCGCCAAATCGCTTGCCAACATACTCCTTCAACGTTTTGATGGTGGCGTTCTTATCGATATCAACATCGAGTTGCTGAAGTTTGCCGTATAGAGGCACGTAGGTGATCGTGTGTGACCAGGATTGCTCGATAGGTAATTGCAAGGTCAATTGACTGTACGGATCGAATGTGATGCTGACCTTATCGCATTCAGGACACACCATAGTGTTCTTGTAAAACCCATTGAAAAGATCTGTTGAGACAGAGTCGTTGCGTGCGCGGTAGTTCGCTCGATATACCTCGCCCAACTGCTTCATCGCCTCCGGATCACGGAATGTGTTATCATCTGAATCAGGGTTCTCCTTGTAAGGTTTGGTGATGATGCGGTTGAGATCCTCATGAAGCGCATCAATGAGCCAACTCAGGAACTCCTGCGAATCTTGCTGCCCGTAGCCGCTAAACAGACTGTTGGCTCTACCGAGGGTCTGTTTGAACTGCTTGGGCGAGAACGACGAAGAGCCGTTGACACTGTAGATACTGTTGACCAGATTCGCATACACGCTCGCGATCTGTCCCTTGTAGCCAATGGGGTTGACCTTATTCACCTCCCTTTCCCACTGGTCGTTGAGGAAATATAAGCTCAGCTCTTCCACGCTGCGTAAGCACTGGAGCGCCGAATTCATGTAGCAAGTGTTGCCCAAATTTGTCAACCCAGTCTGCCCGCGGACCTTACCGCTGCGCGTTCTGCCTCGTGTGAGTGGGCCGCCAGTGGGCGTACTCCTGCCACTAGTGTTGCCACTCTTCAAGCCTTCCCTGAGCTGTGCTGCGGTCTTGTACTTCGTTGACACTGTGGTCGTATCCGTGATGAAGTCACCTTTCTCGTCGGCCTCTTCAAGAACGATGACCTGATCCTGTGTGAGGCCGGCAGCGTCAAGAGACAATGAAGGATTTGAGTCCTCATTGGCCTTGTCGTCTTTCCCTGTTACTTGCTCGCGCTCGGTGCCAACTGCTAGCCTGGTGAAGCTCGCGGTATCCATGATCAGAGGTAAGCGCAAGGTCTCTTCGCCGGCAGCAGGAGAGCCGCCGCGCGGTGAGGCGTCGGGTGTCAACATGCCAGATGGTTGCAGCTGTGTCTTCGGCTGGGGTTCATCGGAGGGAGCTGTATTGAGTAGCCTCCAGACGCGCATCTTGTTACTGACATCGATACCAGCAGCCCTCTTCGCAACGCCAAGAAACTTCTGGAAGTTGTCGCTCCTGCTAGCGACGATGCGTTGCGCAGACTTTGCTTCTTCTGTTGGCGTCGCTGCAGCCTTGCGAACTTTGCGGATAGTAAGAATAGGCGGGTAGAGCTCCCACAGCAGGTTGGTGCTGCTCTTATCGGGCACGGTGTTCTGCACATAACGCCGAATAACAGGGCTACCATCCTTGAGACCGTACCAGCGAACCACGAGCTCCCAGGCTTTCGCAGGCAGCACCTCGAGATTCTGGTGCAGCATCAACCCTTTACTCAAAGGTACGAAATCCGCACCGCTCTGGTCGACCAAGCCAGCATTCAAAGCCTCGATGTCGACGAGTCTCGAGTTGTCTACGGGTCCGATTGGGCCTTCGGTAGCCTCTTTGCTGTACTCCTTCGGGTTGTTCTTTCCCTCCGATGTCCGAGCAAACACTCGCTCCAGCCAGGCTTCAGATACAACGTAGCCCTCTTGCCCCTCCTGGAGCTCGCCGCTCATCATGTTCATGACGGCCGCAACCTGGTCGTCCAGGCTGGGCAAGTCTGCCGGCGACGCAGACTCCGGGCGGTCACTGTCGCTGGACGCGTCTGCCATCTCCACCGAGGTTGCGCGGGCGCTGCGCTGCAGGGCAGTGGCAGCGGGGAGCGGCTTCGTGGGCCGCGGGCTCGACTGGTTGCTACCACGGCGAGGGTTGGCGGCAGCGGGCGAGTCGACATCCATACTGCTGGCGTCGTCCATGTCCGAGTGCAGGCGTTTGGCGGGCGAAGAAGCGCGGTGGGCAGGGCGCTGGCCGTTGTCGGACGAAGGCACGCGCGTGCGCTCCGAGGAGTCGGTCATGGAGCCGTCGGCGCTCTCAAGCGAGAGGTTGGCGTAAGCCTCACTCGGCGAACTCGCGCCAGTGGCTATGCTCTCTCCGCGCACGCCGGGCGTGCTGCTGTTCTCCTGCGAAGCCTCCTTGACTGCTTCCTTCATGTGGGGCGGCAGAAAGCGCGGCGGCGGTGATGTCGATGGATGCGGGGACGAGCGAAGCGAAGCGGCGGGCGAGCCCTCATTCGAGGACGGCGAGGATTTGCGCAGCCCGGACTGTGAGCTGCTGGTTTGCGCGGCGGTCACCGTCTTCCGTTTCTTGGTGGAGGCCGTTGTGAAGCTCTGAGGCCTGCCCGGAGCCTCGACAGCTCCAAGACAGACAAGGCGGGCGAAGAATGGCCGGTGCTGGGGGAACGCGTGCCGGCGCCAGTGGTGGGCGAGCTGCTCGCGCGGAAAGTGAGGCAGGAGGCGGTGTATGTGTCGGGTAAGCGTAATCGGCGGGGCAGAGCGTGCAGGGGCGGTGTGGTTTGAAGAAATCGCACTCCTCCGTCACCGCGCTCCAGTTTGCTCGTCCGCAAACCAGACACTAAACGCCTCGCTTAGCACCGCAAGGCTGAGAGACATCCATGCAGGCGCACGGCCTGTGCCCGGCCAGACACCGTGTCGATGACCAGTGCTTGGCCGTTTGACACCTGAACATTGGAGCGCGTGCTGCAGGCAGGTCACAGTGATTGCGCAAGCCCTGGCACCAGTCGGCGTGCCGCGGCGACGCAGGTTCGATCTGCAGCAACGGACCTGTCGGCCGCATGGAGGCCTGCAACTTGCATGAAACCATCAAAAGTAGGGCCGCTTGACTTCACAAACAGCATCACTGGCGTGCATGGGTGTAGGAAGAATGAAGTCTCTTGTTATTATTACTACTGTCAGCATCGGCGTGCCGCTATGGACATCAACATCGCAGTGTCTGTGTGGAGCAACAGGAAGAGAACACCGGCGATGCAACACGTTCACCTCGATCCACCCTTGAGCCAAGCGAAAGCAGAAGCACCACCCACGGGATTGGCAGGGCGCTTCGTGCCGGAGTGCTGGTTCTCTTCCTTCTCGCCTGACATTGCCCGGCTGAGAGACGGTGCAGGTGCGCCTGTTACTGCTTCATCATCCTTCCTTTTGCCGTCGTCGAAATAGCGCGACTGTCCAGTGCCAGCTGCAGTAGTCGATGAAGAGAACGTTCGTGATGACGACCTTGACGGCCGCAATACCTTGATCTCACGACGCGGCTGGCCGGACGGAGCCGCAGTGGTTCTACCCACGTTTGCCCAGTCCAGCGAGCCGCTGTTTGTCTTCTCGTTTGTATCACGCCGCCAGCTGCTGAGCGTAGCAGGTGGAGGCCCAGGGCGTGGTGCCGCTGTGACAGGACTTGGAAGAGGCGCATCCTTGGACTCAGACCGACTGAAAGTTGTCGAAACGGGGTGGAGCCGCTGGTCGAGGCTCCTCCGGCCGCTCGAACCGCCATCATCAGAACCATCCGCGGTACCAGCCTCTGCAGCACTATGCGCAACTACATTTCCTGTCTCGGTCAAGTCAAGAAACTTCACCTTGGGTTCGACTGGTATCGGTGTACTCATCGCTGCAGTCTTTGATGCCGAACCTGGTTCGACGGTGTGACGGATTCCATGCGAAGTCGACAGAGACTTGAAAGCGCTTTCGTCCTCTGGTCGCACGAGTGGGACCTGGAGCTTGCTACGGTCGTCATCGTACATGATCAATTGGTTGGTGGAGAAGAGCACGTCGGCATTGTGTGCTCGAAGCAGGTCGCTCCCAATGACAATCTGAACAGCCTTTGGCGTAGCCTCATCGTATTCATCGACCACGGTAAATTCAACAGTAATCGAAGGAAGCTGAGGAGCAGGGCTTTCAGACTGAGTTGAAGTCAAGATGGGAACAGCTTCAGGAAGATATACTGTCAGTTTGATCTTCCTCGTGCCATCGTCGCTTCGAGTGATCTGGTCCTGGAACTCGAGGTGATTGATGAGATGCAAATCTAGATAAGATGTATGCGAGCCACTACAAATAGCAGCATACAACAGGGTATCGTGTCTGAAGTTAGTGTCGAGCCAGCAACGTATAATGGAAGGTACAGAGCCGAGTATGAAGAGACCGGGTGCCAGACCTGGGATCTCCACTGGTGTTGCCGGACCGTAACTTGTGAGGCTATTAGCTCGTCCTGATGTAACCGAGTGAACAGATTGGCCCGCTGAGCTCTGTCTGCCATCCGACTTGTGTGAGTAGCTGCGTTCACTCAAGGCATGCCCGCCGAGACTACTGCTAGAGCGGGGTAAGAGCTCCAGCGAAGTTCTTGACGCATGAGCCCAGTGCCCGTGGTTCGCTGTCTCGTCAAATCGAACGCTGTTGGCACGAGATGTTGTCCCTACTCGTCGAGGCTCATCGTCGGCGTCGAGCTGGAGGTTGCCGATGAGGTTACTGGACTGGTCATCGTCGAAATTGGAGAAATGCTCGGCTGTAGGTTGCTGTAAAGGAACTGAGACCACATTAGGAGGACATTGAAATGGTTCAGCACGCTTAGCGTACCTTGCTGCGGGGTGCCACCAAGTACGGAAGGAAATGGCGAGGACGTTCCCCAAACGTTCTTCAAACGAGAATCGTCATCTTGCTTGCGTTCTAAGCGGGCGACGCGGTCTGTCAGCTCGGCCTGGGCTTGTTGCACCCGCAGCATCTCGCCTTGAAACTGCCAGAAGTCGTCGCGGGGCTGGAACACTACACTCTCCGGGTCCATTCCTTCCAGGCTATCATCCCTTGGTGGGGACGCTCAACCAACAAGAGCCCCCGTATCGCCGCTGCTCTCCTGCCAGCTGATTCCCCTCCCTTTAATCGGCAGCTCCACCACTTCCACCGCCCTTAAAGCTCATCCGACGTTGTATCCCTCTGTTGTAATGCTGTTCGTGGTTTGAGACGTTTCGGAGTGTGATTCAGAACGGCAGACCTAATGTGAGGACTAGAAGGCGATTGCTGTTGGCAAATACTGGAACGTAACGTGAAATTCGACAGGCGCTGCAAGCCGTGTACGAGATGTGTACTGCAAAACTGGGTTGTGAAGGCAATCAACAGACACCACTGGGAACTTAATGTGTCAGGTCTACTGGCGAACAATTGCGCAAACGTCAGGAATTGAAGTTGTTACGAGAAACGCGTGTTTTGGAGGTGTTTGGTGGAGCGGTTGAGGAAATCGTGCGTGTCGTTGTAGCGAGCACGTTGACTGTCGTTTGGTGTTGTCGATTCGGGAGCTCTGTTTGGAGACACGCCACGGAGCTTAGCTCGGCGGGGCTAAGGTCACCGCGTCACCACCGACCGACATTTACTATGGAAAACTGGTACAGCGTTCAAGTCAAACGTGCTTTGTCTATCTTATTTCTAATTGATCATTCAAGCTGACTGTTGCGATGCTGTCCAAGCGGCCCAAGCATCTTCATCGTTCCACCCCGGGAAAACAGTTGGCAGCTTCCCTGGTGCCTGATCGGGCCACACATCAGCGATAACCTTTGTCAATTCCTCGAACAAAATTTGGTAGCCAGCGGGATGGAAGTGAAGACCTAGATGCCGGTCAGTTTAGGGAACTTTAGAGCTGGCTGCTCGACCATAATGCTTACCATCGTACATCAACTCTACCAAGGCGTCGTTCTGCGCTGTCTCCAGCGAACCTGGAAGGAAGTCACCAACCTTCCATGCATCAATCTGGAAGTCGGTCTTTGCCATGAAAGCTTTCCATAGGTTGACAACAGGTATTTTGAACTCTGCACCGAGCTCAACAACGGCATCAGCATACTGCTTGGTGGCGGCGGCGGTCCTTGTAACTGAGCCATATCCCGACGATTGATCTCTCGGCCACCATAGATGCTCGTTGATCGGCGGGGGAGCGATCAAGATTATGCGAGGGTTGTGGGCTACAATCTGCGGGTGCGTGATGATCTTCTCCAAGTTGGCCTTGTACTCGTCCAGGGGGATATGTTGCTTATTCGGAGCATCCGGAAGCGAGGCATCGTTGGCACCGAAGAAAACCGTCTAGGATGGTTAATCTATGCTCGACCAAGTTCGGGTTTGTCGTACCAGGAAGCGAATCTTGGCCTGCTCTGGAGAGGGCACGATGCTGGGCAACACGCGGAGGGCCTGTCGGGTATTATAGCCGCTTTAGGTTGTTAGGTAAAGTTTATGTATCGAGTTCTGGGTTCTTGGAGACGTACCTAAAGCCACGATTGACTACATCGAGTCGTCTAATGTAGTCTGCCTCCGTCAGCATGCAGGGTCATGCAGATGAGCCTCAGAACTGCCGGAAAAACTGGCAACCAGGTCGATGCTCCGAACACGCCAAAACATACCAGCCTGAAGTGCTGCAGAAAAGCCGAATCCTCTCTCTTGGTTGAAGGAGTCCTGGGTGATGGAATCACCAAACAGGAAGAACTGCTCGTATGGAGTTGGCTGCAGAAGCATTAGGTATTTCTTGCAGCAGTCCAACGTAAGACCGACCACTCACCATGTCGATCGGTCATCCGATGCGAGGTCGAATCTCTGGGCGCCGTCAAGAGTATCACAAGGGTGAGTCGGTTCGGGATAGGCTTGATTACTCCGTCAGTCCGTCAAAGGCTACTCTTGGATCTCGATATGCTCGGATTACAGCACAGGAATCGAGCTCAAGATGTAGGGGCACTGAAGGACGCTGCCGGACAAACTGTAGACAACGGAGCGATGGTTCATCCTCCGGCTCAGTTCCTCCGGCGCTGTAGACGGCAAACAGGCGTCTTAGTGGGGTGTACTGGACTTCTGGTTGCCATTGGCCGTTTCCACTTCAGACGCACCTTGCTGTCTTCGGTGTAGCCCCAGACCATTGGACCCTGAACCCATGACGGAGCACATCACGCGCTTGCCGCTGAGACAACATTGCAATGCGCCTCGGCGCACGCGAAAACAAAGAATCCTGCGTGCTTTTCGTAGGCCCTGCAGCGTTTGTGAGGCAGGAAAACTGGGTCGTGCTACAATCAATACGAGCGCGCAAGATAACGCGCTGTGATCGCCATGTTCGAAACAGCAGGGCTGCCGAGAGTGGCTCCGCGGCTTGTAATGTTGTGGGGACGGGTGCCCAGCATGAGGACCCTCTACGACACCGCCATCTTCAGATGACCTTGTAGCTGCCTCGAGACGGCGATATGTGGCTAGGCGCCCCCGGTACAACAGACTGCCGCCCCGTACTTGCTCTCTCCTACACGCACATCGCCCATCATGCCTAAGTCGATGAGGTCCTACCGTAGCATCGAGGACTATCATGGCAACGACGATGATGCCGCCGAGCAGCGCGAGGGCGCCGACACCATCAGCAGCACCACGCCCACGTCGCCGGTTGCCTACCGCCAGCGCCCGATGCGCGGCTCCGAGACTGACCTCACCAGAAGCGGCCTGTCCGAACGGTCCGCGCTGCTGGGGCATGCACACGGCTCGAGGTCCTACATGAGCGTGCCTGGGAGCGTGCCGGGCACCCCGCGTCCGGGCACGAAGCGACACAACAGCGGCCTGCCAACAGGCATCCGCATGAAGAGCAGAGCAGGGTCGTTCAGCCATTCGTTCAGCCAGCGACTGGTGAACGCCCTCGGCGAACGCAGGGCGGGGCTGGACGAGAGCACGCAGTCTGCGAAAACGACCCTGTGGCAGGACAACAGGGTCTGGTATGACCAGTTCACGTCGACAGACTGGGTCCACGATAACATCGCGGACGCATACCGCGTGAAGGCCCTCCGAAGCCGAAAAGACATCAGAGGGCGGTTGGCAGCCTGGTTTGACGGCGCACAGGGCTGGGTGCTTGTGGCCATCATCGGCGTGCTCACGGCCATATGTGCCTACTTCGTCAACACCACCGAAAGCACAATCTTCGACCTGAAGCAGGGCCACTGCACGAAGAAGTGGTTTTCCAGCCGCAAGGCCTGCTGCGCTGGGGCCTCGATATGCGAGGACTGGGTACATTGGTCGCAGGTTTTCCGCAGTGACAGATTAGATGTCGTGCACACGCAGTTCGGCTTCTATGTTGTATCGGTTGTTCTGCTGTCCATGGCATCATGCTTGTTGACGCTCACAACCAAGACCGTCATCCCTTCAGCCATCTCGCTCTCCACGCTTGACGAGAATCTGGGAGCGGAAGACCTCCGAGATTCAGCCCTCCAGGATAACGAGAATCACAAGCGCAGCTCGAGCCCTCAGACGCAGATCAACGAAGCCCAAGTGCGACCACCGATGGTCTACTACTCTGCTGCTGGCAGTGGAGTTGCAGAAGTCAAGGTCATCCTGAGCGGCTTCGTTCTTCACGGATATCTTGGACTGCGCACGCTAATCATCAAGACCATGGCTCTGATATTGAGTGTGGCATCTGGTCTGAGTCTCGGCAAGGAAGGGCCAGTGAGTGCACACGGCATTGGACGCCAGACCTCCGCTAATAACATTGTCTAGTACGTCCACATCGCCACATGTATTGGCAACATTGCATGCCGTATCTTTTCCAAGTACAGCGACAACGACGGCAAGCGCAGGGAGATTCTCAGTGCCAGTGCTGCAAGTGGTGTAGCTGTTGCTTTCGGCGCTCCAATCGGTGGAGTGCTGTTCAGTCTGGAGGAAGTGAGCTACTACTTCCCCTCCAAGACGCTCTTCAGGACCTTCTTCTGCTGTATTGTAAGTACCCTCCGCGTGAGACAGTCTCTCTCTAACCTCAATAGGCTGCGGCGCTGTCGCTGAAGTTCCTCGATCCCTATGGCACGAAGAAGATTGTCCTGTTCGAAGTCCGCTACCACCTCGACTGGAAGTTCTTCGAGCTCGCCACGTTCGTCTTCACTGGCTGCGTTGGCGGCGTTTTGGGCGCGTTGTTCATCAAAGCTTCACGCATCTGGGCCCGGACGTTCCGACGCATCCCGGTCATCAAGAAGCACCCTCTCCTGGAGGTGTTTGTTGTAGCGCTCGTCACAGGCCTTATCAGCTTCTGGAACCGCTACACTAAGCTCCCAGTCACCGAGCTTCTCTTCGAGCTGGCCAGTCCTTGCGACACCTACACCGATTCCGGAGATGGCTTGTGTCCCACAAAGGAGCACATTCCCTCGGTGCTCTGGGTCCTGTTCGTCGCGTTCGTCATCAAAGCGGGTCTAACTATCATCACTTTCGGAATCAAAGTGCCCGCAGGTATCTATGTGCCATCGATGGTTGTTGGTGGTTTGGCCGGGCGCTTCATTGGCCACACTGTACAGCTTTTCGCACTCCGGTTCTTTAACAACTTGGGCGTGTTTGGCGAGTGTGAGGCTGACGGGCCACCTGGATCTTGCGTGGTCCCGGGTGTGTATGCCTTGGTCGCAGCCGGCGCAACGATGACCGGCGTCACTCGATTGTCGATCACGCTCGCCGTCATTCTGTTTGAACTGACCGGCAGTCTCGACCACGTTCTGCCCTTCTCGCTCGGCATCCTCGTCGCCAAGTGGACCGCCGACGCCATCGAACCGCTCAGCATCTACGACCTCCTCACCGACATGAACTCGTACCCCTTCCTCGACAACAAAGTCCGCCCCATCTTCACCTCGGAGCTCGGCGACATCACCTCGCGCGTGCGCCCCGACCGCATCATCGACATCTCGGACGACTCGCTGATCCCCGCCACCGAGCTGCGCGTGATGCAGCAACTGCTCCAAATGGCGGGCGAGCTCGACGGCGGCGTCCCCATCGTCAAGCACGGCGTCCTCGTCGGCCTGATCCCCGCCCCCGATCTCGAATTCGCCCTCGACAAACTCGACAACGAGGAGAACACGCTCTGCCTCATGTCGCCCCAGGTCGACTGGGCCGCGGGCCGCGAACCACAGGCGTCGAGCGACGACGGCGATAGGCCGCAGAGCGACCCGAGCGACTTCACGCCGTACATTGACCCGGCGCCTATCGCGCTCGATGTCCACTCGCCCATGGATCTGGTGTACGAGTGCTTTGTCAAGCTGGGCCTGCGGTACATCTGCGTGGTGCGGGACGGCAAGTACGCCGGTCTGGTAAGACCTTACTCTCATACATTATATTGTGTTGTTGCTAACGCGTGCGGCAGATCCACAAGAAGAGCTTCGTCAAGTACATGAAGGAGCTGGAGCTGGAGGAGAAGCGGAACCACGACATCTGAGGAGCGAAGTTTACGAGCATCATCATCTTCACTGGGGGGGTTTTTCTTTCTTCACTCCTTTGGTGCGGTCGCTCGCATTGGCATTTACATGATATCCAGCACTCATTTGCATTGGGGGCGTTTGTGGGCACGACTGATGGGGGACTTTGGCTTTGAGCATTCAAGACACATTCGCTGCTGCATTGCGCGTTACATCTAGCTTTAAGCCTGTGTTCGTGATGTCTCCTGGCTGCGCGTTACACTCAGCTTTCAACCCCATGCTCGTGATGTCCCCAGCCTGCCCGTCCACGACCAAGATATCGTGTCAGCCATGTCGCTACCGCCGCGCACTCCACAGCTGATCGATAATTTGAAACACGGCCGTAACATCCCGCAGCGTCTGCTCGTCAATCCGCTGCCCAAAGCGCCGCTGCATCTTATCCGGATGCCAGCGCACGCGCTCGGCCTTGAGCAGCGCGCCCGCGCCCTCGCCCCACGCCGGCGCCGCGCGCAGAAAACCGCTCGATCGCGGCCTTGTCGACGTCAGCCGGCGCGCCCGACAACACGGGCCAGGGGATCCGCTCACGGACGGGCGCCGCCGCGGTCTCAGTCTCGGGCGTGGGCGTGTCCAGCGCCGCCCACTTCGCGCCGTACACGTCCCAGGCGCGCGTGGCCTCTTTCGCGCGCCGCCGCGCCTCGCCGCGCCGCAGCGACTCCTCCATGCGACGCCCCAGCGCCTCGCGCTCCCTCTCCTCCTGCCTGAGCCCCTCGTCCCCCCTCTCTCGGGCTTCCTTGCGCTCCCTCCGTGCCCGCTCCCGCGCCTCCCGCTCCTGCACCACGTGCTGATGCGTCTTCTCCCACATCTTCGCACGCACGTGCTGCGCATACTCGTCGTCCGTCATGCGCTCCAGCGTGCCGTCGGGCCCCGGCCGCGAGTCCGGGTAGATGGTGATGGGCTGGCCGTAGACGGCTTCCCAGTAGGCGGCGCCCTCGTCGTCGGCGAGCGCGTCGAAGAGCGATTCGCGGAAGGTGGTGGCGCTGGGGGATGGGGGGGCGTCGAGGAGGGATTCGCGGTGCCGCGAAGAGGGGTCGTAGTAGGTGCCGTCGACGGTGGAGGTTGGGTGGCGGTCTGGATGGCGGTCTGGATGGCGGGAGGTGTGTTTGCGCCGGTGGTGGTGCCGGTGCGAGGAGGAGTGGTCTGAGCGGTGGCGCTTGGAGGAGCGGTGGGATCTGTCGGCGTCGTCGTCGTGGTGTCGTTTGCGACGCGACGAGGATTTGAAGTGGAATTTGGAGGGTTTGGCGGTGGTGTAGGCATCGCCCTTGGAGGCGTCGTCAGCCGGGTCCTCCATGGCGAGGACTGTGGTGGTGCCGTGTCCAGTTGTGCATGCTCTGACTGCGATCGTGTGATGGTGGAGGAGTGCAGTGGTGAAGTTCACGACGCGGAGGTGGTGCGGAGCGGGCGAGGCTCTCACTGGTCGCGCAGCCTTGGCCTCACGCTTCTCCGGCGCTCCACCATCACTCCGCCATTCCACGCCATGTCATTCAAGTTCGGGCTCAATGTGAAGAACAAACTCGCCAGCGGGCCCGCAAAGCCCGGGCTTGCAAAGAAAAAGAAACTCTTACTGGGCGACGACGAAGACCCCAAAGGCAAAGGGAAAGCCAAAGCCGACTCGAACGTGCAAGAGATCAGCGACTTCAACTTCGACGCGACGCTCGCCTCGTCGTCGGAGCCCTCGAAACCTGCCGCGCCCAAGCCCAAGAAAGGCGAGCCCCCGGCCCCGCCCACGAAGAAAGCAACAGCCAAAGCCGACGACCCCACAACCATCGGCTACTCCGCCAGCGCCCTCGAAGCCGAACAGCGCGCGCTCGAGGCCGCCAAGCAGGATGCCTCCCTCTACGACTACGACGCCGCCTACGACGCCATCCACGCGCGCCAGGCCGCCGTGGCCGCCGCCGCCCGCGAAGACGCCGCCGCGCGCAAGCCAAAGTACATCGACGCGCTCTTCTCGGCGTCGGAGCAGCGCAAGAAAGACCAGCTGCGCGCGCGCGACAAGCTGCTCGCCCGCGAGCGCGAAGCCGAGGGCGACGACTTCGCCGACAAGGACGCCTTCGTCACGGGCGCCTACAAAGCGCAGCAGGAAGAAGCGCGCCGCGCCGAGGAGGAAGAGCGCGTGCGCCTCGAGGAAGAAGAGCGCCAGAAGGCAAAGTTCGGCATGCAGGGCTTCCACAAGCAGATGCTGCTGGAGCAGGAACAGCGGCACGCGGAAGCGATGGCGTACGCGGCCGCCGCGGCCGCCAAAGGCGAGACCCTCGTCGTCGAGGAGGAGAAGACGGATCGCCAGATCGCCGAGGAGGCGCGCCGCCAGGGCCGGACGGTCACGCTCAACGACGCCGGCGAGATCGCGGACAAGCGGCAGCTGCTCAGCGCGGGGCTCAACATCGTCGCCCCGCCGAAGCGCGCATCCGCTGCGGGGGCTACTGAGAAACCCGCGCCGAGCCCGCTGACGCACCAGCCGCGGGCCGCGAAGCACGCGCAGCGCGAGCGCCAGACGGCCATGGTCGCGGAGCAGATCGAGGCGGCGGCGAAGCGCAAGGCGGACGAGGACGCCGAGGAGGCGGCGCGGGTGCAGCGCGCGGCCAAGAGCCAGAAGACGGCGGGCGAGATTAGCAGTGCGAAGGAGCGGTACTTGCAGCGCAAGGCGGAGGCGGCGAGGGCGAAGGCGGAGGCGGCGGGGAAGTGAGGGAGGTGGAATGTGATACCCAGAATCAGATTACGTTGTAGTATACAGGTCGAGTCGGCGATGGAGTGCGTGGGATGGGGAGCAGACACTGCCAACTGCCAACGCTGCCACCAGAATCGCGAAGCCAATGTGTCGTTTGGAAACGCAAGCCACACTCTCTTTCCTCTTCACTTTCATCATCTCCCCCTTTTCCTTTCTTCACCTTTTCCCTTCCTTCTCCCTCTTTATCTCCCCCCCCCCCCTAAATCCCCCCAAAAACATCCTCCCGATCCCCCCCATAGCAAACCCTCGCCACCCTCTCCGCCTCACGCGCATGCCCCCTCGCAACCTTCATCAGCACCCTGGCCTCAGCCTCAGCCTTGGCCTTGGCCTCGGGTTTCACCTCGGGTTTGGCCTCGGCCTTCCCCTCGGCCGCCCGCGCCGCCAGCGCCGGCAGCACGCGGTCCGCTAGCACACAGCGCCAGCGCGCGAGCTCGGGCGAGGCGCAGCCGGCGCGGGCTAGGTCGCGGAGGAGGGAGAGGAGGGTGGTTTGGAGAGTGGGGAGGTCGGTCTGTGGGGGGGGTTAGCGTGGTCGAGGAGGAGGAGGAGGAGGAGGAGGAGGAGGAGGAGGAGGAGGAGGAAGGCAGTGTGTGGCAGAAACCCAGGGGAAGGAAAGGGAAGGGGAAGGAAGGAAAGGAGAGGAAGGAAAGGAAGGAAATGAAACGAGAGGAAACGGAATACACACCTCCCCGCCCTCCCCGGCCTCGACCCTTGTCAGCCCGTCTGCGATGACTACCGCCCTTGCCCCCGCGCGCCCCCTCGCCCCCTCATGCCCCTCAAACCCCTCCCCCTCCTCATCACAAGCCTCACACCCACACTCCGCCCCCAACGCCCTCAACTCCGCCCCCCGCTCCGCCTTCCTCGCATACCACCCGCCCTCCCCCAGCGCACTCAGCAACAACTCCTCGCCCGCCGCGATGCCCCGGGCGGCATGCACATTCAGCACGCCCCGCTGCGGATCAAACGACGCGACGCAGTTCGGGACGCAGCTATGCCGGATGCGGGCGCGGGCGAGGAACAGCGCGGTCGTAGGCGAGCCGCGCGGGAGCATCGCACCGGTTGTCTGTGGGGCGAGGGATGTGCGGTGCCGGTGCCAGCGCGCGGCGACGCGGTACGTTAGCATTGCGTTCTGCAGCTTCGGCAGCATGGCGTCTAACTCCGCGGTCTGCGCGACGGAGCGGGCAGCCGGCGGCGTGACGATGGTTTCCCGCAAAGCGAAGGCCAGGCGGTCGGTCAGGAAGCGCAGGTTCGTCAGCTGCTCGCAGGCATCCGGGGCCGCGGGCTGGAGCGCCCAGAAGTGCGGCAGCGAGGCGGCGGGCAGGTTGTGGAACGCGATCATCAGGCCGTCGAGTTGGTCGCCGGGCGCGGGGAGCGTGAAGAGTGGGCGCTCGCTGATCAGGCGCGTGCCGGCGGGGATGGGCTGCGTGGCGAAGAGGCCGTGGGTGGTGGCGTTGGGGCTGGGGAGGGGGCGCGGTTCGTAGTGGGCGAGGACGGGGACGGAGAGGTAGGGCGTCGTGGGGGGGCGGGGGAGGGCGCGGCCGAAGGGGAAGGGGGGGAGGGGTTCGGTGGCGACGGTTTCTGCTTCGGAGGGTGGAGATGATGGACGGGTGTTGTTGGGCTCGTCGCGCTCGCCTTCACTGGCTTCCGCAGAGTCGTTGGTGGCTGTATCCGCGTTGTTGTGCTTTGGTCGCTGGCTCGCTCTGTTCTTCTTTCTCCTCGCCATTGCGCCTTGCTCAGCCCGCGCGCCCTCGTTCGCCGCGTTGCCACGGTTGCCTTCGATCATATCCATGTCGCTGAAGATGGACCGCAAGGCTTCTTTCTCTGGCGTGGCTGTGGCAGACGAATTCTCTGGCGTGACTGTGGCAGATGAATCATCCAGCGACATGGCGAGACTCCAAGAAATGGGCCAAGAGTAGTCAGACTGAGCCACGTCAGTGTATGCGTGGAGCGGTAGTGGTTATACAACGTACCACTGATGTTGCGCGAAACCGTAGAGTAAGGTTGAGAGTGAGGGAATGAGAGACCAAGACACGCGGATATGTATGTGGGCGTGAAGCGAGGTGAAGCGAGGTGAAGGCGCGCTTTGCGCGAGAACAGTAGCGGAGCAAACGGACCCCAAGACTGGAGCAGCAAACACGTCCGACATACTTGGTATTGGTTGGTCACTGGTGTGTGATGTTTTGACAGAGATGCCATGACGAGGAGTAGAGGTATATGAACGGATGTGCTTGAGAGATTGAGAGACTTGGAATTTGAAACAGAAGACGACCCAAATCTTCACATCACATAAACACAAGGTCAGAAGCAAGAAAAAGGCGACTGTCAGCAATACCTTCAGAGACAGAATATTGGAGTCCGACTGAGTCGCCAGAACTCAATGATTACTACCATATCACCATCCGTACCTATTCCCGGCCTCTTTCTTATTCCTGTAACCGGCGGCAAAGTGCTCCTCGAGCGCGTCCTTCTGCGTCGTCGCACTGCTGACAAGGCTGCGGAGACTGTTCTTTCCGGTGCCTGAGATGGATTTAAGAGGGTTGTGCTGCGCCTGCTCGCCCTGTTGCCGCAGCAGCTCGTTGTGGGCATACTCGGTATCTGTGTTGAACTGGACGATCTTCGCGGAGGAGAAGTCGGGCGCGTTCCGGCCCTTCTTGCCAAACAGCTGCCGCCGCTCGGCCTCGGAGAGGTTCAGCTCGGAGGCTATGTTGGTGAGCTCGTTGGGCGCGGCCGGTGTGGGTGCGTATTGTGTGGGGTGATGTGCAGGCTGGGCGTTGAAGGTCTCGTCGGCGGCCTGGTCGTCGTCTTCTTCGTCCTCATCAAAGCCGTACATGATCGGCTGGTACGCGCCACCTGGGTTTGTTGTCGGCGCCTCTGCTTCCTGTGAGACGCCGAACAACGACACCTTTGGTTTCGGAGGAGGAGCTTCGACAGGTGCTGGCTTGCTTTCCTGCGCTGGGGCTGGGGCTGGCCGAGCAGCAGGCTTCTTCTTCTTGCCCTTGCCCACGGACATGGGAACGAATCTGGGGGCTGCTGGCTTGGGCGGCGCACCTTCTGCAGCGTCTGGGGCTGGTGCAGGCGAGTCTGGTGTTGGCGACTTCTGCGGCGCTGACTTGGGGGTTGGCAGGTTCAACATGGCTCTGAAGTCCTCTTTGTTCATCGGCTCCTTCTTGATGACATTGCCCTGCTCGTCGTACTCCTCCAGCTCGAGCTTGGGCTCCCGCTTGAAAGCCGGCTCTGCGCCAGTCCGCAGGTTGATGCCCGCGCCCAGTCCCTTTCCAAGGCCTCTGCTCCCTGGCGTTGCGGCGGCGGGTGCTTTCACATTTGCCTTCTTGGGCGCAGGCAGCATCGAGTTGAAACCGCCCAGGCCGCCCCCTCCAACGCGCGCTTTTTTCGCTGGTGGCGCTTCGGACTCGATGTCGTCTCTGGGAGCACTTGCTGACGATGCGCCGGGCAGACTGAGCTTTATACGGCCGGGGTTCGCGCGGTCGACGACTTTCTGGAACGTCTTGGGCGCAGGCTTGGGCGCCGGCACGGGCGCGGGCGCGTCGCCGTCCGACTCCGAGTCCGAGTACGCGGTCAGGTTCATGGCGGCGGTGGGCGGGTGTCGTGGAGAGGGTCGAGGTTCAGGCGCGATGATGCGCCGCGGTTGACGTTGATCGCTGATCGCTGATCGCCTCTCCTGCCTGTCCGCGCCCACGACCCCCACACTTCACACCCACCCTTTGAGATACCCCTTCAGCTGGCCTGGAGACCACCACTACCTTCGCATGCAATGACGTGACGACACAGCGGCGCCATGTCCCTCCTCCAGAATGAAGAGTAGCCACCCCCCACCCGCGCCATGCACCGCCACTAACGCCCGCAGCTTCGTGCTGTACCAGCTGCGCACCGCCTACCTGGCCTCGATCAAGGACGGCGTGGGCGAGCGCCTGATCAACGTCAACTCCAGCGTGCTCAACCAGGTCGGCTTCCGCGCCGCGGGCTGGGCGCCCAACCCCGCCGACATCAAGCGCACGTACTCGCCGCCCATCCCCACGGCCATCACGTCCGAGTACTTCCAGGCCCCGCGCTCGGCCGGGCTGAAGGCGCCCGAGGGCTTCGGCGACGACGAGGACGAGGGCGGCATGGTCACGGGCGGCGGCAGCAACGACACGGTGGGGCCCACGCTGAACGCGAAGCGCCGCCGCCGCAAGGAGCTGCTCGAGGAGGACGACAGCAGCGACCTCAGCGACGAGAGTGACGACGACGACGCCAGCGACCGCCCGGCCAACCAGATCAAGTTCACCAAGATGCCGCTGCGCACCCGCTCGGGCTCGTCGCCGGTGCGCGGCTCGGCCCTGCGCAACGAGCTGGCCGACGGCGCCGAGCAGCCCTCGCTGATGGTCACCTCGCCCTCGCGCCCGCCCGACAACCTGCTGCCGCGGGGCTCGCTCGGCACCATCGACGCCGTCAAGGGCCGCGCGCGGCGGGACACCATCACCAGCAGTGAGATGTCGTCCGAGAACGAGTTCGACAACTCGGGCTTCCAGAAGCGCCGCGTCAAGCATGTGCGCAAGGCCGCGAGCTCGCACCAGCTGCTCTCCAAGCGCATTCCCGAAGACTTTGGCGAGACAGATGGCCGTCTGGAGGCCCTGCACGAGGGCAACGAGTCCGACAGCTCCCTCAGCTCCGAGTTCTCGGGCTCTGCCGACAGCGGCTCGCTCATGGGCGACAGTGGCATCCCGCTGGATTCGTCGCCGTCTGCCAATCTCCCCGGTATGCCGGCGTTGACCACATTCAACCAGTCGCCCAAGCGGAGGAGGGAACCACTGCAGCCGACCCTGCAAGCCCTGCCGCCGCCCCGGCCCATCAGCTTCATCCTGCCTGTCAGCGCCCTGACGCAAGCGCTACAGGCCAAGTCTTCCAAGCCTTCAAACCCTCTGCAGCGCTTTGCTGTCTGGAACGCGGCCAGCGAGGCGCAGTCCAACCCCATATACCTCAAGCTTTACTGTCCGTGGTCCGCGAAGCCCCTGAAGCCGCTGGAGCTCCTCCTCAGGAAGTTCAACGACAAAGGCGAAGGTATCACCGTGGCCGAAGCCATCGGCTATGCAATGCATCGCTACCAGGAAGAAAAGATAGAGCCGCCGCTGGCGCCCGAGAAGTGCAATGTGAACTGCTGGGTCATGCGCATGTGGGATGATGATGAAGTCGATGATGAATTCCCGCCGCTGACGAGACACAAGCCGTTGAAAGACTTTGCCTCCAACAACGCTCGCGGCATGCGGCCGCGTGCTCGAGACAAGCCGTGGGACGAGTTTGCTCTGGTGGAAGCTTCAGAACGAGAAGTCCTCGAGAATGAGAAGGCCACACCTATCTACAGCAAGGAAGCTGCTGAGGCGACCCCTTCGCAGAACGACATACCCGAGGATGAGGAAGAGCAGCCCGTCAAGCAACCGGCAAAGCCGATTCCAAGCCGTGCAAAGAGCTTCCGGAATCCCATCACCGGTCCCTCTTTTGCACCGAAAGCAACACGCAAAGACACGAGCACCCTTGCAGATGCGCCTACTACCTCCTCATCGCACGCTGCAAGCCGCATGGGCGCACCGAAGACAGTCAACGTGCACTACACCGACGAGAACTTCAACACAAGACACATTCCCGTTCCATGTACGACCGACACCTATATTGATGAGATCTTCGACAAAGTGTGTCACGACTTGCATCTAGACAAGGCGCTGTACTTGCTCAAGGTCAGTCAATCGACCACAGTTGCGCCGCTTGATCGTACAGTCGAGGCCCTCGGGCGGTATGCAGATGTCGATCTGCTGCGCCGGCGATTCATCGCTGATGGCATCATGGGTCTGTCTGGTAGCCCTGGCTCCTCTTCGCCCAACGCGCCACTGATCATCAGCACGGGCGGCGCGCCGAAGAAGACAAAGAAGGGCGAAAGAGTACACGCTGCCGTCTCTGGACAGCAGCTCATCCACCCTCTCGCGAGGAATGTTGATGCTTCAGCACTAGCGCTCACGTCGACCGGCTACTACCGCCGCTACGTCGTGCTCCGGAAGCAGCCCATGTCGTTTGCATCATCGACAACCCGTATCATCGCCCTCGACAACGAGTATATTCACATCATGCCTGGCGAGTCTACACGGCGTACTGCTGGCGCGGCGGTCGAGGGGCAGGGCAAGACCACTACAGTACATTTCAGCAGTGTGGTGGGCACAAAAGTCAGCAAGAAGCACCCCAAGACAGTCAGGCTGCTGGTGTACAGAGAAAAGGAAACAAAGAGGTACGACTTCGAAGCTGCGAGCGTCGACGAGGCAGCAGACATCGTCAAGGAGATCAAGAGGGGCGTCGAGCGGTTCCAAGAGGGTATTGTATAGAGTACATGCCCTGAGGAGCAGTCGCATCTGGAGCCACTGTGGCTGGACCTGGCTTGATGGGCGAGCTCCTAGGAATGAGGCGGACGATTTTGTGGCCTAACACAGGACAACAAGTCTCTTTCGATGACGGAAGAACTAGTTTGCTCCGTGAGCGAAGATGCAGACATGTACGATATCGCAGGTTTGCTTGGGCACGTTGCCTACCTGGGTAGATTCAAGGCCAGAGGTCACCCTCCTCTTGTACTGATCGCCAGTGGAGCAGGCGCCTGGCCAGTTGGCACAGTACCAGCGACTCTGTACGGGATGGCCAACAACAACGTCCAGTAGCGAAGGACATGGCACCGCTCAGGTTACGGAGAAGATATCCAGTGGACACTCCAGACTGCTGAGCTGGCGGTCCGGCCCACTTCAGGTCGTCCAAGGATAGCAGACGACCACGATACAAATACATTGAATAACTTCCACTTCCTGCCACTCACTGCTATATCACACACCATGTCTTGTAAGTAGAGCCCGAGGGAGGAAGACATGCATTGGAACCTGGGTCCGCGCCGAAGTATCAATGCCCACGACGCAGGAAATACGCTGTCTCCACTGACGATGAGTGTTTGACATATTTAGAGATGAACTCATTCAGACATTTAACGTTCAACTACTCGTTATGGTAGGTGTACCTTACACTATGGGACCTCCTGACGTGACTGCGGACTACTGCCTCTTATCGAGTGCAGAAGTACAATCCGTTCATCATCTCTCTTCACTATTCTCTACTGGGATGGGATGGATCACAGCGTCCTCTGTTGCGCGAGTCATCAGCAACGATCCTGGTGTCTTTCACTTCACCTCCACCTTAATCCAGTAGGCTAACTCCAGAGATACTTAGACTTTCTCACTTGACAACCCTTCTTAGATCGCCCACTCCATAACATCATAGCTCAACATGCGCTGTATCCTACTTCTCGTTCTCGGCCTAGTCTTCGTATGGCATTCGCAGCTCGTCACCGCCAGGCGACCCTGCACTGCCACCTCCAACACCACCATAGTCCACGACGCACTCGCCGAGCAAGCGCGCCTCGGACCCCGCGCTGCCAGCGCCCTCCGAGCCGGCCTCGCCCAGCCATGGCCCCAGCTCGTCCGCAACGGCCAACAGCTGCGCGTCATCCGGTACTGCTACGCGACCAAGCTCTACCGCGACTACCTGCACTGCAGCAAGTTCAACCCCGCGCTCAAGCTGTGGGCCGACAAACTCGGCCACCCGGCAAGCGCACAATCCGGCCACGCCGTCGCCTGGGAGGAGGCCAACGACGGTGGCGCGCCCGGCAAGCGCAAGCGCAGATACTGCTACTCCACGTACGAGCACGGCAAGGGCGGCACGTGGAACAAGAACGTTCCCATCGACACGCTCGCCATCTTCCTCGATCCCACGTTCGACGGCGCGCGCGCAACCACCGGCTACGACGCCGCCAGCACCGACGAGGGCCGCCACCAGATGGTCCTCGGCGTCGACTCGGACCCCGTCGAGATCGCGCACGAGGTGAGCCCCCATCCACACCCACACCCCCCCCCTGTGTAGTGTAGCCGCATACCTAACCCCCCAGCTCGGCCACGTCCTCGGCATGTCCCACGAGCACATCCGCTCCGACCGCGACGCCCACGTCCTCTACACCTGCACCTCTGTGCTCGGATACGCCGACGCGCTCTCGCGCGCCATGGCCACGGAATCGCTGTCCGCAGAAGCCGCGCACCAGCGCCTCTGCGACGACCGCGCGTTCGCGCAGAAGTACGACTTCGCCGGCTCCCAGTTCACCAAGAATCCGCACGGGCGCGTGCACGACGAGCCGGGCGGGTTCGATGCCAAGTCGATTATGCTGTACGACTCGGACGTGTTTGCGGGGGAGGGGGCGCCGTTGGTGTTGCTGGGTGGGGGGCGGATTGAGAGGAACGTTGAGCCGTCGGTGGGGGATGTGGCGTGGGTGAAGCTGTGGTATCCGTGGGTCGGGGGCGGGCCGAGTGGGTCGTGAGGTCCGGGGGGGGATATGGGGTCTCGCTACCGGGGGGATGGTGCGGTTGGTGTTTGGCCGCGTGCTAAGACTGTCGGGGGCTTGCGTGCGTGTGGGTTTGGTGTTTGGGGTGCTTTGCTGGTTCGCTGGGTTTGCTGTCTGGAACTATCTGCCACTGTCACGAGACCCGGGCAAACAATCGACGGCCTCGCCAATAGAGTATTTAAGCTAGTCGCCCCTCGTTGTGTCTCTAGGCATCCAGTCCTCAGTTATACCTGCACAGCACAGATGTAGTCTCCCCGCTGCACTCCCCGACCGGGCGAAGGGAGTCCAGCAGCAGAGATGCAACAGCTGGTGTGTGCAATCAAGAGCTGTTTCACTCGCCTCCTCCCGCCATCATTCTTCCAGACTATATACCCCCCTCACCTCAACCTCCTATATACCTCCACGCTCCCTTCCATGGTACCAAGCACCCCTTCTCCATATACACACCCCCAAACACCGTAATCCTCCTCCTCACCTCCATGGCTTCACCCGCACCTTCCCTCGCCCACAGAACCACCGTCCGCATCGCCGCATTCCTCTGGCAACATAGCAGGATCATCTCTCTGCTGACGCCTCCCCTCCTCCCCGTGCCCGCACTACTGCACTCGCGCCTGCCGTACCGACGACGCAGCACCAGTGTTTGATCTGCTAGCCGCGGCGACGCTCGACGATCCAACGCAGTCGAGATGGGGCGCCGGGACATCTTCTGGACCTCTACTCAATGTGCTGGACGCCGCGGTTCGGTCGTCTGGATCGACGGCCGTGGTTCTCCTCGGGACGGATTGCGCTGGGTGGCCTCAGAGTGACCCAGTAACACACAGAGAGGGTGCTGGGGCGCAGACTGCATCGGTGTCCCGCATGTCGAGCAGAGACGGTTGCTCCTCAGTAGACTGCCAGCCCGCCGGGCCTCCGGTGTCGACGACGGTGCCATGTACAAGACGGCAGGGAAGGCGAAGAAGATTATAGGAAGCCGTTCCCTTGACCGGGATCCGCATGCCTCTCCTTTTCCTGCGTATTCCCAGCGCGGCAAGACCGCAGGAACGATCACTGCGCCGCTGATGCAGCCAACCGCCTCGATACCAGCAGGCCCAGCAGCGCTCGGACATGTCTGTGGGCTGGCGCGTCGCTGCGGATCTGGTAACCCAACTGCCTCGTCCGCCCTGGCTGGTAACGACAACGTAGTGCTTTTGTATGGTAGCAGCAGATGGGCTCCCCGAGTTCGACGAAGAAGAAGCACGTTGTGGCACATCCCAGTCTCTGCAGCCGCGCAAGCGCCGGATGAAGGTGGTCGAAAGTCCCCACGCGCGAGAGTACCGAGAAATGTTCCTCGCCCACAAGGACAGAGAGTTTCTCTTGAAGCTCTGCAACGACATATACGACCACGCAGACGAGCTGCTGCCAAACACCGCGGGCGTGTCGCAAGTGGCCGCGATCTTCAACCAACCACCAGAGAAGTTGAGCAGCATCACCCTCGCCGCCATTCTGATATCGTCTTCCGTGCGCATGAAGGCGATGTGGACCCATGGAATGCTTTGCTCCCACGTTGTCCTTGCAGGATGTTGAACCAAACCAATATCCCTTGCCTGTTTCGCGCTTAGTGGGCTCTGCGCATTCTTAGCAGATGCTCGCGCTCTTCGTGCGCAGTTGTCAAAAACACAGACAGTGCACTTGAACAGTCTACAGCACATTGGCATCAGGTGCAGAGGTTCGGCAAAAAGAATGCCCTCTGCCCGAATCGAACGAGCGATCTTATCATTGCTGACCGAAGTCATACTAGTGATACGCTTTACCACTAAGCCAAGAGGGCTTGAACTGAGTCAAGATTCCAACGCTGTTGGATTAGCTTGTGATGCAACTGAGGAAAATTACAAATCTTATATTGTACAAAAAATTGTAGCAGCACGGTAGTTCATCATCTCCATATAAGCTACTCACCAAAGACACATTGAAGGTCACGAAGGCACATACTTAGCCGAGTTTCAGCGATCAGCCCACAAGCCGGCGTTTCGGCCTCCCCCCTCTCAACTTCACGTCGCTGCCAGCACCTGTGATCCTCCACTCCCCCACTTAACCCAAACTACCTAACCCATCCCTCCCATGCATGCAAGACACAGTCATCCCCGCCGCAATCCCTGGCTTCTGCATTCTACCCGTCAGCCCTAACCCGCAGCTATCGGTGCCCGGACTTCTTCGAGCGCGGTTTGGTAATGCGATGATTTAGTGCTTACACGCGGACACGCACTCTGGTCCTCATTAGGCTGGCTGCTGCTCGTGCATATCGGGATCTCGGGCTGCGGTCTTGACTGGCTTTGTGTATGGCCGTTTGATGTGGGTCTAGCGAAGAGCAGGGCTTCCTGCCGTCACTGTCTTGCACGGCTAGTACTGGGAACTGGTGGTGATGATTGGGTGGGGTTTCTCGTGTGATATTGGTTTATCACGATCTGAGTGTAAGTCTGGAGTGAGATTGTGGGTATAAGTATTGCTCGAAGTCCAGGACTAGTCGTTGCGTTTGCTTGTTCGAAAGAGATACCAAGTAAAGATAAAGAGATCATGACACTCACCGAGGATATTCTCAATCTCGCGTCTAGAGGACCGACGGGCCTTGACGAGCCAGAGCGGCTGGCTCTTCTCCAGGCGACTGAGAAGCTTACTGTGGCGCTGGAAAATCCGTTGGAGAAATTCATCCGGCTTTTCCTTGTATGTATTGTCCTCCCTCGATACCAACAGGCCTATATATCGTAGCACGATGATCTGTTCCACGGGATTGACACATACAGACGCTCTACGACCCCATAGTAATCCGCCTAGCCGTCGACCTGAAGCTGGTTGACATCACGCTCGCACACAACAGCCCCATCACCGCCGCCGAGCTGGCCGAAAAGAGCAACGCAGACGTCGAGCTAATTCGTATGTCTAGAACTTTCACCCAACCATTCGATACCTCAACTAACCGTAACAAGGTCGCATACTCCGCATGCTCATCACCATTGACATCTTCACCGCGACCGCAGACTCCCCACCGCAATACTCCGTCCTTCCCTTCGGCCATGCACTCGCCACCGGCTCACCCCTGCGCTCCGCCGTTCTGCACATCTCCCACTGCTTCCCCGCCACAGCCGCAATGCCGGACTACTACGCAGCAAACGGGTACAAGAACCCGAGCGACGCACGCCACAGCCCCTTTTCATTCGCATACCAGTGCCCAGGCGAGACGTATTTCGATTTCCTCGGCAGGCCCGAGAACGCGGCCATGAGCAGCGCCTTCAACGAGACAATGGCGATGCAGAAGACGGGCGAAGATGAGACCTTCGTGTCGGCGTACCCGGTGGCCGAGCGCTTGCAAAATCAAGATCCGGAGAGGGTGTTGTTTGTCGATGTGGGCGGGGGCGTGGGACACCAGCTCGCCAAGTTCCGGAAGCGGGCTGGCGGGCTCAAGGGCAGATTTGCGTTGGAGGATCTTCCGGCTGCGCTGGCGCAGGCGAGTGATTTGCCAGAAGACGTTGTGAAGGTGGGGCATGACTTTTTTCTGCCACAGCCAGACACAGTAAAAGGTGCGAAGGCGTTCTATCTTCGTACGATATTGCACGACTGGCCACAGATGCAGGCCGAGACGATTCTCAAGCATATCGTAGATGTCATGGCAGAGGATTCGGTGGTGTTAATCAATGAATTGATACTACCGGAGACCGGTGTTGGACATTTCGAGGCCAAGATGGACTGGCATTTGATGAATCTGGCAGCCCTGGAGAGAACGGAGGAGCAGTGGAGAGTGCTTGTTGGGGGTGTAGGGCTGGAAGTCCAAGCGATTTGGTGGGAAGAAGATGGGACGAAGGGACGACGAGCATTGATCGAGTGTAGATTGAAGCGCTGACAATTGTCACGTACCATGCTCTAAGAGTGGTAGTCCTCTATCTGAATATATTATATGTTGATGTTGTGAATGGCGCTCTTTGAGATGCTGTGCAAACGCCTAAAATGCTATGTTATCACTTCCCGAACGCCGCATGGATGCCCACTACAGGAATGTCTACTCTTCGGTTTCCCAACCCTTCTCCTGGTGACATTTAACCTGAACAATCTCCGTCTTGCCCTTGTGGTCTACTACAAGCGCTGTTAGCTTGCCTCCACTGACGCATCCGCTGTCCAGTCCAAATGTGAACTCCTGAAGATTCAAACCCCTCTTCCTATTGTGTCCATACACGACACTCAAGCGCTCGTGCTGTGCCTTCTTCTTTTGCTGATGATTCCAGAACTTCTCCCATGGTGTGCCAGCATGTTTAGAGCTGGGTATGTGTGTCTTCAGATTAATGGTACGCATGTTCATGACGTGAAATGGGTCTTGGTTTTCAAGTGGGATATTTGGAACTAGACCGGCATGGACGACAGCAAATTCGCCAAGGTCTGGGACGTTGCCGATACGTAGAATGACGGGACATTGCTGGAGGTATGCAATTTGGTGCTTGGAGAAGGACTTCGCAAGTTTGCGAAGCGCGTAATCGCCGTGGCTGTGTGACGCTTCGTCGAGGAAGTCTGTTTTGCGGTCGGGAGACTCATCAGGGCCAGGGAGTATGTCGAGGTGTCGCGCTTCTGACTCGGCAATGCTGAGGAGGACCTTGTCTTCCCAGTTGCCACGCACGCAGGATGCACCGAGCTTCTCCGCCAGCGAGATGACGCCTGGCGAGTCGGGGCCCTTCGCAATCATGTCGCCAGTCAAGACGAGATGGTCATGCTTCTTCACGAAGTCGACCTTTTTCAGCAGGTGTTCGAGCTCTTCTCTGCATCCATGAACGTCACCAACAAAGATAAGCCTATGTCCCTTCTTAGGGAGGTGCTGGCTGTCCATGTTCCTGACCTGAATCATTCCCTTGAACTCTGGACGCACGTTGCTTCCATAGCTCATGATCGGTGTCTCATCCATATCCTTCAACTCTTGTAGCTGCGCGGCACGTCGCGGTCCAAGGTATGCTTTCCAGCTTAGCAGGAACAGAAATGCGACAGCCAAGGCTATGACGACACAGCGCTGTAATTTGCGTGGGACTCGGTTCGATGTCTGTGTGATCAAAGCCTGTAGCTTTGGAGGGATAAGTTGGTCGTCTTCTTTGCTGTAGAAATCGTCTTCCTCGTCAGAGGCGTCAACGTCATCGTGGTGCGAAGGTATGAGGTCGATCAGCGGGCGATGCTGCGCGGGCGGGTAATCGCGGTACGACATTGCAGCTGCAGGCGGCCCTGGAGGGAAAGTCGAAGTTACTTCGTAGGGATATCCCGATGATGTCTGTAATGCTCTCGGGTATGCTGTAGAGTGCTGTAGGATGTGATGGGATCCGGAATTCGTTTGTGTTGGTCGCTGGCTTGTGGATCTGGCTGGGTTGACGGAGTAGTCACTTGCGCCTTCCTGTGTTTGCGACTGTGGTTGCTGGTGAGTGCGACGAAGTCGACTGCCGCGACTCGAGTTGAAGGCCTGGGAAGGCCGCTCTTCATCTCTCGCCTGACGCGCACGCCCATCTCCAGCGCGTGGCCCCTGCAATCTGGGGGTGTCATACGCCATCCCTAGCCCGGCTCAGTTGGTGGCGCAGATCCTCGGGAAAACCGGAAGTGCCACACTTGGCAGCAGCCTCACGGGAGGCTGATGTTTTCGCTAAACCGTGATGGTTGATTTGCGTCTGACCGCGGCTCTGAGTGGCGATCAGAAGTATGGTGTAGGTATTGCTCACACTTGCCATTTTATTCTAGGGGTTTTCAGAAGTGAAAGCGAAGCTGGAAGGTACCGACGTCACGGCCACACTGCGCCTTGGTCATCAGACCAGCCTTCCTGAGCCTTCGACTAGGTTAGTAAATATCACACACCTCCTAAACGCGTGCTTAACACCACTACACTGGAGCTTGGGCTGGACAGCACAATGCATACCTCACCCTACTACAACATCGTCGTGTTTGGCGAACCCAGCGTAGGAAACACCTGTTTCGTCGATCAATTTTACTTTGGTAGATCGTTCGTCATCCACGACCCTGTCAATAGCGCGTTCTCACATGAGATTGTCGTAGATGGGCGGACTTCCAACTTGACACTCATGGACCTGAGCACCTCATTCCTGAAGCCAGAACAAAGCATGCACCCTACGGGCTGGGCAGAAAAGATGCTTGTTGAAGCAGACGGTATCGTCCTGTTGTACGATATCACAAGCTCAGCGAGTTTTGAATATGTAACAAATCAGGCGTACAGTTATCTTTGGAGTTGTCGCAGGTCAATGAGTGAGAGTGTTGTTGGGGAGGCTGGTAGGGATCAGCGTAAGAATTTTGGGTGTGTGCTTGTGGGGAACAAATATGATCTTGTGTCCACTGGCACCAAGGCCAGAGCTGTCAGTCAATCTTCAGCGGATGAATGGGCACAGACTCAGGGTATCAGAAGTATTGAGATAGACTCACTTACACGGGCTGGGCCGCAGAGCGCCCTCGAGCTGTTGGTGAGAAGTATATGGAAACTGGAGAAGCTGAATCCGAAGGGAGCAACAGGTGAAGGAGGGCAGGAAGAAGAGATGTCTAAGGAACACAACAAGAGTTCGATTCGAGATACACTGAGGGAAGCTTTCAAGTCGTCAAAGACATGACTTACCGAGCCACGTTTGGTCCCTACTCGTGGTCGGTCTTTGTCGCAATAGGGTCCCACTCGTCCAACAACTTGATCGTATCGTTGACCTTGCCACGAACAGCGATCGAACAGTCTGTTCCTAGCACCACACGGATCGGAACTTCCTTCCCTTCGGCAACGCCACTCTTTGTCAGAATGTCAACGATCACCTTGGAGCCCTTCACGACATCACCCGGCTGGTTATTGTCGACCTTATCCAGTGTCTCTCTCACTTGTCCGACCGTCGTCTCGTCGTACTCCTTGATTCGTTTCTCACTTTTGATTTGCGCACCAGCATTGAGGAAGCCAGTACGGAAGTAGCCTGGCTCGATCACTGTCACAGCAATGCCCAGCGGTGCAAGCTCGGCGCGCATAGATTCAGAGATACCACTGCATGCCCACTTTGTGCCGGCGTACAGACCAAAGCCTGCACCGCCATGCCAGGAGCCAAGGCTACCGAAGTTTGAGATTGTACGGTGGCCTGCGGTAGCTCGAAGATAGGGTAGAAAGGCTTTTGAGACATTCAGCATGCCAAAAACGTTGGTGTTGAATTGGTTGAAATCTTCTTCGGGTCTGTCTTTTGTTAGTTTGACGTCACTTTCGGGAGCGAATACTCGCAGGGTCTTGCTTACGATGTTTCTTCAACTGCGCCGACAAGGATGTATCCAGCTGCGTTTACCAGATGGGTCAGATAGCCATACGTCTCATTTGCAGCTTTGGCAACCTTCTCGATCTCTGCTTGCGGCGCTGTCACGTCCAGTGTCACTGTCACTGCGCCCTTCTCTTTCAAATCGGCGATCCGTGACGTGCTGCGTGCGCTGGCTATGACCCGGTGACCTCGAGAGAGAGCTTCAAGAGCTATGAACTTGCCGAAGCCGCTTGAGGCCGCGGTGATGAACCAGACTGGTGTTTGCGATGCCATGATTGGTGGGTTGATGAGATTGCTGTGGTCTGTTAAGGGTCACGGCTTGAGTGAGAGTGTGAGTTTGTGTTGTGAGGAAGATGCACTAGTCTCCAGAAGAAGGTGCGCTTTACGTCCTTTATAGCAGCATGACCTAGAGGCTCTACCGAACTTGCTGACCCGATCCGCAATTTTTCGGAGAAGCATGATGTTGCATAGGCTTCTTGGCTATGTCAATCCAGGTTGTCGTTTGGTCAAGCTCATGTAACAAGGCGGGGTTAGTGCCAATGACCGAAGTGCAGACCGATGGCGTTAAGCAAACCACCACACTTTCGTAAATACGTAAGTTCTCGTATTTACGAGTATACTACCATTTTTATGCCTCGAGTCGGAATCTCCAGCTTGGCTACGTCTTGAAAAACCAACGTTTAATCACGAAACACCTCCTTTCGACTGAGCTTGTTCGCTGTCGCACCATGACATGTGACGTAGCACTCCCAAAGTTGAGAAATCAATGCATATAAGACACCTTGGCGGCTGACTGAGCGCCTTATTCTTTTCTTCCCAAGTACTTCGCAGCTCTGAGCAAATCACCATGGATGCGCGACCACGATTGACAGTCCCGGTCCTGCAAGCACTTGCGCTTGTAGCACCAAGTCTCTATACGGGTACGCACTTGCTCTCCCACCCTCGCGATTGTGACTGATGCGTTCTCAGGACTTGCCTTTACTTACAGCCATGTCGTGATCCCGCCGTTGACCACTCACGCCCCACCAAAGCTGCTCGCGAAGCAATGGCTGCAGGCTTACCAATTCGCGCCAATCTACGTTGCACCTCTTATCCTGCTCGGTGCATCGAGCAACGCACTGCTAGCTTACCTGTCTGCTGGGTCATCATCGCATGCATCCTTACTCTACTCCGGAGCCGCCATTAGCATCGCCAGCATTATCCCATACACCGCACTCTATATGGAACCAGGAATCAATGGTGCAGGCAAGTGGAAGGTACAAGAGCTGTTGCGGGGCGAATTTGAGTTGAAGCGTGAGGGTCAGGGCACAGACAAAGACACAGCGAGGGCCAGCTGGAAAAGATGGGCTGAGAACGTAGACATGAAGACTATTGCGGAAGTGTGGGCAAACACAAACTCCTGGCGGTACGTGATCACAAGCATAGCTACAGTGATCAGTGCCGTTGCGATAGTCGTTGAGAATTGACGGACGCAGCCTACGCGTTGAACTACACCTGGGCAGCTAGGCCACCAAGTGAGGGGCTCAACCGCCTAAAGTTCGGTCAGACACATAGGCAACCCCTAATCGCAACGGCGGCACGCAAGACTTCCCAAGCAACCAAAGATTGTGCTTTCGAATTTATCAGGCAGCAACAGCTTTTCTCCAACACTTCAATAACAATCATGACCAATCCGCCCTGGCAGAGGCTCAGTCGCGACCAGCTAGTCAACATTATTGGCGATTATTACAGGTTTCTGACGAAACTCTACATTCCAGAATCAGCCCTCAAGTTCCCGCCTCAAGAGGGGTGGCCTGATATCACTCAAGAGACCACGAAAGACTTTCCCCGTACATCGATTGTGATTGATCTTCTTAAGCACCTGCCCTACATCGACGAGGCCAATGCCGGCCGGATGATAACTAACATCCACTACAAAAGTGATGTAGTAGATTACTCAAGATGGAAGCCACACCAGTGGACGGAAGACGATCAACCAGGAGCATTATCGGTGCTAGAAATGGCCGAGGAGTTTGCAGAGCGGAGGACGGAGGAGTCTGAGGACGAGGATGAAGACGAAGGGTATCTATGGTACCGGGACGAGGACAGAGATAAAGACGGCGATGATAAGGAAAACTGGTTCGACGGCGATGATCCTGAAGACATCAAGATGGAGAACATGATCGTCTTGGCCGATGGCTACGAGAGCGGTGGCCGCAGTATCATCCTCGATGTGTTCAAGGGCAACATCTACGAAGACATTCTCGAATGCAGTGGTCTGAAAAGCGAAGAGACGGTTGAAGGCTATTTCGACGAGCTGAAGACCATGTTTGAAAACCTGGTAATGGTCCCTGTTCCGGGCGATGGGTCGCTTGAGGGTAGACTCTACGGTGATCTCGGGAACATGGAAGAGGTTGATGAAGAACACTTCGACGAATCATTGGTGAGCTCAACCGATAATGCCGCCCAGCAATTCAGAAAAATATATCGGAGCTTTGGATGGCCTGGTGACGCTTATGACAAAGAAGCGGCTGTCACGGCGGTCCGAGCACACGCACAACGCAGACACGACGCGATGGAGGCTTCAGAAGCGGAAGAGTGAGAGGCTCTCACCCAATAGTTTCCGCGGGTACTGGGCGCAACAACCTTCTTTTCATGGTACCTGAGGCGAATGAGGATAAGGTCCTTACGACAGTGCACGGCGAAATGCATGAAGGTGTAGCCCTATACCGTCCTGGTCCGCGCGAAGAGTGTAGCAAACATCATGATCACATATACCATATTGTACGCTTGACAGCTTGTTATTGAGTTGGGATGTAGCACGTTGAGTGCTTGCTGTATTGCTAATGTGATGACTATCTAATTCCTGTTCCATGCCCTCGTCCGCACTGGCGCGATACGCATAGTATGTTCGATAAATAACTTTTGTAAAGACAACGCTGTCATGCCAAGCTACGCCTGCATAGCAGTTCTTCGGAACGATATATTAAAATCCGTATATGTAAAGGTTGGTGTTGTGAAATAAAGCGGTGATTTACTGCCTGGGTGTCGTCCCAAGCAGTAGGCCAAGACTCCCATTGGCAGGCGACAGCGATGGTACAGGCGATTTCGCGTACATGATCTCGCCCTCGATAGTGCTCATAGATGTCCTCGAGACCGGTGGCGCCTTGTGCCAATATTGCTTAGGACTAGAAGGGCCAGTCATAGGGGTGACGAGGTCGATGGACTTTGATGCGTATGACGAGCCATGTGTCCTGGGTGGAAGCGGTCGGTTGTTGGAAGCTTGAGTATATGGCGTATAAGGGAGTGAGAAACTGTACGATGATGTGGGGGTATGCGACAGGGAAGGCGCAGCACTGAAGTTGGCCGACGACGTTGATGCACGCTCGTAACGAGGTCGGACGGGTCGCACTGTATCAGTCCCATTCGCGATGTTCTGGAACTGGCGAAGGTAGTTGGAGGCGTCAGAGTCTGAGCGGTGATAGTCTTCATCTATCGAACCTTCCGAAGAAGCATAGGAGTTTCGCTTCGAGTGTGATTGAGTAGGCGAGCGCTGCGGGATGATATCATGGAAGTGCAAGTCGTCAAACGTGAAGTTGGAGAAGGGTGTTGTTGGTGGTGAGTAGTCGTAGTAGGTGAGACTCTTCTCGGCATCCTTCTTCTTGCAGCTAAGTAAGTCAGTCAGCGTGATCATGACACCTTTTCGAATACATCTGCATACCTCTCTGAGCAATATAATACTGAGTTGCTTGGTACAATGATTTGCTTTTCGCAGACAGTGCTAGGATTCATGTTAGTATACGCTAGTAGATGTACTCTCCTCGTCAACATACCAGTAGTTCAAAAAGCTCACGGCCATCGGATCTTCGTCTTCGTCTTCAACTACTTCGCGGTGCTGAGCGGTGTGCGACTGAGCTTTCCTTCCGTGAGATGCTGAACGTTTCGACAAAGGGGCGGGCTTTGAAGGCCTTGGGTGGTTTGGATGCGCTTTCTTCGAATGATGCGATGGATGGCGGACGTGATGGGTAGCCATGTCGAGATAGGATGTATGTATATTTATTAAAAGCCTCACGACTCAAAATCGCGCACGGTTCGTCGTGGTGCGCAATTGCTACGAGCTGAGAATTACGAAGAAGCGGTAAGTGCACAGCCCTTGGAAGTGCAGATGACGGAAGGACGTGCGTCTTTGTTTAGAATCGTTATCTTCGATCGCCCTGCAGCCTATGAATTAGCAAAGGGCTAGGGTTCGGTAATATAATCTCGTAGATAAGACGAGGCATGCACGGTTCCTTCCCGCACCAAAGGAACCGTCGTGACACGAAGAATGTATGAAGAGAGCAGCAAACTTACAGTGACGTTTGATAAGGGGTGCGACAGTGACCGCGGGAGCTTGGAAGGGAGGCGATCAGACAGCAAGTGTCGTGCAGTAGCGTTGTCGTCCCAGCGGAGGTGAGCGATAAGGATCTCGAAAGTCAGGAACAATGCCGAGGGTTGCCAGTCGATACACGGTTCTCAGCGGCTGTAGCTATATAGGAAGATAACAATTATCGTGGATCGTGAGCGGCAGGCGGGAGTGTTAAGTAGCTGAGAGAATGTGTGGGTACTTGAATTCTAGAACATTGTTGACGACAACGGCCGACTAAATTTATGGAGTTATCGTACGCGTGGAGGTGATGATACGCGATGCGCACGCCATCTCCAAGCGTTCGGCTGACTCTTCGCTGCCTGCACCCCACATCGTGTCCACCACGGTGCTTTCGATTGCTGCATCAGGCCAATTCAGAGTTTTCCCAGGTCAGAACCGCAGGCACAGGCACACAGAGTTCATTGCCGACAGGTTAATCTGCACAAGACGAGGGGCCGGTGCGGTCCTCGGTCCAATTGCATCCAGGAGTGCTCGCAAACGGAACGGCCCTGATCTGACAAGCCCACAAGCCCACGTCCCGCAACTCTGCTGCATATCCGGTAGCAAGGTACAGCAGACGATGGGTACCAAGGTACTGTGTGCAGCTGTCCATTCAGGTGCCTGTGACTACTCGGAAACGATCACGTCTTGTATCACGATCTTTGCTGCGACAATGAGCACCGATGGCGAATGTGTCCGTGTCACAGATTCCCCATTGGGCATACCGTAGCCGTAGCTTCCGCTGAGGTAATGGAAACCCGGCTGGTTATCCGAAAGTCAAGAATGTGCTCAGCATGCAGGACAGGGCAAAGCGCCAGTCGGAAACATCTGCCTCATCCGAAAGCTTGTTAGTATGTGCTCTCGTCGTCACGGATGCATCTGCGTGGACAAATCGCTCGACTAAGCGAATGTGCTCGACTTGACAGCGCCCAGTGCCTCGGCCAATGAAACATCGCAGCTGGGCCACTCGATGGTTTAAGATCCTGCGTAAGAAACTTGAAGTACCCTGGACTTGAGACATTACTGCGTGCAGTATTACAGGTATGCTACAGGTCGCGAAGTGTGGTCTAGACCGACGTGCTAGATCATAAACTATGCACCTTGTCGATCAGACAGCAAATGGATCCTCACGAGGTGCCTCAGGTTTGGTGATGCGCCATATTTGGATCGGTGTTGACGTTGGATAAAAGGGTCCTCTCTGTTCGGACTCTGGCAATGGCGGGAAGCCGACTTGTTCAAACCTGAAACCATTCCGCCCTAGTTACCCCACAAGGTCAGCGACAACTCACAGTAATGACGAAGGGAGTACCCACTACACGCGTTCAGAAAGGTCTCGAATGTAGCCTCGTTGCGAATTGTCGCCGAGATCAAGATCTCAAGAGCTGGATTCAAGTCGAGAAACTCATTCATCGTACACACTAAGCGTGGAATGACAGTCTTATCGTAGGTCTGCTCATGTGTTAAGGTCAGGCTTCCCTGGCAAGTGGTCATTACGATGCACTTACGACGTCCGCACCAAGTAGAATATCCGGCACTTCCATTCCATAGTCCTCAGAGAATGCCATGGCATCGACTGGCCAACCCCATTTGAGGGCTGCGGTTCGAATTTGACAACCTTGCAGGCTGTCTACATCAAGCCCATTGAGGAAGGTGTTGGTCTTAATTGCATCGACGACAGCCTCGTCACCATCAGTAGCAACCACGCCAGCTGCTTCGAGATGTTTCGCGCATAGAATGGAGATGACTCCGGTACCTGCACCCAACTCAAATACTCTCTTTCCTTTGATCATTCCCCGGCCGTCTTCGGTAATCAGAAACGATCCCAGTAACAGAGCGGCTTCCCACGTCCTGAGTCCAGTGGTACCGGACCCTGAGATGACCGATCGAGCTTCGAGGAGGGTGACCCCCTTTTCTTCCGAGGTGGTGTCGTCAGCTGAGTGGAGTGGATACGAGTATGTCACGAAGGCTTTTTGTTGAGCGGAGTCGGCCTCGGAGGGTACGTTGGACGTGAGTAACGTTGACATTGCAGACATGAGGTCATCTGAAATCTCCTGCACGTTAAGGCAAGCGGTCAGCAGCTGAAGATGTGATTCTTGCATTTGAAGCGATTTGTAGTACAATATTTTGACAAACATGATCAAGTGCCCTTGAGAACGGAACGGGCCACGAATAGGCGGAAATGAAATTTGAGGAAACAGGAAACCGTACATCCTCCTCTGGGTCGACTATTGACCGCTCCAGTATCGAAACAAGAAGCTTCAAGACTCTGAGCTGGTAACGTTCTGGGGGTGGCGTCTTGACCGTACTTTCGTCAAACATGTGTAGAAAAATCCAGGATTGAACTTCAGCGCTCTTCAGTACCTGTGCATCTGGCCACCTCAACTGTGATGGATCGACCAGTTGCAGGTACTGGCGCTGCAAAATTCGCAGCTGCGCCAGCTTGTCTGGTGCGATACTCATATTTAGTGCAACTGCGACGCAAGGTCAGAGATCACCAGGAAGAATTCACGATGTATCCAAAGTAATGTTGTTGTGTGCGTGGTATTGTGATGGGGGTGTTCGATGCTGCACTTGGTTGAGGCGGCGGAGGTGCGTTCTAGCGCGCCAAGGTGCTCCACACTAAGCGAGAAACGCACCTGCCTCGTCGAAATTGAACCACAGACTTATCGACGACAGCCTCCTGCGTTACTAACACAGCCCATCGACAACAGAAGGTTCGATTCCGTCAAGTACGTCCCTAGCGAACCTCTGCATCGCCGTCGCATATGTCCTTCGGACACTGACAATTCCGCTCAGGTCGAAAGTCCAACCTCCAACATGGCCGATTCTCAGGTTACTCTGCGCACGCGCAAGTTCATCCGCAACCCCCTCCTCGGACGTCGCCAGATGGTCGTGTAAGTGCATGGTGCACCGGGCAAGCAGCTGCGAATGACAGGCTCTGACATTGCTGTGTAGCGATGTCCTCCACCCCAACCGCGCCAACGTCTCCAAGGACGAGCTCCGTGGCAAGCTCGGTGAGCTTTACAAGGCCAAGAAGGACGATGTCTCTGTCTTCGGCTTCAAGACACACTTCGGTGGTGGCAAGAGCACCGGCTTCGCCCTCATCTACGACTCCAACGAGGCCATGAAGAAGTTCGAGCCCCGCTACAGGCTCGTCAGATACGGCATGGCCACCAAGGTCGAGAAGGCCTCCAGGCAGCAGCGTACGTTACAATCGCCCACGCATACACTGTTGTGGATCTGGCACCGGGTCTGGGTGTTGTGGTGATGAACACATGCTGACAATAGTACAGGCAAGCAGCGCAAGAACAGGATGAAGGAGTTCCGGGGCACAGCCAAGACCAAGGGTGGCGCGAAGAAGGACAAGAAATAAGCGGTTTCGCTACGACAATGATCACGACGAAGGTCATGGTTGGGGTGGAGTGGCGATTCTTCTGGGACTGGTTCGCCTGGTTCTCTATCATGGTGGACATGGAGTTGCAGCGGGCATCGGCATCGTGTACAGCAACTACGAACGCCTGAAAATTACTTGCGGACAGGAACGGCACTACGGATGGCGTTTGAGATTCCTTGTCTGCTAACCATCAATGCATATCATGGATCTTTCGATTCTACAAACAACCCCACCAATCCACACCTCCGTCTTTCGCATCGAATGCCCCTATCGTCTGTCAATCCCTATGCGATGCGAGCCTCCCATGGTGCTGTGTCGATATTTCTAAATTACGTCCGGTCAGGCAATGCTGCGCTCTTGCGACGACAATGTGTGAATTTCCATGTAACCACACCAAAACTGCACAAAATCATGGCTCAAGCATGTACAGACTTAACACTTTTTATTACATGCACAACCATGTATATTGTCGCATTTGCGACAGCCCGTGTTGATTGAATGTCACTCCAGCAATTGGACCTATTGAATCAAGCTGTTCAAGTTTGTTAAGCAGTGCTGGTGGTCTCGAATTTGAAAGGCAATGAGTGTTCCGTCTAGTACTAACGAGTGATTTACTCTGTGTAAGGATGCGAACCAGAAAGCTGCAACCATCTGTCAGGTGGAGTAGTTGTATGACAGAACACAGCGCACCCATATTAAGGTGTTCCCCTGCATCGCGGAGATCATTGTCCACCCAGGGATATGTGCTACTTAGTAAGCAATGGCTTGGCACGCTCGTCGAACAACGGGAAGCCTCGAAGCTCATTCACGTAGAACGCGCTTTCTAGGGTAGGACCTTTTGAGGTGCACTCGCTGCATCCACACTCCCGACTCCAATCTCCGATACTCACATACTGCTCCGCGATTCACCATGCCGTCCTCTGTGCCAGTCCATGCCCCGCCGCCGCATATGCCAGGCTTACTGGTGCCGAACGATGATGCGAGAGCGCTCAAAGAAGACGTTGCAAACATTCTCGAGCGCGATCGCACGACCTTTCCTGGCGCACAACCTGTTTCTTTTGGCCGTGAGCACCTTGCTGAGCTACAGCAGCGCGAGTACTTCATGTGCGAAAAGACGGACGGACTCAGAGTCCTACTATTTCTTCACTGGTACGACGATGGATCAGGTGTGCATCCGCTCACCTTTCTCATCGACCGCAAAAACAACTTCTACAATGTTGAGCCCGCCATAAAAATACCATACTATCAAGATCCAAACGATCGAAATAAGTTTCTCTTCGGCACAATACTCGATGGGGAGCTGGTCAATGATCAGTATCCCGGAGAACCGTCGCCTCGCCTCATATACTACGTATTTGATGCCCTTGCAGTAGACAATCAAAATCTCACAGCCAAAGGCATGGATAAGCGGCTAGGTCGCATGAAGGAACATGTCCTCAAACCCTACAGCAAGTGGCTTGAACAGAACCCCTCCCTCAATGTCGCACACCTGCAGCCATTTCGTCTCAAGGAGAAACAGATGCATCAGTCGTATCACCTCCAGCACATCTTCAGTAACATCCTGCCCCAACTCAAGCACGGCAACGATGGCCTCATCTTCACATGCAAAGACACGCGCTACCAGTATGGTACAGATCAGCACATTCTGAAATGGAAGCCTCCGCATGAGAACACCATAGATTTCAAATTGCGCTTGGGCGAGTTTCCCCTCATCGACCCTGAAGACGGCGAAGAAGGCCCAATCCCAGATTACGATGCGCTTCCCGCTCCTGTCCAGCTCCTGGTCCAACACAACAATAACGACTACCGGCCCTTTGCCGCGCTTTCTTTAACGCTTGCGGAATGGAATATCTTGAAGTCTCTCAATCAACGCCTCGACGGGCGAATCATTGAATGCTACCGCTCGCCTGCTGGCCAATGGAAATATAAAGCTGAAGCAGATGGTTCACCGCGTTGGCGTGACGATAAAAAGGATGCGAACCACATCAGCACCGTCAACAGTGTGCTGGCCAGCATTGAGAACCCTGTGACCGAGTTGGACTTACTGGGTAACGAACAGAAGATAAAGGAGGCTGTTTACCGCATTCAAGGCAGACCTCTGCCATCGCAGACCGGCGAGGATGAGAGGGAGGCGAAGAAAAGGAAGTTCGGTGAAGCGAATGGGCAGCACTGAAACGACTGCCTTGCAAGAATTGCAGGTCAAGGGCAGGGGAAGGGAGCTCTTCGGCAGTCCACTAGAGATCATGCACACTTTCGGAACTTTGGTCTCGAAACAAAAACAGATGGACCAAGAATAGGAATTGAGTTTCGTTGGGAACTGGGACGATAGAGTGCAAGGCTGGACAACGTAAAAGCAAGGATTTCCAGTCTGGACGTTTGCATTCCACCATTCAGTACCTTCAAATCTTCGACAAATATCTGGGACTTTATCGCAAACAATGGCCGCCGAAACAGGATACAGCCGGGTGCACCACCAACCCAGCGCGTCGAGCCTGGGTAGCGAAGTCTCAGTAAAACGTCACTAGGGACACCAGGGCCCTCGATCAGATCAGGAATATGACACTCTCGCTCTGAACGATTCTCAAAACGGCCTGAGTATGGGCGTAGCATTTGACTGCAGCTTGTACTCCCCCAACAGAACAGATGTTCCGAAAGCTTATCGTACCCTGATTGCAGCTCATCTCTGGCAAATAGTAGTGCTCTTGTAGTTGCTAAGCCTCTCAGGGAGAATCCTAATATGAAGTTCTGGAGATAAAGCCACGGCGGACGTTTTTCACGCGCTGGCTAAACCCCCAGGAAGATCGATCGACTCTTAGACCAACGATGTACGTTGAACAAGGTCGAGATCTTCTAATCAAGTTCCCGAGGCGAAGTAACTGCGTTTGAGCCATAAAATGCGTCCGGATTAGCGCAGGTGGCTTCGACTACAGTAAAGGTCATTGGAAAGAGAACAGGCACAAGTCACGCTTTCCTGAGTAAGGGTGTGGAGGGTTTAGTGTCGACATAATGGCGTTGAATAATTTCCGTTTCATATCAAGATACCCAGTTCATAGACAGGTTGTTCAATAAGCAAGCAACCCTTTTCAACGTATCGAGCCTTCTGAACCTAATGCGTGCGCCATAAGTTGAGGAGGGATACTGACCAGTGTCCGAGCGACAGCCAAACCTTGGTCTTGCTTAAAAGCTTGAATGATAGCACCACATCATACCAAAGCTACCTGTCGAGTTTGTTGTTTGACGAACCAGGAAATTTGAGCTCTTGTGAGATCAATGGCAATGCTGTCGTCGAGACATGGTTGAGTAAGTTCGAGCTTGACCGAGCGAGTTCATTCCTTACTATGAGCTGCCTGTAGTTGTAAGGTTAGTATAGGTGACTTGTTCGATCATTTGTTGCATCGCAGTGTACGTGGGGACGGCAGTTTCATTTCTTCCCAGCGCACATATTTGAAAAACGATTGGCCGTCTGCTCAGCCCAATTACAGTCGTCATTACGATGTCTGGCATTGTGCAGCTCACCGGACACTCGATGGAGAATCTCCCCACAGCAAGTTCAAACAATATACGAGAAAAGGTCTGCCCTGGGCTTCTCAATGCAAGTGTCGGTAAAACGGCAAAGATGGCTAAATGAAGCCACACAAACCTGTTTCACGCACTCATGATGCACTTATTGTCACCGTCGCCACGGCTTTGACGGAAAATTACAATACCGAAGGGCGTGTCACAATAAATTGTAACACCCTCTCTATCTGCTGAGGGTGTCATTGTGCTATTGTCAGCCAGATGCATTAGTAGGCTTCAGCGGTGACATCTTCATTCGCTTCAATCCCTGTGGTCACATCAATTGTGTCTGCATATGGTAGCCTCCCTCCACACTCCTGTCTTACCCAGCGAGTATCGTCGCCCACTGCGCCAAGAGTCGAGAAGAAGTTGCTGCAAAGCGTATCACATCATCATGTATGACATGTCAGTCCTGCGTCGTATCATTCGAGAAGCGATGTACGGAGATTTACCGATGCTGCATTGCTTGCACATGATCTTCCTCGTATATGTCGCTAATTTCCACATATCACAGTTGTATGCAAAATGGTTGGCAGGGTACCACTATTTGACATCGCGGAGGCTATGTGTAGCTGCTCTGACTGGGTTGGTATATCAGCCTTGGTCTAGATCACGGCAAGGCAGTGCCGCCAGGACACGAGTGTTGGGCCAGGAAATGGCTGCCATATTTGGTCAGCCGCTGTCATGTTACGTGAAGTCTTGCCGAGTGTATGGGTTCCCACAGACAAGCAACACATCACAGAGTTTCAGTCCGAAAAGATGTTGACTAGTTAAATAATTGGGATGATCAAGCAGCAACTTCAACATCGCAGACGTGTCTCATCGATGTATCATGGTGTCGCACAAGACAGAATATTCGTCAGTGTTTGCGTAGTCCAAGCACGATGTCAGATCTTTACCAGGTGACAAATGATCATTGTTAAGTTCCCCGATCATGCTCCCGAGACGAACTTTCAGACAAACAGTCATGATACCCAAACGCACCAGGAAACTTTACACACGAACAGAGAGGTCATCGCTTGAAGGCGTGTCGTTCCAAACCACGCCATACTATTGAGGTGTGGGGCACAATGCCGAGGACGAATATAGTGCAAGTATAAGCGACAACGCAAATGATTCTTATTCAGAAACTTTTGCCTCAATATAAATTGGATGACGAACTTAGGCCCAGTTGAAGCAGGTGCTGCGTACAAATCATGCGATCGCCTTGATCGAGGTTGGCGCGCTGCTGCAGTCCATCCACGCCATCCGGTATCCGAAAAAGCAATGATGCCTCCAACCTTGTCAGTATCGTCGATCAATCCAAGGATCGGCGCGGGTGTGGTAGGTCCCGCTATGTAGCGGGAGATACCGCGCTATATTCAATGTTGATCGCTTCGGTCGATGAGGGGATTCTTCAGATCGCTGTTGCCCCCTCGCGGATTTGAGTATCTGACCTACATGGGTGATACTGGCTGTCAGAGTTTCAGAACCAAGTACACCTCAGTGTCGCGGAAGACGAATGGCGCCATGTCGGCGATGGTTACCCCGCTTTACCGTTGTCGAGCCCGGATCATATATGTGATCTGTGGCGATGTATATGGGTGCGAACAACAAGGAGAGTCCCTGGGGCTGGAAGATAGATGATCCGGCTTAAGCTGTTACGTGTTCATTATGGCTTATGGCGCTGTTCGCGGGCGCCTAGCGCGCATTTATGGATGTCCGTTTGATCAAGTATTGATCATATGCGTGACTGGTGCTTGTTTGATACATGGTGGATGCTGACGGTCTCGCTTGACCACGCTGAACACGACCCTGCTCAAGCTGTTAACCGGTGATCTAGGCTCAACGTACGACCGCCAGCATACTGAGCAGAAGTCGAAGCCAGCAGGCGAGCTTCTGCAAATCAAGCTTGCCTGAAGGTAGTTATGAGTGCGAGACATCCAGCTAGTTGGAATGGCAAGAATGACTATGAAGTACCACTTACCGTGTCGCATGTCACTCAGCAGGATCGATCGGTCACCGCAAGCGAACTCATGGTCCCGCATTCGGGCCCAGGCTGCTTCCTACACAAGTGTTTCATGCACAGGACCTGGGCGTTACGACTAAGCAGTATGGAGCATTCCGATCCATAGCCATGGAGGCACGCTTGATCAGCGTATTGACAACCCGACAGTCTGGCAACTTGTGCAGACATGCCGTTCCTTGCAGCCCTTTAAGACTCTCTGGGTATGTCAACCGGTAGTTTGTGAGCACGGACAATCTCGTATCATGTACCTATGGTGTGTGAGGCACTGTTACGCTACGGGTCTATACATCGAACCAAGGTTTTGGTATCGGGGCTGTAGTCTGTTGTGGACCTCCGTTGCGGTTGTCGGGCTCGTATTCATCTCCGTGGGTCTCCGTGGGAGATATATGGCCGGTAGCAGAACCGAATGCCCTATTCTTGCTACCGGTCGAGACTAGCCTCTCGCGTGTTGAAGGACGCCAAGTGCGACATGTCCGAACCTTCAAACGCATAACTACCCAAGCAATCTGATAAGATGGGTGCGCCTGATCCCGCTCGAGGATGTAGGCGGGATAAAACGATAGTGATTGGACCGGCGCTGTTCACCCCATATTCCAGTTTTCTGGGAACGGTTGTACTTCATGAGTGAGGCGTTCATGGCATGTCACCGCCGCCAAGCGTTAGTAGAAGATCGACACTAATCTTAATTCTTAGACCGCGGCTGATGTGTCTGCTTCTGGTGACATCGGAATCTGGGGCATATAGAAACGTGTCGTTCGTAGATCGTCGTTTCAATATGCTGTTTCTTGCAACTGCGCCACAGGCTAACGCTCTGGCTACAGTCTACGAAACTATTCCCAGGGAGGTTGGTCTAGCATATCAAGCTCTGCATGCAGGTCTAGATGTGCCGTCTTCGTTCAAGAAACTGTTTTTCAGAACAAAGTCACACCGCAAGTCGCTGCGCATTGTCGGGATACATTGCGCATGGAATCGGACCGGTGGTCAGCGTCATGACTTTGTGGCTTTGGGCGCTCTGCCGGCAGATGGGAATAGCGAACCGAGGAGATCACAACTGTCAGGTCGATTTAAGTGCATTCCTCAATGTTTGGTTCGTTTCGAAACCTCTTGTACAAGCAGTTGCTGAGCTATTTCAAGGCCCCTCTTCAGCCCATCTCCAAATGTTTCACGTTTCAAAGTCGCTAGTGAAAATTTGGACTCTCCTCTTAGCGTATCATACAAAGTTGACGGAAGACGTTGGCCCGGGGCTCGCTGGGAAAAGTTGAGGACGAAAGCGAGCGGAGTACGCTCCGGCTCGACTGTAACGCACCGCCATCCCGTTCCGGCACCTCTGCCAACGGACGTTGGTACAATGAACTGCGTGCGTATCGAACCTAGGCACAGCCTGACGAGGCGGTCTTTTGGGGAGATCGTAGATGGAGCCTACAGTAGAGGCCATATGATGTAAGTAATGCGCAAAATATGCAATAGTACGGACCCGTTGAAAAAGTACTAGAACCTAGCTCTCGTAATCAAATGTGCCTTGCTGTGAATCAGAGTGGCGCTCAGGTTGAAAAGGACCTCGAGAGCCATAGGGTAGCAGTGACAGTGGCGGAGTAGCCTCCGATTTCACAGGCGGCCTTCAGAGGTTTGACTTCGTGTTATCCGGAGCAATGCCGCACATATGGAAGTGATCATCGGACCTCATGTGGCACTCGGTAGGAGCCGCAGGAGCATGTCTAGCGAGCGAAGCTTGGTGTCGGTCTTGACCGTCGTCGCATTACCTACCTACCAAAATGCCCCTTTTGCAGCACTCGCACCTTCTTTGACTCCATACGTCACCAGGCTCACATGTAGACAACGCAGCGAGGGTTCGGTGGAACTGTCCGATAGGTCATTCGAGAAGAAGTGGAGATCCCGCGAGTTTGTCAAGCGGAAATTACTTTTGTAGGTCGCGTCATCGTGCGGCGTTGGTAAGGGAACTTCGTGTCTTCTAGTGGACGGGGAAAGCTAGCAGGCCTACTGGTGGGCTGTCTCGTGCTTTTGACGGTGTCAGTTGGCGGTTTCGCGTGGCTGTGCTAGATCAGAGCGGACAAAGACGGGACGACAAGCGTCAGTGATGCTGTCAAGCTGTCGTGATGCACTATGTAGGTAGCTTGTGCTGTTGAAACGACGCTTGCGAGAACTGACTGGGAATTGTTGTGTTCAAGTGCCTTGTATCAAGGACGTTGGGTATCTATGATTAATGCAGTTTGAGTTCATTGGAAAGGCGATCCGGGCCAAGAGAGTGAAGCGAGATATTGTCAAAGCAAGTCTTGCTTAGTGCTGTGTTCCGTACGCTACCGGCTGACATCCGTGAGTCGTACAATAGGGGAGGTACAAACATAGCAGCATCTGCGAAGAGTAGGGGTCTAAGAATGAGGAAACACGATAGCGCGATGCAGGCGGAGCAACGGAGCCTACTGTGTAGCATCTGCGACATCGAAGACCGAGAGAACAAATGAACACGAGCTTCGGGGCGTGTCACAGCAAATCGACGAGATTGACACGCGTGGGGACCGCGGTAAGTGGAGAAGAAGGGACGTGTTGCTCACACCCGTCCACAAATCAGGGTTCGCAGGCCTGATAGAGCATAACCTTGCTCCCTGGTTGATCCCAATATTCGAAACACAGAATGGAGATACTGGCCGAAATGTTGGAGAAATATCTTCTTGTCTAGATCTAGGCTCCTCACGACGTCTGTAACACGTGGCTGCACGTCTGTACAGGGGGTTGACCTTGTTTCAGCAATGCTGGAAAAGCACTCGATCTCTCTAAACAAGTGACCAAGTGTTTAAAATGTCGGAAGCACATCATAGACTTGTTGGTGATCTGGGTGGCGAAGGGGATCGATTCAATGTGCAGTTCAAGCTGAAGGCATGCATGTGACCCAATGAACGTCAACAGTTTCAAGTGCAAAGCCACGCTGCATGACTGCCCAAGGCCTGGAGGTCGGGATACCCAGTGTGCGAGTCCAAGAAGGTCACGGTACGAGGTGTGTCCTACCGGTTGCAGATCACTGGATCGCCGTCAGGAATTGGGATGATCGATGAGTGCCGAAGCCGCAACTTGTCGCGGCCCCGTGGAGGTGCCAACCAACAATTTTGTCATGCTTATGCAAACGCGTGGCTGCCATGTGCGTCGATTGCGCAAGTTCCCGCATGAGGCCAAGGAGCGTAGCGAGTGGCAATAGACCGATGTGGGTTTTCGACGACAGAGGTGTAGAATGCATGTCCAAATCGACACATCCGACAGCTCTCTGGAGTTCAGTACGTCCGGACAGCTGTCTGCTGCTCTTTCGGGTTCACTCCATGTTGGTAGAAGGGTATGCTTGCGCGTGATCTTGGCCCTAAGCCGGCGGAGAAATAAGGTTTGGAGGAATTAGTCCATGGTCATGAACCAGCCTACTGCAGAGCACGCGCTCGCGTGAACGACGCCTACATACATCCAGGGGACCTGCTCCAATCGAGTCGATAGACGTGCTTGCAGGTTCGGAAGACTTTGACAGGCGAGTCCTGTACGATTTCTGCAGCGTCCCAGTCGGTCCCAGACTTCGTACCGGTAGGACTGACTCGACCTTGCCCATTGGGCCGCGGAGTGAGGATGGCAGAAAAGGTGCAGCGAGACGGTCGTTGAGTCGCCCGGCAGACGGAGGGTGGAAGCAGCTTCTGGCGGACGGGAGGTGGGAGTAGCTTCTAGCGGCCGTGAGTGCATGCCACGAGCAGCCATCCGACTGCCGGTGTCTAGCCATGGTAGCTGTACCGGGCATCGGGCATCGGGCTGGGGGATGCGATTGTGGCAATTGCGGTTGTTCATCTCCTTTTCGTGACTGTTTGTCGTCTCTGGTCATCTCCTGACTCCTGGCAGCCATTCAGAAACGAGATGGACCGGCTATCTGCAAAGACTGCTGTCGACCTGCATTGGCCTGCTGCATCTAAAGAGGTCTTTGTCGTCGAGACAGCAAGCAAGACAGGGGAAGTACACCCAGGTGGAAGCTGCCACAACCCGCTGGGTTTCATCAACCAGCAAGCGGACTTACCGATGCACTGCGTGCGATTTGCAAGGGAACGGCCGTCCCGCCGCTCTGGGTGTTCAACGCCCGGATCGAGTTGCGCGTATTATTGGAGCCAACGAGAGGGCGTGTGGCGCAGATCCACCTTGTCGCCATTACTCCCTATTCTCTTGCCCTGTGCTCCAACTAATGATCCTGGCGCATGGGCGCCGACGGCGTCGTGCCTTAACAGGGGCGCCTAAAGTGCAGCATGATGCCTGCACCCATGCCGTTCTCTGCTAGGCTTCCTGGCAAACGCAGTAGCTGCAGCCCACCTTGGTCGCAGTCGCAGGCGGAAGATATAACCAGAGCAAGCCAATCCCGCCGGTCCCCACACGCATCTTTTCCTCTGCATTTTAACGTCGCTGAACTACGGATGCTGCAATCGCGCAGTTGAGTCGCATCGCAAACCCTGGTTCTTGTAACGGTCCACACCACCCCGGCAAGTCGCAGAGCGAGCCGGTACCTGCCTCGAACCTAAAAGTCCCACCTGGTCCACGGGCTTTGCGCAGCGATCCTCCGTATGCTCTGTTGATGCTGAAACGAGTTTGAAGCGACCAAAAGACCAGCTACTTGCTCCGGTCCGGGATTCTCCCATGTCGAACGGTTTTCATGCTTCTTTGTCTGGCTCCCGACGCCCAAGTGTCCCCCACCACCACCCAAGACACAACCTCATTGAAGCAAACCTGCAGGAACTTGGTCTGGTGGGCCACAAGCACCAAAAGAAGAACAAGAGGAAGGTTGTCGAATTTAGATCCCCTGCAGATCACAGCGACGGTACCAGCTCCCTGAACCATTTAGAACTTGTCTAGGAGCTCAGGCCGCTCATGACTTTCCTAGGAGGATTGCGCCCCGGCTCGCGCAGCTCCAATAACACCTCGTCCACCGCCACTGCAAAGCCTTCTTCCTCACACGGCCAAGTACCCTTACACAGTGCCCGCGGCATGGCGCCTGTGCTCGACATCGAGAGGTCGCGTACCAGACGAGAACGTACCTTCATAGGCAGCGATTGTGCAGTATGTGAAGAGGCGTTGGAGCATACGCTGCGAGGCGAGCGCATATTGCAGCTGTCGTGTGGGCATGTCTCCCACGAAGCTTGCTTCTACGAGTACATTCGCGAGTTCGAGGCGAAGGAGTGCCCGACATGTAATGCCACACTTGGGCTTGACACCAGCCGCGGGGGCAACATTGACCTCGGTATGTATCACCGGCGATGGTCATGCTGTGGTATGCTGACAGTGGTATGCAGAGAAAATAGTCAGATCAGTCCAGTCCGACGTGTCGCCGCAGACCAGTAGCCAAAGGAGCAACGCGCCCACGCCGACACCATGGGACAACGCGTCGACGATGCACTCGGTCAGTGGCCACACACAAGGCCGTTCACGTAATGGCAGCGATGCATCGGCTCGGTTCGCACCGTCGCACCACACACGCCAACGGGACAGCAGTCACAGCCGCGAGCGCGGCTCTGACCGAGGCGGCTCCATGTCGCGCCAGCATCTGCGCAGCGATAGTGGTGCAACTGGTGCTGCCTCTTCGCATGACTACGCGGCGGCGCAGGATGGTCGGCGACACGATTACGACGTACAGTCGATGGAAACAAGTCTCAGCAGCCCACGCGCACTCCTGAAGAACCCAATTCCGGCGCCAACGGTGACGGTTCGAAGCGAGTTCCCGACACTCAGCAGGTCGCGTCAGCAGCAAAGTCTGACGTGTTTGGTGACGGTCGAAGTGGTGGAGGGGAAATGGCGGCCAGACCCGGAGGATATGCGAGGTGCACCGCCCCTGCCCTCAATAGCAAGCGCAACCGCCGAGAGCTCGTTTGGGCGCGCCAAATCACCAGTACACAACAGGCACGCAGGTTACGAATATGATACCCCATACGAGTCCGAAGGAGTCTTGGATGAAGTCACTGAGGATCTTCACTCTCGTGTCGACAACTGGCATGGTCTTGACTTCTCCCGTTTTGGGAAGCTGCGCCTGCATGGCCAGATCCGCGTCGGGAAGGACCGACAATCATGGCAGGAGCTCGAATGTTATCTCTTCTCGGAGATGCTTATCTGCGTAAAAGAAAAGAAAGCTCCTGCCCAGCCTCAATGGGATGATTCGAAGGCGTCCAGATCAAAGAAGACAAAGTGCACTTTGAAAGGCTCCATCCTCATCAAGAAGCATCTCAATCAAGTTGAGCACTCGCCCGATAACTTCATTCTCACCTTGAGCCTCTCCGTAGCAGAGTTACCCTCTTTCCACTTACAGTTCCAGGACAGAAGTCAGCTGGAGATATGGCGACGAGCCCTGATGGAAATTCGCTTGGACTTGCCCATGAACAGAGGAATGCCAGATTACGATCAAGACCACTCCGGAACCGAGGAGGACGACTACCGAAGACCGAAGCGGGTCTCATCTGTCAACTCTTCCTACGGCGCAGCTCGATCAACAATGACTGCTCCCACCGAATACACCAGCCCTCGTGCGAGTCCTCCGGAACCCCGCTTGTCTGGCTCCATTCACGTACCCATCGATGTTGTCGTGGTAATCCCTGTCTCGTCATCGATGCAAGGCTTGAAGATCAATTTACTGAAGGACACCCTCAGATTCCTTGTTCACAGCCTCGGCGAACGTGACCGCATGGGGCTCGTGACGTTTGGGTCAAGTGGAGGCGGGGTACCTATCGTTGGCATGACTAGTAAGGCATGGAGAGACTGGTCCAAGGTGCTCGACTCGATTCGACCTGTGGGCCAGAAGAGTCTCCGTGCAGATGTGGTGGATGGTGCCAATGTGGCCATGGATTTGCTGATGCAACGCAAGTCAAGCAACCCGCTATCAAGCATACTGCTCATCAGCGACTCGTCTACGTCGGACGCTGAGAGCGTTGATTTCGTAATCTCTCGTGCCGAGGCTGCAAAGTAAGTACTTCAACCCACGACTCTACGGATATCGGGCTAACGTAGTGCTCAGGGTTTCCATTCATTCATTCGGTCTTGGACTTACCCACAAGCCTGATACCATGATCGAGCTGTCTACACGTACCAAAGCGTCATACACTTACGTCAAGGACTGGATGATGCTGCGCGAGTGTGCCGCGGGATGTCTCGGGGCACTTCAATCTACTTCACACCAGAACGTCAGGCTGAAGTTGCGTCTCCCTGAGGGTTCACCTGCAAAATTCGTTAAGATCAGTGGCGCGTTGCAAATTACGAAACGAGCCACTGGAAGAGATGCCGAGGCTTCACTTGGCGATTTGCGCTTCGGCGACAAGCGAGGTATGTAAAACATCATTTCACAGCGTGAGTTAAATTGTCTTGCTAACTGTCATTAGATATCTTGGTGCAGCTTGCCATCGCGCCTGACTCAGGATCGCCTGACCAGCTTCTCCAGGATCCTTGGGAGACAATAGTTTCTGGCTTGGAAGCCTTGGGCGGGCCTCTGGACCAGGATGATTCCCGCACACTTAGCGTCGAGGAAGTACCACTGATCCAAGCGGACCTCACGTATGGAGACATTCTCAGGGAAGGAACCCTGTCACACCTGGCCAGACCATCACTGCTTGCCATCACTCTGCTGCCTTCTGGACCGAAGAAGGCCTCGACCGCGTTTCCATCAACACCGCCTATTCCTCCCCACCCACATGTCGTTCAACGCCGTATGGAATTGTTAACATCGGATATGTTGACCAGAGCACTTACCCTAGTTTCCCGCGGCCAACATGAACGAGCTCACCATCTCTTGAAAGAGACCCGGAGTATTCTAAAGGGGTTAGGCAAAGGAGGCTTGCCCCCTCTGCCGCCTCCAGGTCAGCGACGAACAGATGCACCCAGCATGACTGGTAGCACCGGGACCTCGTCGCCTACACAAAGCAGTGCTGGCGATCTTCGACCACGGACGCCTTCGCCACACGCTAATAGTCCTTTTACCCCCGCAGCAGGCATCGATGCCAGGACGATGCATGCACTTGACGCCGAACTGGAGTCCAGCCTGGAATGGATCAACCACCCCGCAGTTTTCGGCCGAGACTCGAGGAAGGCTGTGTTGCAGGCGATCGGCGTCATTTCATCACAGCGCGCCTACACGTTCAGGTCACCCTCCGAATCGCTCTGGGCCGAGCGTGTTGCGGGTGTCAAGCGCCTCTCTGAACGCTCGCGCGAATGGCGTGAGTCTGGCGACCAAGAAGCTCTCATGGAGGAGAACTAATTTATCCTCCCCTTCTCCCGAGCTCTACGACTTTCTTGTACATGTTGATCATACTACATCATAACTCGGTTACTTCATACGGCTTTTGTTTTCTTATCGGCTACTATACCCCTGGCGATTGGCTCTCTGAACTTTGTTCACGGTTAGGACCGGACTGGTGGATCATTGCTTCGCTTGATCGTGGAGGCTGACACCATTCTGTCGTATTCATGAAGGATACCACTATCGGTCGTCTGTGTTTGGTTTTATCAGACTTGGCCTGGAAAATTTGAAATTTAGCGTAGTTTCTGTCCCATTTGGACTGATATCACGAGCATATCAACTTTTAGCGCATAGATTTACGAATATTCCCCATCAAAGACGTTGCTTCAGCCCCACTCAGCATATCTACTGTTACTTAGTTCACTAGCCAAGGCGCTGCAACTTGGCGAATGCGAAACAGAAATTGAGCACGAGGGCGCATGTTGGATCTGCAGATTCCAAACATCTTGAGCACCTGCCCATTACAGGCGACAGCCACTTGAAATGGTATCGTTATGATGTATTGGGAATGGTAACCGGTACCACCCAGCTGTATATTTGTCCGCGATACGAGCGCAGATGCAGCAAATTTCCAATCGCCGACGAATCACAATCGCGCCATGTCAGTAATGCCTTCCTTATGCGAAGCCACATTGAAAAGGATGGTTACACAACAGTTATGGCACTGTTCTGCTGGTGACAACACTTCAAAAAGCAGACTCCCAGACCGCTCTTCAGCAGGCGCAAGCGCGCCCATCTCCGAGCCCAGAACAGCGCATCCTTCTCCGGGCTTAGGCGCGTCGCCTACAGTTACTCATTCTTGATACCTCGCTCAAGACCGTAACAATGGCGAGAAAGGCAAAGCAGATCACGTAGCACAAAAGCGGACGCATCCGCTATCCCCGTTAAGCTGACAAGCCAGGGTCTAACAGGCGGGCTGGCCGCTGAAACATGTCTGCCGCATCTGCCTGACAGGCACCATTGGCACCGTCAACACGGTCAACCATGACGTCGCTTCCCTGAACGTCAACGGATGAAAAGCAAATCCTTCGCGTCAATATCGCCTCCATTACGAATCTGCCCCAATGCCCCCTCGCCTCTCGATTCGGTAAACGAAAACGCGCGTGGCCAGGTGTTGAAACAAGATTCCCCCACCCCACCCACGTCGCATCTGGTCCCGAGCGGACAGGCGGAAGGTACGCCTTGTCGAGATCCCCTGGTCGGCGTGCCTGAGCTTCTCGATACTTTTGATCCGCATTTCTCTCGCTGAATATTACGCTGTTGGCTTGCCGTCTGTGGCAATGCCAGCCGCACTACAGGAAGCCCCTTGCAGCCGTACCTGCAGCTGCATCATCTCTAACGCTCTGCTGTGTATACGGCCCGCAACTGCTGTATCACGCTCATTGGGATCTCCTCGGAGCGGGGCTATGGGAGTACAACCGCGGCAAGAATCCCTGACCCAGTCGTGCTCCATCAGTCAGTTTAGGTCGAGACCTCAAGAGCATGTTGAGCTGCCTCCGCTGCCTGGGGAGTCGCCGTGAAACACGCAAATTGCCGTTGCACATCTACAGTTCCACCGTGGCTTACCACAGAGGCCTGGCCGTTCGATCCCAGCCCGCGCCCAGTCTGTCATACGAACAGCGTTTGGCTCGTGGAACAGGGATCTTGAAGGATTTCCGAGCCCGGGCGGGTCATCGGTTCACAAGCCACAGCTAGGCAAAAAAGAGGAGAAACAGGGGCGGCGTAAAGATGCGAGAATACCGAGTGCGAAAGTACTGTACCGGTACATTTGCCAACCTCCTCGATTTTCGTCCACCTGATCCTCATCTGAGATTCGAAAACGATTGCATCTAGTGGCTTGAACGCTCTCATGCAGGGTCAAAACAACGCCTACGCACACCTACGTCGTAGTGATGCAATGTTGGGACTCCAAGCATGGTTGCATTCACTTTGTAACTTTACAGATGGAGCGGCTTGCATGTCGAATTGCTGCAACCGAACAACGACACCAAAGCATCAGAGTTGCCGAGTCACCTCCGTCGTGGGGATTGCATCGGTCCTCCTGTCCTTCGGCAAACCGATCACCTCATCCGACTACAGCTCCACCCGTCCACCGAAGCATTTTACTGTCTGGGCCGTGCAGGGCCGTCGAACCCGTTCCCCTGGTCGCGGCACGGCTTTTGTCCTATTACTTGCTTTTCCTTATAAAAGGTGATTCCAGTTTAGTCAATGGTTGGCATCCCTGAGATGGCTCTGTGGGCCGTTGCAACGCTCGCACGAATCCTTCGCGCTTCTGTGCGGTGTTGCGGGTCGGGGCTTTAGGTAAAGCGCCTTCCGCAGCTCGCCGTAAGGAGCTCGCGAGTCACAATACCAGAGATCTATATTGAAGGTGATAAGGTCCGCCGACGTAGGATAGCCCCTTACAAAGGAACCATTGTCATTGTTCGCGTGCAGTTGTGGCCGCGCGCAAATTGCCCAATGGGTTCCCCCTTGCGCAGGACACAGTCAATACTAGATACCAACATGCAGTCAAGCACTCCAACGCCAATTTTCTTTTTCCCAGTGTGTTGTTTGTCATTTCGGCAATTATCGCCCCGGAAAACGGTTTTCGGCGGCGTTCTCACCGGTTAGCTAACGAACTACAGGATCTCCCCACGTCGCCTCATTCATAGCCCTCGCTAAACCCGCCCGAGTCGATGCCCCAGAAAGGCAGCTTGAATGGTAAACATGTCACCACACGGCGCCTATCGGAATCTGCGCTGCATATAGGACAGGGTTTGGCTTAACAGAAAATCTATGACCTCGACCGAGCGCGCGCTGCAGTCTTGAGGGTTGCGTACGTGCATAAGATAGATGAATCTGCTGCAACACTTGACCACGCGCCAGGATGAGCTTGCATGCAGCCGTGTAGTTTGGCACTCGACACATGGAGGAAAGCCAAGTCCACTGCCGGGCCCACACGTGGGGTAGGTGGATCGCTGCGCAGCGGTTCCATAGAGCTGACGAGGTACACTAATGCCCAACTAGTAGGTGGTTGATGCTGTCGGGGAATTCGAGCGACAGTTGCACCTTGGGTGTGGCAGTCGCAGCAGACACATGTTTCAGGATTGCTGCAGAGTACGAGCTGTGGAGTTGACATGGCTATCTCAGACAGGTGAATGCTTCGCGGCTCGGCTGTTGTGATTGCACGCGCACGCAGCAGCAGCAGGACTGGGGAGTTGCTGCGTCGTCGTGCATGTGTATCGTGTGTGGGGTACATACCGAGGCTTCGAGTCACGTCCATTCCTCCAGATGAAGATCTGAACCCACAAGGTCAGTCTTGTGGACTGCCTACTTTGGCACAAGCCGCCATGAGAACGAAGCAACCAACAGCACACCTGCGTTGCAGCTGTTCCGTGATCCATAACAGTACCTACGCCCGTCATCGTACCATTTGACACGTACCATATCATATCACACAAATTACTTCGGCGAGGAAGATATGTCCTCGCGCGCCGCACAAACGGCGCAACTTCGCAACACATCTCGGCGCCTCTGTGGCTTAGATATTATATTGTCGCCGATAGTACACGACATCTTAGGTATGGGAATCATGTCAGTCTCCACGACTAGCGGTCCGATCCGATACAGAGGGACAAACCGTGCGTTTTGTAGTGCTGCATTATGTGCATGCTGATCTCTGGCACGTGGGTCATGCGTGATGGCGTGTTGATGCTTGGTACTGTGAGTACCACCGCGAGGCCGTACGTCGGAAAATCTGGGACTGGAGATGGGAAATGTGACAGGTGACTAGGAAGGTGGGATATGCGACAGGTGGCTGAGAAACGTATGCTTGGAATAAAGGGTCGAGGATGAATCTTTCTTCAGAAGAGGATTCAACATACTATGATGTTGTGAACTTGACTTGACAGTGATGCATGATAATCACTGTATACATGATTTCCTCAACGTCTACGCCGGACCGGCGAGTCCTTGATGCAAACACTCTATATAGCATAATACACGTACAGCATAATGTCCTCATCATCTAAATCTCTCATACCGCTCCTCCTCTTCTAGCCTCGCCTCGACCTTCGCTACAACATCGGCCCCATACACTTCCTCCACGCTCTTATCGCCCTTTAACACCTCCTTCTCATGCTTTGTAATCTCTTCCTTGGTCATGCACACCAGATCGCGCATCTGCAGGCGACTACTCTTCTGGCCGGGCGTGCTCTCATCCAACATATCTGCCGACGGCTTCTTCCACCGGGTCAAGAACAAGCGGGTTGACAGACCACTGAGGACACTACGAGCACCATAAACCTCCTCGACAAGGTATCCTACGTCGTCCTGAGTAACAGGGATCTTGAGGCCCTGCACAGTTGCGCCGGCGACGTGGCGCGCAAGGCGCTCCTCAGCGCCCTGCAGCGCCCCCAGAATCCCGTCGTACATCTTGTCGCGCGACTTGCTGGGGAGGTATTCGCAGGGGTAGCCGGTGAGGCGCAGGATGACGTGGTTTGCGACGCTGAGGCCGAAGATGGCGGGCATGGTGCCCAGAACAGGCAGGATGCGGACGCGGAAGTCGGCGAGCACACCGAGTTCGCCCACATTGCCTTTTTCAAATTCTTCTTGCTTGAGGGGTTGCAGTTCGGCCTTGCCGGGTCCGGGGCGCTCGGTGCTGTAGACGACGGGTATTCCCGAGCTGACGCCTAGAAGGCGCAATTTGCGGCGGGTGGATTTCGAGAGTGGGTCGTCGGTTGATGTGCTAATGTCGCCGATGAACAGTCGGGTGGGATCACTCTTGCAACCTGCGCCCATCGAGGAGATGACGGGAATGGAGTTTGTGTTGCAGTAGTGCAGGAGCGCAACCTTGGAGTCAATGTTGTCGATGGCGTCAATAACGAAGTCTGGTGCTTGCCCGTTGAGGGGAGCTAGTTGTGTTGGAGCGCTTTGGCCGGAGAACAGGGCGTTTAGGCATTCGAAGTGCGTCCATGGTGTTATCTTCTCGAGGTGTCGGCGGATGCAATGAACCTTGGGTGTTCCAACATCAGCCAGCGTAGCGAGGGCGTGGCGATTGAGAGAAGACAGAGTCACTTGGTCAAAGTCAATCAAACGTAGCTTGGAACATCCTGACCGGGCGAGCGCAGCTGCCGCGTGGGAACCAACACCACCACACCCGACGACGATGATGAATGCATTGCGTAGTTTCTCCAGACCATCATCGCCGAGAAAGACACGGTTACGGGCCAGCTGCTCCAAAATCAAATCATCATCGTAGTCGCCTTTACGAGCACGGGCTGCGAGGGCGATGGAACGTTCATCCTCTTTGCTGGGCTTGAAGACAGTTGAAGCGGCGCCGTATTCAGTAAGCTGGATGATGTTAGTTGGGGTTCGCAGCACAAGTTGTTATATAAAAGAGTATCCCAAACACGTGATTGTAGTACTGAGATTTCGCCGGATATCAAAATCGTCCAAAACATGAAAGGTACTGTAATGATGATTGAGCAGACTTACTCTTGTCGCATGGTGGTCGTCGGTAACGTCTGGTATCGATGCCTTCAAGTCGGCCAACCTGTACATTCGCCTCGCTTTTTGGAAACCGAGAATGGTACTCGCAACGACAACACCTGATACGACCGCAGTCGTCACCAGCTGAGCATTGCGGTTCTCAGTCGCTCGAGATATCCACGAGGACATCTCGGCGGCATGCAAATTGAATATGTATTCCAGGCTCTTCTAATCACAATTCCATCTCTTTCCCACAATGTCTAAAAACTCGTCTTCTCGATGCAACGCCGAATGGTGATGACTAGAGAAAGATGCGGCTCAAAGTTCAGATGTCGGTGTGGGACTAGCTCCAATGAGGACAAGCGCCGTCTGTAAATTCTCCAGATGACCTTCTCCCAGTAGCCGCCAGCGAACGACTGGGGCACGGCTCGACGCGTCTGAGACATTCTGTACGCGCAGTCTAGACACCTGATTGCTGTTGTTTGGTGTGCCGCACATAAGAGTGATCCTCGACCGCCCACGACCCTTCACCGTTTCGCCCGTTCGCCGACCTATACACATAGCGACCATGTCGAAGGTCACATTCGCCATCATCGCCGCGGGTGGTGCAGCAGCCGGCGCAGCAGCAACAGCTGCCTTCTACTCGACCAAGAAGGATAGCCTGCCACCCACACCAGTAACCACCACAGCCACCACCATCACCGGCCCACCGCGACCAGCACCGGTCCCCGCCTTTCCTTCCACTCCCGCGCCCGCCGCCGCATACCGCACACCCCTCGTCGACCCCAACGGCCTCTTCCAATATGGCTTCCCCGGCCCTGTCAACGACCTCCGCCCAGCCGCCTCGCTCACATCTGCCTATGACCGCGAGAGGCGCAACCCAGCCTGGGTAGCCGAGCACATCACACCCGCGTCGCTGGCAGCCAGCAATGCCGACCGCAAGCACAGCGTGTTCGTCGAGGACATCACAATCCCGGAGAAGTTCCGCGCAAAGCTCAAGGACTACTTCCGCAGCGGCTTCGACCGCGGCCACCAGGTGCCTGCCGCCGACGCCAAGTGGAGCCAGGAAGCCATGGATGACACCTTCGCGCTCAGCAATATGTGCCCGCAGGTCGGCGACGGCTTTAACCGCGACTACTGGGCGCACTTCGAGGACTTCTGCAGGCGCCTGACGCGCACGTATCCCAGTGTGCGCATTGTCACCGGGCCGCTGTACTTGCCCAAGCGCGATGCTGACGGCAAGTGGCGCGTCTCGTATGAGATGATCGGTACACCGCCTAATGTCGCTGTGCCGACACATTTCTACAAGGTCATCTTCGCTGAGGACGGGAGCGTTGGGGGGAAGGTGGCGCTGGGTGCGTTTGTGCTGCCGAACGCGCGCATCGATAACAAGAAGCCGTTGACTGACTTCGAGGTCCCCATCGAGGCGGTCGAGAGGGCGAGCGGGCTGGAGTTTGCGACCAAATTGGATCCGGCGAGGACCAAGAGGCTGTGTCAGGAAGTCAGTTGCTCTGTGATCGTCAAGGAGTACGCGCAGAGGCAGAAGACATTCCCCAAGGCTGCGTAATTTCGAGAACTTGTTGGCAAGCATATGCATAGCGGTGGTCAACTGTGACCTGATGTACATCAAATTTTTGGTACATTACATATCTCTTTCTCAATTGTACAGTATGGTACAGATAGCTTGTAGCCAGGCGTATACCCATGGACTACCCAAGCAGTCTTTTCAATCCTCTGCGATTCCTTCGCGTCTCGCATATCATACACCGCCCGCCACCTCTTGCGTCGTCTAACGCCCATCCCCCCTTAGTTGTGCGACCATCTGGTCCTTGGAGGTTCACATGCTCAGTCCTCCGGCGGCACTCTCCTTCTGTATCCGCGCAACGTACTGCTTGCTGACGGTGTTCCAGGCGCTCATGTACTTCTCCATGCAGCTCTTGAAGCAGCCCTCCTCGCCGCTGGACAGCGAGGTTCCAGGCTTGGGCACGCAGCGTTCGAAGCAGTGCTCGTTCAGTTTCTGGAGCCCATATTAGACCGGCATTTTATCGATGTGTGGTGCAGGCTGTACCTCGACCAGCATGCGCGCGTTCTGCATGGCGGCTTCCTGCTGCACCTGGCGCATAATCTGGATCTTGCTGTCCTCCATTGTGTATTCGGCGTGCGATTCGTAAGTGGGTGGATGAAGGGAAGTCGTAAGGTCGTAGCAGGTGGACGGTACAGAGTGCTTGAACCAGTGGTCGCTCAAAAAAGTTGACGTCAACTCGTTAGCGCGCCTGGACCCCTGCTCTCCGCGTGTAAAGGCCACTCATCACAAGCATCCCGACTCCGCCGACTTGCCTCCCTGTGCGCCGCCCACCAGCTTTCTTCTCTTCTCCCCGCTATTTGTTGCACTCGAGCCAATTGCTGGAGCTCAGGCTTCGTACATTCTTTGCGCCTTGCGATTCTGAAAAGGGAGCGTCCCTGCGAAAGGAGCTTGACACCGGGAGTGGTCTCAGGACTGAGGACTTGCAATAATGTTGTTCACACGGCCATGGGCGAGCTTGTGCTTGCTGGCAGGGAGTTTGACGGGCGTGAGCAGCCTGGGGCTGAGTGAGGACCCGGATATCAAGGCTATTTCGGTACGGTGGTGCTCGATATTGTTCGTCAGGAGCGAGTGCTAACATGACCATAGCTACGCACACACAGCCTCGAGCCTGTAAGTCGCCGGCATAATCGCCAAACATGTAGCAGCAGCTCCTAACAGCATCATCAGCCGTACCTCGACTCGGATATGCAGAGCCGCTGGTGGGACTTTGGAGGAGACACCATCATTCGAACCGACCAGTACATCCGTCTCTCGTCAGACAAGCCGTCGCGTGACGGCTGGCTATTCTCGCGCGTTCCCCTGACCGCGACAAATTGGGAGGTGCGCTGGTTCTACCTCCACGTTTGGGAAACAGCTCACACGAGTAGATCACGATCGAGTTCAAGGTCCATGGACAGGGCAACCTCTACGGTGACGGCTTCGCCATGTGGCTCACCAAGCAGCGCGCGCAGCCAGGACCCGTCTTTGGACATGCCGACAAATTCGAGGGACTCGGTATCTTCGTCGACACGTACAAGAACAACCGCCCGGGCACCGTATTCCCCTACATCATGGCCATGAACGGCGACGGTAACACTGCGTACGACAAGGACAACGATGGCAAGGCAAATGAGGTCGCTGGATGCTCTGTACGACTCCCGTATCCACCGACATAAGGTCAAGAGCTAACATAGACTTTTTAGGCTCGCGGTATCCGCAACTCCCAGGTCCCCACCAAAGCGCGCCTCACCTACTTCGCAGACTCCTTCCTCAAGCTCGAACTCCAGTACAAGTCCGAGGATGAATACACGACCTGCTTCGAGATCCCCAACTTCAAGGTGCCTCCAGTCGCATACCTTGGTTTCAGTGCCGAGACGGGCGAGCTCAGCGACAACTTCGACATCATCTCCGTCAAGTCGCTGAACTTGTACAAGCGTAATCCTGGCCAGGCTGCTGGAAACGGTGCCACAAAGCCCGGTAAGACGGCTTCGAGCATGACGCGCGAGCAGGAGGGCGGCAGCAGCTGGACATGGTTCCTGATGAAGTTCGTGCTCTTCGGCCTCGCGCTGACGGGCGCATACGTCGGCTATACCATCTACCGCACAAGACAGCGAGACAGGTTTTAGAGGCGCCCCGGAGACGCACCGCACCCGTCGTTTCCCACCAACTCCTTTCACCAGCGCCACTTCGACTGGGCAGCGAAAGGTCTCATGGGTTGCGGGGGGTAGCGTGTGGTTTTGCACGGATATGAGAGAGCAGGTGTGGTTTGACGAGGTGGCACAGCAACGGCGCAGATTCTGTGGTCTCAGCGGCTTGCGCTCACCGGGCAGAGTCGCGCCTCTGTACCATGTTAGTTGGGTGCGCGGATCAACCGGGTGCGGCGTCAGTGTCTGGGTGTGCACATTCTCGCGCGCACGGCGTTGGGCCGTACACACTATCACGGCGTGTCAGTGTTGACTTGGACGTGTGTGCTTTTATCGTGTTTGTAGCATTGTTTGCATTCTTCCTTTTTTTCCTCCGCCGGACCTCAAAATACCACATTTCATGATCGCACATCTCGAACGTAATCTAAAGTGTGCCCGTGTGAGCTACGAAGCACAACCTCAGTGATGTATCCAGCGCTATTGACAGCCCCAGCATTCTGCCGAGCCAGCCTCTTTCCGCGGACATTTCCTCAATCTCGCACCCGTTTTAGATGATCAGCTGCACGGCAGTATCGCAGCAGCCATGATGTACGCGATGCCTTTCATCATGGTTCCCGTGACCATGATTACCAAATCGCTCCGCAGAGCTTGTAGAACAAGAAGACGGCAGCGAGTCCCGGCGAACGCATAGCTGCAGATTTCAACCTTCCCAATGCGGAAATTCTCATTATCTGTAGATTGCGGGCTGCGGCTTTCCGTGAGAAGTGGGGCGCGGCGGTGCTAGCGCGCCCGTGACCGCGCGCCGCAGCGACTATATGTTTCTCGCACGCCTGCCTGTGCGAACCACTAACACCACCCGAGCTTCAAGTGAGTCCCCCATGGTTTGCAGCGCCGCCACTCGCAGACTCGCAGACAAGAGAGGCTGCATGCAAGAACAGAGAATATCTTGCGAGTGCATCTCGCGAGGCTGCTGCGAATCTGCGAGTCCGCGAGCTACGAGCTTGCGACCACTTCGCCTGCAACAACAGCTAACACCCCGCCCCAGATCCCAGTGAACGACAACCCAGATCACAAAGGCCGCCGGCGCCTCATCAGCCCGGCCGCCTACTGCGTGACACAAGAACGGAAAGCGGAGGGAGTGCGCATCTCACATGGTGACGCATGCCGCGCCCTGTCATTGCACGCCGACGGGCACGGCTGGAGCTCTGGGCGGTGTTCAGCGGCGCCGTTCCTTACAGAGGGCAGCGAGAGAAAGAGGCGGGACGCAGAGACACGGCGGTCCCTGCAGTCGCGGTCAGCCGTTCCCACGCGCATTGAGGAAGAAGTAAAAGAGTCGAAGCGCCGCCGTGCGCTACCCCGCGAGGGGAGCGCGCGCCGCAGCTAATGACACGAAAAAGTAGTTTTCAATCCGAGCGCCTGCACTGCGGTGCTGAACGTGGGGATGCGTGGTCGTTGTCGCTGGCCGCGCTGCAGGGCTGTCGTTGCGCTTTCGCGCTTCCCTTCTTTCTCTTTCCGTTGGTGGTAAAATCCGACCCTTGGTATCTGACTTCGGCAGAGAAGAGGCGAAAGGAGGTCCAGTGATGATGTTCCACCGTGCGATGGGGCATTAAAGCCAAAGTCGATTAGGACCCCGCGGTGCTGCGATCCGTGAAAGCGGCGGGCGCCGTGTGGACGCCTTGTGAGAACAGCGGGAGAGCTAATCTGAGGACCTACAATACTACTTCATCATCTTTGTCCCCTCTCTGCTTCTATGCCTCAAATTAGTCGTGTGAGACTCCGAGTTGACTTGTATGCATGCAGACACTGTGTCACTCGCTATGCTAACATTGTAGCGCCTGATTGCTCTCCTTTCCTTCACCATTGCTTCCCCTTTCCTTCACCATTGCTTCCCCTTTCCTTCACCATATCCGTGTCCTCACACCCTCCACCGGTTTCCGCAGCCCCAACCTCAACCTCAACCTCCGCCGCCACCTGGCTGGGCTGCATGCTCGTACTCTCACCTACTGCGTGCTTACACATCGGCGCTAACTGCCGGGAAGTGCACACTTGGATGCTTTGTGGCGGACGAATGCACGAGGAGATTGGACGCGCCTCGGCCATTCTGCGACCACAGCGGAGAAACCTCGAACGATGGAGTGCGTACCACGTTGCGAGCAGCCCTTACAACAGTGCGAGGCACGGTGGGAGCACTTATCGTCAAGACAAGAAACATGAGATATTATTAAGGATCAAAAACACGCCATTCACGCCCGGAGCCCCAGGATCCCAACGCCGTTCATCTCACCAGCCACACGGCGTGCGTCTCAAGCGCCGTGCCGAAGGACATGCAACAATCTGCCCAGAAACTGCTCGCCAACGCGCCGTCGCTACCGCAGGACAGCAAGGAAGTAGAACACGGCCCCGACAGCAACAAGAGTCGAGATGCCGATGCTGTTGCGAGTCAGCCTGAGCACGCAACAAGCTGTCCGCGTGAAGACGACTGAATACGGCGGCATCGGGTGCTGTTGTGTGGGACCTTACCTGGCTCCTTTCCAGCTGTGCAGCGAGCGCTTATCGAGCGTCAACTGCTCAGCGGCCGACGCCACCAAGTCCGGCTTGACGGAAGGAACAGGTTCATTCTTGTCGTCCAGCTGAGGCCTCGGCGAAGAAGCCTCAGCTGTTTCTTCCCTAGCCTCTCGACGTTGCCGGAGTCCTGCTTCTGGAAAAGCAGGCGCTTCGAGCGTCCTCGGCGTGAGCGGAGGGGTCAGAGTGTTTTTAACCGTTGCCCTCGAAGCTACAATATCAGACAGACCCCTCATGCCTCTGTCCTTCGACCTATCAGTCTTACTAAAACTGCTGGCTTCGCTAGACTCGACGTTGTGAGTGCTTTGCGTCTCGGGCTTCTTTTGTGAAGTGTGGCCAAGCTGCTTGCTGTCGTCAGGATGAGGTGTTGCAAGCGGGTCTTTCTGTCGAGCAAATCTAGGGCCCGCGTGACTCATAATCATAGGAGAACCGAGAGATTCGACATCGGCATTATCTTCTTCGTCCTCTTCTTCCTCATCCTCGCGTACGGATGCTAGAGATATGTACGATTTGACAGGTACGAGGTCGACCGAGGAACAGGCTTGCGAGAGGACCGATGATTGTGGCGAGGCGGGCGCGCCATGTGTTTCGTCTTCAGGTAGTTTGTTGCCGATTGTCGCCACGCGCTCAAGAATTTGGTCACGACCGACAGGGAAATGTTCAAGCCCCGGCTCGTGGAGATCGATATCCTCTGCGTCTGATTGTGGTAGCTTGTTTGGAAGCGTGCTACTGCTGGTGCGCGTCCTAAAAAAAGCATGGCGCAAACTAGCAGATGATTCTTTAGCGGCGTCCATATCCTGACCAAAGACTGGGGCATCATATCTTGTCGGACTCATGCTAAAAGATCGCTCGGATCCCGAGAAACTTTCGGCGGCAGAGCCTCGCTCATGCGGAAGCAGAGGTGTACCGTAGTCTTCCGCAGACATGTCTTGTTCGTGGGAAAAGGTCAGGGCGTGGCCCAGTACTCTGGAGACTTTGCCGTCATTCGAGTAGGCGCCGTACCGCATGTGATGATTTGGCTCATACTCGTACTCGTCCCTACTGAGACGGCTTTTTCTAGAAGCAGCGTCACTGTTCTCACTCGACGAGAAGCCAGTCTCGTGTGGCAGAAGCGGCGCTGCGTCGAAATTGTCTTGGTCGTAGTCATCGTCTACTTTTTTTTTCTGAGAAGTGAAGCCGGTCTCGTGGGGGAGGAGAGGCCCTTGGACGAACTCTCCCTCTTCGTCGCTCTCCTCAGCTGTTGCCCCTTTCTCATGTGAGAGAAGCGGTGCATTATTGGGTTTGCTTCCCTTGCCCACAAAACCTGTCTCATGGGAGAGAAGAGGAACGAGATCCAGCTCATCACCATCTTCCAGATCATCCTGCGATTCAGCAGAGGGCGTGTTCATAGCATCACCCGTGCTGGTGTGGTCGGTTGAGTACCATGCATACTCTTCTTCGATTATTTCCAACGGACGCTCAGGCAGGGACTCTCCTGAGTCTTGAAAGGATTCGTGTCGAAAAAGTGGGACTCCTGTCTCGGAAGGCTCCAGCTCGTCAGGTTCTTCGGGCGAGCGATCTGGGGACGCGTCCGCTGATCTCGATACGTGCCCTGGCTTGTCGTCGGCCATTTCGGCCAATACCAGTGGTACTTCTGGCGCTTCTGGCGCTTCGAGTGTTTTGACGTCAAGGGGAGAATTTGCCTTGGTCTCTTCAAAGTCTGGCTCAGGGTCGGCAGCGCGCTTGCCCTCGTCCACTGTGAGGCTTTTAGGTTGGACGTCACCATACTCTGGCTGGGCCTCATCCTCAACCTTCTCAACCACTAGAAAAGGGATCGGCGCTGGGCCCATATCGCCCGTATCTATAGTACTGTCTTTGCGATCCAGCGTATCCTTCCCGTTGGTCGTGCGCGCGAGACCGACGTGCGAGGGCGCAGGTTTGACGTGGACGACATTGTTTCGATTGCCTTGCTCGTCCGTAGCTAATGTGTGTCAGTCCTTGTCAGGAGTGCAGGCATGGTAATACACACCAGATTCTTTGGACTCGTCGACAACCCAGTGCCCTTCACCAATGCGGATCTTGTACTGGTAGCTGCCCTCGGCAACATTGGCAAACTTCTGCTCGAAGACGAGATCCCCGGACGATGTGTTCTCCTTCTTCAGTGCCAACTCGAGAGGTGCCCATGGCGGGGTGCTGAGGGAGGTGACCACATACACAGGAGGCTCCACGCCAGGCTGCGTAAAGGTAATGGTCGCCTCGCTCTGCATTTTGACGTTCGCTAGTACGATTGGTGGATACGAAAGGGCAGCACGTGGAGAAATGCCCTGCAGCGTTGGGTCGCTGGCGTGCCGGATCAGCTGGGGGAGGGGTTCGAAGCTCTTGGTAATAGGGTCTGCTTTGGGAGGGATATCGTCAGTCGTTGAAGATGGGCGTCTGCTAGTCGTCCACAGCGACCGCAGACGACGGCGGTTGGAGCGTGATAAGATGCTCATGGAACGGGGAGAGGGGTCTAGGTGGTCGCACAGGGTGAGTTCATGTGCATAGAGCAGACGTACCGACGCGCACTTCACGGCGCGATCATTCGATGCAAGTAGAGCAGTCTCCACCGAGACAGCTTCTCACGCGACTGTGGTCCTTAACACTCGAGGGAAGCGCGTGGGCATTTGTTGGGAGTGTGGACGGCGGTTGGCAGGTGCTCAGCTGCAGCTTCCCGGCCCATTGGATGTACACCTTTAGCTCACTCACAGTGAAAGGATAAGCTCGACTGGGGTTTTCGGATTGAATCGATAGTTCTGCCCGGGTCTGACGGCTGTATTTTATCCAAGCCTGCACGATGCACTCCCCGCAGTATTACATCCATGCTGGCGAAGCGGTTCGCAAATGACGTGAGAGCAACGCATGCCGTCGTGCAACCTGGTTGGAACTTGGAAGGCGAGACGGTTGGCGCTAAGCCTCATTGAGATCGGTTCCGCGGGGAAGGTGTTCACATGCAAACCCCGGCCTCAACAGCCTCAAACCATGCAGTTCACGTCCATCGAATGCTCGCGATCAGCTCAACAAAATTCTCCTTCACCTGTAACGTGTATCTTGGTGGTGCAGCGTGGCTGTGACGCGGTGGCAGCTGCATGCTGCCGTGACGTCTTTTCTGCCTCACTCCCAATCATCATCTCCTCATTTATCGTCACCATCGTCCTGTGAACGCCTGTTCCCGGACGATATGCGCGGTTGTAAGAGCGCACATATATTGCTGACAGCCCTCGTATGTGACATCTTGCACAGGCACAAGAATTCATGTTGTGTACGCAGCCCCGAACTGACACGGACATCGCCCCGAGGCCGACTACCACACGAGGGAAATGTCTGAATGACAACGGGTTGTTGGCAACTCGTTAGCAGCGCAGACCTAGATGCTATATACACATCACAGAAGATCTCATCTAGCTGACGAGCCCAACGTCTATCGTGTTACGCTTCGAGATAACGCGTATGACACACGTGACGAGTTGGTCTAGATGTCGAATGCTGTTCGATGAAGCAGTGTCCCCTCCAGAGGCTGCGCCAGCTCAGTTGTGATACAGGGAGATACGTATACACTCGGACAGTAGTAGTTTTATGCAGAGTCCTCCGCAATACGGTCAAGTCCTGAGGCTACCTAGGCTATGCTTGTCTCCGCATTCGGGTAAGACGATCAAGAAGCCATACATGCTGGAGCATAATGCATACTGATCAGACCACAACGCCTGCAAAACGCCAAAAATTGGCTAATCCAGATCCAATCATGATTCAATATCCTCGAGCGACGAGCAAAATGTGCTTCTCAAGCTTCATCTGGTGTGGAGTACACCAAGAACAAGTCACATGGTATCATACAGATCTCGCACTGTATGGTTTCCGATTCTTATTTCAAACTGCCATGCCTTGTCTCGTAGAGCCGCGGACATGGGCTTTTATGCAACAGCGAACCACGTTGCTGGGATAATCGTTCTTGACAGGCGTCAACCACCACCACTAAGCCAGCCGCAGCCTCATCAACAGCGAACAAACAGCCACTACTGAGCCTCGGATTCATCAAGCCTTGGGCACGCGTTCGATTGATCGCATCGGACCAGGTTGATGGGTTGAGATAAAGTTTCGATACACGCTCTGTTACAGGACATGCCGCACCATACCCTTGCCATCACGTCCGAAGTGGAAGCATCCACAGCCGCGTGGTCTCTCTCGCCGTTTGAAAATATTCCAGAATATCTGGTTTCAGGGCTCCGGCATTACGTTGCTGGGCCATGCCGAGCCGGTTTGGGAGTACGGCACCCAAACGGTCTCCGCAACAGACCGGGTCACATTGCCCCGTGCACAATATATCCACGACTCTCCGCTCACCCATCTTCATTTCTCTTTGCTTTTGTCGCTCTCCCGTCGGTCGTTTTGACACCACAGTCCTTCGTTTACTACACCTTTTGCGCTCTAATTTCTGTGGAGTCTGGTGTTAGTTGGCGATACTCCATGTTGTTTGCTGGAACCACGATTCATAGGAAGTATCGACATACGGGTTGACATGGGGCATATAATTATGTCGGCAGCTGCCGACCAAGGCCCTTTGTTGAACCGTGTGAGTCTGGCTCTATACACCGTAGCCGTTTTCTTCGTCCTACTCCGGTCAGTCTCGTCGCCCATTGTGGGCATCAACACAGTACTGATGAGGTGCTAGCTTCTTTACACGGGGCTTCATTGTGAAGAGATTCGGTCTCGATGATCTCTTCATTCTAATTGCCATTGTACGGTACATCCACACAAGTACTGACGGCTCTGCTAACGCCACCAAAGGTTCTGGGGTTCGGCCAAACAGCCACCATCATACTACAGGTCGATCATGGAAGGGGTCGACACTCGTCCGAGCTTCACCAAGAAGACTACGACATGATGCTGATGGTATGGTTCTGCCCGCTGACTACCGCCGCATTGAGCTAATTTGAACAGTACAAGTGGATCAACATGCTCATCTACTTTGTAGCGAACTGGTACGTTTGCACTTCCACAACTATCCTAGTCTTCCCTAACGCTACTGTCTAGGGCAGTTAAGATGTCCATTCTCGCACTGTACCACCGCATCGGCTCCGGAAAGCGCGGTCTGCCATTGATTGTGCAGTCCCGCGCCATCTGGATAACATCATGCTTCATCTCAGCGTTCACGCTCGCTGTACTACTCGTATAGTCCTCCCTCCACCCCAGCCGCGCCATAACCTGACACTCTCCAGGTCCAAGTCTTCTCCTGCCTTCCCGTCACCGCAGCCTGGGACGTCGAGCAAATTCCCATCATGTGCATCGACGGCACGGCCTTCATGCACGCGCAAGCCAGTATCAACGTCTTCACCGACGTCGTTCTCTTGATCTACCCGCTACCGTTACTCCCACTGCTGCAGTTCAACAAGCGGCAACGAAGTACGCCTCCGCCCTTACCAACCTCATCCCTGAAGTACACACCACTAACCCCTCCCCAGCCGCCCTCATCGTCATCTTCTCCATCGGCCTCATCCCTGTCATCGCCAGTACCATGCGGCTGTGCGAAATCGTCATGAGCGGCAACACCGTGCAGACCGGCATGACCTGGCAGCAAGCCGACACAAGCTGGTACGTCCCCCTCTCTCACATCCATCTCACCCCAGCACCTTCTAACGCCCCGTAGGTCCTGGGCCTGGGTCCCCGTGTGGTCGCAGATCGAGGTCGACGTCGGCATCCTGACAGCCTGCCTGCCGTGTCTCTCGCCCCTGCTGCGCATGTTCTGGAGCGAGGTGCGCGTGCCCCGCATCACGACGCCGAGTATGGTCCAGCTGCCCAAGTATAGTGGGAGTTGGGATAGTGTAGATAGCAAGGATAGCCAGGCGAGCGGTGGGTCGGTGGGCAAGGAGGAGGGCGGGAGGGGCGACGGCGCCGTGCGCGTCAGCGAGAAGGAACTCCCTGCGCTGCCGGCGGGGCCGCGCGGGCGGAGCGCCGCGGAGGGGATGTCTGGGTACTATGAAGATGCGAGCGACGAGGAGGAAGCGCGGGACGCGGACGACATCGGCGTCGCGCGGTCAGATAGCAAGAGAGTTGAGCACGCGCTGCGGAAATTATGATATCAATGAATTTACTCAAAAAAGCGCCGCCTCGTATACTCTGTCTACTTGCCGCTCTCGCTCTCGCTGTCCGAGCCCAGAAAACTGCCCTCGTGGTCTTCGTCGCCTGGCGTCCCAAGCAGGCCCCGCTCCTCACTCCCCTCCGCGACGCCCTCCCTCTCCTCTCTCAACCCGCCGCGCCGCACGCCCCCGCCGCCCCCGGCGTCGCCGTACTCCTCGCTCTCGTCCCACGCCTCGTCCTCCATTCCGTTCAGCACATACCACACGTCCTTCTTCGTTAGAAGGCCGCGCAGCATGCCCTTGTCGGTGAAGAGCACGTATCGGAGCCCGAGTTTCTGGAACATGCTGACGGTGAGCTGGAACGAGGCGCGCGCGTTGAGCGTGATGGGCGTCTGGTCCATCCAGGGTCTTAAATCGAGCGAGGAGGACGGGTCCGCGAGGGGCTGGTGTGCGAAGTGGCACTCTGTTTCCTGGGGCAGGGACTTTGAGATGGTGAGGGAGAGGGCGTAGAGAAGTTCCGTGCGGGAGATGTAGCCGAGCAGGAGGGCGTCAGAGGATGCGGGGGAGGAGTCGTGTTCGGAGGGCGGGGAGATGACGGGGAAGCCGCGGTAGCGGTGGGTCTGCAGCATTTGGCGCAGCGACTGGATGGTATGGCCGGTGGCGGAGATGGTGGTGAGGTCCTCGATGCGCGTCATGACGTGGGCGGCAGGAACGTCAGGAATGCTGGAGCCGTTGTCGTCGCGATTGTCGAGGAATGGGTAGCCTTTGAAGTGGATCCAGGATTCGTAGATACCTCGCGGGCTGATGGCGTCGCCGATCCATTTCGATATCATGACGGCTATCATAATGGGTAGGACGTATGTCAGAGCGCCGGTGAGCTCGAACATGATGACCACGATGGAGACGGTCATGCGTGTCGTGCCCGCCAGCGCGGAGGCAGCGCCGACAATCGCGTAGGTTCCAGGCGTTACACATTTAACGTCGGGTTCGCAGGAGCCGAAGATGAAGAGATGGGAAAATGCGGTCTGGAAGACTTGGACGCTGAGACCAACTGCGCGGCCGTAGAGGCCACCGATAGCCATGGAGGGAAGGATAATTCCTGCGGGAATCTGCAGGCCGAATGTGAAGGCTGCGAGCAAGATGCCGAGGAGGGCTGAGATCAAGAGCAGCGCGATAACGCCCGTGTTCGCTTTCCCGGATTTGCAGAGGCCGAGTGTGTCTTCTGTGAGGTCGGCACATTCTGCGAAGAGTATATAGACGAGCTCAGAGGCTTGAGCGCGCATGAATTTGATGGGGAAGTTGATAAGCGCGGTGACGAACGAGATGATCACGACTTCAGTGACAGGGCCTTTGAGGTAGGTGCGGTCCTGACGCCACGATGCTATGGCCATGTTGAGCTTGATGAAAAGCCCGCCGTAAAGACCACCAATGATGCCGAGAAGTGCGAAGGGAACGAGCTCGAAATCGTGCCAGCCACTATGGTAGGTGACCTGGTAAAGAACGAGTTTGCCGGTCCGGAACGGGTTGAAAGCCTGAAGGGTGACGGCGGCGACCATGGCGCAGACGAAGCTGCTCCACATGGTCTTGTCTGGGAAGTAGTACGATAACTGTTCGAGGCTGAACAATACACCACCGACGGGTGCACCGAATGCAACCGAAATACCAGCTGCTGCGGCCGCGGAAAGAACTTCTCGTTTTCTTGCTGCAAATTGTTAGCCAGACTCATGTACGGGTGTGAATAGTACTGACCTTCATTACCATTCACGTTGCCGAACAGCTTCATGAACAGATTTGCGGAGCAGCATGCCACGTGAACCAAAGGGCCTTCTTTACCGAGCCACAGCCCTGATGCCACTGCAAGACACTGTAGTCATCAATATCTGGGACTCAGATGGAGTTGAGGACTTACCAGGCCAAGCGTCTTCGTCACTAACGTCCAGCCACCCAGGAAATGCCGAATCACAAAGCCGCCCAACACAGTCTTTATCTCTGGGATACCACTATGCCTAGCATACGGCGAGAATTCCCTCACGAGCAGACTCGCACAAGCTGCAAAGAAGACCTGTTCAGTGTCAGCTCATCGGCCTTCGCAATCTCCACATGCAGCCACTCACCGAGAACAGGATGAAGAAGATATACTCCACAATCCACTTCCCGCCCACACTCCCAATCCCCATCGCAACCCCCCACTCCTGCCAATCTGCACACTGATCCCCCGTATCAATTCCCCAGCAGCAAAACCCCCTGTTGAGATAGAACCTCCCATCACCCTCTACACTACTGCAATACCCCGTCTTCAGATCCGCGAGCCAGTCACTCGCCACATCGATGAATGCCGCAATACCGCCTGAAAGCACCCCCGCCGCAACTAGTATAATCCACACCTGGCTCGCGTCAGCCAGCTGCTTGACCGAGCCCAACAGCCCCGTAGCGCTGCTGTACAGATGCCGCAGCCGCTGCCGCTCCTGCGCGTACTCGAAGATCCAGTCGATCGCGGTCAGGTCGTCGTACCCGACGCGCCGCCCGGGGCCCTCGACATACCAGTCCAGGCCCGCGGCGTCTTTGGCGTCGGCGAGGTGTGCGCCGGCGTCGGCGGGCGTGTCGAGGTAGTTGAGGATGAGCTCTGTGGCGCCGTCGTCGGGGGCATTGGTGGTTGCGGGGCGGCGGGACTGCTGGGTGCGCGGGCTGGGGGTGTTGCGGGGGGAGGTCGAGGGCCCGGCGAAGAAGCGTGGGAGGATGGAGGACGGGGTTGGTTTGGGCTTGCGCTTGAACGAGATTCTGGCTTGTTAGTACCGCGGGGTGGTGTGTGGTGCGTCGGGGACGTACTGCTCGGACAGGCTGGGGTTCAGCGGGTCGTCGGCCAGCAGGGCTTCCTCGTCGCTGTGGTCATCTTCAACGGCGGGCTGCTTTCCGGGCGCTGTGCGGCCGGAGGGTGGGCGGCTAGAGGATGCTTCGGCGTGTGCGTGCGGAGACTGGCTTGCTGATGAGCTTGACATCCCATGGGCGAGTGTTTGGTGAAAGCTGGCGTGTCATTCTTCGCGGGCGCATCGTGTCGCTGATGCTCGAGCTGTCGTATCTACGTAGGGCTGAATCAACTGGCCTGTGCGTGATCTGCAACATCCAGGGTCTCGAACATGTGAACAGTCCAGACGAAAGGAAAATGATGTACAGTGGTAAAGTCAAAGAATTTGTTCATGGTAATATATCATTCTGTAAGTAATATACTGACGTCAAACGCCTCATCATCCATACATCGTGCCTTATACATTGTCTTCTGTACAGTCAATTCCAATCATCCTGAGGCCCCTACTCCTGATTGAAGTCGACCACAGCTCTGCCAGCAATCTCGCCCCTCCGTAGCTTCTGCACAGCCTCGTCGAATTTGCTCAGAGGATACACCGTGTAAATTGGCTTGAGCAGGCCCCTCTTCGCAAAGTCCAGCGTCTTATCAACATCAGCCATGCTGCTCACAAGAGTCCCGTGGATGCTCTGCTTCTTGAAGCACATCTGATTGGGATCGACATCGATATGCTGGGTGCCTGCAGGAGGCAGACCGATACACATCACCTTTCCGCCCACTCGGCCACCGAGGTAGCTGACAGAAGACGGGTATGTCTGTACCGCGGTGACGAAAACACCGTGCGCTCCGATGCCGTCGCAAATGCGGATAATTTCCTCGGCTACGTTCTCAACTTTCTTGAAGTCGATGAACTCTTCCGCGCCCACGTCCTTGCACAGCTTCTCCTTGTCGGCACCGGTGTCAATGGCTACAGCGCGCAGTCCCATCGCTTTCGCTAGCTGGACGCCCTGCATGCCGACTCCTCCGCCTGCGCCTGGAAAGACGGCCCAGTCTCCAGGCTTCAGGTCGGATTCCTTGATGGACGTGTAGATTGTTGAGGCGGAGCACATGATCGGTCCGGCGATGTAGTCGTTTACGCCGTCTGGAATGATGGTTGTGTAGCGTTCGGGTGACACAACGTATTGTTTGTAGGATCCGTCACACATCAGCCCGGTGAAGACTGCGCCTGCGCAGTAGCACTCTTGACCGCCGCGACAGAGCTCGCACACACCGCAGGTATCCTGGATGGGCTGTCTGCTGTCAGTTCAATCTGTACCTCGAGGTTGCTTGCAGATAAACCCACCTTAAATCCAGCCCTCATGCCAGGCTTGAGTTTCTTGACTTGAGCGCCGACCTGCACGATAACACCAGCGCCTTCGTGACCAGCACACTTGGTGCCCATTTCAGACATCTTTGGTAGTGCCCAATCGTTCAACATGAAGTGAATATCACTGTGGCAAATACCCGTCGCGTTGAGCTTGATCAAGACATCGGTCGGCCCTTCGATTGCTGTCAGCCTGTGCCAGTGCGAAGCAGTACTGTAGGCATACCCGGCTCTGGAGTGGGAACATCTTGGACCTCGACATGGAAGTCAGGGCCCTCATTAACAACTACACCACCTTTGCATGTTTTTGGAATGTCGAAAGTCTGGACCTTGTCGTCTGCCATGGTAATATGGTTTCTGCAATTGATGGGATAGGGGTGAAGAGCAGTGATCGAGTAGAACAGCACAGAGGTCGAACGAGATAAGTATACTTGAGATAGCTATGTATGACGAAGTATTTAGGAACTGGCCTCGGTCCTGCCATTACCCCTCTTCATGGGAGAGGGTCTTGCTACTAGAAGTCCACATCGTTCAGGTCTTTAAGAAGTACGCCCCATTGCAGGCTCTTTTACTGTTGGTTCGGTTGAAAGCTATGATGCCGCACACCCACCCATTGCGTAGAGGCCCTTTAGGTGCGTGGTTCTCAGTCATGCGAATCAACAGTAAAACATGTACTTGACTCGGTGGGTGCGAGTCGGGGTCGAAAGAATATCCCCGCGAGGTTCCGCACTGCGAGTCACGAAGAGTGCGGAATGCGCTGGCAGTGGCCTTCGCTGTCGCCCAGCGCGTGGTGATCCTTCGTGTGGAGCGCCGACCGAGTGCGGGGTGGCCGTGGGGAAGCTTGAGCTTTGAGGCCTTAAAGTCAAGGCAGACGGCCGAGGGCACAGCACGCCAGCACATGTGGCCTGCTCTGCAAGGCTCATGCAAGCAGAGCCCGGAGCATGTCCAAGCATCCAAGACAGTAATTTCTTCCGGACCGTGGCTTTCCGCCCTGTTTGCTACTGTCATCCGCCTCGATCTCGGCCTCGGTATTGGTAAACGTCACGTGTCAAACGCGCCATGCTCAATTCCACAGCCGCTGATTCGCCATTGCCGTTGCCGATCAGCATGGTGCGGTTCCGAGGCGATGTAAGACGCAATAGATTCGTGGCGGGGTGTAACACTTAGTCAAGACCCATCAAATGCTTAGAGGGCAACAGTGCTCAATTGCAGTTGCGATAAGAGATGGCAGGACACAGTGATGTAGAGCGCGACGAGCAGTGTGAGATCGGCTCACATTGTTAGTAATGTCTCGTTGCCCGGGCACGCAGCGAGGCAAACAACGGGGAAAGTGGGGCTCAAGTTGCTGTGATCCTAGGCAAAATCGAGCTAACAAATGCGACCCCGTGCATCATAGGTGAGGGGCAACAGCGAGTGGATGGCCAGACGTTGGAGATTACGAATTGGCCGCTTGCAAAGGCTCCTTATATACTCAACGCCCACCGAGCCACCCGTTCTGCACATCCTCTCCCCTCACACATACAACTCGACCCACAGCAACCATGTCTAAAGGCGAGTGTCCCATGAAGGCTGCCAACGTCGCCGGCGGTGGCACGTCCACACGCGACTGGTGGCCCAACGAGCTCAGGCTCAATGTCCTGCGCCAGCACGATCCCCGCCAGAACCCTCTGAGCGCCGACTTCAACTATGCCGAGGAGTTCAAGAAGCTCGACTACCCGGCCTTGAAGAAGGACATCGCCGCCCTGATGACCGACTCCCAGGACTGGTGGCCTGCAGACTTTGGTCACTACGGTGGTCTCTTGTGAGTACCTGTTTTCGTTGCATCAGTGCATTGGCTAATACTTACTCAGCGTCCGCATGGCATGGCACTCTGCCGGCACCTACCGCGTCTCTGACGGCCGCGGTGGTGGCGGTGACGGCCAGCAGCGCTTTGCTCCGCTCAACGCCTGGCCCGACAATGTCTCGCTCGACAAGGCCCGTCGCCTGTTGTGGCCCATCAAGCAGAAGTACGGCAACAAGATCTCCTGGGCCGACCTGATGCTCCTCACCGGCAACGTCGCCCTCGAGACCATGGACTGCCCCACATTCGGCTTTGCCGGTGGCCGTGCCGACACATACCAGTCCGCCGAGGACGTTTACTGGGGCGGCGAGACCGAGTGGCTGGGCAACGACGTCCGCTACCACGACGGCAACAAGGGCGTCGAGGGCGAGGGCGTCGTCGATGGCGACCAGTCCAAGAACGACGTCACATCCAAGAACGAGGTCCACTCGCAGCGCGACCTCGAGAAGCCGCTTGCTGCCGCACACATGGGTCTCATCTACGTGAACCCCGAGGGCCCCGACGGTGTCCCCGACCCTGTTGCTGCTGCTCACGACATCCGCACCACCTTCGGCCGCATGGCCATGAACGACGAGGAGACCGCCGCCTTGATTGTCGGTGGCCACTCCTTCGGAAAGACACACGGTGCTGCTCCCTCCGATAACACCGGCACAGACCCCAACGGCGCCGACCTCGCTGAGCAGGGCTTCGGCTGGAAGAACGAGCACGGCTCTGGCAAGGGTCCCGACACCATCACATCCGGTCTCGAGGTCACCTGGACCGGCACCCCCACCAAGTGGAGCAACAAGTACCTCGAGTACCTGTACAAGTTTGAGTGGGAGCTTGAGAAGTCTCCTGCTGGCGCCAACCAGTACGTCGCAAAGGGCGCTGATTCCATCATTCCCGATGCGTATGACTCCAACAAGAAGCACAAGCCTCGCATGTTGACCACTGACTTGTCGATGCGCTTCGACCCTGCTTACGAGAAGATCACCCGCCGCTGGTTGGAACACCCCGAGGAGCTGCACGACGCCTTCACACGTGCGTGGTTCAAGCTTCTCCACCGCGACATGGGCCCCCGCTCCAGGTGGCTCGGTCCTGAGATCCCCAAGGAGGTTCTCATCTGGGAAGACCCCGTCCCCGAGCAGGAGGGTGAGGTCATTGGCGAGAGTGACATCGCGTCGCTCAAGAAGGAGATCCTCAACGCAGGTGTCGAGCCCTCCAAGCTCATCCGCACTGCCTGGGCCTCGGCTGCTTCGTTCCGTGGCTCTGACAAGCGCGGTGGTGCCAACGGTGCCCGCATCCGTCTCGAGCCTCAGAAGAACTGGGAGGTCAACAACCCCTCTGAGCTCCAGGAGGTCCTCAAGGCTCTTGAGGGTGTCCAGTCCAAGTCCAGCAAGAAGGTCTCTCTTGCTGACTTGATCGTTCTTGGTGGTGTCGCCGCGATCGAGAAGGCTTCCGGCGTCTCTGTCCCGTTCACACCCGGGCGCACCGATGCCACACAGGAGCAGACCGACGCCCAGTCGTTCGAGCACCTCGAGCCTGTCACTGACGGTTTCCGCAACTACGGCAAGGGCACCGACCGTGTCCGCACCGAGCAGCTGGACGTCGACAAGGCCAACCTTCTCAAGTTGACCCCACCTGAGATGACTGTTCTTGTTGGTGGTCTGCGTTCTCTCAACGCTAACTGGGACGGTTCATCCCACGGTGTCTTCACCAAGCGCCCTGGCCAGCTCTCCAACGACTTCTTTGTCAACCTTCTTGACAACAGCGTTGAGTGGAAGGGCACCGGCTCCGGCAGCCCTTACGAGCTGTACGAGGGCAAGGACCGCAAGAGTGGCCAGAAGAAGTGGACAGGTACCCGCCACGACCTGATCTTCGGTTCGCACCCCGAGTTGCGCTCCATTGCCGAGATCTACGCACAGCCCGACAACGCCGATAAGTTCGTTAAGGACTTTGTGGCAGCATGGGACAAGGTTATGAATTTGGATCGTTTCGATATCAAGGCGAAAGCGGTGAGTGGCACATCAAGTGTTTCGACCAGGCCTCGTCTCTAAACGAGTGATTCTTCTGTTACATGTGCGCTTTATGTACCGACTTCTCGCGACTGCGTTTACGTTCAGTAACAAAGCGCGGCTTACTGACGAGTAATGATAGTAATGATACCGTAAATAGAGCTGTAGAGCCATAGCCACCCAAAAGATACCTAGGTAGTCGGTAGTGTAGGATCAGATAGGAGAGAGCAAAGCCAACCGAGATCGAGGCAGATAGCATGACTTACGAATGTCACAAAGTTACGACCAACTGTGCAGTCTTGAAATTATAAGTGACAGTCGGTGAAGTCGGAGTGCGTTGTTGCACTTGTGCATCTTCCTTTCACACTGTTGCATCTTCTTTTGGAGTGCTGCATTGTCAGCTGGTCACAAGACAGCTTCGGCTTGATCACACGAAATTTCCCGCATCGTCCTTCGCGCTCATTTCGCTCTGCAGCGCCTCGACACAGCCTCTGAGAAACTTCGCACAAAGGGCAGAGTTGCAATCGTCCGCAGCAGCTTCACACCGCCAAGCTCGCCGCCACCCAATCGCGATTCAAAGGTCCGGAATCGCCGCTTCGGCGAAACCATCGTCATGCAGCCCGGACCACTCATAAACACATGGCCACGCAGGGCGTCCTGCATGTGGAGAGGCGGGTGCATGTTTAGCTCGGCCTCCTCGCTGCTTCGTGACTTTCAAGCTCTCGTTCCTCGACCTCGTCGTCCCTTATCTGTTGCAGCATTCCTTTGTGCAGTCTTGTTTCACCTTTATTGCGGAAGCAGGGCCGCCAATCAGGTTTATGCTCGCGCTCGCTCACATTACGCAACTGCTGCGATGAGCAAGGTGATATACGCGACGAGTAACAGAAGACAGCAACTGCTATACTCCCGATAGCACGCAGAAAGAAAGGACTCCGTGTATTCAGGAGAAACGCTTCACACAGACCACTCGTACTAGCTACAAGGCGCGCATCATGGCCCACGAACACAGCGATTCCGAGCCCAGGAGAAGGAGACGCACTCATTCGTCATCTCGAACATCAAGTTCTCGATCGACGGCCAAACAGTCGTTTGTTTCGCAATCAGTCGTTCAAATCAACACGAATGTACATCCCCACGCAGTCCATACTGTTTCGACACAGCATCTTTATCCAATGTATGCTGCACATCGGTCCGGCCCGCCCCCAGCATATCCAGGCAGCCCACCTCAGCACCCCGTGTACGGTGCAGTGCCACAGCAGTATCCGCAAACATATGGATTACCGCCACACTCCGTCGCATCTCAGCACAGCCCTCCGGAGGCACGGTTCGCATCTCCATCGCCCCCTCGGCATCAGCAACCACGAAAACCGTCACGCGACGAAGGCCCGTTTCAGCAGCAATGGGACAGACTGGATCGCATAGCAACGAAGTCAAACGCGGATCTGCGGCAGGGAACCTCCAAGTTGATCACGAATTACATTGAGCGACCAACACATGCCATCGCAATGAGGAGTATGCAAACCCTGTGCCAAGGAGCGGCACTTTGCGACGTCATCAGCTCCAAGTTCGACGCAGTCATCACTAGCATTGACGATGACAAGTTCAGTGGGAAAGAGGAGGATCTCAAAGTGTACGAGGATACACAGCCAAGACCGACTAATCCTAACCCACCACCACCTGGACGCCGAAAGGACACAGCCGAAGACCAAGTTTACGAGGCGCTGGGAGGTGATAAGGGCTCAAATCACTTCGCCAAGGTCTGGCTCTACTCGAACTCACGTCTCCCACCGCATCTTCCTCCCTTCAAAGTTTACATGCCAACCTACCCGCTCCTATGTCTGGCCGCGACGTATTCAGAGCGCGTCTACCAACCGCCCGTGCCAAAATCGAAGGAAGTCGAAAACCACATCCCAGCAAACTGGCGCAGCGGAACCAAAGCCATGGTACTGAAATCCATACCAGTCGACGACATGAACACAGTCGTATTCGCAGTCCGCGGCAGCCAGACATTTATGGACTGGGCCGTAAACTACAACTCCGCCCCCACAAGCCCCGAAGGCTTCCTCGACGACCCGTCCAACTTCTGCCACGCAGGCTTCCTCTACGTCGCACGCAAAATGGTCAAGCCTGTCGCCGAGCGGCTCAAAGTGCTCATGCAAGAAAACCCCGCGCGCTCCAACTGCAGCCTCTTGATCACGGGGCACTCAGCCGGCGGCGCCGTCGCCGCCCTGCTCTACGCGCACATGATGTCCAAGTCGGTCGACAGCGAACTCAACTACCTGACCAGCTTCTTCAAGCGCGTGCACTGCGTAACCTTCGGCGCGCCCCCGATCTCGCGCTGGCCGCTGCGCAAATCCGACGACCCGCGGTACAAGAAATGGCTGTTCTACTCGTTCATCAACGAGGGCGATCCCGTGCCGCGCGCAGACAAAACCTTCTTCAAGAGCCTCGTCAGACTCTACACGTCCCCCGCGCCTGCCGCGTCCGCCCTCTCCCACACCATCGCCAGCATCAGCACGCTCAACCTCGCGCCCGCGGCGCCGCCAAAGTCGCGCCTGCGCTTGCGCCGCCCCAGCAAGGCCGCCGAGCCGCCGCCGAAGGCGAGCACGGCACCGCTGCCTGGCGTCGAGTGGCCGGTGCCCGCGTGCGAGCTGAGTCCCGCAGGGAGGCTGATTGTGCTGCGGGCGCTGCCGGGGCGGCGCGAGGACGATGTCGAGGCGGTCACGGTCGAGGAGAGCATGTTGCGCAAGGTCATGTATGGGGATCCGTTGAAGCACCAGATGCGGATTTACAAGGAGCGGATTGATCAGGTGGCGACGAAGGCTGTTACTATGGGGGGCGCTATCTGAGGCGGGGTTCGCGGGGGGGCGCATGTCTATTACAGAAGGGGATGTTGCACTGGCTTGTAATGTGCTTGGATACATATATGGGGCTGGTTATGGCGTCCACGCAGGTTCGTGTGACTTTCAGCCGTATGAGATCAACGAACAAATGAACGCTACCGTCTTGCACTCCTGGTAATCATCTCACGCTACTCATCACACAGTCTAGTCAAGTAGACTTGCCAAGCGCGTCCATACATCCTACACACTCATCCCATGCACGATGAGTTGACCCTCCCTCTAACATGTAGCGTACCAGGCACATCACCCCTCTGTTGGACAGAGCACTTATTGTAGCGAGGGCTAGACACTTCTCCACGTGCTGCCCAGGCACGAACACGTGCCAAATTTTGCTTCAGGAGCCTGCGATTGGCTACACGTATCTGGTTTGACAGCCACGACACTCCGGAATACATCCTGCAGGGCACACACGTGGCTTCCGACAACCCACACGGCTACCTGCCTTTAGTACCGTGGAATGCATCTTGCTGTTCCATGGTAACAGAAGTCCGCGTGTTTCGGTAAACGTCGGTAAGGGGAGGGAGCGAGACCTGTGTGAACTATGGTACCGCGCTACACTAGATCAAGGCAGATGTATTAACGTCGGGACGTTTCGGGCGCACCGGGGCTGTGCTTGCTTGGATAATACTCGAGTACTTTCTACATGGGAGATTGTGACGAGCGGCGCGGTGTATCGGGTATAGAGTAGTCTACACATGTCACCAAGCAAAGCACAATCCAGGTCACCAGAGAACAGACATCATTGTTTGCAAACTCTTATATTCATCATTAAACTCTCCGCGACTACTTCGCCACCTATCCAACTCATAGACTCGTAGCTCGTAAGTGCATTTAAGCGCCGTTGCCGTTGTACAGGAACAGGTTGGGGCTGCCGCTAAGGCTGCCGGTGACACGGCCAGTAACGCCAAGAGCCTTTATGCGAGCAGTGACGGCAGCAGGAGTGGTCAGGCCCTCGAGCGCCTGGAGGTAGAGGGCGACACCGACGACGTGGGGGGTGGCCATGGAGGTGCCGCTGAGCGAGGCGGTGGCAGAGTTGCTGCCGATGTAGGACGACAGGATGCCGACACCGGGACCGAAGATGTCGACGCCGGCGCCGTAGTTGGTGAACGAGGCGGTGCGGAAGGAGCTGTCGGCGGCGGCGACGGTGATGGCGTTGGGGGCGTTGGCGGGGGACTGGCCGGAGACGGGGAGAGGGTTGCCGTTGAGGTCACCGTTGCCGGCGGCGGCGACGGAGAGAACGCCCTGGGTGTAGGCGGCTTGAATGGCGTTGGTCCAGGTGGTGGAGGCTTGGCCGCCGAGGGACAGGTTGATGACCGAGCGGGCGGCACGGCCCTTGGAGGTGATGTCGTTGACGGCCCAGTTGAAGCCGGCGAGGATGTTGGAGGTGGTACCCTGGGCGCCCTGGAAGACCTTGACGGAGATCAGGTTGGTGTTCTTAGCAACACCGTAGGTGGAACCACCGATGGTACCAGCAACGTGGGTGCCGTGGCCGAGAGTGTCAGTATGGGTTCCAGAGAAGACGTTGTAGCCGAGAGTGGCACGGCCACCGAACTGGGTGTGGGTGGTGATGATACCAGAGTCGACAACGTAAGCGTAAGTGTTAGATCCAGCGGTGGTGTCGTAGATATACGAGGTGGAGGAGCCAGTGCGGTGGCTGATGGCACCAAGACCCCAGGTGGCTCCGGTCTGGGTAGTCAGGGCCTTCTTCTCGAGGGTGTCCTCATGGACCTCATCGACGTTGTACCAGAGGTAGGCAATTGTGTCGGGCTCGACGAGAGCGACCTGTAGTAGTCAGTATGAGTGCCAGAAGTTGAAAGAATTGTGTTTCACAACTATGGAAATGTGGGCAAGAGTACTTGGCAGGCTCAAGGGACTTAATGTACTGAGGCAATACGCAAGAACCAAGGAGCACATTGATACCAAGAAAAAAGGGAGCAAAGTTCAGGCTAGAAGCCTTCAGTGGCTTAGACTGCTACTCACATCAGGGCTGGCCTTGATCTCAGCAATGGTGGCCTCGTCGAACTCTCCAGCGTACGCCTTCCAATCCTTAATGTCGAACTGCTTCTCAATACCAGCGGTGTCACGCTTGGCGAAGCTGCGCCTGTGGACATCGGCAGCCCAGTTCAAGTGAGCCTCGGCGGCAGCAGCATCGACACCAGGCTTAAGGGTGACGATGAACTTTCCGGGGATGATGTCGTCCCTCTTGGTGATGGGAGCAGCGGGAGCCGCGAGGGCAGCCGGGAGCAATGCTCCGATGAAGAGGGCGAGGTTGCGAACGTTGATCATCTTGACAGCTATGGTGTGTGAGCGGAGTGGTCTTCAGATATCCAGGACTGAACTTACTCGAGAAGACAGTGGATGTGGACCGGTAGAAGAAGCTGCTGTTCCGAGGCTGATGCTTGGATGATGGCTGTAAGGCGGCCTTCCGCGTACCTTATATACAAGACCGAGACGTTAACTTGACCATATTATCACCATTCGGCGTTTGTATGATGCCATTAGGACTACATGGTGAAACTGCAGCTGTATTCCTAATGAAGAAGGTGGAAGGGAATTACCACGCGGAAGGGGAGCATGGTGTCTTTTCGAGCAATCGTCCAATACTATAGCGCGTGTTCCAAGGCCGTAGAATCGGAGCTTCTCCGTCTCACTGTTGTGTTGCTGCTATCGCTCTTCAGACGTTAACGTGTAGTGACCAAGAAGGTCAGGCTAACACCTGCCGAATAGGGACGGCATTTAATATGCGATTGGCAGGGGTAGCGCCTTGCCAAGCAAAAGTACCGGGACAAGACCATCAAGAAAGAAGGAAGCAGATTGGTGACTCCAAGACAGTCATGCGTCAGACTGTGGGGAACGTAGAGAAAAGGATGAGGATACCGGAAGTTCATCTGCTGTTACTGGTTGGAAGAACCAGGGGAGAAAGACATTAGTGATAGTGTTGCTTCCTGAGCAGCCACCTGCTCAATGGCCAGTCTGGCAGCAGACCGGCGCGTAAACCACATTACAAGAGTACTCGCTGTTTTAGGCTACTCATGGCGCCCAAAAGCAAGACCCCAGACAGAGGGGTGCGAACGATCAGCTTCGCCACACAACATGCGCAGTAGGCACCCAAAGCCTCTGAACTCATGAAAACACTGAAGGAGGCTTTGCAAGGCGATCCTGTGGCGTTCGTGCGAGTCACCTGCACACTCTGGCGTCCTGGGCTACCTCCGAAACTTGGATCCGGTCTACCAAGAAACTTCGTCTTAATCCTAGGTAGGCATGACTCGAAGCCTCATCCTGGGCGTCGTATAGATCTACCTGTTTACAACCATCTCGGACGGTGTACAGATGTGGCAGTGTCATGGCTGATCCTGCGATGCTAAGCAAATGATGCCACTGGGCGCGGGCATCACGATGGCAGCGATCAAGGGAAGCGTGGAGGCGATGGATGGAAAAGAGCGAGCGTCAGTCTTGGAACCCTTTCATGGTTAAGCAATTTGCTTGGCGACAAACCTACTTGCCATATGTAAGCTGTGATTGGTAGGAGAGATAATGACTTGCCTGTGTGTCTGCCCTCCCGGGCCGTACCGAACGCGCCAAGATTATTCCAGACTTGCCAAGCCATGAGCTTAAGCAGAAGAGGCAGCTTGTTTGGCTCACACGCGCACATGCCTATCACGTCTTATCGGCAAATGAAAACGACTTGTGAGCCCGCAGATACGCCGGCATGCATGGCGGCTAGAAGGGCGGCGGGAAATATCAGAATCGTGGACTCCGGTTGTCACGGCGCTTTGCAGCACGACCCGTACCTGAATGTGTTCGCCACCTGCCTTTACAAGGACACAGGGCACGGAGTCGATAAGATGCTGAGATTAATCGTTAATTAAGAGTGTTGAGACTGTCGGACTTGAGATTCACGATCCATCACGTGACGTGATTTCCTTGTTATAAGTACAGCCGCTTCCTTTCCGTTTTCGCTACCTCGAGGGTTTGCGCTGTCCATATCGCGTTTTTGTCATGTTCTTTTCTTCGAAGCAGTCGTGATGGATCGTTAAGCTTTCCGGGCAAAATGCATGTAAAGCATTCTCAAAACTCCAATAGCAGTCAGCCGATCAGGCACATTGCCGTCGATGTTAACAATGGTGCCTGCCATAGCACATTGTTCCTGGGTAGTCCTTCAAAAAGACCTCTTACCCAAGGAAGACCCCGTTAGGTAGTCTTAGACCAAGCACTCTCCAAGGACCTACCTCCATCGCTCGCATTTGACGATCACAGAATCTGTACGGGGAGTCCATCAGGCCCTTCTATTTACATAACTTCGCACCTTGAAACATCGAGACCTTTTTTGGGACACGCCCTCTTATCAACGCTCTTGAGCTGACTGACCTCTCGGCGGGACTCGCCGTTACGAACACGTGTTGGATTTGGGGTGCGTGTCTTACTTCCCCGAGTCGCATGGTTGGGACACACAGTTCTTTGGCCCGTCGAGGAGTGAAGAGGTGCTTGTCTTGATGTTCTCGAGTTTACGTGAGGTGTAATCTGCCTGCTTGTTGGGTCTGAAATACCCAAGTATTTCAGAGCGTCAAGCACCTCCTGGGTCAGTGCCGGAGGAGAGTTAGTGCGAGGATGGCCCATGACCTTCACAAGTTCCCGGAACGCTTGTATCACCAACTCGATGTGCTCTACTTCCATCTGAGTAAGGGTAGCCGTCTCTTTGTGTTGCGCTTCGTCGCCTCGACCTGAAACATGCACCGATGAATTTGGACATTTGTTCTCTGAAATGATGCCTTCGTTGCACTTGACCAAGGTTGTCGATGTCGGTGCAGGTGGTTCCGGAGTGTTTGCCGTCCATGCTGCGTTCGCCTCGTCCGTCGCGTCAAAGCCAACCTCATCACCTGTCTGTTCCAAATCCTCAGGTGAGAAATAGTCTGCTATCCAGGTGGAATCAGTTTCATAAACCGTGTAGTTCACGTCGACTGGATGCAATGGATCAGTACTGGCAACATAGTCGTAATCGTAGACGTAGTCTGGATGATCGGGGTGAATCACCTCTGGCGGCTCAGGTATGTCGTCAGGGAACACTTCGTTGCGGAGGGGAGATGCTTGGGCCGTGGAGTGGCCAAGCTCGACTCGGATAATAGTGCGGTCCTTGTGGGTGTCAGGAAAGCGCTTTTGGGCAACCCACGTCTCAGTACTGAGCCTATTCTTCAGCTCGTCGACCAAAATCGTCACCTCAAGCACTCCAGGAAACTGTTTCTCCGTGATCTTTTCCAGAAACCCCTCTGCCATAGACAACTTTCGGTCTCGATCCCTCTCGAAAGCTAGAAACTCGCACGGACCGCAGTTGACGGGAATGAACATGTTAATGTACGCACCAGGCTTGCATGCAGCTGTTGGCCGGCGACGTGACTGTTTGTGTTTTGTGCCGCCACATTTGGACAGTCTCACGCTGAATCCGTGCTGACAGGCATATCGGTACTTGATAATCTTGCACATGGCGATCTCGCTACCCGGGAAGTCTCTCAATGGGGTACAGGTGTGCGTAGGGTGCAGTGAGAGTGGATTAGCTGTGTCTCATGACTTGCGCGGCCACTGGAACCCGTGCGTAGTCAACTGTGTCATACAAATACTTAGTGATTGTTGATAGTGTTGATGTTGATAGAATTGAGCGTTATACGAGTGTTAGTGGGTTGGGCGAACGTGCGTGGTGTGTGTGCTCGAGCTGGGCTGTGGTGTTTGTCAAACCCCATCGTACTTGCGTGAACGTCGGGAGATTAGGCAGGACGGACGCCGACGTCGCAGTCAAGAGGCCGTCGTTTGTAGCAGCATGTTTGCGCTGGTTGTCCCAGAGACGCCGACATCGCCGCGACGAGGTGAAGGTAAAGATCCGAGGTGTCAGTGCCATCGCCGACAAGAGACTCATAATGTCTCCGTAGTTATGATACGAATATAGGAGGCCAGTGCAGGTATAGGTTCAAGGCTGACTTTCTCTTGTTAAAGGCGTGTGTGGGTCTTCACCTCCGGAGTTCTTCCTTAATCCCTGAAAGATCGACCCGATGCCTGCATAGACGACACGTCAACCCGTGGCGCCGGGTATAACGGCCAGTGCGTGTGTTTATTTACAGCAATTGTAGCCGGCCCGTAGCCGCCGAGTCTATTGAACGTTGTCAGGTCGATACCTTGCTCCACCCACCGAACATGCTGAAACCTTGGAGGCCCAACGGCCACAGTACAAGATGGGTGACCCTCCGACACTTGTTTCTCGGGTTCATTTTCAAAGCTTGACCAATCTACGAGCAGAGAGTTTGTCCTCGAGCTCTGATCTGAAGCAATGCACGCCGCGCCGGTATTACCTATTACCCCGACGCTGATCTTTCCTGTACGCCGGGGCTGGTACATACCCAGGCAGTGCCGGCATGCGGTGCATGCAGCAAGGGTTTGCCAATCTTCAACAATGTTACGTTCTCTTAGAGGTTGTGACTTGCTGTTTGTGTGTATGCCGCGCTGGACGCGTCCGCTCGAGGTGGGTGGATCCCATACAGGGGGTGGCACGCCGGATGCTGGCTCACGGCTGCTTGTTGAGAGTTTGACCAATCTGCAAGATCGAAGAGTTCGTCCTTTTGCTCCGATTTGCGACCGTGTACGCCGCGCCGACACCATGTCTCAGCCCGATGTGACACCTTTCTGTGCAACGTTCTGTGCTTGGCTGCGAAGCTACGTTGGGCCTTTATACATACAAAGTGAAGCTTGCACATTACCACGGGCCAGGTGCGGGGCGAAACTTTTTGACAACACTGTTACAGGATGTAACAGCTAAGAACAGGGATAGGGATCTTAAGACGCGCATAAGATTGTCAACAACGTGACGTGTGTGTGTTTCCGAGAGATTCAACTGTACCACAATGTGGTGTACAGCTCATGGCGCATTACGCATTACTTCGTGAGAAAACTATGAGTATGAGTGTGATGTGGGTCTGAAGAGCTGAACTGAAAGGACCGGCCGTATCTGCGTATCCAACGCCATGCCAAACCAAGAAAAATATACAGGAATCACGTTGACCAAACATCAACATAAGAAATCTAGTAGCGCACCACAGGTGTGTGCGCACTGCCATCTTGGACGATGACACCCTCTTTAACACCTTCTTTCTCGATCTTGTGCATCCAATCATCCTTCTTCTCTTTCTTCAACATCCAACCACTAAACACTTTCTTCAATCTGCTCTGCTGCTGACTCTTCGGCGACTTGACTACATTAGGGGGCGCAGACTGATCTGACGTGTCTACGCTAAGGTTGCGTGAAAAGTTGTGCTGATCCATACTCGATTTGCTGGTATCGGCGCTCTGATGACGGGCGTGGCCATTGTGGGGAGCGATGTTTCCAGTCGAGGAGGACCAGCCGGTCATCGTTTGGGAGATCTCTAATTGGTCCGGTCGGGGAGAGCTCTTCTTCGAATCCGATCTCTGCTTATTGTACATAGGAGACCGATGGCTGTGCGACGGACTTTGGGGATGTGATTGTGCATATTGCACGGCTAAATTGTCGGACCCGTTGCTCATGTGATGACTGCGCGTTGGCGAAAAGGGACCTTGCTGTTTGTCGTGTGCGCGCATCACACTAGCGATGTGTGAGCTGGACAGTTCAGGTTGTGGCTTGACTTCGCCTTTCCACGAGTCAAGACTGGGTAGTGGTGGTAATTCCCGATTGAGGTTGACCTCTGACTTTTTGGAGTGCTCTACGTCCGCGTCTCGACCCGCCCTCGTTGCCGGTCTGCTGTTGCTCCTCGAATTGACCCTCAACGCCGAACCCCAGCTTCGCCAACCGCGCTGAGACCCTGTACGCCTCGGCTCGCCGTCCTCATCATACAACGCCAGGGACTCCCTGGATTGAGTACGGCTCAGTGCTCGAGAAGGCGCGCGGGAGACGGTGGTGCTGCCTGGGAAGATGTATTCCTTGATGTTCTCCTTGATACTTCGAGCACGGCTCGGTGGTCGGTTGGCGGTGGAGGGAGCTTGCTGAGGAGAGTCGTTTTGTTGTCTCCTCCTCTCAAGCTCCTTACGCATCCACTCAGCAGCTTGAGCGTCTGCGATCGCCGCTGGCTCCAGCTGGTGAGAATGGCGGTTGGACGTCCCACCTGAGGTAAGAGCGGCGGACGAGGGGGCAGTCGATGCCTGATTGACGTACGCATCGGTGGTAGAGGCGGTCATGGGGGTAGCCAGGCTGTCGGTGTCGACAGACTCTGTCCTCTTGCGTTGAGACCGACCCCTCTGCAGCGTCTCGGCGGGCGCTGGCTTGGCTGTGGTATACTTCTTTGTTGCCGACCGCGCCCGCTCGTCTGAGAAGGCGTCGTCGAAGCGCTGTCGGGCAGACTTGGTGCGGACTGGCAGGGTGCTCTGCGTAGGGGCCTTCTTCGATTCGGCCTCTGCTCTGATTCTCCTAGCTTCGAGGGCAGTCTTGAGGTCGATCGGGGCTCCAGTGGGCATCTTAACCCGGACCTCGTTTGCACCGACTACGGCATTGCTCTGCTCGCCCTTGCGCCTGTTCATGGCACCGAAGTCCAGTCGTGGATCGGTGTCTTCCATGCCATGGTCGGAGGGCTTGAAGTTCTGCAGCACATAGCGGCAGGCCACGCGCAGCTCGCGTTCGGTGTGGGCGTCGAGCGACTGGCGGCTGATGTAGGCGGCGAGGTGGGGGAAGTCATCCTTCGAGTGGTGTCGCCTGTGGGCCGGCGCCTCCTTCTGCGACGGGGCACGCGCGGGCGGCTCTGCTGTCTTGTCCTTGGCGGCGTCGGGCTTGCCGGGAATCTTCTGCGCTGCGTCAGTACGAGCATGTGACCTGCAGGCGCAGGATGCTTACAACGGGCGCCAAGTTGAAAGAAAACTTGCGCTTCATGGCGACGGTTGGTGCAGTTAGAGATGCGGTGCTGCTGCTGGTATACTTGCGCAGGCGGGCGGTGCTGCTATCAATAGCACGGCGACGGCTGGGACGGCGGAGGATGAGGCGCGCGTGCGCGTGTCCGCATTCGAGCCGGTATATCTCCGCCGGCTTGAGGCGACTCCGGCGATGGCGGCGCAGCAGTAAGAATGGACAGGCTTCCAGCAGACCAGAAATGCGTGCGCAGCAAAACGGGGACGAGCACGACAAGGAGGGCGCCGCAGTGGATATATCGCCTGTGGCCTCCCGCCAGGAGGTGGTTTGGGTTTCAAGTGATGCTAGCTGCGGCAGGGAACATGGCTGGCGGCCTCGACTTGATCGCTGGCCGGGGTGTCTGCTCCAGCACTGGCCCCGCTCCGCGCCCTGGCCAATGGGCGCGCCCTCGCCAGTGCAGGCGCGCCTTGACTCCAGCGAGTACGGCAGCCACCACTGTCCCGTTGTCGTCTTGCAATCACGGCCGGCATCTCGTGGTGCGTGTGGACCTGTGCTGCCGTCCTGTCTGCGCGCAGCCCCCCACCTGGCCTGCGAAGCCGTTCGGCAGCCCGCCTGGCGGCCAAAGACTATCGAAATTGCTGGTGCTGCGTCCCACGAATCATTCACGCGCTGCGCCCAACTCATTTCTCGATGCAGGTCGATGCGTGTCGATGCGCGTCGAGATGCCCATCCGGGTGCCTCCACACTGGTCTTGCTCTGCCGCAGTAGCAACCTTGGCCTGCATGCAGTAGCAGGAGTGCTACACTCCTTCCAGCTGCACCAACTCGCGAGCGGCGACACCCTCCCAGCATCCGTGACTGTCCAGATCGAGAAGACCCTTTTGCGGGGTGCTAGTTTCACTTTTCCTCTGTCCGGCGTTCGTGGCTTGCCATTGCCTGCCTCACCGCCATCTGGTGGTAGCAGCACCGCAAAGTCGAGACCCGTGTTGCTGTGACTGCGTCCTTGACCTGCGGCCTTCCGAGCGTGCGTGTCGCTTAACCGCAAAACTTCCGTTCACCGTGTCACGGCGCATGTCGTGCCACTGAACGCGCTGGGGCCATGAAACGTCTCTGCAAACGGTCGCTTGTCTATCCACTTCAGTCGTGTCTTTCGTCATTTCGATATCGATTTCATCCGTTGTGCATGCTCAATATCGGGCCTGTATATGCTTGGCTCAATGCAGCTAGCATCTACCGGTTAATCAGGTACCTTCCCTGTCAGATGCACAGCACATCCTTCATGACGACCGAAAACATCGGCCTCCAGCTGCTCCTCGGATATGAGCCTCTCAGCCACCTCGTACGCCGTCGCTCAGCACTGCCGTTCTGGCCATCTGTCTTGGACAAAGAATGCGCAGTGTCACCGACGAAAGAAATCCCGGTAGCAGAGCCGCAACATCGGCAGCGTTCCGGCTCAAAGAATGACTCTCCTTGTGTCGCCTGGGCGCAGGGACATTGCTTGTTGGCGCAGTCAAGCAACAATAGCCGTGAATGGTCGATCGCCTTATTTAGAGTCAAGCATTGACCCAGGCCACGCCTCGTTCACCACCGTCACAACAATACAAAGAACCGCTCTCACGAGCAAGAGCACACTTACAGTATGTCAGGGGTAAGTAGTCAATGTGTCACAAGACTTCGCAGCTGCCAGCTGTTAACAAAACATAACCTATAGAGGTATACAAAATATTTTAGCTTTAATGTTAGCACTTTGTTGTTTAGTCTAGTGTGCTTCACTATTACTTGCGGAGAGGTGCTGCTAGAGGAAGAATATTTAAGAATCTACATTGATTACTTACCCCTGCTATACTGTAGACGCCGCGGATGTTTCGAATAACGACGGTCCTGTTCTGGTAGAGCAGACATGCAACCCAATGTTGTTAGTAGCCACGTCCCCTCGAATTGCCCGAGAATTAGGTTCGGGCCTGGACTCCCCGATGTCTTCGGTACCTGATCACTACTTGCCGACATACAGACGGTGTACAGTTTATCAGATTACTGCTTGGGACTGCGAGGGCTCATGTAACACTCTACAGCAGGTGCTAACACTTTGAAAGCCTACAAGATCGTCATCACAGCCGACATTAAAGCTGGGATCATCTTCTAGCCAGTGGAATGTTATGACTCTGATTGGAGAGCTGACCTTTCAGTGACTACTCCTCCAGATCAAGGTAGACCGCGACTCCACCGACGTTACATCCAATCCAAACCCATTGAACCTACAGCACGACGGTAGCCGCCAGATACATACGTCCAAAGACCACGAAAGGAGTTTCTTGTCGCATGCGTGCAATTCGATCGTCTGCTCTGTCTCAACAATGCAGAGCATGCCGTGCATCTTAGAACTCACGTCTTCAATTGTGCGTGATACGTCTTGCAACTCTCTCTGAACTATCCGAATCAGGGTCCACGATAGCGAAACGATAGTACACTGTAGCGAACCGCGGGATGGGCTGTAATTCTGTCTGGCCAAATTCCACAAACACTTTTAGGACTCGGTCTTTCGAAAGCTACTTCTATTGGATCTGACGCACAAGGATCGGAGTTCAACAACTCGAAGCAGTTGTGAACTGTGATGTATCTGTCTGGTATAATCTAGACATGATCATGCGTAGCGTGCGCAGTATTCCGAGCGGTGGTACTTCACACGAAGGGCCGTACGAATCTGGAGCGACATCGTGCGCTTGGCGTGTGTTGCGGAGAATATTTTGTTGTTGCTGATGAAAGGCCATGAGCCGTATAAACTTCTAGGCATCCCGGTACTTTAGGCAAGGTATCTTAGCATGCACACACTACCGCAATCTGTGGGTTGCGGTCATTTCTGCGTGCGATAGTTTGCTCGGTACATCCAGAATCCACCGACGTTGGGCTGATACGTGGTGCCCATGCACACAAGGTTTGGCCAATCTTTAACAGCGCTGCGCTTCTCCTCGAAGTCTGACTTGCTATGTGTGTGCCGCGTCAGCAATATGTATCAGCCCGACGTAAGTGGATCTTGGAGATGACTTCGGTCTGAAGTGTAAGGTTTCGGGCGAAGAAGGATGTGAGTGCCACGACTATGACGTTGTTGGGTAGGGATGTCAAAAACGAGGATGCGTGGCAGGCCGGGGTCTGATATTAATTTACCTATCTCAGGTCAGCAAAGGATCCGCAGGATCCGTCTTTATCCTTCAAATCACCAAAAAGACCGTTTGGGTAGGTCCCAATCACGCAACCCGCGAGACTCTGCAGGTCGCGAGGCACATTGTTCAAGCAAAGAGGGCGACTGAGATCGCACTTCTTCATATCACGTGATATGGTGTTCAAGATTGTGCATTGCATCTTGCAGCAACTACGATAAGTCAATGAACCAGAACCAAGGAAACAGTAGCCTAACGGCCTCCACCCCAGTGCTTCATCCCCTCGGGCCTGCGCATCTCCGACTCCTTGCCCTCGTAGCCGAGATCGTCGTTGCTGCTGTGGAATAGTGCGCATAGTGACCGGTAGAGACTGGATGCGTGTGTGGTGGCCTTGGGGAGCATTTGAGGGGCCTCCATTGACCCCGGCGCTACGTCGCCCTCGACATCGATCTCCTCGTCGGCATTCGCGAGTGACTCCAGCAGGGCCGAGAGTTTGTTGTGGAAGCGGGTCATGATGGGCTCGGTCTCGTCGGATTCGACGATTGGTGCTGACAGGCGCTCGGCAATGTCGAACTGTGGTTGTTAGACTGGTGTCATGGTGCTTCACTGTCGCTAACGTACCTCGCGCAGACCCTCGAGACGGAACTGCTCAGCGCGCTTCTGAAGCTGAGGTGCTGATGGTGTGATTGGCATCGCGGAGACGAAAGCCAGTAGCGCCATGACGGCGATCAAGATGAAGGAACGCATTTTGATGTTATGGTAAGATATTTTGGTGCGTCGAAGCGGGTGATAGTTGCAGTTGGCGATGCGATCGAGTAATAGATGTTAACGCTAATTCCGGAAAAGCGACAGTAATGAGAGTATGAGAACGAAAGGCACGCAGTCAACAGACGCGGTGTTAATATCACTACAGTCCAGGTAGGAGGGGTCGGAAGTCAATTCGCCTGACGAGACAGCATCATGTTCCGACCATCATCTATATATCTGTTTCTGACTCGCGCCCTTGAATAAATCCGAAACAACGGCTGGGTAGCAGAAAAGGAATGATCAGCCGCAAGGAGAAACATGTTCCCACGTTCGCGCCATCTTGGCCCGACTCATTGGTGCAGGAGCGATGCTGGCTAGGCTAAACGGTGGGAAGCTGCAGAATTCCTCATCTTTCGCATTGATTGCGATTGGCAGAGAATGCCCGCTTGCCGAGGGCGTGTGAGCGCGCGTCGCGAAACGCATAGAGGGATGATCAAAAGACGTTGGCACGCAAGGGCGCACTGCAACCTCACTGGCCAGGCTTTGTCCCGTAGAGAATACAGACAAGCTCGTGGTCAACATGCGGGTTACACATCGTGAAGTCACGGACGAAGAGCTTCATGCACACTGGTCTGTACTCGTGGCCCGGTTGTCGCCTTCCCGATGGAGCATGAACGCTGGTGGAGAAAAGCGCTGGCCAACCGTTTAAGATGAAACATGTCGCAGATTAATGATGCGGCCTTCGAGAAGCAAGTGGCCCGTTGTCAACTGTCAGCTCGATCTATGAGAGTGGCAGCTGTCTGCAACGGTGTGTGCAACAGCGCGGGACGTTCTCGCTAGCTGCAGAAAGGCGTTGAGGTAATCCCTCACTTGGTGTGGGGTGCAGGCTGGGTGGAGAGAAAGGTGGTCCCTCAGAATGTCAAAGGGTAGGCTAGCTGAAAACGGCCTGGGTCGATCACGTCTCGACCGCGCGGTCCAACCTCACGTCGTCATAGTCGTAGCATTCGCGATTCAGTGCAAGCCTCAGCTTCAAGTTTGTCTTTGCAATATTACTTCTTGCGTATGCTATTACGTTTATTTTTGGAGCATTCATACGATGCTTTGCAGATCACATCGTTACTCTCGCAGACCGAGGACTCGATTTTTCAATACATCCTAACCCCGCCCTTGCTTGGTCTTATCGAAGTCCACTACGGTGACATTGCTAGCTATGGACGAGAGTGAACACGCTCAGACAAAAGATAATGGATCCCTTTCGCCAGTATCTACGATCTCGGACCTTGGCCTCGATTTGAGCAGCCTACCACCAGTCGCCATCTTATCTGCTCATTTGAAGGACGATGAAGAGAAGCACTTGAAAGAAACGCTACGCCAATTTCATGCACCGCTCACCGCTGATGTCTCGCGTGCTAGAATTTTCATTGGAAAGGTGGGAACTAAAAAAAGGGCAGAATTTGAACTTAGGTCTCGCAAGTTTACAGTTGAAGAATATGTCACACCAAAACGATCTGTTGGTCCCACCAAGAGCAGTGGTCACGCGAGGAAGAAGCGAAAAGTGTCTGGAGGGCAGCTGTCACTAGACGGAATGAATGAAAACGACTCTACCACTGAAGATGAATCCTTCCATGGGGGGCCTGATGAGGACCGTGAGGCGCCTGACGAGGAGACCGAAGGTCTCGGACTAGATTCGGCATCCGCTCAAGTTGTGTCTCTGTTCGAGCAGTCTCTGAAAGAAGACTTGGTCTGGGTAATCCGACTGGACTGGCTAGACGAGTGCGTGCAGACCGGGCACCTGCAACCCCTAAGAGACAAGCTGGTGTACACCGGTCGGGTACGCGACAGTCCTAGCTCGGCAAACCCGAGACCTAGGATCCCACTTCCCTCGCATAAGCCAGACGTTACTCCCGTAGCTCAAATTCATGTAGCAATTCATCCACAGGGCGAGGGTGACATCTTGGAAAGAGCCAAGGCAGATGCAGCCACATATCCACCAAAGCCACAATACCAAGCCCATCGAACGGGGCCTAGCCATGGCTCCCGAAGGTTCGAGGGGAAAAGCTATGCGCCTACATTGGAGCTCAAGACATCGAAATCTGCTGCAACCACTGCACATCTGCTTCAGCAAACCACAAGTGAGTACGAAGGCGATGATAGTGACATACCCCAGCCTCCAAAATGGGTCGTGAAAGGTGTCAAATACGCATGTCAGCGCTTTACACCTGCCGATGGCCCCAACGAGGACTTCCTTGAGCAGCTAAAGAAGATACGGACGGCAAGAACCCTCATCGACGACGAGATTGGCGTACGCGCATACTCAACAATCATCGCGTCCATTGCAGCATACCCGCACCGACTCAGTCTCCCCCGCGAGCTAGCACGGCTGCCGGGATGCGACGAGAAAACTGCGATGCTATTTGTAGAGTGGAAGAACACGGGGAAAATCAAAGCCGTAGAGGACTATGAGAATGACGAGGTGATGAGAGTGTTGCGATCGTTCTACGATATCTGGGGCGTCGGCGCGAAAACTGCCCGCAATTTCTATTATAAAAACAGCTGGAACGAGCTGGATGATATCATAGAGTTTGGGTGGAACGATTTGGACCGTGTGCAACAGATCGGCATCAAGTACTACGACGAATTTCTCGACCCAATTCCTCGCACCGAGGTAGAGGAAATCGCAGAAATCGTGCATCAACACGCTGTAAAGCTACGAGATGACCGCATCACGGTGACCATCGTCGGCGGCTATCGACGCGGCAAACAGGCTTCCGGCGATGTAGACATGATCGTCTCCCACCCAGACCTCGACGCCACTGCTGGCCTAATCCGAGAGATTGTAGATTCTCTCGAGACCGACGAGTGGATCACCCACACTCTGATCATGAGTCTGGCCAACACCGACAGAGGCCAACAGGCTCTCCCTTTCCGCTCTACAAAAGCCCGTGGCGCTGGCTTTGATACGCTTGACAAAGCGCTTGTCGTATGGCAAGACCCGGTCTGGGCGACTCGCGAGCAGGACTTGGAGGCAAATTCAAATGCGAAGAATCCGAATGTACACCGCAGGGTAGACATCATCGTTGCCCCATGGCGAACCGTCGGCTGCGCAGTTATGGGCTGGAGCGGCGGCACAACTTTCCAGCGCGATCTCAGGCGGTACGCGAAGGCCGCTAAGGGCTGGAAGTTCGATAGTAGCGGCGTTCGCAGTCGTAGTAACGGCGAAGTGGTGTCGCTGGAGGGTGAGAATGGGGTTGACGGAACGCCAGAAGATGCTGAGAAGAAGGTGTTTGAGGGCTTGGGGCTGGAGTACATACCGCCTGAGTATAGGGTGACGTACTGATAGACAAACATGTGAATGGGCTGCCAACGGCCTGCAAACACTGTCCACTAGGAGTCCTACATCTGCAATGGACGTCCACACTGGACCTCCCAAATACCTCTGCTCACTCCTTGCCCTAACTCAAGACAAGCAAAGACTTCTACAAATACGATGTCCAACCCACCACGCTCGCCTCTCCACCCCACAACCCAACTCGCCATCTCCGCAACCAACGTCCCTTTCCACTTCCTCAACCGTCTATTCTCCCCCACCACACGCTTCATCCTATCTACGTGCACCCTCATCCACCGCCTCACCAAGCAAAACTACATCTTCCTCTGCATCTTCCTCCTGCACCTATGGGACCTCTTCAAAGCCTCCCCACCAATCCGCCCCCTCGCGCAGCACTGGAAACGCATCGCAACCGGTCTCCTCTTCGCGTGCTGCAGCACCCCCGCCTCGCTCATCCTGCACGCCAGTATCCCGCCCTTCCGCGCCTACTGGGCCGACCAGTCGCCCAAAACGCGCACCGAGGCCGCGCAGCGGCTCGCGCTGTTCGTATTCACGTGCGCGCCGGCGTGCGCGATACTGGGTGCTATTGTGACGGCAGTGGGGTTCGTGTGGAAACAGCACCGGTATGGGAAGTACCGCGCGAGTATGCGGAAGCTGGGGCGTGGGTACTGGGCTGATCCGCGAGATTTTGAGGATTGGCGTAGGGCGGGGAGTAGTCGAGAGGTGGCGGAAAGGTTGAGGGCGTGGGAGGGGGTAGAGATGGAAAGTTTTGTTGTAGAGAGGGTATGTGAGAGGTGTAAGGGGGTGAAAGAGGGGTTGAGTGCGAGGTGTGCTGCGTGTGGGGCGTTTGAGGAGAGGGTGGACAGGATGGAGTGGTAGGTATGTGTTGCTTGTAACGACTTGGTGCAGATTGGACAAGTAGATTTACTGCTTTGATTGGAATTTATTACTATGCGATTACGAGAAGGAGATCGATCGTATCTCAATTTCTACTCAGACACCCTCACCAACGCCACGCTACATCATCTCAACACTTCAACACACCCGGAATCTTTGTTACAGTGCTCTAGGCGTCTTTGAATCCCTCCTTGGTCGCCAGGTCCAGGTGCCACCTCAACACCTTCTGGAACACACTCTTCGCTCCAGTCTCAATCACATCACCGTGACACGGAATAAGCCTGTCGAAGTCCCACTTGTTGATCCTCGCTGTGGATGCAGCAAAGCTCTTCCTGTCACCCGCGCTGGTGCCCCACCAAATCATCCTCTGCTGCGCCATCGCCTTGCCCTGAGTACTCGTCAGAGCGCCAAAGATCCTTGTGTAGATGCCCGAGCTGGGGTCGACGCCTGACTTGGAGAACTGCTCTGTCGACGGGCTGTTGAATAGGTAGTCCGCCTCGATGAGTGTGCGCGTGGGGCGGTGGTGAAACACGATTTCCTTGTTGGCGTGGGCGTGGACGTATTCCCAGTCAAACTCGGCGTCAAACTCGGGCGAGATGGTATCAAGAGTCTTGGAGGCGCGGAAGAGGAACGCGAAGGGGACGTTTTCCTTGGTCTTGTCTTTGGCACGAAGTTCGGGGAGGGTCTCGGGACCCATGATTTGGGCTTGAGGGTAGGCCGCGTGCCAGGGGCCGAGGAAGATGTGGTGCTGCATGCCAGATCAGTAAGGGTCATGACGAGAGCTTCTGGTAGTCAACACGTACCTCAGCGTCGGGCGCGCAAATGTAGCGGACTTCTCCTAGCTCCGCGACTTTGGCTTTGACTTCATCGGTAAGAGCAACAGGCGAGAAGACAGCGAGAGAGCCTGACTGGAGGCGCACTGGAATGATAGTCAGTTTCGTCTTTGACACCATGTAGATCTTGCATACCAATGGTGCCTCGTCCACCAATCTTTATCTTGCCAAATCGCCAGAAGGGAACGGACAATGTTGTGATGACCCTGGGTACAACTTCACGGATGACCATGACCTTGGCCGGGTCTGAGGGGACTAGGGTTGAAGACATGTTGGTGTATGTAGGTTAGAATGCTAATAGCTGATGTGGGAGTTCTTTTGATGCGATCGCATGTGCCAACGGCTTGAGCTCGGTAGACTATTGACGACGTCACGAGAATGACGCAATGTTCGAGGTGGAGAGATCGCACGTTAGTAAGGTAGTTGATTGCGCGGAGGGTGAATGGTATTTGTAGATTTTCCACTGTCTCTAGACTAAGTTTGCAGCATCCTGCTCGGCCGATCTTGATTCAAATGACGCCGTTCCACGTGTATCCGGCCGATATGTGGAGGTCGCTTGGTGTTGCTCATGCGTCGGCACCGAGCGCATAGACCGCATGCACAGTCAGCATCAGCATCTTTGTCAAAGCTTCCCAAATCTAGAATTTGAGTATCTGTAAACACCACAACGTGCATGAGCGATCCCTTTACTGCTGCCCCCTGGCAATGTGGCTTTGTAATTATCCAGCCGAGGTACTGTCTATCTTCGCATATGCACAACCTCCTGGTAATTACCCTTGAGTCTGGCCATCCATGATCGAGGTATTTGCATTCCACCATGCTGCGCCTACTTCTCCCTACGCGGAGCTCCACATGGTTTCCGGACATTAACCTCCTAAACCGTGGCAATCCTGCAGCCACTCCTGATCCATTCAGGAACGCAACACTTCTCGGACAAAATGTCGTGCGGTGTTGCAGGCGGATGTTGTGGGGCCTCGGAGCGCTCATCGCTGGCTAGAATCGTCGTGATGTGTAAGACGTGCAAGCGCGACTACTCATCCTGGAATTGCAGCATTCTCTCTGGCGTTTTCAGCACTGAGCTCGTTCATGAGGCTCTTTGGATTCCTCTTTTTATTATCGTCATCCAGCTTTTTCTGTATGTATTTACCAATTTGCTTGACCTTGTCCAGCGCAATATTGGTACAGTTTAGAAGAGCCAGTGGATTGATGGTCGCGCCGCCATACTTCGCGATTTGGCAGATTTCGCCGTGCTTGTTCATGGTGATAATGACCTGCCCCTGGCGAACCTGCTCCTCAGCTGCGTTCGCATCGACCAAGTAAACTTCGTCGTCTTCAAAATATGAGAATGTGACACATAGTGGCTGGTGCAGGATAGAAAGCGGTATCGGTTCGCGTTCGCGTACGCTCAGAATAATGGCCTTTTCTCCTTCTACTTGGACGTCTGGTCGCCTGAAGTGTTGAAGCGCAGCCATGACGGCAATGCACGAAGCATCGATCAACCCTCCGTCGTGGTCAATGATGTGTACGTCGGCCCGGAGAGAGAAGCACTTTTGTCCTGCGATGATACAGAGCGACTCGGTATCGAGGGCATTCGAGCGTCGAATAGCTTTCTCCAAGATACGGGAGAGAATGATCTCAGCATCGGTAGGTCGTCCGATCTCAAATGCAGGCGAAGCCATAGGCGAGAACTCGGTGACGATCTGGAAGAGGCCATCGAACTTGCGCTCCGGCGCCGGGGTGACTACGTCGACGGAGATGCGCGCAACAACTCTGATATGAGTTAGTGGTGTATCCCTCACAGTCAGTATCATAGTTGCGCGGACCTTGTCTTCCCCAATTGCACATCTGCGACACCATATTCCTCGCCAAAAGTGAGCTCTAGAGGGCGAAATGCATCGAATGCGCGACCGTCGAGGCGAATTTGTTCTTGCAGCGCCTGCTTGATGAACTCGCGCTCGTTTATGGAGATCTCAGCTTCCCGAGGCATTTTGCCTCTGTTGCAGTTGGTATGGTTTGGGGTAGTGATGTCAACTGCCTGTGCTCTGAAAATATAGCGGGACCGGCGAAAGTGCATCACCGACAGCCTTGGCAGTGCTTTGAAGCAAACACTCACCTTCTCCCACTCCAAACCCACGTCAAAGACTCCCGAAACCTCGTGCGAAACAACAAGACTCACAACAAACGTACACCGACAGCATGACGACCGCCCACAGACCGACGTTCGATCCCGCACGCGGCAAGGAAGCCCAGCGCGGAGTCGCCTACCATCAGCGCCTCCTGCCCGCACACACAACGCTCAAGCACAGGCAAGCCGGCCAGGGCGGAGACGCAGATGGCTACCAGCGCGACCTACGTGCAGAGCTTCTAGAGGCTGAGGCGCGTCATTATGCGAAGAAGAACGGCACCTATGTCGAACCAGAGGCTGCTACCGACTCTAGCAGCGCACCGAAACGACAGATCGACGACGTAGCAGCGGAAGAAGGCGAAGAGGATGAAGCAACTGCGAAGAAGAGACGGATAGAAGTGCTCGAGAAGTACAGGGACATAGACGCGGACGATAGTAGTGACGCGAGCGAGAGTAGTGATGAAGAGTAAGCATTCATCGCCAGGTCGCACGACTGACCTTGCTAACGCGTCAACAGCGACGACGATGAAGAAGACGAAACTGCGGCACTGATGCGTGAGCTGGAGAAGATCAAGAAGGAGCGCGCAGAGGCGAAGGCCAAAGAAGAGCAGGAACGCGCAGCTGAGGAGGAGGAGCAGCGTGAGATCGATGTCGCGCGTGGCAATCCTCTGTTGAACAAGAACGATTTCGCCATGAAGCGCAGATGGGACGACGACGTGGTCTTCAAGAACCAAGCGCGCGGCACTGAGGACAGGAACAAGAAGAAGGAGTTCATCAACGACATGCTGCGATCTGACTTCCACAAGAAATTCATGGTAAGCCCACACATTACAGCACACATCACGAGTCTTCTAACAGCTGCAACAGTCCAAGTACGTGCGATGAGCCCTTAGCATATGGACTTCTTGTAGACTATGCATTACTCAGCCCATCGTGGGATTCTGGCGCATGGCGTTTTCTGGACTGACACGCGGACACGTGAGTGGCACTCCAGCGCACGGGGTCCGAAGCTTTCTGGAAAGCTTCGTGCCCCGTGCGCGCAGCTCCTTTGTCAGCTTCTTACGCACGGGGCACGAAGGTTTGCTGTGAAGCTTCGTGCCCCGTGCGCTGTGTCACCCTACGCACAGGGCACGAGGCTTCTCTGGCAGCTTCATGAACCGCGCGATGTCCTCTTCTAGTACACAGGGCATGTACACAGATGACGCAATTTTGTTCGTCCTTATCTGGATCAGCGAACGTTGACCACTTCTGGTTGTCAGCTATTCCTTATCGCAACTACATCATTCCCAATCGAACGAATAGGAACATCTCAACATCCAACTATGAACTTCGAGCTTCGCATTCACTGTGCGCATGACCCTTCAAGTCTACAGTATTGAGCCTGAAAGGGCGTCTCAAGCATAGCAAACCATCGGCCTCATACTGAATGGGGCCTATTCTCATGGACAAACAAGTCCTTGGTCAGTCAAGCGGCCTGACCGCGATCTTGTTACCCATACTGCCCAGCCCCACAAGCGCATCGGAAGAACACAAGCACACCTTGGCCCTTCCTTCCAACCTCTTATGAGGCTTCGATAGTAGCCAGCCAGCACGGGAGCTGAGCGCGCCCCAGCACAGTGACTTCATGTGGCTTAAGCATGCGCATCGATTGCTCGACTGTGTCTGGCCGTTGCCCATAGGTAGCCAGACTACGTAGTTTAACACATATATACCCCACTTTGTCTCCAGCAGTGTTGATAATCCGTGATCTTGACTTACACTCTACATTTTATATTACTAAATATTACATATATTTACACTCTCCACAATGGCAGGCTACGGCAACCGCACAGCCCCAGACTACACCGCCGACGCGCTCGCGGACGAACACTCATCCACGCGCCTCGGCCTCACAGACTCACACAGCGTAGGCCCCCCATACTAACTAACCCCAATTCTCTGTCCATTCAGATCCCATTTCACACACACATACACACACACACACACACACACACACATATATATATATATATATATATATATATAGACACGCACATCCCTATATACACATACATACACACCCCACTAACCCCCTCCCCTAGCCCCCAACCTACGGCGCAGGCTTCGGCAACAAACGCGCCTCGCAGCCCACAACCCACACAGCCACAGACACAGACGCAGACACCACCGCCGCCGCCTCCGCCGCCGCCGACACACCGCGCTTCAACACCCAGGACGCGCACGGCTCCGCGCCGTACAGCAACGCGCACACGTACGGCAGCGCGAGCACGGCGGGCGCGGGGTGGGGCAACAAGACGGGAAGTTTTAGTGAGGAGGGGAGGGGGGAGGGGGGGCATGGTATGTTTTTCTCTTTACCTCTTCATCTCTCACTGTAGCTGTGGTGGAGTCGTGATAGAAGTGGTTGAACTGGGCACGGGTGTGAACGATGACAGGGCTGACGAACGCAGATTCCGCGCTCGGCAAGGCGATGCAGAAGATCGGGGGTGCGCTGCATGCGCCCGGGCTGGCGCGCAAGGGCGAGGCGAAGAGGGAGGCTGCGGATGCGCATGGGGAGGTGCCGACTGCGAATTAGACTGTTGGGGGTGGAGTATGAAGAGAGAGGGGGGGGAGTAATAGTAGTTTATTCGCCACGAGGCCTATGCAATGCGAGTTCTATCGTCCAACACCGGTGTCTGCGGCTCAAATGCAAGATAGCCGCGGCACGTGCAGAATGCAAGGTCGCCACTTGCCACGGAATCGTGGAAAAGGGGGTGTGGCTAATAGATGCCCTGCGTGCGGTATTGGAAGGTATCGTAACTGCGTGCGTTAGTCCATTGTTTTCTCAATGTGTCCGGGCACAACTCACAGTCTAGTGTAGTAGCTGCCCACGCTCTTCGCAACCAGCTCCTCGACAAACGCCTCCGCCTCCTCTTTACTCAGATGCAGCATCAGCCGCGCCCGCAAGCTGTTCGTCACGCTCGCGCTGCCGGCCGCGAAACACGGCATCTTGCTCTGCTTGCCCATCAGGTCGACCAGCATGATGAGGCGCTCGGCCTCGCGCCGCAGCGCCTGGAACGCTTTTTTGCACAGCGTCTTAAACTCTTCGAAGGCCGGGGATGTGATGCCGCCGAGCACGTCCACGTAGTCTTGTGTCAGCTTGAATGGCGCGGCTTCGAAGCCCATCGACCCAGGCGAGTTGGACAGCATGAAGCCGAAGTCGATGTGGATGATGTGGCCCATGTTGTCGATGAGGAGGTTTCCATTGTGGCGGTCCTTGAGCTGTAGGACGTAGGAGATTACGCTATAGGCTGCCAGCGAGCGGGTGAAGCAGCCGACGCCCGCAATATATGGCTCGGATTCGGGCTCGCCGAAGGTTTTCAGCCAGTGGTCTTTGAGGGTAGAGATGCGTTTGCGAGGGTTCGTGCCGGCCGCGATGCTGGCGAGGGTTAGGGAGCGCTTGAGCGAGTGCAGAGAGACACCGTTGGTGATGGTTTCGATCAGGCCGCAGGACTCGCCCGTCACGAGGATGCGCATGCGTTTGGTCCAGACGGGGATATTGGCGTCCTCCCAGATCTTGGTGCAGACTTGGATGAGCTGGCACGCGAAAGCTTCCTGGCGGAGGTCGTCGCCTGTCTTCACAATGACGGATATAAGATCCCAGTTGGACATGTAGCCGTAGGGGGAGGAGCGGCGGACACGCTCACGTTTGGCACTCCACTCTTCGCCAAAGGTTGCTGCTGAGGGGTCGTCGCGATCACCCTTGCGGCGCATACCAGCAGTCTTGAGGTCGTTCTCCATGCGTGCTGCGCCGGCTCCAGAATTTGTGGCAACTGCCATACCTTCTTCCAGCTCCTCGGGCTCGGCCATAATCGACGTAGGATCAGACTCTGCCATAATAGTATCGAACGTAGGCCCCTGATCGTCCGACATGAAATTCTGCTCTTCCAAGGTCTGCATACTTGCAATAATCTTCGCCTTGATAGCTGCCACTTCTGTCCGTGGTCTTTTCGAGCCGCTCGCCTCCAACTGTGCCAGCATCTGCGCCGCTGTCCGCATATGGGTCGCAAGGGCCGTGAAGTCCGGCTGATCCGGTCCCTGGTTCTTATTCAAAGGTATTGTTGCTTTCCGCGACGGAGCAGGGCTGCTCGAGCGACTGACCTCCATATCTGATGTCCGTGGGGTCGATAGCGTGGCCATGGAGGCCAGCGTGTTCGCCCCACTGGATGACCTGGGCGCTGTGGATTTGCCATTGCTGGTGCTTGCTGGTAACGCAACTCGTGCAAGGCCAGACGCGAGGTCGTCTTCGGCGATATCCTTGATCAGCGTTGTGCTGCCCAAGTCGCCGTTCGAAGGCTCGAAAACACTGTCAGTTCCATTGGGCGTTGTCTTATCAAGCGCCAGACGCTCCGCGTTGGTGATGTCGAACAACCGCCTTCTTGACGTCCCTTTCTCCATCATTAGCTTCTCCAATAGCTGCTGGTTCTGTTCTGAGTCCGGATCAAAGTCAAAGTCCTCCTTCAGCACTTCAACCATGAGCAGGTACGGCACTTTCTCTGCGCTGTTCAAGCTGGTAGCTTCTGCTGGGTTGATGCGCACAATGCGGTGGTGCTGGCTCTGGGACGGTATCCCGTCCTTCAACGTCGGCGGGGAAAGTAGCGGAATGTCGACCTCAGCTGGCAGATCTTGTGCTATCAGAGCCAGTTCGGCGCGCAGGGCGCTTAAGCGTGCCGGCTTGGGCACGGATACCAGACGACTGGAGATGTCCTCCAGGGCACTCAGGAACTGTGTCTCGTTGCGGAAGTAGTTGGATCGCAGCAGCCGCACTCTCTGCGCGCGGGACAGCGCTGTCGGTGTGAGCGGCCGCGGCTGCTGCGCCAGGTACTTGCGAGACGTGCGGTCTGCCTGCGGTCCCAGGCCAGCGGTAGCGGGCGGCGTCGGCAGCGGGGACGACGTCCTGGCGTTGCGGAAGTCGGGCAGGGAGGACGAGCTCAGACGGGCGTCGGAGTCGATGTTCAGCAGCGAGGGCCGGTGCTGGGCGGACATGCCGTGGGCGGTGTGCGGCGGGCGGGCAGCCTGGCGTCGGAGGTCCTTGGGGTCTCGCAGACGCGGCGTCGGCGGCTTGGATGCGCGGCCGTCCTCGGGGTCAGAGTGCCCCTGGTCGGTCCTGCGCTGGCGCGGGCGCGGCGAGCCCCCGGCGACGGTGTTGCTGCGGCCCATCTTGCCCGTCTGCACGTTGTCGGAGATCATGTCCTCAACGGGCCGCGGCTTTCGCGCCTGCGCAATGGCCAGCGGGCCGGCGTGGGCGGGCAGAAAGGGCGCGGCAATGCTGGCCAGCACCAGGCTCGACAGCACCGTCGTGGGCAGCACATTCTCCTTGATGCGCTCGCGGCGCGCGGGCTCGGCCGAGCCGAAGACGATGCGCTGCACGCGGTTGTAGATGCGCCGGCACGTCTTGAAGGCGTTCGAGTTCGGGGCGGCGGCCAGGTCGTGGAGGTACGTCTGGAACAGCCAGAAGGTCTGCGGCACGGTTACTACGGGTCACGGCGGGCGGGCGGCGGGAGGTGCGCACCAGAAGCGCGCCGTTGACCGACTCCTCGCACAGGTCGATGATAAACTCCTCCAGCGCCATGGACTCATTGTCGATGCTGATCAAGAGGTGGCATAGCCTGCGGGCGCCAAATTTGTAAGCGGGTGCTGCTCATGGGCGCCGGGCGCGGGGCGGGCACGTACTGCGGCAGGAAGAACTCGAGCTCCTCGTACGCAAACGTGCGCAGCTTCGAGCAGAGCACGTAGTGGATGCCGACATGGTCAGAGTACCGCCTGGCTGCGTCAGTACGGGCGAGGCAGGGCGCGGGGATGCGGTGAAGCCACACTCACGCCAGGTAGGCCACGGCCAGCGACGGGTCACTATTAAAATGGTCGGATTCAATGAACCGCTCAAGCAAGTTCCAACTCATCTGGGACGGTTCATTGAGGCGCGACGCGAGAAGGGCGGAAGAATGGGCGCGAGCACTTGGACAGGCGTGGCATCAAATGGTCAAATGGGGCGCCCGCAGGGTTCAGGGCGCGCGAGCTGCCGGCGGAGATTAGCTCCACTCACGTCCGCTCCGGCACTGTGACACTGACACCACAGCACCAAGCACCACAGCACCCGGGCCCCGGCACGTTACAGAATGCGCGCGCAGTGCTGGCCGACTCCTAATTGCATTACCCGTACCTTCCCTCCTGCATATTGCTACACACCTGAACTATCCGCCCACAGATCCTCAAACACCTTGCGTCATGCGAAACAAACTCCGGGAACGCCCTCACCACCGTCTTGAGCGCCTGTATACTGTACACGGGAACGCTGCTATGTACACTGAACGCCCATGCATGTACACCAAACACCCGTGAATGTACACCGAACACCCATGAAATGCCTAGTCGGCGGCGTTCAAATCGACAAAGATATTAATAGCGGCCACGACGACTTCAGCAAAAATGAGAATGATGACGATCCACTCGAGCAATTCACCCTGCACACCATTAGCGACGCTCTGTGCCAGCCCGTGCTGCTGCAACTTACATGTGTGGCTGTGAGCTGGTCTTTGAGAACAGCCAGCAGATCTCCAATGACATTCAGCCGCTCCGTGAGCAGTCCGACTCGCTGGTCCATCTCGAGGTAGCTTCGTACCGCCTGGTACACAGGATCGAGCTGCGGCTCTGCCCACATGAGCTCCGGCGCATCGAGCACCGAGCCCTGCAGATGGATGCTGATACGCAGGATGAACAGCTCACCGATCTGCATGTTGATCTGCTTCTTGTTCAGGTTGATCTTGCCCGAGCTTGCAATCTGCGCGGGGATATCCTTGGTGTCGTCGATCGTGCTGTCGACCAGGTCTTCGAACAGACTCGTCTTGACGCTCTGCGAAAGGCCGTGCGAGATGGCGAGCTTGATCATGTAGTTCTTCTTGTCGCGGAGGGAGATGAAGTCGTTGTAGATGCGCGCTTGGTACTCGCGGGTGTAGTAGAAGTTGAACTCTTCCGTCTCGACTTCGTCTTTGCCGAGTTTGTCGACTTCGAATTTGGCAATCTCCTTGAGGAAGCGCTTCTCTTCTTGCAGTGACATGCCCCATATCACCACCGTGCCGTACTCGAACAGGAATACTTCAGGTGTGTGGACCTGAGTGTCAAAGTCGGGTGTGTCCATCTGAGGATCCGAGTCGGCATGTGTGACTGATGGTCGTCTGGGTCTGTCTGAGCTCTCGCCGTTACCTATACTGGGCGCATCGCCGTCGTCGTGCAGATCAATGAGGTCCTCTCTTCGTCGCTCGTTCTGGTGCTCTACCTCGATGGCGCTGTCTGAGAACCTCCTCTGTAGCGGTTCGGGCGTGCCGTCAAGTACAGCTGAGCTGTGTACATCCTCTGATCCCTTGGAGCCGTAGTTGTATGGCGAGTATATGCACTCGTCGAACCGCTTGGGCAGTGCACCCCTCATCTTCTGCTTGCCTTTCAGGAACCTCATCAGGTCGTCGAGCTTGTATGACGATGCCGTACAGTATGCCGTCACCCGCGGTAACCGGTCTCGATCAGCTTTGCCCAGTCGTGCAGCATCTCTTCGCGCGGTGGGGTCCTTGATCCTTGTGTATTGCACGTATACGTCGCGTCCGCTTTCTTCGTCTTCTCCATCTTCGTCTTGGGCTGGGTCGGGGAGAAGCTTCAACTTCTGCGCAGTTCGCGTTGTTCTCTGCGGACCGATCTTGCCGACTGGGGTTGGAGGTATTCTTGCAGGCGCGCCTGAACTGTTCCTTCTTCGTAGTTTGCTGTTGAGGCCGGCGAGCATTGGCTGCCCTCCATGGCTTGTAGGCTGTCGGGCCGAGGACGTACCCTGCGAGCCGGACTGGAATTGAGCCGTGTCATTGGAGGAAGAGACAGTTGTGTTGAAAGTGACGGTGCGCTGCGGTTTTGGGGGCGTTGTCTTCGGCGCCTTGCTGCCGCCCGACATGGACGACATCAACGGCGTGGTCTCGGTTGAGCTTGACGCCATTGTGATACGGGAATTGACAATTCAGCGGCGTCGCGATAATTGGACGGAACGAAGTGCGCGCTGAACACGGGCGGGTATCACGGACTAGACGTAACAACTATGGCCCTGCCATATGGGTGGGGTGACGAAGTGAAGTCGTTGCACGTTCGACCGTGTGCTGCTCGCCGAGACTGACAAGATGACGTTCCTGCCCAAAGCTTGGAGGCCCCTGCAACCTGGGCCCCACGTGCTGCATCTCATGCAAGGCCGTTGACAGGCACTACAAAGTGCAAATCATCAATTGGCCGCTGCTTATTGCGCAACCGCTTCGTTCTGAGACTAAGGAATTCGCAGGCGGAATACTTACTCCTGTGAAGTCAACTTTGCGCTCCACAACTGCGCAACTTGAGAAGAGTGTCGCTATGACCAATGCGACTGACCTCTGCTATAATTGGCGAACATCCCATAGAATCAACTCAAAGAACCAGAATAATGTACATTTGGGTATAGCGGAGCTTATAGACACTTTTAAACGACAGCGATGGAGCAGACTCCCCAGCATGCATCTCAATTCTCTCCTCTCGCGATATTCCTCGCCCTCCTCCGTTCCCTCTCCATCTTCCTTGCCTGATTCATACTTGGCTGCATCCCCTCCTCCTCCAGCCTCGCCTTCATCAAGCTCTCCTCGTCAATCCGATCAAACCCAAAACTCCCCAATTCACCGCGTCTCCACTTCTGGATCAACCACAAAGCAGTTGCTTCGTGGTCGACCACCCCTTTCTTGCCATACCGCCCCGTCTTCTTAGCAACCAACTCCAACAGCTCGACGATATCGTTCGTCGGGCCTGGCGCATACTCGGCGTACAGCTTCGGATCGACCAGATTGATGTGGAACAGGAGATAATCCGCAAGCATGACGGGCGGGATGATGGTGTCCTTTACACTGCCACAAAGCGCCAGCTTCATCATCGCCTCTGCGTCAGGCACATACGGGATGAACACACCCGGCGTGTCGAGCAAATACACTCCTCCCCCTACACCCCTCTCGCCCTTCCCTGCGTTCACATCGTCCTCGCTGGGTATGATCTTGACACCACTGCCAACCTTCCGCGTAACGCCGGGCTGCGCGCCTGTGCGTGCGACTTTGCCCTTGCCTAGACCGAGCCCGCGCAGTGCGTTGAGCAGTGTGGATTTGCCGACGTTGGGCATGCCGACAACCATGACTCGGTGGCCGACAAGCTTCCATCGCTTTTCAGCATGCTCGCGCAGTACTTCAAGCACTTTGCCCGTCGCCTTTCGGCTGTCTCTCTCTTCTTCGCCGTTGCGCACGAACATGACTGTGCTCCCTTTGTGCCATCCGCGAATCAACTCTTCGTTCTTCTGATCGCGCGGCCCACCGCCCAAATCGCGTTTCGTATAGACGATTATGCGCTCCTTTCCCTCAAGAGCTCTTTCAAATAGCGGGTTACGCGAGGTGAGCGGCACGCGATAGTCGCGACATTCAACTACGAGGTCGATGGATGTGAGCAGTTGCTTCATCTTGGCAAGCCCGGATTTGTGATGGCCCAGGAAGTATGAACGCGGGAGCGACGGGATCGGTGGGAAGACATTGCGGGCGATGAATGACATGGAGGAGGAGCGTTGGTGAACTGGCCTCGAGCGTGAACATTATTTCTGGTGTCGAGTCAGGACAGTCACATCGCTTGGCGATCTTTGACTCGTGCCTCCAGCCTCACACGCCAGAAGATGTGCGTCTTTGGCCTTGGGCCCAACATCAATAGTCGATTAAACTATTTACGCTAAAGCTGATAAGAAAGTTATGCTGCGATAAACCTTGCGACCATTTTTCACAGACAGGCTGAACCCAAGCATATGCTGGAGTGTGCGAAGCTCAGGGCGACCTCACAACTGATCGTGTCGGACACTAGTCGAGCTGGGCACAGATGTAGTGACCGTTGTATACACAGTGTATACAGCAGGCGCGGGGAAGCCGATCCACTGCGAATCCGGCCTGTCCTTCTTATCACAGAAGTGGACCTTCTGGATCTTGATGTGGTCCTTGCCTGCCTGACCGCGCTTTTCCCACTCCGCATCGGCGCAAGCCTCCCTCCCATCGATGAATGGGTGGGGAAACTTGACGGGTGTGTGCCAAGATCCCTTCTGTTGGACCTCGAAGTCTAGACGTGGCACATCTTCATCGCTCTCCGAGTCTGTGTCGACATGGTCAGTGTTGAGGCGATGACCAAGTTTGATCTTCTGCGTAGCAGTCGCTGTGGAGGTAGTCGTGGATGTTGCCGTCAGGGGTTCACCATTTGGACCAAGAGTAGGAGCATCTCCGCAGTTGACAGGGAAGGCACCGCCAGCACGGCACTCGATCTTGCGATAGTCGTGTTCGTCGTCAGGGTAGCAGAGATAACAAAGTAGGGACCGGCTCCAGGGATGGAACATCCACACGCCCTTGGTCTCATGGCCTGGGTCGAAGCGCTTGTCAACGGCAGCACTTGCTTGAGCGCCCAATATGGAAAGAGAGCCGGTGTAGGTAGCCGTGTGTACGTTGTGATGTGGTGCACCGTACGTTGAGTCGATGCCCCATATGGTGTGCTCGATGGTTTTGGTGCAGAGGTGCGCAGGCTCCCTAACTTCGCCGCAGACGAACTTGGCAGAGAAGAAGCTGTTCTTGGGACCCTTCGGAATCAGGCAGCTGTTGATATCCTTGGGCATGTCTCCGTTGAGTCCATTCTGGTGTTCCTCGATTTTGCTCTGTTTAGGGCAACCGAAGTCTGAGAATGTCTCAAGCTCACAGTGCATCTGAAGACCGTTGACTTCTTTAAGCCAATCCTGGTGATCGAAGCGAAACCTCGGTCGAAGGCTGCGAGCCTGGTTGACGTTGATGCATTCACCCTCCTTCAACTCATACGGGCTGGTGAAGGGTTGTCCGGTGCAGTCGGATGTCACGAAGGGATACAGGTGGATCTCGGCATCGGACTTTGCGTCGCCCGCCTTGGGTGAAGCACCGTACGCCACTGAGGCGACGGCGAAGGCCACAATCGTGGCACGCAGGAGTGAGCGCATGATGTCGCTGGACCGTGAAGAAAGTCAGCCATGTGAACAACGATCTCAGAATGCAGTTGAATGGGATAGACATACCTAATCGAGCAGACGAGGTTCAACACGGCCTACTGTTGAAGTTCGATGCGTGGCGGAGTACTGTGTGGTGTCAACATATGGCTCCGAACGTGGTGATGTATGCCAATTGATGAGGATCCGACTTCATAAGCCAGACAAATGTATGTAGAACAACGCACCGACGGGTATGGCTCTTGTATCATGTAGCGGCGTGTGTTGGTGATGTGCTATGAGATGTTAGGAAACAGAGATGTCTTGAGAACAGGCAATGCATCGTGTATTGCACATGAGTGTAAAATTGATGAGAGAATGGAACGACTTGCCTGATCGATGGTTGTTTGCTGTGGTGAGGAGTCTGATGTTGTACGGTGAAGAAAGACGGAGTGTTGGGTTGGAAAGGGTGTTTATAAACAAACAGAGATGGCTCCAGCGCGCTTCATTTCGAATGCAGGAAGAGAAGCTGGCTCGCACTGACTGTGTTGCTTCTCGATGCGTGCGGAGGGAGGCGCGCGCAAGGAAGGTAGGCGCAGAGTGAGCAAGTGACATTGGTCGAGAAGAAACTGCAACGACGAAAGAAATGACGGATAGATACGAGTAGCCGATCATGCGGCCCTGATGAGAAAGAACATGAGTACAGCCTCGTGAGGCTTCAGGAAGAGGGGGCGAAGAAAAACTGAGGCACCACTGTCCAGCTATACACTCGTCGCAATGCATTCAGAATCATTCGATACCGTTGGGACCCATTCAACTGAGAATACAGAGTAGTGAGCGCAAGGGAGCCATTCACAGTTGCCGGATGCTATAGCAGTAGCATAACAACCGGCATTGAGCCTGAAATTAGGGTATTGTACTGGCAGAAACTTCGAATGAACCTGCTTATGAATCAGTATGCATCGTACCGAAAGCAGATCTAACTGTAGACGCTCAATTTTGAAATGCTGTGAATGTGAAGCACATTGATGGTAAGAGCGCAGAGGAATTGAAACGCGAGATAAGAACAGTAATGCCGCAGCGGTACTGAAGTTGAACTGAACGCAGTGTCATACAATACCTCCATTGTAGTATGAGAGACCGACCAACGCCATGACTCCCCCAAGCCGCCAACTCCTTGTCATGTGAAGGGGCTCCTGCATCTACCAGTCCTCCCACTTGTCATCCTTCTTGCCTCCCGTCGGTCCCGATCCACTGCCCTTCTTCATCGCACTTGTGCCAATACCCGATGGTTTGGGCTTTTGTCCTAACCCGGATGTGGCGTTTGATCCAGCCTCGCCAGCGCTTGCAAACTCGTCCCAGAAGTCTTGCTTGTCGCTGCTAGGGCCCTTGGGAGCGGCACCAAAATCGTCCCAGAAGTCCTTCTTCGCCGGTTGTACACCACGACGTGTGTTGCCTGAAGACTCTCCCTCGACGAAACGGTTGAAAGCAGTGCCGGCATTCGCTGCGGAAGCTTGGATCGTCTGGCCCATAAGTCCGGCGGTCTTCTGTGCCTGCGAGGCAATATCTGCTTCGGCGAGCTAGAGCGGCATTGATCAGTGCTGCAACTTCACATGTGTAGGCAGTCTCACCTTTTGCATGCCAGGCTTCACCCACCCCTCGTAGCCAGTCTTGCCTGCCTTGCTCACACTCGCACCCAGCCAACCGAATCCCTTCGTGAGAGCTGCCACAGGGTCTTTCTGGAAGTCAGCAATCTCCGGCGGTGCCCCAGGGTCGTCGTTGTTCTTCCAAGAATCCGGTTCGCTTCCAAAACCACCATATTTTCCACCCTGGTTTGGCGCCAGATTGTCGCTCCTATTGGCGTTCTCAGCTCCCATGCGCGAGAAGTATGCTTCGTTCTTCGTCTTCTGTGACGCCATAGCATTCGTCCCAAGAGCCGGCGATCCTGATCGCTGGAAGCCAGACTCAGTCTTGCCCAGTGGTGTCTGACTTCTACTCCCACCGGCACTGGCGCGGCCGCTCAATGGCCCACCGGCGCCAGCAGCGCCAGTAGTCTCCTTCTTCGGCAAACGCTTTGGCAGATTGCTCTTGTCAAACTCCCTGTCCTCGACCTTGCAGCTCAGTCTTTCTTTCCACTCGTCGCCAGCTTCAGAATCATAGCGTTCTTGTATAGACGAAGCCTCAAATGTCCTGTTGTCCTTCGTGTTTGATGGGTGCGCGGTGAAGAAATCCTGGTATGGTTTGTTGCCGCCAGCGGCCATACGTGCAAGCTCAGCGCCCTTGAAGGCATCCATAGTGATGCTGCGAATAAAGGAGATGTGAACACCCAGGCCGCGATGGACGCCGGAGCATGACAGACACATGAAGATGCCCAGTTTGGGAGAGGCCTGATGTCTTCATATCAGTATATAGTGCCGGAGTTGTGGTCGCGTGGGACTCGAGAAGGGCGACCTGGAGGGCTGGTAGTTGCGTACCCACTGTGGACTCGGCGCGTTGCAGTCGACACACTTGTTGTTGTCGTTCGTCTTCTGAATCTCGAGCAACTGTATAGTATTCAATCAGCGATATGTGCTTCCTATCCGCTGACGAGATTGCGGTCCAATTGCTCTGCTCTACGAGCATCACAGCCCCACCTAGATATGTAGGTACACCGCGCAACGTACCTTACTCCGCGTCTCCGGATCTACCTCCCACATTTTGCTCATGATGAAGAACTGCCGCCGCGGTCTGTTGCGAGAAAGATAAACAAGGTCCGCTTAGAACGCGATTCGAGGTTGAAGTGTCGGTGTTGAAGTTTACGGAGGGAGGATCCATAACAGTCGAGATTCAGGGCCGGAAGCTGTGGCGCTGCAGTTGAGCCTCAACCACCAGCGGGGGTCTCGTGCTCCACCATCTAAGTCCGTGCATCGCCCAAAAGCAATCCGGACAAGAGAGAGACTATGAATGCTGAGTTACTCTTGTTCGTTGCGCATAAAATACAAGATCTTTCTCGTGGAAACGGTCACGATTGAATCAGACGCCACCAAGCGGTTTCGATCTCATCAAGGACCCTGCGATGCAAATTGTGGCTTCGAATTGAGAAATGCTCGATCGCTAAGTTGAGAGAAGAGACCAGCTACGGAGATAAGAATGAGTCGCGTTATATGTACCGTCACCTCAAGAGTCATAAACATTACTGTAATCACACTGAAGCTCTCACCAGGCGGAGTGGCTTTCCACTGTCAAGTTACGCTCCATCTCCCCATATGCCTACAACTTGCATGCCAAACGCCAGCCCTGTGAAAACTGCCTTGATACTTTCGGTCAATCTCTTTCGCTCAACTGCCTGCCTCACTTGTTCGCCGTTGACATCGTCGCCCTGCGCTTCGAGATCCAATGCCGTTCTCCGTTCGTTGGTGCCGCTACGGAAGGATACAGCGTAGTCAATAGCTGGACCGGACCCGAATGCGAATATCGATGTATAGAGGAGATATGGATGGCGCAGCCGACGAGGTGATAAGAGGTAGGCGGAGAACAGTGTGAAGGTAGTGATATGACGAAGGTACGAAGTGATGTTCTGTGTCTTGTACGATACATAGGTTGATGTTGTACGTGCATCAACGGCGGTGGGCAGTGCAAGCAGTGCAGGCAAAGTAATGGTCGAGAGGGTCGCAGAAACACCCTTGAACGTATGTTAGCATGCAAGATCAAAACTAGTCCGCCGCAGAGACTCGCGATGAGCTCAGTGGGAGCTGAAGTTGGAAAGGACATCGACGAAGAGCTGAGAGTGTGGCGACATACCGTCAGTAGGCCCAGGCTGACTGTGCCTACAAACTTGCAGACGGAGATTGTAGGTGCTGCCATTGTTCAAGCGCTTTGCAGCAATGTGTATATGTTGTCGTGTTGGGGCGATCAGTTGGGCGCTGTGTGGTCGAAGAGCTCTGTGACGTTATCTGCAAGCTGATTGATGGATTGCAGCGTTTAGGAAGCTTGGCAACTACAGTTCCTGTGGGAGAGCCACGCAGGTATAATCCTTCAAACATTCCTTGACTTGTCTCAAGCATCATGATCACGCATGTCTGTGAAGCTCTATTTGTCTCCAGACTTTTAGAACCGAAGAGTGTGGTTCAATCTCGATGTGTCACGTCCAATGTCGGCTTCATGTCTGCGGATAGTAATCCGCTGGACCTCGGCTTGCTCCACGACTTCACTCCAACTTCTCCACAACCGACGTTCTCGGCCGTATACTTGACTCGACAATCTCACATAAGATCAGACGACATCCACTAACAGCAATAATACAGTCCTCTCCGAGTAACGAAACATTCCGTCACGGCCCATCTACCACAGCGCCAAAGCCAGAAATCCTCGTCAATCCTCCACCATGCCTCTCGAGAGATATCAATATTTGAGCAACGTCTGGAAGGATGGTCTTTTTGACAACAAGGTCATATTCTGCACTGGTGGAGCGGGATCGATCTGCTCAGCGCAAGTTCGGGCTATGGTTCACCTTGGTGCGAATGCATGCATTGTTGGGCGCAACGTAGAGAAGACAGAGAATATGGCCAAAGATATTGCGACAGCACGAAAGGGGGCAAAGGTGATCGGTATCGGTGCGATAGATGTGAGAAAGCCAGAGTTGCTCGAGGCTGCCGCAGCCCGCTGTGCAAAAGAGCTGGGGAGCATTGACTTTGTAATGTGAGGTATACAAGCAGGGGTGCTGAACATCGCTGACGACTTACAGCGCTGGCGCTGCTGGCAATTTCCTCGCACCTATGGACCAGATTTCGGCCAACGCAATGAAGTCGGTCATCGATATCGACGTGCTAGGTTCTTACAACACTGTGAAGGCAACACTGCCCTACCTCGTCGAATCTGCCGCCAAACACAAGACAAACGGTCACACACCACCGGCCAGTGGCACCGGTGGTCGCATAATCTTCGTTAGCGCCACATTACACTATTCTGGAACACCATTGCAGAGCCATGTATCTGTTGCGAAGGCCGGTGTAGATGCCATGGCGATGTCTGTAGCGATAGAGCAAGGGCCTAAAGGCATCACCTCGAACGTCATCGCACCAGGACCTATCGCAGACACTGAGGGTGTAGCTCGTCTCTCCAAGCAAGATCACCGTGATAGATCGTCCAAAGGAATCCCGTCCGGACGTTACGGAACGGTGAAGGAGATTGCCGATGCCACAGTATATCTCTTCTCAGATGCTGGTAACTATGTGAATGGCGCAACGCTAGTTGGTAAGCAACACAGCTCATGCTTGACAACGAATCCAGCTGCTGACATATGTGTGTAGTTGATGGCGGCCAATGGCACACTGCAGGATTTGCGAACGGGTTCGCATACCCCGACTTCCTCCTATCGGGTGAGGTTGTGACGGGCGTTTCTGGCGGCAAGCAGTCGAAATTGTGAACGTGAATCAAGAAGTAGATTCGCCCATAGGCTGGTGTTGTATACTATCATCTTTGTAACGGCGCCCATGTTGATCGTGACCACTGACACTGATGTTGGACCGCAACGTGCCAGCAGCGCGACCAGTCAACTTCGAAAGGGTCTGTTGAGGTCCTGTTAGCACTTCACGGGTCGCACGCGGCACTTGAACACTGACCCTGGCGGCGTATAGCTCGTTGTCCTTTTCAGGATAACTGTGGGACTACAAACAAACAATGGGAGACCTTGCGCAACTCATCCAAACTCATGATCGATCTCACATCGCACCCGTGATCCACACGCTTACCCGCGCAACCTGAACCAGATCAACAGCAGGGACAATTCCAGCCTCTGGGTCGACCACTCAGGGTTTGCTCGCGCGTCCTCAAACGCCGATTGCGCCAACACGACTGAGTTGTCTGAACATCTTCATCTTGCCAGCCTTGCACTGCACCGTCTTCGCGAAGCGCGGCCTCTTCCCCTGCCGATCTCATTATCGAAAAGTGGAGAGAGGTTCGGCGCTCGAGTCAGCCACTCCACATCTGCGTCATCATCAGGAAGCGAGCTGTAAACTGAATAGTGTATGCTGCATTCGACATCCTGGAAATAGCCAAGCTGCTCTGTCTTAACGTGAGGATTGGTTGCGACTCAGGCACCGCTCGGCCTCGGTGCTGTTTCGTGTGGCATGTTCAGGTTGGAGATGACAGGTAGAAAACGAAGGGATATGTTGGCTTCGGTCACACGCAGGTGTTTTCGCTGGCAAGTTCTCTGTTTTGCGACAGATGGGTGTACATGGTTGGCCAGGCGTACAGCCGCTTATGTACTTGAGGGCGCCTCGCTGAGAAGTCGTCTTTTGCTAGTCGTGGTGTGATTCGCCTGAGCTAGAGGGAAATACGATCTCTATCGTGCGTCGTGCAGAGGCCGCGGGTGCAACAAAGTCGAGGGAGATGAATTGCTCTCGTACTACCACAGCCGTTCGTATACGTCGCAAAGCTAATATACATGCAACGGACACCTGCTTCCTTATCGCTGCAGGTTCGCTGGTCGCCTGCAGCAATACCACCCTCACATGAAGTTTTCCCGTCCTATACGCTTCCTTGTCAGTCAATACGCTCATCGTGGCGCGTGCAGCTTGTGATCAGCGCTCAAAAATAGGCTTCCACTCATGCAGCCGCGACTCGGACAACAAAACCACCGCGCCCCCGTCACCCAGCCTTGCTCCTTGCTGCCGGGCGTCTGATCTCCCAGCCTTCACACTCGCTCTTCTCTCCTATTCCCTAGGTCACGTTGTGGCCGTTCACTCGCTCAAGAGGTACCCGACTTCCATTGCAGTACTTCGGTACCGCAGCGTTCACGGTTCGCACTACGACAGAACAGGGCGTTCCTCCGCACGACTGTTTGCAGGCTGCTGTGCTCCAGTGCTACCCTAAGGACCATTGCCCGGAGTGCCGAGGATCTTCCTGGCACGTCATGACCCTTTGGGTCGCAACTCCTTCGCCGAGTATTGACAACTACAACACCTTCAGCGCGAATTCTTGTTTTCGAACAAGCCGTCCGGCACTTGTGCACTGTTTTTAACGCGTGTCCGGTTGCTCCCTCAAATTTGGTCGCGCCGGCAGTGGCGGATTCTAGTGCAGACTTTCATTTACAAGGTTAGTCCCTCTTGGCTGCAGGTTGATCGACGCCGGAGCCCCAGGTTCCTTTCTCAACAGCTGCTTGCGCAGCTTCTTCCCGCTTTTCAATTGCTCTCTGCTTGTTTCTTTGCCGGGCAATTCAGTCAAATGCAGCGATGCTGACTATCGCCTGAGCGAACAGGTCCTGTTTCAGCCGTGGTACTCCCCAAGCCGTTGTCGCTTTAACAATCGCCCTGTGCCATATCACCAAACTATTACACAGCATCGATCGTTGTTCCACCCCGCTTGTCCGCAGTTAAGGATACATCGATCTCCATCAACGTTCAACGACAATTGTTCACGACACCGGAGGCGTTCAGTCGCTACTTTCGGTTTTTTGTCGTATTGAAGTGTTTCGCCACAAACATTCCTTCATTGTTCGCCGTATTATCCATCACGAGGTAACCCACAACCATTGAACAGCACTTCCAGCCTTCTTCGACTATCCAGTCGGAACTTGGCATCGCCACCGAGGACAATGTTTGCCAACATGATTGCTGCGGTCGTTGTTGTGTTGTTCAGCGTGCTGGCAGCAGCACAAGATACTGGGTTTACACAGTCATACTGTTCAACGCAAAATACAGGAACAGGTGATGCCTGTGAGTATGCATTGCTATCCTGGAAGAATCTTGCTGACTGAATCATGTCAGTCTTTTGGACATGGCAAACCAATGGCAAATGTTCAGACTACTGCAACGCCGCGGGCACGTACGCTTTCGCTGTCATCCAAGAGAACGATTGCTGGTGCTCGAATTACATCCCTTCGAGCACAACTGATATCTCCCGCTGCCAGAAGGATTGCCCCGGCTATCCGACTGAGAAGTGTGGTGACGTTAATGCGGGCGTATACATCTACATCCAACTCGCTGGACGGCCTTCTGGTACCGCTGGAGGAGGAGGCTCGCGACCAACTTCCAGAGAAGTGAGTAGTGCGACTCCCGTGCCTTCTTCGACGGCCCCCCCGTCGTCATCATCTGCTGCAACTGTTAGTACTCCATGTTTCGTTTTCTTGCAAGCATTTGTGATTATGTTCACCTTCACTCCCTCCTTTATCTCGCTTTGATCTTTTTTGGATTTCTACTTTTGTGGCATGACTTCTCAACTGAAGTCATGTCTTCTGTTGTGGACCGCATTTGACATGTAGGCAGCCCCCTCCGGCTCCGCCAAGTACAAGTCGTGGTCGACCTTCCACACGCACTGCTGCGGGAGACTCGTCGACCGCGACTTCTGCAACACCTGTATTAAGCCCCGTTTCCTTAGTTGTGATGCGCGTGCAGCCAGCACTTACTAACACTGCTCTCAGTCCTCCTCACCCACCAGCACACCGTCTTCCACCTTTGAGACAGCAGTCACCTCCTCTGCCACCGCAATGTCTACGAGCGTCCAGGTCATTACCGAAAGTGGCGCTATCGTCACCCGAACTGTCATTTATCGACCCACAGAGGCTGCATCGCAGTCCGAGACCTCCAAAAGTAGCTCTAACAACACCGGTGCTATAGTCGGGGGCGTTGTAGGAGGCGTCGCTGCCATCGCGGCTATTGTGGGTGGTATCCTCTTTGTCCTATGGCGAAGGAAAAAGCAACAGCGTGCGGACCAGGAACAGCAAGCGGGCATCACTCGGAACACAAGCACAATGAGCAAGGCCGGACTGCTTGGAGGACGAAGTGTTGCGACCGATCCCCAGCGCCCACCGCCGATCGCTACAAATTTCAGCAATGCCGGCAGCCGGCACGAAACCGAATCGATCAGTCCAATTTCTGGATCGCAGCGCAGATACAGTCAGCCGATGATGATCGACTCCCGACTCAACCCAGAGACAGTGTTGATGTACCACCCCACGTTCGGAAATAGCAGCCGTGAGAGCTTAGGCAGCATTGACGACAGCCGCGATTACGGGCGGCAACTTAATGTAAGCAGCACCGCGGTGTCACTCCTATCTTAATACTGACTTTTACAGGTGAGAAATCCTGATGTGCGCTGAGTGATCGAACCATCGACACTGCAGTTGGTCCCGAATCCAAAATAATGTCGACTCTACGTTCATTTGCGGCATGTACATGACCATCCGTTCCAGCACTAGGCGTTGGGCGAACTACCTTGTTATCATCTTGGACATTTAATTTCGACACCACTATTCATTACTAATGGCGTCACCTTGTAAATAGAATACACTTGTCGCTTCGAAGCGTTATCACGTTGCTACGTACATACGAAGGACAGCCTCATCCGGCCACGAGATCCGGATTGGAATACACATAGCCGCTGCCGGAGCCGAGTCGCGGTGAGCCGGGCGGCATGAGCGAGACAGACGGACACTTCAATATTGGTGTCACGGTGGGAGAAGATCGCAGAGCTGAAAGGCCGCGCGGCCCCCTCCACAGAATCAATTAAATCATACACACCTGCTCTTTCCGACTAGCGATGTCGTTGTATATAAAGTGCTGGCGTTGTGGCGCTACCATGACGCTTACACCGGCCCCAAACTGCGCAGCTCACCTCTGCGAATCGCATACTACGCTCCAATAATTAGCAGTTCTTTCGAGGCTGCACAGTTGACAGTCTATCGTGCAGTAGCTTGCCAACTGCCAATAGCAGCTAGTTCATGATTGGTAAACAATTTTTGTATTCGCTGGACTAACTAAGTGACTCTCGGCTATCGGTTCCCGCCCCATGCAGATCATGCTGCCTTGCATGCTTGTGCTGAGCCGTGTGGTCAATTGATCGGTGGACTGCAGCATTAGCTGCCTGGGCATGAGGAAACAAAGAAAGAAAATGCAGAGCAGAGTAATCGCGCCAAGTTTCCGGTCCCATGCCCAGGCATTTCAGCCTATCGACCAAGTCCGTTACCATCCCACCCCAAATGGCTGATGCCGTGTGTGTATGAAATTGCTCTCAGGGGTCGCTATATGGCTTCCTCCTTGGGCCAGAAACTCAAAGGTGTTCTTGCTTGACTCTCTTACCCAGACGGCCACCTACAGGAGGCTCATGCTTCGTGCGTTTAGCCACCCTATCATGGATAGCCGCGAAATCGTCCTCCTCTTTGACATCAATATCATCGACCTGCATGTCCTGTGCCTTCTCGTCTGAGCTGACGCGAGCAGGCAGTAATGCTACCAGTTGGTCAATTCTGGCCTGTAGCTCTGGAATGCGCTCCTGTACGTCGGCGCGAATGGCTTCCCCGTCAGCCCTAAGCTGGTAACGAATCGGACCTTGGGCTCGGATCTTGTCATTGAACTCATCAAACAGCTTTTCGATATGTCCAAAATGCTTGTCCAGTATGTGCCGTATGTCCTTATCCAACCTTGACTGGAAGTGGTTGATAACTCGGTCGACAAAGTGGTCGCCTGGCTGGAGGAAAAGTTCGTTCAGCCTGTTCATCTGGAACTTCAGCTTGGGTGTGACGTATTGCTTCGACTGCTTTTTGGCATTTGGATTGATCGGCTTCAAAGCTGGCGCAGTATTGAACACTTCAATGTAGATGCTATCAGTCACTTCTGATATCAGACTGTTCTGTCTGTCGTAGTCCATGATTGCCCAATCGAAAGTTTTGGACTGAATCAAGTTAACCTCGTCCATGAGCGACTCAAGCTTCACCAGCATTTTGGTTCTCAGCGGCGCCCATTTCAGCTTTGCTTTCTCCACGGTGGGAACATTCGCCTCAGAGGCGTTCATCACACGGATGATCTTGTGGTAAAATTTATCGAAGGCGTATGCCAGGGAAGGTAACATATTCCGCATGCGTTCTTGATGCTCCTTGATCCATTTTTGAAAGGCAGGTGCCAGTATGACTGCCAGGTCCCTGTTCCAGTCTGCACCTTGCTCGAGCCCTCGAGCTTTAGATAAGCCCTTTGGCACCAGGCCTCGGTTCTTGAGGATGCGGTTGAATGCTGGAGCCTTGAGACCGGACCAGTCTAGAAGGAGATCCTGAACGTGCTCTTTGTAATTCAGTGACTCTAGAGTCAGCGTAGCAATCTTCGCCTGCGAAAAGATTTGGAACTTGGCCTTCACACCCGACAGTGTTTTCGTCATGAATGGCTTTCGTACCGCACTAAAGTCTTCGGAGATGCTCGTGAAACCTCCATCACGATCAGTCACAGTAACGGTGCGTTCAATCCTGTCCAGAAATGCGGGAAGGATGTTGTATATATGGTCTTCGTAATCCTTCAGGTTTTGCTCTGCAGGGAGAGTGTATAGAAATTGCCGAATGGCGGGAATACCTGTCATCTCCACTGGGAGAGATGGCTGGTCTTTGAAGTTGATCCGATCGGGCTTAATCCACTCCATATATTCCGACGCAGACGTGTGGAACACCTGTGGGAGTTCCTTGGTGGTACGGCCTTGCAATTTCGCGGCAAAGTCGTTGGTGATGCCCTTCACGCGGCTCGTAACCTTTGCTTGCAATGTTGCTCGGACCAAGTATGATATGTACTTTGATATCATGTCTTTCTTTATCAGACTTTCGAGATCATCTGCATTTTCAAGAAGAGACTCTTCCTTATCAGCAATTTCCTTGAATCGCTTGATCTCATCGTAGATGCCCCCTTTGTACTGGGATAGTTGGTTCTTATTGATGGCCTGCATGTCATTTAGAAAGGGATTTAAGAGTCTCAGAGCTCTATAGCACTCACGTCAATCTTTGTGGCCACGATCTTGACCTTTGATGCGCCGTGGTGTGCAACGGCTGCGCGTATCGAGTTGATAAGCTTGTCTTCAGTAGTGATTCGGATGGTATCCGTCAGGATTATCACGGCGTCTACGTTGTGACTGATCTCTTCGGCGTGGCGTGCTCGAGACAGATTCAAGTCGCCCCAACCTGGTGAAAAGTTAATGCGGAAAATCAGATAGATGTGTGGGACCATTCATACCAGGAAGATCAATGATCTCCAATCCGGCTGACAGAAGATCGTTATTGAAGTTGACTGTGATGTTGTCGACTAAAGGCCACAGACAATTGACATCCGGAATTTTGGTTAAGAATGGCTTGAGCTGCTCAACAAGTGCGTGCTGATTTTCAGCGCTCTTGACGACTACTCTCTGTCTATCCGCGCCTTCATTCTGTAAAGCTTCCTCGCACTTCAGCTTACAGATGCGAACGAATTCCTTGTTGAGGTATGCTTCTCTGCTCCAGTGCTCAAGGAACGCATTTTTGGAGCCGAATAAAGTGGTGAACACATCTAAAGCTGTGTCACTGAGGCGGACATCCATCTCGTCATCTTTGCCACTCCCATCCTTCTTGGCATCCTCGTCATCCGAATCATCGTCTGCGTGCATGCGCTGGTAGTACGAGCGTGCATGTTCTTCGAGGAGAGTCCTACACTTTTCGGCATCGAGGAATTTGATCTCCGCGAAGTACCGATTGCCACCACCTCCTCCTGAGCGATAGCCGACATATCGCGTTATGGAGCTTGTGCATGCAGCACCATCAGCTCCCGTAAGCGACAGACCATCACAGTCGAAAATGGCATTCGTGCCTAGGCTCTTGCCTGCGCCTTGCGCACCAAGAAGGGCTACTTTGACTGCAGGACTGCGTAGGACGTTGGCGAGTTTGTCGGCGTTACGAATAAGATGTTAAAGTTCTTTGTCATCATCCGGAGACCCCTTCAGAAGATCAACGACTGCCTGTGCAAACTCCTTGAGCAGCTCATCGATCCGGGCCTGTTCGACCTGGTACCAAGGATGATCAGGCCTTCTCTCGACGCTAGGATCGTATCTCGAGAGATTCTTCTGTGTTTTCAGGTACGCAGGAAATTCTTCAATGCTGAGAACATCTGCAACCATGTCGTTGGTCGCCATGAGATGACTGCTCGAAGTTAGCTCCATGAGTGTTTTGAGCATGGTATGGTCTTGATCGTACTTATGTGCAATGCGGCTTTGACTGGTGCAGATAGCGGAATGCGGTGGTGTGAAACAGCCTTTGATGACTGGGAGTGTGATGGCAGAGTCGAGAGTGGATGAGGGATGGAGGTTGGTAGGTAATGGTGTACATAGAACAGCCCCACCAGAGGTATCCGTCCTGCATCGAAGGTGAGAGAAGTCGAGTAGATCAAGTGAGAGAGACGTGAGCGTCTTATGTGGAGCTTAAGGTGATACTCGCGGTTCTAGTTCTTGTGTACTTGCAGGTAAATCTATTCGTCTTGGTATTCCGACGTAGAGATGTGGGGAGTTAAATGCCGTGTTACAAGATATCTAAGATATACTGGAACTACCTCTTCAAGATCGGACATCTAGCAATTATGTTTCCTTACGCATGCGCATTCGGTTAGAATGTAAGAATAAGGTCGCCGAGGTCGCTGTTGGAATCATTATATGCAGCCAGCAAATTCATAAGCATGTCCAAGTTGTGTTCTTCCTGAGAGGTTATAACAATATCAATTGGTTCGGCAACGCACATCCAACTTCTTTCGGAGCGCAGGATCGTGACAACGCATGTCCAAGCTCATGGCTCGGGAGATACGCAGTGTCGAGCTGAAAACATCTGCCACCAGGACTGATGATTGCTTCGTTCCTACTCAGCAGCAGGCCAAGTTTGGTTCAAAGCGCGGGATGGGAGGTGCGAGAATGCAGTTGAATTAGCGACGGGCAGCAAAAATATTACAACACCTACGTCAAAGGGATTATATACAAAGTCGATCTTGGGGCGTATCGAGACGTAGCTCAAATCGTGGTACTAATCGAGCACACAACCTCGCAACCTTTTGGGCCCTATGTGGGTACCCCACAAAACCGCTACATGAAAAATTGGAAGATTGTCTCATCGAGCCGGTGGAAAACTTTAGTGTGGGCTTTAGCATATGATTGCAGCTTATGTTGAAAGAGCTGGGCTTTCAGATGATCTTGCGTCGTCGTGCTCGATGCGACTGCGTGGCAAGCACCAAGTTTCATGCTCTAATCGCGACTTATCAGTAGTAGTTCCGGAGATCGAGGTCATGAAAGAACAGAGAAGATTATGGTAGCGATAGCGGAGCTTCGACCGCGACGCGTTCGCGACAGCACTATCCTGGCCTGGAAGCACTAGCCTTCTCCACCATTCCACTTAGTGGGAGCTCATCACGAACTACTCACGTACCACCCGCTGCCCCTGATATTGACCCACACACAATCTCGGAGTTTATTTGTTGTGTTTTCGTGAAACTCGACGCGAGCTGCGGCTGATCTGACGTTATGTAGCCGCAGCCCCTGGTGCCACAGTTCCGTCGTCACCAATGAGAAGTCATGGGACCACTGCCTTCATCGGGAGCTTCAACTCAACGTCTCTTGATGGATCCATCGAGCGTTAAGCTAGGCGATTCCGATGGGTTGTGGCTACCTGCAGTTGCCGTTTGGCCCGGGGCTGAAGGTCGGAAAGTCAAATCGAATTTCATTTCCATTGTGGGCGCCACTGGAAGGAGTATTGAAGACCTCAAAAAGCGCGGTCTGCTTCCACTGTTGCATTCCCTGCGTTCTCTCTACTTGCCTCATTGACCCGTCTGACAACAGTTGATCAATGTCCGGTTTGGAATACTGCACACTCGAACTGTTTATACGCTATGAGCTCGACTTACTCACCTGCTCCGAGTGAGTGCGGCTCGGTGGGAGTAGCTATCAGCAGCTGTACCTGCTCGAAACGCAGCGAACACGAAGTTGGCGAATGCTTGAAGATCAATGCTGTCAAGTATGGGCAGGTTGATTACATCGCACCTCTCACGCCACAGCCTTCACCTACTCGGCGGCGGCCCGAAGAAGCTATCCTAATGGACGACCTTCGGAGAGCACGTGAGGAGATGCGAGGCCTGCGCGAGGATTTACAGAAGATGAAAGACGAGCGAGATAAATGGAAGAACCGAAATTACGGAATGCCAATAGAATGCTATGAGGTCATCAAGCACTACGGTTTGGAGTCTGGTGAGTGGAGGATCCGATATTATCCTAGAAATGTCACTAACAACGAAGATCTGAGCCTTACAACACTACAACATCTGGACGCCCCTGCAGCAGTGAAACGCCTTGAAGCGCATGAGCAACATATGGAGCATCTTTTTTCCAAAAACTCGTGCGACCTTGCTGCAACTGTGCAGACGATTGTTCTTGAGATACAGTTCGTCAAGACAAACATGGGTGGTGATACATTGCGCTGGAGACTGTACTCGGCGCTGAAACTCATGTTGCACATCTCTAAAGGTCTACAGAAGTCTCTCCGACAGCAGTCTGAAGATGATAGCATCGATCTGGTACCCTCAAAGTTGGTATTCGACGACTATCTCAAATCGACTCTGAAGTCCGCAGACGTACAACTACTATCTACACTGAACGAGATTCGAGAGCGAAGTATGGATGACTATTACTTAGCATTTCGCGAGCGCTTTGCTCCCGAGTACGACCTCATTCACAACGGCTGTGCTTTGGAGTTTTATGAGAAGACGAAGGCGCTGATGGTTCATATGTATTCTCTGCGTAGAACGCAAACCATTCCTCAAGCAAGGGAGTGCGAGGTGGTTTCAAGAGGCAATGAAGAAGAAGAAAAGGAAGAGGTCGTTGCCATAACCTGGATTTAATGTGGTCACCGAGCAGAAACGGTGGTCTGGCGGTTTTCTGAACACCAACGGTTATGATTAATAGTAATGGAATGCTAGTTGGGAGACGGACAAGTCGAACGCTCTGGTAACACAAGTCAGCGAACAAAGAAACACAATGCGTGATGTTGTTGTTCGAAATGGGCAGAGTGGCGTTGAACTCCGCAAGCCAACTCCGCAGGGGGTGCGGAACACCGCACTCAACTTCTGGATCAGATAAAAGACATGACGCGTCGCCAATACGCAATGTCCACGCATAAACCTTTGTCCATTAGGCAACTACGATTCTCACGCCTATATATTGTTCCTGGCAACCTTGGAGGCCATCAAAGGCCAAATCGCACGATCTCGCGCACAAACAATGACGAGCAATCCTATAGGTATGGTACATGTTCATGTTAAAGGTTTACATCTGACCAGTCGCAGAAATCCCATCAGCTGTCGCAGATGCTTTTGACTCCTTCACTCTTGATAGCTCTCTGATAGCTTTGATCTTGACTCTCGACGGAAACACGCTTCATGCCCATCCGAGTATTCGCAGCAAGGGTCCAGAAAGCCCCTTCCAGAGTAATCTCAGCCTGCTGGATGATGTACTTGATTCCAAGACATCTCTCTACATTCTTCTTCGCCGCGGCAGCTCTATTTATGCAATTACATTTGTGCCGTACCGAGCACCTGAGGATGAACGCGAGAAGTACCTCCGCTACAGACATGACTTGGTGCAATTGTTAGGAGGGGAGCATTTTGAGATGAGCTTGATTTGCAAAGAAATCGGGGAGATAACAGATGCACGATCCTGGGTTGAAAGAGATGCACACAGGCAAGGAAACAGACCAGAGAAATGCACAGATGCGTGCGAAGATGCGCACGACCAAAGTTTCGATCCGAAGGATGCAGGCTACAAAAAGAACGAATGCCGCCTCTGCGACCGCAGAATGAAGAATAAGATTACAGATGAAGTTCTTGGAGCACTCGGGAAGCTTGAAAACGAGGGAGACTGTGTGCAGATTGTAAGTCTGCTTCTTCTTTAGGAAACGTACTTACATCTAATCATAATTCAGTCCCTGGACGCAGATCTGTCCCTCGCTCTTGACCTGCAGACTTCGTCTCTGCCGCCTGAACAAGTATCCTCACATCTCCCAACGGCGCATCCCACCTTCACGTTCTACCGTCATCCCAACAAACTTCTCTACTTCGTCTTTCATTCACCCGATTCCGCAACCGTACAGCAGCGCATGAAACATACAATGGCTATTCCCGGTCTAGTCAATGTTCATGCTGGAGATTGCGGCGTACACGTTGATCAGAAGATCGAGATTCACGAACCAGAAGATCTGGTGTTCGAACAAGGAGACGATAAAGTAGGAAAGTTCAGAAGCATGTACCTGAGAGGCGGATGGCAAGGTACTGAGAGTCAGTACGAGGGACTGGATAGGGATAAGAAGTTCTACGACGCAGTGAAGTGAAAGAGATGGCTCGTTTATGCTAATATAATAGGTGTGAACGAAAGAACTTTACGCGTCAGAGTACCATAATTTGTAGACATTGCGAGTAGAAAGGTTGCGAACCGTCAGTGTGGCATGACCTAACTATTTTAGGCTAGCACAGCCACCACAACACTGCACCCTTCGTTTGTGCCTTGTGATGTCAGCACCACAAACGGCATATCTTAGAATCTAAAACGAACAGCTAGGCAACTACAGTCTGTGCGCCTTGTACACCTAGCATGCAAAGACCTTTGTTGCCTTTCTGCCCCTGCACCCGCCTTCTACATCACCTTCGAAGGGTTCCTACATCTTCCCTTCATACTTTTCATCACGGTCAACGGCTTCCATCCTTTTCTCGCTCAACTCATTTACTACGCACATTGCCCCCCAGAAAAAACATGACGACCATCAGCCAGTACAAGCACTACACCTTCAGCACACCTGTCGAAGTACATCTGCCCAAAAGTCTTACGCAGGAAGAGTTCGAAAGTCTCTTGACATCACAGTCAAACCCTGAAGCGGCGTTTACATTTCCAGCTCTCGATAACTGGCTTTCGAATCTGCTGCATAATTTCAGCCTCCAGCAGAATGAAGCTCACCCATTTCACAAGCACCCTTACAAGCTACGGACGCTGGAGGTCCAGGCTGTAGACTGGTTCTGGCGAAATCTACCAGGCAAGCAAGATAAGTTGGGGTTCATGAAAATTCAGTCCAGAATTGAGACAGATCCCTACATACACGATGGAGAAGAGAAAGCGAGAATAGACTGGATTCCTGGAGCAGTTTTCCTAAGAGGAGGGAGTGTTGCGGTACTCGTGAGTGTTCTTCTCAGTCACTCCGCGAACGAAGAACAACATGTTAATCAAGTCAAATATAGATCATCGTACAGCCCGAAGACGCACAAGGAGACGATGATAAACATGTCATTCTCACAGTGCAGCCGCGCATAGCAGCAGGCTCGTTAGCGTTCACCGAGATACCGGCAGGTATGCTGGATGGTGGCTCGCTCAAAGGCGCAGCAGCCAACGAGATCGAAGAGGAGGCAAAACTCAAAGTCAGGGAAAGCGATCTTGTCAATCTGTCAGAGCTCGCGCTGGAAGGTGTACCTGTGACGCCCTGGACAAGCCAAGCGAATACAGCTGCCAATGGATCTGAGAAAGTTGAAAATTCGATGTACCCCAGCGTCGGTGCTTGTGACGAGTTTATACCAATCTTCCTTTGCCAAAAGCGGCTGACTCGACGCCACATGAACTGGCTACAAGGCAAGGCAACAGGCCTGCGCGACGAGGGCGAAAAGATCACGCTCAAACTTGTTCCACTGAACAAAGCCTGGAGGGAGGCTGGCCGTGATGCAAAGGCGCTCGCGGCGATTGCCTTGTACGAGAATCTCAAAAGAGAGGGACAGATACCTGAAGCGCCTCGCGAGGCTGAGGTTGAGCCGACAGATTTAGATTAGGCAATGCAAGGGTTGGAGGCAGTCAGACGATCCAGTCCCAGTACCGGTAGCATGAGGCGTTGCCAAGGCTCAAGGCACCTTCCAAGGCAGGCATCTTAATCTAAGACAACCTCCATTCGTCCTTCACAGTCTGAAATCTATCTCCATTTACTGCTCTCTTTCCTCCCTATGTTGTAGTATGTCAAATATTGACACGACTCACTCCGTCCTCCCTACAGGGGCCGGTGACTTCGATCGTCTGACAGCGGATTGTCAGAACCCTGAAGAAATTGTGCGTAAGATACTCTCATGGCCTTGTTCAAGTTGTTGTAACCTTGATGCACGAAAAATTGCATTCGGTCCAGCGCTGCCCGGTTACGATTGGGCCCAGATTGAGTATGTCGTTGCAACCAACACGCCGAGCACAAAGCTTTCAGTCAAACGTGAAAATCTACTAGACCGTGCAGATGGTGGATGCATGTACTGCAATCTACTCTGCAAAGCACTCAGCACAATCCGCCCTGCTTGGGAAACGGAGAAGTCGTTCGTCGAACTCTTCCTATCGCCCAATCTTCCGGTCATCGTTAGATGGAACAGTGGAGTTACTTCTGCTGGACAGAATACGTACGTGACAGCCGTTGGACCCCAACACGAACCCGAGAGATTCGGGTACGAAATAGAAGTCAAGTTTGTTGAGGGCACACGCGACTTCGAGGTACCTGTGGAGCTTGAAATCTACAGGCCGGGGGTTACGGAGTTGTCAAAAAACGAAAATGGTAGGTTCTTATTCTGTGCTTTATGGAGGAAAACCATTATTCTGATTGCTTCTTATAGGCTTATCTGACACGCTACTGAGCCCTCTCATAAACCATATAGGCACTGCTCCCGAAGAAGCGTGGCACGCAGAAAGTGACGTGAGCATTGACTTCATATCAAACCATATCACAACATGTCTTCAGAACCACAGTTGCGGAGACAACACAACCCCTCGGCTACCCGATCGTGTACTCTGGACTGACCCAGGAAGCAGTGGACAAGTGCGATTGATCGAGTCCAACGGGGCTCACGCACGTTATATCGCACTGAGCTATTGCTGGGGTCCGAAACAGCAGGACACGTTTCTCACAGATGCAAAAACCTTCGCGGATCGAAAGGCTGGCTTCAGGGCGTCTGATCTACCGCCCCTTTTTACTGATGTCCTCACATGTGCTCGCGCGCTAGGAATCGACTATATCTGGATCGATCGACTGTGCATCATACAAGGAGATGCTAGCGACTGGTCCGCCCAAGCGCCTAAGATGGGGCAATACTATGGCAATGCTACACTGAGCCTTGTCGCGGCATCTGCAGAATCAGAGATGGATAGCATCTTAGTAGAGAGAGATCCGAAATGGAGAAGCTATGGTCTCAACATCAAGCCCCAGTGGGCACCTGACCACTCACTTGGTCTTCGCTTTCGTCGAAGACCCTATCTGTTGGGTTGGGAAGCAGAAGGAGGGAAGTATGGCAAAGTCTCCAAAAGGGCGTGGATCTGGCAAGAGCGTTTGCTTGCTGCACGCACCGTATTCTTTACGCCATCTGCGCTGAAGTTTGAATGCCGCAATCATTCAGTCTGGGAAGGATACGGTGCATCTGTTACAAGCCCTTCTTGGACGGCTCGAGTGGAGAAGATGACCCATCTGGACTGGTTCACCCTAGTGCAAGAGTTCTCCCAGAGAGATATCACATACTCCCTCGACCGGTTGCCTGCCATCAACTCCGTAACAGAACGAATTGCCAACATCCATGGGTGGATTCCAATCTGGGGCCTGTGGAGAGACTTTCTCGACAAGAGTCTAGCCTGGACGGCACAAGATGTGCTCCGTTCAGGAGAAGATGCCGCAGATGAGACCCCCAAGCATCCCTGCAGTATGCACCCCAAATACACTGCTCCAAGCTGGAGTTGGGCTAGCATCGAAGGCCCAGTCACTTTCACCAATTGCTTGCCAAAGAGAGGGAGTTTGGGAGCAGATAAGATCAAATTAGATATCAGCGACGTAGACTCGGCGAGCGGCGTGTTAACCATCGAGGCCTATGCATTTACAACGACTATCAGTTGCTCTATCGGGAAATCTCGTTTTACTTGGGGCAACGCATATATCTACAAGTGTCCAAGATTCTGGCAACCTCGGCAAGGCTCAGAAGAAACGGCGTTCTTGAAGTCAGACGTGACAATCTCTGCTGATGTCCCTTTGCGGCCGATCCAACAGAATTCTGCATCAGTAAAAGATGCAGTGCTTGTCGAGCGAGTACCTTTTGGGCAAGAACCGCCGAAAGAATCCTGGACAGGTAGATGTCTAGCCGTCCTGGTAGGGCATACGCGACTGACGGCAAACATACTCTTACTTGGCAGTTCTTCGAGGGTGCCTGGTGCCTGGGAGCGAATTGGTCTTGCTGGTGGTCGGTCCTTGGGATCATTTGTAGGAACAACCAAGTCTTCGATCAGGATCGCTTGATCCTGCACGGCCCGGTATTTGTCCAGCTTCATTTATTCTCGAGCCATAATCGTGGTCAAAACATGACCATTTACTGAAACGTGATTGTGCCGTGAGCTCTTTGGGAAGCTACACAATGTATGCATTCATCTCCCAATCATCGATAAACATTATCTACAGTACAATAACGCCAGTTCCCGTGGTATCTTCGTGTCACCTATGCGCCGTATCCCACAGCGCTAAACAAGCAAAGACTCAAGCACGTAATGCAATCAGGAGGACGATACAGAGTCCTCAGCGGCTGGTGAGAGTGCTGCGGCTCCAGCAGCGTGCAACGATTTGATGGCGTTATCAACCTCGTCGCCAGCCATACGCTGCCACTTCTCCCTAGTCTCCTGGTCTGCCAAGGCAGTAGCACCAGCATCTCCAACCTTGTCGTATAGCAAGCGTGAAATGTCACGATTGATATCAGTATATTCCTCCTTGGTGACTTCTTTCTTTAAGTATAACGGCTTCAAGACTGCAGTAACCATGCGTTGTAGTTCAGCCTTCGTAGAATACGAGAGCGATGGGGCCCGCGAAGGTGAAGAGTCCTTCGACCGGGGCGGGCTGCTGAGGCCGGCAGCGTGGTGTGTCAGTGTCCGCCGCCCGATTCGTTCATCGTCGGCCGGCGAGTATGGAGAGTATGTGGGCGATCCCTGGTCCTGTTCAACAGGAGACTTTGGGCGTGTTAGGTTGAGAGGCGGTGGTGTAGTCATACCAGCACGAGGTTGCTGGTAGACCGGGGATAGGCCCGGGGACGAGTGCTGGGGTGAGCAAGCGCGCTCCACAATGATGCGCTTGGGCTGTGGGGCGGCGATCTCTTTGTCGCGTTCGGCAAAGCGGTCGACTTCGACCTCCTGTAATAACGATGCAAGAAAGCCAGGGGCATTCGATGATTCGCCGGCAGACGGCGACATGGCCGGGTCCGGGCCATCTTCATGGGGGATAGTCCGGCGACGAGCCGCCGAGGCGGACGATTCTCCCCTTCCATTGTCGATGTGTAGACGAGTTCGTGGACGCTTCAACTTGCGCTCAGGCTCTTGCTCAACAGGCTCAGCACCAGCAGGAGACGAATCGGCAGACTTCCGCTTGCGTCCTCGTCGACTGCTTGTAGTACTCTCAGGTGGCGCAGGTGCATCACTAATCTGCACGAGCTGACTCCGTGCTTTCTCGAACTGATTCCAGGCACTGATCTCTTCTTGTGATTCTGGGTTTCGAGGCGTCTTCGGTGGCTCGCGGTGAAGTGCTCGGTTGGTTGGTCGTGAGGAGCGGTTTGAGCCGCGGCGTCGCGAGTGAATGTTGTCGGCAGCAGCGCGGAATCGAGTTCCGGCACCCATCTGACGAGCGAGCTCAAAGCGTCGCTCCCATTCGTGTGCTTCGCGTCTGAGAACCTCGGACTGATTCTCAGACTGATCATCATCCTCGAAGGGAAAGTCAATGTCCCATTGTAGTCGGTTCCAGACGCTCTGCCACACCCCAACCCATTCGTCAGGAGCTCGATTGTGTCTGGGAACACGGCTGCGTCCGTTGATCCACGCAGCAGGACCTCGAGGGTTCGTACGCCGGCGAGTTGCAGCCTCAAGAAGCGCTGGGTTCTCCATGCATCCCTGACAGTACCAAGCGCCGCGAGTGGGCATGTCGTCGAGACCCGCACAGAAGACGTGACAGAGTTGTTCACAGCTGTGACAGAACATGAGCTGTGATGCGTCACCAAACTCATCACAGATCATGCATGCGTCGTAACTACCGTCATCCTCGAGCGCGTAGTCCTCGTCGACGATCATGGCGGGGTCAATATCGGCGATCTGCTGCTTATCCTTGACAGCATACTCAGATAGCTTAGGGCCTGGAGCACAGTTAGTTGTGTTTCATGATAGACGCAGGACGCTGCAACTGAATCGGTCGCGGACGGTTGGGTCGAGTTCGACTGACCATTTAGCCAGTAGCTAGGTGGCCGCTAGGCAGCCACCGAAGTTTGCGGCTCGCCAGTTCGTAAAATCGCAAAATGACATACCTCCTACTCGTGCGCTGAGCTCGACCATGTTGAAGCTGGCTCGACATATTGGACAGCTATTAGCTCTCTCGACCCAAGGTTTCAGACATTCGTTGTGTAAATTGTGGCCGCATGGAAGCAGGTGTGCAACCATTTCGTCCTCAGCTGGTTGTTCTGAAGCTGTCGTGGTGGTCGTATCAGGGTTACCGGGATTGGCATCAGCCCCATCCGGAAGCGAGTTGCTCGTTGATTGCAGCTCAGTGGCGGGTGGTCCGTCATCTGGGTGGACGAGATCGCCGAGGCAGACTATACAAGTCTCGGCCATTGTTTTGTAAATTAGAAGAAGCGAAAGAAAGGAAAGAGTGTCTGACGCGATTCATAAGTTGGAGATGGGGAAGGTCGAGAGACGGAGGGGCGGGCTTAAGTAGTTCGCCTAGCGCCTTCTTGGCCCATGCGCCTGACATGGGTTCTTTGGATGACCTTCCCACCCTGCATCAGCCACACACCGCAGGCAGTAGCGCAACCCTGCGAAACCCGTGATCTGGCATCGTGAGGCGGGTCGTTATTTAGGACGGGCGTACCTTCGTGTTGTATAGCGCTCTTAGCCTAAAGGGACTGTCCGCGGTGACGCAGCCCTTTGACCCGTATCAGGCGCCGAACTTGAGGCTTACCTTACCACGTGTCACGGCACTCTAAATGGATGAGGCGTATGACTTGCCAAAATCACCGGGTGAATGCTTGGAATGCAAACATGTTTCAGCTTCGTTCGTTGCTTTCGTGTTCCGACACCTCCCTGCCAACGCTGCGACCGTGCCGATTTATCGATTGTCTTGGACCTTGCGCTCGTTTGGTAGTTCGTACAATGACTCTTGTGATCGAGATGGTACCCAAATCTTGCGCATTTGCAAGTTGGTCTAACTGCCACGGCAGCAAGTCGTGCGGTTCGCAATATTCTCGCCGTATGAGCCATATCGGGGGATATCCTCGGCTCGCAAGACACCGTTTGCCGGCATCTTTCGGAAGAACTGGAGTCAACGTTTGCTCCTCAAATCAACATCAATCATCATGCAAAGGCTATTGCTCGAATTGCCACAACTTCACGCGGGCGCAGGAGAGGCAGTGTGGCCAGAAGCTCGAGGCGTCTCGATACGGTTCGAAGCAAGGCCGATGGCGAAAACCATTGGTAGTCTCGATACGCATTCGTCGCGCACTCGCGGGTCTGAAGGCCTTTGGGCATTCATGCGGAAACGTATGGTCTTGTATTGCTACGTCTAAGTGCTTCGCGGCTGTGTAAGCGCCGGAGGGCCAGCGCTCGGCGCAAACGACTGGTTCCTGCTCGAGGAGGCAGTTGCTGCCTTGTTCGGGTGCTCGAGCGCGTCTGAGAAAGCCATCCGCTTCGACCTACGAGACCCTAGATCGTCAGCGACGCTCCAGGCGGCAGTGGGTTTGCGACCCCTCCAAGCGCGTCCCAAGGGTCTCCGGCTGCGTGATGTGGATAGCGGTTCGTCAACCACTATCATAGAAAAATTCAGTCGCGCAAATAATCGATCCTGTGCTGGCTAGCTACCCGTCTTTGTGGTGGGGGTGAGACAGCGTCTTGTTGTCGTGGTGCGCTCTGTCTTGCGGTGACCTTGGCAGCGCTAACCTCACTGGCGATAGCCTGGAATGACCAGCTTACTTCGAACTCTACGCGAGCAAACGATACGCTCGGCTTACCTTGTGAATACAGGCGCTGTTCATATCATCATACAGCTGCTTAGTCTCAGTATACATGCACCAGTGAATGCATCATGTGGCGTGACGGGGGCCTGCAGCGTACAGTGACCAGTCCAGGGCGCTTGGCCCTGCCTCGGTCCATGACTTCAGCGGCCTTGCCCACATGCAGAGCTTCGTCCGACATTCAAAGATTGCGAGTACGGAGCCATTTTGGCCACAACTATCCCACTTTGCCCATCAAACAACACCCAGTCGTGCAATTCTTTTTCTGAATTGCAGCTGTTCAACACAACATGGCTGCAACACAGAACAACCGCCAATATGAGCTCATCCTGCTCGGCGCTACCGGATACACTGGAAAATTGGTTGCAGAGTGGATCAGCATCTACCTGCCTGAGGACCTCAAGTGGGCAATTGCTGGACGCAACGCAAAGAAGCTTCAAGGTGTCATTGATGAGCTGAAGAAGGTCAATGCAAATCGCAAGCTGCCAGACGTCGAGACCTGCGAATTGAAGCCAGATCAGCTCGACACTCTTGTCAAGAAGACAAAACTCCTTATCACCACTGTCGGCCCATTCATGCACTATGGCGAGCCTGTGCTCGCAGCCTGCGCTGCCAATGGCACCCACTACCTGGACTCTACCGGCGAGGTGCCTTGGATTTACGACATGATCGCAAAGTATGATACAGTTGCAAAGGCCAACAAGAGCATCATCATCCCAGAAGCAGGCCTCGATTCCGTACCTGCCGATATCATGGCATACGTCCTCTCCCGTACCATCCGCAAGAGGTTCCAAGCAGACTGCGAACGCGTCATCATGACTCTCTACGACTTCAAATCAGGCGTTAGCGGTGGCACCAGTCTCACCATGCTGGAGCTGTTCAGCAACTATTCCCTCGGTCACCTAGCCAAATCCATGCACCCGTACTCTCTCAGCCCAAAGAAGTTCGACAAACAATTGGATAAGCCTGCCGACAGTCCTAGCGGAGGTCTGCTCGGTCTGCCCAACATTGCCGAGCTCGGAGGTCTGCAGACAAAATATATCATGTCCGACGTCGATACCTGTATCGTACACCGCTCCGCTGGTTTGTACGGATACGGATCGCGCTTCCGCTTCGACGAGTATATGCGCGCCAAGTCTCTTGTTCAAGGTCTTATTGTCAAGGTTGCCTTCGCTCTCGTCGGACTGTTCCTTGCGTTGCCACCTACGCGGATGATTCTTGCACCTCTATTCAAGAAGTACCTGATTACTCCCCCTGGTGAGGGCCCTTCGAGGGAGAGTATGAAGAACGACTTCATGTCTTACCGTGCTGTAGGTGTTGCCGAGGGCAGTGGCCAGAAGGTCACGGGGAAGCTGGACTGTGGTCACGGTGGATACGCAGCTACGGCGATCACGCTGGCTGCCGCTGCGCATGTCATCCTAAGGGGTAAACTTGACGAGACAGAAGCGAGCAGACTGGGAGGCGGTATTCTGACGCCTGCTACCCTGGGCGAGCAGTTTGTGGACACGCTTAACGAATTCGGCATGAAGATCAACGTGGATGAATAAGAGGTGGACGAAGCGGATGAAGTGAATGAAGAAAAGGTGGACCTCGCGGTCACAACCTACGATATGTAACGCAGCACAGCGCGTGTAACGATTAGACGTCCTTCAGAAGCCCGGTGTCGGAAATGTCTTTTAGGCAATCAACCTTTGCGTCTTTGCCCCAACTCTCCTTCTCCTCACTGACCATCTGGCCCCTAGCGAAAAGCTCATCAATGAATGCAGGCACAAACGTCCCCGGACCCTTGACATCCTCTCTCTTCGCCGCATACTCAGCCGCTATCTCGTAATGCAGAATTCCTGCAATTGCCGCGTGCAGCTTGTCCTGTGGCCACGCAGCCAGATACGCACTCAACGTAGTTCCCAGCGTACACCCACTGCCAGTAATCTTCCCCAGGTACGCGTGGCCATTGCTGATAGCATAAGTCCTCACGCCATCGCTGATAACATCCGTCGCGCCCGTCATAAGCACCACATTTCTCTCCCGCTGCGCAATCGTGCTAACAAGATACGCTCTCTGTTCAAGGCTGAACAGTGAATCCCCACTGTCAACGCCACGCTGCTGACTTAGATCATCCAACGTGAAGCCCGAAGCGCGCGCAACCGCCATAATCTCCCTCTCGTTCCCTTTGATGAGGTCGAAGTATCCAGCGGCCAACAGCTGTACAAGCGCATCCCGACGCACACTAGTCGCGCCCGCACCGACAGGATCAAGCACGATCGGCCCGCCGGCAGCGTTGTACGCAGTGATGGCCTTCTTATAGTTCAGCAGCCCATCCGGCGTCACAGTGCCCATGTTTACGACAAGCGCACCGCCGAGACGCGACAGATCGGGTGCTTCTTCGCCGTAGTTGGCCATAATGGGAGATGCGCCGATGGCCAGGGCGACGTTAGCGGCGAAGTTCTGGACGACGAGATTGGTCATGTTGTGGCTAAGAGGGCTCTTGGAGTGGACTGCGGCGGTGGCCTTGTCGGCCGTCGAAATCACGGACTTGATTTCATCTTCGTTCTTCTCGAGCCAGAAAACGGGGTCGCTGGACTTGGAGAATGGTGGAGAAGACTTGATGAGTTGCCGAAGGTGGGACGAAGCTTCTTTGGGGTCTTTGGCACCCACTATGGCGGAAACAATGGCGACGCCGTCGATGGTCTTGGGCTTTGAAGAGCTGGAACGGGGAGCAGACAGTTGATAGATGACGCGCTGGACATTCGATGCATTGACACCGCCGATGCAGACTGTTTTGACATCCTTACTCTTTCCGCCAGCGTTGTCGAGATGGCTCAAGATCCTCCTGATACCGTTGACGCCGATGATTTCCTTTGTGTTCTTCTTGGTCTGGGTAGAGTAAAGTGTGCCAATGCCTAGGTAGTCTGCGCCTCGCTCCACGGCTACGGTAGCCTCTTCAACGGATGATACAGTAGCACCAACAATCTTGTCGTTTCCTAGGAGGCGGCGTGCCTCAACGATGTTCATGTCATCTTGGCCAAGGTGGACACCTTCACAGCCTACGGCAAGCGCGACGTCAACTCTGTCGTTGATGAGGAGAGGAATGTTGTACTGCTTGCACTTCTCATGCAATTTCTTGGCCGTAGAGATGAGGGCACCGGTGTCGCTAGTCTTGTCTCTGTACTGGACAATGGTCACACCTGGAACAAGTGTCAATCGCTGATCTCCAATGTGTACTGTTCATCATGATGTACACGTGAAAAGAGGAAAGTGCAACCGACCTCCTTGCAAGGCCTGCTCGACAACCTCAACCAGATCTTTCGAGCCTAAAATGGCCTCTGTCGAGTCCGTTACAAGATACAGCGAGTAGTCGACTTGGTCAGCCATTGTTCCTGATGTCGGATGGTTCTATACACGGTGCCTGATGATTGTCTAATTTGCAAGGAAAAGTCGTGAAGTGACGTTTACTGTTCAGCGGGACAGCCTACCCCACACGAGCGGCGAGATGGGTCACCATTTCTTTCACTTCGCATCGAGTAATACCACAAGAGAAATTTCGCACAATCAGCTGCATACATTGACCAGAACCGAATATCATGTGGGAGTCAGAGCTGGTCAGCTACGGGCTTGCCCAGGTTCAGGAACATGGGGTGGACACTGCTCATCATCATCGCGGCGCAATGTGTGACAATCGGCATCGTCGGCAACGGGCTTCGGGCTTGCTGAAACAGGCACGCTTGTTCCAGGCAGTCGTTTGAATTTGATTGAGAAATTTCTTTGTGGTCGACGGCACGCGGCCCAGGCTGTTTGTCTTACACTGTAAACAGTCTGTGGGAGTACGTTTTGCAAGCAGGCGAACGATAGATTGAACAGGCGCCGACTGCAGCGAGACGAACGGCAGTTTGTGGTACACGTGTTGTGCATTGCTGCTTGCTTGGTGGTTCCACGGAAAGCCCTGCAATTGGCCGCGGGTTAGGGTCGCGCCTGCGCTCGAGCCCACAGATGCTTCTCCACCACCGCCTTTAAAAACTTGCCCTCGACTCTTCCAAGCCCGCACACACCCACACCCTCGCCCAGCGCAAACCCGTCAGGCAAACCCGCCCTCCCCAGTGTCCGCCACTGGCAACAGCAGCACAAGCACCCACAAACTCGTCCTACAAGTCGCACCTCGCGACCTCGCTGATCCGCCACATCTGCCTGTAGGCACCGCAGAAGCAACCCCTCCCAACCACAGAGTCGACAACGACAACTGCGGTATATGTATTCGCGCCAACTCCACGCCTTCCGAGTCGAACCTCCCCCCAAACTGCACCATTCTCGCTGTATGCGGATACCGCGCAGTCTTCACCATTCCACCAACGGTTAACATTGTGCCTGCCTGACTCTAAGTCACATACACACAATCTGCATCCTACAGACAGCTATTGCATGTCTTTTACAGCCCTCCCACGCATATCAGATCTGATCCAGAACCTCTCTTCTAATCCTCAGTAACCACTCCACACCCGCCAACCTCACCACCGCAACCATGGCTACCGTCAATATCCGCCGCGATGTCACCGACCCCTTCTACCGCTACAAGATGGAGCGCCTTCAGTCCAAGATTGAAGGCAAGGGCAACGGCATCAAGACCGTCATCGTCAACCTGACCAGCGTTGCCAACTCTCTGGCTCGTCCCCCAGCTCACGTCATCAAATACTTCGGTTTCGAGCTCGGTGCCCAAACCAACACTAGCCCCAACGATGACCGCTGGATCATCAACGGCGCTCACGATGCTAGCAAGCTCCAGGACTACCTCGATGGCTTCATCTCCAAGTTCGTTCTCTGCAAGAAGTGCAAGAACCCCGAGACTGAGGTTAACATCAAGGACGGAAACATCACGCTTGACTGCAAGGCTTGTGGTAAGATCTCCGAGGTCGACCCTCGCCTCAAGCTCTCTGCCTTCATCGTGAAGAACGAGCCTAAGAAGGGCAAGAAGGACAAGTCCACCAAGAAGGCTGAGCGTCGCGCTCGCAAGGAGGCTGAGGCCAGGGGCGAGGAGGTCTCCCAGAACGGTGGCAGTCCTGGAGACAGTGCTGAGGACGACGACAACGGCGACTTCGAGCTCGATGCCGGCAGCGATGACGAGCTTACCAAGCAGATCCAGGAGCGCGCCGAGGACATTGAGGAAGCCAAGGAGGTTGAATGGCACATTGACACCTCCGAGGCTGCCATCAAGGCTCGTGCTCAGGACCTTCCCGACGATCTCAAGCGCGCCCTTGTCATCGAGGGCGAGGAGGATGCTGAGGCGTCCGAGTACGACGTCTTTGGCAAGTGGATCATCGACACTGCTAAGGAGAAGGGTGGTGTCGACAAGCTTGACAGCGTTGAGATCTACCTCAAGGCCAAGGAGCTGGGCATCGAGACCAAGCACCGCACTCTGACCGTCATTCCCCAGACCCTCTTCAGCGACAAGATCGTCAAGCAGATCGAGGGACGCGCTCCTATGCTTCAAAAGCTCATCACTTCCGAGAAGCACGAGAAGGCTTTCCTCGGTGGTATTGAGCGCTTCGTAGGCAACGACAAGCCCGAGCTCATCCCCCAGGTCTCGGCCATCTGCATCCAGATCTACAACAACGATCTTGTAAGCGAGGAGGTGTTCAAGCCTTGGTGCCAGAAGGCCAGCAGCAAGTACGTTGACCGCAAGGTCAGCAAGAACGTACGCAAGTCTGCTGAGCAGTTCTATGAGTGGCTCTGCCAGGAGGATAGCGAGGAGGAGGAGGAGGAGGAGTAGACCACTGTCTTGAGCACGATGGCGCTGCTACAGCACCTCGAAGCCCGTGTGCTGACTTCTCGCGTTCACGGCTCGAAAGAGTTGTGTGTTCCGAGTAGTGAATGAAGGAGTGTCGGGGTGTCAATGATTGTTTAGCTAGAGGCATTACTCTCCCTATACTCCGCCTATCAAAACTGTTGCTGAATTAGCTTGTTACCTACTCCACTGTGATATGTGCCTGTGCTTGCATGTGCGCTCTGCACGTCCTTCGGCTCCTCATTCCTGGCTCCTGGGCCTACTGGCGCGCATAGCTGCATGTTCGGATATCCCTTCTGTATTCGTACGTGGAGAATCTGGTGGTTCAAGAAAAGCAGCGTGTTGCATGTTGCGATTCAATGTTCTTATCTGATCGGCACATGCTCGGTCTTTGAGCTCTCATTGACTACATTCGTCGCTTGTTATTGCCGGCAACATGCTCGAGCCAGCAAATCGCACAATTATCATGCAGCCCTTTCACACCCTGCGTAAAAAGCAATGCGGGACTCGCCTAGCCTAGCCAGCGTCCAGAGCACGGCTCCACCGCTTGCACGTTGCCGGCTATGGGTAAGCCTCGGAGACTAACCGCGTATATGTGGAGATCGACGGGCGCGATTTGTGTCGAGCTGCGAGCATTTTTGCGCGTGGCGCCACGGCGCAGATGGTGTATAAATGTGGCGGGCCCCGCATGCGCATGGCATCTGAGTACCGTACATCCCTTCTACCTACCGACTAACTGTGTAGGACCGTGAGCGACTTCAGGAGTTTTGCGCTCACGCTGCGATCGAAAAGCTCCACCCCGCGCCTTTGAATTCGCGACTTGCCTATTTACAGACAAGAGTACAAAAGCAACGTCAACATGGCACAGCAGCAACCTCACGCCGCCGATGGCTTCTTTGGGAAAGGCGAAGATATCCATACCGGACCAGTAGCCACCCAAATTGTCCATCCCAAGGGTCCTGAGGGCACCGCGAGCTCTGAAAATGAGCGTACCGGCGCACCCCTGCACACCGTAGGGACGGGCAACGAAGTTCTGGAGAGAGATGCTCAGAGCAAGGGCCGCTGGTTTCAGTACGTCAAAACCAAGCAGTTCTGGCTGACTCTGCTGCTCGGACAAGGTATGTCGTCTCTTTTTAAGATCAGACACCAATGCTAATGTGTTGCTTAGTTCTGGCTATCTGCATAACAAGCACCAACACGCTCTCTTCTCTCCTGGCCAACGAAGGCACCTCGATTCCTGCCTTCCAATCCTTCTTCAATTACGTCCTCCTCAACCTCGTATACACGTCTTACACAATCTACAAGTACGGTTTCAAGCGCTGGGCGCGTCTGCTTCTTGTCGACGGCTGGCGCTTCTTCATCCTCGCCTTCATGGACGTCGAGGGTAATTACTTCGTCGTCTTGGCCTACCGCTACACCACCATTCTGTCCGCGCAGCTCATCAACTTCTGGGCCATCGTCATCGTCGTTGTAATCTCGTTCTTCTTCCTGAAGGTCCGGTACCACTACACGCAGATCGCAGGTATCCTGTTTTGCATCGGCGGCCTAGGCGTTATCTTTGGCTCGGACCAGATCACAGGCAGCAACTCGTTTGGCGCTTCTGACGAGGTCAAGGGTGATTTGTTTGCTCTGCTCGGCGCGACTTTTTACGGTCTTAGCAATGTGTTCGAGGAGTTCCTCGTCAGCGAGAGACCGCTGTATGAGGTTGTGGGCCAGCTTGCATTCTGGGGCATGTTCATCAACGGTACCCAGGCGGGCATCTTTGATCGCACGTCTTTCCGCAACGCGACATGGAACTCGAAGGTTGGTGGTTACCTCACGGGGTACACGTTCATTCTTTCGCTATTCTACTCGTTGGCGCCGGTGTTGTTTCGTCTGTCGAGTGCGGCGTTCTTCAACATTTCACTCTTGACTGGAAGCTTCTGGGGTGTCGCAATCGGTGTCAAGGTGCTCGGGCTTAGCATTCACTGGATGTACCCCATCGCCTTTGTCCTGATTATTTTGGGACAGGTACTCTACTTCATCAAGCAGACCACGTTGTCGGAAGCAAGGAAGCCATGGCTGGGTGAGGATCAGTCAAAGGGCGTTGCTGGAGTGGGTACAGCAAGGAGGAGGGTTGAGAACCCCGAGGCATTTGTGTAAGATGAGATACAGTAGGCTACTAGGCCGAATCTCTCCTAGATGGACGTAGTAATGATCATATGGTGACACGGGTAGTAGTACCGCGCTGTTCTCGCGAAAATAAATACATAACTTTCGGCGCGTGAAAGACACTTCTTCGTTCGTCTATGTGCACGACTCATGCCAATAGTGAGCACTCTTGATCGCTTCGCCAAGCAATACGCGACGAGCATCACTCTCTCCCACATCTGTGTCTCCCTTGATACCATATGAGATTGCCTTCATAGACATCATCGCCGTTGCCTCTAGCTCAAGTATGATTGACGACCCTCACTGATATACGTTAACGCGTCCCATAAAATCCGCCGCCGAACCCCGGAAGTGCCGGCGTGCGCATTCCAAGATTCTTCATGAGTTTCTGCGCAGCGAGAACAATATCGCGAAAAGTACAACATATATTCATCGTGAATCGAGTTTTGTCAGGCTGTGAACAGGACGTTTGATCGTCAGACTGAATCGCTACAGAGACACCGGACGATCGGAGATCTGCAATGCACTGTTCGCGCTCAACGACTCAGATATCCGTGATCTACGCACGCTAGAGACTTGATCGATTTTCTGTACCGAAGAGTCGGGTTTTCTCAAGGTTGCAGCCGTCGTGATATATCTTTGTTGATAGACCGAAACTCTTGAATGGTTGTCGATTGATTGGATGCTTGGAACGAATTTAACTCATGATCTCGGTTGGAATCTATGCCTCTCGTAAGGTGGAAGTGGTTGGATTGAAAAAGCTCAGCGTACAAGGTTAGAATGTGAGTGGGATACATGGTCAACTCGAGAATTTGTTGTACCCAGGCAGGTCCGGCCGTTTGATATGCCCAGGTGCAGTACATAGACTGAAAACCAACTCTTATTATACTCCCTGAATGTGGAATGGCTTCTCGAAGACATCCTGCGAGACCAGTGATTTTATGTCAGGAGTATCTTGCAATGCTGAATTCTGAAGACCAAAAACAAGAACAACCTGCACCTTTCGTGAAACGACACACTTTGTGACCCAGCAGATAGTTCAACCTATCGCAACAAGTCCATCCAACTCGACAGCTACGTACTGTGTCCGTTTATTTCAAGCGCTCAACTTCAGAGTCGAGCATGCTTTCATTTATACTTAAAACCAAGTGTGATAGTGTTTCACGACAACTATAGTAAGTTTGGACCTGGGTGGACTGTCCAATAGATACTGACGTCATCAATTGTTTCGGTTACCTCCATCTCTGCATCATGCAATTGTATGGACAACATCCCCAACAGAAACCACGGTTCAAACCAGATTATTGTGATCATAGATATCACGAACAGTGTAATCGTTGGCGCTCAGATGCAGCTATTGGCAGACTGTTTCTTCAATTGCTTGCGTACGCAAAACCACCTTGCCGGAACCTCCTCGAAGCTGCATGCCTTGGTTCTTGGTTCTGACATCTAAAGCGGATGGAACAGATGCGTGCCAGTCCTCCTAAGCATTATTACCTCGAAGATGAATGAAGACATGTCCAGAGGAGGAAAACACGCAGGGGACAGGGAACACTTGAGAAGAGATCCCAGATTTCAATACCGATGCCACATGGCATGAATTTCTTCCCGACAAGCTTTGAGGCGCTGAGGAAGTGCCGTTCTACAATTCGAGTACTTATGCGGAGCGACCGTTAACGGCTCGCTCTCGCATCACATAGCTGCCATAAGCTCGCCGGCCTTCCACTTCAAGGAAAGTCACGTCAAAGCCCCGCGTACAAATTCCAATGCTCACCTGCAGCTGTTTGTACGAGGAAGAGTGGGACAGATTCAGTATATCACCGACATCAGCCAAGACATGATTTTCTCCTGAAGATCGTCGCCAGCGTTGATCATAGCACCGGCAGATATATGTGCTGTGATTTCCGCGCGTTTCCGCAAAATGAGAGACAGCGGGAACCTGGGGTCGGGGGCATACAAACGGTAATTTGATTGAAACGCCGCGTTGACAAAGGCCCGAATACCACCACTCCGAAACCATCACCAAGCGTGACAAGCGGACCAAGCGCGAACCAGAATGACACCAGGTGTAGAGCCGCATCGACCACAGGGTTTGTAGAACAATTTAGTGTTCCCTGCAGATCCCCCATTCGCCCTGCAAGGTACCATCGCGGCCAAATCTACCTCACGGTCCCAGTCTGAGTTGGCCCGATTCAAGCACACGGGATGTTCGTCCGACTGAGGTGCCGAAAGTATGCTTGGTCAGGACCATAGTCTGGGAATCGTGTGTGTTGGGCTGCAGGCGTTGGTTTAAAGCACTCCAGTAGCCAGTTAGTTGAGCAGGCCAACCACTGCTATCCGCACACATTCATTTTTACATTGTCTTGGCTCTATAGCCGTCCTCTCATTCAACATGCGCTTCCTCACTGCTGCTGCGCTTCTTTCCGTTCCTTTCCTTACTAACGCCGCACCCGTCGAAGATGTCAAGGGTTCCAAGGGTTGGCAGATGGGCGTGTTCTACACCAACTGGGTAAGCTTCTTCTCAATATCAAACTAATATATCTTCTGACCTTCATAGGCAATGTATGGCCGTCAGCACTTCGTCACAGACCTTCCTGCGGAGAAGCTTACAAAGATCACCTATGCATTCGCCAATGTGAACAGCACTACTGGTGAAGTCTTCCTCTCTGACGAGTGGGCCGATATCCAGTTCCACTACCCCGGAGACGCTTTCACAAATGGCACACAGCTGTTTGGTAACCTCAACCAGCTGTACAAGCTCAAGCAGCAGCACCGTAACCTGAAGACCAGTCTCTCGGTCGGTGGCTGGAGCTACAGGGAGAACTTCAAGACCGCACTGGCTACCAGTGCTGGGCGCGCCCGCTTCGCGGAGACTGCGCTGACGCTCGTTACCGATCTTGGCCTCGATGGCTTCGATATTGATTGGGAGTATCCCGAGGACGCCACCGATGCTGCGAACCTTGTCGAGACTGTTCAATTGTGCCGCACCGTGTTCGACGAGTACGCTGCTAAGTACGCCAACGGTTACCACTTCAACCTCGAAATCTCTGCTCCTGCTGGACCCCTTCGCTACACCGTTCTTCCCATCGCAGCTCTGGACAGTTATATCGACGGGTGGAACTTGATGGCCTTTGATTACGCTGGACCCGGTTTCTCTAACTTCACCGGCCACAACAGCAACGTCTACCCCTCCAAGTCCACTCCCGCGGCCACGGATTTCAACACTGCTCAAGCCATCGACTACTACAAGTCCAAGATCTCTGACCCTCGCAAGATTATCCTCGGTATGCCGCTCTATGGTCGCTCGTTCGCCAACACCAACGGCCTCGGCCAAGCCTTCAACGGCTCAGGCACAGGCGACTGGGAAGCTGGTGTCCTCGACTACAAGAACATCCCGCTCGACAACACCGTCAGGACCGACAAGAAGGTCATGGCATCGTGGTCGTACGACAACAAGACCAGGCAGCTTGTCAGCTTCGACACACCCGAGGTGCAGGTCATGAAGACCAAGTACCTGAAGAAGGAGAAGCTCGGCGGTGCGTGGTGGTGGGACTCCAGCTCCGACCGCACCGATGAGAGCAGCTTGGTTGGAACCGTGAGCAAGGCTCTTGGTGGCCCGAAGGCGCTGACCCAAGACCTGAACAACTTGTACTATCCTTTGAGCAAGTACGATAACGTTCGTGGCACCGCGTCGAACGCTACTCTCGCTCGCCTCCGTTAAGCAGAGATCCCGCGGCGGAAGAAGCCTGCTTTCCTACCCTACTTTCCTTTTCTAACAGAGGTGTTGGCGGCATATTCTATAACATGGTATTAGCGGACTCTCTTAACCCGTCCATGGATGTTTACGTAGATAGAGACTAGGTTACACAACCGCAATCACAAAATGCTCTATGATACAAGTCAAACCTTGGCGAAAGTCAATGCTATGTAATGATACGCTGTTTTTTGTACTGTGATCAACTCGGCATTCATGTTGAATGCTGCCTGATTACTCACAAATCAACGCCTAACACTTGATGGCGCTTGATATAATCAGCTCGAATAGATATCTTCAGAGTAGACGCATGTATGTTTCGTAGGAAAGCAATCACACACAAGTTTCACTCTTTATTCCCGAAAAGTATCGAAAACGTCGACGGTTTCTGTGAGAATCTCCACTCCCATAGGACAATCATATACAGCTGGTTCTTTTGTGCTTTGCATTGGACAATGTGTTCAAAATATCTTGACCGGGTAACATGTATTTCATGAATTTTTCTTAGAGATGAGAAACTTGAGTACCTGGGAGATCGTTGGACATACTCATGTGCATCTCAGGAAGCAGGGAAGCGTGAGCGAATAGGGTGATAAAAGAGATGATTGTACACTTGAAAGAAAGTCTCTGCTCCTGTCTTAAAATATGAATCTGAGATCGTGATCTACTCTTCGAGAGCGTCGAGAGCTTCCAGAGCTTTCTTGAGCGCCCTCCTCGCAGCATCACGCTTCGACTTGTTTCCAATGCTGCGTTTAGTCGAGCAGCTCTCCTCAATAACAGCGTCATTCGCTGCAGCGCCAACCGCAGGAGCAGCATCGCTCTTCTGACCTCCGTTCTTCATCATAGTCAAGCTGGTCTCATAATCACTTGTACCGTTGTTCGGATCCGCGTCTTCGGGCGTGCACTCGCTGGGCTTAGACCCAGTGCCATGCTCACCATCAACGCTCTTGAACTTCTGCTTCCCATCGGCGTCGGCCTTGAGCATATTCTCTGCAGCGTCGGCGTACCACCCATTGATGAAGTCACCGTGCATGCAGTAACCGTCACCAACGGTGTCACTGCAGGAAAGCTGCAGAGGTGCAGTACCGGACCAGCCCTCGGGAAGTGCCTTGCGGAGGTCGTAGCGAATGGAGAAGCGTAGTTGGGGGATGCGCTTCATTCCGTCAGGGCAGCGGTTGGCATTACCCCACGCGACTTCAGAGTACTCGTATTTCAGAGTCTCGGAGCTGTAGCAGTCGGGGAAGCGAAGCTGGACTTGGAGGTGCGTGGAACAGGTCTTGGTGGGGAATTTGCCTGCGTCTTTCGCCTCACTCTCGTCCATTTCGCACCACCACTCCAGCAGGTTGTACTTGTGATCTGCTGCCGCCTGGGTGTGGGCTGATGCGTTACCAGCGATCAAGCCAGTGTCTGCAGGGAATGCGGCTTCGGCATAGCCGCTGTTTTGATAGTAGGAGCTGAAACGATAGATAGGGACCTCAATGCGCTCGTCATCCTTGATGTAATAAAGGGTTGGGACCCCTTTGATATGTCAGTATCTGATATCGCTCACAATGTTGCTCAGGGAACTGCTTACAGTATACGGAGAGATCGTTGGCATTGTCGCCTGAGTAGCAGCCTTTTTGGAGCTCGGCAGTAGTGGGCTTCACATTGGTTATAACGTCACTTCCGAAGAACGTGTGCATATGGCTTGTGTAAGTTCCTGGGACGACCAAGGCATCGACGTTCTTGTTCATGAAGGGCTTGTGGTTGATGACCGTGTAGGCAGACACAGCGCTGAGGCTGGCCAGAAAAGAAAGTGTGGAGCGCATGGTTGCAATTGAAAAGAGTGTGGTGATCACAGATCAGGCAAAAAGAACGAATGGTAAAGAACGAAAAGCGAAGTAACAAGCAACCAACGTAGGCAGGAGTTCAGAAAAAGTGCCATTCTTATGCATTTGGATACAATTCCATAGCGCTATCGTAATTGGACTCTGCCGCCGACAGGGATCTTGTTTCGAACGGGACGTTATTAGAGGAGCGCCTCCATGTTTCACACCAAGATCGGATCGTTTACTCAACCCCGCCCCTTGACATACTGGCGATGATCAGTAGCCAGGTGGGTGAACCAACGATTGATCCGAAAAAGTATGAGGTCAAGTAAAAGATCCTTTGGATACTGAAGCCCGAACGGCTGACCATCGGCGAGGAAGGCCACAAAATCGATTTCGGTATAAGCGCTTCTGTTGCTGCCCCACTTCGTTGTGGCACAAGCCCATCACAACGCCTGAAAGGGGCTGATCTTCGGCGGAGATCCTTTTCGGGTCCTAAACTCGTGTGGTAAATCTCCTGAAGCGCTTGGCAGAAGCGGAAGATTCAACGCCTCAAAGTAACGTAGCGGATATGCCCTAGAAACCGTTTCTTGTCGACTGACCCAGGGAATGCGGCGCGACAGAGTCGTATCATTACTCTATTCATGCCGAGTGAAAACACAGTATATTCAGGTGGAAGTATCGGCATCAGCCATGTATCTCGAACAACGCCAAGTGATGTGTGAAAGGAGCGGAGTCTAGCCGTAATAGATTGAAGCCTCGGCTAATCCTCGAGTCCAGTTGCCGGCAAGACTTGCCCATATTTAATCCTGGATGTGCATCTGTTCGAATACTGGAATTGGGGTGGTAAAAATGCCAACGAATTGATGTCACCTCTTTAACATCCTTGTTGTAGTCAAACGTCTTTGCCCATAGAGGCCAACCTTGACTAGATTGATGGTTGACAGCACTCAAGCGTGCTCGACGTTCAGCCCGCGCCATTCTGGCTTCATAGCCTCATTCAACCACGTGCACTCTGTCAAGCCCACATGCTTCCTCACGTACTCTTCCAACACCTTTGCACCTGGTGCGCCCTCATAGATGCCAATCGCGCCGACGCGTGGGATGTGTAGTACACTTGCCAGCCGAGTATCATTGGAGGTGGGGAGAGTGACAAGACGTGTGATCTCTGATAGTTTGCCTTCTGAATTAGATCGCAGGGTGGCAAGATGAAGCAGTGTGGGTATATGCCCATGGGATGAGGACAGTGATGGTTGTGGATGTGTAAGGACGACGAAGCTCAAAGGTCGAGGCGGTGCCTCTGGTTGCTGTTTGTCTTCATTGGGTATGGAGCTGTCGCACTCATTGACGGCTGATCCGTTGACTGGTACGGGAGGAGGTGCGGTTCTGGCGGCCAGAGTTTCTAAATGTCTCGTCACGCTGTTCAATCCGATAAGAACATGGGATCCTATAGCTGGTACTGGCGACTTAGGGGAATCATCTGTGTGGGATTTTATGTCTCGCTTTCGTTTTTTGCCCTTGGAAGGTTGAATGTGAGTTCTGCGATGCTCGCCGAGTGGTGTGAGTAGACTAAAAATGTCAGATGCGGTCTTCTAGGCATATTTGACAGTCTTGTTTTCGCCTGTTCGACTTCCTCTGGCGTTATGATTCTGACGAAAAGCAGGTCTTACCTACTTGCAGAGTAACTCCGTAATCACTTCCTGGTCTTCACGAGATACAGACGGCCTACACTACTCAGCACGTACAAACCCGAAGTTTCTATACTGACGACGAACCATTTAGTTTCTGTGAACGGCGATGATGTTTTGAAGATTGGCTTCGAAGGCTTCTTCAACGGTGGTGCCATATCGGGCGTAAAGCTGCACTGATATTTACCAGAGAAAGGTCACGGTCTGACAGTGCAACGTAACACTCAGACATGTGTTGCTTATTGAGTGACAGCGAGGGGCACAAGATCTGAGACACCGTCGGAATGGAAAACTGCTTAAGCAAGCTTTTGGCAGATGGAAGAAAAGTGAAGTGGATTGTCGTTTCCTCGGGAGTCCGCACACACGCGCTAGGACGGATAGCGTGCCTGTTGGCGACCAATTGGCGATGACGTCCGACAAACTGCCCCGCCACTGCCGCGACCTTCGTGATTTAGAGACGCGTCTAACAGCTCTCCACTACGACAGTGCAAACGATTTTGCATTCAATTCAGTCTTACCAAAGCGACCCGATGCAGTTACAGCTCATGTTGTTACTCACTCACGCGTTACCCACCTCTTCGCACGCGGTCCTTGCCCAGTAAGGCTGGACCTGCAGCTGCAACTGTTGCCTGTGCCTGCCGCAGCGGCTACGCCAAACTCGCCCGCGCAAACAAGCCGTTGGCCTGCCAGCTCACTCAGCCATGAGCGCGCAGCATCAAGATAATCAGCAGTCCCACGCTGCGGATGAGCCGGCTGCTTCTACCTCACCCTCGCCGCCGCGCCGCGATCCTGCCAAAGACGCAGACGACAATTTTACCCGTAAACGCCAGCGACTAGATGACGGCGGTGTTGTTCTGCGCGCAATGTCGACCGACCCAGATTCGCCAAGTAGAGCAATCACGTCGCCCCACAAAGAGATGGTAGCCATGACCATACAAGAGCATTCGCCTCCATCTCCCTCGCCCGCGGACGGCCTAGGGCACAAGCACATTGTTATTGAACCCTCCGCCAGCCAAGAACCAGCACCCGTGCACTCGATCGCGATGTTAGACGGTGCCGAAGATGACCCTACAAGTCCACCTATCATCGAGATCATAGACGATGATGACGACGATGTGTCAGCGAGCGTCACGGTGCAACTCAGTGCCGAGGATACCTTCAAGCAGTTCCCTTATCACGAGCGCTTCAAGACCGCTTCACACACACTGCGTGTAATCACCGACCATATACAGAAGAGTAAGTCGGATATGTGTCGCGTTCTTCCTCACTGCTCACATTGCATAGATCAAGATATTCCTCCCGACCTTCTTCCCTCGCTAGCCCACTGGCTACAAAGCCTCCCTAATGACAGTCCGGGCCATCTGCAAAGCTTCTACGTGAGCAAAGCAACCTTTTGGATTGACTTTGCGGATTTGGTTGAAAGGCTTTTGAAGCGGAGGTACCTTTGGATGACTGCTTTAAACGCTGGGCAAGATGATGACATGAGTAGATACCCATTCGGTGAAAATTTTGGCGATGACCTCGCAGTGGACGATGCCTTCTCCGGATTCTTCGGCGCTTACGTGGGGTTGTGCTCTCAACTCTTTCTTGTTGATGCATACCTGCTGAAACGGTCGCGACCCGAGGAACACAGCCCGTCACCTCTCCTGAGCGAAAAGCATTTGTATCATCTTCATTCGATCCTTCGCACCGAAAAGGCTCCGCTGTTCCATCTCCTGCGCAAACAGCACGATGTTGACATGAGCGACATGAGCAATCGACTGCATGTCGCCTTCCTCGCTGCCAACGGTGCCGAGAACCTTCTGCGTCTAGCCGACGAAGCTTTTGGTAAAATACCCACAACACTACAAAACCAGATGGCTCTGTACATATGCCAGGTTCTGGGAGCCTTGGGTTGGACCGTAGATCGAGGCCACCGCCAAGGCCTGGGCATTGACCCAGAAGAGTACTACCGCAGGACCCAGCTTTTCTTTCGCAAGTACACCGAAGACCTCCAAGACCCAGCAAAAATTGTCGACGCTGGCATGGCAAGGGAGTTGATTTTGTGCTTCTCTGCTCTAGTCCAAGAGCTCAGCCAGTGGAGCGAGAGCAGCGCTAGGATTCTGGCGGACGAGATACTAGACATGCAGGCCACAGGCTCACCCACAGTTTCCTCACCTGTGGACGCACCGATGATTGGGGCCACGAACGAATATCGCCAACATCCCGATTTCCTCCCCATTCTGATTGCGAATGCTTGGAAGTTCAACTTGCTGCGCAGGTACATCGTGAAAGGACGAATGGAACTGCGGGTCATGAGCATTACCTTCATGGATGAAGCACTAGTGACTGTGTACAAAGAGTACAATGATCCCGAATCGACTGTTAAACACCCTGTCCTGAGACACCTAGCAGATGTACTCCTGCACGGGCGGGTGGTGGACTACATCATCAGTGCGGACTCGCATCCACAGTTGATCTCTCGAAGTGGGAACGTTGCCGGGTTTCTGATTGTCACTGACCGATGGATGGATAGTCAAGCCGACGCCATCTGGAACATTGTGTCTCACAGCCCGGATCCACGCATGGTCACAGCCACTATGACGATGCTTCACAGCTTTATTAATTTGATGAATCCTTCAGATCATCTTTACTTTTGCATGAAGCTTTACAACTTGCCCGTCGAAAAGTTTACGGCGGACATATTACGGTTCTTGCGAGAGCTATTCAGCAGGCTTTTGGAGCGAACGTCATCCATAGATTGGACTTTGAGAGACAAAACCGCACGACCTTGGAATGTCTGCGTCCGGCTGCTCCAAGAGACTGCTCCAAGGAACGGTGCCACTAAGCATGACTTGGACCTTAACTCCGAGGTGGACGAACAGTTGCGCTTCATGGCGCGCAGTATCCCAGAGTCCGACCAGCGGTCAATTTATGAGTGCTGCCTAGAGCACATCGTTGCCCGATCTCCAAAGGCCACAGGATCAGTGAGAGTCATCTTCATTTTGAGCACAAATGTAAATACCACGTACTTCCAACAGAACGGGACCATGGTGCGTCAGGTCATCGAAGAACTGTCATCATTCGTTGAGACCGAGGCGGCAAATGCTCCGCATGGTTATCAACTACCCGCGTTGCAGCACCGGCTTGACATCCTTGCGTTTCTGGCCTGTAGAGTTGGCCAGCTGATTCCAGAGGACCTCTACAGGCCTCTATGGGATCACACTGTCGGTGATCGGGCTTTGTCTAACCACGCTCGCGACGCAGCATGGGCTCAACTCCTGCAGGCGACGAAGATAGCGCCTGAGAATGATTTCTGTCAACAGCTGATCTCCGCATACGTGCCGACCATGGACCCACAGTTCTTCACACCTGGATTGTACGACTATGTAGCCAGCTACAACTTCCCTCCAACACGCAAATCTGTTCAGATCGATGGTGTGGAACACTCGCTCTTGCAAATCCCTGGCAGCGACCTCCTTTGGTCTCTAGCTTTGTCCAGCCCTCCCGGAACTATTGAAGAGCTCGCTGCCCGAGATCTTGCTGTTCGTTACACACAGATCTCTCAAAGTCGAGATGTCGTTCTATCGGAAGTTGAAATCGCTCACGTTGAGCTGGTTGAGCGGTGTATGAAAGAGTTGAGATCCGCTTCCGTGGCGTTGCGTGAAGGACCTGGTGAAGGTGGACGAGACAGTCAACTTCGGTTCAGTCGCGTCCTGATGTTTTTGAAATTGATGCTTGAATTGGTACGCCAGAAGCCTGAATTCAATCGTGGACGCAGAGCAGATTCGAAGGTTGAGTCAATGGACACGGACACCGATCTCCCGACTGCGGATGCCATCACCATCCGGTATCAATTCACGAATGACAGGCAAAGCATAACGATTGCTCCAGACCGCACAGTCGCAGATTTGTATCGCATCTTGTGCCGTGCAACTGAATGCACGAAGATCAACCTATTCGCTGGAGGCCGGAAGCTTGACGTGGTAGAGCGGGCCGATGAGAAGGTTTCGGATGTCAACATTGACGGCCACCTTCTTGTGCAGCCTGTGCAGAGGGATGAGACAGCACACGCAGTGAGCGCACCCGTTGCGGGCTTCTCTGAGTTCGAGACAAAGCTGGTCAAACACTTTGACGAAATGTTTGGATGGATGGATGCAGACGACGCAACAAGCCAGCTGCTTTTCGAGTTCTTGACGCTTTTCCCATACCGCAGCACGATTACCAACAGTGTGGCTGCTGGAGAGGCAACATCCGAGAGCCTCTTCCCACCTGGCAGGAACTTCCAAGCAAAATACGCTGTTCAAGCTATTCATAGCAAGTTGAAAGGTCAACTGCGGACATCAGCACTAGACGAGACTTTCTTGATTAACGCTATCAAGCTCCTCGACCGCGCGCTACTTAGTGCAGAGCTCCTCGGCGAGGGAGAATCTGTTGCTAGCAGACTAACACTCACCGCTGTCTTCGTCAGCGCCATGCTGGACTTCTTAAAAGAGCGACCGTCTTCCGACCTATCGAACGAATATTTCTCTGACGCGCCCGCATTGGCTTATCGTCTTGTCGACATTCTCTTAGCTGCGACTCGGACCAAAGCCCCCCCGAAATTTATACACGAGTGCTACTCGACGATCCTTGAAGCTTCTTTGTATTCTCATGTGATTTGGGAGACTTTCTGGGGACACCCCCAGATTCCCCAGATCCACCGAACGCTTTTATTGAGCGACACGCGCGCGACACTACGAGACAAGATCAAACTGAAGATACTGTATATCTGTGGCGGGCACTTGCCATCCTCTTGTCCATTGAGCACAGCCGACATCGTTTCACGTTACTGGACGACCATTGCAAGCATTCTGCCTGAAGCTGTTCAAGAAGTGGAGCAGTCTGTTCAGCTTTTTGACCTTGCGCAGTCCGTTTTTCGAAGCTATGATGAGCATCATCGCAGCGAAGAAAATCTACGATCACTACTGCGGAGTTGGAGTTCCTGGTTACTGGCTTACGACCACACCGAGATTCCTGGCCGGTATGAGGCTGACAATGTTGTCTTGGGTTTCACCAAGCTTCTTCTGTGTCTGGTGCATTCACTGAAGTCTTACAAGCGCCCATTGAACGCGGGCTCGCTTATCTCTTCGATTTTCCAGAAGTTCATGTTCAACAGGTACATCTCAAAGCATGCTCGCTGAGACTCTGCTAATATTCAACAGCGTACCGTCTGTTCACAGCGTACTGCTAGAAGATGATCTCGCATCCGCCTCGCTGCCTGTCCTAGAGAGCAGCACTCGTCGCGAGCTATACGATCTCATGCTAGCACTAGCGGATGACAAGCATTCCTATGAGCGGCTTCTCCGTCTTAGTGACGACGTTGAAAACAGACAGGTAGCAAACGTCCTACCCACCGTCTCGGTTGATCGCACCGCCGAGGTTCGCTCTCAGACCGGATACGTCGGCCTGCACAACCCTCGCGCCATATGCTACATGAACTCTTTATTAGCTCAGCTGTTCATGAACTTGGACTTCAGACAATTCATGCTTGGCCTGGAGGTCAAAGATGGCAACGGCTCGCAAAGACTCCTACTGGAGACGCAGAAACTGTTTGCGACGATGCAGAATTCATATCGCAAGTCTGCTGATCCACGACCTTTCGCGGAGTGTGTACGGACACTAGACAAGACACCTATCGATATCTCGGTACAGATGGATGCCGATGAGTTCTACAACCTACTTTTTGATCAGTGGGAAGCACAGCTCGTGAACGAAGGCGATAAGCGAAAGTTCCGCAACTTCTACGGCGGACAGATGCTTCAGCAGGTCAAGTCAAAACAGTGCGAACATGTGTCCGAGCGTGCGGATTCATTCTTTGCGTTGCAGTGCGACGTCCAAGGCAAAGCCAATCTTCAAGAAAGCCTCCAGGCCTTCGTTCAAGGCGATGTCATGGAGGGAGACAACAAGTACAAATGCGAGTCCTGCGATGACAAATTTGTCGATGCAGTGAAAAGGTAAGTAGCGATTCCGATTTGAGCAAATCATGGCTAACGGTAGTAGAACTTGCCTCAAATCTGCACCAGATAACTTGATCTTCCACTTGAAGAGATTCGATTTCGACTTGACCGACTTCAGCCGCAAGAAAGTTCACGAACATTTCGCATTCCCGGAATCGATATTGGTCTCTACACCGTCGACCACCTTAGTGATCCTTCAAAGCCGCACAAGGCAGACGTCTTCGAGCTCGTTGGCGTTGTTGTACACTTCGGTAATTGCGAAAACGGCCATTACTATTCATACATCCGGAAGCGACCCTGCCCGGCTGGCGACGTCTCGCCTACTTGGCTCAATTTTAATGATGAGCTGGTCGAACCTTTCAATCCAGCGGAGATACCACAAAAGGCATTTGGCGGGTTATTTGAGGATGGCTACACTCGCCAGTACAAGATGTACTCCGCTTACATGCTATTCTACCAACGACGGACAGCTATTGTGAGTGACGAACAGAGCTTGACCGTCTCCCTGAGACCAGAGCCGCCAAAAGTCGAAATCCCTCAAGCCATCCGACAGGAGATTGACCTCCAGAATGAGGCATTCATCCGGGAGTACTCTCTGTTCGACTTGCACCATTCAGCATTCATCCGACAACTATATGGCATGTCGCGGAAAATCAACAACGGATCCTGTTCAGAGGACCATGAGAACGAGTCGCGCGCAACCGATGTCTTCTTGGCGCACCTGGGTCGCGTGGTCTGGCGGCAACAGACAACTGAACCATTCGAGCAGGCATTAAGCCAACTTCGGCGATCTGTGTTTTCGTGCGATGCGTGCTGCGGTGCCACTCTTCTGTGGCTTGCACGGGACGAAGAGGCGCTCCACAACCTGCTTTTGCGATGCCCACATCTGAGCGTCAGGTCACAGACAAGATCATTTCTGGTCGATAGCCTCAGAGCTATGCGTGACAAAGATGTTTACCTCTACAACACATCCTTCGAAGATGACGACTCGGATTCGGGTGACGATAGCAGCATCGTTGTCTGGATCGCAAAACGATTGGCTGTACTGGTGGAAAGCTCCGCGAAGCATTCAAGAGCCTGGGATGATCTGTATCTCTTGCTGACGCAGTTTGCCGAGATGAGCCACGTTGAAGTTGGCGCCTTGCTGGACGCTGATATCTTGAACTTCTGCCTCCGTTTGTTCTGTTTGCAAGCCCGTCCAAAGCTTGCGGATGAGTACATCGACTTTCACCGAGTTTTTCAGAAGAGGATTGGCGTCTACAACCGGCTGATAGGCTTTATATCCACTATGCTTTCGCGCATGGATATAAACCTTTCAACTTCTGATTCTTGCGACCGGATGATGGAAATGAATGAAGATCGCATGTTATTCCGACTCACATTCCAGGAGAAGAGCTTGTTGCTGTGTTGGAACAGCGAAATCAAGGCATACGCAGTCATCGACAAAATGGTCGAACTGTTCGATACATCGAAGACGGAGTCTTACTATCCAGGAGAGATAGTCAAATGGCTGGCCGGATCGCATGAATCCCGCATCCAGCGCGATATCATGACCATGATCATCCAGGGTATCAGTGAGTTGAGTAACCCTTACTGTGACCCATACATACGAGTGGCTTCCAGCTATTGCGAGGCTGCTCCCGGTGTGGAGGGTCTCAGCAAAGTCTGCGACATCGTGGCGAACAGTCTTGCGGTAGTTGAACAAACCTCGGATGAAAAGATGGCACCTAGTGGCGGCGATGTTTTGCGCTTCTTCCGCCATGTGCTCAGACTGCGCAACACAAACTTTACATCTGCGGAAACTCACTGGTGTCTTATCGCTAGATGCCATAAGTATGCCAACGTCCTGCTTCTTTACTCCGACGAAAGCGTTCGCAACAGCACCCACGAATTCATCTGCGAACTCTTCACCAAGTACATGGAGGTCCGTCAGAATCTGGACGAAGCATACAAATACGCCCGAGTCACTCTCGGCGAAATCATCAAGAGGGTTGTATTCGAACCGGATGCTGGCACACCACGCAGGCGTTTGATTCCCCTGCTGGAAACCGGCAACTTCCTCGTTTCGTTACTGTCCGACTTGGACTCGAGCCAAGACCGGGACCTCGCCGATTTGAAGGACGTTGACGACCCAACCTTGGTCTACCAGTGGCAAATTGAAGTGGAGCCGCGAGTTCGCATGCTTCCTGAGACTGGTCTACCGAGCCCGGGCGAGGGAGTGTTCGACGCGTCTGACTACGGCAGTGAGTCTGATGATGTTGAGCTGCTTGATCCCTGAGCGTCCATTGACCACAGTCGTCTGCAGATACTCCAAGCTCGATGAAGTCGGTGAGGGACTCTGGCGTAGTTCAGGCATGTCGGACATCGTGAGAGATTGCTGAAGTCGGGGAGTAGTGGAGATGATGTGCACGAACCACAGGCGTTACGAGTTGATGACATTGATTCCTGATTTGGGAGCGAGAGAGCATACGATGGAGTTTGGGTGTGTCGTTCCACGACACGAAGACAACAACCTTTGTAGCATTGGGCGTTTTCGGTATTTATAGCATAGCGTTGGCGATTGGGATTCAGGGATGCGTCACGAGATCATGAGCATGAGCATGAGCATGGCGCTTTGGCGTTTCCGCGTAGATGAGCACAGAGCTTCGAATACCCAGATTTCATTCTTCAACCGCGATCCTAGCCTTTGATGTGTTTGTATTCGTCTCTGAGTCGGCATGGCTTCCGTTTGATCATACGGCAAAGCGTATGCGATCTACCCAGTGTGATTCACGTCATCCAACGTCCTTTTTTCTGTGACTCTAATGTTCAGAAATGGTATCACTTAAGCCTTCACCTCCGTCTCCCCACCCTCACTCAGTCTATCCAGTGCAATCCGCGTCCCCTCAACAATAACCCCATGCTCCACCGCATGAATCCGCTCCTCCAGCCCCTCCACCCCCTCGCCCTCCCTGATCTCCACCTCCTTCACCACAATCGCCTTCCCCGCATCCACCTCCGCAATCACCTCATGCACCATGACCCCCGTGCGCCGCAGCCCCTCGTCCCGCCCCGCCGCCCACGCGCGCTCGATCGCGCCCGCGCCCGCAAACTCGCCCGGCAGCGCGGGGTGCAGGTTGATAATCGGCACGCTCGCGTCGGCCATTGGGCCCAGGAACGAGGGCGTCACGATGTGCATCCAGCCGGCGCACACGACGAGATGGGTTTTCGACGCGTGCGAGAGGATCAGCGACGCCAGGTCGGCGTCGTAGGCGGCGCGGGCGGCGGCGAGGTCGTCCGGGTGCGCTTTCTTGTAGGGGACGAGGTTGTGGTATGAGGTGGGGATTTGCGCGGTGGCGGCGCGCTGCAGGCCGAATGCTGCTTTGCGGCTGCAGTACATCAGTTTGGTTTCTGCGCTGCGGGGAGGAGGTAGGCGGACTTGGAGATGACGTGAACTATGCGCGTGTTGGGCAGCGCGGGGGTGTTGCAGGCGTCGATGAGGGCCTGGAGGTTCGAGCCGTTGCCGGAGATGAGGACTGTGAGGTTTCGTTGCGCCATTGTGGGGATTGGAGCCTGTTGGGAGGGCGAGGAGTGTGAGGCGCGTTGTGCGAGGCGGTGGGTGAGGCTCTGCGGCGGAAATTATTTTGGAGGGGTGGGGGTGGGGTGACCCCGCGCGCTCTCGGAGGTGAGAAGGTTGGCCGCAGTTGCGGATTTGCGCTAGAGCTTCACGAGGGAGAGTTGAGTTTGTGATATCTGCAATTCGAGTCCATTTATCTCGAATGATTCCTAGCAACACACTAGTCTTATTCTTGAGACGTCCTTGGTATACTACCCATCTCATCCGAAAACGCTCAAGCAATCTGATGGTATCGATGCCCCAACGCCGTGTACTCCCGCAATGCTTTTTCTTCCTCATGCCTTTGGCTTCTTGCTCGCCACAGGTTCAGCATCCATATCCTCCCAATCATCATCGTCTTCATCCTCGACAACGACTCGCTTGCGCTTACTCTTCGCTCCGTTGCTTCTCGCTTCTCCACGTCCCCACCTTGCCCGCTTCTCGATGCCCTGAAGTCGCTCCTCGAACTCCTCTTGCTGGTTGTCGACAGCTGCTTCTAGCTTGTCGACCTTCTCTGTGACTTCCATCTGGTCCAGGGCGTCGGCGTTCTGCATGTAGATGCGATGCTTCAGCGCCAGTCTCCAGAAGTAGTATTTGCGGTCGTTCTCGTTGCTGCTCTTAGCTTTGCGGGTGATGCGCGCTCGGTTGCGGTGGTTCGGTGGGATAGTCGAAAGGGCGTGGAGCTCCAGCACCCTATAGAATTGCCTTGAGACGATCTTGGTCTTGTGCCGAAGGTCGTCTAGATCAACGCCGTTGCCAAGAATCTGGTCGCGAGGGATCGGAGAATCTTTGCGAAGAGACTCGGCTGGGAGGCTGGATGCTAATGAGAGAGACTGGAAGGCAGGCAGTTCGCGCAGATATTCGATGTCGCAGTAGTCGCGCATGGCATCAAAGTCCTCGCTGGGATCCTCGACTGGTATCTCGTAGATGAAGGGCTTGCTTACAAGATCTTCGAAGATGGTGTTGTACAACCGCGATCCCAGGGACTGGCCCTGGTAGGGTGGAAGAATCAAGAACTGTGATATTCTTTCTCGAGACGATGTCTCGAGTCTGTTGAGCTTCTCATTGAACAGGAACGTTTTCGGGTCTTGCGTCAAGCGGCGAGGTGTGTACTTCTCGACAGCGCCGTTCGAACCTTCTGGGGGTGGGCTTGGTAGCATGTTGGTGTAGCGCGCAATCTTGAATGTGGGAAAGACCCATGTCCGGTAGGAGGTAGAGAAACCGGCGAGGACGTATGGCGTGGAAGAGATGTCGGACGATTCCACTTCGTACAGGAAGTACAGCGACCAGCGGTCGAGAGTCTCCTCGTCGTCCAGACCGTCGATAGTCGCGCCGTCAATGAACAGCAGTACCAGTATCCTCATGTTCAGCCAGATCTGTCTCGCGGCAGAGTCCACCATAGACGCCTTCCAGATCTCGTATTGCTTGCCGTGCAGGGTGAAGCTCTGCATCAGCTGGCCTGGCGGCTTCCAGTCTTTCGAAGTCGCAGCATCGCGCTCAGCTGCGCTTTCCTTTGCCTCCTCTGGCAGGAAACTCTTGAAAAGCTCAGGTGAGAGGTCGACTTGCGCCTGGTCTAGGTCGGGCGACAGCTTCTTGAGATCGAGCTGCGCATCGAATGCGATCTTGAGCTTCGGCTTCAAGTCGTTCGCTCGAAAGTCGAGTTCAATTTTGGGGTTTTTATAGCCAACGATTGACTCATTTTCGTCAACCACGGCGTGTGTAAAGCTCGGATTGAAGGTCTCGCCAATGCGCGTTTCGCCGGCAGGGCTCGGTCGGTACAGATTGATATCGAAGCACTCGTTCGAGCTAGTGACCCCTATTTTGTCAGCCTAAAATCTCCGTGCTGAAGTCTGAACGTACATTCGTCGAGATCCATGTTGCGGGCGTGCAGAGGTGTCGTGGTGGAGTTGTCAGATCTGCGGGCGCGTCACGAAAGCGGACGCGAATTTAGCGTGACGGCAGTTCAGCCCTACGCTCTGGCGCTAGTGACGCAGCCCCTGCACGGAGACGAGACATTTGTGGAGAACCGTGTTGATTCAACAGACACTGACACCCGCCACTGCAACACCTCTGACGCCTGGAATCTGCGGCATGGGAAACGCCGAATAACGAATTCTTTTCGACTTTTTTCTTTGGCACATCGGCGCATTATTCCTTCTTCAGCAGCACCTGCGGACAGCCGCACACGACACGCAACATGTGGGACGGTCTATTCATGCTGCTCACTCTGAGCACGATCATGGCAATTGCGTGCGCATCCTCAGCCCTGAAAGCTGATATCGCATAGCTGACACCGCCAGATCTTTCGTCGCCGGCGCACTGCCGCTCACCTTCACCCTCTCGCCGCGGCAGCTGCGCATCATCACACTCCTTGGCACAGGCGTGCTTGTGGGGACTTCACTCATTGTCATCATTCCAGAGGGAATCGAGACAATGTACAGTGCTGGCAAGACCCATTCGCACGTCTCCCGCAGCGTCCTACCTACCATCCCCAGCGTACACAAGCTGCAAACTGGCATCAAGCACCCCTCAGACTTTGGCCTTGGAAGCAGAGGAGATATCCTGGACACTAGCGTACTGAAGGTGGGCGCCGTTAAAGCGCCGGCTGGCCATGTTGCTCAGGAGGGCGAGTTTATCGACCTCCGAATCAGGCGGACCCAGGAGCTGAAGGAGAAGGCCAAGGACAAGCAGCAGCTCGAGGACGAGGAGCACCACGAGGCGCAGAAGGGCGGCGATGACGACTCCACAGAGGGCCACAAGGAAGGCCACACACGCGTGCACGCTCCGGAAGAAGACGAGAACCACAAGCACGTTGAAGACATGCAAGGCCCGAGTCCACATGCGTACATTGGCGTCGCTCTGATCCTCGGCTACATCCTGATGTTCCTCGTCGACCACGTTCCCGAGGCTCTATCCTCCTCCCAGCAAGATTACCAGCCCATGCACATCTCGCTGTCGAACCTGCACCGTGGACCACACAACTCATCCAGTCTCAGTCTGAATGGACTGACAACGCCTGGGTCACCGCCAATGCTGACGCCCACGCCCATGGCTTTGCCCAAGAAGAACGGGTCTGCAACGACCATAGGGCTGGTAGTCCATGCCTGTGCAGACGGCATTGCCTTGGGGGCTTCCTCGGCTGCTCCATCTGGTTCCCTGTCCTTCATCGTCTTCCTGGCTATTATGCTGCACAAAGCCCCGGCCGCATTTGGACTCACGTCAGTGCTGTTGAAGCAAGGCCTTTCTAAGCGCTCGGCACGCACGCACTTGGCGTTCTTCAGCTTGGCCGCTCCTGCAGGCGCTTTCGCAACATGGGCTATCGTACACACCCTTGGACGCAATACACTCGGTGGGGATGAGGGTTTGACATGGTCGACCGGCTGGGTATTGTGCTTCTCTGGCGGCACATTTTTGTAAGCAGCAAGACCAATTCTTCATTCGCTTCACTAACCCGACTAGGTACGTGGCAATGCATTCCATGATCGAGGCGACAAGCCCTCAAGAAGAGCCCATCGTTCACGGATACCTCGACGCACCTCTTGGAAAGGCAACTATGTCCAAGACAGACATTCTGATCGTCGTCTTCGGCATGCTATTGCCACTCGTCACCCAGATCGGTCACGCCAATGCGCATGCTCATTAGGAAAAGTGGTTTATGCTGGCGTTTGGCATGCAGGACCTGCCTGGTTCGTTTTGGGGTGAGGACTACCCTTCAGGATTACATTTCAAATGATACCACACGCTCTCGTTGTAGATTAGCAATGTATGCATATCGACCACTGATGAAGCTCAATGAGCTGTGGTCATCTAGACTCGACAGCACCTGATTCGACGCTCACTTTGATCACGATACGGCTAGGCGTCATCTGTTACACACATCTCGCTGATGCGGAGAGGGGCACCTCCATCACAAAGCAGCTGGCAAATCACACACCGCTGTGCGTTGCCAAAAGCAACCTTGAAAAAGAACGAGCAACATCGCTTCCCGTAACAACGAAGCATCAAGCGACAGCTCACCGAATCCCCGTTTCAAGATGGAAAATATGAAGCTGCATGTCGACAGAAGTGGGTTCGAGGCGTCGCGTGTGCGGCCTTTCCTTCACTTGACTTGTACCTGCCCTTCACTAACGTGCGCCGGTTGCCACACCGTACGTAACATATATTTACTTTCACATGCTCCTGGCAGAGTTTTCCGCACACACCGTTCATATAAAACTCGAAACCACCTACTCCTTCTCAGTAACACCAATATGGACCGCCTTTCCTCAGACCAACTCGTTCCTACCCTACCAACCGCAAGTACAGACGCAGTCAACACCACGACCATGAACGCAGTCACCGCCGGCGACGCTCCCCTCTCACCCCCCGCCTCCCCCACCTTTCCCCTCGCCAACGCAACAGTATCCCGCTACACCGCGCCCACCAACCCGCCCCGCTTCCCGCGCCACCCTTGCCCAACCTCGCACTACACGCTCTCGCTCCTCAGCTCCGAACACGAAGCCCAGCGCCTCTTCGGCCCGGCCTTCACCCTGCGCTCCCCGACCACCGGCGAGCTGCTCGGCCCCTTCGCCCTGCTGAGCTACACCGACGCCTGGATCCCCAAGTACTGCCGCTACATCCACAGCGTGGTGTCGACGCCCGTGTTCACGCTGCGCGAGCGCGAGTTGGTTATCTTGGCTGTTGCGGGCGTGAGTCAGGCGGAGTATGTGGTTGGTGTGCATCGGAGGGTCGCGAGGGAGGTGGGATTAAGGGAGGGAGTTGTGGAGGGGGCTTTGGCGGGTGTGGAGATGGGGGACGAGTGGATGGGGATGCTCGGGTTGAGTGCGAGGGAGAAGAATGTTTGGAGGATTGCGAGGGAGATGGCGCAGGGATGGGGGAGGGTGAGTGAGAAGACGTGGGGCGCGGTTGTTGTGAAAGATGAATTGAAGGGAAGGGGTGTGGAGGGGTGGCTTGACATGGAGGGAGATGGAGAGGATGTGAAGACGGCTGTTGAAGATGGCGAGAAGAAGATGGGAGACGGCAGTGTTGGAGAGAAGCCGGACAGGCTGACTCGAGAGGAGGTGGCGACGCTCGCGCAGGTGTTGGCTAGCACCATGTTTGTCAGTGTGTTGGCGAACTGTGCTGATGTGAAGGCGCCGAAGGACGCGGGAGACATCATTCAGCAGCCTTGAGGGCATTGTTCAGTACCCTCGAGACACATTGTTTGGTTATTGGTTAGATTTCTCCTCTCGTTATTACGAGCACGGCAGAACGATTCACACATAGCTTAATAGTCCTTCGATCCTAGATTCACACAACGCACATCACACGAACCAGCAATCGTGACGAACGAAACACTGAACCACACAGATCTACACAATGCTCGCTAACAAGACAACATCTCAGTCCAAATCCATAATCGCCCAATGCGGCCAGGTTTCATCCTGTCGCGGCCTGCTCGCCATATTGCGGTCCTGGATGTGCTCGCTCAGCGGCAGATCCTCGCGCTGGCTGCGCTCGCCCATACTCACCCCGCGCGCCTGAATCGTGCGCGCATACCCCAACGTCTCCTTCTTCCACTCCAGCCTGCCCACCTTACCCTCGATCATATCGGCCAAGATCATCGCGTCGAAGCACGCCTGGCTCGTGCTGGCCACGGTGTGCGGCCGGAACCCCGCCAGCGCATCTCCGATCAGGATCACGCGGCCGTCGAGGAACTCGTTGGTCGGCGAGAGCACGTCGGTCACGGCCTGGATGAAGGGCATCTCGGTCGCGCACACCAGCTCGGCGAACTGCGGGGGCAGCAGGGCGCGGGCGATTTCGCACTGTTTCTGCCACGCCGGGGGGTTGATTTTGCCCGGCGGCAGCGTGACGCGGTGGTATTTGCCGTCGACGTCGGTCATGAGTTCACGGAACTCTGCGGATTTGTCGGTGAGCCCGCGCGGCCGCGTGTTCTTGTAGTACACGAAGTTGATGCAGCGTTTTCCGGGCTCGAGCGTGCCGTTCTCGCCCGGGATCAGGTACGCGAGGATCTGGATGCCGGGGCTGTGGAAGAAGGTGAAGCGCTCGCGGAAGGCGTCGAGGGTCTCTGGACTTACGCGGTCCTCGCGGACGGTGCCACGCAGCGCGACGTAGCCGGCGTACTTGCGCTCGACGTCGGGGCAGAAGATGGAGCGGATTGTAGAGCTGGGGCCGTCGGCGCCGATGACGAGGTCTGCTTCAATGGAGCCTCTCTTGTTACTGCTGGTTTCAAATTCGACGACCAGCTTACCGCCTTTCTCGCGTTGCTCCCACAAGCCTGTGACTCTGTGGTCGTGTAGGTACGTGACTGGCAAATCGCCGTCGTCCGTCTCCGGCACTTCGCAATACTCGCTCCGCAGACCGTCGAGATTTGCGCGGAGGATATAGTACGCGAGATCCCAGCTCGTCATATTCTGCTTCACATCCTCCTTGTGCACGATTTTCCCATCTTTGTCCAGGTACTGCCTGCGCAGGCTGGAGACAGCGAGCTCGCTCTCACCCCTATCATACTTTTGAAAGAACGCAAGCGTGTCTCCCCCTGCGACGATGCCAGCTCCCTGGTTATCTAGGACGGGCTTGGGACTGCGCTCCAGCAACGTGATCGAGTGGGCATGCGGTGATGGAAGGCGTTTGAGAGCAAGAGCTGTCGCAAGACCGCCCAGGGAGGCTCCTATCTATACCAACGTCAGACACGTACGGATATACGATGACGTAGCACAGCTTCCTCTTGCCAACAACCGCATGACTTACAATGACGATTTCGAGCTTTGCTGTTGTTGCGTGGGGATAGCCCTCGGACCGACGTATGCTTGAGCCCATATCGGTCCGCGAGCACGATTGCAGAAGGGACAATGCATTCTACCACGCTTCATGGTTTTCACGGATCAGCGTTTATGCCGTCAATCTCCAAACACTCTGACGTGTTGAGGCCTGTGAAAACCTCGATCGATGTTCACTTGACTTTGGGTCTCGGATCGCTTGGTCTCGATCGGAAAGAGCGGAGCAGAAAGTCCAGGCCTCTGGAGGCTGCCTCCACGTCTCACACGCCCTTCGACATCCACGACTAAACTGAGTGAGACCCTGCTGCGGGTCGAGTAGAAGGTTATTTTTAGCCTTGGGGAACAGTTCGCTGTTTAGAAGTTAACCTGTCGACTGCCTGCTTAGCAACTGAGACAGCGACAATGGCAGAGTCTGGCAGGGGACTGGTAGCGGTACGTCATAGTCATCACGAACCAGGTCCCCATAGCTGACATCCGTTTTAGGTTACGGGCGCAAATGGAACCATTGGATACGCATGCGTCGCATACGCTCTGCAGACTGGATATCGAGTCCGATGTATTGTACGACGTGAAGATGCGATTGCGACGATCAAGTCAGGACCTTCTGTGCAACCACACCTCGACCATCTCGAGTTTGCCGTAGTCCCCGACAACACAGTCCAAGATGCATACAACAAAGCCTTTGCGGACGTCAAATACGTCGTCCACATCGCAGGAGTATGGCCGCTCCCGACCCTGCACCCCGACAACGAGATCTACCACCCCTTCATCCAGTCCATGAAGAACGTCCTCTCCGCCGCCAAAGCCGCAGGAACAGTATCGCGCATCGTCTTCACGCAAGCCGGCGCCGGCCTGGTCGACTCGGAGGTCGGCGACACGTATGGCCGCGGCATGACCCAGGTGCTCGACGAGCATGTCAAAGTCAACGCCGAATCACTCACCTACCAGCCGCCGCTCACCAGCCCGCACCAGGCCTACTGCGCCGCGAAGGCGCAGTGCATAGACTACCTGGACCAGTTGCGTGTCAGCAAGACGGCGCCGTACTCGATCGTGCAGGTCATTCCTGGTACGGTGATAGGGACGTCGGAGTTTGTCGAGACGGCTGAGCAGGCGAAGAAGTACATGGACCGGCAGACGAGAGCGTTGGTTTTTGATGACAATACGCCGCGGTATGCGTTCGGATTTGTGCACGTCCAAGACTGTGCGAGAGTGCATATCGAGGCCCTTGATCAGCAGAAGGTTGCGGATGCGGATGTGCCGCATAGGTATGTGGCTGCTGCGACGACGGAGGAGGGGTTAGACGGAGACCAGATCTGGGCCAAAGCGGTGGGTATGGTGCGGAGAGAGTTTGCTTCTGAGATTGGGAAAGGCGTTTTCACGGTCGGTGATGAGAGGACGCCGACCAACATGCCGTACCGTGTGGACTCGAGGATAACAGAGAAGACGCTGCTTGGTGGAGATAAGATGAGAAGCCTGGAGGAGTCTGTGAAGGAGGTTGCTCAGTGGTATGTTCAGCTAACCGCGAAGGAGACTTTATAGCCATATTTATGATCTAGGTGTGTATCCAAATGCAATGCAAAGACGCCATTTATATGCAGCCCATCTACCATTTGAAAGACTCTTCGAAATATTCAACTCCCCTGAACCCATTCGCAAGCATCTGCACGCTCGCCTTGCGTGCCTCGTCCGCCATCCTGGCCGGCCCACACGCCACAATAGCAAGAGACGCCTGGCCCGCATCTTCAGCAGCCGCCTCAATCGACAGCCGCACATTCGGCCTCCCAACCACAATCGAGACCCCGCGTGGCGTCTGATTCGGGATGTCGTCTTTGTGCCCCACATCCTGAGTCACATGCACTTCGAGATCGCACCGCTCATCCCCGAGCAGCGTCCTGTACTCCTTCAGCATGGAAGCGAGGAACGCGTGCTCTCTGACGGCCCACACGATCTTCACGCTCTGGACGCGCGATTCTGGGCTCAGCAGATGCGCGAGGTGCGACAGGGGGACTGCAATGCCGGTGCCTCCTACTATGAATAAGACGTTCGAGTAATCGCGCAGAGGCACACTGTGCCCGTATGGTCCTTCGATATTAACACGTAGTGTCTTGGGGCGCGAGAGGCAGTGCTTCTTTAGGCGCGAGGTGAAACCGTCGTAGGGGCGAATTAGATAGACCATGGATGGTGCTGAAGACTCTTTTCGCTTCGGTGCGAGGAGTGCGTCTGATTCAGACGATGAAGTCGAGTTTGCGCGGTGCGTGGATGGCCTCGAGGATACTGGTGAGAGCGGTATCTGCTCGTTGTCTTCTGGCGACGAGACATATGCCAATGTGAAGGGGTGGTTCTGATGTATGTAGAGGGGATCGTTGAGGACATAGATGTAATAGTAGGTGCCGGGCTTAGGCGCAACTCGATTCCGCGGCATAGGAACGTCCATTCGCACCAGATTAGAAGCTGGATCGTAGCTGACGGTGGCTTTGGTGTTCCAGAACCTCCAGTCAAATGCCAAGATTCGGCCAATTCGAAGGACACGGTCGAAGATCCAGATGAAAAGACATGGCCAGATGAAGATGTTCCATTCACCGTTTGTGAAAATTTCGACGTGGTAGTACATGGACCAGAGAGCCGCTATTGATAACACAATGTGCGTGACAAGGAATATCTCGTAGTGGGCTCGGCGGATGCCGTAGAACGAGAAGGCCAGTAGACAACACATAGCAATGGTGGCTAGCTCACCGTTCCAGAAGTAATGCTTCTTCCAGTAGCCCATAAACTCTATGAAGCCACCACCTGCGTCACGTTAGCTTTTCGTGCCACAAACTTAAGAATCCACTGTCGACTGACTGTTCCAAATCATCACCGTGTATCCGATGCTATGTACCACGGCCTGCAGTGTTGCTATCCTTGCAGCCCATCTGTGAAATGCGTTGTATGTGCCAAAACCCCAGCCAGTCAACCACATCAATACATCATTGCGCATGCCAAAAAGCCATACCAACGGGAAGTTGGCGAGCGAAATGATTCCGGTTCGATCCGAAACATATCGGAGTAGCTGGTTCGACTTTTCCGGCCAGTACAGATTGTCCTCTGTGAGTCGGTAATCCGCACAGCACAACACTGTGTTGAGAAGGACGAAGGCGGCGATAGTGAGCGTCTGAGCTCGAGGTGGTATTGTACACCAACCGAGGGGCCTTGAGCAGCGGTCGCCGAAGGCAGCAGGTACAGTAATGTAGCGCTTGAATAAAGTATACGGCAAGCTTAGAAGGCTGCGCTGGGTCTTTGGTCCAGCAGATTCGTCTTCCGCAATAGCTTGATACTCTTGGCTCCGGGCATTTGAGATCAACGCAAGAAGACGAGTGCCGACTCCAAACGATACAATAACAATCCAAAAATAGTACATGTACCATCCATAGACCAGGTGGATATCGTACTCGTAGAATGCAGCATCCTAAAGCCATCAGTGCTCTGGGTACTAGCCCTGGGATCATGCGCCTACCAAAGTCGTGATAGCTCTCCGAAAGAAATCGCTCTCGGGAAGCACAACAGTATTCAAGACCGGCCAGGTATCAGCCTCATCTGCACTGTGTCTGGGCAATTTTGCTCTCTCCTCAGGACTCCAGCGAGCGATCACATCGTGGAATGAAGGCAACGTTACACCCGCATGCTCATCGCACCACTCGCTATGCTCGGCAATAAACTTCGGGACCTCCCTGTCTTCTAAGCTGCAAAATTCGTCGAAGCACAGGTACATGGAAGTGATCCTCAGGTCGCTTCGACATTGTCTGACTTTGCGCGAAAGCCACGGATCTGTGTCGTTAAAGGTTGCATATCCAAGGGTAAGGTCGCATGCCCGCGGACACCATTTCCCAGAAAATAAGGCGGCAGCTACATCTGTAAAGCCAAAGAGGAGAGGAACTTTGCACCAGGCGACGTGCATGTGTAGAGAGATCGGCGCGAGGCGTGGTGTCACAGTGTGGAAATCTGATTAAAAGGATCTGATCTGATAACGACATGTGCGCACGGGCCGACATCGGGACATCGGTTGGGGCGGCCTGAACCCCATTACATGGCGCACCCATATTACCTGGATATCAGCAGGGGTCGTCATCTGATATTACGCATGCACTCTGGACGGATTCTGAACCAGCTCCAGTCATGATCTTGGCGCTTCCCACAGAGCTGCGGTTACGCATAGCGGAGTACGCATTGGAGCAACGCCCAGCAGCAGGTATTCCCTACATGGGCAGCCGTCTGCAAGAGCACGAGAACGAATATCGGCCTTCTCAAAACCTTGCTTTGCTTCTTGTGTGCCGTCAGTTCAATACAGACTTTGCTCAGCTGGCGTACAACAAGACGAGATTCGTCCTGTGGGACCACGAACGCGGCACCCACCTGCAACAGCTCCCTCCTCATATATTGCGAGACATCCGAAAGCTCGCCTTCCTCCTCGGTGCACATGAGATTCAATCCTGGGACAAATACTTCTACGACGTGGAACTGTTACGGCTGGACGAACTCGTGTTCCTCTGCCCGGCGAGATGGACAAATGGCCCTCTGAACATCAGGAATGTAGTTCGATTCTTGCGGCGCCTCGCGCACGTTAAAACCGTCAAGTTCGTGGTGTATGGGAAGGGAGAGGGTCTGAGTCGAGCTCCTTGCTTCTCGTTGATTGGCATGATTATGAAGGAAGATCATTTCCAGAGATATGACGCTCCTGGAGCGCCGAATATTGAGGCTACGGGGTGGGATTGGCATATCAGTACTCCAGAAAACAGCGTCACGCTGAAAGCCAGGGAACCTAGACCGGTGCTGGCGGAGGAAGATTACATGCTGCTCATGAAGCCGGAAGTAGATGCTTTCATGGCAGCAGCTCAGCGAGAGGCAGGTCTTTGAACATCGGCGCGATGAGTCATGTATATGGGGGACGGATGTATTGCTAGCTGATCTGCCAGGACCCTCTACGGTTGTCGTACCTTTAGAATACGCCTGGGGTCTAAGAGCTTGCTCTGCGTTTCTGGAAGCTTCATCTCTGATTCACGGACCACCGCAATGTAAGAGGTTTACTGGAACTAGGTGCATCAGAGAGGCGCCACAGCAAACGTGCGTTAAAACAGCCACGCCACCATCGCTTGTTGGCAACCAAAGCACGATCAAGTCAAGCAACTGCAGCAAGCCTTAGAGATCATGCACGTCGCCGTGCGCATCGTGTCACAGAACGTCGATATCATTTTGTGTTGGCCTACATTGATTTCTCCAACACGTCGGACTTTGGAGAATGGCCACACTTGACGACCATCTTCCTCTGACATGTACAGTGTGGGCCCTCAATATACCAAGCCATGGGCTTGAGCCATCTTCACGTTCAGGGCACGAAGCTGCACGGGCCCAAAAGTTTGCTGCTGAGTTGCATGCACAGAGCGGTTCACGAACAGTAACATACCGGTGCTTGACGCTCTGTCTTGCGGGTTTGAACTTGTCTTGACAATCAAGACAGGGCACAGCAGTCGTTTGGTGCCTACATAAGGGTATTGCCTTCAAGCCAGAGGCGAAGCATATCATCAGTCACTTTCACAGGCTCCGATACTTTCACAGGCTCAGTTGCATTCGCGGGTCGATACAAATCAGCAACACATCTTTGATCTCAGCTTTCTTCTCCGCCTTAACTTCACACTACACTAGACATGGGTTACCCTCCGAGCACGCTGCTTGATTCCAACCACATGGCCGACGGTATGCAAAGCTTCACTTCAGGTGCTTCAGACAACCCGATCATCAACGGCCTTTCGTACGCCTTCGGTATCGCTCTCGCCATCTACTACGTCGCCATGATCTTTGACATCGACCTCACTGCCGTCATCGACGCTACCGTAGCAGTCTATCATGCTTCCCAAAGTGTCCTTACCGCGCAAAACGCTCACGCCACGCCTCGACGCATCCCCAATTTCATCGTCTGGATCTACACCTCCACTGCAACCCGCATTAAGACCGCCTACCACTCCCTCAAAGACACGTACAAACTCCTCCACTGGCTGGCCACCACGCTTTCCCAGCCCTCCGCGCGCGGCGACCCAGCCATCACAGCCACGACCCTCACGCTCGCCCACTGCGGCACCGTCGCCGTGATCCGCGGTCTCCCGTCCGACGTGTCCGCGCCAGAAGTCCGCCGCTATCTGGAGACGAGACTGTACGCGCAGTACCGTGCGCAGCCCAACCTCAACAACGAGACGGCTAGGATCGATACGCCGGGCCTGGGGTTGTGGAATGGGACGTGTGTGCGCGGAAGCTCCTCTGGCGCTGCTACGCCTAGCTCGTCTGGCGTCAACACTCCTGCTTCTGGTTCGGAGACTGATGGCTCTGGTGGCCCTGTTCGCGGTGCGGCGGGTAAGGAGCGCAGGTCTCGGTCGAAGCGTGCTTGAGTAGGTGAGTAGGCATCAGCAGCTTCCCGTTTTGACGGTCTGTGGCGACACCTTGATGGATATGGATGTGGCTATTGATAGGTGGATCTCATTGTCACGGTGGACGACATGTATTGCCAGTGGTGGGCTTTGTGTACTGTGTTTGGATGCGTGGTGAACTTCGAAAGCGCTGGGCTGGAATGATGGATTCGCATCTTACACTCGCTCACATGTATTTGCTATGTTCTTGATTACTGTACTGAAATTGACCTGAGTCGCTCATTAACCGTCATGTTTAGAGTGAAGTTTGACAGTTGTGAAGGCCTGATAGCTTCGCGGAGCCAGATTCTCACTTTTCCTTACATGTCCATGTGCGGTATACCTATTTCAGTGCAACAGACAGTCGTTTGGGCTTTTGGGCAATGCTGTAGTGCTTCCTTAGAAGTGTTCGATAGAATTGATATGCTTATTGTGGTATATCTTGGTGCCAGCGTAAGGCTGCACGCTGTGCTGCGTCATGCAGCAAAGCCGTCATACATGGCCGCTGCGCCAGACAGAACCCCTTTTTTATATTGCTTTTCAGCACGACCTACACCATCTAGGCAGCCGCAATCTTATATGCGGTGTAACCAGACATGAGGAGCAGCGAGTGATGCGCAAGAAGCCAGAGGATACCGTAGTACCTGCCCTTGCCACCATCCTCGCTCGAAGATGTGTACCCGATCGCATACACGACCCTCATGGCGCTCCAGACAGCTCCGAGGACCGCGGTCGCGACGGGCCACCTCAGGCCCGAGATCAAGATTGTGCCGATGATGGTGGGGTGGTTCTCGTTGAAGTTCTGGTGCGCGCGCTGGGCCGAGTTGAACGCGAGCATGGCCTTCTTGGACGCGGGCGCAGCGGTCTGGACCTGCTCGTACGAGGCGTACTCGAAGGGGTAGGGCACCTTGGCGGCCTTGCGGAAGCCACCAACACGGGCGCCGTGCCAGACGCCGACGAAGAAGGTGCCGACGACAGCGCCGAGTACGTAGCTGGGGTTTATTAGCAAGCGTTGCGGCGCATTTATCAACAGTACGGGTAATGGTGGCAGGTGAAGCGGGCGGCCTCCTGGAATGCGACAAGGGGAATGAATCCATTGACGTACCCATACTCGGCGGGGATGAGGTTCTTGATGATTTCGACCATTATGACGACGTTGTGTTTAGCGGGACTTGTTGCTGAGGGTGTGTTCGTTTCGATGGCGGTTGTCTGATGAACAATCGTCGCTAGTGGCCAATTGTGCTTTATACTAGCTCGAATGACCTCCTCGAAGCTTCTGTAGCTTGTTGATAGCGACACGTATGACGACGGACGAGTTTCGGCTGCGTTCGAGCGGGCCACGGGCCCTGAATCTCTCCGCACCACCTCGAGCTAGTCGCACGGCCAGTTTGTGTGCACCGGAGCATTGCGCTGTGCTACACGAAGGAGCATCCTATAGGTACGCAGGATTGCTGCTTGATAATCGCTGAGGGGCAGTTGATTCCGGTGTGAGAGTGTAAGCTGCAGCCAGCAGTCGGTTATACGAGTGACGTAAGATGGCTTGAATGGGAGGAATGTGCAGTTCTGAACCACAACACAACGAGAATTTTTGGCGATCACGACAACGTAGTGGGAGGAACAGGGAATATAAAGAAATGTCCATCGATAGCGCTGGCGTCATTTCTATTTGACATTGCACCATACCAGTGATAAATATGCCGCGTGAATGATTACTACTCGACGTGATTACGGATCGCTGCGGCTTCACCTGCGGAGGTTGCCGCCAGCATTCGCACTCCAGGACAATCCTAGCCGGCGTGAGACAGCTTACAAAGCCCAGTCGGGTATGCTTAAACTGCCTCTGACATGCCTACGCTGTGAAGGCAATCGAGGGGCCGTTCATCCGCATCGACAGTAGCTCACCACATGAGAAGCTTGTTTGTCGACTAATCGCTCGACCAGTACCAAGTCGTCATCTTATCCTGTTATACAGACAGAACTCAAACTTCACGTCCTTCTCCTCGACCTCTGTGCCCTCTTCAAACGTCTCCCCCGTGAACTCCTGCAGCTCCTCTCGACTCGCTTTTGTCCACCCGTCTCCTTCAAGATTCTCCGAGAAGTACGTATCGCACTCATACTCCTTCTGTATCTTTGTCAACAGCACATGCTTCGCTTCCTGGAGCTGCAGCGCTTGCTCGTATATGCTCGCACCACCAATGACAATGACTTTGTCTACTTCCACGCCAATCTTGTCGCTCTGCAGTTGTGATAATGCATCCGAAACCGACCCAGCGACGAGTGGGCCCTCGTAGGCCGCAGCGCTTTGTGCGTGTGGAGGTAATGCCGATGTGAAAGCGTCGACTGATCGAGTGACGACGACGTTGATCCTCCCCTTCAGCGGCCGGAATTTGTCTGGTATGCTGTCCCATGTCTTCCTCCCCATGACCACTGCATTCACCCTCTGTCGCTTCGCAGGAGCCGCTCCTGCAGCGTCGCCCTCCGTAGCAGTGGTTCGCTTTGTGACGCGCGCGAAGTAGCCCATTTCCTTTTTAAGTTGGGGCCAAGGGAGACCGCCGCCTTTCCCAATGCCCAGGGAAGGCGTTGCGGCAAGGATTAGGGTGAGCGACTTTGGTGCCATCACAGACGTGCTTGGGTAGACCGAGGACTGCGCCGCGCTGGACAATGGTGTGGGAGATATATCGGAGTTGCTCATTGCACAGACTCGTGGCTGTTGAGGTTGTGTGGAGGAGATTTGGTGAAGAGGCGATCTGAGGCGTTTCCGGACGGAATCCCGCGTTGCGCGCTGAGCCTGTAAGTATGATGTGGGGATCTTCGATGATACGAGGCGGGCTACAGCGGGGCTCAATGCAGGGAAAGAAACGCGGAAATGACGCGCTAGTGAAACGCGAATAAACGTGATCGCACGACAGAGAGGATATCCAAGATTTGAGCGATCGTAATTGTCCTCGTTCTCTACAACAACGTACGCGAAGTATATAGTACATAGCCAGGCAGACAGAGTACTTTCGCTCATGAGATGAGAATCCAACTTCGGTCGGTGCGTACCAGCCCAAGCCCCCCTAAGCACCTAAGGCACAGGAACGCCAGTAAATACACCTTCAATGCCATGCCGCTAATCTCCCGCCCATCCAGTAATATGAGTGATTGACAAAGCCCTTTTTCATACAATGCGAGCTCGTGTGCGGTTTTCCAAAGGGTATACGTAACGCTTCTCGAGATTCCGTCAAAACTCCCCCATGTTCACTCCAGGAGTGATGTGTTCTCATTCGTTCTCGTTTTCACCGCTACTCTTTACGGGTAGCGAAATTGTTATCTTCTTCGGTGTTCCGCCGTCCTTGCCTGAATTAATTTGCGGCGATCTTCGGCGTAGATTTCGGAGGGTGGAGGTACTTGTGTTGCTTGATGTCGAGGCACGGCGTTTGGGTGCAGTTGTTGTCGAGATGTTGGCGAGCAGTTCGTCTTCCTCGTCCTCCTCTCTGCGCCGCTTCTCCGAGATGCGCTCTGGTGGTGACCCGGTGGCAATTGTTGATTTCGATGACTTTGTCTCTTGTTTAGCTTGGACGGGAGCGGTAGCGCCCCGCATTGCAAGTGGAATGTCCATGTCAACGTCTCCTTCCTCGGCATCGTCGTCAGGGTAGTTCACCAATGGTCGTACGGGCGATGCTCCGTTGAGGACTACCTTTCCGGGAGCTGCCAACTCGTCCTCGTCGTCGGACGTGTTGAAGTATGCTTCCTCTTCCGCATCAATGTCCTTTAGCCCTTGGCCCCACTTGCCGCCATTAACCAGACCAGCCGTCCTGACAGGCGTCTCGCTTTCCACGCTCGTGAAAGAATGATCCAACTCTTGTGTGGTCACTGGCTCTTGCATCTGATCGTAACGCAAAATGAGGTTCTGGAACGTGTCGACATATGTGATATCCTGCAGCTTTTCGCGATATGTCTCGACTAAATGCTGAACAATGATCTTGATATTTTCACGCTTAATGAACTCGAAAAGCTCGAGGCAGGCCGAGTTAAGGAGATTGTCTCGAGGCATGGTGTCGAACAGGACCTGAAGGATCGGTTCGAAAAGTTGATGCTGAATGATTTGCCGGTTGTGAGTTTCGTCGTGTAGGGCGATGACTGTGCGGAAGTATTTTAGGGCAGCTATATCGCGTCAGCAGTTGTTGAGAAAGGGCACAGGCCATCCGTACTGAGTTTGAGGTGCTTCTCGGGACAGCTCATGAGCTGGCCGACTCTAGCTGCCAAACCCTCTGAGAGAATGAAGTATTTGCTGCGGTAAGAATGTTGACGGATGAAGAAGCACAGGACTTCGACCAGATGAGCATAGAGCGACACATCCTGGATCGAGAGATCATTCACTGGTTGATGTTAGTCTTGCTCCGGGTAAGTGTTAGATCTAACTTACTCGACTCCCTGCCTTCAAGATCTTTAAGGGGTTGGAACAGCTTCCTTGCAGATTCGTCGTAGAAGTTTTGTATAAAGGAGTCGGTCTGGGGTATTGATGGCAGCTGGCCTCGCATCTTTGCCAAGAAGTCGCTGTTGGTCCGTCCGAGCGCTTCAATTGATGCTGAGTTGGCGTTGGGGTCTAGTAATATCTTGATCGCGTCTGCCATTTGCGCCTTTACCCCCAAATCTACCTCAATGAGGAGCAGCTCGATCAGCGTGTCCGTCAGGGGTTTCGACTTCTCCTGGATAGCCTTGAAGATGTAGCTCCGGACCATCAGAGCGTCGTGGTCTATCAAGGAGACCAAGATATCTGTCCCTGCAACACGCACCGAAGCGTCCTGGTGCTTCAGTGCAAACTGAATAACCTCAAGTAGACCATTGCTGATGAAGTTCTGATACAGCTGGGCACGGGCGTTTGCCTGCAAGCTCTTTGCTATGGCGCAACACTGCTGGATGAACAGAACGGCATCCTTCTTCCTCTGCATGTTTTGCTCTTTCGCGCTGAAAATGCTGAACAGCTCCTTGAGGAAGGGGAGATTTGCCTGCAGGTGCTGGACAATGTCGACTTGGTGGAAAAATATAAGTGAGTTGAGCACCGAGAAGGTGGGGTCGTCGAGGATGCGAGCTAGCACAACGTCTTTGAGGTATTGTAGGCGGTACGTCGAGTGGATCTTCCGTTTTATCATCTCGTCTTCGATCTTGACCACTTCCTTAAACTTAGACTCATCGGCGAGATACTGTCTGTGGTTCGCCTTGTGCAGGGGAAAGTCCGGATCGTCTGCAGATGTCAGTGATTTGGCATGGAGCAAGCCTGTCCGACACGTACATTCGAGCGCGCCGACAACACCCAGTATAATGTCATCGTGGACCACGTATTCGATGATGGAAGTGTCGTTGAGCAAAATGAGCAGCTTCATGATGCTGCATAGCCGATGCAGGTCTGAGACGCTCTCTAGATCCTCGGCCATGTCGACCAAAGGTATCAGCATGGGGATGTATTTCTGCGCCAGGATGAATTTGGCAAGAGCGTCGCGACCGCCCGGGGTCGAATTTGCAGCGCGCATGTGGTTCTCGATCTCGTGAAGGTTGCCGAGGTCGGGATTGGGGAGCATTATAGGACCAATGTTGTCGACGTCGTCTGAAAGACCATCGTCTGCGTTAGATCAGCTCTGCCGTGCAAGCACAACGGAAAGAACGCACCTTGAGCTAGCTGCTGCAACCGTGACTGCACTTCATTGACAAAGTCCCTATGCAACGTCAGCGCATACGCTACGAGATTCATGTGCAGTGGGCGTACCAGATGTTCGCGCAGCCCTCCGGCTCCTGGAAGCTGAGGGCCATGTCGGTGCCGTTCTGCTCGGTCCATACTATGAGCGTGTCTTGCTGCTTCTGGTAGCCGTCATCCTTGCTGATGCGCGTCTCCAGCAGCTGGCGCGTCTGGTCATCCTCAGACAGCACCACGATCTTGGCATCTTCCTGCTGCATTACACGTCAGCCTAATCCATCGGCACTGCGACGCGAACCTACATTCACCACGACACCCCTGCAGAAGCCGGTGCCCCTGTCGAACCAGTCATTGTTCTTGAGCTCGTAGACCTTGACGCGCTTGCGATCTTGGGCTGGTGGCGCTACCAGGGCCATCATCCACGTGAGGTCTCTGCCAGCACTCTGGCGGCGACAGATCTCCTCTCCGCGGCAGGCAATGCGGTCGCGACGGGGTGCGCAGGGCAGAGGCGGGTGGCGCGGCTGGTTCCGAGGTCGCGATGTTGGCCGGGCGTCGTGTGCGATGTTCGCGCTGGGCGGATGACGATAGGAGGCTAGGCGGGCAGCAGACGCTGCGTGGGCGCGAAGCAAAAGAACGCGACGGGACAGCGGGGTGCTTCGGTGCGATGCGCAATGCGCGCGGGGTCAGCGACAGGCTGGATGCGCAGTATCGTGACTGCGACGGTTGCTCGGGTCGGTGGTGGGTGTGATCGTCCCGGCGCGTTGCGTGCGTGCGGCCTACAGAGACAGCGGACAGACCAGCGGAAACGCCAACTAGCGCGGGTTCGGAGTAATCGATAAGGCTGCTAATTAAAGCTGGACCGCGGCAAAGGCTGTCTTGAGCCGCAACACCACGCGGGGCCGTGATGCGGAGAACAGGTGCGCGATCAAGGGCAATTTGCAGCCGTCACTGCACGAGCTTGCATCTGCTGTGGAAGCTGCCACTGCCAGTGCAGGCGCTCCTTCCTCGACGCTGAACCTCTGACGCCATGTGTCTTGGCATTGGCGACTTCAAGACCACGATGCTGTCTGGGAACGTCCAGTCTGCCATGTCTCAACCACCACTACCTACCTTGCATCATCGATCATGCGTTCTTGCTCACACCGTGAGGCTCTGATGTCCGCCTTGGAGTGTGGAGAAGATGTCACCCCCGCTAGCTCGAGGCAGCATTTATCGCAGTGTCTCGTCTCAAACCATACATCTCAAGTTTACCTGACAAACTACCAATGCCCATCTGTAGATGCTTGGCCTCTGTGGTCTATCAATAGGCCACAGAAAAGGGCTGTCCCATTCCTCCAAGCATGACCAGCCTTGTCCAATGACAGCCCAGCAGACCCTGAACCAGTTCCGACAAACGTGTACCCAACAATGCAGACCTTGGGGAGGACGTCAGTCATCCCTTGGATTTCACGTCAACCTGAGTCCTCACGTCACGACCTGGGTCCCAGCTTGAGCACGAGCGACGTCAGTCTCGACTGACGACAGTCTATCGATGCGCAGAGTCTCCAGAGGCGCCAACCAGTCGGCTTCGACCGTAGTAAGTCTTACAGGATGGTCCACATGGCTTGACTAGCCGAAGCTTCTTCTTCATCGACGATACCCTACCGGTCGGCACCAGGTCCATGTGTCTTTGTTGGATGACAGGCACTCCTCAATGGTCGAGAAGCGGGCAGAGGCTGGTACAGGCACACATGGACCCCCACGGCCATGTAAACTTTCGTAGGAGCAGGGACGTGATAGAGTATCTACTGGGTACGCAGATAAGCGCAGGGCAGCGGCGCCTACTTCACCAAAAGAGCAACCGAGTCGCAAAGGACAGACACTCTACATGAAACGTGTTCCAAACAGGACTTCGAAATTCTCCGCATTCCATAGACAAGCAACAACCGGCGCTTGCTGTAGCGATAAAGCCTCACTCGATACGCTTCGTCAATCGTCACGGCTCAAAAGAGTAAGACGATAATCGATTACATATAACGGATCAGTTATGGGACTAGCGCCATCTGGCACATGAAACTGGGACTGGCTACCTGCCTGTCTGGTTGGCAACTCTGATTTCTGGGACGCAGAAGAGCGTCAGCGCGCGGCACAGTCCAGATTCACGGGCTCACCTTGGCCACTTGGCCAATATCGGCACAGCGGCGGCAGCACAGATGCCTTCGTACAGCTGACAGCGTTATCAGTGATCACCATGCGCTGTGTTCTGTGCGTCCCCTGACACCCTGGGTTGCAGTCGGTCTCGACTTCCTGCACCAACCTCAGGCATCGTACCGGATTCTTATCTGTGCCGGTCAGTCCCAGTGCTAACTTTAGTTGCAGCTGTCATGGCCGCGCTTTGAAACTAAAAAACTGGTTTTGCTCTGATGCTGTTGTTGACGTGTCGCACCTCAACGCTTGGAGACCGCCAACCCGGCTTCCTGTGGGCTTGATTGTGCGCTGAATCCCCATGCCCACTGTTTCGTCCGTCTCGACCGTGCACGCGTGAATCGCCGTACTGTTTTTCACGGTTCCTGATGGGCTGATAGTCTGAAGCGGGAGCTAACGACTTTAAATATTTACTAGTCACGGCTAATGCTTGTGGCTGCATCCTAATAGTTCGGTGCACTTCCGTAGCGCCATTACCAAACACGCACTGACAAAAACGCAATCAACTCTCGCTCAGCCCGGCGGGTTATTGTTGGGCCACTATCTCTTAGCTATATCCCATGCTCCATGACTTGGACGTGACATCCTGTCGCAACATCAAACCACAACTTTCACAATTTTTCGACATCTACCGGCTTAATACATATCCACTCTACCCGACTCGATGGCATTCTTCTCCAAACTGAAAAAGGCAAAGGAAGCCGCTGATGAACACAAGAAAGAAGCGGCTGTTCAAGAGCAAGAAAAGCCCAAGGTCCCATACAAGCATGTTCCCGTCCACGCAGGTAGAGACGCTCTGTCAGCCACCCCATCGGCTATACGCCCCGATGAATTGAGGGAGAAGATCGCAGCGGCACGAAGGAGCAGGTCCATATCAAACGCCAGCGCACCCACGAGATCAGGCTCCGCAGTGTACCAGTCTGCGAACCCAACGCGATCGCGTCCCAGCTCACTATACTCTTCCCCAAGCTCTACTGTCTCCTCGGCCAGCCACAGTCGCAATGGAAGCCTAGGCAGGAGGACGAACAGCGACCTGTCCATTTCCACCATGATGCATTCGCGCCAAGAGACGCCTTCACGTGGACGCCAACCTGTGCGGCACGACTATTTCAGCCACGCATCGGGCGTCCCTGCTGTACCCCAGCTTCCTGCACAGCATCGCCCAAAAGCTCAAAAGCCCGTCAGCAGCCGCTCTTCCATGACCAAGAGGAGAAGCCCGCTCTCAGCCATGTCCATTACTGAAGATGGTATGTTTAATCACTTCTTCCGCGTGGCGTTTCTGACCTTGACAGATGAAGCTGGCGAGCCGTCTTCTAGCAGCTCACAGGCCTCAGAAGGCTCTGTGGCTTCTTCGAGTAGGTTTTACCCATGCATTGGAAGTGTGACATGGCTGACAGATCTGCAGAGAGCTCGGCGACTGAAATCTCAAGGCCTAACAGCAGCCAAGACCACTCCAAAGACATGGCTGGAGACATTACCAATGAGCAGAACTACAGCCGGCCATTGTCCACTGTTACCTCAGCAGCAGAGGTAGCTGCTCAGACGCAGCAAAAGAAGCTCCCAACCGTCGAAGTCACGGCGAAGCCTCAGCTCACACAGAGGAAGTCCCTGAAACAACGATTTTCCCTTTTCTCCCGCAGGAGCATGGTCGTTGCTGCACACTAGATGATATCATACTATTAACAGCGGATATTGGTGCATGACGAAGGTTCTTCGCGGCACAGCACACTCTCTGACCTGTCTTTTGGCGGCTACATTCACTTTGTCGCAATATACACAACTAGCATTTCGTTCTAGCGAGGCGTTTGGGCTTTGAGGGATCACTATGGGCACTACAAGTCTACAACACAAGGCTTTTCCTTGATGTCACGAAGGAATAGGATGGGAATGTGAGAATAGGTACATAACCGGCACAACTATATGAATCGAACATAAAATCCAAACACAAGCTGCTCCGTCAACATCAATACGAATCGTAAGCGACAGGTTTCAAGTTTTCAGCCTCAACGTGCACGACGACCCACTCCTTCGGAGCTTCCCTCAAACGGTCCTTTCCTCTTCTCGTTCTAGTTCAGCCAGCCACATTTCCAGCTTTCAGTCTCTTCCTGTGATGAGCGCACGCGTTATCTTCTTTGGGGACGCCGAATTGATACGACATCCTTCGGTGTACACGAGAAAGTGGGTAGGCATGCCTGACACGTCACAGATCAGCGCACCCTGCTGCACAAACAATCCAGATCCGCTCGGTTGGGGAGCAAGCGGCACCTCGAACAGGGTTAGGCATTCCTTGACACCATGTACCGAGATGGCAAATCTGGACTGTCAACTTTCAGGACGATCTTCTTTGCTCCGTCCGTGGGGTGGCACGCCTCGGCTTCGAGATCCCTCTCGACACATTCTGCAACGCGTATCCAGCATGGCACATGCGTGCGTCGCACACACACGTTGCGGAGCACATTCCGAACCTAGTATGGCAGTGTCGTGGTGCAGCGGCGTCAGCACGCTCGAGCAATCCTGAATTCCCAAGCCATGCTTTTTCGGATGAATGGCCCGCATTCCAGTGTCCCTGATTAGGCTACAGCAAGCCACAACGAAGCTGGCAAGCGAGAAACTACCTAGCTTAGCAGGACACCGCTGGAAGAGAAAGTGCGTCTGACTCGATTGGGAGTCGAGACGGGAGAGGAGATAGGGACGCCTATTTTAGGGCAATGTGGCAGTAGCGTGCGTTGGCTTGAAAATTGGCGTTGGGAGGCTGGTCGACAGCCTTGCACAGAAGGGGGAAGGGAAGCGATAGGACTACGGAAGGCTACCGGTAGTCTATCGTTTCAATCGGTCGTTGGTGTTGGTGTCGACTCGCCCGAGGTCATCGCGGTCCGTAAAGGCGTGTGGCTAAGATCGACGGATTGTCGTGGAAGGGCGCGGCCCACCCGAGATCGACAGGGGACGTCGACCCTGGCGTTTGGCTGTCGTTCCAGGCAACCAGGACCAAGGTTCGACGTTGCTGACAAAGTTTGGTAGACACCACGGTCCCCCCAATCTGTCGGGGAGCTGCCAAACGCCACGACGACCTCATCGCGCTGTAGCTGTGGCATCGGAGTTGTGACTTGCGCTCTAATTTCCAGGATGAGGAGACTCAGCTGTGAGGGGCGCAGCTCGCCCATCGATATTGGATTCAGGGTCTGGAGCTCGTCTGCATCGGAGGAATACCCTCTGGGCGAGAAGTCAGTCGTATTTGAGGCCTCTACAAGATTTGACCTATCCCTGCGGAGTCGTCATACCAAGCGCGACCACACCAATCATGACGGAATCAATACTTTCATGAGGCTGAACTCATTTCAACCCCAGATCGAAGTCTTTGCCCGCAGCTACACGCAGATCTCGCTGCACACCAGTGACAAGATGTTGGGCCACTGGTCAGGCACCAGGGTCAGCCAGCCTTGGAAATTCTTCACCCGTTCCATGGTTGACGACCGACAGAACCATAAAATTCAACCTTGTCGCATCGCTGCTCTACGTACTTCGTAAAGTGCCGATCGGGTGTAGCGTGCACCGTGCACGCGTTAGATGAAAACGAGGCTAGTCGCGTGAGCACCATGAGCTCATCCAACGACCTGACCCCACGTTCCGAATCCGAATCTGGGGTCAAGACTGGTACCTGAGGCTGGGATGGACCCTTCGAAGCGCACGAAGGAGGCGTTGCTTGGTGAGTTAGGTTCCCGTTGTTTGTTCGCAGTCTTGAGGCGCAGTCATGGCCTACAGAGCCCGCGAGCAGCCTTATTCAGGGTTGCCAGGCTTGTTGCCATCGCTGCGACTGGTCTTCGTACGACTGTCCCAGAGCCTAGGCGCAGTATTCTGGGTTGAAGGTCACTGCTAGCCTTCAAGGAAGCTCCGAGCTTCCAATGAATAGCTCGGCGTTCATTGCGCCTTTCCAATCCCCGCTTCTTTGCTCAGTTGCGCCTCCGTTCGAGAACGTTGCCAATTGACGCTATTCAGCTCGTGCAGAGACTCTCTGTGACGCCATAACACCGAGACACGATGATCCCGACCCTGCTGCCGGCGACGGCTACCTGAGCACGATCTTGAAAGCGGTCAAGATGGACGGTGCGCCGCCAAGCACCATGAACGCAGCAAACGACTATGCCACGAGTGCAGCGAAGGAACTGACCATCAGGGAGCAGACTGCCGGTCTGGTGGGTTGCCAGTAGCCATCCGTCGTGGACAGGTTTGCTGACTAGGTGTGGTAGATCAAGACTACGCAAGACATTGCAACCCTGATTCGAGATCTTCAGGAACTCTGGCTCTTTGGAGGTCTCGACACGCTTCAAAACCCGGCAGACGAAGAGGCGCAGAGGAAGAAGGCTGTGGAGGTTGCAGGCATAATCGAGGTTCTGGCGCAGCAGGAACCCATCACAAAAACGCAAGACCAAGAGAACGGTCTTGGAGCTACTACATGAAGCGGTCGATCACACAACGAACACGCAAAGGCGGGGGAAGATTTCATGATTGACTTCCTGCATCATTCCCGGAATAACATACATTGAGTCCACATGTAATGCTGCGCGACGGAATGATCTGACACAACCGTGTGTACGCTCCGAAGGGAGGAGGTTACACTGTCGCTCCGCAAACCAGACTGTGGTATTTCCACACGTCCTCGCTGCATGTGGGGATAGACCGAAGACATCCAGATACCGATGGCCTCTACACGTCGAAGAAGGCAGGCATCAAGGCGGCTAAAACATGTCACAATTCTATCATTTCTGAATTTCCTGGTGTCCTAGAGTGAATTGGCCTCTTGTGTGTATAGAGAACACGTGTGCTTGCGTGGCTCATTCTCTGCTCGGTATTGTGGCACGAATACTGTGGCCTCGCAACAGCTTCGTTACGGTGAGCTTCGTGTGGTGACCACATAAACAATCCGAGGTGGTTTTGGTTGTGGGGCGTGCTGCGTGCACGGACCTGAACCTCAACCTCGAATCTCATTTTTGCTATTCCGTCTCTGCTTCGTGCACCATCCTCGATCGCGGTCATCACATCGCCTCCGCCGGCGTTTGTCGTCTGTCTCTTCCGGTTTCATCAACTTATGGCGTTCCCTGCTGTACATTGGACTTCATACTATCCACCGTTGACTTTACTATATCAGCCATTTCAAAATTGATAAAAGAGCTAGCTATGGATTTTTCTTCCTTCAGGACTTGCCAGAACGCCCCATGAACTAGTCGACAGGATCTTAGCGCAAAACACTGTGCTCAGGATGTTCCGATTACAGTCGGTCTGCCCGAATGTGCCAAAACATGCGATTCACACAAACCCAGTAAGGGTATGTGGACGTCGTCAGGCTACAGTCGTTGCTGGCGGTAAACGATTGGAACGTTATGTCGACGTAGTGCATACTCAAGCACCAGACGTACACCACCTTAACTGGTGGTATAGACTTCGTCCCAACAAGCTATTGACTACACGGCCTACGCCTTATGAAAGGCTCCAGAACCCTAAGCTCAGGCCCACTCTCGCACAACAAGAGAACATTATGCTCGGAAGATCTTTAATAGCAACACACGGAAGTGTTGAAATTGCTGAGCGAGCGCTGCTGGCTGCTGAACATCGGCTACATGGAAGTGTATCAGTTTGGTGGTCTGATGATAGGTTAGTTGACCTGCGCAAGTCGTGGGATGTTTATGGCTTCAATTCCGCTTGTGCTGCCTCTATTGCACACCAGCATATTGGCCTCTGGGAAGCCGCCTATGAAGAAGCAGAAGAGTTTGAAAAACTGTATACTTTGTTTCGTTTGAAACACGTAGTAGCACGGCGGTTCATCGAAGAGCTCATGAAACCATTGCTTTTACTTATCCAGCGACAAGTATTGATCGCCACCTGCCTGAGACAATCGCCTTCCAGCAGCATGGCTGCTTCTGGCATGCAGACTTTTGGTTTAACGAGAGAGCTACATGATCTGTACAAAGCTTTTAGACACGGGTACATTGCAGCCAGGTCGCCCTCGAACTTCGATAGTCGATATGACATGGCGAAAGAACGTGCCTTTCGCCCCTTTGTCGCTTTTCGCAGCACAACAGAGTCTTTGTGGAAAAGTGTGGAAGCGCTTCTTAACTTTACTGAGCTTGGCGCCAGCCGTTTATCAGTGCCACTGAAAACTTCCCTAAACAGGCACCTCCTATTTAGCACCGACGTCGCCTCCGCAGAAGCGGACCTAAGCCTGATAATAATTAGAAGACGGTCACTGAGGATCAGTCGCCAGCAGAACATCTTTAGTGCTCTTCACAGCAATTTCAAGATGACATGTAACGCACAAAAAATTCCAGGAACTACATTTCTCGGACGATTCAGGATCTCTGCATGCAGGCGACGGAGCTTTGTCGAAAGCATAGGTGGAATCCCTCGCCTATCTTAAGACACGAAGATTCTATTCTCGAGGCACTCCGCAAGGTCGACAGCGGTATGGAGGAGGTCGCTTTGACGTACTACAACGACTTCCTGCCTCTCTGGGATAGAGGCGTTAAACTCATGTCGCCCTGTGAGCTAACTCGTCAAAACCGGATCGCGCAAAGATATTGGTTCTCTCGCTTCGTACTTGACAGAGGGTATAAGGTGCGTCAGGCACAACTGAAAGCGATGTCCAGGACTATGTATAAGGCCTATCGCCTACCCGATAGCCGTTTCAGATCCAAGACTCTTAAGGCGAAGGCATATCTAGACGGCCGTGTCGCAAATGTTCCGCAGTACTTAGATGGAAATACCGCGCAACACTTGCTGGCGCGACACGAGACCCTCTCCTTAGCAACTCAAGCCCTACACAACTATCAAGGTCAAGTCAGGGAACATGCAAGGGATTTGTATGCATATCTTCGGAACGACCCATGGAATAACTCACACAATCTCTTCACACATAATATGAGCATCGACCACACTACCTTGTTCTACCTTGAACAGAGAAGATTGCTCTCTGCAGTTGCGTATAAGCAGGCGCAAGGTGTGGCAAGGCATATTGCCTTGCATGCTTTGCGCGAGGACATGTCAACAGTCTCTGTCCTGAAGTATATGCTTCCCTTTCGACATCAGGTTCATTTCCTGTCCTGGATGCATGGGACATTGGAAAACTGTCCGTATCCAAAACTACAGAGACTATCATCATCCTTTGACATCCTCGCCACCGAGACTCAGACGATTGTCACCGGCCTCCAACGTACAAGAGTCCTTGCCACTCTTGGAGATGATCAGGAGCGGTGCCATGAAATTGCCAAAAATCGTTTTACGAGAAGCTACACTGATCTTCTGGTGTCTTGTGAAAGCCTCACAGACGCAATGGATCACTACTTGGAGAACCACACCACTCCTAGCAAAGGGTATCGCTCTTCGTATTTACCACGCGTATTGAAAAACGCGCTTTCAGTTATGCCTGATTTCATTCATTGTATCCATGACGCAAAAGATGCTTCCACCGTAATCGGGATGAGGCGCCGTGGGTCTACGAGTCATCCTCAGCAGAATATTTTCGACATTCTGCATCATCACATCTACCTAGTCCTTGTAAATACCCGTCGAACAGTTGCAGAAGTTCAACGCAGGTACAGAGCTCTTTTCAAGAAGAACTCACGCTCAAGCGCGATCTACGGGTTAGAGAACGTGTTGGTACAAAGAATGCACGACGTCGGATACATCAACAAAGCACTAGCAGACATAGCTCACAGAGATTTCACTCCTCTCTGGATAGCACATATCGAAACCATGTCATCGGAGGAGCTCGAACGTCAGAACCGAGTTGCCCAACGTCACTGGGTGAAACAGTGGACGTCCATCATGGCGAGAACCTCAGTAGTTGTCAAGGGCCTAGACGATGCTGCTAGGGCCATCAGGGGAGCACACTGCCTCCACGTCGAAGCGCCTAGGTACGAGGACGGGAACTCAACTCACATCCAATGGTCGGACTTTGGCAGACAGCACCAGTATCGTGCAATTAAAGAGATGCAACTGCTGGAGGAACGCTTTCCATCTCAATCGCCGAAGAGCGAGCAGGCTCTGCAAGAGCTCGTGGGTGTAGATATGTCCGTCAAACCATTCCAGCGACGATCGGCGAAGGGCGAATCCCTCAACGAACAAAGGAAACAAGAGCAGGGCAGGAGGAGACTCCACTCGCGTTCTGCAAGAGACAAGAACTCCAGTAAAAAAGATCAGGATGGTGGCAGGCTATCCAGACCACTTTCTCCAATGGACAAGAACTCCAGTAAAAAAGATCAGGATGGTGGCAGGCTATCCAGACCACTTTCTCCAATGGACAAGAACTCCAGTAAAAAAGATCAGGATGGTGGCAGGCTATCCGGACCACTTTCTCCAATGGACAAGATCCCCCGTAAGAAAGATCAGGAAAAGGGCAGGCTGCCCAAGCCACAGTCACTAAAGGGCATATCCCTCAGTGACACAAGGAAACGAGACCATGACAAAGGCCTCAGAGGCTTGAACATTTACCCTCTTGGCCCTTTCTGAAACATGACAGCTCCGTGGCGGTATCGGGGGTCCTTCGTGCAATATATTTGAAGATTACATGTTGTTACGAGGGAGTCGGCAAGAACACGCGAGGGTCGGATCGAGTGACATTCGGTTGTCTCACGTAGTGCAGCGCAAGTCCGTTTGCCCTGGTAAAGTAGATGCCTGTTGAGCGCGACGAGCAAACGACCCGTTGATACAAAGAACCACATTATCTGAGCGCATATTTTTGAGCAACAGTAATGTTGTGATCGGGATGCTGCAGCACAGCACAGTAATTCGCTCTCACGTTGAAAAGCAGCATTCCACAATTCACACGTACGATCTGTAGACTACAGCAGAGACAAATTGCACGACAGAACATAGTCGCAACGATCAATTACTCTCGATCACCTCACATCGCAGCTCTCTTACCTCAGCCACAAGTCTGACGAAAGCTAGCTTGGATTCCCGCGGACACTCACCCCACAACTGACCTCTTGATAAACCCCAGGCTCAAGCCCCCGCCACTTTCACCCACCGGAGCTTCGATTTGCCTTCCACCAAGTAAGCAGCACGGCTTACCGACTACTCCTCGAGTGAAAACGAGATTGAAACATAAGTAGCCCAAGTTCTCACGAACCGCGCGACAAGAACTCGCAAAAGGTTCAACACAAGAGTGCGGAAACTGTGAGAAATGAAAGTGGTGGCTCCGACCAACGACAAATTCCACACAAGCGGTTTCCGGACAGCTTGAAGCGGGAGTCACATCACAAAGAGCACAGCCGCAGCAATGCCCGACAAGATGTCGCGATTGATGTCGCTCAGTTGGGGAGCATCGGCCAGTCAGCCCTCCCGCGACAAGAACATGAAGAAACGAACTTTGCCAACTCCAACATCTCCAGCTGCTACCAAGCGGCAAAAGTCCGGCCCGTTCATAATCGACTCAGATGAGGACAGTGATGGAGACCGCGGAAACGATGACGGACCGGTTGAAAATGATGGATCAGAGACTCTGGTGACTCCAACAGGAAGTGTCAGGAACAGACTCCAGTCTCCACTTGCCAAAGATGACGGTATGATAGCTCCGGGCGCAATTTTGCAGCAACAGGCGTCGAACGGGTCTGAATGCCTGACTTTCGGTTCAAAACCAGTCACAGCTTCGCAGCCTGGCAAGGAGAGAAACAATGATCGATTCAAAATGATGATGGCAAGGAAACAAGGTGGTACCGTTGCGCGTGGTTCGGAGCAAAGGCCATTGCAGACTGGGTTGCGAAGTCGACCGATGAACATTACACATGCAAGCAACTTGTGGCAGGAAAAGCCTTTGAGCTTTACGGCGGATGACGACTCGCTTCAACTAGATGGGCCGCAGCGAGGCACCAGTTATCTCGGTCCAAGGGGAGTACGTCAGCAACGAGATACGCCTCGATGTAGCTCATCAGCACACGCTTCTGCAGATGCTCGGTCCAACCCATCTTCTGGGACTGTAGGAAGATCGCTATTTGAGGTCGAATATCCTTATCAGACTCATATCGGTCGCCCACAAAAGCCTGCTAATGAGGAATATCCTCAGCTTGCCACGGCTGAAGCACGCACACGGCAACCTCCAACTTCACGTGCCCCCAATTCATCTGTGTCGCGAAAAACGGAGACTCCAAGATGGAAAACCCCGCCAAATAGCTGCTCTTTGCGCAACATACTGGATGTAGCCAAAGCTGAAGACAACGGCGCAGCGCAAAAGCAAAACAGCGTTGGCAGTGAGTGGCGCAGAGCTCAATCTCAGCGAGCATCGATGGTGTCAGCCAGAAAAGTGCCGAAGCCTGAGGTTGGTGCTCGATATGGACATACGTTGACAGCAAAGAAGATGAGTGCCGCAGAGAAGGCGCCAGTGGATACGAAAAGCGCGAGAGGCTTCAGAGATGACCAGATACCCGTGGCTCGTGATTCAAATTCTCCAGGAGTTTCAGTGGAGGGAACAAGCTCGAGGGCTACTTTTCCTCCTAACGCAATTGTACCTGCTAAGCGGAAGCCAACACCTCAGTCGATTCAACCTGCGAGACAGAAGACTGTGCCTCGCCTTGTCAGCCAAGGATCGCCCAAGATGGCGTCAGGCAGCAGTGAACTATCAGCTCCACCTAATCCTACGAAGGAAACAGTCAATTCTTCTCCTCTCGAAGAAACACCTAGAAGACCTGAGCGGATGTCCAACGTTTCATCACCAACAGATGCTCTGTTTTCCGAAGTGGAGTGTACCACAGGAGAAATCACCATGAAACCACAGTCACCGTCGCTTTTGGAGCCCACTACTCAGCCTAGAAGCTCAGTCGGACTGCTCAGTGATGTTATGGTACGAGACATCACTCTCCAAAACGAGGCAACGGATACGTCCAAACTATCAGACACTGGTTACAAAGTGCCTATCTCTCACGAATTCGAGGTTTGTGAACCACGCTTCCCGTCTTACGAGTCTGCGGTTCGAACGAACGTGCCTGTCGCTGTGATGGTTCGTCCTAAGCAAGGGCTGTCTGGACCATTTCTCGCAGGGTAACAACAACAATAAGCCGCTCGTTACAATTCCTGGAGACGTTGGTATCGAAACTGGCCATAAAACGAGCACAGATGACGCTCTCGAAGGTTCTCAGGTCGCCATGGAGGTGGATGACGCACAAAAACACGCTGCTCTAGCAACAAAAGTCTGTCCGGAGACGGCTGGTCGTATAGGAGAGATATCAGATGCGAGCGGTCTTATGAAGACAGAGCCTTTTGTTCCTGGGAGAGTCAAAGAGGTGCACATTTCGTTACCCTCAAATGCTATCACTTCGAGACAGCAGCCATCAAAGTCACCAGAGCCAACAGTATTGCCAACGCCTATCGACAGCGATCGTGGAACGCATCACTCATCTAAACCATCCTCTTCGGTAGCCTCACAGCGTGTTCTCGAGCCCGGTAACCCACCAGAAGGAACACAGCTAGAGCCTGTCGCCATAACGATGCCAACACGATCTACGACAGAACCATCTTCGCCGCAGCCTTGCTTTACCGTGCCCACTGTTGTGGACGCGGCGACCTCGACAATGGATATGGCAAACCTATCAGTACCATCTCCAACCCCATGCTTGGCTTCCCCAGTAGCGATCGTGCTCCCCTCTCCAAACATCTCCCCTGACGCTGAGCCATACTACGAGTACACAGTTCACCAAAGCCTCACATCATTGTCATCCGGCAACACTGTGACTGATGTCTCGGCTCAACCGCTGATGTCCATCGACGTGGCGACCTCACACACCGAGACTTCTCTACAAAACACAAAACAGCAGTTCGAGCTGCTTGGTCTACTCTGCCGATCGACCAGATCCCAGGTTGACGAAGATGGACTTACAGTACACGAGGCCATCTTCGAAAGCAACGACAAAGACCCCAGCAAAGCCGCAAAACTCACTCTGTGGATAACCAGAGCTGAAGTGGGTGTGCACGCCAACCATACGCCTTCAGCCCACTCATTGTCACCCTCAGTCAGCCGCACTGTGTACTTGCTCCGGCTGTGGGAGCTAGTTGACGCCACCAAAGAAGAGTCCGACTCCGAGTCCAACAATGACGACGAGTTTGAAGACGAACAAGATACCCATGATGCCGAACACCAACAGCACAAGCAAACGCGTACTCACTGCCCACTCCCGCCCATCTGCACCGAGATCCACACATCTCTAGACGCCGCGAACCGCGCAGCAAAGCGTGTTCAGATCTACCTGAGCCACGATAGAGACCCCAAGACGCCGCTGGATAAGCAATGGCAGCACCAGAAGTTGCAGGAGCTGAACTGCAAGGTCGAGGATCTGCGGAAGGAGGTCGAAGACGGCGAAACTGAGGAAGTGGACGAATCCCCGTCGCTGTTCGAGTTCGAGCAGGGTAGAAGGAAGGGGTGCTGGAGGAGCTGGTTTGATGGGGTTGGGCCTGGGGCTACCAGTTACGAGTTACTCGTGTGCAAGGTGGGATTGAGTGGACCGCGGAACTTGTAGTCGCCGTATGCGGGAGGGGAGCTGGTGAAGGAGGAGGTTACTGTGCTTTACGAACATATGACTGCTTTCCGAAATGACTTTCATCCACACTGACACACCGTTCATCTGTTCGTACTTTTGTACTTATACAGTGTAGCAGGGGTAAGTAATCAATGTAGATCCATGAATATTCTTCTTCTAGCAGCACCTCTCCGCAAGTGATAGTAAAGCACACTAGACTAAACAATAAAGTGCTAATATCAAAGCTGGATTTTTTTATATACCTCTATAGGTTATGTTTTATTAACAGCTAGGAAGTCCTGTGACACATTGACTACTTACCCCTAACATACTGTATCACGAAGTACAAGATCGCTACGGGAAAAGACTGAGTTCGTTACACGCGAACAGCAAGAATGAACCGGAAAAGTGTAACACCAGCGCACGTTGGTGCTTTGGGGGAAATGCAAAAAGAGTGCAAAAAAGAGTGCAAAAAGAATGCAAAAACAGATAGCTGAGACTGGTTTCGATCCAGTGTCCTCCGGGTTATGAGCCCGGCGCGCTTCCGCTGCGCCACTCAGCTTTATCTCTGATTGGATGAAGGTATCGAGAAATATTTGCAATATATATAGAGTAAAAACTGCCGTAATAACTGTGGACTTGTAGAACAATATCTAATATCCCATTTTCAATTTGACACTGATTTAAAATCTTTCTGTGGGATCAGGACCGAGGCGCGGAGTGGGTCTGCAAAAACCTGTTCTCAGAGATACACCTGTGAACAGCGACAACATCAAGGATCCGAATTTTCTCTCAACACACCGGACACTCCAACACAGAAAATAATTCATAGTCCGATGACTGCACTCAACACCTCAATGGCACTCATCTATCGAGAAGCGGGTCGAATCTCGGTGGTAATCTGACATCTCGCAGATGCTCTACAGTACGTTCTACAGGGGGTTTATTCCTCCGGTTGTTAGCTCACGGGTAACCATCGAAAGTTTGGCCAATCCACAACAGATGCAACACCCTCCTAGAGCTTTTGACTTGCTAGATGCATGCCGCGCCGGCACACTGTATCAGCCCGACGTGTGACCCTCCTGTATGTAGAATTTACTAGTTATAGATCCACAGCCTCGTCGGTATCAATGAGCTGACAGTGATACTGCTGATGTTCGCGCCGATGAGCAACACGAATAAGAACACTGAACACACGATTTCGCGTAACAAGCCATCTCATACTTGATCGTCACTTAGACCTGCCGTCCGACATCATCCAATCTCACCTCTCCCTTCAGCGCGGCATCAAGTAGCCACGCCTGCTCTGGCGCCAACTTCGCCGGCTCAAAATCCAGATTGAATTCCCTCTCTCTATCTGGCTCAGGCTTTCGGACACCCAGACGCTGCAGCACCGCGACTGTATCCTGCACCGACTTCCCCTTGCGCACGCTATCCACGAAGTCGCTGCTGTACCCGCAATACAGACCATTCCTCTCTTTGGGTGGGGAGAAGTTGCTTTCCGGGGTGGCGCCGGCGACAGTCTGGTTGCGCTTCAGCCGGTCGATGGTCGCGCCTAGGCCCTTGCTGATCTTGAACGGACTGGGAAGCGGCTGCAGGGTGGCGAGGGCTGCGGGTGGTACGTAGGAGATTTGGCTTGTTGTGGCGTGGATCAGGCTCACGAGCTGAATAGCGAAATGCTGGCAGTTAGTTGCGAGGAGTTTGTATTCGCCGCGGAAGATAGCGGCCCAGATCACAATGGCTGTGTCATCAGTTGGCTTTCTGTGGAAGAGATGCGAGCGTGAGACTTACCGTTTTCTGTGATGTAGATATCGCTGCGGAAAGTGATTCCAATAGGTATCTTATCTGCACTGTGGCTGGGGCGGTTGCGCTCCCACTCTTGTATCTTCATTGGCTTGTCATGTAGGGCGTATTCATGATCGTTGTCAACGTCGTTGAGGCGTGCGACGTCGTAGACATTGTGTCGGACCTGGATTGCCCAATGTTGGTATTGAATTCCGCGGAGCACGTCGCCAGCAGCGAACCCGCGTCCAGGTCCGGAGGTCTTCTGAGAAGCGTCGAGGGGCGCAGTGCGAAGGTATACATAGTCCCATGGCCGTATGCCCACAATCTCTTGGACTGGGGTTGCAGGAGCAGCGGGCGTGGCTTTCTTCTTCCCGAATAGGGACGGCATATTCGTGGATCGTACTGCAGCTACTTCTGTAGCTCTGGATGTAAGTGTATGAGCTGAAACCACAATCACCTGTGCGAGATTCTCGCGTAAGGCTGAAGCGCAGGTAAAGTACTCGCAGTTTTGACAACGAAGATTCGAGCTGAAAAGCTGGCTTACCATTCAGACTACATCTGAGACAGGGGTCAGAGCTATAAAAACATGATAGCGCCTTGCCAGCATCGTTGTGTGCGTTGTGGAGGACGTGGTGGTGGCTTAGCATAATCCTCACCGATAAATCGCTTGGCTGCAGGGTCACTGATACTGATTGGCTGCATGATCTAGGCAGAGATCGTCTTGACCTATGTCCTCGCACTCTTAGGCGTAGCAGAGCCTCTTGCGGAGGTTGCCATGATGTAGCAGGCGTGTTGGTGACCGGATGGGAGCTGCACTGTTGTCATTCGATGCTTCGCTCCACACCCTTCGTTGCCGAATCTCTTACGATGCGAACGCCACCTTGTCCAGATACTGAAGTTACAGTCGCTCTTTGCGCTCGAAAAGTATCGCCATGAAGCTGAGACTGTCCGATATCTTCTTGTACCTGTTGGCTTGGCCTTACTACTGGACTCTCCGCCATTACACTATCTATCCTATCCAGAGGATAGTTTTAGCGCAACACGATGAAGACAAGCTGCGGACAGCGGCTCGAACGTTTTTTCATGGAAAGATCAATGAGGCTAAGCTCGTCACCTTGGCTGTAAGTTTTGTCGAAACGGATGTTGTACCCCTGCTAACAACTCAGAGCACGTTGTCGGCGGCCGCCAGCTTCGCTGCCTTCTCATGGACGGCGATTGCAAGGGCCCCTTGGTTTGTGTTCGCGTTCTGGTACTTCAGCCTGGTTCTTGCAATCCTCAGCCTGATCACCGCCGGGCAGCACTCTGCCTTGATACACACCCTGATACAGCATGAAGACGCATTTTACGAGGCACTTCCCACTAAGGTCATCCTCAGACTGGTCGCACTCGATGTCTCAAGCCGAATCGGGGCTCAGCAGTCGAGCGGTCGAGGCCCGAACAGGTCTGGACCTCCAGCAAAAGCCAGGACAGAGGCACAGCAAAGCGCCATGATGGTTTACGTATGGCAGAATCCGGTGATGAAGATGGCTTGGTCGGTTGTAATGTTCATCCTGGGCCTGGTGCTGCTGATAACATCGCCGTTGCGGCACGATCCTCCGGGCATCGATGACCCTAAGATAGCAATCTTCGTCCTCGTTGCCGGCGCAGTCGTGTTGCTAAACTTCGGATGGTGCAGCTTTTGCCTGTATCGCGCTGCGAAGCACGACGATCTCATGGAGAGACCCGCCACAACGGCACCTGGTGAGGTCGATGGAAGCGCGCAAGTGGCAGCCGACCCATAAGATCAATTCAACTCCAACCATACGCAGCACGCATCACGCACAGTTCAACGACTGAAATCTGATCCTGTTACAGCGGGCGAGGAAGATGCTTCGTACGGCCCAGCTCTGTTCAGTGATGAAGAAGCCGGCTGCGGCATTGCAGGGGCGGAGAGCGGTGTCGAGCATCGCAGTGCAGGGCAAAACACAGCTGTCTGCAGTAGTGAGAGTTTGAGCTCGCATTGAATTCACAGAGTAGGAGTGGAATACGAGCTTCTGAAACGGTCTGGGACGGAGCGCAGGGACAAAGTAGAGAGAGCGGATCTCTGACATCACCTCGAGCCAAGAAAGTAGATCACGTGACCGATAACGTCGCCGCCTCTCCTGCAAAACACCGCAACCCTCTATCGCAGGATCTTTGACATTACCACATTCTATGGCCTCACATTGTGGTCTTCTCGGGGCTTGATGGGTGAAGGCGGGCAGGGATGAGGTTGTGCCAGGGAGGAGACCCCAGATAGGCGATCACCGCGCCGCGTTTGATCTAAAACACCGCAATCCTCTGTAGTATCATCATTGGTATCACTGCTTCCCCAGGCCTCAAAACGCGGCCGTCCAGAGTCCTAGAGGACAAATGCGGCTGAGGTGAGTTTTGCCTATGGCGAGTCGTATAGGTAACTCTAGATGAGTATCAACCACGCTGCCTCTTGTCCAAAACACCGCAATTTCTCACAGTATCATCTTTGTTGCTTTGTCTTACTCCGTGCAAAGATTGCGGTCTTTCTAAGCGTTGGTGTTTGTGGGCGGCCGGATGTTATCGAGGTCTTCCCCAAGAGCAGGTCTCATAACTCAAGATAGGCATCAATCACGCCGCCTCTCATTTAAAACACCGCAATTTCTCGTGGTATCATCTCTTCTGTTTTCATTTCCCCACCGCAAAAATTGCGGTCTTTTTGAGCGTCGTAGAGCAAAATGCGGTCGAGGGCGCGGGGTGGACCTGTCTTGGGCCACGCCCTTAACACCTCAACAACCTCCACCGCCTTTCGCGCACAAGCGAGATAAACATCGCAATCTTTGGTAGTAGGTAAAGACACCTAATACAAAACGATAGATGCAAAAAGGCGGTCCTTCCGAGTGCTGGGGCGCAGTGGCGGTGAGCACAGGTGACAGTTGCGGCCGGCGGCGCCAACTACAAGTCCACCGTACTTGGCCCACAACGACCGCAGAGACCGCAATCTTTGGCAGCAAGTAGAAGTGAGTAGCGAGAGATGGGTGACAAAAAGTGCGGTGCTCTTGGGCAGTGGTGCTCAAAATGCGGTGCACACCAATCGCCGGGCGGCGCACCTCAGTACAGACAACCAGAAGCCCAAGTTTTCCGGCCCGCCGGGACCGCAATCTCTGGCAGCGGGTAGAGACACATGTTGCGAGGGTCTGATGCAAGATTGCGGTCTTTCTGAGTGTTCATGCTCAAATTGCGGTGCACAACAGTCGCCGGGCAGCGCACCTCAATAAGACAACCAGAACTCCAGGTTTTTCGGACCGCCGGGACCGCAATCTTTGGCAGCAGGTAAAGACACATACTGAGAGACCCCGACACAAAATTGCGGTCTTTCTGAGATCTGGTGCGCAAAATGCGGTGCTCGACAGGTGACGGGCGGTGCGTCCTACCACAGCACCACCAAAAGTCGACCGCCCTTGACCCCTGCTGACCGCAGGTACCGCAAACTATGGCAGCGGGAAGCGATATATAATACGAGATCACAGTACAAGATTGCGGTCTTTCTGAGAGTTGATGCGGAAAATGCGGTGCGTAAGAGGTGATGGGTGGCGTATACTGACAGCCAGTATAGAACTACACCGCATTTTGCCCAAAAATGACCGCGTGCACCGCAATCTTTGGCAGGAGGTACAAAACTACAATACCTATCGATTGATAAAACAAAGTAGCGCCTGCGGGCATTGGTGCGCAAAATGCGGTGCGCAACAGGCGACAGACAGCGTGTACTACTAGCCGGCATATGACTACGCCGCAATCTGCGCAACAATGCCTGTAGGCACCGCAATCTTTGGAAGTACGTAAATAACTTCAACATGCTTCGATCGGTATCAGAAAACAGCGCCTCAAGATGTTGACGCGCAAATTGCGGTGCGCAACAGGCGACGGGCGGCCTATACGACCGGCCAGCATAAGTAGACCGCATTTTGCGCAAAACTGACCGCAAGCACCGCAATCTTTGGCAGAGGATAGAGAAGTGTAAGACGAGACGGCAATATCATATTGCGGTGTCTGCGGTCAGGTTTGAACAAAATGCGGTGTGGAACCGTCGACGGGCGACGTGTACTTACCAGCCAGCACAATCACACCGCATTTTGCGCAACCACGCTCAAAAAGACCGCAATTTCTGGCAGGATATATAGGAGTGTAGGAAGAGTCAGCGATACCAGATTGCGGTGTCTGCGGTCTTTTTTGAACAAAATGCAGTGTGCAACAGGTAACAGGCGGCGTGTGCTACCAGCGAGCATATATCTCCACCGCTATCGACCACCAACCCTTGAAAAGACCGCAATTTCTGGCAGGAGATAGAGGCACCCAAGATGAGTCAGCGATATCGGATTGCGGTGTCTGCGGGCATCTTTGTGGAAAATGCGGTGTTCGACGTAAGGGGCCCTGCTATGGTAAGCTGTCCCACTACAAGTCGACCGCCCTCTTCCAAAGTTGGAGAAAAACACCGCAATTTTCAATCGTAGATAGAAATACATGTGGAGAGACTACAACCAAGGATTGCGGTGTCTGCGGTCAATTTTGCGCAAAATGCGGTGTTCAACGTAGGGAGCCTTGCTGTAGTAAGCTACACGGGTACAAGTCGACCGCCCTCTTTCAAAGTTTGATCAAAACACCGCAATCTTGGACAGTAGGCATAGAAGCGCAAAAGAAGGCCATAGCCAAAGATTGCGGTGCACGCGGGCGTTGGGGACCAAAATGCGGTGCCTGACAGTAGGAGGTCTCACTTTGGTACCCATGTGACTACAAGCCGACCGCCCTCTTTCAAAACTGGGACAAAACACCGCAATCTTGGTCAGTAGATATATATACATACAGCAAAGCTACAGCCAAGGATTGCGGTGCATGCGGTCATTTTTGGTCAAAATGCGGTGTCCAACAGTGGGAGGTCTGACGTTGATGAGCCACGAGACGGCAAGACTCCAGGTCGACCGCTCTCAACGAACACACGAGTAAAACACCGCAATTTTTGGCAGGAGGTAGTAACACATGATAGAAGACTACAGCCAGATATTGCAGTGCATCCGGACGTTGTGGATGAGAATGCGGTGCTCGACAGTTGGTCTTAGAGTCCCCTACGAGCTGACAGGCTTTATGTTGACCGCTCTCAGCATATATGCAAGAAAAAGACCGCAATATTTGGCTGGAGGTAGATAGACATATTGTGATACTACAGCCAAAGATTGCGGTCCCGGCGGTCATTGGTGCGCAAAATGCGGTCAACTGGAGGAGGTCTCTCTTGGTAAGCCACGGCACTGCGCGACTACAAGCTGACCGCTCTCGGCGAACATACAAGCAAAACACCGCAATCTTTCACGGGAAGTAGACCTACTCGACGCAAACCAGTGATATGAGATTGCGGTGTTTTCGGACGTTGATGGGCAAAATGCGGTGCGTAACTGTCGGCCCCCTGTCGGAGCGTCACGAGACGGCACCACGACACAGACCGCCCTCAACGCCCACACAAGCTACAGACCGCAATCTTTGGCAGGACATAGATGTATCTGAGACAAGACAGCAGCCAAAGATTGCGGTGCACGCGGCCTTTGGCGGTCGAAATGCGGTGCGCAACAGCAGGGCACTGTTAAGGGCTGCAAAACGAGACCGCTCTCAACGCCTATGCAAGTAAAAGACCGCAATTTTTGGCAGGACATAGAGAAGGGTAAAAAGAGATAGTAGCCTAATATTGCGGTCTTTGCGGTCATCAGAGCGAAAAATGCGGTCAATAGTAGGAGGCCGCTCGGTGGTGAGCTACGGGACTGCAAGACAACACCGCATTCAACGTGTATACAAGATATAGACCGCAATCTTTGGCAGGCGGTATATATAGCTTATATCAGACAGCAGCCTAAAATTGCGGTCTTTTCAAGCGTCAGGGGCCAAAATGCGGTCAATAGTAGATGGCTGCTCTGTAGTGAGCCACGGGGCTACATAACCACACCGCTCTCAACCTCTATACGAGATAAAGACCGCAATTTCTGGCTGGAGATAGTTGTGTATGATACGAGACAGCACCCTAAGATTGCGGTCTTTTTGAGCATTAACGCGCAAAATGCGGTCTCCAACCGTGGGAGGTCTACCTTTGGCAAACCACGAGACCGCTCTCAACCTCTATACGAGATACAGACCGCAATTTCTGGCAGGAGATAGCCACAAGCGCACAGAACCAGCAGTACCAGATTGCGGTCTTTCCAAGCACCGGCGCGCAAAATGCGGTCTCCAACCGCAGAAGCCCTCATCTCTGGTGAGTCACGAGACCACAAAACAGCGCAAACCTCCCGTAGCCCAAAACACCGCAAATTCCGGCACGAGGGTAGCGACATGTAGTATGAACCAGCGGTACAAAATTGCGGTCTTTCCGAGCACAAGCGCGCAAAATGCGGTCTCCAACAGCGACGCACGTCGAACGCGCCCACGCGCTCGTTAGGCAGGAGCCAGGCCGCAGCTGCCGTGTGAGATCCAGACTAGTTCTGCCCCGGCGGGCGAACAACCTTATCCGAACGTCGGCCGCGAGCTGGAGGGCCGCTGCAGGGCCGGTGTGCAGGCCCGTCCTGTCTCGCTGCGAGCGTGCCGGGGAGGTCCCAAGCTGGTCCAATGTCGCGGGCTTCGCTCCAACGTTGCTCTAAGCATGGAGTTCAGTGAGAGGACTAGGGTGGACTTCACGGCCTGAGATCGCTACAGACTTCTCCCAGCACCGCTCCAAGCCGGCCCCGGACGACGCCCTGGAGCTCAAGCGTGACTGCTGGTACGACGTCAGCCACTCCCGTTCCCATCGCCGTCGCCTTGGACGTAGCACAGCGGGCGCCAGCGCGTGGCGGCTGGGGCGGAGGGCGCCTCGCTGCGGCGTCGTCCCGGTCTCGCTCCAGCCTCGCCCACCGCAGCCCCAGACGCGCAGCACGACTGGGCGTGGCTGCAGGGTCAACGGCGTAGCGGCCGCTGTCGTGCACGGGTGGTGATGGAGCAGTGATGGAGCAGTACCGCGGCATCGACGGCGCTGGTGCGGACGCGTAGAGAGCAGGGCTAGCTGTGTGCCGTGCAACACCACGACGGGCGTGACTACTACACGGATGATCGGCGGGTTTTTGGACGGAGGCAAGGAGCGCAGCAGCGTTACGCGGTCGATTGGCCTAAGATCAATACATCGGGGTATTCCACCTGCCCAGAACCATACCACATCCGGTCTCCCCACCTCACGCCGCCTCCCCCTTCATCCCCCAGTACCCCTGCCGCAACGCCTTCGGCACCGTCATCTTATAGTGCAGATCATCTTCATCCCCGCTCCCCGCATCCTCACTCCCACTGCCGCCTGCGTAAAACTCCTCATCGCCTCTCAACCCCTTCGCGCCCGCAAACCCCTCCCCGTCGTCGCTGTCGTCGCCCTCGCTCCCCTCGTCCTCCGGGTAGTCGTTCCCGTAGTACTCCTCCGCATTCGAGTCCTCGTCGCTGTCGGCCTCGGGCTCCGAGTCGCTGCCCGTCCACCACTCGTCGTCGTCGGCTGCGAGCACGAGGTACCCGACGGTGCCGTGCGAGGCGAGTGTGGAGGCTGGCTGCGATACGCGGACGTATGTGTCGATGACGTACTCGGTGTCGATGTCCATGGCGTCTGCGTCGTCGTGGGCAGCGAGGGCTGCGGCTTTGGCGGGCGAGCGCTCCGCGAAGCGCGCGTGTGGTGCTTTGGGCTTGTATTTCAGCGGCGACGGGGCCGGGGCGTCGAGGCGGTGCGCGAGCGCCTCGAGTTCGCGCACATCGTGGGCCGACGGTTGGGAGCGGTGCGCGGGCGTCGAGGGCGCGGCGGCGCTCGAGGCGGCGCGGGTGCCGGGGCGTTTGCGCGGGCGCGTTTGCGCGGGCTCGGGCACGGCTTGCGGAGGGGGTGATGCGGTGCGTGGGGGCGAGGCGGCGCGGCGCTCGATGAAGACGTGTTTTGATTTCAGGCGCGACACGGGGTCGAGGTGGAAGCGGCGCTCGGTGGTAGGGGTCGCGGCATTGGGGTCCTGGGGCGCGTCGCCGGGCTTGGTGAGGCGGCGGAAGAAGATGTCGGTCTCGCTGCGCTGGCGCTTGACGCTGTTGTCGAAGATGAGGGCGTCGACGGGGGCTTCGGTGCGTTTGCGCTTGACGGAGAGGGTCTGGGGGGCGCGTTGCGACATTGTGGTGGTGTGGTGTCGCGGGGCGCGGGTGGTGTGGTGTCGCGGGGCGCGGGTGGTGTGGGTGAAGGGCGTTTTGGAGATAAAAGCGGAGGGGCATGTCCGCGGGGGATCGCTGGGTGATGTCAGCCCGGGCTAGCGTGGCCAAGAGCCAGGAACGCGCCGTGACCGCGCATCACATCACCTGCACTGATAGCGGCTATGTCCGTCTGAGACATGTCTGCCTGCGTAGAATCTGCCTATATACATATATCCTGTCCCTGAAGACGTCCGCTCCTTATCACCCCTTCTCGTATCCGCCCCGACCACCACCACCACCACCACCACCACCACCACCACCACCATGTCGATGAAACGGATCCGCGGCATCTTCGAGCGCGAGACGGAGCGCGAGGCTTCCTATGAGCCGCTCGAGGGCGGCTCGGAGCGTCCAGACGGCGAGCCCATCGAGGGTGCAGACGCCTTCTCGTGGACCACCTACTCCGTGTTCCTCCTGCTGGGCGTGGCTATGCTCTGGGCCTGGTACGACAGCTGCTCCGGACGCACAACTACACTAACATCGCTAGGAACATGTTCCTGGCCGCAAATCCGTACTTCCAGCGCCGCTTTGAGCGCAACGACAACCTCCTCCGCAACTTCCAGTCGGCCATCATGTCCGTGTCGACCGTCGGCAACCTCGGCTCCATGATCGTCTTGACCAAGCTGCAGGCGCGCGCCAACTACCCGCGCCGCATAGCAACCTCTCTGGTCCTGAACATCGGCGTCTTCACCCTGCTGGCCCTGTCTACGAAGATGTTCCTCGGCGTGACGGCCGGCGTCTACTTTGCGTTCCTGATGCTGATGGTGCTGAGCGCCAGTCTGGCCGCCGGCCTGTGCCAGAACGGCGTCTTCGCCTATGTCGCCGGCTTCGGCCGCGAGGAGTACACGCAGGGCATCATGGCGGGCCAGGGCATCGCCGGCGTGCTGCCCTGCATCGCGCAGATCGTCTCCGTGCTCTCCGTGCCGCCCAGCGAGCACGCCGACGGCACGCCCCAGCAGTCCAGCACCTCCGCCTTCGCCTACTTCCTCACCGCTACTGTTATCTCTGCGGCCGCACTCCTCGCCTTCGTCTCGCTCCAACGCAACCACTCCCGCGTCCACCTCGAGCACGTCGACGTCCCCTCCGACCGCAAGCCCGTACCCCTAACCCGGCTCTTCCGCAAACTGACCTGGCTCGCCACCGCCGTCTTCCTCACCTTTGTAGTCACCATGTTCTTCCCCGTCTTCACCCAGAAGATCCTCAGCGTGCGCGACCCGGCCTCCGCCCCGCGCCTCTTCCAGCCCGCGACCTTCATCCCGCTGGGCTTCCTGTTCTGGAACGCAGGCGACCTGCTCGGCCGCATGGGCCCCGCGCTGCCCGCGCTGCGCCTGACCGCGTACCCGCGCATCCTGTTCCTCTTCGCCGTCGCGCGCGCCGCGTTTATCCCGCTGTACCTGCTGTGCAACGTCGGCGGCACGGGGGCCGCGGTCGGCTCCGATTTTTTCTATCTCGTTGTCGTGCAGCTGTTATTTGGACTCTCGAATGGGTATCTGGGCAGCAGCTGCATGATGGGGTTTGTGGAGTGGGTTGATCCGGAAGAGGCGGAAGCGGCGGGCGGGTTTATGTCGTTGTGCTTGGTGGGCGGGTTGACGGCGGGGAGCTTCATGAGCTTCTTTGCTGCGCAGGCTATTTGATGGAGTTGTACGAATGGAGTTGGTGGCTGCCTCGAGGATCTCTGGACATCCACATCATGACGTATACCGCTTCTTCGCGTGACGGACAGGTCGTAATCTGCGCTTGTCTCGGCAAGGAACTCCAGGAATTGAATCTCTACCGCCGCTCGCCGCTACGTACGGTTTGAGGAGCTCCGACACCCTGTACAGCCTCCTGCTGGCGCCAACCTACTCCGAGACCCTTCCGGACATCAGAGAGCCTGAACATCGAGCTGCGCCTGTCCATATTGATAGATCCCTGATGGCTTCTTGTCCGTTTCGCTGCCTAGAGCACGAAAGAACAGGACACGGCGGTCAAGAGCAGACGCCGCACACTCTCCTCTCACCACCACCAGCAACCGAGGGTCTCGACAAGCACAACGTCACATGTTCGGTTGTAAGAGAAGGAGTCGCATCCTTGTCCGGCAGGCTGGGGCCTTGCATAAGCGCGCTGCGGCACGGCACAGCTTCCGGAGGGATGTCTGGAAACCCCGCGTTGCAAGGCTGAGTTCATGCTGCCTCGACCAACAGGTGTTTGTGTGCATTGATTTGATGCACGACAATTCCGGACCTGAAGAGAGTCCGACGAGGCTTTGCTGTTCAAAAGCCACCCAATATAACACAGAGAGTCAGAGACATTAGGTAGCCAGGGTATCACAATCTCGCATCGTATCATGGCTTGCTCCAATCATGCTGCTGTGGTGTGTGATTACCCCGCCGTTCTCCCGTGTAAAGCTCCTCGTCCTACACTGATCTTGCTCCAGGCACCTTAACAGCCTCCAGATACTGACTGACAATGACGAGAGAAAGAATGCTCGACGCGATCTCCCAGTATGACTCCCGCGACCTCATCATCGCGGCTCTTGTCGTATTCGTCTCCTACGCGATCGGCAACGCAGTCTACCAGCTCTACTTCAGCCCGCTGTCGAAGTTCCCCGGCCCAAAGATAGCAGCCGTCACGCTGTGGTACGAGATCTACTACGACGTGTTCAAATGGGGCAGATACTGGGTAGAAGTGCAGAAGATGCACGAGGAATACGGTACATATCCTCACACTCCAAGCGCAAGCCAACACTGACCCCCCAAGGCCCCATCGTCCGCATCAGCCCGTCCGAACTCCACGTCGCAGACCTCGCCTTCATCGACACCCTCTACACCCGCTCCGCGCCCCGCGACAAACACTCCTTCATGACCCGCCAGTTCGGCAACGACGACACCACCTTCAGCACCACGGCGCACGCGCACCACCGCCTGCGCCGCGCCGCCCTGAACCCCTTCTTCTCCACCCAGCGCATCGCCGGCCTGCAAGCCATGATCTGGACGCACGTCGAGAAGCTGTGCGCGCGCTTCGACGAATACGCTGCGGCTGCCAAACCGCTGCCCGCCGGCGACGCCTTCGCGTGTCTGACCGCAGACATCATCATCGAGTACACGATGGGCTTGCAGCAAAACGCGCTGGACGCGCCGGATTTCGCGCCGCTGTTCACCCAGGCGGTCAAGAAGTTCGCATCCATGGGCGTGTATGCGAAACACATGCCATGGATCCACGCGCTCACGCACGCACTCCCGCAGCACTGGATTGCGCGCGTGAGTCCGGAGTACGGCGCCATGCTGGCGTTTCGACATATGAACAACGACCGCGTGGCGGAAGTGTTCGCGCGGCACGAGAAACGCGACGCTTTTGGGGGAGGGGGACACGGTCGCGACGCCGCCACGGCGACCGTCTTCGACGCGCTGCTCACCTCCCCCCTCCCTCCCGCGGAAAAGAATCTGCAGCGCCTCTCCCAGGAATCCCAGCTCCTCGTCGGCGCCGCCCTCGACACCACCGCCCACGCCCTGACCACAACCCTGTACCACCTGCTCGCCCACCCCACCGCCCTGCGCACCCTACGCGCCGAACTCCTCACCCTCGGCGACCCGCGCGCGCACCACGCGCTGCCCGCGCTCGAAGCCCTACCGTACCTGACCGCGGTGCTGAACGAGGGTCTCCGGTTGAGCCACGGGTTGGCGTGCAGGAATGCGCGCATCGCGCACACCCCGCTGGCGTACGGGGGGTGGGTGATTCCGGCGGGCACGCCGGTGGGGATGAGTGCGCAGATGACACACTTCAACGCTGATATCTTCCCCGAGCCGCTGCGGTTTTGGCCGGAGAGGTGGCTCACTTCCTCCTCCTCCGCGCCCAACAACCGCCCGCTAAAAGATTTCCTCATGGCGTTTGGCCGCGGCGGGCGGCAGTGCGTGGGGATGGGGTTGGCGCGGGCGGAGATGGGGATCGTTATTGCGGCGATCGTGGGGCGGTTTCCGGGGTTGAGGCTGTGTGAGGGGGTGGGCAGGGAGGAGGTGGATTTGGTGCATGATTTGTTTTTGCCGGGGGTGAAGGCGGGGGGGAAGGGGGTGAGGGTTATGGTGGCGTGAGGGGAGGGGGGTGGATGTGTTGATTGTCAATGTGTGGGGGGTGAGTGTGTTGGTGGTGAGTATGTCGATTGTGAATGTGGATGTATTAATCGTCAATGTACTGCTGAGAGCGTATTGTGTATCTGCAAACTCCTGTCCGTGCAAAGAAATAACCGGGTATCTTGATAACGCCCCCCAACGCCTTAATTCACGCGTTCAGCGTGCTGTCCTCATTACCAGCCCTCGCATCCTTCTCTCCCTGACTGCTCAAGACCCCCCCACGCTCAGACTGCTCTTCCTCTGCCCCGGCCCCGGCAACTGCCCCGGCAGAATCTGCCGCGGCCCCGCCATCCCGCTCTGCCGGCGCCCCATCCCCTCCAGGCCCGCGCTCATCGGGAACCCGCCCATGCCCGCGCTGCCAGGGAACCCGTCGCTGGACGCACTCGGCGGCGCGCCCATGCCGCCGAGCCGCAGCCCCATGCCGCCGTCGGTGGCGCTGGGCGGGTTGCCGAAGGGATTGGCGGCGGGCGGCGCACCCAGCGCGGACCGGATCATGTCCTTCATGCGGATGTACTGGTACTTTGAGCGCTGGGAGACGTGGGTGTAGGCGGCGAGGGGCCGGGGCTTGTGGCGAGCGAGCGCGGCCATGATGGCGTCTTTCTCCTCGTCCGAGTCGACGGCGCCCGAGGGCTCGAGGTCTTCGGGCAGCGGGGCGTTGGCGTCGATGGCGGCGCCTGTGAAGTGTTAGAGGGTGCAATGTGCAAGACAGAAAAGACAACGCACGCTGCTGCTTGGCCTGGTTCTTCTTCTGGTACTGCGCCAGCAGCATGTCGTAGGGCAGGCTGCGGCCGGGGACGGCGCGCTTCAGGCCCATGCTGTGCGACTTGCAGGTCAGGCTGCGGGCGCAGAAGCCGCCGTTGGGGAGCGGCACGCCGCACTGGCGCTCGACGTCGACGGGGCCCTTGGGCTTCGCGCCCTTGGCCTTGGGCTCGTCCTTCTTCTTCTTCTTTGCGCCGGGCTTCTCCGAGTCGCCGTCGATCTTGCGCTTCTTGCCCTTCTTGGCGCCCGGCTCGAGGCCCTTGATCGCAGACTTGCGCGCGCGGATGTCGTCGTCGTCCTCGCCCTTCTCTTTGCGCAGCGCCGCGTCCTTTGCCTCCTTGGCCTCCTTCTTCTTCCGCTGCTTGTCGGCCTTCTTGTTCAGGCAGTCGCGGATGTGTGTTGCTGACGCCGCGCGCAGTATCGGCCGCCGGCAGTGCTTGCATTGTATCGTGTCGACCTTGTCGTCCAGGGGGCGGCCGGTCTGGAATCCCGCGAGCGTCTTCTCGTCGAGCGGGTTGACGACCGGCGAGCCCGTCGAGGCAGGCTTGCAGTCGACATCTGCTGGGGTCAGACGCGCTCGCGTGCAGTGCGGCTACATACTCTTCGCGTCGCTCTCCTTCCAGTTGCCCGCTTCGGTGGGCTTGGGCGCAGCTTTCTTGATCTTGAGTGTGAATTTCTTGTTCTCCGTCTTGATGACGTTCTTCACGGCGCCGCCGCCCAGCAGGCTAGACCGTGAGTCCATGCCTGTTCGTGGTGGTCAGCGTGTGGAGTTGCGGAGATACGCGGCGGGATGGCCACCACGCCACCGCACACGACTATGGCGCCCGGACTGCGTCGATGCTGCTTACCGTGGTATTGTTGTGTGTAGGTCTGGAGACAATATCGCCGAATAACCTCGATGACGAGGGCGACGCTGTCCTGATGCGCAGGCTGTCGTTTGAGCGTCACTTGTCTTGGCATGTTATGTAAGCACATTCACGGGTCTCGAGCACACGCGCAGTTGATCGTGTCTAATTGTACAATAACAGTGCTACCCAGTTGTAGCAGCCATGTGCTCGTCGAACAAATCCGACCCTACGCTTTGCCTGAAAAGAAGTGGACAGTTGCTGACGTCCTGTACATCCCACAACGCCATACCTCTATACGCAGCGCAATGCTGCTCATCCCCGTGTGCAAACTCCAGAAAATGCCCAGTACATGCTGATGGTACGCATGCAACGCCGAAACACCAACCAATACACCCGTAATCGTCGCACGACTGCTATCGCTGGCGAACTACCGTCTGCCTTTGCTTTTAGCAGTCTTGACAACCCTAGCCTTGCCCTTCCGAGGGGGCTCGTACTCGGTGGCGTGTGTGTAGCCGTACTCGTCAAGCATGATGCTATTCGTCCAGAGCAGGCAGCGGTCCTTGACTTCCTCCTTGTCAGCGTTCGCCTTGCCACGCGTTGATACTCGAGGCTTGCTGTCCTCGTCCTCCTCGTCCTCCTCCGCCTTGACCGCTTTCGTGAGGTGCTTCTTCATCTTCTCCATGTACTCCGCAATGCGGTCACGGAAGATCTGCAGCTCCTTGCGAAGCTGCTTCTCACGATGGCCGCGTTCGTCCAACCAGCCAATCAGCCTGTCGATATCCTCAGGGTCGTCGTAGTAAGCCCACTCCTTGGATGTGGTGAGATGTGTGGACCCCTCCTCCTTCTCTTTTCGCTGTGGGATGGTAAACTTGAATCGCTGCATGTCCTGTGACAGAGCCGGCTCTTCAAGACACGGCTGTAGCTCTTCGGCGTCCGGTCCCTGCACCCAAATGCGACCGTTGGCGTATCCGTACTCTGCCGTGCTGCTGTTGGGGACGCCACCAAATGGCATTCCGTTGTGCTCGAACCAGTAGTACTTGTTGAGGAATCGGTCCTTGCCCAGCACCTTGCTGCGATGAACCAAGGTCTCGCGGAGGTCGTCGTCCAGCTCGTTGATGTTCGCTTCGCACTCCTTAAGTTCGTCTTTCTTGTCCTCGACTGATTTCAACAGCTTCTCCCACTCCTTCTGCTTCCTGTTCTTCTCGGCCTCGATCTTGGCCTTCTTGGCCTTCTCTTTGCGGGCTTCTTCCGCTGCCGCCTTCCGCTTGTTCTTCGTGCGGGTTCGGCTCTTCGCGGCGGATGCATCTTCGGACTCGTTGACGTCTCCTTCGGCAGCTTCGGCAACAGACTCCGTCACGCTGAGCATTGATACGTCTTCATTCTCCTTCGCATCCGAGGGCGAGGCTGGCGTGTTATCGGGTAGCTTGATCTTGCGCTCCAGGTCCAGCTTGAACAAGTCATCGGCCCTGCATGTGTTAGTAGTGCGTGCGTCTGGATTTAATTGACTTACAGTTCTTTGCGTTTCCTCTGGAACTCGATCTTCTCCTTGCGAAGTCGAGTCATTTCGAGGGACGCCGCGTTGAGCTGATCACGGAAGGCCTCGGTCGTCACGGTCAGGCGCAGGACCTGGTCCAGCGCTGAGACGCGCAGGTTGACATCCATGTCGCGGTAGTTCTCCGCAATGCTCTCAATAGTCGGTTCCTGAGCACCTGGTACGAGAACGGCGAGGATTTCGTCGCATGTCTCCTTCTGGAGTGGGTCAAAAGACAGGCGGTATAACAGAGCTACCATAATAGCCTGCCAGCCGCCGTTCTGGAAGTTCCTGATCTTCAGCTGTTCGACCCAGTCGAAGTCAGCAACGAACGCGGCAGCTTTGTGGATCTCCTTTGGCGGCTCGGGGGTTGGTGTCCGGGCTTTCTCGACGATCTGCTGCACCTCAGACTTCCTCAAACTACTGCGAGTAGTCCGCTTGGGAGGCTCTGGCTCGGGTGTTGGCGTGGACTCTTCACTCGAATCCTCTTCTTCCGACTCATCCGCCTCGGCCATGTTTGGCAGAGAAGCTTGGAGTTTTCCATTCTCGCCAACGATCTGCTTCAGCACAGAACAGTGGACTTCCACAAACAACTCGCATTCCTGCTCCTCCGAGGAGTACCGCATGGCATCTGCGAAGTCATCGAACGTGAAAGAGTCGAGCGAGTAGATAGTGTCGTGTACGTTGAGGGTCTCCCACGCACACAGCAGCGGGCCGACACTTCTCATCAGAATACCGGTCTTGTCTTCCTCTGCAGGCCCTTCCACGCCGTCCGGGACGTCGTCTGAGAAGAACTTCAGCGAAGGTCGTAGAGTATTCAGGCGAGGCTGCGAGATTTCCAAATCTTCGATAGGATACTTGATCGGCTCGAAGTGTTTTGTCGGCACAGAGACCTGCTGCTGTTGTTGCTGATGTTGAGGAGGGTTCCGGGGCGCAAACTGCTGGTACTGCATGAATCCATTCTGGAATGGAAGATTGACAGGCAACGCGCCGGGTGGGTGATGGATGAGGTGCGCGAGACTGGGAGGAAGGGCGTTCGGTATGTTGAGAGGGACGCCTTGTTGTAGATGGTGCGGCCCGTTTTGATGCGCAAACTGTGGTGGTAGTCCGCCGTGCATCTGCTGAGCATGTGGGTGTATGAGATGGGGTAGGTGTTGCACGTGCGGGGGATTTGTTGCAAACTGAACGAATGCAGACGGCCCTTGCCCATGCTGGGTTTGCTGCTGGGGTCGGTGTCCGTTTGTCTGTGGCGCGCCTCCGTTAGCCAATTGGTGCGGGTGGGTTTGCTGGATGGGTGATCTCGTGCCGTTCGGGTGAGAGCCATTTGTCAACTTCTTCTGCGCCATCACCGATTCCCGGGTCTTGTTATCTGGAATCTTGGTGGGAATCTTGTAGCGTTTGGCCAAATGCTCCCTCGCCATCCAAGGAGCACCAATCCACGACTCTCTCGTCACCGTGCTACGGAGGAATTGCTTCAAGATGAGTTTTGAGAAGTACTTCCGGTCTCTTTGCAGGTCTGCAGCCTTGTACTTTGTGATGGGTTCGTTGTTGTCGTCCATGGTGATAACGTAGGTGTAGGCCCGGTACTGCTCTTCAGGAGACCGTGTGAAGGCATGCTGATGTAACTGGCTGTTGTCGGTGATGTCTGTGATCACGCCGTAACGGCGGTTGATAGGCCCTTCGACCTCGATGCAGACTCTGTCGCCGACCATGTATTGTTCCTTGAACTCCTGCCGGGAGTTAGCACTGAATCTTCAGACTGCCATGGCATCGTCGGGTGGCGACTTACGTCAAAAACAAGATTGACTAGAACGACGTTAGCTGGGACCAAGCAACGTTTGGCCAGAACTTACCCAAGTCGTCCATACGCGAAGTGGTCCTGAATTGGACGAAGTGGAGGACACGCGACCTCAAAGTGTCAGGGAAGATGCTGTCAATCTCCCTTAACGCCTCCGTCTGCGTTTCCGTTACCTTGATGCCCTCCCAGACAGGCTCAGAGCTCACCTGGCTCTCCATGGCCTCGAAAAAGGTGTAGCCCGAATGCCCGGTGGATTCGCAGGTGAACAGCTTCTACATAGGGTGTTAGTGCTGTCTCTCCAAGAGCAGTCGTTGCAAACTCGGGGCCTACCTGAGCATAGAAGTCTAACCTGCCGCAGTGTTAGCAGACCTCAACCTTGACGTCATATGGATCTGTATCGTACCGCCTGAGATATTTGTCATACTCGTTGTAGACTTCCCCCGTCTTTTCGATGACCCAGACCTGTCCACGTTAGCATGTTTTTCGGACAATTGTTGTCCACCATACCTCATCGTAGTCTCCGACGTCACTCGGTGTAGGGTCGAACTTCACTGGCTTGCGTTTGAAGAGCACCTGTCTGGTCAGAAGAACGATCACTCAAACCCTCAAGGGTCGTGTCATACCATGTTGCTGGATTACGAGCTCATGTGAGATCTTGCGCGCTCGAGCAGTCGCGGTTCGACCTTCGGAACGGTCGCGTTGCCGGAATCGCGTCGCGTAGGCTAAGGAGCGTCGATTGAGCTTAGGTATATGTTTGCGCAGCTCCTCCGAGGTGTATTCGACCAAGACTGTAGCTGTTGCGCGTGTCCAACTATGATGTCGTAAAACTTGTCGCAAGCCTCGTGGGTCCGAAATGCGTTCCGAGACGCGTCGTTCGGTTCCGAAAACGCGTGTCTTGGGTGTGTGGTCGAGTTCGTGACGTTTGTGGATGCGGAGGTGGAGGCGATAGAGGGGTGAGAGCGGCAGGATGGCTTAGAATAATTCAATGGGGGGGAGGGAAAGTTATAAGGTAGTTTGCCGGACCGTCAACGCTCTTGCCAAGGGACCTTGACCTAAATCGGCATGAACCCTACTCACGTCGTCCTCACACAACCCTACCTTCTGCACACCGCTGCAGGTCCAGCACAGGCGTATTCGGACTCGTTTTGATCGTCGAGACGAGTCAAGTCTTGATGCGATATATTCTAATCGCTTGCAACTAATTTATGAGTGATGTTGGTAGACATAAAGGGAGGTACGTCAACCCGTAGGTCTTGAGCCACCACCAGTGGACAGATCCGACCCACTTGAACCTGGGCATGATCTTCCGCCTCGCCAACTTGAACAGTTTGCGAGGGCACATGCTTCTTTCATCTCACTTCAAAAGTTCAGTCCTTGCGCAATACATGAAGATGCTTAGATCCATTATCAGACCCTTGGGGGTTTTTCACTACCCCAGAGAAAGTTGCTGGAAACAATGACAAGTGAGCAACTCAATGATTTGTTTATGGACACGTAAGTATATCATGCAAGGACACTGGTAGTGTTCAATATCTGTTTCTCTGAAAAGCATACTTGATCTTGAAAAGGATGGGGATTACCATCACTTATCGAGGCTCAAGATAACCTTCAATCACCACAGACGTTTGCAGCGACCAATCTCAGACTCATGTGTCAAAATAAACAACCAAGAATCCCAGCCAGCTGCTGACAACACCGATAGCTGAGTACGAGCTGATGAACATCAGAGGAAGGAACTCATAGCGGGAGCCGAAGATGACGCTGTGGAACAACGAGCAATATGCGATCAAGGGGATAGACAAAGCAATGTACAGAACAGAGAAGCGGTCAAGCAGGAAGAGGCGTCGTTCGGACGAGCTGGGTCGTTGTCAGTGACGAAACATGAAAACTTGTAGAGTACTCACGCTGGTGCGAGTCTGTCGAAGCTCAACAGAAAAGCAACAAGCCAGAAGATGGTGTAGACCGTCTTGATGGGAAACTCGGCAGTTGTGAACAACAGAGGGAACAGTGACACGTGGCCGGACACTGCTAGAGGCCGGAAAGCGCCAAAGTATCGGCGGTCACGGAGGGCCACCAAGCTGAAAGGGATGATGACGAGCAAGATCGCTTTCTCGTGGACGTGCCAGCCAAACAGAAAAGATGCGTAGCCACACAAAGTGACCGCACCGACAAAGGTTTCCCACGTTGGCTTGTAGAGAAGGCGTAGGAGGACGGGCTGTACACTGTTAGTTATGTCATGCGCGAAGCGGAGATTTAACACACAATCTGAGTGCCAAGAGTGAGCAGAAAGCACGTAAGAGGCACAATGTCGGGGAGCACCGCAAATGAAGAGTCTCCAACGAGTCCACGAGTGACGCTATTGACTGCGTCCTGATTAACGGTCAGGCCAAGACGAGGAGCCACTACACATATTAGCACAACCCGAAAAGCGTCGTAATGGGCAACTTACGATAGATGAGCAGTCTGTCGGTGAAAGAGTACATTGCCCAGACGTTTGGAGCCCAATAAGCATGGCAAAGGCCGCGGGAGAATGGGAATAGACGCTTGAACACTTGTTCGAGTTGCCCCCAGAGCGCAAATGGTCCGAAGGCACTGGCGAAAACAGCAACGATACCCACGCCCAGTTTGACGCAGTTCAAGAAGCGGATGGTGAAGTACGGAAACTTTCGGCGTTCACCCAGGCAGTATGCACGGAGGAGGAACACAAAGTAGGCAGGGGCCAAGTAGAGGTATATGTGCTTCAAGCACAGGAGCGCTGCAAAGAGAAGGCCTGAGAGAAGCAGCGTCGACTTGTTCCTCGCCAGCACCATGGATAGTATGAGGACACCATAGAGGAAGCCGTTGTACTGGAAGTGGATGTGGTCGATGATCAGAAGACCAGGTGAAAGAAGAATTGACAGTGCGGCTGCATGAGCAGTGACTTTCGACTTGGACGTCTTCACATAGCTGTTCAAGGTCAGCAAGCAGCAAGATGCGAATGGGGATAGTGCTGTACAGGTGCAAAGCGTAGACCAGCACCAGCTCCGTGACAATTACAGTGCTCCGCTGGAAATAGACGGTCTGCCAGCTGTCGTAGTTGAGGTCCTTCACATTCAGCAACGCAGGCTCGACGTATGCAGCAGCCTGAGACATGAGCCATTCAAAGTAGGCAAAGAATGGCGGATAGTCGAGGGTCCATTCTGACGTTTTCTATAAACCAGGTCAGACTTCTCGCCTCAGCCCACAGATCTTCCAGCACAAGCTCACTTCATAGTACCACTCCTTGATATCAAGCGAATGCGTCAGAGCCAGCCAGTTGCGGTGGACTTCAAAGTCTGTTGATTTGCTGGCAAAACGCGTGAGCACCCATGTCCGTGACATTAAAACTTCATGCCATTGCACCTACTATGCAGGGAACAGCAGCACTTTCAAGGCCGTCGCCACGACAGCGCACTGCGCAATCGACGGATACAGTTCTGACATTGCGTCTGTGTCGAGTGGTGGGCAAGCAGCAGGCGAAAAGACACGAGTCGGCAGTCACTGCTCACGAATACAGTCCGTGCGCCTTCCCCTTTGAGCACGAAATTGATGCTTTACAAACTCGCCTCACAGACCCAATTCTACGAGTACGGCGAGCATAAAGGAGTCGTTCAGAATACAAGAAAAGCGAATCCCTGCACCGCAAATTCCATCATATGCGAGCGACTACTGATTGAGAACGTGACCACGCTCCTCTTTCATGAAACGACGCGTTTCGCCGCTAGGGTCCCTGACGTGCCCACGGAGTGGGCGCCGTAGTTAGGACCCTTTCGCCAGGGAGCCGCCAGAAGCCTCACAGACGCCGGGCCGTGTTGGTTGCTTTTTCGCAGCGTTCTGGAAGAGAGACCTGGCGGGAGCCTCTTGTTAGCTCAGGCACGATCCTGCAAGCACCCGCTGCACTGCAGTCAGCCCTGCGACGGTGATCGGCGGCCACAGCTGGGTGACCATCCCTGGCCTCAACGTGAGACAGGCAGAAACATCGCTGCAAGCGATGCACGCCACATTGCACAGGCGTCGGCGACGGTTGGAGGCCCCAGTCTGCAGGGCCCGGCAGGTGTTGCTAAATGGTTTGCGCGATTCGTTGTAGAGTAGTGCACGGGCACGCCTTCCCGTATTGGTCGCACTCATTTGCTGCCTTCTCCTGTCTCGCAACGCGGTGAGAGCATTTTCCACCCACCTCTCTTCTTTCTCCCCTCCGCCATCAGGTCGCGTTGTCCTCTGCGGTCCTTTCGCTCATTATCTACGCTTCTCCAGCTCCGGGGCCCTTGGCAAAGTCGGCCTCTTTGCCTCATTCATTCTTATTGTTCGCTCTTTCAGCAACGCCGACCAAAAAACAGACCCAGGCCAGCATCTGCCCCCGCGCACGCAGCCTTTAATTCTGTCCCGTGTGTGGCCATTGCTCGAGATCCGCGGCTTTTAATCTGCTCCTAATACCGCGCTTGAACCCTCTGCTCGACCTTGCATCTGGGACTGTCGACGCCTGCTTGGACTGGATACATTGAGCAGCTGTTGGATCCCTTTGACCTTCGATTCGGCACAGCCCATCTTGTATTAAGTACCCACTTGCCATTGTGCTTTGGATGTAAGCCTTCCCCCTTGATCTGGGGCTCAATACAACCCGATGGCCAGCCACTGACTGCCGCAGATTGTCTTGCACGCATTGACGCACTAGCTTCCGCTCCGCATCCTTCGCGACCACCTTGCAACCGGTTGCACGTTCACCTTCAGCATACATATTTTGCCGTCCGGTCCATCGAGTCCTGGACGCAGTAATACATCGTCACCACGGCTGTACTATCTCACAATCCGCGGGACAGCTTCGGTCTGCCACCGCATATGCTTGGAATGCAAAACGAGGGAACATCTTCAACACCCACTGGACCTCGTCTGCAGTCTAGCTTCCACAGGCAGATGAACGGCGGCATGAACGGCAATATGAACGGCATGAACGGAGGCCACCATGGCTTCTCGCATGGAGCCTTCGCTACCAACCAGCCGGGCTATGCCGACAGGCACCCGGAGAGGTCGAACAACATGTCGATCAATACCGGAAGGCTGAACCCGAGCAACCAGAACGCTGTCGATATGCAGACGCCTGGCACTGGCTATGACATGAACTTCACGCCTTTGTTGCCTTCGCAGCTCCTTCTGGGCAGCCCCTTTCAGCCCGGCTCTCCTTCGGCTTTCGCTTCTCCCCAGTTCCAGAGCTTTGGCAATTTCGCTGCGCAGAACCAGCAGCAAAACAACCATTCTAACCACATGGGGAGCCCCTTGCAGCAGCCCCTCTCACCCCTGTACCAGGGCCTAGTCTCCCCCACGAGTCTCAATGGACCCGGGTTCTTCAACGGACCCCAGTCGCCTACTGGGTTCTCTAGCTTCGGTGCTCAAGGTCTTGGTGGATTCGGTTCGTCTATGCCAATTGCCCCTGGTCTCGTCTCTGGCACGAGCAGGACCGTCTACTTGGGCAACATTCCCCCGGAGACCTCCGCGGAGGAGATCCTTGGCCACGTCAGAAGTGGACAGATCGAGTCCGTCAGGCTGTTGCCCGACAAGAACTGCGCATTCATTTCTTTCCTCGATAGCAGCTCTGCCACTCACTTCCACTCAGACGCAATCTTGAAAAAGTTGTCGATCCGTGGCCAGGACATCAAAATCGGATGGGGTAAGCCCTCTCAGGTCCCGACATCGGTTGCCCTTGCTGTACAACAGTCGGGGGCTTCCCGCAACGTCTACCTTGGCAACCTGCCTGAGGATGTCTCCGAGGATGAGTTGCGTGAGGATCTGAGCAAGTTCGGTCCTATTGATACCGTCAAGATCGTGCGTGAGAAGGCCATTGGTTTCGTCCACTTCCTCTCGATCGGCAACGCTATCAAGGCCGTCGCCCAGCTCCCTCAAGAGCCCAAGTGGCAGGCACCCCGCCGTGTCTACTATGGCAAGGACCGATGCGCATACGTTTCCAAGACCCAGCAGCAGAACGCTGCGCAGTACCTTGGTATTGCTCCTGGTTACGCCCACGTTCTCAACGGCGCGGACCGTGACATGATCTCCAATGCTCTTGCTCAGCAGTCTGTCGCCGCCGCAGCTGTTGCGACGTCCGCCGGTGGTGTAAACAACCTCGGCAACCGTACTGTGTACTTGGGCAACATTCACCCTGAGACTACCATTGAGGAGATCTGCAACGTTGTCCGTGGCGGTCTTCTGCACCACATTAGGTACATTCCTGACAAGCACATCTGCTTCGTGACTTTCATCGATCCCACTTCTGCCGCGTCGTTCTACGCGCTCAGCAATCTTCAGGGTCTGATGATTCACAACCGCCGCCTGAAAATTGGCTGGGGTAAGCACTCTGGTGCGCTACCGCCTGCGATCGCTCTGGCTGTCAGCGGTGGAGCCTCGCGTAACGTGTACATTGGCAACCTCGACGAATCCTGGACTGAGGACCGCCTCAGGCAGGACTTCTCCGAGTACGGCGAGATCGAGCTTGTAAACACACTTCGCGAGAAGAGCTGTGCGTTCGTCAACTTCACCAACATCGCCAACGCCATCAAGGCTATCGAGGCCATCCGTGGCCGCGAGGAGTACAAGCGGTTCAAGGTCAACTTTGGCAAGGACCGATGTGGCAACCCTCCCCGCCAGATGAACAACCAGGCTCAGGCTCAGGCCCAGCAAGCCGGTAGCGACGGCCTTCAGTCACCGTCGCCCATCAACGGCCTCCAGCCCAACCGTGGCGTCGGCCCGTCTGTTTCTCCCACAGGATCTGGTGCTCCTGGCTCGGGCGTTAGCACGAATGGCCAGTACCCATCCCAGGCGCCTGCCCCGGCCAACATCCTGAACAGCGGCGGCAACAACCCGTTGATGATGTATCTTCAGGCCCAGCAGCAGCAACAACAGCAAGCCGAGGCCAGCATTCAGCAACAGCAACAGCAGCAGCAGCAGCAGTACCAGTCTCCTCAAGCTGCTTTCTACGGCGCTGACCTGAACACGCCCTCGCAGCCTCACCACTCGCACACGTCGCACAACAGCACTTCGAGCTTCAGCCTGATCAACGGCACATCGAACGGCGGCGGCAGCGGTGCCACCACGGTGGGCGGTCTTCTTGCGCCTTCCAACCTCAACGCTCGTGCCCAGCACTCCCGTGCCGTGAGCCTTCCGGTCTTCACGCAAGGCCCCTTCAACCAGCCCATGACAAGCCAAGCAACCCAGCAAAACTCGTTTGGTAGCCTGAGCTCTGGCATTGGCGGCTTTGGCAGCGGCAATGGCGGTTACGGACTTGCCATCCAGGGTGATGGCGGTCTGAGCGGATGGGCTGAGGAAGAGGTTGGTGCTCAGTGAGCGCTGGATGTGCAAGCAAAACAGGTCGACCCCGCCTTTGGATAGACCTTCAACTCTTCTCTTATATCCGATTTCTTTGCATTTTGAACTAGGGAATGGAAGGCGTCTCACGTATGGATCCGATCCGATCTGATGTCGCGTAAATTGTTGTAATCTGAACGTTGCTTTACCCTTAATTGCATTTTCACCGCTCTTTCACCTGTTGTAGTTTAGATACCTGTACGGATCCTCATGTTGGGATGGTATACTAATGGGCTTGCCGGGCAGCTACGAGAAGCGTTTAAGCCCTAGCTTGCGAATGATAACCTGTCACTCTTTCACGCTTTGTATTATCTCGTGACGACTCGATCTTATGGCTCTTGCGCTTGGACTGTTCGAGAGTGGTCCATGGCCAGGCCTTGCGTAGACAAGCAGACCAAGTCTTGTGTAGACAGGCGCAAAACCATGCTTGGAGGTCGCCTCTACCAGCAGACACTTGCGGTCGCTGAGATGTCCTTCGTGTGCTCGGTACGTCCCGCGCTAGCCCCTCAACCTCAATACCTCGCACCACATCCTTACCATGGCGTCCTTGTCCTCACGTCCTTGCTCAGGCGCCATAAACACCTCCCTCACCTCCGCCCTCCCCAGATCCCGCCCTTCCCTGACCTTCCCCCAGAACTCCCGAATCGTCGCCTGCGCAAACTCCAAATCGACGTCCTGGCCGTCCACACCATCCTCCTCTCCCCCCGCAACCGTACTAACACACACCACCACACCCGGACTACTCACCCCACCTCCCTGCGCCTCCCGCAGCACCCGCACCTCGCCAATCTGCACCGCAAACAACCCGCCCGCATACGTCGCCCCGTTCTGGATACTCAGCGTGTGCCGCGCACTCCACAGCGCCGCCATCTGGTTCCGCAGCAGCGCCGCCTGCGCATCCGCCTGCGCGAACGGAATCGCGACCACGCTTGCGCTGCGCGTGCCCGGCGGCGGCGATACGTGCACGTAGCACCTGCTCTGGCTCAGCGCGGTGTGCGTGAGCAGGTGCGTGTGCGAGTGGGCATAGGACACGGGGTTCTCGGGGTCGGCGCGCGGCGCCGTGTCGCGGAATAGGCGGTAGGTGAGGGTCCATGGGGCGCCGCGCGCGAGCGTGTGGAAGTGGGTTTCGAGCGAGGAGGTGAGGGCGGAGGCGGTCGCGGCGGACTCGGCGGGCTGCGCGGTGGGCGACGGGATGAAGTAGAGACTGCGGGGTCACGTCAGAGGTTTCGGGTAGCGTGGGGAGGGGAGGCGTACCCGCTGTACTTCATGTTTGGTGGTGGAGTGCCTGGCTGGAGCTCTGCGGCGTGAGGCGCCGCGGATCGTGAGCAAGCTACCCCTGCTAGCGCGGGTTAAGCGAGTGGACCCTGACGTGACGACGCGTCGACGGAAGTCAGGACGGCCAAGGTCCACGGGGCTGTGTGAGTCTCCGGCCCGCTATGGGGGCTGCCCCTTCTTGCTGTCGTTGACATGTTTCATTATCGCTGCGTCGGACTCCGTGTACACTTCCATTCCTGTCGTTTTCGCACTGGTTACACTCCCCATCCGCTCGTTCCGATTAGCTGCTTAATCTGTCTTGATAAGATTTCGTCATTCTCAAGACCTCCTGTCTAGATTCCCAGTGTCTTTCTGCTCCTCCTTTTGTATTGCAGATGGTTTGAATATCTTAGTTTACATCGGCTGTCATGGGCCCTTTAATGCGACGCATTGCGGTGTTGTGCACTTCTACTGTCCTTCTTTACCTTGCTTATCGCCAGCTTACGCTTGAAGCTGGATTTCCACTACCGACCGCCACATCGTCGACCCGCGTCGTTGGGCCTGTGAAGTGGAAGGAAATCCCCCAAAAATACCCAGTAGCTTCGACAATTGCTTTGCCCACAGGCACACCCTCGGCGATCCCCCACATCCAGCACGAATTCGGCGTCGAGACACAGCACAACAAGGCAGAGAGGCTCCGCAGACAGGCTGCCGTGAAAGAAGCGTTCTTGCACTCCTGGAACGGATACAAGAAGCACGCATGGCTGCAGGATGAGGTCACTCCGGTAACAGGAGGCTTCACGAACGCATTCGGGCAGCGGGCTGCAACCCTGGTCGACGCCCTGGATACCCTGGCGATTATGGGCTTGGACGATGAGTTTGAGGCAGCTGTGAAGGCTGTCAAAGGCATTGACTTCACCACGAGCGGTGTGACTCGTATCAATGTGTTCGAGACGACGATCCGCTATCTGGGCGGGCTGCTCGGCGCGTACGATGTAAGCGGAGCAAAGCACCGCGTCCTCCTTGACAAGGCCACTGAGCTGGGAGACATGTTGTATGCGGCTTTCGACACGCCGAATCGTATGCCCGTCGGGCGTTGGGACTGGGCGAAGTGCGTTCTCCCCACTCGCAACACTATCATTTACTGACATATCGCAGTGCTGCTCTGCGCATGTACCAGGAAGCCGACGGACAAGGATTCAGCGCGGAGCTGGGCTCACTGACTCTCGAATTCACCCGCCTCACGCAGCTCACCGGCGATGCCAAATACTACGACGCCGTCGCCCGCATCACAGCCCTGCTCTCCAAGCACCAAGACCGCACCCAGATCCCCGGCCTGTTCCCGATCCGCATCAGCCCCGCGCGCGAAGACTTCTCGCAGGACAAGCACTTCACCATGGGCGGCATGTCCGACTCCCTCTACGAATACCTCCCGAAGCAACACCTCCTCCTCGCCGGCCGCGACCCGCAGTACGAAAACCTCTACGCCAACGCCATCCGCGAGGCAAAGCAACACCTCTTCTTCCGCCCGCTCAACCCGCAAAACGCAGACATCCTGGTCGCCGGCTCCGCCTCGCTCAGCTCCGCCACGGGCTCCTCCACCCTCGACCCCACCGCGCAGCACCTGTCGTGCTTCACCGGCGGCATGGTGGGCCTCGCAGCGCGCATCTTCAACCGCACGGAGGAACTCGACACCGCGCGCAAGCTCGTCGACGGGTGTGTCTGGGCCTCGGAGAACACGCCCACGGGGCTCATGCCGGAGGCCGTCACGCTGGTGCCGTGCGGCAGCGCCGCAGACTGCGCGTGGGACCCAGCGAAGTGGCGCGACGCGGTCTCGGTCGCGGGCGTGGGCGTGGGCGAGTACGAGCGCCACGCCGACGCGGCGGATATCATCAAGGAGGACGGGCTGCCGGCTGGGTTCGCGCGCGTGCAGGACCGCCGGTACTTACTGCGGTATGTGTTTCTGTCTTTCACACCCCCTGCTCTAGTACTTCTACTTCCCCTACTCCTACTATCAACACCCAAGCATCCCCCAAACTAACCCCCCCGCAGCCCCGAAACCATCGAATCCCTCTTCACCCTCCACCGCATAACCGGCGACCCGTCCCTCTCCGACGCCGCCTGGCGCCTCTTCACCGCGACCACAAACGCCACGCGCACCACACACGGCTACTCCGCGATCGCCGACGTGACTTTGCCGCCGACTCACGGCAGCCAGAAACTCGATCAGTGCGAGAGCTTCTGGCTCGCCGAGACGCTGAAGTACTTCTACCTGGTGTTCAGCGACCCGGGCGTCGTGAGTCTGGATGAGTTTGTTTTGTAAGTGCTGTTGTGGAGATGTTGGGAATGGGGGCTAATAAGGGTAGTAATACCGAGGCGCATCCGCTGCGGCGACCGGTGGCGGCGTAGAAGTAGGTGGATTGAAGGCGGGAGGGATGGCTTGGGAGGGGGCGTCGTGTTGCGGGTAAGAATCACGGTCGGTCTTGTGCATGTCTCCGCGTCCTGCGACCTGGGGAAGAGAGAGTGCGCGGCTCTGCTCTGCTAGCAAGACATCGTTCACGAATCGGGATCAACACGTGTTGCAAAATCCAGACAGTGTAGTTGGCAGCGAAGTCTGATCTCCACAACAAAAAGAGGTCATTAACTTAAAGCCTCCGCGCCCATGGCAGGGAGTATTGGTATGAGAATCGCAGAGTTGGCTTTGAGCATTCGAACAAAATAGCAAACAACACCACTAGGCACAAAAGTACATCACTGCACCACGGAAGTGCTGGGGCGTCACGGGTAGAATATACAAATGCATCAACAATATGGGTACGAGCTACAATTTCAAACTATACATCTATCGGTTATCCATTTCGTCTTCCCAACTCCGCTCCCATGTCACGACAGCCACCAGAACGACGACCGATCGCAGAGCGCCATGGCATCCATACCCATAGTCATCTCGTCCATCTGCGGCCCGAAATCGAAACTCCTGTCAAACACATCGATTCTGAACTTTGTTCCCTCCCTCTGCCCGGTCCAATGCGGCATCCCGTCTGCATCGTGACAAACCACAAGAAGAGACGACGCGTTAGCCGACTGGTTTGTGCAGTTGTAGGCCAGCACCGCAGCGGTCTCACACGCATCCTCGAGTGTGAATCGCGAGCGGATATCCCACTGCATCGGACATGTCAACGAGCGCGCGTGCGTGGGCCATGACAGCGTGGCGACAATCCAGCCCAACTCTTCCTGTTCTGGAAACGTATCTGGCAGCCGGATAGGGTGGACGCAGATTCTGTGTGTGCTTGTGCCCAAGTCTATGGTGTATGCGTACGGACTCTCTCTATTATCTGACTCTCCTCCGAAGTTGGTACAAGCTTCGTGCATGCGCTGTGCGTGCTCCAGTGCTGAGGATTCTTCAGAGAAGACGGCTGAAAATAAGCATCTGATGTTGGTTTGGGCGGGAAATGTTGATCGTTGTATGACGTACAGTTGACCTGCCATCGATGCCATAGTGGTGTTGAATTCTGCGTGATAGCAACGAACGCTGCTCCTTAATAGCTATTTTGATCGATCGCTTTGAAACATGTTTGCTGATGTTTGCTCAAAGACCGAAGTCGGTAGAGAATTCAACAATTTTCACGCTCATGACCGAAATCTGGTCCAACACTGCGTTGCGACTATATCCTGACATCTCCAAGCCGAAGTTTGTCGGCCCACTCGGGCCTGTATTTGCTCTTCATGTGCGTCATGAGGTCGGCAAGGGACGCATTAAGGGCAGCCGAGCTTGGCCACTTCCACGACGAAAGCTCGAGCACGTGAACTGTGTTGGAGTAGAGCTGGATAACATTGCCCTCATAGATCTCAGGCATGTTCTGGATGATGATTGTGCCAGCGCGGTAGACCCAGTGTGGCGTGAGGAACGTGTATGTGCCGCCCAGGCTTACCACAGCTTCGAGCACGTACCTGAGATCAAATCTTAGCCACTGGATTTGACGACTTATTAAACACTTACCATGCACTGCCCCATTTCGGATCCAGGAGAAGCACTGTGGTGTGAAGAGCAATGCGAACAACAGGGAGCAATTCAGCCTTCTCGTCCAGACGTGGTAGGAGTTTTCGCACATTTGCCTTTGCTGTCGAGTCGCCGTTGCGGAAGCGATGCTGCAATCTGAACAGCGAACACATGTACTCAGCGGGCCTGGCCTTGTCAAAGCGTAGTTCCCAGTTCTGCGGATGTTAGAAGCGTATCTTGCAACATGTGACTAAGCCTACTGGTTCTGGAAACGTTGCTGGCCGATCCAAGGTAGAAGCAATCTCGTTCTCTATACTAAAGATGGTCATGTGCATGTTTCGAAGCATGTCCGCGTGCTCAGGCGTCGATCCCTCCTGTTCTGCCTTTGCCTCGAGGCTGTACGCAATACGTGCGGCGAGCGCTATCTGCTGACCGATGTTGCCGGACTTTGGATCGAACAGGCTGTTTATGGCCATCAACAGCACTGCGCGAAGGGTGTCGATCGTAGGCTCGAGCGTTGCCGCCTCCACATGATCCATGGCTTTGTCGTTGAACTTGCCCGCGAGGTTGCGATATTTCAGACAGTTTGCTTGGTAACGCGCCTGCTTTCCTGACGATTGCCATAGATTCCGCGCGTCCTGCCGTTTCGCACTGTTGGGGATGACATGGCAGGCAATGGAGTAGATCATGTTCAGCGTGAATGTCTCTATAGGCGAAAGATCTGTAGGCACTTCCAGGTCGAGGTATCGGTGTGACATGTCAACAATGGGGTACACCGGCTGCCTGCGAATTACCATCATCAGCATCCAGCTTGACACGCGTGAGACGGCGTTCATACATGCATTCAAGGTACTCTTCGACCAGCTCGTGCAGCTTCTGCGGCGAAGACTTCCATTCGAGAACGAAGTCATCTTCCTCGTCGAATGGAGACCGGACATAAGTCGATTGCAGTCGTGGCGACTTCAAGAGACACGATTCCGAGCCAAGGTAGCGATAGCTGTCCGCCGCGTATGCAAAGTGATGCTCGTACTGCGGAACAGCGCCTGGCAGTATTGGCTCGCTTTTGGCATGAAAACTCCCACTCTGTGGTGTGTCCACCGACGCAGTTGGCGACGCTGAGCTGCTCTGTGCTTCAAGCCTGCGCACGTGATCGACGAGTTCGGAGATGTAGCTGCACCGCTGTAAGGACCCGTCGCGCGTAACACTTAGTCATCGTACCTGCGAGGCACCAGCGTGCCGCGACCATGATCGTGGTAAAAACAATCTACGCCGGCTTTGCTGCACTGCCTGTTCTTGTTAGATTTGCTGTTGAGCTTCGGGAGAGCTTAATGACCGGCATTTCGGGAGAAGCGTGTCGCAGCCACGGCGGCATTCCCTGCAGCGTTTGCATGCAGGCAAGCCCTGTCTCAAGCTTCAGTATGAGTTGGGACTCGATCGTAAACCATACCTGAATCACAGCAGCCAGGTCCACCGCAGGTGCACTGCTATGACCAGTCGCGGAAGCCATCAGGCGGTAGTCGGTACAAAGGTCGGTGAGCCCCTCAGCAGTCAGGCGTTAGATATAAGCCATTTAGTCCTAAGCGCGAAGGGATGCAACGGCATCAATGCGTGATGAGCTGGGAGACGAACCAGGATTACTGTGACGCAAGATCGAGTGACCTTATCTGGCAAGCGCCGCAGACCAGGCGGGATTGGCAGCCGCGAACTATCGGCACCCTCACTTGCTGCGTGCATGCTGCACAGCCGCTTGCATGCACGCTCGGAGATGCTGCATTCTTGAGATGCAAGGATAGACCTCCTGACCAGAGTCCAGCAGAAACACGTCGACCAACATGCACAATGTTGTTGTTGTATGAGCGCGCTAACCCCAGCTAACGCCCGAGGTGCCAGATATCGACTCGGCTGACCCACCACAAATCACCCAGCCTGAGCCTCGACCTCGAGTTCCCGGCATCATCACAACCATCACGACGGGCTCCTACGCCATGAGCCCTGCGCAGTCCCACAGTAGTCGCATAGCGCCCACGTTGTACGATGCAGAAAAACAAAGTGCGCCGCCGTGTTCTCGCTTGTGCCAGGTGCAGAAAGAGGAAGCTTGCGGTGCTTACCATGTCTCACTATATGTGCCCGGCATACTGACGTAGAGCAGTGCGATTTTAAAGTGCCAGACTGCACGCGATGCGTGGCTGCGGGTGTGAGATGCGTTGGCTTTGATTCTTCCACAGCCTCGACTTTGCCGTATAGGAGTATTGCCGATCACTTGGAAGCTCACATCGCCCGTCTGGAGGGAGCTCAGAGCCCGCCGGCGTCCAGACGCTTTGGTCAGTTGTCGCCTGCGGCTTCCTTCACTTCTGAGGCACATTCGAGCTGCCATGGCGCGGAAAAGTGTGCTTTCGCCGACAGCCTGGTCAACCAAGCCATGGAGGACATTACCCCACCATTCCTCGGTGTTTCCAAGGCGAGGCCGATCCTGCAGTGTGTCGTCAAAGGGACATCACTGCCGTCGAGGAAGGGACCTGTTGGATCTACCGACCTGGACGAGAACCACCCCAGGTCCATCATCAACCCTCCAACCATCAGTCTGTTCCGCGACCTGATTGCCGATGAGAATGGCGCCAAGATTTTGTTCGAAAACTACCTCGAACGGATCATCACGCAGTATCCCATATACCACCGGACTGATGTCACGACGGCGTTCAATTCCATCTATCCGCAGAAGCCAACAAAAGCGGGAGAAGACTGTGTACGCAACCAGTACATAGTATGCATGATCATGGCCATTTCATTGAGTACGCACGCGCGCAAGAACGTGGTCAAAGCGAACCAGCAGGCGTTTCAGCTCGTCAGGTGCGCCATGCAGTGGATCCCCAAAGTCGCAACCAACGACATTGCTGGTCTGCAGGCGATTCTCCTTCTGACGCAGTACATCTTCCTTAATCCCAGCATGGCGGACCTCTGGCTTCTGACCGGGTTGATCAGCCAGTCGGTCATCGACCTGGGTCTGCATCAAGAACTGCCGAACGATGCCAAGATTTCTGACTACGACCGCGATATGCGCCGGCGGCTGTTCTGGTGCGCTTGGGAAATGGAGGTCGGCGTTTGCTCCATCTTCCTCTTCCCTACCAGCCTGCCCATCAAGGGCATCCAGGTCAAGTTTCCGCTGGAGATCGACGACACAGCCATCACCCAGCACGGGACCGTTCCTGAAGGGCGCGTGTCAAAGTTTACGCAGCGGATCATCTGCAGCTTTCGAATCGTCGAAGCAGAGTGCGTTTCAGTTCTGTGGCAAGACGAACCTATTCCAAAGGAATTCGATTCTGTCGAGAGTTGGGAGCAAAGTTGCATTGAGCGCATCCATCAATGGCAGCGCGAGATCTACGCTGCAGCACGCGCAAACAAGGATCCCGGACTTCTGGCACGATGGGAAGAGATGACGCTGTACTCGGACATTGCTGTGCCTTACATCTCCTTCATGCTCAACCGCCCATCGAAACGCGTGCCGACACCCACCACAGAGCAGAGAATGATCGCGATGACCAACGCGGTGAAGATTGCTGCTGGCTACTTCAAGCAGTCAGAGGCTGCTCCTGGAAGGATCAAATACGTCTTCCACCCGTGCCATCACGTGTTTCATTGTGCGATTGTGTTCCTGGAGGGCTTGCAGTATTGCAAACAGGAGGTCCTGACGACATACCTGTGGGAGCAGGTCCAGGAGTCGATGAACGTCTTCGCCGAGTGCTTTCGGTCTATTCGCGAGCGATGGGCCGCTGCCACGCGCTGCCTCGAGGAGTACGAGAGATATCTCGCGCCCTTGAAGAAGGAGTACCAGGAACTGTTTGCTTCGAAGGCAAGCATAAAAGCGCTGTCGGCGCCTCAAGCCGTCACTCCCATCTCGTGCAGCCCTGGTCTCCACGACGAGTCGGGCCACGCGATGATCGAGGTGGGAGGAGGCTTGGCCCACTGGAATCTGTTCAATCCCACTGCGACATCGGAGCCCATCGAACCGCTCAACGCATACACGTATACTACGACACCCCGAGACTGGAATGCGGAATTCCAGCTGCACCCAGGCATCGAGTGCATGTATGAGATGGAAACCCACTGATGCAGGCTGGCACATCTGGAACAATCAACAATGTCAATCGCCGAATACAGAACACACACTGCGATCATCTCCCAATAGGGATGCAGTCGCGTGGTTTTCACGTCGGGATCCTGCCAATGCATGCCTGGATCCTGCAACATGTGGCTGCCTGGATAACGATTCTCCCAGCCCGAGCATTGGCCGCAGAACAATCGTGCCATCTCCAAACGGCAGCAATCATCGCTGCTGCGGCCCAAGTGGGCTGCCACCATGGTAGCGTGGCGCGAGCCGCGAATGAAGGTGCCGCATGCACGGTAGTTCACCGACGTCGCACAACCACGAGCCCGTGCCGGGGAACGCGGGAGCGTCGCTAGTGCGTGCAGCTGCGGTCGGAACGCGCTGGGAACGCTGCTACTGGTACACGTTGCTGAGACGACTGCCAGCGCCTCCTGCGGGGCGAACCGAGGGCACCCCTGGCGCGCGGCGCGGACACACCCGCATGCAGGGAACGGACCCACTGTTGAGGTGGATGTCACCGTTACGAGGCATACAGTTAGGAGCATGGCAGTAATGGTAGTAATGCAGTAATGCAGTAATGGCAGTTAACGGTAGTCATGACAGTAATAACAGTTAAGTCAGTTAAGTCAGTGAATGGCAGTCATCTCCACACTCCACCCCGCACCCAGCGAACCTCACAGCTGCAGCGTAACAATCTCCTCCGGCTCCGTCGGCCTGCCGAGCCTCACCACCGCCTTCTTACTCTTCAAATCCATAACAATATTAAACAACGTCGCGCTCCCCGTCTCCTCCGTCTGCGTCCGGCAAATCGCCCCCGGCGCGCCCTCCTCGTCCTCAAACAACCCCCCAATCTCATCCCACCCGGCCCCCGGCCCCAGCGCGCCCGCATTGCGCTCCATCGTCGCCATCCGCGCCGGCGAATCCTTCAACCACACCGAATCGGTCTCGCCCGGATGCTCGCGCAGGAGGTGGTTCGTGTGCACCACGCGCCCGTCCCCATCCATCTCGCACCGCGCAAACGTGCTCTTCGTGAACTCGACCCCGAGCACACCCTCTGCATCCCCGATCAAGATGTGCGCCGCGCTCGCCATCCCGCAGGCCTCGAGGCGCTGCAGCGCGGCGGCTACAGAAGTGCTTTCCAGGACCGCGCGCAGGCCGAAGTGTGCGGGCAGGCGCGTCGGGTCGGCGCCCCGGATGGAGAGGGCGTTGAAGAGGGTGCCGACGCCGGCGGCGTTGAAGCCGATTTTGCCGATTATGCCGGCTTCGGTTACTTGGATGAGGGTCGGGAGGCCCGGTTGGGTTATGCGGGTGATGATGAGGTTTTCTTTTTGGGCGGTGTCCCACTGCGGGCGGGAGTGCGTGTTAGTAAAGTACAGTACCTACAGTACAGTGCAGTGCGCGTGTTTGCACGGCGCGGGCCGACGCGGACAAGAGCACGGGTGGTGGGTATGGTGGATATTGGATGCTGGATGGTGGATGGTAGGGGTACTCACATCCCAATTCTGCGCCAACCACACCCTCCCCTCCCCATCCCCCTCCCCCTCATTCCCCCCAACCCTCCACCCCAAAGCCGTACACCCCCCACCCATCCCAAACCTAATCTCCGTCCTCACATTCAACGCCACAACATCCAGCACCCCGACCCCCGCACCCTCCGCAATGCCCTCCATCTCCTCATAGTACGCGGGCCACGCCTCGCGCGCGCGCTGCGCAAACGGGGTCGCGCGGGAGAGGACGTCGGGCCAGGAGAGGCCGCATGCGGTGGAGAAGAGGGATGTGTAGAAGAGGAGGGTGCGGTGGATGGCTGCGGAGGCGAGGGTGCCGTGGGTGAGGCCTATCTGCGGGGTGTTAGTTGGGGTGTAGAGAAAGAGGGGTGGAGAGGGAGGGGGAGAGGGAGAGGGAGGGGGAGGTTGTGCGCGAGGTGTCAGGTGTTTAAATCCCGCCCCGCCTTGTTCGCGCGGGCCGTGGATTCAGAATCGGGGACTGTATGTTGCTGCGGGCTGGGCCCGGACTCAGTCGTCTGGATACTGGATGTGCTTGTGCTTGTGCGTATGCAATTGATAAACGACGAGCAGGAGGCGAGCGCGCGTGACGTCACCCCCTCGCTCTCGCTGGGGGCTTACCTCGTACGGCGTCCCACTGCACTCGATAACCAGCATCCTGTATCCTGTATCCTGTATCCTTCCTGTGCTTCGTACTCCGTACTCGTGTCTCGCTATCGAAGCCAAAAGCGTTGTGCAACGTCAACGTACAGTACTTACTGCGTTCGCTGCGCGAGGACGGGAGCGGGGTGTTTCAGCGGCGGGGCACGCGGGACGGCAGGGTGGGGCGCGGGTGCGGGTGCGGGGCGGCTTTGAGGGCGCGCGGGGCGCTGTGTATACTGTACGTACTACGGGGGAACGAGGCACTTAGAACGCAGCGAGGGCCAACCACGAATCTCAATGCTACATGCAGAGAACAGAACAATATCAAACAATACCCCCCCTCCCCCCGGATCTATACCCAACGCCTCAATACCTCCGGCACCTAGCGGAGCGAAAACATGCCCCCCGCGCGACTCGCCTCGAACTGCCTACTGACACTCCCGAACTTAGCCTGCCAGGCGAAGAAATACAGCAGCGCGCCCAGCGGCTGGCCAACGAGACAAAAGCTGACCCAGAAGATCATATTGCCTGCGACTTTCCCGTCGATGCCGCGGATACGCTGGATAGTGTCGGTAAGGGCGATGAGCGGGATCTGGGCCATCATGCCGAAGAAAGCGACGCCGATGACGTTGTGCGTGGGGACGCCGACGAGCAGCTCGTGCAGGACGCCCGAGATGAAGAAGACGACGATCTGGGCGACGGGGGGCGGCACGCCGCGGCCGACGAGCGGCGAGTAGACGTGGCGGCGCATGAAGTTGGTGACGGGCTTGTTCCAGGTGGTCCAGTAGGTGCGGATGGAGCTCACGTTCCACCAGGGGCCGTAGAACTCGCGGTCGGCGAAGCGCATGATTTCGGCGAGGGCGTTGAGCGAGGCCTGGAAGAGCGCGAAGAAGCCGCACAGCCAGCAGAAGACGCTGATGGTCGAGAGCTTCATGGTGCGCTCGAGGATGGCGGGGAGGTCGAGGGTGAGCAGCTTGTCGAGCGAGTTGCGCAGCAGCGGCGCCGCGTATTGGGCTGATGCGATCCAGACGACGATGCTGAGGACGAGCACTTCGGCGAGGCGGTGGAATACGAAGCCCCAGCGAATGTGCGAAGTGCGCGGATACACGGGCTGGTAGACGAGCGTCGGGGCCCACCAGAAGTAGCACATGTTCCGGAAGTTGATGTTCTGCGGGTACGGACACGAGGCGTACAGGGCGGGGAGCGGATCGGCCTGCTTCGGGTGCAGATACGCGTGGCGCAGGTCGCGGTTGGTGAAGGCGTAGGAGGCGCACTTCAGAAACACAATGACGGCGTGCAGCTCGCACAATGTACCGATACCCGGGTGGAAGATGTCGTAGTAGACGTACTTGGAGGCGATGTAGAGGTTCGACACGGCATTGATACTATGAAAGAACGCGACGGTGTGCCAGGTGGAGTTGAAGCTGCGCAGGGCGGCGGCGTACTTCTCGGGGGTGTCCTCGTCGGACTCGAAGCTGGCGTGGGCGCGCTTGGCCTGCCACGACGCGACCAGTTCGATCAGGTAGGTGACGAACAGGTGGGCGGGGACGAGCAGGTACAGCAGCAGGCCGGTGACGACGTCGGAGCGGCGGTAGTCATGACAGCTAATGCAGATGAGCACGCCGTACTTCTGGAGGTTCACGATCATCAGGCGCAGGTTCGAGACGACTGTTGGGTCAGCGTGAGGCAGCAGTGGTGGCAGGGGCCATACTGAGGACCAGGATCATGAGGTTCCTGAAGCCGACGAAGCTGGGGGTGTCGGTCGACTCATGGCTGAGGCAGGTGGTGCGGGCCTCTGCGTGGGTTGCGAAGACATGGCGGTACTTGCTGTCCTTACTACGAGTCCGCTTGTGCGCCGAGCCGTTGTGTGTGGAGTTGTTGGGTGCGTCAAGGTTGGCGTGCGTGCCCTCAACGTTGGGGCCCCTCTGGCGGGTGGAATTGACGCCGTGGGAGTCGACTGCAGACGACGCGGCGTGGGTGAGGGTAGCCATGATGCAGCGATTGACGGGGGTCGGGGGTTTATCAATGGGCGTGGGATGCGAGGAGCGCGGATTGCGTATCTCTGAGCCGAGGCGTGGAATGCGCGAACCGAGCTACTTGGCCAGCCGCGGGCGCGAGAGGGAGACGCAGCGCATGGCGTCCTGGGTGAGGTGCAGCTGTGAATTGTTGGGGCGCGCTGGGCAATGACGAGCCAGGCCCCTCACCCGGTTCCCCAGATCGGCGCCGTTGCAGGTGGCTGGAGAGACGGTGTGGCTGCTCTACTGGTAGGCTGTGGCTGGTGCAGCGACTGGGTGTGGCTGAAGGGTCCCGTCTCCGATACTGTGGCGCTGCTAGTGCAGGTGTGGCTACCTCTCACAGCTCCACCACCACGGCGCGACCTCGACGCGACACAATGGAGCGCGAGCCTTGGCAGCACCAGTTCGACGGCGCCCCGCGCGCGCGGCCGAAGCGTATGTGACCCGCGCCGCGCATGTACTCTACTAACAGACCCAGGCGCCGTGACCGACTACGGCGCGACGACGGTGCAGTGGATGCGCAGCCGCCGCCCGCGCTACAAGCATGCCGCCGCCCCCGAGATGGAGCGCCCCAGCGCGAGCTATATCGTCGACATGGCCCCGCCGGCCGCCCGCGTCGCCCGCGCCGCCGAGTCGATCCCCGCAAAGGCCGTCCACTCGTCGCTCAACAAGGTCAAGCACCCCATCAACGTCGTCAAGTGGACCCCCGAGGGCCGCCGCCTGCTGACGGGCTCGACCAGCGGCGAGTTCACGCTGTGGAACGGCATGGGCTTCAACTTCGAGACGATTATGCAGGCCCACGAGGCCGCCATCCGCTGCGTCGAGTACACCCACACCGACGACTGGCTGCTGTCGGCCGACCAGACGGGCGTCGTCAAGTACTGGCAGACCAACTTCAACAACGTCAAGGAGATGCAGGCCCACGCCGAGGCTGTGCGTGGCCTGGCCATCGCCCCGACCGACTCCAAGTTCGTGACGTGCGCCGACGACACCACGCTGAAGATCTGGGACTTTGCCTCCAGCCAGGAGGAGCTGACGCTGACGGGGCACGGCTGGGAGGTCAAGTCGGTCGACTGGCACCCGCACAAGGGGCTGCTGGTGTCGGGGTCCAAGGACCACCAGGTCAAGTTCTGGGACCCGCGCACCGCCCGCTGTCTGACCACCCTGCATGGCCATAAGAACCCCATCAGCAAGACCATGTTCGAGCCCGCCCACGGCAACCTGCTGGCCACGTGCGCACGCGACCACACCGCCCGCATCTTCGACCTGCGCATGATGCGCGACGTGCTGCTGCTGCGTGGCCACGAAAAGGACATCATCACCATGGCCTGGCACCCCATGCACAAGAACCTGCTGTCGACCGGCGGCGTCGACGGCAGCATCCACCACTACCTGCTGGACGAGCAGAACGCCCCCGCCGGCACCCTGCCCACCCTCTCCCCCTACGACTCGCCCGACCCGGCCAACGCCCCCGCCCAGCCCATCTACCCCGCCCACAGCATCCAGTACGCCCACGACTTCACCGTGTGGACCCTCGACTGGCACCCGCTGGGCCACATCCTGGCCTCGGGCTCCAACGACCGCGTCACCCGCTTCTGGACCCGCCCGCGGCCCGGCGACACAAAGTACCCCGAGGACCGCTACCACATCGGCCAGGACGCCGCCGAGCGCAACGGCACCTTCGACCGCAGCCACGGCCGCCGCCAGCGCGCCGAGGAGGAGGAGCAGGAAGCCGAGGACGAAGCCGAGGGCCTCGTCGACCAGAAACTCCCCGCCAAGCTGCCGCACATGCAGCACCCCCCCTTCCTGCCCCCGGGCCTGTCGCTGCCCGGCCTCGCCCCAGACTCAGGATCCCTCCCGGGCCTCGCACACCCCGCGCCGCCCTTCCCGCCCGGGCCCCCGCCGCCCTTCACAATGCCCGGTGCTGGTGCCCCTCCCCTGCCCCCCGGTATCCCCGCCGGCATCGACCCCGCCCGCCTCGCCCACCTCATCCAGTCCGGCGCCATGCCGCCCCCGCCGCCTCTCGCGCACCACCCGGGCCCGCCGGGCTTCGCGTCCCACGCGCCGCCGCCCAGTTTCCCGCCGGGCCCGCCCCCGGGCTTTTCTTTCCCGCCCGGCTTGCCGCCGGGGTTCCCGCCGCCGGGGTTTCCGCAGGGCGTGCCGCCTGGCTTCCCGGGGATGTCGGGGATGCCTGGGTTGCCTGGGATGCCCGGGTTGCCGGGGATGTCCGGGTCGCCGGGCGCAGGTGCGGGTGGGTTTGCGCCGCCGGGGATACAGATGGCGCAGGGCGGGAGTGCGCAGGGACAGGGACAAGGACAGGGGCAGGGGCAGGAGGGCTGGGAGCGCAAGAGGGCGCCGTTGCCGGATCAGGGGGATGCGCTGCAGGCGGAGATGCGGCAGGGGCGGTATCGGAAGGCAAGGTAGTGCAAGAGATGATCAAGGACGAGGATACGGGGAGGAGAAGAGCAAGAACAAGAGAGGACGAGATGAATAAGTCGCTTGTACGAGTATTCTGTGATATGGTGGGGTATGGTATATCGAATATGGAATATGGAATTCGGAATGTGGAATACGGAATATGGGATATGGAATATGGAACTGGAAGATGCATCATTCCCATCCATCTCACAAACACCAGTTTTTTTTGACTCTGAGACTCCTTCTTTCCTCTCTCACTACCTCGGCTCGAGCTCGTCCGTCCGTCCACACCCTTTCTCTCACCTCCTAAATAACCACCGCCACCAACCCACAACCCACCCCCTTCCTCTCACACCCTACCTACCGCCATCGAATCACCGCCTACCCCAACCACCCCCCCGCCCCAGCATACCCCGGCGCCACCCCCGCAACGCCCCTCACAGCGCCCAGGCCCCGCAGCACATCCCCCTCCAACACCGCGCTCGCGAGCTGCACCACGGCCCCGTGGCCGCCGGCGCGCGTCAGCGCGGTGAGCAGGCGGGCGAGCGCGAGTTTGACATCCTGACTCTGCGTCTGCACCTGCGCTCTCTGCCGCAGCACGAAATCCGCGAGACACACGACCCTTACCCCCCACGCGAGCACCGCAGCCGCACTACCCCAGCCCAGCGGCCCATCAGCCTCGGCGTCGTAGCGCGCGGTAAGAGACGTGAGCGCGTCGAGCGTCCAGCGCGCTGCGTCCGCGAGCACGCCCGCGCCGAGCCCCGCGCTGAGTCCCGCGCCGCCAGACGCTGCGTCGCATAGCACACCGCGCCACCCCAGCGCCGCGCCCGCGTCGTCGACGAACTGGTTTGCGCGCTCCGGCGCGAAGAGCGCGGTCTGCGGACGCGTCGCAACCTCCAAGTACGCGGCGAACGGCGCGCCGAACAGCGGTGCTGGAGGGGGCGTGGCGGTGAGCCGGCGCAGGACGTGGGTGGCTAGGCCCGGGTGCCGCGGCGCCAGGCGGGGGAGGTGGGTTTCGAGGGCGCGGGACGCGAGCAGCGGGACCGTGGGGGCGCAGCGCAGCAGGCGCGCGGCGGCGCGGGCGGCGAGGTCGCGGATGTCGTCGTCGTCGTCGGCGAGGAGGTCGTGCGTGGTGAGGGCGAGGCTGAGGGCGAGCGGGGCGGGGGCGGTCCACAGGTGGTGTAGGGCGTGGAGGGAGAGCGCGGCGGAGAGGCGGGTGGCGTCTGGGTTGGTGTCGGTTGTTGCTGTGCGCAGGAGGTGGATGTAGCGGGTTGTTGCTGCGAGGACGGGGTCGCGGGAGGAGGGGAGGTGGGCGTAGGTGTGGTCCAGGAAGATGCCAAGGAGGTGCAGCGCGGACTGGGTGTTTGAGGGGGGCGCGGAGAGGCATTGGGATTCGAGTTTGGGGAGGGTGGAGACGAGGTGCGCGTCCGGGAGCAGGCTGAAGAACTCGTCCCGGCGCTCGGGCGCGCTGTCTAGGGCGTCTGCGAGGACGAATTGGGCCTTGGAGGTGACTTCGGGGTCTTCGGCGTTGAGCACGACGCGGTGGATGTGTGCCATCAACAAGGACACCGGCTTCTTTGGGGCGTCTGGAGACACCTTCTCGATGATCGTCTCCAGAGTCTCGAGCGCAGCACAGCAGGTATCTGGGTCGTCCTCTGCCAGAAGCATCAAAGCGTCACCGATGCTCTGATAGTCTTCTGAGACAATCGTACTCAAAGACTCGGGACGGACAATGACACGGTCGATGATGAACAGCCTGGCCAGCGCTTCAGCACGGAGCGGACTGTCAGATGCGCTGCTGGTGTCCAGATCGTACTCCGGACCGATCTCAATGAGTGTCGTGAGCTGTGTCCACGCCACCAGCACAGGCTCCGACTCCCTTCGCTGAAGGATGGACAGACCGCAAGTGCTGACGATGTCGAAGAAGACGGCGTCGAGGAACGGGCACTTGTTGTGGGTGAACCATCGAGGAGCGCAGTTGATGAGTTCGAGCAGCAACGCCTCGATGGACTGTGAGGCTGCAGAGGTTAGCGAGTGTCAAAATCGAACACAAATCTGCCTACCTAGACTCAGCTGCTCGCTGGCCAGCTTTCTCATCATGTACTTCACGGCCAACAGCACCCCGTGTCGTGTGTTGGTGGAGTCATAGTCCACCCTGAGCATATCAAACGCTGCGTCGTACATCTCGTGCGACGGAAGCAGGGCTACTACCGTCCGTGCGGCCATATCACGCATATGCCAGTGCGGGCTCGCCAGGAGCTTCTGGACGGACGCCCTGATCGGCCCCAGTTCGTTTGTCGGTGGCCGCGCTTGTCGCAGGATTTGCAGCGCTGGGAAGACACCCTCGGCGCCATGGAGGTCAAAGGGGTTGCTGCCCTCTGCACTGCTCTCGAGCGTCGCCTTGACGGGACCTGCGGGGTCGAGGAGGTCTGCCAGTATGCCCAGCAAGCTGGGGTAGTTGTCGTATGAAAAGCGGGACGTCTTTGCGCGTTCCTGCTCTTTCCAGTCCTGCGCTTCACTGCTGCCCAGCAGTCTTTCGATCAGAGCCTTGAAGAGCATGAGACTGCAGTTCCGGATCGGCCAGCTGTGTGTGTTAATCTCAAGTCAACGAAGATCAAGTCATACGTACATATTCGAGTTCAAGGTCTTTGCTGCCAGTTCGAGTCCCTGCGCGATGTACGCTTCGGACGCTACGCTGAGCTTTGAAGTGGTGAAGATCTCTTTGATGCAGTTGAGAGCGTGCACCTGCGGGAGGCGACTCTCTTCGATGTTGGTGTGCTGCGCCTCCACAGACGCTTCGCTGGTCAGGTCAGTCATTGCGCGAGCGAGCAGCTTGCTGCTAGCTTCAGGTTCTGCTGCGATGATGCTGGCCATCAGCGTGGGGATGCCAGCAGATCTCCGAGTGATAGCTCCAGCTTTGTCTTGCATCGACCGCAGTGTTTCCTGCAAATCGTCAGATTTCTTCTTAAAAATTGTTGAATAGACCAACCTGATACCAAGTATCTGGTAATGCCTTCAGCTCTGGGATTTTGGATGTTGCGCATCGACGACAAAATGCAGCGAACGTCTGAGCGACTGTCGAGTGCGCACCACGGTGGCGAAGCTCGAGCAATTGCGTAAAGCAAAGGCGGCCAAGTCTCTCAAACACAGCTGGAGTGAGTATGGACTGCTCATCGTTACCGATAGGAGCTCTTGTGATGATAGTTCGGACCAAAACACTGGCCTGTCAGCAGGTGTCACAGCTGTGATAAAGGTACTGACCTGGCCTCTTTCAGCCCTCTCCATGAGTAGCTCAGGACTTCCCTGGTGTCCAGATTTGCTGCTTCATCTATCTCGTCGGGGACGTTGCCTTCCGGCGCATCTGCGCAAAGAACGTTGTAGACTATCGACCAGAGAGCCTCGAAGCTCACGATCAGCTCATCGTGCGCTTGAACCCACGTGAGATGTGCTTCTGGAGTATCCTTCGCAATCGATGGATAGAAGGAATCCTGATCTACGATGTAACTGTCAAGTATCAGTGGGGAACTTAATTTTGGAAAGGGAAACGAACGTCAAGGCAGCATAGATACCATGTACTGGGCGACCGTTCACGGCTTCAGATAGGTTCGTGCGAGCAATTTCGAGTGTTTCTGTTAGCTGCTTTCTTAGGCCGTCGAAAATTCCAGAGCTCGAAGAGGGTAATTCCAACGCCTCCGTGACATTTGCATCGGCCACATTGAACAGCAGTGCGTACGCTCGAGCAACTCCGTCAGCCTGATCAGCGCGCCCTGTACGCAGCATCATTGTCTCTGCACGAGCCACGAACTGAGGGAGCATCGACAGCGTCACAGTCTTTTCAGAATCTGGTAACGCTGATAACGAAAGCTGCAGGACTGATATGGAAGCTTCTCTGATATCGTCGAACGGATCCATGACCAAGTCCAGCAGAAGTCGCGTAAGATTTGTGTTCGAAACTTGTAGACTGTGGGCCCAGTTCAGCTCGCCTTGTGCAGACTTGGAGAGCTGCGCGTGTGGAACGCCGGCGTCAACGCCCGACTTGAGGACAATGATCAGAGACCGAAGAGCCGTGATGCGTCGCTGATAGGTGCCAGTCGAGCGCAGCTCCCACTCGAGGAACCGCGTGTACCATACGATGAATGCAAGAGACTCTTTTAATGGATCTTCCGACGCAGAAGTCTGCTCCTGGAAACATTCTTTTGGAATCGGCAATCGACCTTGCTCCGGAGTGCGGCCCTTGACCAGACTCTTCGACAGCGTTGCTGTGCTAGCCCGGAGGCGGTCAAACAGCTTTTGCGTGTAGCCGTGGACCTCCCTCCGGAAGTAAGCATCAGTGTCTGCGTGGAGATGGAACAGATTGCGCTTCAGTGACTTGAAGACGCCACCGGTCATAGGTTTCGTGACGGCGGTAGAGTGTACTGAGAGGAACATGCCAGCGAGCCTTACTTCGGGTTCAGAGTGTGACATCCACGTGTCGAAGATGTCGTCGGGCAGATGTAATGAGTTGCCCTGGATCTCGATGCGGTCGCATGTGCGATAGTCTGGAAGATGTTAGTGCGTTTCTACCCGGTAGTACATAAACTCACCAATGTCACGGACAATGGTCAATTCCTTTCCAGTCTCGAGGGCGGCCAAGAGGATCTTGAACTCCTCGGATTTGGACAAGCTACTAGTCCGCGACTCGTACATGCGCAACGCTTGAGGTACCTCGCCTTTCGACTGGACATGTAGGCCGAAACGGAGGAAGGAAAGGAAACGCAGATACTCGTCAATGTTGGGCAAGAAGCAGTGTGGGAATACGTTTGCTTTGAACTCGCGCAGACGATCCGGCCAGTCGTGAAGCATCTCTACCACTGGCTCTATCCATAGAGGCGAGACGGTCTTATTCTCCCCTTGAGTGGAATACTCAGGCAGGCGGCGCGCTTGAATAAGGAAGTTCTTGACCAGATGGCCGGCCGAGAGGGAGGTGTCGTGGTGAACCACCCATACGAGAAAAGTCTTGAACAGGACTTGTGGGGAACTTCTGAACTGTTCACTGGATGATGATTGAGCACCCTGAATGTCCAGCAGCTGTGCTATTGACACTACATCCCGGAGCAAGAAGTGTGCAAGACCCTGTAAGGCTGGCTTGACTTTGATGCGGTCTTGCCGGTCGCATATAATATCCACGAATGTTGACGCAGCCTGCAGTCGGAGTTCTGCAGCCCGTGTACTTTGATTCTTCGTTATGACACTGGTAAGAAGCAGAAGCATCTGCCTCATCGACTTGCCTTTGGCGTCGTCTGATCTCTGCAGGTAGATGTTGAACAGTCGCAGCCAGACCGAGTCATCTAAGATGGCGTCCCGTGCATACTCGGTCTGCGATGCTTGACAGCATTCGAGAATCGAGCACAGTGCATTTGATGCTGCGGCTCTGTGACCAGGGTTCAGGTCTGGCAGATCGGTCGTCTCCAGCAAAGGATCAATCAGATCGTGAAGCTCTCTATCAAAGTCAGCATGATCTAGATGCTGAACCCCGATGTTCACGGACTTTGTGATCTTACTTCACGCCGGTGATTGGTTCTTTTTCTTCGAAACGGGGGATGGCTTTGGCCGCATTTTTGGCCAAGTCTCGCAGCAACTTCTCCGGAACTGGCACTTCACGTTGCTTCACAGCATCTGCCATCATTGGGATGAGCAGCTGTCGTGCAAGGCGTAAGGGTCACGGGCCACAGATTCGAGGGAGGATTTGGGATGGGACGCGCTGGGAATGGTCAAATGTGGGGCACCGAACTTTTTGGCGCTAGCGATGGACCCAGTTAAAGGCCAATACGACCCCCATGCTTGCTCCTACTGATGTACATGTGGAAGGGGGCTTGAAATCTCGTGTCTCAAATTATGAGAGGTGTAAATCACGCGGCAGAAAGACAGATGGACAAGGGATCAAAGTCAGGAAGGAGTATCATTGTCTACAGCATTGCGCTCGTTGACTGATGTCAAGAAAAGAAAGAAACATGCTCAGAAGTTTCAAGACGCCTATCGTGCTTAATCACACATCCTGAACTTCTAGCAAACGATCTGTAGATGCCGCACTTCTTGTACTTGGACCCAGCTTGCCGGCAGATTCTGGCTCATCCAGTCGAAGATACCTGTTCAGTTATCTGCACTATCGTAGTGCACGCCTTTCGCAAGCTCGCAAGGATCGGGGGAGTAGGTGATTGTGCACTGCTCCCACTCCTCGTCCCTCATCAGATAATTTTTGAAATTCAGTGCATGATGGACATTGCCAAATCGAATCTCGATGTAGTGATGCTACATTGTGTCAGTTTGCGTACCAGGTTGATGTGTGCGTTGACTTACTCCGCGCGCAGTCTTTCCTTGCTTGACATGCTCAACGTCACGTGGAATCTTCTGTTTGCCGCGTGCGAGGTTAAAGAGCATTCCGTTCGACCAGTCATCATCTGCGCCTGTAGCCCGAATGCAGCGGGTCACATTGCCATCGATGCAGTTTTGAATGACATCGTTGATGGAGTTCGGTTCTGGCTGTTGGTTCACGAAAACGACGGTCTTCTTCATTCCGCCCTGGATCTCGATACCATTTTGAGTGGCGTTGAGGTAGGCCTGGCAACCTTCTGGCGTGAGGAACTTCACGACCGCGTTCTCTGATCCAGGCTCTGGCATGAAAATCGACTCTAGGCGTCCGCCCCAAACAAGAGCTTGCAGCTCGTTGAGAGTCTTGACTCCACCGACACCTTTGAGAATACATGCCCGGTAAATTGCACCTGCTAGAAGTTAGTATCAACTATAAATACAATGCATGACTGCATGTGAGACGTACCGTGTTCACGCTTCTCTTGTGATGGCCAAGCCTTCATGTTTTCCATTGGATCAGCTGGCGTCGTGGGATCCGCTTTAGCGACAGTGATAGCTGGAGCAGCTGCTGTATCGACCTTGGAGGTAGCCACCACACTGTCGTCTGCCTTTGGAAGCACGGCGAGAACGTTCCGGCACATGTTCGTAATGTGCTCCAAGCTGTCGAGCGCGATGTATTTGTCAGTGACCAAAGCGGCGCATAGGTGCAAGAAGTTGCCGTTGCTGTCGCGTAGTACGCTGTTCACGAAGGCTGTGGTCACTGGCTTAGGATTGAGCTTGACCTTGTTGTTGATGAAGGTCACAATAGCGAATGAGTATCGTGCTTTCAGCTTTTCTACTTCCTCTGGTCGAATCTTAGCTAGGCCGGGAGCGTAGGCAGCATGCAGCTTGTTGGCCACAGTCTGAATGGTATGCGTAGCGGAACCAGGACGAGAGGGGAGCGTGTTGAAATATTTGACTGCTTTGCCAAAATACTCTGCCTCGCCTTCAGACGCCTTAGAAGCGGACGAAGATTGCTTTGGCTGAGACGAGAGGCTTCCAGGCTCCGAAAGTGCAGGAGCTGGCTTCGAATCGATCTGGCTCTTGGGAGAACCCTGATCCACACCCTTGCTTGAAGGTGCGGCCGTGTCTGCGCGATCCTCGAACGAGAAGAAAGACTTATCGGGCCCAGATAGAGAGATCTCCTTGGCGGGTCTTGACGGCTCGGGGGTTGTAGCTGACAACCGTGCAAACATGTCGTCCAAAGAGCTGCTGGGGAGAGTAGGCTGTGGGGGCAATTCAATCTTTGAAGGAGGTGAAGTGGGACCTGTACTGACTGAAAACAGCGGAAGTGGGAGCTGCTCGTTCCTGCGCACGGAGTGTTAGTGACGATCGAACATTGCAAACAAGTGGACGTACTCTTTGGGCGCCACTTGTTGTGCCTTGCCCAACCAAGAAGCTGGCGACGGAGCCGGCGTCGACACAGAAGTCGTAGCCATTGATGAGCTCGAGCTGATTCGGAGTGGAGCCTTCGGTCGTGATGCAGTGGGTGTTGGGCCCGCGGCGCCTACGATCTTGACAGCCTTCTTCTTGAGCTTGAAGGTGACTGGAGTCGTAGCAGGCTGAACTGCAAAATTAGTTCCGGCATCCTGCGAAGTTCTCGCATCTTGGGAAGCCCTCGCATCCTGGTGACCTTGCGTGAGACCTTGCGGAAAGCCTGCGGTACTACGAGCAGGACCGCCATGCAGAAGCGAGCGATCCATGCTTGCTACCGTTGATGGCGAAGACGAGTTCTGGCTCTGCGGTGAGTCTGGAGGTGAGTCTGGAGGTGAGAGTGGGACACTAGATGGGTTGACTGGCGCAGGCGGAGCCACTGCCCTAGCGGGAGGTGCAAGAGAGTGAATGCCTCAAAGACGCTGTCAGCTGCAAGGGTGAGACGAAGTGAAGAGAGCTTGAACATACGAAATAAGCTTCGCCTGTTAGTGACTGTCCAGTTCTCGATTCCCTCAATACACGCGTCGAGATCACTCTTGTAGAGCGTGTCTGCGCTGCTGCGAGATGGGGAATTAGCGACAAGAGATGGTTGCGAGACCATAGATCTAACCAGACATGGGCCCCGGTCAGGGCCGTGGTAAAAGATTGACTTTGGGTGGGATGAGTGGTTTGGAAGAGGGGTTGACCGCGACTGCTTTATATGGGGTTCGGCAGGTTTGGCGTTTGACCGTTAGCTCATCACATCATAGTGAAGGTGAGCAAGTTCGTCAAAGCCGGAACACCCAACATGAGCTGGTAAATTTGACTGAGAAACACGACATCAATGTCAACGGTCTGATAAACAAACAGATAAACACACATGAGGAGAGAACGAAGCACCGACACCTGCCTACCAGCTCAGTCCAAACTCCATTGTTTACCTCCGCGATCCACAGCGGGAGCCAAAGATTATAAGCAAGAAATCCAAGACCAATACATCGATTTTGGAAGCGTTTAGAACACCATCAAACCTGTCACATGCCTAGTTCTAGCAGTTCGTGATGGAACACCTTTGATGCGGTATTGTACAGTCTCCGGAGGCGACTTTTGGGCCACTCTGAGCGTCTGTGAAATACAAACACGAACTACCGCTGAGAAGACATCTGGTAAGTTCATCCACAAAGATCCCGCAGAACACTCGAGATGCATGTGCATGTGGCGTGTGATAACAAGATCCGAGCGTGGATGTGCTGTGGCTGGGTAGCGCTTGCCCCATGCGCTGGGTGACGTCGCGGATGTGCGCCGATCACTAGCGTGCGCTGTTCCGGCGGTGCCTGGAGCTCAGGACTCCATCTCCACAGTCCAGAACAGCTCGAGCGTTGCAGCCACAGACCGTATCGTCGCTACCATTCTTTGTACCGAAGCCGCAGATTCTGCCTCTCAACAGACTGGTTACCCCGCGATGTGGGACGACGAGGACAACAACCCGTATGGGTCCTTTGCCCGCCATGATTCCAATGCCTCTGATGTTACTGGACTAGCCTCGCCGACAGCCCGTAAGGCCTCAATATGCTGCCAGCAGCTGAAAAAGAGCTGTGAGCTTACTGTGCCGTAGTGCCCTATCGTCCAGCAACGCCGCCTTCCGAGGCATCGTCCCCCGCGCAAGAGTCCCCGGAATATGTCCCGAGGAGGGACATGAGCGAGGTCGACTACGACGAGGACCAGCAGGACGACGAACCCGTTGCGCCCAAGAAGGGCGGCTATGACGCGCGCGTGGAGCAATGGCTGTACGAGAATCCAGGGCAGCTCATCCTGATCACGGAGGCTGGGAAAGACAATGTCAACTTTATACAATACACGATCAATTGCGGCGTACGACACGGAACTTCGGTTGTAGTAATATGGACTAACGCAACCACAGGGTCTTGAAGTTAAGCGCAGGTACTCTGAGTTCGCCTCGCTGCGAGCGACGCTGGTCAGCCTCCATCCCACTCTTGTCGTACCGCCTATTCCCGAGAAGCACTCGATGGCCGACTACGCCGCACGGCCTACCAAGGCAAAGGAAGATGCCGGCATCATAGATCTGAGGAAGCGCATGCTTGCTGTGTTCTTGAACCGCTGTCGAGCTATGAAGGAAGTTATGGAGGATGGGGTCTTTTGGCGATTTCTCGATCCGCACACAAGTTGGGTGAGTATCAATGCTGGGCATTGCACCCATATGCTGACGTATGCCGAAGAACGAGGTCCTGAGCAGCGCGCCAGTCGCCAATATCCCCAAGCAGATCTTGAAGGCTCCCCCACTCGATACCGCGAACCCTACACAAGCGCACAACTATCTACCGGTTCCGTCGTCCTCGGCGAAGCTCAAGTCTGCTGGAGCGACGTCCAGCTCAGGTACACCCACATCACCACCCAGCCATGCCGCACTACCTTCTGCTGCTGCGCATACCACACCTGGACCACAGATCTTCGGTCGTTTCCCTCCAGAGTCGCGGGAGCTGTCAGAAGAAGAGCTGGATCCCTACTTCGTCAACTTCGAGCAGTCGTCGAAGGAACTCGAGCATCTACTGCAAGGTCCCATGGAGAAGGTCAACAGGCGGTTACTTACGCACTTGGGTGCTTGGGGCGACGATCTAGCAGACCTGGGCGCACGCTTCAATGCTTTCTCGCTATCTGAACAGTCTCAGTCGCTTGCCGCAGCGATAGAGAAGACAGGGCAAGCAGTGGACTCCACCTACGTCTCAACCACCGAACTCTCCTCCTCCCTCAGCGCAAGCTTCGCCGAGCCCATGCGCGAGAGCGCACAATTCGCCGGCGTCGTTCGCGCCGTCCTCAAATACCGCATCCTGAAGCGGATACAAGAGGACATGACCAAGGACGAACTCGAGAAGAAGCGCAACCTCCTCGAGTCCCTCGAGCGCAGCGAAGCCGAATCCAAGCGCCTCGAGCAACACCTCAGCGGCGTCGGCCACGCCCCGCAGACGCGCAGCCGCGCGCCCTCCCACAGCTCGCAGCGCAGCGACGCCTCGGAGCCCCCGCGCCACGAAGAAGCAGACCGCGTCTCCATCGACTCCGACTTCCCGCCCACCCACGGCGACGGCCCGCCGCCCAGCAGCCACCAGGGCGCCCCCGACTCCCCGAACCCAAGCCACTACTCACCGCCCACCAGCCCGCACAAGAAGACCGCGAGCGGCAACTTCGTCACGAACAAGCTGTTCGGCTCCATTACACACGCGTTCCGCGGCATGGCGGACGTCGATCCGGAGAAGACGCGGCGCGACCAGATCGGCAAGACGCGCGACAGCCTCGTGCATGTACGTGTATCCCGCATCAATTGACCCAGCCAGCTAACAAGTGCAGCTCGAGCAGGCGCTCGGCGTCGCGGAGAAGGACACCAAGGACGCCAGCACGGGCGTGATGCGCGACCTGCGCCGGTTCCAGACGGAGAAGGAGAACGATCTGCGGCGCTACATGGTGCGCCCACCCCCTCTCTCACTCGGCTTCACGAGCTCTTGCTAACGCGTTGCAGATGGAATTCGCACAGTGCCACGTCGACTGGGCGAAGCGCAACAAGGCGGCGTGGGAAGAGGCCCGCGCCGAGGCGAGTAATATCCAGCACCCGGCGGACGAGTACCCGCGGAGTACAAACGACATGTAGAGTGAGCGGACAGGGGGGTAGTAATACAGTAATGAAGACCCCACGCAGGCGAAGATGCGCCGCGTGGGACGGTAGAGAATCATGCACTCAAGTACTGTCATTGAATATGCTGCAATTGGTATAACCGCTGCCAACCCTCCCTTCCCCTACGCCTCAGTCCAATCCCTCACGCTCGTGCTGCTAGAAAGTCGTGGTCGCCAGTCTGCTCGCCGCGTTCTTGGCGTCGATGCGGTCATCGTCTTCTTCGCCGGCCTTGACGCTTCCCGATTTGCTGGGCGCGCGTTTCCGCGAGAGCCCCGACTCGTCGTTCTCGTCCTCGTCGCCTTCGGGGAGCACAGGAGGTATGCTGCCACTGACGCTCCTGTTAAGGCCCTCGCCAGGGCGGCGGGGTACGCCGGACCAGGCGTCGCCCTTGGGGCCCTGGGATGTGGCCATCGTGGCGCGGCGTGTGGCAGGGTGTGCTTCGCGGCCGAGGCGCGACAGGCCTCCGCTGCCGTCAATGGCGCGGATGTCAGGGCGTACCGATTCGAGAGTTGCGAGGGTGCGGCGTTCGGCTTCGATCTGGCGGATGGCGTATTCGCGGATTGCTTGGCGCATGTCTGCTGTAGTGCGGCCGAACCATTTCCTCTGCTCCTGGAGTAGGTTCGCGGTGACGCGCTGGGCTTTCGAGGTTAGGTACTGCTCATGGCTGCGGGCTTCGTCGAGTTGGCCAATTGCCTCGTCGACCTTGTCGCGTTTTACGCTGGAACTGGCCTTCAGTCGGTCGGCGGCAGTGAGCTTGGATTTGGTGGCTGCTTGCGCCTGGAGCAATTCGCGGAGGATGATATGACGGTTGGTGAGGGTTTCCTTGGCAATAAAGGCGTCACTGCTGTGGTACTGGAGTGGGTCGCCGAGCGTGGTCGCTTCAGCAGTACCTTGAGCAGCATGGAAGTCGCCGGTCGCTTGGATGACCTTTCCTAGCTTCTTGTACGCGTGCGCAAGTCCAGCGTGTGTCTCCTGAGCGTGCATGGCAGCGAATTTGGCGCCCAAGTCAGATTCAGCGACACCAAGATCTGCGTGATGTTAGTACGGTCAGGCAAGAAAGCGACAATCTCGTACTTCTCCTGTGCTTGACGACCTTCTCGACTTTCTGCTCAGCCTCCATTGTCCCCAGGTAGAAGGCCTTCACAACCGGGCGGGCGGCGGCGAGCTCGGGCGTGTCATCCGGTGGGGGCGCAAACTGCTTGATGACCTTGCGGCGCACGCCTGTGGCAGGCTGCTTCCGCCGCACGACCGGGCTGTATCCAAAGTCGCTCTCGACGAAAAAGACCATCTCCTCATCGCGAATGAGGATGTCGTTGGTGCAGACGACGTTCAACCACCGCTGGATCGCCGCCTTTAAGCGCGCCTCATCCTCTTCAGTGCCAGCTCCTGCAGAGGTCGTGGCCGGGGGCACGGCGGGCACGATGGCCTCGGGGCAGGCGGAGATCAGGTGTTCGCCGAACTTGACGAACTCGCTATGCACGCGGCGGACGTCGCGGAACTGGGTCGTTCGGAACTTGGGCAGGTTGGTCTGCGATAGCGTCAGTATTGCTGCTGTTGACCGATGCTGCCTGCACATACGTATACGTCGAAGCGGATGATCGGGTCCTTCTTGCCATTGCGCTCGAGTCCCGTCACCTTGGCCTGGAGCTTGTAGTGCTGCTGCTGGCGCTGCGGCCGTGTTCCGTGGTATCGCTGGGGCTGCTGGCCCGGCTGGGGAGCTTGTTGGTGCGCGTTTGGGTGCTGCGGCAGCTGCGGCGCATCTTGGGTGGGCTGTTGCGACGGCTGCTGTTGTTGCGCCGGGTACGATTCGCCGTTTTCTGTCGAAGCAGTGCCGGGTCGGTTCTGCTGGGCGTTGTCGCCCATGTAGCCAAACTGCTCCGAGTCCTGGCCGTAGGGTGACGCGGGCGGAGGCAGCGGAGATGAGGGGAGGTCGCTGGTGGGAGTCTGCCCGAATGACGCGCGATTGTGCTGCGGCGACGACGCCCATGGACTGGAGCCGCCCGCATATCCGTCGTCGTTGTGCGAGTAATCCATGGTTCTAGGGCGCAGCTGGGAACAGGCAGCTGTTGCTAGCCATGGTATTGACGTCGCCCTCGGCCGTGCCTTCTTACCCGCATTCTTGGCAGCGGCCCTTGCCATCATCGGGCAAGGTGCGACCCAGCATCAAACTGGACATCACGTGCAGCATTCTCAGCGTCATTCCAAGTCTACTATCCACACATCAGTGCAGACTTTGGCATGTTGGTTGGATGGGCGCGTTGTGCGAGTCGAGTCGTCCGACATGATGTGAAGGTGCCGCGGAGGCTGCTCTCCACCCAGGCACCTACAGCAGATCGACTATCCAAGACCACTCGGAACATTGGCATCGTTGCTCATATCGATGCTGTAAGCCTTGTTGATGACTAGTTGGAACCCTCGCTGATTCGTGGGTAGGGCAAAACGACAACAACGGAGCGCATGCTCTATTACAGTGGCCACACACGGAGAATTGGAGGTGCGTTGTCACAGAACGTCGAATATCAGTACTGACGCCCTCAGATGTCGATGAAGGATCGACTGTGACCGACTTTCTCCCTGCTGAAAGGGCTCGTGGAATCACGATCCAGTCCGCTGCCATCACCTTCCACTGGCCACCCCAAGAACCAGGCGCAAAACCTGCTCCAGCACCTGAATCCTTTGACTCTATTTCTCCTTCGTCATTCCCGCACAATGTGAATCTGATTGACACCCCTGGCCACGCGGATTTCACGTTCGAGGTTTTGCGTTCTCTGCGTGTCCTTGATGGAGCTGTCTGCATTCTTGACGGTGTTGCCGGTGTTGAAGCACAAACTGAGAAGGTATGGACGCAGGCTGGGAACTACCAGATCCCAAGAATCATCTTCGTCAACAAGCTTGACCGAGTCGGGGCTGCGTTCTCAAGGACCGTGAAAGAGATCGGTGTCAGACTCCATGGATGGCCGGCTATCTGTCAGATTCCTTGGTGGAAGGGTGGCAACGGCGACTTCGTTGGTGTCGGCGACGTCGTCAATCTTCGCGGGATGCTCTGGCAACCTGGAGGTGATGGGAGAGACATACAAGCACCCAGTCTTGAGGAGCTCGACAAGACCGACCCAAAGTTCGCAGACGAGATCAGAAAGGCCAGAATCGCCCTGATCGAAATACTGAGCGAGCATGACGACCTCATGGTCGAAGCTTTCCTGGACCACGACGAAGATCATCTTGCTATCCCTGCGTTGCACATCTGGCAGTCCCTTCGACGCGTGACGCTGCAGAGCTCACAAGCTGTCATACCCGTCTTCGCCGGCGCCAGTTTTCGCAATGTCGGTGTTCAGCCGTTGCTGGATGCCGCAGTCGACCTTCTTCCGTCACCCCTCGAACGACCAGACCCAGAAATCAGCATCTCAGGACAGACCAGCACGCTGTCTTCGCTGCTCAATGCATCAGCAGCCGCCAAGCCTGCAAAATCAGCCAAGAAGGGCCAGCAATCTTCAGGTCTGGCGATCCCAGAAGTCAAAAACCTCTCAGCTTGTGCGCTCGCATTCAAAGTGGTCAATGACGCTAAACGAGGTGTGCTGGTCTATGTGCGCGTCTACTCTGGCTCGTTGGAAAAGGGTTCTACACTTTATAACACAAGTTTAAGAAACGTGGAACGCGCGCCGCGCTTACTCAAGATGTACGCTAATGATGCTGTGGAGGTTGACAGCATCGGGCCCGGTCAGATTGGCGTCATTACTGGTCTCAAGCATGCAAGGACTGGCGATACGCTGATTGTATACAGAGGCCTGCAGATGAAGGGTACACCTGCTGGTGGACTGGATACTCTACAACTCAGGCCCATCCACGTGCCCCCGCCCGTCTTTTTCACAAGCATTGAGCCTCAAAGCCTCAGCGAGCAGAAACATGTTCATGAAAGCCTGGCGATATTGCTTCGAGAGGACCCAAGTCTGCATCTTTCCATCGACGAGGAGTCAGGCCAGACACATCTGGCAGGCATGGGCGACTTGCACCTAGAAATTGCTCGTGACCGCCTCCTCAAAGACTTCAAAGCCAAAGCGCGCATCGGAAAGATCGAGATCGGATACCGTGAGACCATCAGTTCAGCGACCTCGCCATACACCCACGAACTCGACAAGCTCATCGCCGGCAAACAAGCCAAGGCTACCATCACAACATCCGTGGAGCCAATCGACGACAGCATGATCATTCCCGGCGCCCAAGTCGAGACCGAAACCGCAGCCGGCCCCTTCGAAACCATCTACACCCTCCCCGACAACAATACCCTGCACATCTCGCACCCCGCGCTCTCGCGCCACGACTCCGCATCCCATAAAGCCCACATCCCACTCCACCTCTCCCTGCCCGCCATCCTGCACTCCCTGCAAGCCGGCGCGTCCGCGGCCCTCGCCCGCGGCCCCTTCAACGGCTTCCCCGTCGCCAACACCCGCGTCCACATCGCCCTGGACCCCGCCCAGCTATTCGCCGACACCACGCCCACCGCGCTGTCGATGTGCACCCGCGCCTGCGTGAACGCCAGTCTGCGCTCCTCCATCGCCGCCAGCGCCCCGGCGCTCATGGAACCCGTCATGAACGCCACCATCTTCGTGCACGAGTCCTCGCTCGGCGCCGTCGTGCAGGACATCTCGTCTGCGCGCGGCGGGCAGGTGCTGTCGCTCGACGGCGCCGACGCTGGTGTCTCTGCGGCCGACGACGCGCCCCGCATCGATCCCGGGCTGATATATACGCCGCCGGACCCGTTTGCGTCGGGCACTGGAGATGTGGGCTCTGGCCTCGCGGATTCCCAGCGCCAGATCACGGCGCGCGTGCCGCTGAAGGAGATGGTGGGGTATCTGAATCATCTGCGCGCGCTGACGGGCGGGCGCGGGACGTTTGTTATGTCTGTGGATGGGTTCGAGAAGATGGGAGGGCAGAGGCAGAAGGAGGTTCTGGACAGCATGCGGGAGTTCTGAAGTGTATAGTAACGAGTATGTCGCGCTGTATGATAGGATTGTACAATACGGGTATAGAAATGCTGGCTCCATCGGTTGCTACAGCGCCGAAGCTTCGTGAAGGCAAAACGCGTCTATGTTTACTTTCGTCCACTGCTTTCACCTCGACACCACGCGCCGCGTCTCCACACTCGAGACAACCCTCTCCCATCACCATATCACAACACAGCAAAATCCGAACCCCCACAGCACATCCCGCCGCACAAGATGTCATACGACCTCCCCGATTCGCACGCCGTAGTCCTCACCCTAATCCTCATAACCGCCTTCTGCGTCTTCTTCGCCATCTTCCTCTGGCGCTGCTGCAGCCGCGCCGTCGACGTCGAGTTTGTCGCGCTGCAGGAGCAGTATAGGGCTGAGGCGGAGGCGGAGGCGGAGAATGCGCGTGCGGGCGCGCCTGCAGCTGCACCTGTACCTGGTGCTGCGGCTTAAGGGGGAGTTAGGAAGAATGGGGATGGGTAGGGGGGAGGAGGAAGGAGAGGGGAGGTACGTTGCCATACCGTGCGGTGTGTGGAGATACGCACTAACAGTCCAAGGTAAGGTCCACGGTGGCTGGATATTACTGCAACCAGTCGCTACCAGCTGCAAGCCAGTCATCAGCCAATCGTCAATCGCTACATCCTCGTCCATTGTCGTCCAGTCGTCAGTTGTTACCCAGCCATCAGTCGTTACCCACTCGTCACCGACCCGTCACCAGCGTGACACGGACACAGACACAGACACGAGCACAAGCACAAGTACGCCGTCCCACCCTCGACAACGGAATCCAGCGCGGTTTGTGCTTGCGTCGCTCCCGACCCTAACCCGAGGACGCGGCTCTGACAGGTTGGACGGTTGCACTTGCGGCTTCGTGGTGGCTAGTGTGCGGGTTGTTGGTTCACGGCGTTGCTGGTTTGTCTGGTGGTGGCTAGTGTGCGGGCTGCTGTTTAAGATGCCGTCGGTCCTGTCTGGTGATGGTTTTAGATCTCGACTTGGGTTAGGTGTTTGCCTTCATTAGTGTGGTATGGCGAGTACATTTGACCTCAACTGCGCTTTTTGGTAGATCGTAACATCTTACTTCTCCAGCCGTTCGTGGATATCTTGTCTGTGCTTTTGTTATGCCTGAATCTGCTGTCGCGGCTGGTCTTGTTGTGGGAGCTGTCCTGGGTGCTGGGTTGCTTTGCTTGGGTACTTATCTTGTCCATCGGTATATGAACCTGCAGTCTCGACAAATCGACCTCCGGGCTCAGCACAATGCCGTCAGCGTCAATCACTACCAAGATGTCGAATCTATAGGAAGGAGTTGGGAGACGAGACACCAACCAGCTAATAGGAAACGGCGGCCATCACGGCGTGAGGGTGACGAGACTCAGAATGTTGCGAGATTGAGAGGTGGACACGGACATAGGGATCTAGAGAACGACTTGAGTTGGGCAGACGAGCGACAGTTGCAACCCAACATCCAGCAGCCAGCACTTGCATATGCACATCCTGTTGTTGACCCTCTGGCGTTTGGATGGGAACGACACAAAGTTTCATATCACCAGGGATGCCATACTCCTGCAGTTTTCCAGCAAGCGGTCCCCGGCACCTACTACGCATACGTGTTGCCAAGGACACACGTGGCGAGGACAAACGTGCAGCCTTCGATTGGCCAGTCGGGTGCATTTGATGAGTTGTGCCCATCACGCAGGAAGCGTACTCACAACAGTGAACGCTGCTCAGCCCCGGTCCAGGCAGTACCTGCAAAAGTTCATCTTAAGGCACAGCCCGTGGTCTACGAGACCGACTGCTTCGAAGTCGTTGACGAGTACCCCTCCTTCATCGAAAAAGCAAGGAGGCAAAAACTCCAAACGAAGAATGTGCAGAAGAACAAACGCATCGCAGAAAGAAGCGAACGATCATCCAGTACCGATTTGGGAACCTGTTCGAGCAGCGAAGCTTCAACATCTACCGAAGATGTACACCGAGATAGCATTCCCAGTGGAGCACCGAACTGCGGGTCACACACCCCACACGACTATCCCCTGTCGGCGGAGTGCTCGACACGCAGCTCATACGCAGATCGATGGCGACACGTACGTCCGAAGACCGCAGCGAGGCGAAAGGAAAGAGAGGCGAAGGGATGACGGCGCCGCGCGGTCGAAGGCGAGACGGGAGCCTAGTGCTGGAGTTCGACAACAAGCAAGTAATACTCTACTCTGCTGCACCTGCCTGTTTTCTGGTGGCCGGTTATACTTCCAGTGTTAACGGGTATTGTAGTCTCTTCAACGGCCCGCGTGCGAGGAGGTGAAATCGGCAGAAACGTCTTTTCGGAGGGTAGGCGTGCGGGAGAAGGTTCTATGCAGGGCCGCTACACTACTAGAGATAATTCTGGGGTGAGGTCCACTGATGGGCAAGGTGGAGCGGCGAGACAAATACAACCATGGCTCCGGATCACAGCGGAAGATCCGTTGACCAGCCAATTCAACAATTTTCATGGTCCGTAATACAACCGCGAAAGCAACCTCCTGTGTACTTACGGCAGCTTTCTGCACCCATATTTCAGAGATCGGCTGTCTCGTGTAGTGACTGTCTCAACGAGGACACGCCCTTTATCTTCCCGGCACAGCCGAAGACCGGAGTACGTGACGTATCCATATCGAGAACTAATGGTCAGCAACGAGTGTGTTCGACCTCATCAGATTACCATGTCCTCGGCTGGTTTCGACATGAGTGCTGGCGCCAGACAACACAGTTAAGGGTGCATAAGCGCCCAGGCCAGTCTTTGTGTCGGCAACCGAGAGCAAGAGCGGAGATCAGCATGGGAATTGTTTGGTGCTCTGTAGATCCCCCTCCGGTCCCCGGTCTTCGATTTTTGAAAGTTGAAACCTCACAGTGATGATGCTCAGCCACGTCGGAGCTTACTGTGTTGTAGCGTCTAGAAGACCGCGCGTCGTACAACGCGTTAACTCGCGCAGCCCTGGGTCGGGCTGTCTATCGTCCGGCGACTGGTCGCTGTCCGAGGCAGATTTGCGGTGTTGCCTAGTGCCAATGGGTCTGGGTAATGCCTTGCTGTGAAATAGCTGCAAGTCGCATCAAGGCACAATGCACGATGATGCTAATTTCGTATTCTTGTATAAGCGAGGCTTAGAATCAGCTGTGCAATGTCACTCAGCTCTGCGCCCACAACGTGCAAATGACTAGACGTATACGTGCACGTGAAAGAGGATACGCATCCGCATACGCAGGTACGCAGTGGAGCAGCAATGCGCTATTGCGCTATGATGTTTGGTGCTTGGTGGCAGTAACGTGCTGCTAGCGGTTGACACCGGTCCGTAGCTTCAGGGTCCGCGGTCCAGCTCCTTTGGATGCCCGCACGGTTTTGTGCCGTGTCTGCAATTTGTGAGTGATTTTTGCGCACATACGAGGTTGGTCTCCAACGCCGGTTGACGATCAGCTTGGTCGTTGAAAGCCTCGACGATTCGGGCCAAGGCTGCACGCGCCGGGCCTCGCTTTCTACTCCCATTTCAGGGGAAGCAGCCAGCCAGCCAAGGCCTGCAGTTTGCAGCGTTTGGCAATTTTCACGGGCATCTGATAGGCGGGGACGCGGTGATCGGACCCATCGAAGGTTGCCGCAGCCGCGGCACGCCTGTCGAAAACAGTCTTGGTTTGGTGTTGGTGGAACCACGGCGTGTGAGGCACTAAGGACCCTGTCCCAACTGCGCCCCGTGAGCTTGGTGCTGGGGTAAGATTGCGAGTTACAAAGGTCCGATGCCCAGCTCCTGACGAGCGGGATCCACGATCTTGGTCGGTTCATCGATATCTATAGCAACCGCCACTATCACCACAGCTCCAAGGACTCTGCCGTCGCATGGCCTCGTGATATCCGCGCAGCCTCCCTTCCTCTCGACCAGGTCTCCCCCGCGCCCTCGTCATATGCGGACTCTGCTCCGCCGGCGCTCGACGTTACCCTCAATCCCAATGTCTGGTCTTCTGCGACACGACTATGAGCGCCTGCCTCGCACCTCGCTCGAGGCCTCGGACCTGCCTGAGCTGAAGCGCTCCGTGTCCACCTCGTCGTGGCTGAGCACCCTGAGCGCACGGCTGCCCGGCGTGAAGACGCTGTCTGAGCGCGCAACCTACACACATCTGGTGACGCCGCGGAGAAAGAAGCGGTCGATTCTGCGCGCCATCATCTACACCGTCTTCGCCTTTCCATACTTCTGCGCCTTCCTGGTGCTCGTCGCGGGCATCTTCTTCCCGAGCTACACCAACCGCCCCGCCCACTACGTCGCGCTCCAGCAGCGAGCCGCAAATGGCACCGAACCAGGGCGCGCAAATCCATACAGCGAAAAAGTCTTTATTGCAGCGTCGCTGTACGAGGACGAGGGCCAATTGACGTCTGGTGGCTGGGGCAGATCGGTGCTGGAACTGATCGACCTGCTGGGTCCAGACAACGTCCATCTGAGCATCTACGAAGACAACCCCACCGAAGCAGCCAAGCAGTCGCTGGCTAGCTTTCGTCACAATGTTACTTGTAAGACAGGTTCATGTTGGGCACGAATGCAGCAGCTAATTTGTCAGGCAACTCGACCATCATCGCCGAGAAGTTCGATGCGAGCACCATGCCCCGCGTCACCCTCCCCACAGGAGAAACCCGCCTGAAGCGTATCGCCTTCCTCGCCGAGGTCCGAAACCGCGCTCTGGCCCCCATCGACCACCAGGGTATGAAATTCGACAAGATCCTGTACCTCAATGACGTCAATTTCCACCCTATCGACGCTGTTCAGCTGCTCTTCGCGACCAATATCGACTCGACAGGCCGTACCAACTACGGTGCTGCTTGCGCCCTCGATTTCATCAACGCGTTCAAATACTACGACCGTTTTGCTACGCGGGATTACGATGGACGCATCACCGGGATCCCGTTCTTTCCGTTCTTCACGAGCGCTGGATCGGCGACCAGCAGGAAAGACATTCTCTCCCAAACTGATGCTGTCAGGGTACGGAGCTGCTGGGGTGGCATGGTGGCGTACGAGGCACAGTGGTTCCAAGATCAGACTCAGTTTGAAGAGAAAACCGCGAATACTACGGACGTTGTACAGCACAATCCGAGCCATCGAGACCCACTACGATTCCGCCACGAAGACGAGCTATTCTGGGAAGCCTCCGAGTGTTGTTTGATCAACGCAGACTTGCAGTATCGACGCACCGGGAAAGGCATGCCGGTGGAGTCGGGCATCTACATGAACCCCTACATCCGAGTCGCATACTCCGAAAAGACCCTTTCGTGGCTCAATTTCATTCGCCGCCCGGAACGTTTATACTCTATCATTCACAACATCCTCAACCCCATGGTCGGCTTCCCTGGCCCGAATTCGCGTTTGGGTGACGAGCCCGGGCAGACCGTTACTGATATGGTCTGGGAGTACGATGACCCAGTACGAGGCTTCGCCAGCAATGCTACAGACGTTGACCGTGCGGGCCACTGGACTGAGGTCACCAGAATCGCAAAACCCGGCAGCTACTGCGGCGGAGCAAATCTCCTTGTTATCAACGACATGCCCGGGGATGGCGAGGGCAAGTGGCACAAGATCCTTGTCCCCCACCCACCAGGCGCATAAACAACTTTCCCAGCATTTCTACGCGCCCACGGCCTGTTTCACCACTTCCCCACCTTTCTCACACTTCATAAAGCCCATTTCTATTATCTTTGTAATCAGCATAGCGAAGGCGCATCTGGGAGCATGACACCCGCTTCGACAAGGAAGCTTGCAAGCGTGTCGGGCGTTTTGAGATTCGAGTTTCATAGCCACATCCGGCGAGACAATGGGGAGTTTTTTGGACAAGATCCAACCAAACATTCATATGTAGTCACGAATATAGACATTCTTCAAACCACCACGTTGAATTACCAGTTGTTGCCGTGACTCGAGCAGTATACTCAAAGGGACTTGATCCTTGCTTGTCACACCGCATGTTCACCACCAGACTGATATCAAGTCCGAGGACTGTTGTCAGCCAATCAAAACACCCGCATTCTTTTGCGGTGACATCCACGTGACGAGATATTTCAGCCCTACGCCGCTAGCCGCCGATCTGCAGACTGCCCATCAAGGTGCCACCACCATCAGGACCGCCTACAAACCTCAGTCGTGCAAGTCAAGCCTCGTCTGCTACCTAGAGCCCGCCAGTCACTCACTTTCAGCGTCTGTATAACACCAGTACCGGTGCACTGGCTTGTGTGACGTTGTTTTGAAGTTTTCCCAGATCTACGCCACGAGGAAAATACGGAGACGCAGGTACGGTACCCGCGGAGCAGACAGGAGGTCGCAATCATGCTTGACAATGATACGCGAGGATGGATTATGGCGGTGGTGAGCGGCATTGGTATGATCGCGCGTTTGTTGTGAGGGACTGAGTGCTGACGTAGACTCAGCGTGCACATTCGGCGCGTCGATAATATGCGTCGATCTCATTATACGCCTGCTCCCTGGCCACAGAAACTTTAAAATCGAGGACAGCAACGCCTTTCTTTCCACTGGGTTGAGTCTTTCATTTGGTGTTATGGTACGTGTGCCTCCTCCACACCGTGTCTGGACGCCTAACGAATGGTGTAGATATTCTCTTCCCTGTTTAGCATGCTGCCATCGTCAAAAAAATACTTAATAACAGGAGGCATGACGCCAAGGAATGCAACGCTGACGATGATTGCTTTCTTTTTGCTGGGTGCACTAGGCATCTCGATTTTGTCAGACATCCTGCATCGGTATATACCGCATTCGATTGTGGATTGCGATCACGAGCATGGCGACGAAGAGGAGGGTAAGGTCGAAGATGAAGAGGCCGCGCATTTGCACAAGCCCATGCAAGATCAGAACCCTGGACTATCACTGGCTGATAGTGAGCATGAAGACCGTTCATACGGCACAAACGGTAGCGGTTCACTCCCCCGCCGGCCATCACTACACACATCCCTCTCGACCAAGGTCTCGCAATTTGTCACTGGCCAGAAGAAGGAACTGTGCGATGAGAACGGACAGTGCTATGGCTACTCGGACGCTTGTGGCACTGAGTGCTTCAAGAACGTCCAGCAGCGCCCGCCGCGTTTGCATGCCTCTAAATCCAGCCAGCATCTCAACCCAGCAAGACCTTCCGCAGCAAGTAGACACCAGACAACACAAGGGCCGCATGCGCACGATCGTCAAGTTCTCACTCTCGAAGATGTCGACGAGACAACGCCACTAGTGCCATCTCGATCAGGACCTGCAACAATGGAGAACTCTACCGCAAGTCTTCCAGCACCCAACGGTCATAGCCACGGCCACGGCCACAACCATCCCCAACTCTTGCAGAAACACAGCACGACATCTCTCTCCAGTACCTCTTCCCACTCATCACACCACTCGCACGCCTCCCACCCCGCCCAACACCACCACCACGTCCCCACCAACGCCTTCCTCGCCATCGGCCTCCAAACATCCACCGCCATTGCGCTCCACAAAATCCCAGAAGGCTTCATCACCTACGCTACCAACCACGCCAACCCCACTCTGGGCCTCTCCATCTTCCTCGCTCTCTTCATCCACAACATCACCGAAGGCTTCGCCCTCGCCCTCCCGCTCTACCTCGCCATCAACTCGCGCTGGAAAGCCATGTTCTGGTCCGCGCTGCTGGGCGGCGTCTCACAGCCTCTCGGCGCCGCTGTGGCTGCGCTGTGGTTCAAGCTCGCGGGACGCGGGAAGCAGGATGGCATGGGCGAGCCCGGGGAGAAGGTGTACGGGTGCATGTTTGCGGTCACGGCGGGCATCATGGCGATGGTTAGCTTGCAGTTGCTGGGCGAGAGTTTGGATTTGACGCATAGTCGGAAATTGTGCTTTGTGAGCGCGTTCGCAGGCATGGGCGTTTTGGGGCTGAGCTCTGCGCTGACGGCGTGAGCGGGTGGAGGGTGCTGGAGAGCGATGGAAAGACGTTTATTGTTGTTGGGTGGTTTGATTGCATCTTTGGAGTTGGGAACGTAGCATGTTGGATTTGGTTATAAGATGCATTGGCTCCGCTCTCGTGCACTGATTGTCGTATAATGGAAGCTGATCAACAGCCATCAGCGCCTGTCAGCCCGAACTCACAGTCGCACCCTGTACGCTGAAGCTTGAAAAGCCCTCCAGATACCGCTACAAGTAGTGTCAAAGTGAGCTAAGCGGTGGCGAATATGCCCCTGATATATTTCCGAGTCTACGAAGTAATACGCCAGAGTGGTTGCTGACGTTCAGGGTCTAATGCTACCGTGGTAGAACACATACAGGGTACAGTGAAACCCTTCCCTGCACACTACGCCTTAAATGAGATCAGAGACTTTTTAATTTTCATCTCACCTACCTCAAAGTCTTACCGAGCCACTCCAAATTTGTAAATTCATCGTTGCGCCTTGAGACACCATGGAGTTCGATCTTTTCCCTATCTGGTTTCACCCACTCCTCTTATTCACGATATTGATCAGGCTAATTATTCAAGTATGTCGTGAGCATAGCCTTACTCCCCACAAACTAATTGATCTCTTAGAGTCATAAGATTGCGAAGCATCCGAATCTTCGCTCTGTCCCCGGGCCTTTCTTCTCGGCTTACTCGAGTCTCCCCTTGCAGATAGCGATTCTTCGCGGCCGAAGGACGGTATACATCCATGCGTTGCATGAAAAATATGGTTAGTAAAGGAATAATGTTCAGTGTGGAGTGCTCTGTTGACTAAAGATAGGACCCTATGTACGCATCGGCCCACAAGAAATAGCCATCGCCGACATCGAGGCTCACCGAGTCATCCATCGAGTCGGTAGTGACTACAACAAAGGCTCATGGTGCGCGTAACGACTCCTCGCAAGCACGATGTAGAGCTGACAGAACCAGGTATCAGGGCCAGGTCCCCACACTGCACACCGACGCGCCATCAGGCATCTTCTGTATCATGAACAACAAGGACGCGTCCCACCGCCGACGAGTGTTACAGAAAGCCGGTCCCATGAAGGTGGTGCTCGAGTGGGAGCCGCATGTCATCGCGTTGACGGGGCTCGCTGCCCGCAATATCAAATACGAACTCGAGAAGTATGGGTTCTCGGATGTGATGAAGCAGTGGACTGTGATGAGCGCGGAAATTCTGAACCTTGCATTTGGACAATCGTCTGGCGACACTGAAGAAGAGGGCAAGAATCATGTGCCGCACGCTGTCGGGCCCATGATGCCGATGATTAGCATGCGAGACGACTGGCCCTGGACGAGATTCTTCTTCGAGACCTTACCATCTTGGTGCCCGTCTGGTCTCACTTCAGTATGGAATCGCTTTGCCAGGGGCGAAAAAGGAGCAGAGAGAGCCACACACAGCAAGACGCTCTTCTCGAAGATGGTGCGGAGCGCCCAACACCCCAACGGCGCAGCCACACAACAAGAAGCCGATGCCCTCGCCGCCGGCACCGATAACACCGCAATCACACTGACCTACCTCGTCTACACCGTGCTGAAGCACGAAGACGTCAAACTCAAATTGATCGAGGCCCTCGCAACACTGCCACGGAACCCCTCCTCCAGCCAGCTAGAAGCCTTACCACACCTGCAAAACGTCATCCAAGAGGTCCTGAGACTGCACCCCGTAGTCCCCGGCAGCCTCCCGCGCATCGTGCCAGAGGGCGGCGGACGCCTGGGCCCCTACGTCTTCCCCGGCGGCATCCAAGTCTCGACGCAAGCCTGGACCATGCAGCGCGACGCCCGCGTCTTCGCCGATCCGCTCAAGTACCCAAACCCCCTTCCCTACAGCTACCTTACAGCAGTAGCTAATCATCGCAGATTCGACCCCGACCGCTGGAACGACCCCACGCCCGCGATGCGCGAGCACATGCTCGTTTTCGGCGGGTCGGCGCGCAGCTGTCTGAGCAAGGACATCGCGCGGGTGAGTCTGGCGCACGCGGTGGCGGCGCTGTTCAGGGAGTGTCCGCGGATCGGGCTGGGAGCGGAGACGACGGAGGAGAGTATGGAGATGGTGGATTATTTTGCGGTGAAGCCGCGGGGGAGGCGGTGTGTTGTTGTGCCTGTGGATCGAGAGTAGATGGCCCTACTACCAGTTCAGTGTTTGTAGCAGAGAAACGTCTTGGGTGACTGTGCTTTTTGTTGCCCTGTGTCGATTTGCCGGGTTTCTGCTCTGATGATTCTAAGAACGACTTTTGCTTTTGATGGACATATCAATCAACCCTTTTGAATGATTCGGCGATTTTACATCCACTTCTGGTCTCGTTACCCTGTCGAAGTTCACGGGTGCTGAGTACAGCGTTCTCCTTGCTTGAATATGATGATGTGGCTTCATGATCTGTGATGGCCATAAATTGGCAGTGTGTTCTTCATGTTGGCACCTTGTAGGTGCAGTCCTGGTGGCAGGCCTGAGTGATTGTATGTTTTCAGTACATGGACTCTGTATTATGCCAGGCTTTCCTGTGATCTGACTGTGAGGACTTGGTGATGCTGCTTGAGTGATTTCTCTTCGCGATACGTTAAACTGTGTGGCGGTCGCACGTTTCAGTGGTCAGATTTCACAAATTGGAGACTAGAAGGCTCATCGCGTGAAGGGGGCTTTGTTACAAAAAGATGATCGCTTGTGCTAACACATTGTATTCCATGAAACCGTAGTTGATATGCTGGCTGACAGTGACTTCAATGTTTACGGAAGCGCTGCTGTTTTCTCAAGAACCTGCAGTATCCAAAGAACTCATCAATTACCCTATACAAACAACAAATCGAACAACAAATCAACATGTGTATACAATACACCACAGTTTACTCGTGCTATGATCGTGGCTGCCATCACTGCGAAATTTCCTGGTCTACCAACTGCAGGGCCATTGGCCGAGATAATATTCAAGGCAACCCAGCAAAAGGCTGTCCCGGAGTCACTGAAGGTGAAATCATACGCTTGAACTATCCCTGTGCAAGTTGCAGCGGTCTCCGAGGCGGGCAAGACCCTCGAACTGCAGCGGACATAGTCAGGCGTGACGGGAGTGACTCGTGGCGATTTGCACCAAACACAGGCACGAGCTCGGGCGGAAGAAATTCATATCCTGCAAAATTGCAGTACACGCAGCTGCGGAAAGGTTGGGAGCAAGATCCAGGTAGATACGAGGGAACACCACCTGCTAGCCACCGGGAGGCTCGGCTCCAAAGAGAAAGTGTCCTTGGTCCGGGTCCCGATTATAATCATGGTAGGAACTATGAGGCAGATCCACAGCCCTGGGGACACAACAGACCTGGTGGAAGGAAATACTAAATTTGTTCAGGCGTGAGTATTGTGCTGGATGTTGAGGTTATGTGAGCATACATAGTAACGAGAAGTCGAGACCAGTTGCGTAAGAACAACGGCGCACTATGCCCAAGATCGAGACGCTGAAGTCTTCCATGTACGAATACTCCTTTTCAGTCTGTTGCACTGGACCCTGGAAATGAGTAACAAAGGCTTTCGATGTCCTCTATAGTTTCTGGCATGATTCTGCGCGCAATTGTGAATGTGCCGACGTCGATTTTACTCACCACAGCAAATCCCACCAGTCACACAACGACTGTATAGCTTGCCACGCTTGCTTGTGACTCACGACGCCATGCCAGATGCTTTGTCGAGTCTTCCAGTGTTCGTAATGCTTTGCAAATAACCGCGTTGATAAAGGCGTGAATGAACACCTTGAACAACAGCGGTATCCTGTCTAGCTCTAGCAAAACCGAGGACCCTGTGAAAATCTTAGAAGTTTTGTCAAGGTCTCTTCGGAATAGTCATTGTTGGTGGACACTGATTATTGTGTATCACATGTGTAGTCATCGTCCGCTTGAATGAGAGGGTCAGGGAAGCCAAGAGCACAAATATATTCCCTCTTGAAATCTGCTGAAGTCAGGGCATAGAATGGTATAACCGACAATGATGTGCATGTATAATGTGACAGCGAGCTGCAAAACGCTCCGCCGATCGACATCATCGTGCCAAGGCCGCGCCGCAAAGCCGAGGTCGGTTAACGTTTGATGTGAGCTCCGATGCTATCCCCACTCTCGCCGGCTCCATTCCTCTAGCAATTGCTCATCCTACTCTCCAGCAAGTACCTAGGAGAACGTACACGTCAATATGTCTAGCCTCAGGATATTGGTCCCCGTTAAGCGGGTCATCGACTATGCGGTAAGCCATGCAAATCCTCCATGAATCATCAAGGATGGCCGCCGAGTATCGCGCAACAGTCCAACAGTCTTGCAGCTCGCCCACCGCATTTCATATTTCGCGCATTCCATGATGGTGTTCTAACATGTCTCAGGTCAAACCGCGCGTCAACCGCGCCCAGACCGCCGTCGAAACCGCCAACGTAAAACACTCCATGAACCCGTTCGACGAGCTCTCGATCGAAGAAGCCGTCCGTCTGCGCGAAAAGAAGACGACCCCCGTCGAGGAAATCGTCGCTTTCAGCGCCGGCCCTGCAAAGGCCCAAGACATCCTGCGCACGGCCATGGCCATGGGCGCCGACCGCGGCATCCACGTTGTGGTGGAGGAGAAGGACGCGCTGGAGCCGCTGGGCGTGGCAAAGCTGCTGCGCAAGGTGGTCGATGAGCAGAAGAGCAACCTGGTGATTCTGGGCAAGCAGAGTATCGATGATGACGCGGGGCAGACGGGCGGTATGCTGGCGGGTCTGCTGAACTGGCCGCAGGCGACGCAGGCTAGCAAGGTTACGATTGAGGGCGAGAACGTGACGGTCATTAGGGAGGTGGATGGCGGTGTTGAGACGCTCAAGACCAAGCTGCCAATGATCATCACCACGGATCTCCGACTCAACGAGCCGAGGTATGCCAGCTTGCCGAACATCATGAAGGCGAAGAAGAAGAAGCTGGAAAAGAAGACACTGGGCGACTACGGGCTGGACAGCGAAGTCAGACTGAAGACACTCAAGGTTACAGAACCGCCGACAAGGAAGGCGGGTGTTAAGGTCGATGACGTGGATGGCATGATTAGCAAGCTGAAGGAACTTGGTGCGCTGTAAAATCTCATCGGGCGAGCAATCTGTGTGTATAGCATGTTTTGAATAGACCTGGAATGAAGATTGAAGCCACGGACGTTCTGACAGTCATTTAGTTACACACAGGAAATTCTGGCCATTGACTATTAAAGGTTACGTCTTGAAGCCCTCGATCTATGAAACGACAAAGGAAACTGACTTGGTATCCGCGCAAAGAAATTGCCGCCCATCATTCCTCACTCCCCCACACTTAGTGCTGACCCCTCAGACAACAGCCTCTTCCTTCGTCCACGGAATCGCCTTCTTCATACTAGCTCCATTCGCCGTCGGCGCCCCACTCATCGAGAGCATGTAATCCCTCCCCTTCAACGCCCACACAAACCAACTCGGCACTTTCCACCCCATGACCGCACCGACACCGCCACCGCTGCCAATAGGAACGATCTGCATCTCCTTGGTTTCTAGGACGAGCTCACGGTCCTTGCCGGACGGCTTCGCATCGGGCAGCAGGGCGTTGTAGGACAGCAGATCGCGCTTAAGGTTGACAAAGAGCACAGGAAGACTGTTTATGATGTCGACGGCGCTGTTGCGCGAGTAGCTAGCCACATCGCCGATGGAGTAGACGCGCGGGCCGGCGATGTCGACACGTAGCGTCTTGGAGTTCGTGGTGAGGTACTGCTTTGCGTCGAGGAGGTGCGCGGGCAGGAAGGACGAGTTGGGCTCCACGCCGTAGGCTGGCACGTATAGGTCTGCTTCGAGTCTGTCGCCTTTGGCGAGCGTGATGATGGTTCGGTCGCCTGAGGTTTGGGAGTCGGTGACGCGCTGGTTGTACATCACTTCCACACCCAGGGCGTTGAGTTTCTGTTCTGCGGCTTTGCCAATCGCGGGGCGCAGCGCGGGGAGCAGGGCGTCGCCCGCGGTGATGAGGGTGATGTTGGCTGTCTTCGAGATGCTGCTGAACCAGCCTGGCTTGCCGTTCTTGTGCTCTGCGACCTCGCCTGCAAACTCGACAGCCGTGGGGCCGCCGCCTACGATGACGATGTCCTTGGCTGTGCTGACCTTCTCGTTGGTGAGCTTGATTGAATTAAGTGTGGTTTGGGTATCGCCGCTCATGGAAAAGGCTTGGTGGTAGGTCCTGCTGCCAGTCGCAACGATCAAAGCATGATACTGGAGCGTTTCTTCGTCCGAGGCGCCAGCACGGCGGTAGGACACTACGCGCTTGGACTCGCTGAGGTTAGTAGCTGCACCTTCAATGAACGTGATGTCGTCTCGGGAGTATTGCTTCAGCCCGGTAGGAATGTCGAACAGGATCTTCTCGGCGGCCATACGGGTAGTCGAAGCTGCGACTCGAGGTGATGCGACTCTGAACCACCAATCGGATGAGGGGTTGATGAGGTAGACATGGTACTTGGCATCTTTCGTATGTTGTTTGAGAGCTGGCAGGATGTGCTTCATGATGTAGTGAGCGCTCTGAAGTCCTGCAGCAGATGCGCCGAGAACGACGATGTTGCGCTGTTCGGCCATGATGAAGGTGTCGTGAGAGTGTTGATGTTGTGAAGTCAGACTAATGGAGAAGAGAGGTGAAAGCAGGAGGAGGTGTCTGAAAAAAACTGCTCGGTGTATACACTCTAGGAAACTGCTCGGTGTATTTATGAACAGCACATTCTGGGGGAGATACTGCGCACTCTTATGCTTCTATCGGCGCCGGTGCCACTGCCCAGCCCTCCCCATTTCATTCAACACGCCATTCTACGGACGAAGGACGAAAATTCATTCGACAAATACGATTCGATGCACGGAATCGATGCGCCAACATCTTGCGTGGAAAATTGCGTGTAGTCTCAGCCAGAAAGCAATTTTGGTAGCAGTTTGTAAGCTTCGGCGTGTCAGCGACGGAGCGGATCTGCAATGTTCCCGCTCCCGGGCGCATTGTCAGCGAATTTACAATCAGCTCAACAGATTGTGATTGGTCTGCTGACTATTTGTCCGGACTAGTGCCGCCGAAACACGTCTTTGTAGAACGAGGCACTTCACGTAGACTGCAAAGACCCAAGTCATTCAAATGCATCAATAATACCGTAGCGCTGTTTTCTGATTCTTCAAACTTGTTCAGTGCATATAGTCTGCTTATCTAGTGCCAGATGCGTGCACCCAGCAACTCTCAAAGCCCGAGCTGCGCATCGCTAAGAAAGTGGCTCCCTCCTGCACACCTGTATCCAACACTCTGCTTGTGCCACATGTATCCAGCAGGACATCGACCTAGTTCCTTCAGCCTGCGTTGAGCCTTCCTCTCTCTTGCGCGCTGCTCTTCTATGACAGCCAATTCGGCGTCCTTGCGTCGCCTCTCCAGTTCAGCCTCAATCCTCTTTTGCTCAGCTTGGCGACGCTCTTCTTCGTCGGCAGCAGCCTTCTCGGCCCGAATGAGATCCTTGATACGTTGCTCCTCCTTCTTCTTGTCCTCCTGTCGGGCTTTGTATTCGCGCTCCCTGGCGACGAAGGCATGTTTGTCACGCTCAAGTTCTTCCCATACTGCGTCAGAAACTCCAGCATCGCGCTTGATCTGGAAAATATAGTCAAGCGGATCTCCGTTTGGCTTTGCCTTTGATTGATCACTTTGCTCGGCTTGTTTTGCGGGAGCTGCAGGCGGCGGTGATTGAGCACCAGGGTCCTTCGCTGTCCCAGACGAAACATTGGGCGGCGGCGGTGGTTGTTGTGGCGGCGCTTGCTGCGGCGGCTGCTTATTGCGGCGCGACGAACGATCTGGAAGACGAGATGTGCCAACAGCCTGGTCGCGTTGATGTCTGTCCTGAAACGTGTCTTGCATAGTCTTGAGAACAAGTTCTTTCGTCAGAACCAACGATGTCGTTGCATCCACAGGCGCTGAGATAAGGCTACGGAACATAGCATCGCCAAGAGCTTTTACGTCGCGACCGTTGCCCCAGGATTCGAGCTTGGAAAAGCTGGTGAAGAGATCCAAGATCTGGGTCTTCAACTCTGGTGTTGGAGGTGAAAGCACCGAAAGATCGAGTGGGGTGTCGCTCCTTCTCTGCAAGTCTTTTGTGAGAAGTTCAAGACAGTCCACAGGTTCCATGTGCTTGAAGAAGACGGTTTCCGGGAAGCGGCTACTCAGGCCTGGATTCATACTCAGGAGTCGGTCGATGTCTTTGTCGTAGCCAGCAAGTATGATGATCATCTTCTTTGCATACTTCGGATTGGTCATGCAGTCCACAAGCTCATCCATAGCCTCAACGGCGAAGTGGCCCTCAGCAAGGCGATAAGCTTCATCAATGAAGAGGACCTTGCCCATTGCCGATTCCAGCTTCTTCTGCACTTTAGGCCCAGTGTGGCCGACATACTGACCAATAAGATCAGTAGCTGAGCACTGCACCACCTTTGCTGCGCTAAGAAAGCCCATATCGTAGAAAACTTTCCCCATCTTCTGCGCAGTAGTGGTCTTTCCGGTCCCTTGCAACACGTTAGGGGGATTGGGGATAAACTACGAGGATTTTGCCACTTACCTGGTGGGCCCTTGAAAAGAAAACTGAACGGAACAAGTTCACGTGGATCCTTTCCTCTGGCCTTCATGTTGGCAGCAGTCGCCTGGTATCCTTGGAGCTGTTTGACTACGTCGTCGCACCCAATGATATCTTTGAACAAAGCAGGCAGATTTGTCGCAGCGCGCTGGCCTCGGTCAAAGTCGGGATCGAAGTCGACAGCTTCGAGAGTGTCACGATCGAAGACTTTTCCGGCCGACAAATGCTTCTGATGCAAACCTTTCGCTCTATCGAGCACGATGTCAACTTCTCCTGCATTGCCGAAGTTCGGACGATTTCGAGCTCGCCGGAGAACCTCCATGGCCACCCTCTTCGCCTGGTCGGTCGCATTGAAACCAATGTCGTTGAGTTTGAGATCCAATATGCGAAGGAGATCAGCATCATCGAAGTCTTCGAAGACGAATGCCGATTCCATCGGAAATCGCCTGGCCAGACCTGGATTGACGTCACGGAACATATTCTCCATCAAATCCTTGTAGCCAAGTAAGAGAACACAGCGATCTTCCCCAATAGTGCTCTGGACCTCTGCGACGATAGTGTCAATCACTGCAGTCTTGAAAGAGTCCGCCGTCTTCGATGAGTCTCCAGAATTGCCAGCTAGCATGTAAGCTTCGTCGATGATGAGGACTTTGCCTACTGTCGAGGCTAAGATAGCCTTCGTGTTGGCCTCTGATCCACCGATGACGTTACCTATGAAGTCTGCGGGATTCTTCACAACAACTACATTGTGTAAGCAAGATTCATAGTAACTGATGCATCGACTTACCTTCGCCGTTAGAGAGTAGACTAAGGTCTGCCAGAACTTTCCCGTAGAGCTTTGCGACGGACGTCTTTCCAGTGCCCGGTGATCCAATGAAGCATTTGTTCAACGAATACTCCACAAGAGGCTTTTCGTCCAGCTCTCGTAGGTAGTTGGTCTGAATACCATCGAGCAGCGATTGCACCGTCTCCTTGACTGACTGCAGACCGATGAGTTTGTGAAGCTTTGACCAGGCGACGTTGTTCTGTAGCGCTACCGCAGGTTCTGGCCCTATGAGATCCTCCTTGGTCAGATAGTGATCGTCCGTTGGTATGCGTGCTCGCCTTTGCTTTCGTAGGCGTTTAGCCTGGCGTTCTGCGATCTGAGCTATCTTGTTCTGCACTTCTCGAGCGTTGCCGAAGCCCTCTCGCCCACGGCCTCGTCCAATACGTCGAGCCACAATCCGAACATAGAGGCCAGAAAAATCATCCTCAACCTTCATCCTCCCATGGTACTTTTTGCTGACGTAATGGCAGAAGATGGCTTGGAGTTCCGGGTCGGTGTAGTCGTGAAACTCCATCTGGATAGGAATACGGCTTGGGATACCTGGGTTGTGGGCGAAGAACGCCTCCATCTGCTTGTGGTATCCGGCTAGCACGAAAACAACCTTTCCCGTCAGGTTCTCGATTTCAGCCAGCAGATAGTCCAGGACAGCTTTGCCTCCAGGACTATTCCCAGACACAAGCTGATAAGCTTCATCGATGAAGAAAACGCCGCCGCCTGCCTGAAGAATGCTGTTGATTTGGTCCCGACATTTAGAGACACCATCATTCGCGAGCGCTGATCCAGAGGTTTCGATGAAGTGACTGCCGGGAAGCGCACCCACCTGACCAAGGAAGTCCGCATAGAGACGCGCAACAGTAGTTTTTCCTGAAGAACATCAGATTGGTTTCACGAGAAGTACGTTAATGTAGCTCACCTGTACCAGGATTTCCAAGAAGCGCGGCACTGAGTCGTTCTCCACTCAAAGGCACACCTTGGCGGACAAGCGTATCAACCTTATTCTTGATGGCAAGAAATTTCTCTTTCACTGTTTCCAGACCTACTCAGTTCATCAGCCGCTGCACGTTACCGCATACAGTGTGATCCTACCTATCATTGGCATAAGTGAGTCCAGTGCTGTGTTCTCTGCGCCGTCGAACTTCTTTTGGTGGTTCCAGTCATCTCTGGCATCGCTGTGGTTCCACGGCAAGCTAGGTCCTCCGCCGTTGGTGGTATTACTCTTCTGGCCAGAATTACCAGGAGGCGTTTGACCGGGACTCTGTTGAGGAGCTGGTACGCTGGTTGTGCCCGCCCCTTGATTCGTAGTAGGCGCATTTTGACCGTTGTTGGAAGGGGCATTGGCTTGAGTAGAACTTGGATATGCACCAGGCATTGTAGATCCAGTGGGTTTTGATGCATGGTTCTTAAAGTTCTCGAGATCCTTTCGCTTTTGAGCCAATGCAGCTTCTTGCTCTGTTTCCTCATGGCGATTTTGTTGCAGCCGTTTTTCATGTGCAATCTCGTCTTCAATCTCGACCAGCCTTGTCAGATAAGCCCGTTGTCTCGCCTGTCTATCTTCTTCCAGCTTATGGTCGCGTCGGGCGCGCTCCTCCTTGGCTCGTGTTGCAGCCTCACACTTCTGGCAAGCATTTGCAGCCTTGTTGTAGCATTTTCGTGAGAATTTGTGATCGTTTGGACACGTAGACTTTACAATAGCCATACAGTGCATTTTAGAGTGGTCTTGCAGTTGATGACAGCGATATGGACAGGAATGAAGCCCACAGGCGAGCAGTTTTCCACTACGAGAGTTAGCATGACATACCAGACCTCAAGATATGCCGTTACATACCATGGTTCAGAGCACCCTCCGTCAGGACATACAGTGTCGAACTGGTCCTTCTGGGTTAGAAGAGCAGTCTTGTCTGGGTGTTGCTCGCACTTGACCGGGAATCCATCGTAAACGTGGCCATCAGTCTTGAGTTTATGCATCAATGGTACCCAAACATCCCTACCTTTGCGACTGTTTATGAACGTATCTGGGTTTCCAATCATCACCAGACCGTTCCTCGCACGAGATAACATGACATTGACTCGTTGCGGTGCCGACATGAAGCCGATGTCCCCCACGGAATTGCTGCGTGTGAGACAGACGATGACGATATCACTCTCCTCGCCTTGGTAGTTGTCTGGTCTTGTTAGTTGTTGCATTCCCAGCAATGGATTTAGTACGTGCAGAACGTATGTCGGGACTACTGACCAATGGTTGAGATTCGTATTCTCCGCTTCGAGATGTTGGCACCCGCGGGAGAGAGCAGACCAGCTCGAATGAGTTCGTAAGAGTCCAAATCATTGAGGTACGGGTCATTTTCTGCAGCCAGAGTCTTCGTCAAAAGATAAAGCTGACCCAGGTACGGCGTGAGTACCACTATGTCTTCAGTATTGTAGCCCTGCTGCCCAAGGTAACGGATACACCGCAACACCATATCAGCCTCATATGCATTCTCTTTGCTGGATTTTACATCTTCGTCACGTCTATCGGCAATCTTATCTGCGTTGACCTCGGGGTGATTGTGACTAACGAATATGACGTTGTCCTGGAAGCCTCGCAATGCAGGCCTGTTTTCCGTCTTATCAGCGTTTTCCAGTTCAGGATATGTCAATTCCTTGACTAGAGATGCTATCTCTGGGCGCATGCGATGTTGTTTTGTGAGCGTAACGTGTGGCACCCCGGCGTGGACCAATCGCTCGAAAAGAGACATGTTGAGGTTGTAGCCTTCGCCTTTCTCGACCGTGAGAGAGTAATTGTTGACTTTGGGTCGCAACTGCTTGTGGTCGCCGATGAGAACTAATTGTTTTGTCTGGGCAGTCATCGCCGTCAAGATATGGCTCTCAAGGATCTCGCCAGCCTCCTCTACCAAGATGATACCAGGAGCTGCTTTGCGCAATTCTTCTGTGTACATCGCGGCCGCAGTAGTCGTGCATCCTATGATTCGCGCCTGAGTCATATTGTATGATTGCTTCTCTTTGAACAGCTGCCTTATTTGATCTTGACATCGATTATACTTCTTGAAGAGGGTACCGATTTCCGCAACCTGCTCATCCAGTATTGCTTGTCGCCATCGGGCTTGGTATTCTTGGCGGGCTTCAGGTTTCATACTCCAGATGTGAGGGAAGTCCTCCTCTGCAACAGCCTTGAAGATACCGGCATCTCTGTTGTGTGTCCATTGCTCGATTAGGTAGAAACGGCTGATAGCCTTTCCGTCCTTACCGACTGGTATCATTCCATCAGTGCTGTCCGGTGCGACAAACGCATCGTAGAACTCGGAGTCATCGGAAAATTCAAGATGGTCCAACAAAGCCTGATTACCGATGTGGAGTGCGTTAAAGCGAGTTGCTTTCTTTTCCAGCGCACCTACATAGCTTTCCGCCTCCTTCTTCTGAGAATCGAGAACGTTCCATGTCTGTGAAGACATTTTATAACTGCTCTTCTTCTCAAACATTGACAAGCATTTCGTCGAGGGAGACGCTTTCGAGCCTAACCGAAGCATACAGTCATCTGGAATGCCTATATTCCGCAAATCCTCAAGGAACTGATCAAGAGCATGATTAGTGTACGTTAAGACCAACATAGTCTCCTTGGTGTGGTCTTTGAGGATTCTGGCAATGAGCGCCCCAATGAACGATTTGCCGGTTCCTGTAGTCATTGTTAGTAAGACTGAAGTGATGATACCACTCTCGGACCATTCCCAAGACCGTATAATCATGAGAAGTGATCGCGAAGATGGAGGGAAAACTTACCAGGAGGGCCTTGAATGAGACTGACTTTTTTCGTCAATCCTTGAAGCAGCGATTCTGTTTGGGCAACATCGAGTTGAATCGGGCGGTCGGTCTCGATGATGTGCTGCAGGTTGCTCTGCCAGTTATCGCTAATGGTCCTAACGATCTTGCTGGGCTCAATGCCAGAGAAGACTTCGCCCATGTCCGCTCCCAGATTGAGAACTTGGTCCTGAAGCGGCAGGTCTGTCAGTTTTTGAAGGCACTTCAAGACTGGTTCGTAAGCAAAGACAGCAGTGTCAACTTGAACGAAACTCAAGTCTGCTCCGGATTTGCACGCAAGGAGGGTTTGTCGAAACGATTTCTCTTCTGCAATGCGCAGCACAATGATAGGTGGCTTCTTTGCAAGCATATCTTCATCCCGTTCCACTGTCGCAAACGCGATAGTCTTGCCACCACTGATAAGGCAACCCAATGATTGGTGCTTCATAAGGTTCTTATTTCGTGAGTCATTGATGCATGTCTTTCTCTTCGACTCATCTTTGATGTGCTTGAGTTGAGGTATGTCATCAAGACACTTCAGTTGCAGAAGGCACGGTTTGCGTTTCTGGGACGAACCACAGTCAATGCCCGCGAATTGCAGTTTCGTGAAAACAGTCTTACGCCTGCCCTTCTTTTGACCAATAGCAATTTGAAAGTCGCTACGCAGCTCTCCAAGCATGTCCTCGCGGAGTAACCGAAATTGATTGTCGATGTGTATGAAGCCGCGCTCCTCGATGTCCGCAGCCTCAACGTCAATAGCACGCCGATAGTATGGAGTAACAGCTGAAGCAAACTCGTCTGATGTTGGTAGAATCTTGATATCCCGAAAGTTCGCGTGGTCATTGTCATGGCGTCCACCGGGTCCATCAGCAGTGTCATTGGTCGTACTGAGAATGTGCTTGATCTTTTGACCAAGATTTCGGACTTCCAAAGATTGCGAGTTGATGAGTGACTCCTTGTCTGTCACTATTTCAGCGATCTCTCGTACATCTGGGCCATCCTCGGATCGTGAGATGAGCAACTCGAGGAGCAACCACGCAAACGCGTGAGAAGCGTCCAGAGTAAGAGCGCGTGCATCGTGCGCATTGACAAGCGCAGTCCAGAACGATGCAGGATTTACGATCGCCTCAATGATACGCTGCAGAAATTCACCACCGTATAGCTGTTTGAGTGATGGATCAGAAAGTCGTAGCAGAACTGATGTTGCGTGACTATTGATGAAGGTGGTGCTGTTCGAAAAGCGGAAGGCGCGCGCGGTGGCACTGAGCCCCGCCGGTGCCGCGACCAATACCTCCACACACTTCGACACGTCGTCCTGAGCGCACAACGCCTCCAAGAAACGATCACCATCAGCTGCACTCTTCAGGTCGCGAGTACCGTGTATGACGGCATGGAACAGCTTCTTCAGGCCGGCGGCACGCCTCGTGGTTGCGTCTGTCTCCGCCATGCGTACCCAAGATGCCAAAGTGACTGTAAAAGTGCTAATCAGAAAGTAGGTAATGGTTTGATCAATATGACATTTCTGTAGGTACCTCCTTCGATTTATAAAGACACGGGACAGGCGGCGCGACAGTAGAGCACGTTCTGGCTGTGTGGATACCTTCCATTGCATCAGGCTGAGCAAATGATTGGAACACAGCAATGATTTTGTACGTGGCAATGCTTGCTAGATGCCTGCTTGCATGCTTCATCGTACACCTGGCAAATGAGCGTTCTTTGCGCTGAGGTCGTGCCACATCAGGTCGCAGCAAGCGCCCTCTATCTCGCAAGCCGCTTGCTCAGCCTTGTCTGTGCATCACCTTGTTCCCCCCATATTTGGGGTCTCTGACACGTTATACCAGGCTTCTCACCCTCTGTTCTCTTTCTCTAATCCTTACAAGACTCAAATTCCCGACCTCTCCCCATGTCTTTCATGCGTTCAGGCAACAGTCGAGGTGGGTATGCTCCACGACGAGGACGAGGTGGGTCGACTCGTCCGTTTGTCAAGCGCCAGGAGCCAGTGAAGCCTGATCTCGACAAATACCCATTGGGAGAGCTCTTGCTCACACTCCGGCCTTCAGACTTGATGCCGCCGACAACTGGACTGCCTTCTTCGCCTCACATAAATGATTGCCAGTACGTCACTTCGTACAATTGGCTAGCCAGCCAGGATCGTACCATACTGGTGCCAGGTCGGTGCTCGTGTTATGAGCATGAATGTAGTTAACCCAAAGCAGGCCAACCTCCTAAGTGGACGCCTCCCAAGGTCGCTCAACGACTTCCTGAGGATAGTGGCAGCTACTATCGAGATCCGAATGCTGCAAGATATCCTGAGTATCCCATCGCACCTGCAGTGCAGGCTGTCATGGATGCTACCGATGATGCACCCATAGACGCCGATGTCTTTGCGTGTGGCAGCACGTTGGGCAATCTTCTTCGTTTTACCCGCGGTATGGATCGAGCGTTCCGCTTCAACGTTGAGACCATTGGCGATACCGTATTCCTTGTGCGTAAGGAGAATGATCCCAAAGAGCTCATTGAGGGCGTTCGTGGCTTCGGACACACCTTCCCTGAAGCCTACACAACATGGCCAAAGGAAGTCAAGGGCTCCGAGACTCACCAACGGATCATTCAGTACGATCTGGGAGGTCTACAATGTCTTGTACGTTTTGAATGTGACGGGTTCCTCGACGACTCCCCTGCACCAAACAAACTCGCACCCTCCACAGCAAAACCCCCAACTGCCCCACCGTCCGAAGACATCCTCTCCCAAGCCCTTTCCAGCACCACCGTAACCACCCCGCAAACCACCAGCAAGCAGCCCCTCACCATCCTCCACACCGGCACCCCAATCCCACAGTCCTCCATCTTCGACCTCAAAACGCGCTCGGGCAGATACAACAAGACCATCAATATGGACGACATCACCCCCCAACTCTGGCTCAAGCAAGTCCCCAACTTCATCGTCGCCTACCACGACGGCGCAGGCCTCTTCCAACCGCCCCAGATCACCGACACACGGCCCCTCATCTCAGCCTTCGAAACGGCAAACGCAGAGCCCATACGCCGCCTCATCGCCCTGCTGACGAAGATCATCGACGTCGCGCGCGCGGACGACACGCGCGGTCTCGAAGTCTACTGTCCCGGCGCCAATGCGCTGGAGATCCGGCGGCAGTTCGGGGACGGCGTGCGCGCGCTGCCGGCGGCGCTGCATGCGCAGTGGGTTGCGAGGTGCGATGGCGGCGGATTGGCGTTGGATGGGGGGGACTCGGGACATGGGGCGTCGCCGAGGGGGATGGGAGGTAAGTGGAGTGCTTCGTCTGATGGGGAGGATGATGAGTTGGATTTCACGGCGTGTTCGGCGGAGGACTGTGGGTATTGTGGGCGTTGCACGTACTGATATGGTGTTACACTACGAGGCTGTTGTGTGCTTGGGTTGATCGAGCTGGATAGTTCACTCTGTCAGATAAATCAAGTATACTCCTGAAAAATGGTGCTCGATTGCTTGAATTCCCTGATATTTTGCTGTGTCAGATATGAAACTGTCATCTACACACATCGTTGCACCTCAATCGGGAGAATGGCACTACGTCCGATTTTGCGCGAGTTGAAGGGGACTAAGACAGGGGTTAAGATCGATAGCGGGGAACACTTAGACTAGTATATGAGGCAGCGAATCAATATCATTGCTCGCACAAGAAACTACGTTGTTACAGTGCCCTTCCAGACCGCCGATTACTCAGCGCGGGTATCAGTCTAGTCGTCGTCGCGGTCCTCCTAGCGTACAAAGCTGCATTCCACAGCTGCAGCGGCCGAATCTGCATCCCACCGAGGCGTGTCACCGAGAAGCGTCATCGAAGACCCACCGCCTACCCCAGCTTCTCAAGCAACTTCCTCCGTCTCCGCTCGACCAGCTCCTCATTGACCTCCTCGAGCGTCGGCACGCGCCAGCGCACGCCATCCCCCGCATCCCCCGGAATCTCCACCCAGTCATCCACCTTCTTCCCCTTGCGCAGATCGTCCGGGAGCGCGAGAAACTCCTTCCACGCGGCTTTTTCCTTCTCCTGCTCGTACCGCAGCAGCACCCCGTCCTCCTCGTCCAGATTATACCCGTAGTACCCCGCGTCGACGCGCTGCCGCAACTCGCTGCGCTTCTCGCGCCCTTGCGCCGCGCCCTCGTCGTCCTCGGGCCGCTCCTGCCGCTCAAACAGCTCTTTGACGCCCGGCAAGTCTTTCGCGCGCCCAAAGTACCTGTACCCCTTCCCGCCGCCGGGCACCTCGCGGCCCTCCTCGTCCAGCACGCGGCCGCCGCGCATGTAATTCGGCCCGCCGAGGTCGCGGATCTGCTTCTCCCACATGTATTTCTCGCGCATGGCCTTGTTGATCTCGTCGTTGAGATCGCGGATCTGGTAGTCGCTGAGCGCCTCGTCCTGGATCTTGGTGACTTTGCGGCTGATCTCTTTCAGCACCTGGCCGCGCCACTTCTCGCACACGGGGATCTGCGTCACGCCTGTTATGAGCTTCGGGCGCCGCGTGCGCGAGATGTCGATTATGCCGGCTTCGGCGGCTTGTGCCGCGCGGAAGCGGAACAGCATCGAGTGCGCCTTCTCGGAGTTGCGCGCCATGGTGAGGGGTGTGGGGGATGGGTTGTGCGGGTGGCGAAGGTGATGCGCGTGGATGTGCGCGAGGGCGTGAGCGTGGAGTCGTGATCAAGGTCGTGCGCGAGGATTGAGTGTCGTCAAGAAGCAGCTGCCGGCAGTCGCGAATACAGGAGCGTTCACTTCGGATTGGTATTACGTTGGTGTCGGTGGTAGTGCGTTGGGAAATTAGACGTGTTGAGTAAAAAGTTGAAGTTGGTGTTGCGACGAGCGGGTGACGTTGGCAGAATTGGCTTGGCAGGTCCGCAAGCGCATTGACACCTTCACCTCGCGTTGCTGTGGAGAACGTCACTGCGCAGGTCTAGACCCTCACGTATGTAGCAAATATAGCACTTCACCCAAAAAAAGGAAGTATTCCCAACTTAGACGTTTCTTGCATTCCTTTCTACGGCTAACGAGCGCCAATCTATGCACGCTAAGACATTACCAGCAAGAGTCCTTCTTGCGCGGAGAGTAGAGTAGAGTATCGTCGAGAGAACAACTTGGCCTGATACAACAGTTACAGCACGGGCTAAGCCGCGGGAAAAAGAAAGTCATTGACACCATCCGTATCCGCACTCAATCTCACTCCGCCAACCCGCAAACAGCTGCTTGATGGACGAACGCCAAGTCCAGGGCCTCGTCCAAACGCTAATGCGCACCCAATCTAGACATTGCTGCTTCTTCTGCTTCCTGCGAACCCAAGCCGAGAGACGACATCCAAATACAGAAACGCTGATGGTGAGACACATAGGAAATAGAGAATGGGTTTTGCGATGATTGCTGATACTGATACTGATATTGAGAACTAAGGAAACAGAGACTGTCAGTCAGATTAAACGACTATAGTGGCGTACGTGTTGGTACAACATACACCAAGAGATGTTGTAGGAATGTAGTGGGGTGGGAATGAGGAATCTAACCACCAGCGCTGGAAGTTGAGGCATCATGTCGGTCGTTGCGAGCTTCTATGCGTGACTCGGTCCTGGACTCGGTTCTCGACTCTGCTCGCGACTCCGCACGCGACTCAGCCCGGGTATCTGCACGCGACTCGGCCCGGGTGTCTGCGCGCGAGCTTGAGCGTGAAGTCAACGAGCCGATGAACGATGGCCGGTTGCTCGGAGCACTGAGGCTATTAGGTCGGTGCTTCATCGAGTGCATGTGCAGATGGGCTACATCATGCTTGCCGTCGCAGCATGCCCGAACGTTAACCAGGCCTTCCATGTCGCGCTCGACTTGGTCATGTATCTCGCGACTGAGATCGATGGTGGCAATGCTTGGCTCGTCGAACGTGTCTTCGTCGATCCGGCTGCGGCGACTCGTGAATGAGCCTCGCATAGCCGAGTTTGGTCGGAGCATGCTGCTAAATCGGCCACTCATGGATCCGGTCAGGGAGCCTGTCTGACCAGGCTCAGTCGAAGCTGCACGTTGCGGTGTGACATGATGTTGTCGAAGGGTAGGAACCTCGTCGCGGCTCACAGTCGTGTTTCGGCTCATACGGGACGTCCTCGACCGACCAGTAGCTCGCGATGCGCTCCGGTATCCACCGTTGAACTCGTCTTGAATTTCATTGGCAGACGGAGACTCGGGTAGTTTCTGCTCCTCGCTGCCCTCTTCTACTCTTTGGCATAGGTAGTGGAGCGCATTGTACCACGTCTCGTGACGCTTGCCTGTAGCTGCGGTGAACTTGATTGCACGGCCAGGCGTAGTCACGATCAAGCTCTTCTGGTGAAGACCAGGAGGCGTAGGGTTCAAATCTTCGACCTCCTCGACAGACTCAATCGCCACACTCTTCGCTTTCAGCTCTGTCTTGCCGGCTGTCTGAGGGTCCCTATCGCTCCAGTACAAGGTCCTTGTGTAGGGGTGAATCCAGAAGAATCGGCGATGGCGTGTGTCAGACATACCACCACCCATGGTCTTGCGGGTGTATTTCCAGAGATACTCGCCGATCATAGTTTGAGTAATTGCCTGGATCATACGAGGATCAGTGGCACCAGCGGGGATCCCAGGAGGCGCGAATGATGGTCCACCTGCCATGTTAAAGCGTTGGTCGACCTCAGACGTGAACGAAGAAATTGACGAACGACGGCTGATCGGAGAAGAAGCTCTGCTGTGACCCTCACCACGGTTGGTGGATCGGCGACGCGCGCGTGGCGTAGTACCGGGGGTCAATGTTGCTGTGCCAGCCCTGAGCGAAGGTGTCGAAGGCTTCTTGTAAGCTGATGCCGGGACCGCAGGAGGGCCCATCGTTCCTGGAGTTGATGGTACGAGTGGCTGCTTAAGCGCCGCAGCGGCAATAACCTGTCTGTGGTCGGCTGGCAGTGGTGGTGGGGAGGCAGCGCGAGAGCGTATGCTACTAGAGCTGCCAGGGCGTCGGGGAAGGCGCTCGTTTGAATGCTTTCTGCTTGGTGAAGAGGGTGGCGACACTGACTTTTCGATACCAGCTCCCAAGTACCTGGAGCTGCTACGAGCTAGCAATAGCCTGTCAATTTGATCGGCCGAGACCATGGTTTGGGTACCACCATCAGACATAGTTGAGCGTGGTGTACTACGCACCGCATCAGCGCTGATAGGTGTAAGCGGCGAGCGAGCGTCCTTGTCAGCAAAGGGAATTTGATCCGCTTCCACCGACTTGTTGTCAGGCCACGGCTGTGTTGCTTGCGAGAAATCAAGCGTCCACGGCTTAGGCCCATCTCGGTGCGCGGTCACAGGCCTCGAAGGTACCTTTGGCTCAGTGACTTGGGTAGAAAGTGTTGACAGCGACAACGACGGTGTGACACGGCTCGCAGTAGATGGTCGGCTCGCGGTGGATGGTCGGCTAGGGGTGGGAAGGAATGAGGGCACAGTAGGCGACTCAGGTTCGCGACTTTGCAGAGTTCTTACGTCTGAGAAGGCCGGCTGACCCGCGGTAGGCTGGAAGGGCTCAGTGTGTTGAGCTGTGACGAGCGACACTCCAGATCGGGGTATTCCTTGGGGCGCCAACGGCTCGGTGGTCTGCGAAGAGAACGTCGAGAGATTCGAAGGTGCTGACCTCGGCTGGACGGGGTCGGTGGTCTGAGAAGACATAGTCGAGAAGACTGGTCGTGCAAGCTTCGGTGCCTCAACAGGCTCAGATGCCTGGTAAGAGACGGTGGACAGCTGGGACGAAGCTGGCTGTGGTGTGACTGGCTTGGTGGCTTCGGAAGCGAACGACGAAAGCTGCAGTGACTGCGGCTTGGGGACCACAGGCGCTGTAGTCTTCGAAGCGAAGTTCGACAATTGCAAGGGCTGCTGTCGAACCGTGACAGGCTCAGTGGTCTGAGCAGAGTAGGCCGAAAGCTGGTGAGCCACCGGCTTGGGAGCGAACGGTTCTGTTGTCTGGGAAGCATACGTCGAAAGCCCATGAACAGCCTGCTTGGGAGCAAATGGTTCCGTCATCTGAGCAGCGTGCACTGACAACCCATTAACCGCGATTTTAGGAGCAAATGGCTCCGTTGTCTGCGAGGCGTGCATGGAGAACCCGTGCGCTACCGGCTTAGGAGCAAATGGCTCCGTTGTCTGCGAGGCGTGCGTCGAGAAGCCATGGAGAGCCTGCTTAGGAACGATAGGCTCTGTGGTTTGGGCTGAGTGAAGCGACAACCCGTGAACCGCAACCTTAGGAGCAAGCGGCTCCGTCGTCTGAGCAGCATGCAACGACAGTCCATGAACAGCCTTCTTAGGAACGACCGGCTCTGTCGCCTGAGCTGAGTGCATCGAAAACTGGTTCGCCACGGGCTTCGGTGCAAACGGCGCCGTCGCCTGCGAAGAGTGCATCGAGAACTGATGGGGAGTCTGTCTCGCCTTGTAAGGCTCTGTTGCCTGCGAACTCATCGTCGAGAAAGACGACAGCGGTGCGCGAGGCACATCGGTGGGCTCCGTCGAATGCGCCGAGAAGCTCGACAGTCCCAGCGGAGCTTGCCTAACAGCCTCCTTCTCGTTGATCTCGCGGCTGAGGTTGGCAGCTTGGTCGTCTGACTCCATCGACCTGGACGCCTCCTTCGGCTCGGTCATCTGCGAGGTGGCAATGCCAGATGCAACGAGCGCGGCTGGAGCCAGCGCCTTGAGGCCGAAGCCGTGACCCTGGCCCTCCGCAGGCTCGGTGCTTTGGTGCGACATCGAGGACATGTTGAGCGCGGATGCCTGCGCGTGCTGCGGCTCGGTCGCGTGGCCTGAGACGGTGGACATGTTGAACGCCTGTCGTGGAGCATCCTGGGGCTCGCTTTCATGGCCTGAGACCGTGGACATGTTGAATACTTGACGAGGAGCGTCGCGGGGCTCGCTTGCGTGTCCCGACACCGAGGACATGTTGAACATCTGTCGAGGAGCATCCTTGGGCTCACTGCCATGTCCTGCCACCGAGGACATATTGAAAGCCTGGCGAGGAGCATCCACCGGCTCACTCTGGTGTCCTGATACCGAGGACAACCCAAACACCTGTCGAGGAGCATCTCTCGGCTCGCTCTCATGTCCTGAAACCGTCGACAGATTGAACATCTGTCGAGGCGCATCCCTTGGCTCGCTCGCATGCGCAGAGACCTGCGACATGTTGAACACTTGCCTGGGAGCATCCTTGGGCTCACTTGCATGCCCAGAGACCTGCGACATGCCAAACTCCTGCCTGGGAACCTCTCTTGGCTCCGTCACGTGTCCAGACACCGTCGACATGTTGAACGAGGGAGCGGGAACAGCCTTGGGCTGCGTCTCATGGCCAGAGACCGAGGAGAGGTTGAAGACCTGCGCGGGCACAGAGCGAGGCTCGGTGGTGTGGCCAGAGACCGAGGAGACGCCGAGGGCGGGAGGAGGCACGGCGCGCGGAGACGTAGCATGGCCCGCGATGGAAGAAAGGTTGAAGGTTGGCGCGGGTGCAGACTGTGGTGAGGTGTGTTGGCTGTGGTGAGCCTCCATGGTGGAGATACCAAGGGACGGCGCTGTGGGGATCCGTGGTGACGTATCATGAGCGGACATGGATGAGATGACCAGAGGTACGTTTGCAGGGGATCTGGGAGACGACTCGTGTCCAGAGACGTTGGAGATGTTGAGCGATGGCGGCAACACAAGCTTTGGCTCTGTGTGGTTGGATGCGTGCGCCGAAAGCTTGAGCTGCTGCGGGAGTGGCGCTGCCGGATTTGTACCCTGGCTGACCAAAGGCGACAGGTGGAGCGCTGCTGGCGCAGGAACCTGGGGTGAGACATCATGGATGTTGTGGATCGACGAAACGCTAACATGCTGTGGCACATGAAGCTCGGTCATCGTGCCAGAGTCCACCATAGCCACCATGGGTATGGTTCGCTGCAGAGCCGACCGCCCAAGCACGCCCTTCTCATACGTAGATTCAGGAGATGCAATGCTCGATCGACTCGGTGTACCCTCAACACTGTCCGTGTCCTCGCCGCCACTCAGACCATCCAGTTCAGCGAACAGACTCCTGCCCTGGGCAGGAGTGCTTTGATTGCTGTTGATGATTGGAGAGCCCCTCGTCTTAGGGGGTGGTGTCCCATGATGGAAGAGGTCCTGAAGACTTCCCCTGGGTGTCGCAACCGACTTGCGAGAGCTACCTGGGCGCAAGAACCTGAACGAGTTGCGGCCTTGGCTACCAGACGCCCGTGTGTCCCTTTCAGAGTCGTAGTCAGAGTTGGAGGCGGTACTTTCGTACATATCCTTGTAGCTCCCACCGCTCACTTGGCGTCTCGGGATTGGTGATCTGCTCATGTAGCTCCCGCCGCTCACCTGGCGTCTTGCGACCGGTGATCTGTTCCTGACGGTTCCTTGAGTCGATCCAATCTCAGTCTCGGTCATCTCATCACTGCTCTCGCCATCGAGAGTCTCGGCACCAGTCTGGAAAGCATCAGTCTCCGTCGTCGTACCATCGTCGTTGGCAGTCTCAAAGTCGGCGTCAGAAACCTCATTGGCAGTTTCGAAGGCTTCGTTCGCGCTTGCCTCAGCCATGGAAGTGTAACCGCTGTGGAAGGCTCCGGGGACCGAGTGGTGAGGGCGTTGAGGCTTGCTGGGAGATGGAATAATGTCTTGCTCCTCCCACTCATCGTCATCGAGTTCCATGACGACTTCTTGCGTGCCTTGCCTCAATGCACCGAGACGGTCCGGACGAGCTGGCTTCTTGAACAGCTCCTTCTCACTCTTCTTGCGCTTAGCTGCACTTCCGGGGGCCTTGGCGTCAGTACGAGAAGTCTCGATCTCATCACGGGCATCCTGAAGCATGCGCTTCAACTCGATCTTCTCGGTCTTCTCACGGTGGACGGTGTTCTTGAGCTGCTGGATCATGCGGTGAGCATGCTGCAGCGAGTGCTTGAGCGTCTCCGATTCGAGTTGGCCGTGACGGGGAGTCGCCTTGCTTGGGGAAGGTGGCGGAGAGTGCTCAGGAGTAAGGTCATTTCCCTCGTTAAAGCTCTCATCTGGGGACGCTTCGTCAGGCGTGTTGTGCTCGTCGCCTCTCATTCGATAGGCAACGGCCTTCGCAAGCTCTTGGTTCTGATTAGACAGCTCCTCCACCTTGCGCTGCAGAGCATTGCGCTCAGACTCTCCCATGAGTACATTGCGTCGCAGACCAGACAGTTCCGTCTCGTGCTGCTTGACCCTATTGATGTGATCGTCGTTGAGCTTTGCGTGCATGCCCTTGAGCTCCTCGAACTCTCGCTCCAAAGACGCCTTCTCGGATCGCGCCAGGTTCAGGATATGCGTAAGACGGTTCTCCTTGTCGGCCGCCGACTTGGACATCGCCTCGAAATCCCGCACTTGGGTTTCGAGATTCCAGTTGACGTCCTTCAAGCGCGAGTCGCTCTCATCCAGGGTCCGCAAACGCTGCGAGAGACCCTCAACCTCGATTTCCAGATTCGCCCGTTCCAGATCGGCAGACTTGAGCGCCTCATCCTTCTCCGAAAGAACAGCCTGGAGCTCCTTGAGCTGCGACAACAACGAAGTAGAGATCTCGGTGGCCAGGTGGATATCCTGGATGCGGTTCGGCTGCTGGTTCCGTTGCTTGCGGGATGGAACGCTGACTTTGGTGGGCGATTGCAGGGCCTCGCTGGCATAAACAGAGCCATTGGGATCCGTCTCGCCACTGGGGACGCGAGATTTTGGGAGAAAGGCGCGAGCGGTCTCGCGGCCGACCTCATTGAACTCCTTCTCGAGCTCGGCCAGACGTGAGCGCAGCTCTGGTCCGATGTCGTTGTCTGCCTGCTGCCCCTCAACCTCCTTCAGCCGCTCCTCCAGCTCCTGGCGCTGCTGGACAAGCGCATTGCCCAGGTGTGATGTCTCCTGGAGCCGGCGCGTCGTCTCGGCGAGATGCGCCTCCAAAGCGCGCCGGGCCTGCGCCGGGGAGCCGTTGAGGTAGAGCGAGAACTGCGAGTTGTCGAAGGCCGAGTAGCGCTGGCGGTGGCCGTCCTGGGTCGTGAACGGGTCCAGGGTGGTGTAGTCGTCCACCACCAGCGCGCCCGGCGGCGGGTTCGCGGTCGTCGCCATGGTGTGATGCGCAGGGCTCGGTGCTCACTGTTCCATGCCCGGTCGTGGAATTAGAAAGTATAAGGGTTAAAAGGAGGTCCGTCCGAACGAGGCAGCCAGGACAGACGACGCAGGCAAAGCAAGTGCGCGTTTCACTCTGGGGGCCCGGAATGCGCGCCCAGGAACGGGACGGCTGGAAGTTCGGCGACGCGTGAAAGGTAGGGGAACGCAGCGGCTACTGGCACACTTGAGCGGTCCACGAGGGCATCGCCGTCACCAGCGCCTAGAACTGCACGGGGTGAAGAACAAAAGAAAGAGAAGCCACGGGGGCGCGAAGAGAATGACGAGAGAAGAGGTGGGCGATGCGCAGCAGCTGGAAGCGGGAGTGTTGTGCAGGAACGAGATTGGATCGCGCACAGGACAGGCTTAGTGCACCCCCAAACAGTTGACAAGTGAAGGCGGCGCGCTGTCTCTTCCTGATTGGTCTAGGCCCCCCGTCCAAATGCCTCTAAACAATCGATAAACAAGAGCGACATCATCTCACGCGTCGTGCCCCTCCTTCTGCTGGCCCGCGAGGCGCGCCATTGGGCGGTTGTGAGTGTTGTGATTCACACCCCGCCTTGTCAACAAGCAACAGACCCGATGCCTGCGCGTTAAGGGGCTTTACGAACAAAACCAAACACAAAGCACATGCCAACGCATGTCGCGCAGGGATACGCTTGGATTGCGCTGTTAGCTAAACGGCACTCCTCGTGCGAGGTATTCATCTGAAGGTAGGTGGCACTTTTGTGCGCCGAGGTAGGCACGCTGTGCAACGGGGGGCTTGGTGTATGGCCGCGCCACGAACTTACTTTTGAGCAGTACGGACAGCCAGAGCTGGATCTACACATCACCGATACAGGGCTAGGCAGACACCTCACGCGAGGCCAGGATCAGCCGTGTGCCTAGATTGACGTGTCCAACGTGAAATTACTCAAAACACCGCCCATACGTACAGATCCTACTATGTACACAGCTACAACGAAGCTAATCAAAGTCTAATCGCACGCGACCCAAACGCCGCAGTACACCACACGCGTCTGCGCATGCATGCAATACAAGTCTCACATGACATCCCCGATATCTCAAAAACTACAATCGTGCGAATCCAAGATCATCTCTCTCATCTCTTTCACAAATCCTCAGAAATCGTCCATACTCCCCATGAAATCATCGTCATCCGCATCTCTCCCCCTCGCCACATCAACACCCCACTCATCGTCCTCTGCTCTTTCTCTCTCCTTTTTGTCCTTCTCCTCCTTCTCCCTTCGCCGCTCCTCCAAGCCTCTGAGCCGCTTGAGCTCGTCCTGGTCGCCCTCGCGCTGCGCAGCCGTCATGCGCACGCTCAGCGGTCGGCCCTGCATGTAGCTCTCGAGATAGCTTGCGCCGAGGCTGCTCGGGTACCCAACGCTGCCGACCTGGTTGACGTCGTCGACGCCGCTACCGGAGATGCCGCCGACGTACGTCTGGAAGTTCTCGGCGGCGGCGGCGTGCGGGACAAGCTCGTCGGTGGATTCGGGGTAAATTGCGGCGGGGCCAGCGGTCGTGGGGATGTCTTCGATGTGCATGCGCTCTGGCGGCGGGTCGAGGAAGGAGCGGGTTGCGTAGGAGGGCGGGGCGAAGGGGGTCGTGGGTGAGCGGAGGCTGGGGGGTGTGGGTGGGGAATTCGCTGCGTCGGGCAAGACGGGCGTTGGGGTGGAGAAGGGCGGCGCGGTGGCTTTGGTAGGGCTCGTCATCTTGGGCGCGGTCATGGTCAGCGGCAGGCTGTGGTGCACGGCGTCGTGGTGCTCGATGTACACGGGGGCGTCGGAGGTGAGTCGGGGGTCGATCATCTCGTCGAGGCTCGCGGTCGAGTTGGTGGCAGACGTGGTGTCGCTGCCCGGGCTGGTGAGGGGCGGCTCGAGGATCATGTCCGACGGCAGCACGACCTGGTCGTCGATGACGAGGCTGACGCGCTTGCGGTTGCGCGGCGTGCTGCTGTGGCGCAGGGCCGACTTCTTCTTGATCGAGGACCGCCGTGACTTCTTGACCGGTTCAGAGACGGACCGCTCCTTGACGGGCATCTCCCCAGGCATGTCGCTGGCCGGGTCCTTGGGCGCGTTCGGTGGCTGGCGGCACTCTCTACTGTCCGGCGCATCGCTCGTGGGCGTCAACTGCGCGGAGCTGGCGGTGCTGCTGGCGTCGGCGGACTTCGTTGGCGTGGCAGGCTTCTGTTTCTTCTCGGGCGGTGACTCGCGCGCGTCGAGCAGCGGCAGGAACACAGGCGTGACTAGGCCATACAGCTCTTTCTCGCGCTTGTGCACGCGGCCGTGCTTCTTCTGCTTCTTGGGCTCCTCGGGCGATGCGGGCGACTGCGATTGCTGCGACGCTTGCTGCTGCGGGCTGGTAGGGTCCGCGGTGCCGTCTGTCGAGGCGGCGCTGGCGCTGGACCGTCTTGAAGCAGCGTCAGGGTCCGCGGCGCGTTCCATGGAGCACAACTGCTCTATAAGCTAGGCCGCGTTAGTCGCTGCAAAGACAGAGTCGTCCAGTGCCCGGAAGCGTGGACGCAGGAATGCGCGCGGCGCAGAAGGGCCTACCTCGCTCTCATGCTGGCGCAGGTCGGCTTGTTTGCGCGCAATGTAGGCGTTGATGTCCTCCTCGAGTTGCTGCCGCCGCGCTTCAACGCTGCGGGCGAGGCGGTCCAATTGCTCCTGCGAGAAGCCTGGGACCTCGGCCGCCAGACTCGGGGTCGCGTGAAGGTGCATGGACGTGTGCGAAATGTGCCGCTGAACCGTCGAACCGGCCGCTTCCGTCTCCAGCGCCGAGCCGACTCAGGACCCGGGACGCAACTTCAAGTAACGGTGGATGAATTCGGAATATACTCTGCGACGCCTGGACGCGGCCTGTCAGTTGTCTCAACTCCATGGCGAGCAGCTGCGCAGCTGCGAGCAACGTGCGGGCGACCGTACCTGGCGCAAAGTGACGCATGCGGAACTCCAGGCGATCGATTGGAGGAGCCGAGTCACAGGATGGCGTCTGCGGCAGCTGAACACGGCGATGCTACCGCGAGGGATGCACGTGAACTCCAGCGAGCGATGCAGCGAATGGAAGCGAGCGGCTGAACAAACGACAGTAGCAGTGTCGAAGCGTAGACATGGCCAGGACCACGCAAAAACTTTCCCTTTCTCTCTGGCGGAGGGGCTCGCTCAAGTTGCGGTCACAATCGTCTGTATCCATCTTACGCCATCCCGCATGCAGGCTCGCTAAACCGCCGTGGTGGGGCGCAAACTGTTCCAGAAGCGCGATCCAGCAGCCGGCCAGCAAGCGGCCGGCGAGTGTCTCCATTGATCTGCCCGGCGAGCGCACCACACGCACTTCCACGCGTCCCTCACGTTGCTGTGCACTGTGTACGCACGTGTCTGCCTGTGCTACGGCGACCACGCCGCTGGACGCTGGAGTGACGCCCTAGGCTCGCTGGTTGGACGCGCAGGCGCCCCGGTCTGGCCACGAGGGGAGACTGCAAGGATCTGCAACGGCGCCGGTCAGGACGGAAGTCAGCCGTGTGCCTGCGGTGCCAAGGCCGTTCACATGAATGTACCCCGAAAGGTACCAAAATACTCGGCGTAGTGTAAGTACTTTCACGTGGTTGTATTCAAGTAAGCAGATGCATCACATGCGAATTCGACGTCTTGGAAATCCCTTGGAGTTTTCGCTTACTCTCAGAGGGAATATCGAGCCTCTGAGGCTAAATAGACTGTGCTGGTGCGTCATTGTGTGAAATACTGTTTGCAGTCAAGCCAGCTTATCACATAGCCAACGATAAGGTGGCCTGATAACATCTGAGGTTGACAGTCGCTGTGGGTAGCACTGAGGGTTCTAGACCCTATACTCGCGCACATGTGGAGACCCGGTGACAACTTGTGCTCAGGAACAGTATCTCCGGTAACGACAGTGTTACTTTGTGAATATCCAAGATAGATAGAGACAGCGTCAGATACCGTTACTCCAAATCCGATCCCCGACTCCTAAAAGCTGCTCAAGATAGCCACCTCGGATCCAGACCCTTCAGAAATTCGACATCAACATTTACAAAACTCCTCCAAAAATCCACTTCCAGCCTCCACGGCTTCGTCTGCACTATCCAAGTAACCCCCTCACTAAAGCGTCTGAGTTCCTTCTCATTCTTACCCATCACGATGATGAGATCCTTCGCAATCCACACCTGCTTGCCCCAGACGACCTCGAACGGCTGCAGCCTGAGACTCAACTGCTGATGCACGCTCCACTCGCTGTACGGCATATCCTTGGGTATAAACTTCCACTCCCAGCAGCGCCCACGGTCATCGAGGAAGCTGCACATGTGCCTGCTGTCGACGCCCAGCATGAGCGGGTAGAAGTGCGGGCTGGACCACAGCCGCATCGCCGAGAACTTGGCGCCGGGGTTGTTTGACGCGAACTTGGTCACCTCCTTGATGATGTAGTCGCGGTCAAAGACCGTAGGATCACGCAGTTGACTGCCAATTTTTGCGAGTGGGACGCCGACACGATAGTCGATGTACATGTCCATCTCGCGTCCGGGCTCGGCTGCTGCCGTCGCGATGCCAGAAGCACTACCACCGTAGGAGCTGCATATCACACCGGCCTTAAAGACTACATCGTGTTAGCGCGACCGGAATAGATAGCAATGCAAAGCGGGTAGGCTAGAAGCCGGGTAGGGCATTTGCTAGTCTGCTCAACAGTTTGGTGCTGCGGACCCACAACGGCGCGTAGCCTGGGAAGAGATAGCAAACTTACGCTTGATGATAATTGGACGCAAGGCTTTGCGCCACTCCATAGGGAAGATGTCGTCGACAGCGTCGCCCGACTTTCTCTTGTTCTTCTTTAGCAGATCGTCCCAGCTCTTCCAGAATTCTTTGGGCAGCGTCTTATTGCTCATGTGAGTTCGTCGGTCAGGAACATGCCTTGCTCGCTCTTCTTGATTGAGCAGTTTGGTGTCTCGCCATGGTTCGCCCATTTCAGATGCCAGGAATGCGTCGCCCTCAAAGAAGACTGCAATGGAAGCGTACGCGGTAAAAGCATCATCGACGACGCGGCGCTCTTCGCGGAACATGTCGGCCATGTGCATCGTCTTGCAGAGCTCGAAGGGTTCGGGGTTGACGGACCGAGTCATGATGAACATGTCCATTGCATCAACCATGTACTTGTGCTCAACGTAGCGCGAGAGGGCGTTGGGCTCTGCATCTCCGAGATGGAAGCTTTGCTTGAACACTGTACTCGTGAGCGGATACACATCTCTATGAAAATATCCACTTACCCTTGCTTTTCTGGCGATCAATGTGACGGTAGAAATCAGCCTCCATACCTGCGGAGGTGTGCTCATACTCCTGTTGGCATCGCAATGCGAACCGACAAGCCCCCATGAGTTCCTCAGGATTCGTCCTGATCGATAGTGGCAGCATTTGAGCCCTCTTCGAAGTCGTGTTGCGTAGTATGGGTATGAAGTAGTCAGGGTCTTTCATCAGGGAGGAGCTAAATTGATCGCTCAGAATCTCTATCGCTTTCGCAGCATCTTCACTTTCTCCAGGCCGAAGCTCGCTTTCCAGAACGTACTCGGACTCAGGGTCGCTGTGGTCTTCCCAGTCGGGATTACCATCATCTTCAGCCTCACCAAGGTCTGTGCCTTCCGAAGAGCTGACTTCGTCGTCGGTATCCAGATCTGCAGCGAACCTACGCAGGTCGATAGGATCTGTTTCAAACATTTCCATGGCGTTTGGAACATAATGATAAAGGTCGTTAGGCAGCAGCCCACTCTCTTCGAGTGGGAACAGAATGGCGTCTTCGAGCTCGTCAGCCTCTGTGTATTTGTAGCTGTCCTCGAAGCCCTCTTTGTCGAAGCCACTCTGCGGCGACCATGACCAAGCTCGCGCGTTCTCATCAAGCCCATCCCATATGCTTTGCACATTCTCTCCTGGTTTGATGCTACGCATGCGATCAGTATCCGGGTCCTTCGTTAGTGTCTTGAGTATCGGCCCGGCGGTAGAGAACATGTCTTTCAGCTCGCGAACCCTCATGGCGCGGGTAAGAACCTCCTCAATCTTTCTTTGCAAGATAAAGAAGGAGCGACCAGGGCTGGAGTCCCAGATATACACATCGTAAAACTCCTCGAAACCAAAGTGCCATTTGCGAGACTTGTCCATGGATTCGAAGAATTTAGGGCCAACTTCACCAACATTGTTGTACTCGTTTCTGCTGGCTCTGCCCCAACCACTCTTTTCACGGACCAGCCAGAGCTCATCTTCAGGTGGCGAAATCAGGACCCGGCCCGTCTTGGCGTCGCGGACGAGTGCACGCAGCTCCCATGTTTCCATTGCCAGGTATTGGATAAAGCGTCGGCTGACAGGATCATCACGCTTGATATGGCCACATATGAAGTTTCTCATCTCAGTGTGCTGATGTGCCCTGCGGGCCATTCCACGGCTGCCCGTCTGAGAGTAGTTAGTCATTGACTCAGCCTTGTCTCCATGGAAGTAAGGTATGAACCCAAGCTGAAGCAACTGCTGGCGTGCCAAATCGCCAACAAATTTAGTCCACTTTGGTGCCGGGAAGTAGTGATATAGGCAGAGGATATTGAGCTCGAAAAACTCGTTCCAGTTACGGCACAGCTCTACCGCATCGAAGAGATCGGAGTCTTTCGCGATGATGGAGAAATGAAACCAACCGCCGCGAGTAAGTGCCTTCTCGCTAGGGTAGTTGTACATGTAGCGTCCACAAATCTTGATGCGGGTTCGCTTGCGAGAGTATTGGCTCTCATCAGTGACTCTGCCGAAATTCAGGACACCATCATTCTCATCCTGAAACAGATCCTTTGGCTTCTTCGCGGCTCTCTTTGCGGCCTTCTCACGCTTCGTCTTGAAGTTCTCGGGTACCTTGCCCTTATTAATCTTGAGCCTGTACTTTTCTGGTGTTCTATACGTATTTGCGTAATCATCGGCGTCCTTCGTCTCTTTTGGTTCTTCGAGATCCTCCACGCCATCTCTTTCGCGGATGAAGTCAGCGCATGCATCGCGGACGTCTTGCAGTACGGGTCGCTCAAGTTTTAGGCAGATATCGCGAAGATGCTCACGCGTGACTTCCTCCTTGCCCATGAAATCCTCAATATTCTCCGCTTTCAGTGCAGCTGGAAGCAGGGTTGACTGCGCAAGCAGTAGTCGACAGAAGAGAAAGTTCTTGATCTCAGCAACTTCATCCAGTAGCTGTTCGACATCGTTCTCCGGGATAGGCGGCGTGTCAGCATCAAAGCCGTTCGGGCCATCTCCCTGTACATACCAGCCCGTGGCTCGCTCGAACTTGACAGGCGTACGAAGACGTTCCCGCATTTGAGACCTGGTCTCCATCTCGATGACATTCGCTCCTCTTCCCTCTTCAGTTTGCTGTGTTGGATCGGCCAGCTTCTTCGTTTCTGCGTTGGCTTTCTTCACCCTCTTCTTAGCACTCTTAGAGAGGGCCTTTGTGGGTGCAGCTGCCCTGGAAGCCTCGTCGGCGTGGGACATCCCTGCGTCTGCGGACGGGTCCTCGGCTCCAGCGCTAGGCTGATGTTCCTTCAACATGAGGAAATACTTGATGAGCTCTACATAGTTGTCCCGCTCGAAGCCGTATACATCTTTGATAGGATCCCAGTCGTCCTGCTCTTCCTCGGTCATGTCTGACAGACGCTGCTGGTAAGTTTCATCAAGGTACTGCTCCTGTTGCTTTTGCGCTTCCTTTGCTCTCATTGCCCGCTGCTGACGTTTGAGCTCCTTTTGATGACGCTGGAAGAGCAATGCCTCGAGTTTGACCTTTTTGGACTCCGTTTCTCCCTCCTTCTCTTCCTTGACCTGCGTCTGTTTGATCCAGTCAAACCACTGCTTCTTCTCATACATGACAGTAGCTGCGCGTTTTCCGAGTTTCTCGAGAGCCTTTACCATGTTCTGCTTGTCATTCAAAAGCTTGTCGAGATACTTCTGATGGCCGTAGTCGTTATCGATGGCGAAGAAATGGCTATGGTGCAGCTTTCGAGCACGAATCACTCGATCAAGTAGCTGATAGGTCTTGAACAGATGATCATGCAGCGTCTTGAGTGCTGCTTCATCGTCGACGTCTGCGTAGTCATGGGACACTACGGAGCCTTTCTTGCCCACGAAGTAAGATGGCGGTTCGTCAGACAGAGCATCCAACTCCGCATTGCGTTTCTTGTAGCCACGATAAAGAGCTGTAAGTTGTAAGATGCCGATCAAGTGGTTACTGCATGTTGCTCGCTACTGAGTTTCAATTGCAATCGAAGGCAAGCTTACCCTGACATTGACGAGAGTGGAACGCGCACAAGCGTCCATCAGCAGATGTTGCCTCATTGTCGCACGCTGTCTGTCCGCTGAGATCGGAAAGCAGCCGAGCTCGACAAATCGCAGCCATCTTGCCGATGATCGATGACCCAGATAATGATGGAATTGGATGAATGGATAATTGGGACGAATTAACTTCACAAGTATTGGAAACCCCGCGCGCTAGGAACCCTTAGCGTCAACCTTCAACGCGTGTTCTCGTGATGACGGGAAGCTCCCATTCGTCCCTTAGCCTCCTTGTGCTTGGACGCGTTATTGTACGACGACTTCTGAAACACAGTAACAACGTTGACAAATGGGTATCACATAATTCGGTCTAAGACAGCTCTGAAGTCTAACAAAGACAGAGAATCTTTCTATGAATCTTCGTTTTCTTTCTCCTCCGCCTCAGCCTCGGCCTTCTTCTTGTCCTCCCATTTTTGCTTCTTCTCCAGCAATCTTTGCAGGTTCTTGGCGCCATTGAATACGCCATATGTCTTCGCGCTACATGCTGCACATGTCGGGTCTTTCCTATACCGCTTGAGCGCGCATGCCTCGCAGAAGTAATGCCCGCACTTCGTGATAATAGGGGTTGTGTAAGGCTTCTTGCATATGATGCATGCGAATGGAATCTTCTCCAGCAGCGCCAGATCTACTCCGTCTTCTTCTTTCGCCTGCGCATCACGGTTTGCCGATGCGATGATTGTGCCACCCGGTTTCTTGCCCTTTGTCGACATTTCCCACTCGCGATCTAGTTTCCAGCCTGCAGCGTAGTCCTCTCGAGCGTGCAGGAACTTGCAGTTGTCGCCAAATCCGCAGAACCCTGTTTGCTTATAGTCCTTGCAGACATCAGGTGTGTAGTCGGTTACTGTGATGGTTCGCACGTTCGATGAAGATTTCTGGGGGCCAACTTGTCGAGTGGGCGCGTCGGGGTTCTTCTCGATGAACGTATTGGGCTTTGTGCGTGTGCTACCGAGGAGATTCTTTGAGCTCAATTCGTCTTCGCCTTCAAACCAGTTTGATTGTTTCGTTGCATCGTTGCTAGCTTCTATCGTTGCGGAGCGGTTGGCCTCGTATTGTGTCGTACCCTCAAGGGCTGCTGTGTTGGGCTTATGATCAGCAGTCGATGCTTTCAGAGCACTGCTGTTGGTTTTGCGACGCTTGACAACGCGCCCGTCTTCGCCCTCTGCTTCCGAGCCTGACGAGAAATCGTCCGAGTCTGAGCGTGGTGGTGGCGGTGCGATCTTACGAGGAGCAGCCTTTGCCCCTCGCTTCTTGAACTTTATGACCGGTGCGTCTGCCATGATTGTAGTATGAATGAGAAGAATAGTTTAGGGTAGGTTGCAATTTTGGTCTCGTTTGGAGAGTGGGAGCGTAGACTATGTATGTTGGCGCATCGCAAAGAATGTTTGGTGCTGATAGTCCGGGGAAGCTCGGACGCCACGCTAACACTAAGTGCGGCTGAACGACTGTCTGCGAACCATTTGTCATATTTCTCGAAAGCTAAATTGAGCATACTTAGCGACACTGGAAGGACGGAGAAGTTTACACAATCTTCCACTTCACGTGAGACATAGCTGGAGATTGGCTTAAGACCCCCCAACCAACGAAAGATACATTTCATTGACTAACAATCTCATGAACATTTGCACGTTACGTTGTAGCTGGTATACAATATTTGCGTCTCCACTATACAAGCGCCAGTCATGTGCAACGATGCATCGTCCGCACGAATCACATCTCGCCTCCATACAGAAAATCGGTCGAGTTCCGCCTGTGAAAGCCGTAGTCTGTGCTATGACGAATCATTTCTCTCCTGAGCTCGGGTGTCTGCATATCAAATTAATGCATGTTCGGAAAATTATCATCGCGATTAAGACTCACTCGTTCGCTGACTTGCTCAACCCGATTCACCACTCGGTCAAGTAATGATGTCAGCTCCTCGCTGACAAATCTCGGGCTGTCTTTCTGAATAAAGTGCCCACAATTTAAAGCTATGAGCGGACCAATGGCCTTGCCGTCATCGGTGATGTGCGTGAGAGCTGAATTATACTTCTGCCAGGCTGGATTCGCGTAGGTCATTGTCAAGACCTTTGGTGTATGGAGGGAACCTTGATCTTGGTTGGGAAAGTCAGCTTCATGTTCGGACCGTTACATGCATTGTGCGCTGGTCTGCTTAATAAATTCAAAAAAGAGGGGGAGATGTACGTACAGGACTGCTCAGCGAAGGTTTCCCAGTCGTGACCCACGACTGTCAGGTATGGCCCAGAGCCGCCCCAGCCTTCCAAAACAGGCCCATCAGCTTCTGGTAGTAATGCGGCCAGATTTCGCCGCGACAGGCCCTCCATGTTGGGAACATCAGGGTGAAACATCTTCTTATAATTTTCTCTCGTTTCTCTTACTTCGTCTGCCGTCACGTCGGCGGGTAGGGAGTGTGGGTCGAAACCAGGGGCGTCCGGATCTGGCCACATCTTGGACATATCTGTATTCGCCATGATACTGTCGAGGAACAACATGCCGATCACAGTCCCAGGATATGTTTGAGCGAATAGTCTGGCGATGGCGCATCCAATGCTGTTGCAGACGAAGACAAGAGTAGGAACCTGGTTTGGACTTGCTCTTTCCAAATGCTCCTTCCAAATCTGAAGGGTGAATTGCCTGAGATCCCGGACTGCAGACATTGCATCGTGCCCATGACAGGGAGGAGGCTCTTGGTCATTGGGGTCACGGTCCGAATCGCCCTGTCCATATCGATCGTAACTCAACAGAGCAGGATATGGAAGACCTGCGGTCACTCGTTTCTCCAGGAAAGCTTGAATACTTGGGTCCCAAGAGCTTCTTGGTAGCATCAGACCATTTAAGAAGACGATTAGCGACTGTGCGAAAGGATTGTTGTGTCCCAACTTTGAAGCAGAAGATGCTGGGTAGTATGTGTAGTGAACCTTTGCTCCATGCTTGCCCTCGAGTGGGATGGCGGAGATTTCTGGCTCTGGAAATCCCTGGAACGTCTCTTCGGACGGAGGCATGCTACCTAGCATAGGGTTTCCAGGGTTTGATCTTCTTGTGGCATCGTGAACAACACGTTCGGGCGATGTGACTGGATCGTGGTCATCATGCACAGACTTCTCTTGTACTGGTGTTAGTGTTGGCTCCAGTACATACTTCGGTTCCGGTTGTTTGGTATGGTTTTTAGACCTATGGAACAAGTGAACCATGCTGGCGGCGACTTTGCTGATGTGAAACCGGCCTTCGAATCCGAGAACCAACGACAGGCAGCGAAACGTAAACGGCCTTACAGGTTGCCGAAGAAGCTCACCTCGTGCCTTGGTCGTTACAGAGTCCTAATTCGATGGTTCGCATGTGTTCCCAGCCTTCCGGGTCTGATAGATGCAATCTGCGACAGATGCAAGGGATCAAATCCAACAATTTAGCAGTTGTTAGGCAAAAGCTGACAGTCGAACGCTGTTGGATTTCTGGGTTTACTTCAAATATCTGAAAGGCCCTGGTGGTTGCAAAACTTGGTCATGCCCCTCCTTCTGACGGGCAAGACGGGAAGGATTCCAAGACGTTCTGACGACTTCTCGGACCGTCTCTACGCCGTGAATAGGTTGCTATCTCGAAAGAAGCGATGCCTCCGTTCTTGGTGATCGGTTGATAACGAAGAATGTGTTGACTTGCCAAAGGCGCAGGGTCATCATCTCGCTGCGCTCTATGCCGTGAGGGGTCATCATGGCCAAGGAACGGTCACCTCTCGCATGATGACATGCAGATCCACAGAACCGCTCTGTGGCTTGAACGGGACCCGTGTCAACCAGATTTCAACGGCAGATGCATTTGGCGCGAGATAAAACGCCCTATCTGCGAGGTGCATGGCTCCCGCTGTCGTGGCCGTCAGTCGGAGCTGCGAAACGGTGGCTCGGCTCAGGTACGCGGTTGTTCCTGCCAGATGACGTGTTTGGTGATGCAGGTCGCTCTTCCTTCCTTTCCACCGCATGGACCCCTGCTGCAGATCGCGCGTTTTGACACGACAACAATGCCAGCATTTCTAGACATTCTCCACCCCCACAGTCTTATTCAAAACCGTATCATCCATCGCCGTTCGCTTTGACACCTCACACGATCAACCAGCACTACGCGACATCTCAGACCGAACCTGACACTACTCGGCATCGGACCAAGCCTCCGCTAGGTCGGTCCTTTGTCCTTCTTGACGAGTTCTTGCGTCAGCGGCTAACCGCTTGCAGTATTCCGCGATCTACCATGTCGAAATACGTCGATGCTTCTTCGCAGACAGAGTGGGCGGGATTGATGCAGAAGAACATTGTTCGTCCCGAGGCCCTCTTTGCTCCTGCTCCAATTCCTGATACCAGCACACCGCCAGCTGAACCACTAACAAACAAGGAGCAGTGTGTTGCCGACCTGCCGACAATATCGCCAGCAGAACAACGAGGGCAGCCACACACGCCACCACAGTCGAACAATTCGTCACAAGGAGAAGTGCCTGCCATGTCGACATCACCGCTACTCGCCAGGCGCCAAAATCGCCCTGACGACTTTGTGCCTTACCTCAATCTGCCGGCACCAGATCTGCCAGCAATCGCGCCAAGCCCACTCGATAATCAGGCACCAATGTCACCACCACCGTCCGCCCTTCCTTTATCACCGGTACCTGAGGCCAATAGGCGATTTGCTGGGCATACGCCCTTGTACGCGGGGTCGCCGTTGCAAGAGATGAGACAGCCACCCGGTCGCCACCTGCATCCAATGGCGCCAGATATGCTCCCGTCATTGCCCACACACGAATTGATCGTCGAGCAGGATCCTAGCGAAGATGCCGACACGGAGCCACAGATGGAAACGGAGAGCCAGTCAACGACACCACAGAGAGACGTCGGACTGACCGGACCGCTTAGTCTCGCGGCAAATCCAGGCGACGGAAGCCAAGATACTATCTTACTCAGCGCACTGGATGAGGAGCTCGAGAGGGTTGCTCGGGAACAAGCGCGGGTCGATGGCACCGCAGACGTTCACCGACTGCCCAGCCGCCAGGGATCAGCAGACTCACGTTCCTCGGATGTTCAGCCTGTCGACGGGGTCATTCTCAAAAAAACGGTGCCAATGAATTTCGGAGCGCCAATGGGAGAAGTGTAGGATACGCCAAACGGCTCCTCGAGCAAGAGCAAGCGCGGATCGCGCGATGAAGGTTCAGACTCGGACAAGCTTGGAAACGAATTTGAATAACAGCATAGATAGCCATTAAGCATTATAGCGATACCCAGAGGTCAAGGTCAGCGTCGCGGACTCAACTACAGCACCAGATTACAAAGCTGCACAATAGGAGCATTACTTCGAAAACCAGCCAATTCATTCAACGCTGTGACTTTGTTGACATGTGACGTGCTCCCACAATGCTTTGGGTCGTTCGTTTACTGTACAATGATTCTACATGAAGATTCTCACATGCGTACTCTACACACCCCAGTGTAAGTAGTTGCGTTACCGCTCAGCGAGCATGTTCTTGATCTGGCGCCAGTAGTCACCCTCAACCGCCGTCTTTAGTTCATCCTTGTGCAGCCACTTGAAGTCCTGCAACCCGAGCTTGTTCTCCGCAAGATTGGCCTGGCCGGCCATGATGCGCGCCTTCAAGAAAAAGGTCTTGGAGCCTTGCTCCTGCAGCCCAGACTCCAACTGCTTGGGGCTCGCGTATTTGCGCTGGTAGTGGCCAATGGGCACGTGGCCCACGAGCCAGGTGTTCATGTTGATGCCGCCCGCTGAGGTGATGATGCGGTGCGCAGCCTGTTCTAGTCAGCATCTTATGCCCGCGCTTCATGAAGGCATCACGAGCCAACGTACCCCGTGCAAGTTCTCATCGGCCAGCCTGTCCTGCGGGAACTCCCACCGGCCCTCCTTGTTCTTGACCAGCAGATACAGCGTCCGCTGCAGCGCACGCGCCAGGCTCTTGGTGTCGTTTGCGTGGTCCGCGGCGGTGATTCTGCTCGGCAGCTGCTCGATCGTCTCGCGCTCGTCTTTGGCGGCCTCTGCTGCGGCGGCTACAACCGCGGACTGGTCCTCGGCTCCCGTGGTCTCGGCGTCCTCCAGCAATCGGTCCACCTGCCATTGCGTCTGGCTCTCCTTGGCGCCGACGAGCACCTCGTCGTTCCACGCCTCCTCGCCGTAGCCCTTGTACCGCCCGATGTCGCGCGCGGGCGTCAGGCGCTGCGCGATCTTCCGCTTCCACTCGCGGTCTGCCGGTGTTTTCGGTTTGATGTAGAAGTAGCGTGTGAAGGGCAGCGCGGTGCGCTCGTTGAGGCGCTTCTGGTACAGGAAGAAGGCCTCCTCGAACGGGTGCAGGTCGCGGGTGATCTGCGGGGGGCGGGAGAGCAAGACGCCCGCATTGACGGCGTAGGAGGGCGAGGGCGACGACTGGGCCACGGGGGGGATGTGCTGGGCGACGGGCTCCTCGGGGGCAGCGGCCGCGGCTGCAGTTGCGTAGGCGCGCGAGGTGGAGGTTCTACACGAGCGGCATACCGCCTGGCCTGGGTCCATCAGCAATGGGTCTCTTTTCGGTGCGCTGAGGCGTCTCACCTGCTCTCGCAGCCACGCGCCGTGTCTGGTGCGGATTCATCTTCGCGTGCGGGCCTGCTCGCGATAATCGTCCTACGTCTGCTTCGAGCCCATCTCGAAAAAGTCGGGGAGCGGGAGTCGCGCGGCCTAGCGCCCTTATGTAATCCGAGGCGAGTGCATTTAAAACTCGGAAAACGATGCGCCTGCTCTTTACTTCTATATGGCCCTCCTTATCCCCAGCGTGTCGCTTTCTCTTCTACCAGACGCTGGTCATTAAATGAGGCCTAGAGGGATCGAGCAGTCTTTTTCGCTAGCAGTACCTTCAAATTGTTCCAAGGCGTACAGCTAGATAGATTTTGCTCACATTCTTTGTCGTGACCACGGTACTTTGGAGTCTACAAATGCGCAGATTCAGGTGCTGTGCTTCTGTACTTGTGATTGCGTTCATGTTCTTATATGGGCTTCAGCCAATGTGCTGCGACGGCGCATTGTTATCGACTTTGAGGATGTTCAAAAGTGCTTCTGAACCCTGCATACAGAGGTGTACAGGATCTTCGCTAGCAACGCCTGCAAGACGGTGGTAAAGACCATTTCTGGATGGAAAGCACTGTCTGTAGATATCTGGTCACACTCAAGTAGTCCATGGCCATCGTTTCCTCGTGCATAGTCTTTACATCGCCGCCGGTCGTGCTCCCCGCGGCGCTTGCTTTCGCCGACGCCAAGCCATCTGTAAATTTACCAGACGCGTCCCGCGCTGAGCTCCCAGGCACAACCAAACCCCAGATACCCCTCACATACCGCCAACATGTCTCTCTCGATACCCAACGCCCCGAACGCTGGGCTGTTCAAGCAGGGCTACCAGAAGTGAGACTCGTCTACCCCACCATAACATTTGTGTCCTGCTAACACCCCACAGCTACGACGCTGAGGATGGCGCTGTTATTCGCAACATCGATGCCTGCAGAACGATTGCGCAGACTGTGCAGACCTCCCTGGGCCCCTTTGGCCGCAACAAGATCGTCATCAACCACCTCCAGAAGATGATCCTCACCTCCGACGCCGCCACAATATTGAGGGAACTCGAAGTTGTGCACCCCGCAGCGAAGCTGCTGGTCATGGCCAGCCAGCAGCAGGAGGCGGAGATGGGCGATGCGACCAACCTCGTCATCGTTCTTGCTGGCGAGCTGCTCAAGAAAGCTGAGGAGCTCATTCGCATGGGTCTAAAGACAAGTGACATTGTCTTGGGTTACGAGAAGGCACAGAACGCGGCACAGCAGGTCCTGGAGGGTACGTAACGTGTGAAAGACTGTAACACCTAGGCTGACAGTAGTACAGAGCTGGTATGCGACAAGGTCGAAGATATCCGGTCGCAATCCGAGCTCGCCAAGGCTATTCGCACCGTCGTCGCCGCGAAGCAGTCCGGCAGCGAAGACTTCCTCGCCGATATCGTCGCAGAGGCTGTCTTGGCCGTGCTGCCCAAGAACCCCGTCAACTTCAACGTCGACAACGTCCGTGTGGTCAAGATCATGGGAGGCGCGCTGGAGCAGAGCAAGGTCGTTAAGGGTATGGTCTTCGCGAGATCACCAGAGGGCAATGTCACAAAGGCCACCAAGGCCAAGGTTGGCGTGTTCTCGTGCCCCATCGACATCTCGCAGACCGAGACCAAGGGCACGGTCCTGCTGCACAACGCAAAGGAGATGATGGACTTCACAAAGGGCGAAGAGCAGCAGGTCGAGCAGGCCATCAAGGAGCTCCACGACTCCGGCATCCGTGTCGTTGTTGCCGGATCCACCATTGGCGAGCTCGCCCAGCACTACCTCAACCGCTACAACATGCTCACCATCAAGATCCTCTCCAAATTCGAGCTCCGACGGTTATGCCGCGTCGTTGGCGCCACACCTCTGGCGCGCCTGGGAGCACCTATGCCTGACGAGATGGGCACTATTGATGTAGTCGAGACCCTCGAGATTGGCGGTGACCGCGTCACCGTCTTCAGACAAGAGAACGAGCAGACACGGACAGCGACCCTCGTCCTGCGCGGCGCTACTCAGAACCACCTCGACGATGTTGAGCGCGCCATCGACGACGGCGTCAACGTAGTCAAGGCCATCACTCGCGACGCACGCCTTGTACCCGGAGCTGGAGCCACAGAGATGCAGCTCATCGAGCGCATTAAGACCATCGCCGACAAGACACCCGGCCTCGCACAGTACTCGATCCGCAAGTTCGCCGAAGCCTTCGAGGTCATTCCCCGCACCCTCGCCGAATCAGCAGGAATCGACGCCACTGAGGTTCTCGCACGCCTGTACGTTGCACACGCCGCACAGAAGGGCCGCAAGGACGATGAGTGGACAGTCGGTGTCGACATCGAGAACGACGATAACACCGGCATTCTCGACGCCAAGGAGGAGGGTATTCTAGATCTCTGGGTCAGCAAGAGCTGGGCTATCAAGCTGGCCACCGAGGCTGCCAGGACAGTGCTGAGCGTCGACCAGATCATTGTCGCCAGGCAAGCTGGTGGACCGAAGATGCCCGGCAAGGCGCAGCAGGGCAACTGGGACAACGATGATTAGACACGAGCAGCCTAGAAAAGTGTATAATGACATGAAATGAACCGATGTTCATACCCGCATCATTTGTCACGCACAGCCCGGTTTGTTCTCTATGTGATGTTAATAATCAGGGATTCTCGATTACGATTAACGGTTATCTAGATCATAAACACCACTATGTCAGAGCTCTGATAGATCAACGCTGCGCGAATGAATGATAGGACAGTCACCATATCTACGTAGATCCGGAGATAGGCATGTCTACCCCGCGGCGGAAACGACTTTCCTTATCCGGTTCAAGCATGTCGACAAGATATAAGTTATCTTAACTTGCAACTGAGGCTCGAATATTAATCATTGAATTCTGTAGCCAGCAGACACATTATCTGGTCCATCGAAACCTCGACACCCCACCTCACCACCACCACCACCACCACCACCACATCACTATCTCACCATGCCCGAACCCGCACCACCCCGCAAAATCCCCCTCGGACCCCCCTCCTCCCCCTGGCACCACTCCCCCACAACCGGCTTCGACCTAACCCGCGCCTCCCCCTCCCGCCTCACAATCGAAACAACAACCACCCCCCTCACCCTCTCCCCCACAACAACCGCCCTCCTCATAATCGACATGCAGAACTTCTTCCTCTCCCCGGCCCTCGGCCACCCGCCCCCGAGCCCCGGCCACGCCGCCTGCGCCCAACTAGTGCAGCACGCGGTGCCCGCAGCGCGGCGCGCGGGGATTAGAGTCGTGTGGGTGAACTGGGGGCTTACGGAGGGCGAGGTGCGGGATATGCCTGCGGGGGTGGGGCGGGCGTTTGGGTTCCGCGCTGAGGGAGCGGAGGGGGTGGACGGGGTGCGGTTCGATAAGCACGGGCGCGAGGGCAGGGGCGGGGGGCTGGGGCGCGAGATGGGCGCTGTGGAAGTCGGGGGGGAGACGGTGGACGCGGGGCGGGCGCTGATGCGGGGGAGTTGGAATGCGGGGTTGTATGGGCCGCTGGGGGAGGTGTTTGAGGCGGGGCGGGCGCGGGCGGTGCGGCCGGACGTGTGGGTGCACAAGAACCGGATGTCTGCGCTGTGGGGGGCGACGACGGAGTTGCAGGGGTTGTTGGAGAGCGAGGGGATTACGACGCTGTTGTTTGCGGGTGTCAATACGGATCAGTGTGTTGGCGGGACGCTGACGGATGCGTTTAGTAAGGGGTATGATTGTGTGTTGCTGAGTGATGGGTGTGGGACGAGTAGTCCGGGGTTTGCGCAGGAGTGCTGGGAGTACAATGCTGCACATACGTTTGGATTTTGTACTAGCTGTGAGAAGTTCGCGGATGCGGTGGAGAAGATGGGGAAGTAGAGTAATATCAAAGTAATGGGGGTGGTTATAGTATTGATGCACTAAGAGCCCTGCGCGAAACGCTTCATCCGCTCTTCTGCGGCGCGCGCTCGCCTTTCGCGTTCGAGTCGCGCTTGGGCTTCTGGTGTGAGTCCTCTTGCTTGCTCTTCGCGTATCTCAGCAGCTGTCTTGACTGGCAACGCACCAAGCGTCTTCCCCTTGCCCAGGCGCTGCGTAGTACGTGCTGACTCTGCTGCCTCACTTTCCTTCCTCACACGCTCTGTTTCTGCTTTTCTGCGCTCCGTTTCTGCTTTGGACTCAGCAGCTTTCTCAGACTTGTCTTGTGCTTCGCGCTTGTCTGCTTCTGCTTTCGTCAGTGCGGCAGGCACACCGGCCTTCTCCCAGTCCCAGGCTGATTCGCCGAGCTCAGATCGTGACACGCGGAAGGCGTCGCGAGTTGTTCTGTCGCCCGCGAGAGTGAAAGGTGTCCTCGCGTCGTCATTCATGACGGTGGGGTCTGCGCCGGCCTTGTTGAGGAGCGCAGAGATGATGGGAGCCGAGTTGAGCGAGGCAGCCAGGTGTAGGGGTGTCGGTGTGTGGTGGTTTTCTGGCAAAAACGTGAATGTGGGAGGAATGGCGTTGGTCTTGATGTAGTTCAACAACGCAGGTACTTTTGATCGTCTGATTAGCGGAATAATCTGTGATGAATGGAGCATGGCTGTCTCTTCCTCCTTCGATGGCTTTTGAGGCTTGGGCTTCGCTACTGGCTTTTTCGATTGCTCTTCAGGCTGCGGAGCGTTGAGTGCCGCAAGCGCTGCTTCGTCGATGGTGCTTTGCTTGACCCGTGTAAGCTCAACAAATGCACGCATAAGTTCCTTCTGTGTCGCACGTCGTGTGCTGAACGGAAAGCCTCTGTTCCTGGGGTCGTTCGTACGGAGAACCTGTCCCTCGTATGGACCGAACAGAGTCCGTCGATTTGTGGCACCTGTTGCACGTACGAAGACCAACTCTGCAGTATCGATCATCGACTTCCAGCTTGTCATCAGATCGCGGACCTCCTGAATCAGCGCGTTCTCGTTGTATCTTCGTATCGATGAACCTGCTGAATGCGCGGCACCCTTTGCGTTGTCATTCGCCGACTGCGAGCCACCCTGCTTCCGTCGCGTTGTGTACCGGTGGAATGTCTTGTGCGCAATGACCGTAGCTGACCGCTCGTCAACCCCAGTGTGGCTCTTGCCAGTCTTCGGTGCCAGCGCCACAATCATAGCGGCAAAATGGCCACCACCGATCATGGCGAGGAAGTAATGCGGCCCAATATCTGTCTGAGGGACCGGGACGCCGCCTTCAGAAGATTTGATCTTGGGTGGCTGCACAGGAGCGAGCTGCTTGCTTCGTATTGTCTCGACGATGTGTGATGTCTCTTCCTGTTCCGCATTGGTGAGAATCGCGCGGTATATCCCCAGAGACACGTTCTCTGCTAGCTTGGGTGAGGAGAACCATAACAAAGGCGCGTTGCCAGGCCCTCGCTGCTTCTTCTTTGCCGCAAACTCGTCAAATTCAGGATCTTGTATCTTGGCTTGCTTCTTCAAAAGCGCACTCAGCGTGGAGTCCTTTGGCTTTCCGTTCTCGTCCTCCTCTTCGTCCGACTCGGATGACTCGGAGCCCGATATGCTCTCGTCCAGATCTCCAATAAGCTTTTCAAACTCGACTTCTCCCACAGGATTTTGCCCCTTGATCTTCTGCTTCAAGTTGTAGCCATGCAGGTCTGATCGTACGTGTTTGCGCTGCTCATCCACAGAGCTGAAATTGAGTGTGCAGAGGTTGCAGGATGTCGCCTTCGTTGCGCCACCATCTTCCCCCTCCAGTCTCTCTATTGATCCATTCGAGGGTGTTTGTGCTTCGGGCGCTGGCGTAGCGACTGGCCGACCGGACTGGTCTTTGTATTCGAGAGTTGCCAGCAGCTCTTTCGGCAGGTCAAACACTGCAATTATTAGCACTTATGCTGCTGATCTGGCCTTGAAACATACCATACAGCGGTCGCTGCAGCAAGTCCTCACTTTTCTGCGCCATTTTAACCTGAATCTACTTCGTGGGAAGGGTTCGAGAGGTTGCACAATCAGGCGACAGCTTGTGAATTTGGTGGGGAGTCAAACGATGACGTGCAACCGCGCTGAGTCCATGAGTCAGGCGCGCGCTTAATGTGTAGCGCGCTTATTCGCGCTCCGCTTTCACTGCAAGACACCGTCTCGTTTCGTATCTGGGTCTCAAATCTTGTACCCACATAGTGCACGTAGGCGTTTTGTTGTAACTGGCGTTCGTTGCGACAGACGCATCGATCTGGGGCTGACACGCGTTTTCGACCAAGGCTGGAATCATGCACCTCACCCTCCAGTCCTACCATCCAAGAGAGTCCAGAAGCTGAACAAAAAGACGCGATCTGGACTTAGAATTCAACAATATGGAGTCCGCCAAAGCAACTCTTGACACACTCCCCGAGGAGCTCCTCGTCGCTATCCTGGAGCACATTACCACCCTCCCCGCCCTGCTCGCCCTCTCCAAAACCTCTCGACGCCTGCACCGCCTCTCCCTCCCCCAGCTCTACCACACCTTCCCCGGCCGAAACTCCGAGCTCTTCCTACGCACAATCTCGCACTCCCCTGACCTCGCTGTCCACACCAAAACAGCAATATGGCACCAAGAACGCCGCACCGTCCCGTCCATCGACATGCTCGAAAAACAGCACATCGTCATGCGCCTCGCCCAACTATGCGTCCCGCACGGCACTGATCTCGCGCAGCACTTCTCTAACTTCGGGAAGCATGAGGACTACTGGTACTTCGAGGTGCTGGTGCTGTTCATGCCGAGCCTGGAGGAGGTGCAGGTGCGCGAGAGCTGGCTGTGGGACGACCACCAGTACTGGTTCAAGAGCCTGAGTCCGTTTTTCAATCCGCTGTGTGAGAGTCGCTTGAGGACGGCGAGACTGGATGGGCCGATGAGGCTTGAGAATCTGGTGCCGCTGCTGACGATCCCGACGCTGAGGACGCTGGAGGTCACGCAGGTGACGGTGATGCGGCGGGAGGGGTTTCGTGTCTTTCAGTGGAGCGTGTGGCCGGTTGAGAAGTTGCTTGCTGAGCGCAGTTCCGGGCTTGAGACACTGAGTTTGAGGGAGAGCTACATTGATTTGGAGTTGCTGCTGCCGTTGCTGCGTGGAGTCAAGGCGCTGAAGTCGTTCACGTACGAGCACTTGCCCAATGATCTCGTAGATGAGTTTGTGCTCGAGCAGCGTGTGGAGGATGGAGCGCTTGCCGCGTGTCTTGCGGTTCAGCGAGAGTCGCTTGAGTATATCCGCGTAAGGGATACGGAAGAGCGCGATTTGATCGGTATGCCACAGCTACTGTTCGACCCAGAGTTGGACTACGATGCAGCACATGACGTAGGAAAAGCCTTTCCAAACCTGCACACTCTGGACATTGGTCCGCTTAAGTGCATCTGGCATCAGATCAATCATGGGCACGAGACATCTGTGCTGAAGTTGCTGATGGCCAATCTACCGCCGTCCATCAAGATCCTGAGGTTTGTGGCTAGTCCAACTCATCATCAAGATCTTGAAAGGCTCCTAGATATTCTCGCCTATGCTTTCGCAGCCGAACAACGCCCTTTGGAGGCCATTGAAATCACGGACTGGGATCCAACACTTGGCTGGTTTCCTGAAAACTTACCAGTTCTGCAGAAGACGTATAGTGTCCTCGGTCTGCGGCTTATATCGGTGGCTCGTGATGCGACTGACGTTTATGGGGCAGAGCCGTTGCTTATCGACGAAGATACGGAACCAGATTGGATTTTCGTCACGGATTTGAGATTGGCAAGTCAGGTGTAGGTTGCCGAATCCTTCTATTGAATGTTCCACGACATGAAACTAACTACCATGTCTCTTGTCTATATCTCCCGATTTTCTCAAGCGCCACCAAATACGCCTCTGCGTCCTCCCTAGTCGACTGCGCGTGCTCTTGGAACCCTTCGATCAGTGCTTCGCGCACTGCTTGCGGCATCTTTCCCGACGAGCCACATATGTATATTATTCCATTCTTGTTTGCAATTATATCATATACAAGTGCGCTCTGTCGGCGTACAATGTCCTGGACGTAGACCTTCTGCCGCTGATCTCGAGAAAAAGCAGTGAAGACTTCGAACGGAGCACCACTGTCCATAAGAGATCTCCATTCGTCCTTGAAGAAGTAATCTGATTCAGCATTTCGGCAGCCAAAGAATAATACATCTTTTGCGGCGGCTTCGTGATATCGGGCATTAGCATTGCGCCATTGTATCCGCTGCTGTGTGAGGGCACGCATGGGTGCTACACCTGTGCCAGGGCCGATCATGACGACTGGCCTGTCTAATTCGTCATGAGTGGCACCTAGTCCACCACGTGAGAGAGTTACAGTGATCTGCTGGCCTGGCGTGAAGCTGGCGATGTACCGCGTGGCTACACCCTGTCTGATCCTTTTTATCACTGTCTTGTACTTGACGATCGCAATAAGCAACTCGACCCTTGTGCTTTTGTCTTTGCCTTCTGCGCCCGGTGTTTCAGTCATTGCGCTTGCAATACTGAACTGCCGCCCGCGCAAAGCAGGAATGATGTCGCATACTCGTTGCCAAGGGATCTTCACACTTTCAAATTCTTGCAGTACTTCGAGGATGCTACGCCGTGGACGGGTGGTATAGTCATACAATTCATCGATGTACTCTGGATCCGTGAACTCTAAGAGTCGATCTCGGTGGAACTCGTCACTCGTGTAGTGAGCGAGCTTGGCGAAGAATGACCGTCGTGGAATAGATAGGATATCAAGGTGATTTGTGAGAAGCTGTCGTAGGGTCGTAGTACTAGTGGACGAGAAGGTGGGTACGGGAAGGCGGGCGGTGGGGGAGACAGACGAGGAAGAAGGCGTGAACTTTATACGCTTATCAGCGATAGGCGTCCAGTCCATAACGGCAAGGAGCTGGTCAACATCCGACGGAAAGTTTTTGGGATATATTGTCAAGACATCTCCGGGAAGGTAGGGATGTGAGCCTTCGATGTCCAGTTTTAAGTGACGCACGTCCTGCCAATGTGTTTCTGGTGTTACTCTTTCGTTGGACGAAATATTTGCTGTGAGACCGCCAGGAATGTCGAGCAGGTCCTGAGGTGGGATCTCTTCTACCTTACCATTGGTCTGTGATGCAGCATGGGCATCTGCTGGTGCAGCGCTGTCGAAGTCTAGCACCCATTTTGGGTCTAGCAAAACACCGTCCGGTATCGGCTCTAGTTCCTCAGGCAGAGGATACTCCTGGAGGAGACTGCTGCGTAGAGTTGCTGTCCATGGAAGGAAGGAGCCGTCAATACTGACAAAGCATCAGACACAAGTCATGGTCCAGGTTATAAGGGGAAGAATTGAAGCGGAAGTTGGGCAAGCAGTACAGATTCATCGCATAAAGTATAACAGTGCTGAGATAAGAGGAGAACCGCGACATACCCTTCAGGATGCTGTTCGTCTGACTCTCCACGGTCACATATTGGCTGTGCTCCCAGCTGGACGAGGCGATTGTAGAGCTTGCGATGTGCCCAGTTGTACCTTCCCGATGTCAGAACACCATGGCAACACGTAACTGAGCACACTCACTTTGGATACGAAGTATCTCCAAGTCCGAAAGACGCAAACTTCATTCGCTGCAGACATCCTGGCCGTAGTCGGACACTGCGCAGCGCCTTCCAAAAGGCCTGGCTGTTCGGGGGCAGATCACCCTGGCCGGTGGTGGAGATGGCGACCAGAACGACGTCGTGCTGCAGCAATTGCTTCTGCAAGATATCAACCACTGGCTCTGCGTGCTATCGCGCCTGACATACTAGGCTGACTGCATTCAGTTCTGCGACTTCCGTGTCGAAGCGCAGGCGCTCAGCGAGCCTTCCCATCTCTTCGGCGACATCCTGGGCGTTGCCTGTTTCGGAACCATAGAGAACCAGGGCTCGCCGGAGGTTTTGCGAATCCCCCATGGTCGGTGCTGGTGCCGCCAAACTCAGAATGCAAGCTGCGGTGAGACTAGGCTGGAACGGCCTGGAGAAATTGATGTCTGTGTGGCGCTTCCCCGGGCCCGTGGAGTGAAAAGCGGTGCGCTAGCGGACACGTCAAACGGGCGGGTCTCCATGGCAGCGGCCCCATCTGTGAGCGACGAGCACCGCATCTCTCGAAGCTTCGACGGGCGAGCCATTGCGTCAACCGGCCGTCGGTCGCCGTCGCCGTGGCGTCGCCGCTCGCTAAAGGACCGCCTTGCATTCCAGCAGCGTCGCGTGCCTGCGTCGCAGGGCGTCGACAGCGGGCGTCGAGGTGAGCGCAAGGCGGCGCCCACCTGCCCAATTGCCGGGCGCGCTGCCCTCCTGGCCTCACCGCTCTCGCCGCTGCCTGGCTCGCAGCGGAGCCCTTGCCAGCACTGATCGCAGGGCGCCTGCGTGTGTGGCTTTCTCGCTGCAAGAGCTCGTCTGCCCTGCCCCATGCGGTCTAGCGTGCTGGTGCACCCGTCGAATCGCTTGATTTATTTTGATGCTGTGCTCCCGCTCCTGTTCTCCCATCAAGTCAACAACTGAGACACTTTCAACCCATCAACCCACCTCTCACCAACCTTCCGGGCTCGTAGCTTCCCACCCCACCCCCCTCGTCAATAGTTCCACCCTCCAGGCGGTTCATCCCACTACTGTTCACGGTTACCTTCACCGGTCTACTAGGACTCCAAGTTTACTCCACTTCCACACGCTTCGATCCAGTTCGTGTCCGTCAACCCCAAACTTCAGCAAAATGTCCGCCCCAGTCGAACAGGTCACCGCCCAGATGGCCAACACCACCCTCGACAACGCCGCTCCCGCCACCACGGAGAGCACCGGCGCCCAGCAGCCCACCGCAGCCGAGGACGAGGCTGTGCGTGCCAGCGCCGCCGAGGGAAGGCGACTTTACATTGGAAACCTCGCGTACGCGACCACCGAGGGGGAGTTGAAGGACTTCTTCAAGGACTACCTTGTGTGAGTGACGCCGCGCGCGAGCTGTGGAGCGAGAGCTAACACGTTGCACAGCGAGTCCACCACCATCCCCACCAACCCGCGCACCTCGCGTCCCGTTGGCTACGCCTTCGTTGCCCTGTCGACACCCTCCGAGGCCGAGCGCGCCATTGCGGAGCTGAACGGCAAGGCCATCCTCGACCGCAAGGTCTCGATTCAGCTCGCCCGCACTCCCGAGGCCCACGCCGAGGGCGCTGGCAGCGGTGCTGAGGGCGCCAGCGGCAACGAGCAGCGCCGCCGCGGCTCCACCCGTGGCCGTGGTCGCGGACGTGGCCGCGGTGGCCGCACTGGACGTGGCGGACGCGCCGTAAGACTCATGACTCAGATGCATGAGGCTTAATGCTAACGTGGCTGCAGAACGCTGACGGCGCCGAGGCCGAGCAGATCGAGCTCACCGACGCTGCTCCCGCCGAGAGCACCCCCACAAATGTACCCGGCCAAGTCGCTCCCCTCACCGAGACCACGAACGAAGCGCTTACCAACAAGGACTCTGCCGCCAAGCAGCCCGCCGCTCCCCGCGAGCGCAAGCAGCGCGGTCCCCCCGAGGATGGTGTCCCTTCCAAGACCAAGGTTATGGTCGCCAACCTGCCTTACGACCTCAAGGAGGACAGGGTACGTTGCTTCAGTTACATCATGAAGCTCGTCTAACAATCTGCAGCTCCTCGAGATCTTCAAGGACTACTCCCCCACCCAGGCCAAGATCGCCCTCCGCCCCATCCCCCGCTTCATGGTCAAGAAGCTCCAGGCTCGCGGTGAGCCTCGCAAGGGCCGTGGTTTCGGTTTCGTCACCCTCGGCTCTGAGGAGCTCCAGCAGAAGGCTTGCAACGAGATGAACGGCAAGGAGATTGAGGGCCGTGAGATCGCCGTTAAGGTCGCGATTGACTCCCCCGGCAAGGAGGATGATGCCCCCGCCGAGGCCGCCACCACCGAGGGCGCCGCTGCCACCACCGAGGCTACCTCTGCCACCACCACCCAGTCCACCGAGAAGCCCACCGAGAAGCCCACCGAGAAGCCCACCGAGACTCCTGCGGCTGCTCCTGCGGCTACTCCTGCAGCTACCCCTGCAGCTGCCCCTGCGGCTGAAGCTGCGGCTGCCCCTGCGGCTACCACGACTGCCGCTTAGGTGCCTCCAGTTGCTCATGGCCACGTCGGACACCGTCAGCAGCGCTCGATGGACTCCTTCACCAACCCCGACACACGAGTTATGACTTAGATGACACGACTCAGCGTTTGATTCGCTGCGATTTGATTACCGAGTTTCTGGTCTATCGATATCTATCATCTTTGCTAGATGTTCAGGCCATTAGCTTTACCGACTTCGTTCGAGATGACCAATCTGGAAAAGTGTTTATGGAGTCTGCCGGGCGTCCGAGTTATGGTGGAAAACATGGAAAGCTTGTCTTAACTGCATTAAGCTTTGAGTGATATGAAATATATGAACATTGATCTACATGCCGCATTGGCTGATGACAAACCTCACGACTACTTATTGCACCCTTTGATGTGCAACTATGTGCACAGACCCATATACAAGCTTCAGTGACACTGCGATTGTTGAGCGAGTTAACTGGCTTTCCGAGGCAGACATGTAGATCAACAGTAACATCTGCAGAGCCTCGTGCTGCTCGTGTTAGAGAGATGCATGACAGTGTCATTGCCTTGAGGCTCTGCTTAACTTCATGCATGTTATGTTGATCTGCATGCGCCCAAGGCGCATCCCAACAGTCATTCAGCACGCCTGAAACCCTCGCATTTCCGTCAGCACGGCCAACGACCATGTTTTGTACAGATGCAGTTTTCTAAGCCAGAGGCAGTTCTCGTCGGATTCTGAGTCTTCTCAACTAGACTTGCGTCTGTGTACAGTAGGCGTCACTGCTACAGTAGTGGCCCGCTTAGTCATCAGGTACGAACCATTGCTTCCCTGCGCTGTTTCGTCAACACCACATGTCACAACGGATACAAGCATTTCTCTCAGGTGGAGCACATTCTTCCCATCAGGATGTTGACTTGTTGAGTACACACTGATGCCATTTTGTACAACAGTACATGCTGATCATCAATGGCTGTGGACGTGTGTTAATGAGTGACTATCGTGTTGCGAATGTCAGCCTGCCCGCTTAATCCTCCTTCAGCATGGCAAAGCCAGCGAATGCGGCTAGCTGGAGCCTAACCACCTTTATGCTGTGCACTGCCTGGCACACCTGTACGCCATGGAAGGCTGAGCCCCGCCCTCGTACTTTATCAGGCGCCGTCGACTTCACTCTGCCTCGACACTCATCTCACTTCCATTTCACTTCCCTTGCCCAACTTTCGGCGATTCGCAATCATCGAAGCCGAAGTCATGCCTTGTGAGAGTTGCCAGTCGCCACGTTCTCATGTCGCTTTCTTCGAGTTTCGATTATCCGATCGTTCTCTTGACGCCATCAACCGGTTGGTGTCGCTCCAAGATCTTCAGATGACCTCTTCCGCTGGCTGCAGACGGTGTTTCCTCATTTTAGAGGCTGTTCGGAAACGGGGTGTGTCCGGACATCATCCTGTGTCTTACTTTGACCTGCCGGAACAGTGTGTTGTAGGTGTTGGTGATACAACGCGACGTTCAGAAAACAGCTCTTTATACCCCAGATACGGATATGGGTCCATACTTGACATAATGTTGTGCAGGAGGAGCAGCTGGATTGTAATGGATTACAACGCTCCGATCATGTTTGGTCTATATACTGAATCTGGCACGTGCCAGTCGTGGAATACCACGCTGCCATATTTTGTATATGATGCTAACCAAGTTCAGTTGAAACTTCGGATGTACTACTCATACCCTTTTCAACAACGGTGTCGGCCAAGATGTCGGCTGAAAGCTACAGTGTCATGATCAAGCAGTGGCTGGAGCACTGCTTAGACACACATCAAGAGACGTGCCCAGAGACTGCATCAAGACTTCCGAACCGAGTAATAGATGTTGGAAGTAACCACAGGAGACCAAGACTTCACACAACCGATGCTAAGGAGAAAGGAAACTACTGTGCGCTTAGCTACTGTTGGGGTGATAGTGTCGCGTTCCGAACGGAGACATCCACTTATGGAGAAAGAAAAACAGGTTTCGATCTTGAAGCCCTCCCGAAAACAATCAGAGATGCTGTTCTGCTTGTTCGTGGGTTAGGTATTCGATACCTTTGGGTCGACAGTCTTTGTATCATCCAAGATTCCGTCCTAGACTGGGAGTGCGAAGCAGCGCTCATGGGTGATATCTATTCCCGGGCATTCATTGTAATTGCTGCTGTTGATGCTCCTGATAATGATACTGGCCTGTTCCATGAGGATGAACGCCGTCGTATTCAAAGAGTCGGTGCAGATCACGAGTCTGTATTTGTGAGACAGGATTTCCACAACGGCGTCGCAGGTTGGGGCAACGGGCAGCCGATAAAGCAACTCACTGAAAACGCTTTGCATAAAAGAGGATGGACACTACAAGAAGTTGCTCTGGCTTCACGGATGGTATGGTATGTACTTTACTCGCATCACTAAGTGATGATTAATCAACGATGACAGGTTCAAATCAGGCGAGATCAGTTGGTCTTGCGTTCGCTCCACCGCATGCGAGTGCAGACCAGAGTTGCTGAATATCATCCATTCTGAAAACTACAAATCACACCTCTTACAAACCATTGCATACCTTCGAAGTTCAGGTGCCAACCGTTCGCAATGGCTAGAGAAGTGGCATAGCTTTGTTGGGGATTACTGTACTCGCAAATTCAGCGATGTCAGGGATAGACTCCCAGCCATTGCAGGCGTAGCAATCAAAATGCAAGGCGAGATCAATTGCAGGTATCTGTTTGGGTTTTGGGACAACGAGACATTCTTGGATCGCTTAATCTGGCACTGTAATAAGGCGCCCAAACATGAAAGTTCCTTCGATCCTCGTCATTTTCCTCCATGTGACTACGCACCTACTTGGTCATGGGCGAGTTGCTCGGTGAGTAGCGAACCAGGATGGCTAGCTCCTAAGTTGCGGTATACAAACGTTTGGATATTGGAGTCCATGAAGATCGATTTGAGTACATCCAATCCCTTTGGTCCTGGTCGTGGAGCTTTGCATCTGCACTCGCTCATCGTTCCCGTTACTCGAGATTTCAAAGACAGCCGTCAAATCCGCTACTCAGGCCCAATGAAGGATACAATTACATCGAGATCCGAGAGCAAAATCGCCTCAAGAGTTGCTGTCATGTTGCTCAGAAACAGCGGATTTGAATTGAACGACAGCAGGATCGACTACGTCCATACATCAGACTGGTATCAGGGCAAGGAGCTTTCCTTCATCTTCGGCAAAATCGATGACAAAACTAAATCGGGCGAATTCGTGGGATTATTGCTGGAGCGGCTGGAAGGTGCTGAGAGAGGTCTGCACAGATATCGGAGACTGGGTCTCATCGTGGGCTCCTTCGCAAGACCAAGTGAGGTGCAAGTCGGTACTTCGTGGGAGATTGAAAAACGCACCAGGTCTGAAATCATCTTTGTAAAGCCGACGTGGGAGTATTGGCAGAAGTTAGGCAAGTGGGAAACTATTGTTCTGGTATAGACAGTGCAGGGTACATACAGTTCTTCAAATTCTTTATCTGAGAGTACAATTGCATCAGAACAACAAAACCAATCAGTAAAAAAAGGCGTAATCTAGCCATTCCTATTTCCAGTGGTACTGCGATGAGTGTACACTGTTCAAATGTTTACCTGCATGTCTCCAAGGGACTTATCTGGGTACAGAGCAGTATTTAGTCGGTCGAAGATTGTCATGGGTTCGAACATTTGGGGGGGGGGGGGGGGGGGGGGGGGTTCGAGCAGATGGATCTGCAACGCCCTGAGGCAACAGCTCTCATCCCATGCATGTAAAGTTCAAGCAAATGGTTCTCCAGGGGACTATGTACTTGGAAGCAAGGCAAGCAAAGTTGATCTGTAGCTAAGAGGAAATAAGCAATCCAAAGGAACGGTTGAGTTTAGACGCTACGGGAACTAGTACTAGCGCATCCACCTGTGAGAGATCCTCGAAGGACATATTTGCAGTTGACTTAGATGAAGATCTCCAAGTAACTCGCATCTGCACTGCACCTCTGCTGTCAACTAAGTTGAAATGCATTAACCGGTTGCCGACCAGCTGTATGAGCGGGTCGAGAGCAGAAACGTAACCAGCACATCGAATTAATGCCGACGCCCCTGGAAACGCCACCAGCGATGTTGATTAGCCCATTTCATGATAGCCTGGTCAGGCGTGCCGCCTTCAACCATGACTCGTAAGGACTATATGTTGCCGCCTTGGACCGCCAGCATAGCGAACCACCGGCCGGTTTCTCACAGATCGCCGTCACTCATTTCAGTCTCTCGTTAGCGTTTGCACACAAATTCAGTAACTCACCACCGTCAACAAGCTCTCCGTCCAACCACACAACACCACACAACCCGTTCACAGTACTCAACATGATCTCCGCACTCATCCTCTCAACCATGCTCGGCATAGTCGCAGCCCAGCAAGATCACACCCTCACCGTTCCTCTAATCGGCGGCGACGCAGACACAGTCGCCGCATCCGTCGTTAGCGCCAACAGCGCTGCCACCACCCTCGCCCTGGCCTGCATCTCCACCGAGTGCGGTCTGTTCCCCGCGCACACCCTCGTTGTCGGCCCTTCGACATACAATGTCGACATGTCGGATCCCAACACCGATTTCACGGCAACCCAGGACTGTGTCATCGCGTCCAGCAGCGCGGTGTGCAAGGAGACGGCGGGCGGCAGCGAGGCGAACTTCCCGGGCTCGAGTACTACCACGTATGAGGGCACTGAGGTGGGAAGGTTGACGGTCACGGTTACAGCGGGCGAGGAGAAGCTGGCGTCGATGGGGCCGGGTGTGAGTGAGTCGGCGGCGGCGTCGCAGACCAGCTCGCAAAGTGCGGCGGGGAGTGCGACGCCGAGTGTTACGCCTGCGCCGGGGTCGGGAAGTGCTACTGCGTCTTCTAGTGCGTCGAGGACGGGCTCGGCGGCTACGCAGGCTTCTACTGGTGGTGCGGTGGTGAATGGTATGCTGTTCGGAGGAGGATTTGTTGGCGCTGCAGCGGGTGTGTTTGGTGGTCTGCTACTTTAGAGGTATGTGGTGAGCAATAGATATCTTTTGATACTGCAAAGGTGAGGCCAAAGGGCCATTGTACCATACTGTAGACTATAGAAATATATCATGAGTGCGATCCATCAATGCGGAGCTTGCATAACTCTTTGCCTTTTGTAATTATGGTGCTGAATATCTCCATTTAGATGCTTCGATGTTTTGACGCCTGTAAAGATGCAGCGACTTGACATAGTTTCTTATGCTCATCTTTGACGCGAGTGAGCCTTTGAGTGGTCTCCCTTCACTTCAACATAATAGTTGGCGCGTTGACACTTCACTCATCATGGCAGGGTATCCCCACCAGGGACCGTTTGCGAGCTGTCAGCTCTTATTGTCAGCCAACGCTTCGCCTGCAACTCTACCCGCAACATCACCTGCCTGTTTCCAAAGAACTTTTGTTCAGCATGAAGTTCACTCTCCTACTGGGCGTGGTCTTCCTATTCAGCTTTGTTGTTGCACTTACGGTACCTCAGTCGGCCTCTTCAATCGGCGGCAAAGACGATCACTCGTTCAACTTTACCACTCTGGTCGATGTCGGTGCTGATTGGACAGACGATGTAACAACTACTGCCAACGATGAGCAAAAGTGGGCGTCCAACGTCGCGAGGGGCAGGAAGCTACTTGCAGCCATGAAGGGCACTGATGCCGAAGCTGCCGCTATCTGGAAGATGGAGGGCACCGCGAAGAGTAGCTTTGATGGCGACCTCAAGACCGAGATGAAGCAGTGGGGCTGGAACGATAACCCAGACAAACAGAAGAAAGCGCTCGATCCTCAGTGCGACGTTGCTGTCTACCATAAGATCGGACGCGCCTTCGAGGAGCTGGGTTTAGGAACGAAGTCCAAGAACGCCGGCGGACCGAATGAGTGCTTCATAGCCGAGCACTGGAGCGGTCCTACAATCAAGAAGAACCTTCTTGGTAAACTGCCTAAGCCGGAGGACCAAAAGTACAAAGCCTGCGACGGAAACAAGTACAGAGTGAGTTCCACCTTAATTCCCGTCAGAAAATAACAGCACATTGACGCATTCCAGGTCACCAAAGGCTACTATTGCATCGGCATCAACGCCCCAGGCGGTGCCATCCTAGCCCTCGACCGCAAATCGCCCGCTCACGGCGCCGCACAGCTCTGGGGCCGCACGCCCGAGGATCGCGAACTACCTCACATCCGCTCTTCCTCAGACGTGACGTGGGCATTCTGGAACCGCGCGACCGCCGGCGGCGACATCACGAACATCAAGTACTTCTTCAACTGCCTGATCGTGAACCCAGAGACACAGGACTTGATCCGGCAGGCGCACGAGAAGATGACGCCGCCGAGGAGTGCGCCGGGGATGTGGCCTGGTACGGAGTTTAGCATGGATAGTGAGCAGGGGCTTGCGCTGCTTGGTGAGTGGTGTCGGTATATCTTGCTAGAATTGACATGCTGATTGTGTCTAGGCTCTCCTTTGGGTCGATCTCATGGCTTCTTCCTTATTCAGCACAAGGAGAAGCTCGGTAGGTCGAAGTTCATATCCAAGGCTCGTGTGTTCAAGAGTGACGCGATGAGCATGCCGTACATAGTATTCTACGTGCAGAGTGCTGTTGCGGGCGCAAGGAACACCTCTTGAACCTCAGATATGGCGCGATCGATATCTGAAATGAGATCCAGTCTTGATCACTCTCGGTTCCTGACTCTAGCCTATGCGCCAATGCTTTGAGGCTGTCATGTATACTACTATTATGTCTAGCAATGATTTCGGCAGGCGTGGGTAGCTTTTTCGTGCAGAAGAAATCGGAAACATGGTCAATCAGCAATCCCGCGATCTCCAAGAAAACCGTATGACCAGTCTCGACGTAACGTTTGATGCTGAGTCTCAGTGGCGTAGACCTATGAGGAGGTCCAGAGTCTGGCTTTATGCCTGTAATGTAGAGCAATAACTGCGCGATTCTATAATTTGCAGACTCCACAGCCCACACCAGTGCAGTTCGACCCGACTTGTCTGTCAAGTTTGGACGTATGCCGCCTTGGACTGTAAGTTCGGCTATCATCGCACATGCAAATCCGTCGGCTACTTTTGCACACCATGAGAGAGCAGTTCCTCCAGAATTGTCTCGTGCATTTGGTTCATGTTTTGGATGGTGCAGTAAGAGCCGAAATGAACTGAGATCGCCCAGCTTGATAGCGAGCATGAGTGCGGTTGTACCATCGTAGGGATCGCGAGCCATGGGATCAGAACCGGCATCGAGCAACATTTTCACATAGGTTTTCCGTCCTTGATACAATGCCCAGAGGAGTAGCGTCATGCCTTCTGTGCGATCAAGTGTAGCCTTGGGATTGAAGAGGGTTGGGATGCGTTCTCCGCGATGGAAAGTAGCGTCCAGATTGGGATTCATCTTCTCCAAAACCTGTTCAACTATACACTCATTGTGCGGAAGGCATATCGTCTCGAAAAGCTCTTGTTCGACACTCACTTTGTCAGGAAGAGAGTCCAGTCCGACTTCGAATAGCTGTTTCAAGATCAGAGTGCGGCTTTCCTGGTTGACTGCGCTACGCATCGCAGATAATAGGGCCATGCGCCAGTTATGGGCATCGGTCGTCTCGATACATAGCCTTGCGATCCTATGGAAGCCTTTCGCGGCGGCGTAGCTCAATAAGCCACCTGAAACTGCCCAGATGGAAGTTGAGTTGATGATGTCCGGATGATCTTTCAAAAGTAATCGGAGGTATGGCAAATCGATACTAGCATCATCGGGATTTGCAGAGGTCATTGGTCTCCGCCTGGTAAATGTGTAGGGGTCATCGCCCGAAATCCGCTGGAACGATACGATTGTGTCAACAATGGCTTCGGAAACCGCGTAGGGATATAATTGGTGGGAAGGAACAAAATTTCGTTCTTCGTTTTCCTCGATCAAAACACATTCCAGTAGATCTGGATCTCCATATTCGCACAGAATGGTCCAGATCTGTAATTCATGCTTGAACTTGTCCTTCTTCAGAGCGAAAGTTGGACGTTGTCTCGATTGCAGCGTTGTAGAACTGCAGTCATCGAGCGCAGGTGGCAGATCGAATAAAGCGCGCGCTGCTGCGTTGTGGCCCGCATACAATGCAGCCAGTAAAGGTAGACCATAATGGCCTCCTTCACTGAGATCGAGATGACGGGATCTTTCTGGATGAAGTCTTATAAGCTCGTCTGCGCCGAACTCGCTTAGAATGTATAGGAGATGTGCATTGCTCAGAGAATCTCCACGGTCAGTGCAATACAGACTGCACCAGCCCCGCCTGTAGTGATTCTCGAACTGCGATAAGAATGAAGACTGATCCCTGTTTGTCCTTTGTGCATTGTTCGCATGGTACAACACATAGTCCACGGCGTATGTAATAAAGGATCTCTCACGTTCCACACCCTCACTTCTGAATTTGTTGTTTTGGATGACGCTGTCCAACTGTTGCAGACACAGTTTGACAAATATACTGTGTCCCGATACCTGGCAGCCATTTTCCGTTGATCGAAGCTTGTTCAGTCCGTTCTCTGTGAGGAAGAAATCTCGCACAGATTCGTGTATCCATTGGACAGTCGGCTCCTTCGACTTCGTGATTTCTGCCAGTCCCTTGGAGGCATCGAGTACGAATTTTCTCAAGTTTTCAGCGCTCAGCGATTCGGCATCGTAACATTGATCATGACCGTATGATGGATCGAAGTACGACTCGATAGCGATACGAAACTCCTCCGGCTTTAATGGTCGAGCGGCGTGTAGAATGATTTCAATGGTGATGCGAAGAAATCGCACTCTTCGTTGATCCCTTGTAAGCATGTCAACGAAGAGGTCATTTAGATTGTCCGGAATCTCTGTAAGTCGTTTCTTCAGCGCTTTGATTCTTCCGGTGTCATACTCTTTGTTCAAAACCGGAATGACTAGATGTACCCAGAGGAAGATTCCAGATGCCTTGCGCAGAATCTCGGCTCTGACATCCTCAAATTGCGAGACGTGATCGATCCTCAAGTTTGCATCGATATAAAGAGTAATGTCATTCTTATGCTCTGCTTCGTCTTCAAGCACAAGTTGCAGTCCAGTCCGAATGTTGATTTCAGGATAGTGCCGACTCGAGAAGCAAACGCGAAATTCCGCGGTCGACTCGATTTCTCCAATCTCCTCAAAGAAAGAGACCATAGCGCGAATGTCATCTTCGGGACATTCGTCTAAAGCATCTACAAAGCAGACGACTCGATGGTCCCCCAGCCTCTGAAGGCATCGAATGAAGAGCTGTCGAAGGACTTCTTCTTGCCAACCAGATTCTTCGATCAAGTTGAGCGTGGCGCCAATTTCATCCAACTCAAATGCAGCCCAGGTTTGAGGTGCTTTCTCAAGGAGCTGTAGTACCAAAGCACGATACAGGCCAGACGTTGTTTTCTCCAGACTCTCGCCTCGGGCGTTGAAGAAGAAGGAAAGAACAATGCTTTTCTTCATGGACCTCTTTGCGTGGGAGAATAGAAACTTCATCATGATAGACTTTCCCGAGCCTGGCTTCCCCTTGATCCAAAAGAAACCACGGTGCTCAGTAATTTTGTCCGCGTGTATCCAGTCAGCATATTTCGCATTCTTCAGCAACCACTGACACGTCTTAGCTTGCGCTTGCTTAAGAGTAAGCAGTCGCGCATCTCTCTGCTTGAAATGGAGGCTAGCCTTGATCACTTTGCGTTGATCATCCGAAAGCTCGAGCTTCTCTGGCGTGGTTTCATGGTTCAGGGATTGGCGTGTCTCGTGATTTCTTGCTATCTGGCTGGGTTGGGAAGGCGGCCTTGCAGCTGATACATGGTCGACGGCAGTGGCATTAGGCTGAAAGGTGTGACGATGTTGAGCTGGCTGAGGATCTAGTCAATGTTATCAGTACTCGGCTTTGGATTCAAATGCATGCATCCATTGTTGTGTGTACTAACCGCTGCGTTGACTGACTTCACTGTCTGCTGTCTGTATGTCTGCCACCTCAGTAGGCTGTATGACTGATACAACTTCTCTTGCGTATGCGGCCGCAATGCCTGCAGCATACGCTTGCCAACGATCATTCTTGTGTGTGTCGGAGTAGTCGCAAATCCCACGGATGACGAGGCATGGAAAGGTGTTCATCAGCCCCGCAGCTTCCATTTCGAAGCAGAGGACACCGCCGAGCTGCGCGCTAGCAATGTCCCTTTCGGTGGCATTCTTCATCACTCGATTCCCCGATGCGACTGTCCCAAAATGCACGACGACTTCCTCCCCGTCCATTCGTGGCTGTCTTGTCTCGATCCTGTCTGCGCTGCACTTGACGCACGTCTGGCTGTGTGGGTCCTCGTGCTCATACGCTGCGTGGAACAAAACGTCCTGCCCTGCCCTGCTTCGTCGAAACTTCGTTCCTTCCAACTTCTGGGCGTGCGCAAGAAACCCGCTCTTTCCAAGCCATTCATCCGCCTGAATCGCCGCTAGAGCATTGAGTAACGTCTGCGGCGGAGAATTGAGTGAGCCCGTCCGCAGGAAGCCATCGCTCGTCGTCTTTCCCATGTCATACTGCACCACTCCGCCAAACGTGCCGGCAGGCTGACTAACTACTACGTCCCCAAGTCTGATGTCGGAATGGGTGCTGGGAACCCCACCACCGATGCCCACCATCAGACCGAACCGAATCTTCTTAAACGTGGCTAACATCTGCGTCGCTACAACCGCAGCTGAATTGTTCCCAGTCTGGCCAGCTGGCAGACACCCAATAACCACGTTGTGTCCATTGATCGAGCCGAAGACGTACAGATTCCCGTGGTTGTCCGACGGGTCGCGTGGGAGGTCGGGGTGCTTCGCGTCAAGCATGAGCTGCGCTGCCGCCAGCTCGACAGGCAGAGCACACACCCATCCTACGGTGTAGTCTGTGCAGCGAAGCTGGCGCTGCATGTGCAAGAAGGTGGTGATCGGTAGCTCATAGAGGGAAGAATCGAGATGCAAGACGACGCCTCGCAGCCTGGCGGTTTTCAGCCCCTCAGCCTTGTCATTTCGCTGCGCCTCTGCAGGATGGGATTCGTCGAATGTAGACAAAACGCCGCTGACGCATGCGACTATGAACCGAATCTCGCTAATTGGACGCGCATGCGCCGTGTCACGCAGCGCGAGACAGAGGGTGAGTCCGGTCAGTGAGGCTGCGTGCAGCTAACTACACCAGCCCAGTCCCTTGCGTAGGACGTAGCACACTCGACACAAATATTTCAATGCAACCGCTGGAAGTACTGCATTTTAGTACGTTACATGCACACAGTCAGATCAGCAACTAAGCGAGCGCAGCAGCAGGAGCATGGGTGCTGGAAGCGAAGACGGGAGATCATCTGAATGTGAGCAGCCCTGTCCGGCGTAGATCTGTCCGGCGTAGATCTTCTAACAAATCACAGCATACTGCCTCGACCTATGAATACATGTACTGTTCGGATTAGCAGAGTAATAGACTGTCCTAATGTTGTTGCAGATTGATCGAAGAGGACGTCTACACTGTGGATACAACCCCAGCACCAGAACTCGTGACAGCATTTCAGATTCCCAGCCATTTGCTCACGCATGTGTATCGGCGCTCGAACGGCTTCTTTGGATCTGGAGAATCCTTTGATGCAAATGGCAAACTCCAATCCCACAGCACGTAAAGCCGTCGCGACTCCAGCAGCTGCTGACCACAGCAGATACATGGTTCCGCTTCCTGGTCAAGATGACCGCCCCGGATTCCAAGTCGAGCTACACCTGGCACGAGATGACTTTCTTCTCGCGCTGGACTCCGAACGGGTGCAGAATGCTCTGCATTGGCGTACCCTCTCTGTTCACAACACTCCTCCAGGACTCGCTGTCACGCATGAACACCCCACAACCCCCGACCGAGCCCTACTCGCTCCACGTACCTGTGCTGGAAGCCATAGTAGCCATGCAGGATCTGTCTCTCTGGTCGATGCGCGACATCGTCCGGGGTATTGAGAAGGTGAGTCCATCGATCAAAACGGACAACAAGAGCCAACACCACTAACACCCCAGACCCGCGCCCTCGCCCTCCGCGGCCCCGAAGCTTTCCTGCCCATGCACGAAGGCGCGCGCCACGCCATCCACGCCTTCGAAGTGCTCAGCGTCTCCGTCCAAACCGGCGAAGCCCTGCAGCAGAACCTGGCCCAGCTGCGCCCTGATCCACGTTCCAGACGCTCGAGTGCCCTGGTACCACACGTCGCCTTCCAGCTGCAGATGCTGCGCAACTTGCTGTCGCGGTCGCAGTCGAACAAGGAAAGGCTGCAGAACGAGGTTGCTCAGGTACGTTGCGTTGTTCTACTGCCTGCTCCGTGGTGGGAGAGTGGAATGGAGATCATGTGTGTGGAGCACAGTGCTAACAGGTGATGGTAGGCGCATAACATGATTGCCCAGCGGGATAGCCAGACCATGACGAAGCTGGGGGAGGCGGCGAAGCGGGACAGCGGCGCGATGCGGACGGTTGCGGTGGTAACGATGGCGTTTCTGCCGCCTACGTTTCTGTCGGTGAGTGGAATCAAATTGCTTTGCTCTTTTCTTAGGGCTTCGATTTTCTCTCATCTCCCGGTGTTCCCTTGGCTTGTTTTTTCTCACACCTCCACCCCCTACATCTCTTCTCTTACTCCTTCTCAATACTTGTCTGAATATTTCCCCCTTCATACTTTCCCTCACACACTCTCCCTCACACACTCTCCCTCACACACTCTCCCTCACACACTCTCCCCCGCCCCTCCCAACAACGAGCATCCAACTAACCCACCCAGGCCATATTCAGCATGTCCTTCTTCAACTACACCCCCCCGCCGGCCAGCAGCGGCTGGAGCGTGTCGAGCAGCGTGTGGATATATTTCTTGTGCGCGGTGCCGCTGACGCTGGGTACGCTGGGGGTGTGGTTCTGGGGCGCGTGGGTGGGGCGGTGGATGCGGCGGGTGGCGGGGGGCAAGGCATGAGTGTGTTGAGGTGTGTTGTATGTTCGTTATTCTCTGCGCAGTGGATTCGAGATACGAACGCTCTAAATGCGGGATGTTTCGTGCTATCGTACAGTCTATACCACATACACTCATATACACCATCATATACACTCATGCCCTCATTCAGCCCCACCCTATCCTACACTCATCACCCCTGCCCCTCTCTCTCTTTCTCTCTCTCTCTCAGATAATAGCCCCCTAAATCAGCGCCTCCCCCCTAAACATAGCCTCCCGCACCTCCCTCACCACATCCGCCCGGTCGCCCGCGCCCAGCAGCACAATGCCCCTCCCGCGGCGCCCCATGCGCCCCGTGCGGCCCAGGCGGTGGATGAAGTCGATGGTGGTGTGCGGGACGTCGTACAGAATCACGTGGCGCACGGCGACGGTGTCGATGCCGCGCGAGCCGAGGTCGGTGGTGACGATGACTTTGGTGTTGGGCAGGGCGCGGGGTGGTTTGCTGGCGGAGCCGTGGGCGTCGGCGTCGGCGTCGGCGGAGGAAGAAGACTCGGAGTCGCCTTTGAAGCTCGCGCTCTCGCTCCCGTCCACGAAGCTGCCCAGCGCGCGCGCCTGCCGCACGGGATCCGTGTCGCGGTGGAACGCGAGCGCGTCGATGCCCTTGCTCGCCAGATACGCGGCCACGCGCTCCGTGTCCTCGCGCTCGTTGACAAAGACCAGGATGCGCTTCGTGGGCACGCGCTCGCGGTCTGCGTCGCCAGCGTCGGGGTCCGCGTCGTTGTACTCGGCGGCGGCGCGGCCGATCTGCCAGATGGCGTCGGCGCACGCGAGGTTCTTGTTGCCGCGGTAGGGCTCCTTGTTCACGTCGACGACGCCGAGCTGGACGCGGCGCGGGATGGCGTGCAGGTTCGGGGTCACGAGGCGGGTGATGTCCGGGAACTTGGTGTTGAGGTACTTGTCGAGGTATTTCGGGATGGTGGCGGAGCACAGGACGAGTTTCTTGAGGGATGGGGTGGCGCGCTCGAGGAGTGCGAGCGTCGAGGGCTGGAAGGATCGGTCGAAGAGCGAGTCCGCTTCGTCGCAGATCAGGTGGGTCACGCGGGCGAGGATGTTGGGGGTGGATTCGGCGATGGAGGCGAGCAGCGGCGGGGTGCTGATGACCACGTCGACGCCGGCGGGGCTGAAGAGGCGGTTGCGGATGACGGTGGCGCTCATTTTGGCGCTGATGGGGGCGGCGCGGAATTTGATGGTGTGGGAGAGCGACTTGGCGACGGCGCCGACCTGGGCGACGAGCTCGGCAGAGGGGACGAGGATGATGGCGCGCGGGCGGGCGGGGTCGACAGACTTGTTGAGGCCGGGCTCGGGGGCGTCGAACATGTCGTTGCGCTTGGTGGGCGGGGCGGCGTCGGTGGCGGCGGCTTTGGCGGCCTCCTCGTCCTCCAGGCGCTCGTCGAGCTCCTCGCGCTTGATGGCGTCGAGGGTGGGCAGCAGGTAGGCGAGGGTCTTGCCGGAGCCGGTCTCGGCGGCGAGCAGGAAGGCGTCGGGGCCGGACGAGGGCTTGGGGGCGGCGCGTGTGCGCTTCTCCTTGCGCAGGCCGAGCAGGGCGGGGATGGCGACGGCCTGGGCGGGGGTCGGGTTGCGGTACTCGAGGTCGGGCAGGGCGTCCTTGACGGCGGCCTGGACTTGGTCGAGCAGCGGGAACTTGTCGAAGGCGTCGTAGTGGTCCAGCTGGCCCTTGACGGCCTTGCGCGAGGCCCACGGGATCTCGTGCAGCGAGCGCTGCATCTTCAGCGCGTGGAAGGCGTCGGGCTTGGTGCGCCGCTTGTCGCTGTCGCGGCCGCGCGGGTTGCGCGAGCGGTCGCCGCGGTCACCATCTGCGCCTGCGTCTGCGTCTGCGTCTCGGCGGGTGGCGCGCGCGCGCTCGCGCTCCAGCATGGGCGGGGCGCGAGTCTTATTGAGGAACGAGTACGGCTCGCGCGGCTTGCGCTTGGGCGTGTCCGCGCGGTCGACCGACCCCGACAGCTGCAGCGTGTCGCGGCCGTACGTGGGCCGCTGGCGCGAGCGCTCTGCATCGTCGCGGTCGCGGCCACGGGGGGCGCCCAGACGGGTGTTGAACGAGGCGCCGGTGCGCTGCGGGCGGCTGTCTCGGGGCGGCGGGCGCGAGCGCGGGGGCAGCGAGGAACGGTCGCGGTCGCGGTCGTTGCGGTCGCCACGGGTGCGGTCGCTGCGGTCGCTGCGGTCATTCCGGGGCCGGTCGCTGCGTTCGTGGACCTGCGTGTAGAGGCGGGCGTGGGCGGTCACGGGACCCAGCAGCGAGCGCGCCTCGCACAGCGCGCACACTCTCGTAGCCTGGCGCAGCATCTTCAGTTGGCAGACGGCAGACTCGTCTGACGTCGAGTCGCAGAATCCTCGGGAACTTTTTTGGCGGCCGCGGGCCCATCACACCTCTACTAACTATAACTAGACCTAGCGCTAGCGGCACGGGTCTGCGAACGGTCGCATGGTGAATCGGCGTTTCCCTGGCAACTCCTCCACATGATGTTGACAACCTGCCTTGATTGACCCCGGCTGATCCTGGGCCACTACAAGTGCCTTATCTCGGCGGCACAGCCCATCCTTTCCTCTTGCCCTCGACACCAACAGAGCGCCGTGCTGCATCTGCCTTCGCTTCTTGCTCGCTGTGGAGCGTATCCTTATCGATTGTAATTCGCGTCTTTGTTGACGTTGCCGTCGCGCCGCACGCGCCCACGCCTTGAGGGCGCCATTCTTCACAACATTCCAGCTGCCCCTCCGCCGCTGTCCACCATGTCTCGCAACGAAGCCGTAAGTCCGACCCAGACGCTTGATGTGTCGTCCATGCCCCCGCGCCCGACGTCATCGCTGACCGCCCAGGTATCGCCGCTGCGCATCAACAAAACACCGACTGCCTCGCCCGGGAAAGGCAGTCGCCCGCTCTCTGAGATCGGGTCGGGTGAGCGCCGACGCAACTCTCCCAGCTTCGACCAGACAACAAAGGTATGTGCCCATTGTTCTCGCGTGCCTTGCCTCGTGCGACGCAGCCTGACGCCGCCAGCGCATGTATCTTGCCAAAGACACCTCCCCCTTTAGCTCGTCGCCCTTCCAAAACAGCCCGCGCCTGTTTTGGAAGGAGCAGACGCACTCGCCGCGTGAGCGCTTTGAGAACTCGGAAAACAGCCTCAACGAGGACGCCCAGCTGCCCATGTCGCCCAAGCGCAGCAGCATTGAGAACCTCAAGAAGCAGGCCCGCGTCAAGAACAGCGGCATCTTCGCCAAGGAGCAGATGCACGCCTACGACCCCACATTAGTACAGCCACTGGACCGACCACTGGCCTCTGGCCGCCCGCTGAGCACCCACATCCAGGGCAACGCCTTCGGGGGCGCCGGCCTCCACGGACTGCGCCAGCACAGCGCCTCGCCCGACAAGAACCGCCGCCGTGGTGACAGCATCAATAGCCCCATGCTCCCCTCCATCCAGACATCGCCCGCAAAGCTGCCCACGCAGTCCTCCTTCGCCTCGCCCTTCTCCTCGCCCACCAAGGACCGCCCCTCGTCGTCAGCCGGCCGCCCCTCGTCATCAGCTGGCCGCGCCTCCCCCACCAAGTCCTCTCTGGTCAACAACGGCCGCTTCAACTCGCCTCAGTACAACCAGGACTCGAGCGTGCTCTCATCAGACGACGAGATGAAACACCAGACCCCGCGCGCCCTGCGCCGCCACGCAAAAAGTGTGACCTTCGATGCTGCCCCCCCTACCATCACAGAGTACGAGCTGGTTACACCCGACCCGTCAATGGCCTCCGGCTCGCGGGCCGGGAGCTACGATGAGAGCGACGAGGAAGACGAAGGCAGCTTCGACCAGGACGACAGCTTTGACGCCTCGCTGGAGGACACCGAGAAGACGCCTGTTGTTCTTCCTGAGGACTGGCGCCACGTGAGCCCGGACAACGCAAACTCATCCGTGACCGACACCTACGACGACGTCTTCGACGGACGCGACACTAGCCCAGCGCCGGTCGCCCAGCCTAATGGGGCTTCCCCCAGCTCGCGCCGCGGCTCAGAAGGTTCTCCAAGGCCACTACCACCTCTTCCTGGCATGGGCCTGAGCCGACCGGACTCGACCACTGGCGAGCGGTCGCTGCCACCGCTGCCCCCGGTTTCGGGCTTCTCCAAGGCCGATCTCATGAGCAGGCGCGAGAGCTCCATGTCGCTGGAGGACAGGCTGCGCCTCATGAACTATGACGGTGATCGCGACACCTCCACGCCTACCCAGGAGAACCACCGCGACGACGTGGGAGTCCACGTGGATGAGCTTGATGACGGCGCATCGATTCTGACGGCCGACAACGAGCAAGACGCTTGCATCCCTCGCATCTCGCGTGAGTCCATCTTGCGCAGGGTGAAGAGCCAGAACTTCGACGACCGCGAGGACATCTACCCTTACGACGCCGAGTCGAGCCCTGGACGCAGCTACGGCGAGCTGGCGGACCTGGATCCTGATGTGCCCATCCCCTCCCGCGAGTGTTCGTCCAACTTCGATGAGACCGCCCACCAGGTTGTTCGCGAGTCCGAGGCCGACAGCGTTGTGGATGCCTACCAGGATGTAGACGTCGACGGCTCCGCCATCTCCGACCTCGACGATGACGAAATCGATCCTTACAGTCAGGACTTCGAGCGCGAGGGATCTGACAGCTCCGTCATCCGCCACCCCGTCAGAGACGACAGCGACGAGCCGGAGCTTGCTGAAGACGACATCAGTATCAGCCAATACTCAGACCATGCGGATGAGGAGCAGTACAGTGACCCCGAGCCGGTTCCAGTTTCAGCACCGGTTCCAGTGCCAGCACCGGTTGTCGAGCTGGCTGAGGAGCATCCTGAGACACAAGACACCATCGACAGCTCTGGTCCACCAACACCCACAGTCGTCGCCGAATCCCCGTCTGCGGCCGAAAGGAAGGCTCGCCAGAACGAGCTGTTCGCCAACTTTGACCGGGAGCAGTCGATGGACCTCAGTCTCGACCCGCTCAAGGCCTCTTTCGCAACAGCTCCAAGCCCTCTCGACACTGCACCCAAGTTGGAAGCCATGCGCGACTTCCTCGAGCGTCCTGGCACGCCCGATGCCGAGGAGGATGAAGAGGAAGACTATGTCGGCAGCCCTGAATCGACCTTCCGCGCTCCAGTCGTCATCTCGCCTCCTGACATTGATTCTGACCAAGAAATTCCCCAGCGCGAAGCCACCATCCGGGGTACTGGCCAACACAAGCTGAGAACTCGCCCGTCCCTCATCCCCGGCGAGATCGACATGGCAGCCACCCGCCGACAGGTCAGCGGCACCTTCCCCCCGCCTGTGCCTGAGAAGAGCAACAAGCGCCAATCTCTCAACTTTGAGATTGGACACGTCGACGACGACTCCTCTCAGCTCAGTATTGGCACCATGGAGAGGCGGATGCTGGATTTGGATCTGGGTGAAGACGAGAACGAACTGAGCTTTGGGCTTGACAACGAGTTCGACAAGATTATCGAATCTCAAAAGGTACACTCCCTTTTCCCTTTACCCGACTTTGCTCAATTCCCATCCACGCGGTCACACGCGACTCATACGTTGGAAGGGTTTGTGTCGAAGTACAGTCCCGCTAACACGCCTGAACAGAAGGGTTACATGATGCGAGAAAACAAGAAGGTTGTGGTTGCCAGCAGCCGACAGTTCAGTGATGAGGCGCGTCTGGCCGAGACCCCCGCTGCTATTGATCCTACCACTGGTGAGAAGCTCGCCAAGGCGCCCGCCCGCAAGATCAGTGGAAGCAAGCAGGCATGGACAACAGAACCGTGGAACGGCAAGGCTCGCCGCAAGAGTCTTCGAACTGCATCCGGTAGTCGCAAGGCCCCCCGCACGTCCAATGTTGCTCCTCCTCTTCCAGGCCAGGAATCTGCCGTGACTTCTGGTCTCGATGCTGTCAATGAGCAAGGTGACGAGGAGCTGGACGACGGCGAGGAGCGCGGTCGCGTATTCGTCAAGGTGGTTGGTGTCAAGGATCTCGACCTCCCCTTGCCCAAGAGTAAGCCTTCCAAGACTGTGAGTAATCCAACGCTAACCTCATTATAGACGAACGCACATGGTTTCAACTGACGCTAGACAACGGTCTTCACTGTGTCACGACATCATGGCTGGAGCTGGGGCACTCTGCTCCAATCGGGCAGGAGTTCGAGCTTGTTGTTCTCGACGACCTCGAGTTCCAACTCACCCTTCAGACAAAGCTTGAGCCTCCGGCACGTCAACCGGAGGTGTTCACAGCACCACCCCCGAAGGCTGTCACTAAGAAGACGTCTGGCTCTACTTTCCGCAGCCTGCTGTCTTCTCCCAAGAAGCGCAAGGAGCAGGAGCGACGCGCCCAGGAGGAGGCCGACCGTGCTGCCCTCCAGCAGCAACAAGAGGCCCAGGCCGCAGCCAAGCGCAACAAGAAGGCCACCGCGTGGGATCTCCTGCACGATCTCGTCGGCCAGGACGGTTCGTTCGCTAGGGCCTATGTCTGTCTCGGCAACTACGAGAACCAGGCCTACGGCCGTCCCCTGACTGTCGACATCCCCTGCTTCAACGAGTGGGCTGTTGATGACAGCGGTGTTAGCAGCGTCAAGAGCAAGCGCGGCGGTGTTGTCCGACGACCTCCTTACCGAGTCGGCAAGCTTACTGTCCAGCTTCTCTACGTCCCCAAGCCAAAGAACGCGACCGACGACGACATGCCCAAGAGCCTGAACGCTTGCATCCGCGAGCTCAAGGAGGCGGAGGAGGTGAAGAGCAAGACCTGGGAGGGTTTCCTCAGCCAGCAGGGTGGTGACTGCCCATTCTGGCGCCGTCGCTTCTTCCGTCTGAACGGGACCAAGCTGACGGCGTTCCACGAGACAACGCTGCAGCCACGTGCGACCATCAATCTCGCAAAGGCCACCAAGTTGATGGACGACAAGAGCGCGCTCAAGCAGCCATCGGCCACGAAGAGCGGCGGCCGTCGCAAGTCGGCGTTTGCCGAAGATGAGGAGGGCTACATGTTCGTCGAAGAAGGTTTCCGCATCCGTTTCGCCAACGCCGAGGTCATCGACTTCTACGCCGACAGCCGCGAGCAGAAGGAGGAATGGATGAAGGTGTTCTCCGAGTGCGTTGGGAAAGACATTGCCTCCGGCAAGGCGTGGACCCACATGGTGCTCGAGAAGGAGCGCGCAGAGAAGGCACAGAAGCCAAAGTCCCAGAGCGGAGCACCTGTGCTCGACACCAGCCGTCGACCCTCCCACGGCCGCACGCAGTCGCATGAGGTGTACAGCAAATCAAACCCGTCGAGCCCTGCCGTGCCATCGCACGCGCGGACACAGTCGTTCGCGCCCACACCGCCACCCAAGGAGCGCGACCCTCGCATGGCGCCTGCGCCTGCACCGCGCCCAAGGCCGCAGACACAGGTGCAGCCCGCCACGGGCAGCAACAGCCGCCGAGACCAGGTTCGATCGATGATCTTCTAAGCACATCCTGCACACAGCATCGATACTCCATCGCTACGCTTCCTCTTGGATATTCACTTACATGCTTCTTCGCTTCCTGTAGGTTCTACGCAGACTCCGCCTGCGGTTCGCGCGCCGCCTGCGCCGCCGAGGTGCTGTGCACTCGGCGTCGCTTGTGTAGGGCCTGTGGCTCGACGCCTGTTTTGCTGTCCCGGTTTCCTGGTGCGAGTCGAGACAAAAGCCCCCTCGGGGGATGTTGATGTCGGGGCGTTTCTTACTATACCTGTTTACTCCATCCCCGCAGCTGTTTCTCTTTCTTTGGACACGTGGTTTTGTGTTTTGCGTTCTGTTTGGGCGGATTTAGTATTGTTTGGCGTTTTGGGTGTGCGGCAGGGCGGGTGGGAACGCATCGATGTGTAATGCAGCGAGGTCACGACTACGGCTTTTCTGGTTAATGATGCTGATGCTGATGCTGATGCCGGGATGAGGCGCGTTTAGAGGCGAGGTGAGGAGTGAAGGGAAGGAAAGAAAGGGTGAGGGGAGAATATACGAGTTCACCCACTGCTGCCGTCTCGACTTGCTTATAAGTGATGTGCTGGTATCACGACCATGTAATGTACTGACGTGATGAACCGGTGATACATTCTCCTCGCTCGCACACCCCGACCGCCGCACTCCCAGATTCGCGATCGTATTATGGAAAGGATCGAGGCCCTTGGAAAGAATGTAGTAGTTTGCTCTCGAGAGAGCTCTTGCTACCTCAAAGTGTTCACATTCCAACGCCAATCTCAGTGCACTCCATCACTATTGATTCCAGCCACGGCTCGAAGGTGCCCTGTACATAACCCCTCCCGAAGCACGGTTCCATGCAACTAGACCCCGCAACGTGCCCCCCCCCCCCCCCCCCCCCCCCCCCCTCCTCTACTACCCTGTACATTCACGTTGGCATTTATGTTCATAACCTGTTGTTGATTGGAGATTGTAAGCAATTAGGTAAAATCTCGTTAAGATAGAATAGATCTAGAGTAGTTGAGTAGATCAATAAAGGTTTCTGCTTTTGTTAGGGTGTTGTAACTACGTATATACAGTCTGTCGTAGTGTTTGGTGAGAGTAGAGTGATGAGTTGTTTGGTGGTTGTTATGGATACGGATGGGTGGGGGTGGGGGATGTTAACTCGGACTAGGTGATTGCGTGCGTGTCTTGGTGCTTGTGAGAATATGTGGATTACTGTAGCTAGAAAACAGAGGTGTGCTTATAGGTAGTAAGGGCCTGGTTAGATGTCCTGCACAGCAACAACGCGGGATTTAATTAATAATAGGATAGTTTGTAAATTGCTACTATAGTACGTACCTACATTGTCCCACGGTTGTAAGGGTCTGCACAAAGCGCCAACAATTACAGGGGTGTAGTATGAACTGCAACCGAGTAGAAACAACCCCAAACAAACCCAAACAAACACACTCTGCCTGATATGCGAATGCCTTGAGAACGACTACTTTGGATGCGCCGAGGAAGACCACACGTTCCCTCTTGATCGGCAGGGAGAGAATGTCATGTCGTGAGCACAAGCCGACTACCAGCATCTAGACGTGTTGAGTGTGGGGAAGCATGTGTAAGTCGAGATGCGGAGCGCACCGGGCGCGAACAGGGATCGTAACGGACATTTAATATACATCACAGTGTCTATTTGCATCGAGATCCACGTTTAATATTTCCGTGCCTTGTGCGTTTAGAGTTGTTGAGTCAGAAATAGGGTATATGTATGCATCACTCCCCCCCCCCCTCATCCAGCCCCTCCACGCTACACGCTACACGCTACACGCTACACGCTACACGTCCTCCCTCCGTACTGGAAACGGCACGGGAGCCGTCCGCGGCACCGGCGGCACCGGCGGCAGCCGCCGCACCACCCCCGGCGCCCCGAGGCCCAGCACCATCCCGTCATCGACCACCGCCTCCGCCACCGCAACCGCAGTCCCCGGCTCCTTGCCTGCTGTAGATGCGACGCTGAGCGTCTCCATGGCGATATCGTCGCCGTAGAACTCCCTCGGGGCCTGTGCCGACGGGCGCCGCGCCGCCTCGCTCGGGCTAGAGTGCGCGTCCGCGGTAGACACCACGCCGACCACGCCGTCGATGCGCGCCAGCGCGTCCAAGTCGCACGCGCGCTCGCACCGCAGGGGCGGCAGGACCGCCGGGTCGAGGGTCGCAGCGATGCGGGCCACGGCCAGCGCGTCGAGGGTGCGCGTCCAGCCCGGGCGGCGGTACAGCGCCACCGCGCACGCCAGCAGGGCGGCGACGTGTAGCGCGAGGATGATGGACAGCACGATCTGCACGGCGAGTGACGGGGCGGGGCGGCGCGCGGTCCAGCCCTCGGCGGTGTAGAGCGTGCGGCCCGTGTCCGCGGGCCAGGGCAGGACGCCCGCGGTGTGGGAGGTGAGGGCGGCCTGGTTGGCGAGGAGGACGGCGGCGGTGATGCGGGAGGAGGTTGTTTGCGGGTTGGCGAAGGCGGAGAGCAGACTGTCGAAGGACTGGCGGAGGCCGAGCAGGTTGCGGGGGCAGTAGTAGTGGGCGACGTTGGTGGGGCGGAGTCTGACGAAGGGGGTGCGGTCGCAGAAGGGCGAGAGGAGGGCGGCTTGGTCGGTGTGCGAGGCTGCGAGTTCGTCGGTGGATTTGTTGATGGTGAGGTTGCGGACGGATTCGGCCCACGAGAGGGGACCGAAGATGGTCAGGGCCGAGGTCATCAGCGGACCGGCCATGTAGGTGTAGGTGGGTGGATCTTCAATGTTCTCCCTGGGGTCAGATACGCGGACTGCACTACCGACAAAATCGTCCCTGTGATGATCAGCCAAGTAACAATGGTGCAATCGAGGTGTGGGACAAGATGTACTTACACTTCCGACGGGATGTACGGCGGGCGACGGTCGGAAGTGGCGGTAAGTTCCTGTTCAAAGTAGTCGTGGTACTGGTATGGCACCTCGCGGCTGGGCCACTTATCCAGCAACGGACCAGCTTGGCCTCCATTGTAAAAGTTGCCGAGCTCAAAATACCCCCTGCTCGTCTGCGCCGTACAGTGTATCACCCCATCGCGCGAATCATCGCCAAAGCTCTCCGAGACGTACGTCTCCGCGTACCTGATGAACAGCTCTTCGGTGATCTCTTGACGGTTGCGACTCAGCGTCCAAGGGTATGTCCCCTGATCGCCAGGTGCGCAGACTTCCAAGGTGCCATTCCAGCGCGTTTCCCACGACTCGTAGTTGAAAGAGGCTCGAAATGGGTTGGTGCCGGTACAGGTCGAAGGGAACGCGGAGGCTGTCAGATTGGTGCATGAGACAGAGGAGTTGAGGCGCATGATGTGTTCGCGCAGGACACCTGTCGTAGTGTCGGCAGGTAGAGCGGCAATCCAGACTTGCTGGTCGGCGTTATCAAGGTTTGTGGGGATACTCGCCCCGTATTTGTCCTCCGCTTGCCACATGTATGAAATATCTGAGCCACGCGTGTATGAAGACAGATCACTGCTGATGCGCGGTATGATAGACGACGCTGAAATGATCGCCATCTGTGCTGGCTCCAGGTCAATCCCGATTGACTGAAACGCTAAGGCGGGCTCCCGGCTGAGCGCATCACAGCGTAGCATGCCGTAGTCGCGTTCTGTGATGAATCTTGTGCTCGCGCAATTCGGAATACGGACATCTTCCCACGGCACTAGAATCTGCACCAGCGGGTGTTGGATAGCACCTAACTAATCAGCACTGCCAACCCGTGTGTCTGGTCGAACTCACCAAGGAACACCGTGACCGCACCCAGCAGGAAGATCCAGTTCGCTGACTTTTCGCCATCCATGAGCGTCCGGGGAAGAGCTGCCCAGTCACACCACACCCGGTCCGCGAGAGCAAATAGCCGTCTGACGCTCATCTGCTGGCCGGCATGTCTCCTTTGGGCGAATAGCACTGCCACTTGCGCAATGACCGACGAAGTGACACTGATAGCAAAAATCGCTGCAAAGACGTTCATGATCGGTATCGCCTTCGCCCATCCCTGCATGACCTTATAGTCCTTGTACGAGAAGCCTGGTCCGTAGGTCCAAGACGACTTGGTCATTGGCCGATAGACGAGAACCAGAGTAACAACCCATGGTATGACCACGAGCGGGATGTAGAAGGCCAGCAGCAAGAACGCGCGCTTATGAGTCCGCACTGTCGGCTTCTGCTTGGGATCCGGCTGAGGACGCGGCTGGACTTGGCGCACATGGTCGTTCATCTTGTCGAGCGTCTACCGAGAGGGTAGTCACGACCGTAAGACTGGGGAACCACGACATTGTAAAGCTCTTGACGGTTGTCAACTCGTACGACGGGTCTCGCCTTGCCAAGTTTGGAGGCGTAGAAACCATTTCGCTTGCGTCCCAGTTAAGCTGTTGGATGCCTTAAATTCGATATCGTTATCGCCGGTTACCCGTACTCGACTTGGCATCCCAGCCTCACCCGCGCCTGCACAGCAAGAATCCTCCGTCTTTAGACTGTGCACCATATACAAAAGCGTCCAAGTCGTTGCAAAATTGCTCTTCTACACTCTGCCTTGCGCTTAGGCGTTGTCGTGCACAAGCCTCGCCGTGCACAAGTCTTGCCATGCACGAGCCTCTTGTGTAAACAACTGCCCCTGTATGCTCTTGGCAGTCTGAGATAGAGTACCACCGCAGGTACGTCTGGGTCGCTGGGCGAAGGATCGAAGTATCTTTGACTCAGCCAATCGCTTCTCTGGACATGAATAGAGTCTCCACTCAAGCACCAGTAAGGAAGCTTCCGTTTATGTTATTGATCCCTCGGTTTTGGTCTTGCTGCTTCGGTGGCTACCTGAACGCTCCTTGTCAGTACAGGTGATGGGTGGGGTCATGTAGGATGCTCGTGGGGCAAGCATGAGGCTCGGCTTTGCAAGAGGTCGGTTCCTACATGGAATACGATGGATACAGGGGTATCTACGGAGTGTTAGACAGAAATACTCCCATGCGCAGTTGTCGCTTCTGGGCCGCAACACAGGAGTTGAACAGAGTCAGGATGCTCGTGGGGCAGACACGAAGCTGAGCTTTGGTGAGCGATTGCAACGCAGACGACGGCATGAGATTGGCTCTTGCATGAAAGACGGTGAATATCAGGGTATCTACAGAATGTTAGTGGGGTGGCAAAGACACACGTACTCTTACAAAGCGCTCCTCCAACCCTAGCCCTCAGCGACTCCGCAGCTCACCACCCCCCAAAGCGCCTCTCGCCCCCGCCAAAGCCCCCAAACGCGCCCTTGAAGCTCTCAAAACTCTGCCCCGTCCCTGCGCACTCGCTCATATCAGCCTGCTCGTGCGCCTTGGGTAGCCACTCCCTGATCTTCTCCTCGCGATTGTGGTTGCTAGGGTGCGTGCTCAGGATCTGCGGCGGACCGTGCTGACCGGATTTCTCCATGCGAGCCCAGAACTCCATTGCGGCTTCGGGGCGGTAGCAGGCCTGGGCCGCCATCAGTAGGCCGATGTAGTCGGCTTCGGCTTCGTGTTTGCGCGACGCGGGCATGGAGAGGAAGAGCTGCAGGATCATGTTTGCGCTGTAGAAGGAAACGTCGAAGGCGAGGGAGGCGAGGATGGGGATTAGGATGAGGGGAGCTTGGGACATGCGTTCGCTGTTGGATTTAGTGTGAGAACTCGCATGGCGCGTCTTGAAGCATGGAGTCTGAGGGAAACGTACGCGGTATGATGCGCAAGCACATGCGCAATCTCATGCCCCAGCACCGCCGCAACCCCATCCTCATCGCGACAGTGCGGCAAAATCCCCGTGAACACAAACACCTTCCCACCCGGCACCACAAACGCATTCATCTCCGGGGAATCAATGACATGAACCTCCCACTCCATCTCGGCCAGCCCGTCGCCCTCCTTGAACGCAAACGGTAGCAAGCGCTCCAGAACCCTCTTCACCAAGCGACTCCGCGGATCCGCGTCGTCCAAGAATCTGCCTGCATACTGCTGCTTGATCTCCGCGACCGTCGACTCGCCCAGCGCGGCTTCCATCTTCGTAGGGATGAAGTTGAAGCGCCGCCGCCCGGACACAGGGACCGTTTCGAGGTTGAGCACGTATACTGTGCCACCGCCGGCGGTGATTAGGCCCACGTCGCGGTAGAAGGTGGGCCGCGCGGCCCAGTTGGTGAAGAAGGAGGCGATGCCGCCGCGGGCGGAGAAGCGCTGGTACTGCGGGCGGCTGCGGCCGAAGGGGAGTTTCTGGTAGGTGCGGAAGGGCACATGGTTGAAGGTTTGTTTGGGTTGGAAGAATGTTTGCGGGAGCGCTCGGGGGCGGATGCGATGCATGGTGGTGGATGTGGGAGTGGTTGTTCGAGAGGAAGCGAACGAGTGCTGATTCTATAGGCAGCGAGAGAGTAGTAGTTCAATAGGCAGTGAGCGAGTAGTGACGTCGAAGTCCGCGGGAGTGCCAAGAAATCCGGGGAACCCTGGATACGGCAGACACAGAAAACAGTCCACTGCGTCGAAGGGACAGTGGTTCACGCTCATATTATCTACTTTTAAAGATCCGAATAATACTGTACATCGATGGAATCTACTTGCGTGCCCTTTCCAGGCCAACGCGCAATACCGACAAAGGCGCCGAAGCGCATCTCAAGAACCATATCCAGCGTTAAATCAATATGTGTGTAGATACTCCTTGCGCCGTCTTTATATGCTGCCCCCGTGTCGTGCGCCATAGTAGTCAAGAACGATTCGTGGCCACGTTCCAATTCCTCCCGCCGTCACGTCGTTGAATGTGAAAGTTACATGGTCTTCCTGGCTTTTGTCCTCCTCTTTGGTGGCGTGTCCACATCCACGCTTGTGCTCATGCTGCTGCGCTGACTCCTGGGTGTCGAATAGCGCTGCATGATGCTCTTCTTCAGCATCGTCCTCGACTTGCTGTGTTTGAGCTCGCGCTCCTCCTCCGGGTCGACGAAACGGTTGACAGTGCGGTGGTCGAGAACGCGCTCTTCTTTGTCGTGCTTGCCTTCTTTTTCTGTCTTTGGCCACCTGAAACCGTACAGCTTCGAGTGGCGCTCGCACCGCGGGCACTCTTTGCGGGTGTTGTAGCTGTCAGCTTGGACGAACATGTCGTCGCACGTCTGGCATTCAACCCATTTGCTGTACTTTGCCGAGAGACATGCGCTGCTTGTCATGTAATCGCCAGGCTTGCGCTTGTTCTGGACCCACCCCTCCGGCACATCCTCGGCTGTGAGTTCGATAGGCGTGCCGATGCGATTCTGATAGTCGTTGTTAGATTTTGAACGTGTTGTGCGTAGTGTTGGGTAGTATTTGCGTTTGATGATTTGCTCATGCTCGCTGTCAAACTCTAAGCTGTCTGACAGTTCGCTGAGTTCTGACGTGCTATCGTCGTCGGGGAAAAGAAGGGAGGGCAACGGGGCGTTTACCGTTGTCGTGGTGGATTGCGTTTTGAGCGTGGCTACGCCTAGCGTAGGATTCTCGATCAGGACTTCGGCTTCGATTTTGATCTTCGGTAGCGTTTCCGGTGAATGCTCATCATCGATGGAGGTCGCGTCAGTCGAATGTGCAGACTTGGGTGATTGTACCTGCGACAAGGGGCTCGTGCCGCGCGACGAGCTGGTTTCATCCATACTCATCGTGAGCGGCGTAAGAAGACCGTCGTGCTGCAAGTTGTGCATGTCGCGCGCAACAATCGGAGACGTCGATTCTGATTCCTCGATGCTGCTGACAGGTAGAGACGATGTGCTGTGCGCCTTTCTCAACGTCGCCTCTCGTAAATGTTCAGAAGCGCGCTGTTTCGGCTGAGGCGACCTCTTCATGAACCGGCCTTTCTTTCGCGGGGCTGGCTCCTCTGATTCTGACTTGCGCTTCTTGCTCTGCTCCTGTGGTTCGTCCTCTTCTTCTTCGTCTTCACTGTCTTCTATCCGCTTCATTGGCGCCCAGCCATTAACGCCTCGCTCCTCGCACGTTTTGCACAGACACTCTTCGTTGTTCTCGCCAAAATAGTCTTCGCCATACGACACTGTGATCTCGTCGCCTGCTTTGATTGGCTTTGCGGCGACAATCTGCATCCCATCGTAGCCCTTGGTTGAGAGGCGTGCGTTCGCGTCGCAGTCGTGATTGGCGAAGCGCGCGGGCCCCAGAAACAGCGAGCGCGTCTTCTTCCGGCTGGAGATGACGAGACTGAAGTCTTTGCGCGCCAGTTCCAGCCTCTGCTCCTGCTCTTCGGTCATGGCGACCTGGACGCCCGTGAGATACTTGATCTCCTCGCGCGGGTTGATGTTTCTTCGGGCGGTGATGGAGGCCTCGTGCTCGGTGATCATGTAGCGGTTGGTCGTAGTGACTTCGAACGGGCAATCCGGCAGGTAGATGTTGACGTATCTCTTCAGGTGTCGCTTGAACTGGTCCTGGTCTTTCTCGTCCTTCATGTTGGCCATGAACTTGCGCAAGCCGGGCAATTTGAGCAACTCCAGGACGGCCTCGGCGCAGTCCTTCTCCCAGATGGCGTACCTCCGCACGCGATCCGCGATGTCCTCCTCATGCATGCCTCGAGACGCAGCGAAGCGCCCGCCATGGTTCTTGCGAATGGTGGTCCAGTAGTAGACCTGGTGCGCCTGTCTTAGCCCAGCTGCTCTCCTGCGTGCCGCGACCGCCCGGGCGGGCTTCTGCGAGAATGCGACTCACCTTGTCGACCAGCGCGTCAGTAATCACGTCGTCGTATGAAGCCAGCTTCTCCAGCGTTAGGCCGCCCCTGACTCCTCCAATTTGGCGTGGCATGGTGCGCAAAGAGTCGCGGTAAGTCGCAGTAACAAGGACGGGTGTCTATGGCAAAGCTGACGGCAGCATAAGGCGACACGAGGCCAGGAAGCCGAAAGGGGTGGTTGGGGGCGGGTGGCAGCCAATAAGCCGCTTTCACCTGAAGGAGCGACGGCGACAAGGGACAATGGGCGCCAGAATGAAAGACAATAGCAGCACAAACGCTCCACGGGCTCACGGGCTCACGGACGGGCAGGAAGGAGCGACGGCGCACAAACGCAGCGAAGACCGGGATAGCGCACGACACTCGGCGCAAACGAGGCTGGGCTGAGTTGGGGCCGGGGCGGCAGCAGGGGGCCTGGTCCGACGCTGTGAAGCGTGGGCAAGCGAGCGCTAGCACTGCCTAGCAGACGGGAAATGGCCGGCGGCCGACGACATGCGAGGAAAGTTACGCTGGGCGGCACCACCACCAGCACACGCCGCACCGCAACCACGCCATTGCCCCGGAGGAGCCCCCACAGCCGCCCACGATGATCCAGCTGAAGGTACGCGGCCCTGCGCGCTGCAGCCGCGACGGCAACTGACGCGCGCCAGACTCTCGTCAACTGCATCGACAACTCGGGCGCCGCCATCGTCGAGTGCGTCAATGTCCTGCGATCGAAGCGCCCGGCCAAAGTCGGTACGTAGTCGCGCCACGGGGCGAGTCGGGCGGCCAGTGCTAACACGCCCAGGCGACCGCATCGTCGTCGTCGTCAAGAAGCAACGCAACTTCGGCCCCGAGACGGGCAAGAGCGTGTCGGTCAGCGCGGCGAACAAGGTGCGGAGAGGAGACGTGCGCCACGCCGTCGTCGTGCGCACCGCGAAGAAGTGGCAGCGCCCGGACGGCAGCGTCGTCAAGTTCGACGACAACGCCTGCGTGCTGATCAACAAGGCCGGCGAGCCCATCGGGTCGAGAGTCAGCGGCGTGGTGGCCGCCGAGCTGAGGCACAAGCAGTGGTCGAAGATCCTGTCGCTGGCGCCCATGCACGTCTAAGAGGGAGATGCCCATGCACGTCTAGGAGGGAGATGAAGAAACGGGGATTGCATTTTATGGAGTATAGGAGCGCAAGGCCACTGTAAAATATGTGTATGCCATTGTATCAATACCCTTGGGTATCAGAAGACTAGTTTCCGGGACTCCGCGCCGTGTGTCAAATCAAACGCCGGCCAAATGCCTGTCAAATGCCGCATAACTCATGACGTGTGCGTGACTTTACCGCAGCCGCAGCAGACGTAGTAGAGGGCCTGGAGTGTCAGGCACAGTCTCACAAGCTGAAGGTGCACTTACCATGCCCGTGATCAGGGTTCGCTGTTGCGACTGGAAGAAGACGGCCTCGTTCTCGCCGCAGGAGCACTGCTTCTGGATGCGCGGTAGCTGGCCGCAACTGTTAGCAAGCAGGTTCAAAAGAATCAGGCTAGCAACAGAGGGGTGTGCTCAGGAAAGGACGTCTTCCATGTCCTCGTCATCGAAGAAGTCATCGTCGTAGACATCATAGTCATGGTCCATGTAGAACGGCGGCTCAACGTGCGACGGCTCGTCCTCGGCCTCGAGCATGTAGCCCGGGGCCCAGTCTTCGCCGCACACGTTGCACATGATGTCTTGCCCGCACATGGTGCAGCATGTGACCTCTTTGTCCTTTTCTTCAGGGACGAAGTAGGCGACATTGTGGGCAGCATGTTGGGCAGAGTTCTGGGGAGAGGGGTCGGAGAGACCAACCGTAGGATCCTGCGCAACCTCTGCGGTGACACCAGCGGTGGCGCCCACCGTCGAGGCGATTTCGTGCCTCATGACGCACGCCGAGGGAGCCTCTTCGGTGAAGGAACATGTCCTGCAGGCGAACAGCAGCTTGTTCTCGGCCTTGTCTTCGCGGGGAAACAGCAGATTCGAGCTGCGAAAGTCAGCAGTTGGGTGCCAAGGCAGCGCGGCCGACTCACCAGTCGGAGCAAAAGCGGAAGAGGATCTGCTTGTTGGCGTCCTGCGCGTCTTTGGGGGCATAGTCAGCCTCGGCGGGGGACGACATGGCGATGTGGTGTGCGTGGCGTGGAGTGGAGTGGAGTGGAGGAGTGGAGGAGTGGTGTAGTGGTGTTGCGGTGTTGCGTTGGATTGTGTGGGCGGTGTCGTGAGGGCTGCGGATGCGCTGCGAGTGCTGCTGTGGCGCGCGGTGTTGCTGGGCCGATGGTGGCGGGACTAGGCCTGGCAAAACGCAGGCACCGGGCGCAGACAGCCTTCCCCGCATCCCAACACCAGGATACACCACGGCCAACCTCACGCGCACCCACGCTCCGCAAAACTGGTCCCTGCCCGCTCTGCACTGCGCGCTGCCCCATCACCCCCATCCGAGCCCGTCCACTGCCAATTGCAACCATGGTAAGCCGCCGCGCTGCTGGCACGCCTCGCGCGCCTGCGCCGCGGGCTCGCTGTTGTCTCTGCGCCGCTAATGCCCGCAGTCGTCGAGCGAAACTGGCCTGCCCGAGGGCTGGGAGATCCGCCGCTCCAACAGCAAGAACCTGCCCTACTACTTCCACGCCGCGACCAAGGACTCGCGGTGGGAGCCCCCCGCTGGCACCGACCCCGAGAAGCTGAAGCAGTACATGGCCGCCCACCACAGCTCCAAGGGCGTCGCGCCCGCCAACTACGCAAACTCGGGCGACAAGATCCGCGCCGCGCATCTGCTCGTCAAGCACAGAGACAGCAGGCGCCCGGCCAGCTGGCGCGAACCCAACATCACCCGGTCCAAGGAGGAGGCGCGCGAGCTCATCGACGGCTACGAGGCCCAGATCCAGGCGTACGAGGGCACCACGACTGATAACGGCGCGGAGCCCAAGTCGCTCTCGGAGCTGGCGACGACCGAGTCCGACTGCAGCAGCGCGCGAAAGGGTGGCGACCTGTACGTGCGAGCCTGATGTGTGAGGGATGCATGCTGACGCTCAACAGGGGCTTCTTCGGCCGCGGCGATATGCAGAAGGAGTTTGAAGAGGCCTCGTTTGCGCTGGAGAAGGGGCAAGTGAGCAAGGTTGTGGAGACGGCGTCCGGCCTGCACTTGATCCAGAGGTTTGCACCACTCCGCCCGGCCGACGCTGCAGCACTGACGTATCGCACAGATTGGAGTAGGCCTGCACGAGAGCGTGAGGCAGGACTACATGGACAGCACGGGTGACTTGAGTGACATGTGGTACGAATGCAGGGTGTCGCGGAGGGTGCGCTTGACAGGCAGTATGGGAACGTGGCGTAGACCCTGGCCACGGCAATGATGCCCAACAGACGACTGCTGAACCGACGCTGCGCGGAGGCTGCGCGGAGCACGCGTCGACGTGCCATACTAGCAGCTGCATCACAATGAAGTCAACGTGTCCAGCTTCGTTTGTCCACAGCCCCCCTCAGCCCTCCCTAACCGCCTCAGGCAGCCTACAGCGACCCAGACCTCTGCCACTCTGGACCTGACGACGCAAAGCCGCAACCAGCAATCAAAGTGCGGTGCCCAAGCCTAGGATGCGGGGAAACGGTAGCTCGACAACAGAACCATAGTGGGAACTCTCCCAACAGCAGGTCACCTATGGTTGCGTAGCGTCATCGCTTGTGTGACAGGGACCAACGCCGCCGCCCACATATCTCACATCAAGCCAGACGTCTGGATTGTCTCACGCGTCCCAGCAGCGAGCTTGTGGCACCACGCAGTGCGCGTCGCGCGGCCGCTTCCTGAAACGGCGCACCTCGGCCGCACTCGAGCATTGCGAAACGCACCTCAACACGACAGTGTGCATGCCTGTATACGATCTGGCGACGTGCTGCACGTTCACTGACGCCCGCCAGGGTGCAAAAGCTTGGTACGGCACCCTCATCCGTGTCCGGCATCCCGTTTGGCGCGTCCGACCCGATCTTTCCCGTGCTGAGAGTGACCTATCCCGGCTGACGTAGCGTTGGCCCGGCCGTGCCAAATCTCGCAGTACCAGCGCACAGCCATTGTCTGAAGCAGCCAAACCTGGCAAACCACTCATCGCTGCGCCTGCATAAGCAGCCCGCACTGCGCTACCTGGTTTGGGGTACGCGCGCAGTCGCACATCATTAGGTGCCGCAGCACGCGCAGCAGCTGCCTGCGCGCCGTTGACCTGGGCAGCAGGGCCAGAGTATTGGGCTGTCATCCCTGCAACCATGGAACCTGGTGTTCCGCCTCAACTTGTTGCTGAACGCGCGCGTCGCCGCATACGGAACATTTCACCGCCCGATCTGCCTTTGTGCGCTCTTCCATAGGTCGGCCCTTCCCGCTTGGCGGCACCGCCACCTTCACCCGCGGTCTTTCCGGAGAGGCTCTTGCAAGCTGCGACCTCATCCACTGATACGTCACATGGAAAATAGCGAGATCCCATCCACCAAAGAGTGGATCTTACCCACAACCACCCCGACCTCCACATTCCTTTTATTACCTGACCTCTCCCGCGCGCCAGTCTCGATTGACACCCCAACTGCGATCCCTCGCCTTGCAGCTTACAGGGCTCCGCCCAGCTCATACTTTATCTAGAAATTTCGCCCTTGCCAGTACAAATAAACACCGCACCCCCTCGCTTTTAACTTCAGTCTATCCGGCCGGTGCACTAGCTTAACCCTCATTCCCCTCACTCTATTAAGTGACACTAGTTGTCGCCGACTCCAACGCTACACAACATCGCACCCCATCATGGCTAACCTGGCTGTCGTCAACCCGCTGCACGACTCTAGGTCGTCGCGCCCTCACACTCGCCGCAACTCGACACGTCGGAGCTTTGCGTCTTCTCTTTCTCGCTCAAGCTCTTACCTCGACTCGCCGAGGACCGCTTGTCCCCAGGACGGCGACGCCTTCGCCTACAACCCAGCTCACCTCAAGACATGGGACTGCCCCCAGTCCACCTGGGACAGTCTCCCCAACTCCGTACAGAAATGTCTCGCCGCGGTTCAGCATGCTGGCGCGTCAGCCTTGACTGGTGTGTAATTACTATTTTTGTGCCACTATCGAAGCGCTGCGCCATTGGCCGCACTGTTGCGCGATATCCACCCATGTAAGAACGCATGTTGTGCATATCAGGCTAACCCACTTCAGGCTTCGAACGTCTCCATGAACACCGTGAGGTCTGCGATGGTTCACGCACTGACTCGAAGACGCAAGAAGAAGAGATCTTGGTCAACCTAGACGAACTCCGTAGGCAGAAGTTCCGGACTACCAGCAATGCTAGCAGCATCTTCATGTCCGACGTTTCTTCGCCCACCTTCAGCGGGACACCAGCATCAGACTCTGGCTCTGCCTCTCCCGTTCCCTCCACCTTCTCGCTCTCGCAGTCTGCGTCCAACCCAGCTCCTATCTCTCTTGGACCGCCAGAGCTCGAGGCCAAGCGCACACCGACCCGCGAGCGCTCGTTCTCCACCCCTCTTGAGCCACAGGACGCCAAATACGCCTCCGAACTGTCGTACTTGCGCACCGAAGCCCTACCCCGTCTTCGTCACGCCGGCCACAAGGTCGACACGGAGTGGTACGAGGCCAAGCGCACCGGCTCCGTTGCTGCCGAGGATGCGCAAGTCTTCGAGAGCTGGTGGAGCGAGATAAAGTGCACCATCTTGAAGCTCAGTGAGCACGGCAAGCGTCTTGCGGAAGCCAACGGTGTGACTCCCAACGGCATGGGCTGGACTGCCCCGTAGTCGCTATTGAGGTGGGTTTTCCTTTGTCTGGTCATGTGGAGCAGTTCACTGAGATTGTCAGTCTCTCCATCATGGCGGCTTGGGTCGTTTCTTACTTTCCATCAGATTGACACCACATTTCACTTCTTTCCGCTTTCACCTAGGGTATATGTTTCTTCCAGCGAGGAGTTGGGCTCGGCATGTACCGAGAGATGCATTTGCACGCAGACGGCATGTATCGGTCTGTTTCCTGGACAGCAATGGTGTCCACGCACTGCACCCAGACCCCGCTCCCGTCGAGGTCTAAATCGTCGAAAGACGACGCGCCGAGAGCGCCTTTACGAACCACTTTCTCTTTCTGCAGCATCCCTGCCGGCTTTCGACAGCCAGGCGTTTACGATCATACCCTGAGATAGCAAGCATCATGACTACGAATTCCACTCTCATCTCCATACTATGCAGCCCGTCCCTCTGTGCGTTTCGATACTAATCTGAGAGTCAAGTGCTGCCACGTATGCTTGTCGTCAATTCAAGGCGCATATGAGATGGAGGCTCCAATCCCGTATCTGCACATTGAGATTACCAAGCTACGGCGTCTTATCTCTCCGCAGCATGCACCAACTGATATCAGACGGGGATCCCAACAGGGAACCTGTAGGTTGCCCGGATGGTCCCGAGAGCGGACAGGATCGCCCCTGCGAGCCATCGATTCATACGTCTGCCTGCAGCCACGTTGCCGACGTCAATCCAGACCTGCCTCCGCGGGGTTGAGCCACAGCGGACCGTTCTCGTGAACCGGCAGGGGTGGTTAGCCAATACGCTTGTGAGGCTAGATGGGTGCTAATTTTGACGTCAATCTGATAAATGTATACAATCAGGATTTAGAACGACATGCTACAGGTGCGTTTCTCATGAATCAAGGACTAGCACTACACCTCAGAATTACAATAGATGTGGGTCTTCAAGAATCCTCGTCTGTTTCAACGCGCGCCTGCTTCCCCGCAGCCCGTCTCCGCACCCCACCTCCGGGTGGACTGAGCCAGGGTCGTCGCCTCTGGGGTGATGCACCGACGTCGCTGTCCCCACTATCGCTTCCTGGCAGAGGTTCAGCCACATGAACTCTCATCGCACTAACAAGGCATGGCTTACTAGGCAAAGCGAACATCGTAGGCCGACCGTCACTGTGACCAAAACCCTTCATGCGAGGCGGCCTCCTCGGATCAGGACTTACATCACTCTCGTCAAGCTCGAAGCGAGGATGACTTCTCTTATGACGTCCCTTGCCGAAACTGCGATGCCGCGGACCACTCGGCTCACTATCGGATTCAACAGGGCCTCCTTGAGGGTCAAACCTCGCCCGCCCTCTCGCAAGCATCGACGCCTTGTGCTCACCCTTGCGCGCCGCCCGGCCAAATAGAGTCCCCGTGCTGCCCGCTCCCGCGTCCCCGTCGCCGCGCACGAAGAACCCGTCGTCCCCGCGCGGCATCCGCATTCCAGGCTGCGGCGGCATGCGCGGGCCCCGTCGGGGACGCGTGGTCAGCGAGTCGAACATGCCTTGCGCTGGCATCGTGGTGCGCATTCCGCCTGTGTTGTACGGCGATCGGCGCGTGTCCAGCATGTGCATGCGCTCCAGCGTGTCCGGGTCCAGGGCGCCCATGTGTCCAGGGAACGACGGTGGTGGATAGCGAGGCCCTTGCGTCCGCATCATCTCGTTCATCCTGGCCTCCAGCCTCTTCATCTTCTCGCTCGTCCGCAATTTCTTCCCGTGCCTGCGGTCCCGCTTCCGCGGCTGCGAGGACGCGTCGCTGCTGCACCCCGAGCTCGCACTCGCACTCGCACTCGCACCCGCGCCCCCGCTCGTCCGGCACGCAGCGTGGTCGCCGCAGTCCTTCCCGATGTCGTCGGCCAGTACATACCGCGTGTTCAGCTTCGCCCGCACCGGCACCTGCGCACCGCCGATGTTGGCAACGCCCTTGTACCATTTCGTCCCGCGCTCGCCCTTGCGGCACCGGCAGTTCGTCGTGCAGATGCACGTGTCGATGCCCTCGCCCCAGCCGCCGTGCCTCTCCGTCCCGGACGCCGCGGGCGCGGTCTTTGAGCGCGTCCGCGCACCGTCGCCGCGGGCGTGCTGCTGCAGCGCTGCGTCGAGCGCGGCCTGTATGGCGTGCGGAACGCGCCGCGGCGTGTCTGGCCGCGCCTCGGACGCGGACCTGCTCAGCGGCGCCGCTGCGTACGGGAACCCGCCCACAGACTCCCGCGACACGTAGCCCGGCGGCGCCCCCGTGTTGTCTCCCCCGCTTCGCCGCTCTTCCCCGCCCCGTGCCTGCCCGCCTCTCATCCCCACCCGCGCGCGCCGCCGCTGCCCCTCCATCTCGCCGAGCTGCGTGCTCTCGCTCTCGTCGGCGTATTCGTAGACACGCAGATCGGGTGTTTCGCGGCCGTGGCGGAGCGGGCGTGTATCGCGTCCCGTGTTGACGCGGGAGAACACTTTCGCGCCTCCACCGCCGCGAAAGAGGCCTGCGTTTGTTCTTGGGTTGTAGTGCTCGGGGTATTGGTGCTCGCCGCGGTGGTGCGAGTGCGAGCGTGAGCGTGAGCGTGAGTGTGAGTATGGGAACGGGCCCGGCGGCATGGCGTAGAGGTTTGTGCCGTAGGGGATCATGACTTCGTTGCCCGGGGCGTGGATGGAGACGAGGGGGGGCGGGGTGGAGGGCGTGTTGCCCATTTTGGGAGGTGGGTGGATGTGGTTCTTGGAGATGGTGTGAGGACGGATATGCTGTTGGGAACGCGGATACTGTGCTGTGCTGAGATGGTAGGATGCTGAGGTAGGTTGAGATGGTAAGACTGTGTTGAGACCGTGTGTCGAAAACGCTGGAGAAGGTAAGACGAAGTGCTTTGCTGTGGCGTGCTATGCCGAAGACGCTGAAGTTGCTCTGTTTGAGGCGCTGCGTTAGGGACACTGTGGATGCTGTGCTGAAGACGCTGTGCTGAAGGTGCTGTGCCGAAGCTCCTGTAGACGCTGGAAGCAGTAAGATACTATGCCGTGCTGTGTCGTCCTGCAAAGATACCGTCGAAGCATCCCAAACACACCATCCGCGCGGTCTTGTACTTACAATCCCACCTCACTGCGTCGCAGCAGACGCCCGACAGACGGCGGGAACCTCGTAGGCGAACGACCCAAGCCGTTACGAACAACCGTCGCAACAAAGCAGTCTGGTAAACAGCACAGTAAACAGTCGTCACCCCAAAACCAAACGAAACCCGCGCGTCTGTCAGACTCGCGAACAGTGCGGAGTGACAAGAAGAGCACAGGAGAAGTCAAGACCCACACCCACGCAATGAACACGCCGTTCCCAACAGCAAATCCAAATCCCATAACACCGACACTGGCTCTAAATCGGAGTCAGCAAACTGCAGGCTCCAGCACCAGCACACTCCGCATTCAGCAGCCAATGCAGATGAGACCTCACATCGCACCACGTTGTTTGCTTGCGCACAGTGACACGATAAGCGTGTGGTGTTCGCTCTATCACGTCCTGTGGTGGTGGGGCTGGTTGTGCGCCGTTGTACAATGGGTGCTTGTTCGTGCGCCGTGCGGTGTGCTCCACACTCTACGCTCCATACTCCACGCTTCACGCTCCACGCTCTACACTTTACGGTAGAGCTGCCACACAGCGACTCGGAGTTCTGGCTTGCTTCTAGTGTGGCGCTGGGAACTTTGTGACTAAACAACGCATAGTTGTATTTACATGACTCCTGAGATACACCTTACAACTGCATACCTATCAACCTCTCTTCAATATCGGCTGCGCGTGTTACACCCTCTGTGGGTCGGTGACTTTGACCACCTACACCACTGCCGCACTCAGGACACCTCGCAAGCTCCATTGGCATACCGCACTCACCTACAGTGAATGGGTGTCCGTTGGCACAACGATACCAGTGTCCCGTACCACGAAATTCTTTTGCCATTGCTCTCACCACCATACCCATCTCACTACTCGCCAGGGATTCACACAACATCCTTCGCACCTCAGCAGCTTCGTCAATGAAGATGCTCATGGGATTTTGAAGCATGTTGACTCGCTGATCGGTACGCTCGAAGGGCATGAAGTGTCGCCTGGTCGTAATATTCTCTGCATATTGCGCGCAGATGCTTTCCACAAGGTCTAGACGCGTCTTGGCACCTTCTCTCAGGATGTGCAACCTTTGACGCAGCTCTGGGTCATCTACCTCTCCTATGGCTTCCGTGATGCCGCACTCCATCGCAGCGAACTTAGCCCAATGGATCTTAGCCTCGACTGCTTGACATATACTTTTGCTTTCCGTAGCTTCGGCAATCACTTCGTCACATAGGATGCGATTTTCCAGGAAGTCGACATGCAAGCTTCCCCGATTACCAGCATGAGTCTTTTCATGGACACTGATAACGTCGCCCAACAATATAAGGTAACTGCGATTAAGCAAGTTGGATGCCTGTAGGTGATCTCGCAGCTGGAGCTCACTGCTGGGGAACTCAAACTTGGCGGTTGATGTTGGCACAGCCCGGCGTCGTGCTACCTCAACCAGATTATGCACTACTTGGTAGGGTTGCTCGTCTTTGCTAACCTTTTGCGCAAACTGGGCGATCTCGGTAATAAGTGCGTAAAATCTTTCGTAGCGCTTCGTCGTCTTCAACTTCTTGATGGACATTATCTGTGAGTCAACCGACCCTGCCAGTACGATGGTCTGATTTGCCTTGTGCGGAAAGTCGGCGGATCCCATCAATTCGCCTTCAAGGTTTGCCAACTGAGTGACTAATTCTTGATGCCTCCGGTTCGACCAAGTGGTGAGCTTTTTAGCACTTTCGTCGAGCATAGCTCTTCTAACAATGCGGCCGTATCGGGCGAGGTTGCGTAGGGAACCACGGCATTCTGGACATGGCTTACTGTCTTTGTTGGAGAACGGTTCGGCGGACGACTTCAACCCAGTATACCTGTCAGTAAGTGGGTCGACTTGGTAATGGTCTTGCATGCCCATGGTCCCGTCCAGTGAGTCGATCGTGAAGATATGACCGCATGAGGTAAAGATACATGGGTCTACATCAAGATCGATATCCTCATATTGAGTGAACATTAGAAGGTCAGCCCACATGGCCTTGACTTCGTCGCTAGCATGGTGCTGGCAGTACTTTGCATCTGGACACGTCTCACCACAGACCGAAGGACACCGACAGCCGCAGGAAAGGTTTTGATCGCATCGCTCAGAGCATGGGATCCAGGTACACGGAGCTGCGCAAGGCATTATGCAAGGCTGATTGTGTGGGCAATTCGTTCCTGAACTACATTGCTCCTCCATGCACGGCATGCAAGATTCGGAGCAGAGCTTGCCGCATCGAGAATGAGTACATCGGGTTTCACACTCCGTAAGACATGGCGGGCAATGATCGCCTTCGTGGCAGGTGGATTTGCATCGGTGACAGCACGTGCTGTATGCCCGATCGCATTTCTGCAAGCAAGGGCCGTGGCCTCTCGTGTCGTTCTTCTTTTCGTTCTCGTTACACTGCTGACAGATTCTGCTGCAGAAATGCCCACAATCTAACATGTCGCCGCAAGTAGCGATACACTTGAACGTATCATCTTCGACATTGACGTGGCAAGGTACAGTGATCTCATGGTTACAACCAGGAACCACTCGCTTCATGGGCTCCCTGCAGACCACAATGGATGTATCCTGATGTTCGAAGCACGCTAAACTTGTTCTTATGTGGCCACACTCAAGCTGGATCTCGATGTTTTCAATGAGGAACATGCAGCGTGGATCGCACTGAGCCCCGCATGGCTTTGCGCAAAGGTGTTCGCATCCATCTTTGAGCTTCATGCAAGGCTTCATGCAATACACTGCTCGGTGGAGCATGTCGGAATGACATTTCGCAATACACGCGTGACCGCACTGGAGTTGTTTGTCGCAGAGAACATCACATCCCGCTTCCGGCGACAAACGTACAAAGTCGGCGGGGGTCTTTACGAACATTGGCGCATCTTGGTGCCGCGGACAGCATAGCTCCAAGGCGTCCCCTACATTGTCATCTCGGCGTAATATCTCCAACACATCGTGCCACATGGGAACACTTTTGGTTGTGTTCGTGTTACCGAAGATGTACATGCCATGCTGTGCTCGAGAGAGTAGAACGTTGATTCTGTTTGGTGTCTTGAGAAAGCCAGGATTATTCTTGAGATTGCTGCGCACAAGTGACACGATAACAACCTTGGCTTCTTCACCTTGGAAGTTGTCAACTGTGGCGAGGCGGATCGCTTGGCTGAGTGTTCCTTTAATAACCGTCGTTTGATCCGGATCCGACTCCAACTGCAAGGTGGAATCATCGTCATCGCCAGTCGCATCTTTGGCTAGTTCATCGACATCTCTATCGTTGAGGAGAACGCTATGTATGCTACTGAGCCTTTTCCGTAGCTTCCGCAACTGGCCGAGGTAAGGCGTAAGAACGGCAATATCAGTTGGTATATAAACACCTTGTTGAGTAAGGTGCTTTACCAAGGCCATGACCATTTCCACTTCGAAAGAATTAGTTCGGGAAGTCATATCCCCCTCTGACTTGTCGTCCTCTAGCTCTTCGTGATGCGTCCAGAAGAGCCGACGACGCATACCGACTACCTCTGGATAGGAGGAGACTGATGGATCATCCTTCAGACTAGGATATTGCGTTTCCCGCACGAGCTGCGAGATTGACGGATGCATACGCCTCTGAACCTCTAATGTGGATAGAGGCAGAGGATTCGCAAAGATGTCCTGAGGTTTGACAAGGCGCTCGAATAATGATATATCGAGCCCATACTGACCGCCGCTGCGGCTCTCCGACGACAGGTCAAAATTCTGCACTTGGGGGCGAAGTTGTTGATGGTCTCCTATGAGCATGCAATGCTCCACAGACGGTAAAAGGGCTGTCAACATATGTGCTTCGAGGACTTCGCCCGCCTCCTCACAGATCAGGACCTTCGCATTGACGCCGCAAAGAAGTTCCAGGTTGCGGGCTAAACCACTGGTCGTGACACCAACGATGTTTGCTTGTTGTAACACTCGCAGGTTCAGCTCCGTATTGACATCATTAAGTCGCTTCTTGGTTTCGTCGTAAGACGTCAGAGCATGATCAAGCTTCTCATTAAGCTCATACTTCATCTCGGCGATCCAGGAATTGAAAACGACCCATCGCTCGACCATGGACATATGATGTACATTCACGTCACTGAGATCGGCGAGGTCGCGTGGGCGCCACGAGATAGTGATGTTGGTCCTGAGCCAGTTATCCAGTATGGTGTCTTTGCTTCTTTGAACTATTGTATAGCCGTCGTCATCGACACTGCTGAAAAGCTGTGCGTGATATGTGGGGTGGTGCTGATAGACGTGATTTTCTACAGCTGGCTGCGTGCAAATCAAAGTGAACGATTCCAGTAATCCATCGATCTCTGCAGTCTCTTCTCGTACCTTTCTGGTCAGCTCCCAGCGTGCGTTCTTTTCTGTCTTTGTAAGCTCAAGTTTCGTGGCCAATACTCGGAGGTTCACATCCTTTACCCTCTCGGATTTGGACTGCCCTCCGATCCGAACAATATTCTTTACACCATCATCAATGGAACGCTCTAGAATGGCGTCCAAAGCGTGATTGGTCTGAGTGCATACGAGAATGGGGCCTATCTTTGTTGCAGCCTTGTTGGCAAGGCTTACTCGGATTAACTGAACTCCCGTGTACGATTTGCCGGTCCCGGGTGGTCCTTGAACGATTGCGAATGACCGTGCCAAGCAGGAGATTACTGCCACCGCTTGACCAAGATCCAAGGTGGAACACTCGGCAAGTCGATCCGCTGCTTGTGCTATGTTCTGGCCTGGTATAAATGACAAAGGTGTATTATGTTGGGTAATGCTTGAGAGGTCAAACTGAAATCCAGGCTTCGTCGCATATGTTGGCTGTGCGATGTCGCTCTCTCGTTCGCCACCATCAGGTGATGGTGTAGGTGCCAAGATGTGTGAAAATGGCATATCCAGAGTTTGACTCATGCGCTGCATCGCCTTCAGAGTGGGCTCAAATGCAGGCAACAGAACACCAGGAAATTCTACAAGTGATCGCTGCACAGACGCCGTATCTGCAATCTCTTGTGAGAGCAGACTGTGAAGGACGAAGTGATCCATGGGCTTGGCGATCAGGTAAGCATGATCAGGGTCGGAAAACAGGTTGAATTCAAGCTGTAGTCTGGTGGGCTTTTGTCCTTGCAGAGCAACGACGAAGAAAATTGCAGAGCCCTCGGAGCCAAGAAGGCAAATGAGTGCATCTGGACCGAGTCTCCTGGAACTGTTCCACCACTCTTTGCGATGGGCTACAGTTTGCTGCCGTTTGGCTTGGATCTGCGGAAAGCGTATTACAATCTGGGCGCCATGATACTCGTCGAATTCAGCCGTGATGATATCCACGTTATGGTAGACATGGGTGCGTGCACTCTGACGATTGGACCCGGTATTGTGGGCTTGACGATCGGGATTTTGGAGCCTCTCAAGCTCAATTTTGGCTGCCTCTCGAATCTGGCCAACAGTGTCTTCTCGTAAAAGACGGAAATGTCGATCGACTAGACCGTGAATGCCGCCAAAGTGCCATTCACTTGGGTTGGCGACAGGGAGATATTCATTACGAGGACTTTGTATTTCTTGCAAAGTCGGCAGAATTGAAATGTCTGAAATGTGCACATGGTCGTTATCGTGCCTGGGACCTTGCTCTGAATGCACACCCGGCATGTCGCGAGCAAGTTGGAACTCCGCGCGCGCACCAACAAGCCTTCGAGTGTCATGTCGGTTTGGAATATCATGGCCAACGCTGAGACGGTTATGTAGCCTGTCCAGATTCTTCCTTGCATTCCTCATTTGGTAAACCAAACCTTCTGGGAGTGCGTTCAGTAGGGCAGCGAAGGCTCCGGCAATAGCTATGAAGCCGGTCTCGGTCTGGGCAGCAGTGTTGACGTCAACTAGAATCGAAAGAGCAGCCAAAATAGTGTCAACAGCTTCCATGATATCTCCGCCATCTTCACTGCCACCTTCATAGCCTTGATCACTGGTACGTATGGCCGCGGAGTTTGAGAGATGCGTAGCCAGCACAGTGAAGAGTGAGATTGCGCGTTCGCTAGTTCCATCGCCAGCATAGAGGACGTTGTAGACGGTGACGACTCTTGCCCGCAGTAAGACAGAACCAAGTACTTTGGTGTGTGTGAAGGTCTTGAAGAATGGTAGGAGCTGCTTATCAATGACCCTAGAAAGTTGCGATGTAGTGAGTATCTCAAATGGTTGGTTAAGAAGCTCATCGATTCGCAGGAGCCCCCCTTCGCCGCTGAGCAATGTGACGACTTCTTGTAAAGTTTCGACGCCACTTTCAACAAGATCAAACGCCTGCTGGAAGAAGTCACCAAGGCGGTGTCCTAGGGGCATGGCGCCAGTGACTTGCCTGGGGATCTTCCATCGAAAGTCTTTCAAGCGCAAATCTGCGCTGGGTATCGCACTGCGGTCTGTCACTGTCACGTCGTTGGCATATGTGACGTCTTGAGACTCGACTCGCTCGTGCGAAAAGTTGCAATTATTGCCTCTGTTACAATTCCCTTTGAGAAAGTAAAGACAAGGCAAGCGTCTGATGTTAGGATCGGTGACATGCGCAAAACTGCAGCTGGCATCTCTTCTGCAATTACCTCGCTGAAAGAATTTACAAGGTCTGAATGATCTTAGTCTAATAGGTCCAGCGTTGGGGTGAGGTTGAACTGACCTCTTCATGGGCGCCATGGCAACGGACAAATCTTGGTGCGGGTCTGTAACGGCGTCGAGTGAATGCAAGCGTTCTGGACAGAATTTGGTAGCTATAGAATGGAAAATTGGAGACTAAACGCAAACTTAAACCAAGCCGCGGATGATTGCGTCACAAAGCATATCATTTGAGGGACTATCCCAGGGACCAGCGATCCGCGGATGCCACTGGAATGTGGTGAAGCACAGCATCGCGAGCTGGAGTCCAGGCAAATCTATTACAAGCACTTCCAAGTGATTCGTCGCGTGTTAGCCAATCAATGGATCATAGCTATGGCAAGTAGGACTGTCGTTGTACGTTGTACGTTGCACAACCTCACAGATCTACCCATGGTATCCAATTACACACGGTTGAATCTCGTTTCATGCACCAGTTCTCGCATTGCATAATGCGAGGCTGCTGATCGGCTTCATAGCAACTTGTACCAATGATTGTACAGATTGTTGATAGCTACTCAGGAAATTGTTGAGTAGAGATATTTTGCTTCGAGTTCTTGTCCGCAACAAATGTTCGAAATATGATTCTCGTCGCTGCTTGTGGTGGTTTTGAATGTAGATTTAACATAGATGACCTTTAGCTCTAGGTAGTCACTCGGCGTTAGGCGCATTGGCTTGGCATTACCGGACACTGGTGTCCAGTTACAAAGGAACTTGTATCTGGATTTTCCCGGCCGCCCTCTGCACCTTCATCCCATACAGCACGTTCGTGGAGAACCGCTCGAAAAGCGACGACCCTTTGTAGGCGTTGAACGGGCCCCACGTCGCCTGTCTGAACGCGTACTGTGCTTCTTCTCTCTGCAGGCGCGACTCCAAAGCAGTGACTCTATCGGCGATGCCAAAAAGTCGCATTCGCTTGGCCATTCTGCCAGCCCCCGCTATGTACCTCGCGGCGACCTGACCGCCGTTGCCGTTATTCGCCATCGCTACATAGAGCAGCGTGAGGCCGGCCAGGTTTGGTGCGGAGTCGTCGCACTCAGCGCGCCAGAGCATGCGGGCCTCTTTCTCGATTCCAGACTCTTATCAGCAGCTGTTGGATCGGTTTTGCAGCAGGCTTGCGATGCGAACGCAAACAAGCTGTTGACAAGGAACGCCGAGCAGTGGTCATCTCTCAGGTTAATGAGATCGTTCAGGAAAGCTTCGGCGTCGAACAAGCGCAGCATGGACACACTTGCCCAGTAGCCTATGGACAAGTGCCTTACGAGGGCCTCGAAACACGTAGAAGATGATGCAGGTATTCCAGTTCGTTTTGGCCCTTGCCAGCCATCATCGGCAGTGGGTTCTGCAGAGGGCTCATGGGCTCAGAGCTCAGCGATGCTTCCCTCACCTTTCAAGTAACCCCCCTCGGCGCTTTTGATCGCAAGGTCAGTCTTCTGCAATGGAACATTCTGCGTGTCTCTGCAACAGTGGCAACCTCTATTGGATGCATCTCTTAGTACGGCACAAAGCACTCCTGTAGTACCGTGCAGGTTAGTACAAGTACCTATGCTAAGGGAGAAGTTTGCAGAGCCTAAGGTACAAATATTAAAGTACTTATTAGCTATTATTAGGTAAGGGCTAGAGTAGTTATCTTTAGCTATTTAATTGTTGTTACACTCCTAGCTATTACCTCTTTAAATAGTATAGGGAATAGCAAGACCTTAATATGTAGCTGTTAGGTTTAATAAGCATGTAGATAAGGGGTCCCGTGGGAACATGTTTGAGTTAATAAAGCGTGAGATGTAGAGATTTCCTATGACATGAGTATACTGCGCTGGTAGTGCTCCACTTCCCTCTTGCATCTCGAAATTTACATCATGATGTTTGAGTGTGTCCTGTTGCCTCTCTTGGTCTATTGTTTCATTCGTGAATAAATTCAGACAGTTCCTTACATCCGATCGCACTCAACTCAATTTCGTCTGCCTCTTGATTCTTGTTCGACCAAGTGGTGAGCTTTTTGGCACTTTCGTCGAGCATAGCTGTTCTAACAATGCGGCTGCATTAGGCGAGGTTACGTAGGGAACTACAGCATTCTAGACATGGAAGCAACGAGTTTTTACGGTAGAGTATACTATATTGAAGAAGAACTATATCTAGATACCAACAATCTTAAGTGAATCTTCCCACAACCGAGTGGCCTGCTGGACATCAAAAGCCCAAGGAGCATAACCCTTTGAGGTCAACTTGTCCTCGCCTTCAACGTGAGGACCTGCGACCTGGCAGTCAACAAGGTACTTGCCAGCCTGTGCCTCCAGGTTTCCAACCGCAGCCAACACCGTGGTTGCGGCGCCCTGCTCGACACTCTTCATGGTAGGGAATATGTGATCCATGCCCTTCCAGGAATCTGCAGGCATGTGCTGTGCCAGCCCGGTGGCGATGATGCCGGGGTGGAGGCTCGTTGCGTGTAGGTGTTGCGAGCCAAATCGGCGCTCAACTTCGTTGGCAAAGTAGAGGTTGGCGGTCTTAGACTGACCGTATGAGACATTGGGCTCGTACGGGGTTTTCTGGAAGTTGTAGTTGTCGGAGTCGTTGATGCCGTTGAAAAGGTGGGCCGTAGAGGATAAGCTTATAACGCGAGAGGGTAGCTCAGCTGAAGCATTTGCTAGGAGAGCAGGCCTAAGCAGCTCGAATAATAAGAAGTGAGAGAGATGGTTCGTTCCAAATTGAAGTTCGTGGCCGTCAGCAGTAAAGCTAAGTGTAGGGATTCCCATAATGCCAGCGTTGTTGACAAGGAGGTGGATTTTTGATGTCTTTGAGAGAATAGTCTCAGCCGCAGAGCGAATAGAAACAAAGGAGTTCTGGTCCATCTTAACAATCTCCATAGTATCGGGATTGAAGAAACTTGAGAGTGCAGTTTGAGCTTTAGAAACATCCCTGGCGGTAAGGAAGAGCTTAGCGCCTGTGGTGGCTAAGGCTTTAGCCGTCTCAACACCAATACCAGATGATGTTCCAGTGATGACTATATATTGACCGACAAGCTTGCCTTCAGCTCCCTCGTCCTTGATAATCTGGAGAGCTGTAGGGCGGGCGTCACCAGGACCCTGGGGCTTAGCGTGCGCTTCAGAGTAGCGAGACATGGTCGTGTTGGCTAATGAAGAACGAAGATACTATGACTTTCGACTTGAGGCTCAGAAATTGTGAAGAGGAATGTTGTTTGTTGGAATGGTTGTATCTGCAATGCTTTGGACGCAAGTGGTTCTTATATAGGTTGCTTGCTACGGAGTTACAGCTGAAGAATCCGGAGGCTAAACGAACCCTATTCGTCTGGATTATTCAGACACGTCTCGGCAGCTTATCCATCATTGCTGTGTTGAGATGTGTGTTGTGTGAGTGGCCTATCATGCCCCGTGCGCGCTAGGCTGCGGGTGGCATGAGACTCACTAAACCCAAAACGACAAAAATGTCATCACGCTAGTTATTTAACTCGACAGCAGAATAGCGGTCCGAGACAACGCTGATCAATATGCTTCGTGTGAAAACTACGAAAACGCAAACAACGCATGGCTCTTCGCTTATCGCCGGTAGGTACAGGTACGTTGACTAATGGACCGAAATTGTTGCTGCGTCTTGGGACTCAGCCGGCTGTCGCTGCCTCTGGGGCACTTGAGCACGTGCATGTTATGCGGCGGGCGCGGCCACACTGGAGATTAGGAAATTCATACTACGCACGAAGCAACATCATCATACGCTTTGATGCGCAATCTGTGCTCGATGGTGGGGAGGTGAGCTGAATATGTCAGCCGCAAGTACATAAACTTCGGAGTTCCTGAATGTAGTTCAGAACTACAACTTCAACTCCAACCATCGATGAAAGTCTGCGCGATGCGTCCAAACTTTGCATTTGCAGCACTCTACTTGCTGAACGGACATGTCTCTTTAGCAGCACCGTCTGCCAAGGCCCAGAATCTGACTGTTGATCTGGGCTACGAGGTCTATCGTGGTGCTTACGACTCGACTGCACAACTCGATATCTGGAGAGGGTATGTCAAACAAGGCTGCAATGGCTACATCGATGATGAGATGTGCTAGAATACTTACCACTGCCCTATAGTATTCGCTACGCAGCACCCCCAATTGGCGACCTCCGTTGGCGAGCACCGGCTGCCCCGATTGCTTCTGAGAATGGCGTCGTTGACGCGATCGAGTTTGCACCTGGATGTCCTCAAGCTGCCCCTGTGCCTTTTCCAGCCATCCCAGGGATATCCGGTAGTGAAGACTGCTTGTTTCTTAACGTATACGCACCAAGATCTAAGAAGAAAACTAAGCTTCCGGTGCTCGTTTGGATCCACGGTGGTGGATATGGCTTTGGAAATGGGCAGCAGGACATGCGCGAAATCATTAAAGCGAATGACAACAAGTTTGTCGCAGTCTCTATTCAGTACAGAGTAAGTTTATTCCATTGCATTGACGCCGAACTTAAGAACTGACTGTACTAGAGCTTGGGGCTTTCGGATTCCTCTCGTCAGCTGAAGTGGAGCAGAACGGTGCTCTTAACACTGGTATTCTAGATATGGCTTTTGCCCTGCAGTGGGTTCAGAATCACATTGATCAGTTCGGGGGCGATAAGTCACAAGTCACTGTTTCTGGTCAAAGCGCTGGTGCTGGTGGTGTGATGCAGCTTGCTATCGCAAAGAACGGCACTTTGAAAACTTCTTTGTTTAAGAATGTAGGTTTTCCATTCCATTCGACTAAGATCCTTGATCAGACCGGCACCAAGATCGTTACTAATACTTCACCAGATTGTGGTTGCCTCGCCTTTTCTCCCACCACAGTACAAGTTTGATGGCTCGATACCGACGAGACAGTATAAGAGCTTTGCATCTTATGCTGGATGCGCGAACGCAACTGATGTTCTCTCATGTCTGCGCAGCAAGGATACCCTCACATTGCAAAATGCAAACTCAAACACAAATGCTGCCAATTTCTATGGTAATTGGGCATTTGCTCCTGTGGTAGAGCCGAATACTGGTTATGTTACTACTCATCCAAGCAATGCTCTAACAGCAAAACGCGTCAACGGCGAGCACATCCTGGTTGGTAACAACGCCAACGAGGGGCCGCTCTTAGTTCCCACGATCAACAGTACTGAAGCTTTTCACACTTGGCTAGAGGGCAACTTCCCTTTGCTTACTTTGGCTGAATTGGACGCCATTCTCGCAGCGTATCCGGCTTCAGAACTGCCGATCAAGATTAACGATGCGTTCGCAACCTCGGGCTTTGGTCCAGTGACAGCTCTTGATGTCAGCTCATTCGCAACTGGCATGCAACAGCGCGCAAACAATATCTTTGCAGAAGCAACCTTTGTGTGTCCGTCCTACTGGCTTAATGACGCCTTCACGACACAGAAACGCAAGTCATTCCATTACCAGTACTCGGTAGTTGGTGCCTTGCATGGAAGCGACGTGAGCGCATATTTCGGCCCTGCGACACCAAGTCAGCCACCTCCCTTTACCGATGCTCTCAGACAGATCTGGGGAGGCTTTGTCACGGTAGCAGACCCAACTACTGCAAAGGGTCTGAAAGACCTGAAATGGCCCGTATGGAAGCAAGACGGACGAAGCCAGATGATCAACCTGAACACAACGGGAGGTGTGCCCTACTCTGCTCTGCAATTAACAGGCATGAATCTTACAGAGTACATGGAACCTGGACTACGAAATCGTTTCAGCCTTGTGAATGCGCTACAGTGGGAAGGGGACCGGGGCGCAAGATGTGAGCTTTGGAGAAACATCACTAGCAGAGTACTTGTCTAGTACAGGAAAAGTTATTGTTAACCTTTTAGATTCTTCCTATTCTACTTTCTCATATAGATATTGAAATATAGGTCTTTAATTAAACTAAATAATCTACGTGTCTCTGCAACAGTGGCGACCTCTATTGCATGGCATCCCTTGGTGCGGCACGAAGCACTCCCGTGGCATCGTACTAGGCAACATAAGTACCTGTGATAAGGTAGAGTTTGCCATGCTTGAGGTACGAACATTGAGGTACTTGTTGGCGCTTGTCAGGTATAGGCTGGAGCAGTTGTTTCTAACTATTTAATTGTTTTCACACTCTCGGCTGTCACCCCTTTGAATGGCGTAGTGAATAACGAGACGTTGATGTGTAGCTGTTAGGTTTGATGAGCACGTAGACGAGGGGACCCATGGGAACATGTGTGAGTTGATGAAGCCTGAGATGTAACCGCTACAGTACTCATTCGAACAACTACTACCAAAGGGTCGCGCGAAGACACAACGTCGACCCATTATAAAACCACCTGCGGGTATCACACACCACAACCATCCATGCAATCTACCCCTTCAGCGCCTCCTTCACATTCCCCTCGATCCCCTTCAGCGCCTCCTGCACGGCAGGCGCATAATGCCGCCTCAGCAACTCGCCCTCCCACACCGTCGCCGCAAACGCATTGCTCCCCTCGAACTCCGCCTTGAGCGGGTCAAACACGCCGTCGCCCCGGCGCTCCTCCGTGTTCCACAGCGGCGCAACCTTCTTGCCGTGCGCGCGCGCGACCCGGTTTAGCAGCCCCAGCATCGCAATGCAGCTCTTCTCGGGCAGCTGCAGGGATATCGACATGAGTTGCTTGGTGAAGGCGGCGACGCGGATCGGGGGCACGCCGCGCAGGGCGGTGGCGGGCAGCAGCACGGAGGAGAGCGAGCGGATGAGCAGGACGATGGTGGTCTGGACGTTGATCTTGTTGGGGCTGGGGGCGTGGGGGTTTTCGCGCGCGCCCGGGTCCGGGAGGTGGAGCGACTTGGCGCTGAGTTCGATGTCGGCGTTGACGCTGACCGGGTGCAGCGTGCGGTACAGATGGGTGATGAAGAAGGTGAGGTCGAGTTTGAGGGTGGAGGCTTGTTTGAGGACGTCCTGGCCCTCGAGGAGCGCGAAGGCGGTGATGACGCATAGGAGCGATTCGCGGGAGAGGTTGCGCTCGGGGGCTTCGTCGTCGTCTGAGTCGGACTCGGCGTCTTCGTCTTCGGAGACCTCGGCGGCGGCGGAGATTTCGGCGGTCGCGATGATGTCGCGCAGGGCTTCGAGGATGTCGCCGAAGAAGTCCTGGTTGATGAGATGTGCGTAGCGTGCCAGGCCTTCAAGGACGGCGCCCATGAGCTTCGGCGAGCGGGCTTTGAGGATGCGGAAGTAGCAGACGAAGACCAGCTTGAGGGTCTCGGCCTGCATCCTGTCGCGCTCTTCGTGTGATACAGCCGCGTCGGCCTCCTTGAACTCCTTTGCGATCGCCTTCTTCTCCTTCAGGTCCTTGCGCAGGCGTTTCGTCCTGAACTCGCGCTTCTGCTTGATCTTCTTGACAGTATCCTCTTCGTCCTTGTCGACGGAGTTGTAGGAAGCTTTCCTGTGGAAATCGGAGAGAAGGCGGAGATGGAGGAATGTGTTCAGTGCACTCTCGTCGAAGTTGTAGTGCTTCGCCTTCATCATCTTGGTCAGCAGAGTGACGCCCTCGAGGGAGACGTTGCCGTCTTCGTCTTCGGCGAACAGCTTCTCCACTGCCTCCCTGCACCGTACAAAGTCTGCATCGACGCGTCGCGTGCTCAACTTGCCGACCATAATCTTCAGCAGGTCGTTGCGGAAGTTGAAGTGAGGCACCGCTGTGAGCAGGTTGCACGCGCAGCTGACAGCGACGGTGGCCAGGCTTGCTTTCTGCTCGTCGCTGGATCCACTGAGCTTGCAGAGCGCAGCCAGCTGCTTGACATATGTCTCGTAGCCGGAGACGAGCTTCTGCTCGAAGTGGCGCAGCTTCTTGACCTCCCTCGACACCTTCTCGCCCATGGCCTCTTCGGCGATAGGTCGGATCCGGTAGCCGGGAATCAGATCCTTGAAGATTGTGACCGATGTCGCCAGCGCCAGTTTCTTGACCGTGTTGTTCTCGGACTCGGCAATGGCGGCCAGTGTCTTCAGCGCGCCAATGTGCTCCTCGGGATCCTCGTTGACCAGGCTCGCAATGCGGGCCAGCTCCTCCTTTGCCTCGAGAATCTGTTGTCGCGCGGGGATCTTGGGCGCCTTCTTTTCCTCCTCCGCTTCTTCCTCGTCGCCCTCACTACCAGAGCCCAGGAAGCTGTCCGACACTTCCTCGTCCTTGACCTCGACCGGAGCGGCGGGCAGCGCGACCCATCCCTCAGTAGTCCGGACGGGCAGCTTGTCCTGGCCCTTCTTCTTCTTCTTGTCGAGGCGGCGCGGGCGGTTCTCGTAGTCCTGCTCCAGATCCCACTTGGCCGCGCTCTTCAAAAACGACTGCTGGTGGCCTGGCGCCGGCGCATCGTCCTCGGGCGGCGAAAGTCTCCTTCTCTTCGGGGCAGAGGGGCGCGACATGATATTGTATGGCGGGGTGTGAGCGGAGCAGAGGGTGCAGCACGTCCCGGCTGGTGTGCACACTTTTTGTTTCACCGCCCGCGATTCTGCCGGGAATTTTCCAGCACCGCGCTCGCGACCCCGGCTGCAGCAGCCCTCACTCACCAACAACCCTCACATCCACCACTATGCGGCCCCTCACCGAACCCGAGACGAAGGTGCTCTTCGAGAAGCTCGCCACCTACTGCGGCAAGGGCATCTCCAACCTCATCGCCGACCCCGCCGGCGGCAACGACCGCAACGTCTTCCGCGTGCAGGTATGAACACCGCATGTCATTCTCCGGCGCCCACTAACCTTCCTCAGGGCTCGCGGTGCTACTACGTGCGCGAATCGCTGGCCAACCTCGCGACCTCGGTGGCGCGCGACAACCTGCTCAGCCTGGGCGTGTGTCTCGGAAAATTCACAAAGACGGGCAAGTTCCGCCTGCACGTCACGGCGCTGAGCATCATTGCGCCGCACGCGCGGTACAAGGTGTGGGTCAAGGCGAACGGCGAGATGCCGTACCTGTACGGCGGCAATGTGCTGAAGGCGCACGTCGGCCGGTGGAGCGAGGACTGCCCGGAGCACCAGGGCGTCGTGGTGCTGAGCATGAACGACACGCCGCTGGGCTTTGGCGTGTCGGCGCGGAGCACCGCCGAGGCGCGCAAGCTTGACCCCACGGGCATTGTGACCTTCAGGCAGGCGGATATCGGGGAGTACCTGCGCGAGGAGGATACTCTGTTCACCACATGAGCGTGGGACGGGGCGAAAAGTGGTTTCAATCAATCGGCGTTCTGGATGGGCGAGGGATCAGGCACTTCCGTATTTGAGCCTGGGCGGCCGACAGTGTGCCGGAGCGACAACACTCCGACGTCGCGCAAGCATGGGTTACCATACAGCAAACAGTCATCTACCAGAGGAAGACACGCTAGGAGACATGCCAGGAGAATGAGAAGCAGATACCCAGCAATAGACTCAATCCATCTTCTACGGACCCTGCTTGCACCCCGCCAGGTACTGGTGTTCGACATACTCTTCCAGAGACTCAAACCTTGTCACGCACTCACAGCAGATATGCTGCAGGCATTTATGACATCTGATGTGGGTGCGTGCCTCGGGGTTGATCACGTTTGCCTTGCAGACGGGACATTTCATTACGACGTTCATTGACTTTCCACAGTCAGCAGTGGCTCGTGAATGCAGTTTCAATCCACGTTACCTTTTCCAACTTGCAATCCCATCCTACGTGAGGCGCCTTCCCACAGTGTTTGTATGTGCACGTCTGTGTGAAGCACAACACGCACGTGTACAACGCAGCAGTTTCTGTAACAAGGTACACTGACTGACATTTCTTTTCACGACATGACCGATAGGTTTCGGGGAGTGACAGCGTGTGCTGATCAACAGATAGTTCGAAGAGAGCTTGCAGCCTTTCCGCTGATACGAGTTTGCGAATATCCGACACCGCTATCCGTTCGCCACAGCTGGCTATTCCGCATCTCAGAGGGAAGTGCTTCCCTAAGGGGTCGGCGAGAACGTGCCACATCCGTTTGTCAAAGCAGGAAAAGCAGACGACATGCTCGCAGAAGGTGAGTATGACACCTCGAGCAACTTTCCCACACGCGTGACATCGAAAGTGTGCCTGTGCTCTGGAGATGGATGGATGTGGTGAGCTGAGCTCGTGCTGAAGAAGCTGTTCCGTTCGAGGAGGACATCTGACAATCAACGCAGTCGAAGCTTCATCGAGGACGAAGTTGCCACGGCCAAGAACCGCTTGTGCTGCCTTCCGGAGATCGTGTGCTTGTACAGCTGCCCAGGTGGAAGCACTGAGCGCAATCGTCCGCGCAGGCTGCATTGCGTCAAGCTTCGCAACAACGTCTGCAATTATGGGCGGATAACTTTCATTCAGTCTATCGTCGTCGGCGTATAGTAAAAGACGCTCTTGCATCAGATCAAAAACAAGAAGACTTGAATTGTCATCCTTGACGTGCTGTGGCAGTAGGTCCTCGACGTCCGGCGACAAGAAACCCACATGCCAGATTTCGTGCCTGACGAGGGACTTCTTTTCGGGATCGAGGCTGACTGTGGTTCCGGTGAAAATTTCCTTTGCGCGTTCTTTGACGAAGTTGATCATATTGATCCTGTCTCCGAACATGCGAAGGATGTGGCCGCTGGACGACGATTGCTCCCACACCTAGTAGAACCCGTCAATGAGACTGGGAAGTCGCTCCAGCCTCATATATATCAGATCCACGATCTGTGTCGATGCTTTGAAGCGCACATTGTAGACCAGTGTAGCGTCGATGCCGGCCATTTCATTGAGCAGCTGCACGGCCATATGAGCGTGCTCGGGCTCTTTGAAGTCCATCCAGAGCTCATTGTCTGGAAATGCGTATACCATCCTGCTTGCAATCGAGTGGAGGATGGATTCGATTACGGCGACTTTGGGTCCTGCGTGAACATCGCGCCAGACGATCCGCACGGTGTTCGCGTCGACCTTCATGAACACGTCAGGCCCAATTTCGACGTCTGTTCCTATGTCGAGCTGCAGAAGCGCTGCTCCGGCTCGAAAGTGAGCGACGCACCCCCTCACATGCCTGAGCATGGTGTGATCAGCCATTTGCTGCATGTAGGATGTTGGAAAATAATATGAACGAAAGTGCGGTTAGTGAATAAACGACGGCCAGTGGTGTCGTGAGAACTGAGATCCGGCTCAACTGGCTCGAAAGAAGGCGCCGCCATACAATCCGGCAGGAGCTACGTCTAGACATGTAGTAAGGGAAGGTCCTGCTTGCCGAACGAGTACTGCATGTGTTGTGTCACTGTATGGCGCTCTACCGTCGATGGGGTCAATCAATGCATCTACAGTGCATAGCGGCATCATAATAGACAATACTGAAGTGCTCAACGGTCGGAGCATAATGTGGTGCCTGTTGGGTGTGGTGAAGGGCAAGGGTCCACGGGGATGCGCCGCAACATGATTGGTTTCAGCTGGAGCCGCTTCCTGAACGTCCACGACCACCACTCATTCCTTGCACCCCACTTCGCACGCACCGCTCCAATGCGGGGTTATTAGACATCAGATGGACTTCGTTCGTGCAGTATCTCTCCTGCTCTGCTTTTGCTGACCCAGACTTGTAGTGGGTAAGGTTACTCGGCGGCTCTTCCCAGAAGAAACAGGCCGCTCCGAACAACCCGCAGCAACGTCTGGCACGCTTTCGACAGCGCTACAACCAAGTTCTGGTGCGCACAGCTATATGGACCATAAACTCGGAGCTGACTCCGCCTCTAGTCACAATGGCAGAAAACACAGAACCTCGCCAACGACCGCGAGGCGCTGAACAACATCCGCCGCGGCTTCCAGGCCCTGACCGCAATCCTCAACGATGAATCCCGGTCGCCAGCGCCTCACCTGTGCCTACAATTCGCGGCTGTTCAGCAGATATACACCGGCATTTCAAAGATCGCGGCAACGTCCTTCGATGAGGGTGTTGTGCGAGACGCTGTTGCTTTCTACAATGCGCTCATCGATAGCGAGGAGGAGGACTTCTTGGAGAACGACGTCTTTGCAGTATCCCTCATGAACTTTATAAACAGGACGGTAGGCTCCGGCGCCATGAACGTTGGAGAGGATATAGAAGCGGATATTGTCGAGCTGCTCTTCGGAATTGCGGCCAAGATCAGGTTACAGCCAGAGATATTGCCAGTGTGGTTCACCACCACCACCGACACGGCTAGCCGGGCTCAGGCGCAGGGCAGCGATTTTGCTGGTGTGACACAAAAGGAAGACTTTCCTTTGTGCTATCAGCTTATCGACCACGTTCACCATGAGGGACGCATCGGAGACTTCGCTCGCACCGGCTTGCTTTACGTGTTTGAGTCGGCTTCGAAGTCGATGACTCTCGAGCAGTGGATAGTCAATAGTGATTTGCCTACACTGATGGCTTCGGGGCTGGGTGCGCTATACAGTCAACTTAGCAGGTGTGTTCTTTTATACCCAACCGACTGTTGTGGTGATCTGACCAGTAACAGAAAGCTTTCGATCCTGCATCCACAAGACAACCTTCCACTCGTACTGTCCTTCTCCGACTACGTGGAAACAAAACCCAATAACGATACCGAGAACCTCCACACCGACGAGTTTCAGAGTCATATTGGCACGTTCTTGTCGTATCTCGCATTCTGGCAAGATGTGCTAGAACACTGTCGATCTGCAGACGTCAGGCATACACTAATTGATCACTTCCACGTCCTGTTTCTCCAGCAGCTCCTGTCAGTCGACACCACATCAGTATGTATAGCACAAGCTAACAGCGTACAGTTACCCATCTCTGTTGGAGTCTTCTGATGCCGATGGCGGTTCCTCTGTTGCCGTGCTCACATATCTGCGACGGATTCTTGACGCCCTCGACCACCCCGAGCTCGTTCATATGATCCTACAATACCTTCTTGCACTGCCAGATCGTGCAATAACGGGCAGGGCCCCCCGGTCATCTGCTGCAGTCAAGCGACGTCGAACTCTCGTGCTCATGACACAAAGTGAGAAAGAAGAAGAGCGGCTGAACCCATCCTTGTTCAACCTTGTCGATCTGATTCTGGGCAGCACTGACTCTCGGAACTCACAGACCGTCACATCAGCACTGAAGCTTACCACTGTCATTCTTGGCAAGAACCACAGTTATGGACTGGGATCTTTGATCAAAGTTATGAACGTACACTACAAGGAACCACATCGGACTGCCGGGGCTCTGAACATCGAGCTCGAGACCTATTTGAACCTTGCAATTGGCCTCGCTGGTGAGGATGGGGTCGACGAAGCCTACGAGATGCATTTGAGAGACACCCAAAGCCTGCTCGAAAGTCATCCCTGTTCTCTGAAGACCTTAGCTCTTCCTCCCACGCAAGGCTCTGGCTACTACGAGTCCGCTGAAAGCAGTGGCAGAGAAGTACATCAGCACTATCTGATTCCAGAGGATCCACTCTTCAAATCTCTGATTGAACTACTGTTAACCTTCCTTACGAACGACGTGGAGACCAATCTGGCATTGACGGAAGCGGTCATAAATCTTGGCACATGCTCTCAACTCCGTCTCGAGGGCTGGCTCTCGGTTGATCCTGCCGATTATCGCTTTGAGGATACTGTGCCAGAGACCATCGTCTTCTCAAATGATAGTCTCCGGGATGTATACATGGCGAGTCGCACACCGACTTGGAATCCATCAGCTACACCACAGCTGCTTGCGTGCATACAAAATGTTCATGCGCAGGTAGCAGCTCTCCGCGCCGATGTACCCGATTGGGATGAGCATGTCACGCATCGTAAGAATGCATTCCGTTTCCATGAGGAAATGCACGACGCGATGAAACAAGCGGTAATGCAGCCTAAAGCCGTCCAGCAACTTCCAGAGGCTCCGGTAGGATCGTGGACGCCACAGCTGCCAAAACATGTGTTGGACAACTCTGCAACACCGTCAAGAGCGCAGTCTCCAAGAGGCCGAAAAGACACGCTCTCGGAACACAAGAGTTCTCAAGCATCCTCTCCAGCGCCGTCGAAAGCTGCCAGCCTTGCGAGTCCGCCTCCAGGAACATCGTCACCTTTGCAAGGTGGGAAACGCCAGACCACACTGTTCTCAGACATCGACGCAAATCTCGCAGGTTTTAGACAGTCCGATTTACTTAGGAGGCGGATACGATTTCGCCGACCTGCTGGTTCGCAGGATGTCGAGGTCATGCTGTCGAAATATCAGCCCCCACCAAAGGAGCCTACTGACGATACTTCAGCCGGTGCAGAGACAAGCAAGGAGCAGGACGATATCCGCGAAGCTAGTCTTCTACATATCATCACGAACGTGGTTGTACTCCAGGAATTCGTGTTGGAGCTGGTGGCTCTGATGCAGGTCAGGGCGAGCTTGTTCAACGAGATCAAGTTTTCTTGAGTCGTTGCTTGTTGAAACTATGAGTTTTCGGATGCGAGTTAGACGGCATAGCGAATATACCCCTTTTGTGTTTGGCATCCTCAAGCGAGCATAATTCGAGTTTTCGCACACTTCTGTGCCGTGGAAATGTTCAACAAGGCTGTCAAAAAGCGCTCAAGGCCAGTCTGAGGCCTGCACCGTCGCTCCTGCGACGATGGTAGTTGGAAGTTCCACCAATGACAAGGGTGCTGTGCAACATCGTGATGGAGCCTCAGGAGATGATGTCCGGGAAAATGGGTCAAGAGCAGCCGACCTTCCTCGCTCCAGCCGGCCTATCTTCGTGCACGTGCCAGAGCGGGTCTACTCGGGACCTGTGTTTGCGGATGCTTTCCGGCACTCGCTTGAACGTCATCTTTCACATGGAAGCTACACCAGCGTTCCGTGATCATATGCATTCACGTGGACGTCCGACACCGCACCCGACCAAACTTCGGCAAGCCTCATTGTCTGAAGTGTGAAACCCAGCTTCAGGAGCAGGCACAATGAGCCTGCAGTGTTCTTGTATTGCTGCTCGGTTAAGGCCATCCTCTACAACCGATCCCGGCCGAAAGACATCTCCGCTCTCCAGGTTCCGCTCGCCCACCATCACAGATCTGGGGTAAAACGAGCCCTAGCGCCAAGCACCCTGAAGCGCAGCTCGACGCGTGCGCTCGCTTTGGTAACAACGGGTCTGGGCCGCTTCAGAGGCCGAGGCCTCGGCGCGTGTTTTATGTCCTCACACCCGCGGTAACTTGGGAGCTGGATTATGACTGTGATGCACTTCTTTACTTTTCCAGACTTGCGTCCTCTCTCTCCTTCTCGCTCCTAAAAGCTTGTGCTGCTGTGTCTGTTCTGCATTTAGCCAGACCCTTTGTTTCCAGTCGACAGCCGAGGCGCTCGAAAGCTAGCTAGAGCTCCAAACCCGGGGAAAGAGCTTGGGGAGATCAGCCAGCGTCATAATCACACACCTCCGCAGATCTCGAGCCTTTTAAAGTCCTGCGGGCTTCCGTTCGCGCGCAACTGCACTTTTGTAGAGTTGCACAACTCACTTCCTCCCAATATGTCTGCAAAGTCGACGCAAGGGCCTGGCGGCAAGAAGCCGGCGTCCGCAGCTACTAACTTGATCGGTACGATTAAATAGAGCCATTGCGCAGAGTGCGTGGTCGTTTGAGGACTTACTGATTGTTTTGCAGCTGGTGGTGGTGCTGGTATGATGGAGGCGCTCGTGTGCCACCCTTTGGGTATGTATTATGCCTGTCTTCGAGCTGCAAAGTATTAATTGAGCCTGCAGATACTATCAAAGTCCGCATGCAACTTTCTAAGCGAGCGCGCATGCCTGGTGTACGTACCGTCCCGACTCGAGCGCTGTCGTTCGGAGTGTATTCAGCTTCTAATCCTGGTTACAGGCCCCAAAGCGTGGATTCCTCAAGACTGGATCCGAGATTGTAAAGCGCGAGACTGCGCTGGGTCTGTACAAGGGTCTTGGTGCTGTCCTGACGGGTATTGTTCCCAAGATGGCTATCCGTTTCACGTCGTATGAGTGGTACAAGCAGATGCTCGCAGACAAGGACGGCATGGTGTCTTCAAAATCGACATTCCTGTGTAAGTGTGACCTTATTCTCGCAAGTGGAGAGATGGCTGGAGAATGTCCAACTTGTGAATCGTATGCAGGCGCAATTGCTAACCTCGTCTAGCCGGTCTCGCTGCAGGTGTCACTGAGGCTGTCCTTGTGGTGACCCCCATGGAAGTCGTCAAGATCCGCCTTCAAGCGCAACACCACTCTATGGCTGATCCGCTCGATGTGCCTAAATACCGCAACGCTGCGCACGCCCTATACACCGTGCTGAAGGAGGAGGGTGTCGGCGCCTTGTGGCGTGGTGTGTCGCTGACGGCTCTCCGTCAGGGTACCAACCAAGCCGCCAACTTCACAGCTTACTCAGAGCTGAGGTCGCGGCTGCAGACGTACCAGAACACCACCGACCTGCCCGGCTGGCAGACGTCTTGCATCGGTCTCATCTCCGGTGCCGTCGGGCCCTTCTCCAACGCGCCCATTGATACAATCAAGACCAGGCTGCAGAAGACACCGGCCGAGCCGGGGCAGAGCGCCATGAGCAGAATCACAGCGATTGCAGGGTAAGACATGACTGTCGTTTTGATTTGACAATGCTGACACTTTGACAGTGATATGTGGAAACAGGAAGGCGTGAAGAGTTTCTACAAGGGCATCACACCCCGCGTGATGCGTGTTGCACCGGGACAGGCTGTGACATTCACGGTATACGAGTACCTCAAGGGCATACTCGAGAAAGGAAGAGAGATGATTCCCGGCGGCCAGTACGAGGAGTAATGCGGGGTAATTCTTTGATATCCACGACGCTTTGATGGTCGCGTGCAGCAGGGCGGTCGTCTGCTCCTTACAGTAAAACATGTTCATACACAGTCAGAAACATTCAAAGTTAGCACAGCCGATTTGTGACATGTGAGAGGGACGCGCCAGGATGCAGGGACCCCATGCAACCGAGTCCAGCCCCACTACTGCATGCGACGTCACGTAAATAAACACACCTCCCACACAGCCCACGCCTCACCTCGCACCCAAACATCGACACCCAGAATCTGCCATTGCCGTGCATAAATCTCCATCATCATGCAGTCTGGTATCTCAGGTGAGTTGATGAGTCGAATGTGTATGAGTGGGGACTGACAGACTTCACAGCGTCCCAGGAGCTCAAGACGGCGCTGGGCGAGCTCATAGTCTCGCCCACGCAACGCGGCCTCATCGCGCGCATCGAGAAGGAGACCATCGTCCCCGGCGCCACGATCCCCTCCACAGCATCGACCTTCCTCGACGACCTCTCCAACGTCAGCACCCTCACCCAGCCCAACGAAGCCCTCTACATCCTCCTGCGCCGCGCCGACTCGCTCGCCTCCGACGACAAGTCCCTCGTCGCCATCACATACGTCCCCAACGCGGCCCCCGTGCGCCAGAAAATGCTCTTCGCCTCGACCCGCCTGACCCTCGTCCGCGAACTCGGCGGCGAGCACTTCCCAGAGAGCGTCTTCACGACCGAGGCCGCCGAGCTGACCGCGCAGGGCTGGCAGAAGCACGAGCAGCACACGGCGTCCAGCAACCCGCTCACGGCCGAGGAGCAGTCCCTGCAGGACATCAAGGACGCCGAGGCGCTCGAGAGCCGCGGCACGCGCGGCCACGGGCTCGCGCAGGCGGGGCGCCTCGCCGTGCGCGCCGACGACGATATCGCTGCCGCGCTGCAGGCGCTGGCCCGCGGCGGCGACAATCTCGTGCAGCTGCGCATGGACTCCGGGTCCGAGACGCTGTGCCTGGTGTCCGTGTCGAGCACGACGCCCGCGGGGCTGGCGGCCGCCATCGATGCGCGCGAGCCGCGGTACAGTTTCTACCGCCACGACGACGCGGCACAGAGTATCGTGTTCATCAGCACGTGTCCCAGCGCGGCGAAGATCAAGGAGCGCATGCTGTACGCGGCGAGCCGCGGGAACGTGGTCAGTCTGGCGCAGGGCGAGGGCGGGCTGACGGTGGCGAAGCGGCTGGAGGCGACGAATCCGGAGGAGGTCACGGAGCAGGTTATTCTGGACGAGTTTGCGGCGGAGAAGGTCGAGGTCAAGCAGGGGTTCAGCAAGCCGAAGCGGCCGGGGCGGCGGTAGGGCGCAGGCAGGCTGTTGTCGAGCGGCTGCGCGGCAAGACATGCGCGGGTGGTTTCAAGCACACAGCGAGCATAGCATCAAAACGCAGAGCCCTGCCTGCTCAAGCACCACAGCCAGAGTCTTCGTTCATTCATTTCATTGTACCCCTTCGCTAATCACCCCTCAAAAACCCCCCGCCCCCAAACTTCGCCCTCTGCCCCCCTTTCCCTCCTACCGCCTTCCCTTTGCCCCCTTTCTTACCCGTCCCATCCCTCCCTTTCAACCACCCCTCCCTCACCCCCCTCCCCCCCTTCCCCACCTTATCCGCCAACACGCCCTTCCGCTGCCCCAGCACAGCAACCCTGTGCTTCCCCACGCGCCGCTCCTTGGGCGCCTGGCTGCTCTGCTCGAGGAACTTGATGTGGCGGGCCAGTTTGGCTTTGTGCTGGGCCTCGGCCGAAGTGTTGGGGGTCTCGGGTGGCGGTGTTGGCGGGCGGGTTGCGCTGAGGTTCGCGAGGAGGGAGGCGGGGAGGAGAGAGGGCAGCGCGGTGTGCGGTGTGCGCTCGTCCTCGCCTGAATCCATTGCGTCCTCGACATCGTCAGCGGTGACTGCCAGACGCGCGGCTTTGGCGGCGTGGCGCGCTGCTTTTTCCGCTTTGCGTGCTTCTCGGTCGCGCTTGGCGGCTTGTTCGGCCGCGAGGCGCGCGGCGCGGGCGTCTGCTTTCGCGCGCTCTTTCGCGGCCTGTGCGGTGAGCGCGCGGGTTGTGTCTGCGGTGGCGGCGGCGGCGGCGCGGACGGCGGCCGAGGCGGACACGGTTTCGGGCGCGGCGTCGGAGTCGGAGTCGGAGTCTTCGTCTTCGTCTTCAACGGGCGCGGGGGTGGGTGCGGGCACGGCGGGGGGTGCGGCGGCGGGCTCTTCGCTGCCGAAGCGGACGTGTGCTGGGGCGGGCGGGGAGGCGACGGAGCTCTCCTGCGTCGAGGAAGGGATTTCTTCCGGGATGTCCTGTTTTTGGGCCTTCTTGGGGCGGCCGCGCGCTTTCTTTGCCACGGTCGGGGTCTCGTTCTTGGCTGATGCTGGTGTGTGCGAGCCCGCAAGCGCCTTCTTGCTTGTGAACGGCGTCACGAAGGCGGCCTCGGACGACGCGGGCTCGGGGGTGTGGAAGCCGTCCTGGGTGTGTGCATCATCACCCGCGTCCGACGACGGCGCGACGACGACCTTGGGGCTGGAGCGGCGGCGCCGTGCAAGCGGACTCGTCTTTTTTGGCTTTGGTGTGGGTTCGTCTATCTCGGATGCCGAGTCTGATATTTCAGTCGCGCCCTTGCGCGGCGTCGACCTCAATTTGCGCGTCACTTCCACGACGGTCGTCTTCTGGCGCTTCGGCTGGCTGGGCGACTCCAGCGCCTCGAGCTCGCGCTTGCCGACGAACTTCTTCGCAGAGCCCGCCGGCGTCGACATGCCCGGCGTCTCGGTGCCGCGGCGCGTGGTGACCATGGCGGCAGATTCTGGGTGTAGAGGGGCGGGGTCGCTGGTGGGGATCTCAGGGACTTGTTCTGCGGCGTCGCTGGAGGGGCCCTGGTACGATGGAGTGCGGCTGATGGCTCTTCGTGCAGCACCGAAAAGCTGCGCGAACATTGTATGGGAGCGGACGGCCCAGAAAAAGTTCTAGTAGCGCCCTGCACCAAAGCGGGCCTCTCGGAGGAGCCAAGAGTTCGGCTTAGCGCGCCTGACTAAGCAGCCGTCCTTCACCACCGGGAACGACATCATCTGCACAACAATGTCTTCGTCTCGTGTACTGGCCTGCACGGCAAGCGCTGCGCTTCGAACACATGTGTCTGCGTTCTGCCGTGCGCGACAGCTGCTGCCGGTCGGCCAAAGCAATGTCTTTTGCCCGCCAAAAGCAGCACGAGCGTACTTGCGTCTGGAGAAGGCTGGACAGACAGATGTGAAGACACAGCGCGCCAGGCTTGATACGCAAGCCCGACGCAAGTTCTTCGGGATCACAAGGGAGCAGAAGGTCTTGCTTCTGGAGGTCGATGTGGCCGAGGCCATTTACCAAGAGTTCATCGCGAACAAAGACCGCAAGCAATACGGGGCAATAATCGAGCAATTGATGAAGAGTTCGTACTTGGTCTTCAAAGTGAAGTCTACAACTGACAAAACCCAGAGTACAACGTCACGTCTGAGCAAATCTCCGGCCTCGCCCTAGTAATCTTCTCCGTATCAGACCGCGCCCCCGCAGCAGCAAACTTCCCCCCCAGCCCGCACAAATCCAACGCCGCCCTGCTCCTCCAAGGCTGCGCTCAACTCAACGACCCCCTCGCCCTCAAACACCTCCTCACCGCCGTCTACCTCAGCACCTACACCGCCTCCCCCCGATCCAGCGCCCACACCCTGGCCTCCCACGTCCCCCGCGCCGCCATCCCCACCTACCGCACCGCCCTCGCCTCCCTCACGCTCGCCGGCCAAACCGACCCCGAAGCCCTCACCCTCACCGGCCTGTTCCTGGAGCGCGAAGCCCAGCCCGCGCGCGCACGCACCTGCTACGAGCGCGCCCTCGCGCAGCCCTGGATCTTCGCGCACGCCCCGCACGCGCGCCACCCAATGCAGCACCCCGTCGTCCCGCCGTGGCTCGCGCTGGGCTACCTGCTCTCCGCGTCCCCCGACGCCGCGGCGCGCGCACAAGCAACTGCGGTCTTCGAGCGAGGCGCACGGGAGGCCGATGATCCCCTCGCGTGCTACGAGTTCGCGGCAAGGCTGCCGCGGGATAGCGCGGCGTGGCTCAGGTTCATGAGTAAGGCGGCGGCGTCGGGGCATGGTGGGGCGATGCTGGCGCTGGCGCGGTTTTATCGGGGGGTTGCGGCGGGCGAGGTGCAGACTGGGGCGCTGAGGGGGGCGCTGGCGTGGTTGTTGAGGTGGCGGAAGGGCGCGGCGGAGCGGTTGGCGGCAGAGTGGTATGTGGTGGCGGGACGGCGGGGGCAGGAGGGCGCGGAGGAGGAGTTGGCGGAGTGGCGGGGGACGGGGGCTGGGAAGGTTGGTGGGAGGGCGGCGTGAGGATGGGGTGGGGATGTATGATATTTGGTGTGTACAGTGTACAGCGTGCCTGTGGCGATAATGTCGAGAACCAAGAGAGTACTCTGACGCACACCCTCGCTGTCGAGCCACGCGGCCATGCCGCCTTGTCCGCGAACAACACGACACAGAGATCCAAAGCCTGCGGCTCCTTTCATATCTCGCCTCAACGACGTTGCTCCCACATCAACGTGTCTGGACATTGTTGCTCAGCCCGTGCGTGTAGCATGGCTAAACTAGAAGCTTGTACTCCATCGTCTCGATCATCATACAACAGAGTCTTCGCACGAAGCACGACAGGCGCGCTTCGACCTCTTCTTGTTCTCCAGTGCAGCGGGGTCGATGTCTTCGTCACATGGAGGTCGCTGTCCGCCAACAAAGCGGTACAGATGCGTCTGTGGTAATTGCCTGCACGCCATGCTGGACTCCTCGTTGATACTCCTTGGAGGTCTGGGGACTTTACTGAGCACGCTCACACGAGCGGGTTTGAGGCCGGAGCTCCTTTTTTCGTGCATGCGTTTTCGCGGTTACTGGTTTGCACACTGGGATTCGTGACACCTCTGTATAATGTTGGCGCTATAAGGCAGTAAAGTAGGAGATGAATCAAAATAAAGCAACCTGTCTATTTCTTTTATAACATATACCCGTGCCTATATTGGGTATTTTCCAATAGGTTCAGGGGTCCATTGCAGCTACAGATGAATCAGCGGTATTTTTGCGGAGTCTATGTAGGCTTTCTAAGCCCATGCCAGCTCCACTTTTTTGTCCTACCAGGTATCATTCATATTATGGTTAGAACAGAGTTGTTCCTACCATCGAAACGCTCTTCAGGAATCGAGATCGTAGCCAGACCGATGCGTGTATAGATGTGTTTATTAGGATCCACACAGGCGAACACCAAGCAATGTGCGTCCTCAAAACCAAGAAACGTGCGATAGATGGCCATGACTGTCGCCATCGTTCCATTCGAGAGCTCGCTCGGAGAATCTGGGTAGAAGGAGCTGCAAATATTGGCCTCCGTTCCCGACTGATCTCCTTCGTGAAAGATACTGGAATCATCGAGACACCACACGCCCGGTCTCTCTCCTATTCTCTCTGCAATACGTCCAGTAAAGCAAGGACCTTTGAGCTCCAACTGACCGGAGAGCAATTGACCGAACGGGTCGGATCCAAGAGGGATGGTTTGTATGCTCACTACTTCGGCCAAGAGTTCGAAATCCTGTGGATAGTTGTACCAGTACACGCGACCTGTGACTGATGCCCACGACCAGCTCGGTGCTCTGCATACTGCAGGTCGACTATGATCCCAGCTGCACCACAGAAGATCAAGAAGAAGCGTTTCCGAGCGCCATAGGCCGGCGTAATAATCACCGTAGTGCTGCAGTGATTTTGCTACACCTTGGAGCGCTGGGAATATATCCGTTTCGTACTGCAGTTTTTTTCGTGTGTACTGCCGTACCACGAAGTGCCATAATCCAGATTGCGTTGGGTATGGCTTGTCAGTCTCAAATCGACGGCCCAGCCTGGTTGGAAGATACTCGCTCTCTTCCACATATCGCCAATCCGAGCACTCACATGTGTTCCCCACTCTGCACTCCCAATACAGTTCATCTGGTCCGAAATGCACCACTCGCGGCGACAAAACCCTTTCTTGGAAGAACCACGCTCGCTGGATCAACGGTGATGTTTCAAGTTCATGCTGGATGCTCAGACGCATGTTGACACTGTACTGCTCATTGTTTGCATTGGTGAACCACTGTGGAGTCTCTTGTATGGTATCGGCTATCGAATAGCAACCGCCAGTACTGTCTTCAGACCTGCTTGCTGCGATTGTGAGGTAGGATCCTGAGTATATATCGCACATTTTACTCCCCTCATGTCGCCAGTCTTCTAGGTCATCCTGCTCTCGTAAGTCTTCATCAAAACTAGGAAGCCTCATACACTCACCTGGATGATGCAGAGACTGTCTATCCAAATGTACCTAACGCCCAAACGTCTTGTGATGTCAATGGTATCCTGGAATGTCGTTGGAAGATCGTCCCAGGAAATTGTATCACAATGCGCGGCAAGTGAAGCTGTCGTGGTGCGGATGAATGACTTCTTACCCCAACAGTGGCTAAGGCAAGTGTAGATACCCTTTTCATGGCAGTCTTCTCGTAGCCGGATCGTGGTCGCATCTATGATTTCGACGACGCGTGTCGGTAATTGTGGCTTTTGCCGGATCTGTTGGCACGGCTCGTGAGAGTCAAAGCATTCCTCAACCCAACCTTTGATTGTTGAGATAGCCGCTTCGGATGCAGTATTTAGAGAGATAGTACCACGTTTTAGTCGTGGCCAGGGGCATGTTTTCCCTGTGTTAGTCAGCTTGAGATCGTTGATAACTGAATAAAACGCCGCTGAACACACCTGTTGTCGTGAACAGATCGAAACGTATTGGACCTTTACCACTATACCATACCTGCATACGAGATGGGTCTATAGCGCCTCCCAGTATGCACAAAGACCCCTCCACATTACCACGATGCCCCTCATATGCAGCTAAAAGACTCGCAATAACAGAGCATCCGGCACAACCATTTTGTGCCGATCGAAGAAAGTCTTCACAGTTCATAGCTGTCACATATTCGAACTGGAGATGATCGCAAAGACTGCAAGAAAGCTTAGACGACTTGCTCCACGCTCGTTGAGAGAAGGATGCGCTGCAATCGTGTGTTGTCTTGGTATTTCGTGCAAGCATGATGAACAAGACCTGCAGTCGATTGTGATGATAAAAGTGTGGTTGAGTGAGCTACAGTTAGGCTTAGGCAGCCGCGAGGAGGTAGTCAGCATGCTCAGACGGGGAAGTACCTACCTAGGAAGGTACCCCGCACTGCGCCTGCATCAGGCTGTGCTCGTGTTGGAAAGAACCTCAAACAACGAAGCTCACCTGTACACTCGTGCTGATAATGTAAACATACCTGCTTGCTCAAGGCGTCAATTACATAGCTGCAAATATGCAGCCAGGGCATGCAAGGTGAACGCAAAGCAGACGGAGCGAACTGCTCATCAAGCTGCAAAGCTTCCGAAACGTCTTTCCGATAAGGCATCTACTTATCGACTGTCACAAGTGATTGTACGCTCACATCCAGTAGTTATATGCATAATTTACTAGCGTCTATGGCGTGAGTGATTACTGCATGCTTTGCGCTTAAATATAAGTCAGTATCAAGAACACTATAACTAGCGGTATATCTTTGTTTATTGACTGTAAAGATAATATGGCAACGCCTTCTAAAGAACCTACAACGCTACTCGGCTTTGTCTACGAGCCATTGCAATCCCTGTCTTCAATCCGAGTGTTGGACTTGCTTCCATCCCTCAACCAGGCCAGCACAATCAAATGCAGCGTTCGTCAGGTTGTTCTCGGAAACGCAAACGCTCGATATGACGCTCTGTCATACGTCTGGGGCGCGCGCAAGGGCAACCTTCCCATTCTGTGCAATGACCAGGAACTCTTTGTCACACCTAATTGTCGAGATGCACTCATCCGCCTCCGACAACGCCTCGGGATTCGTACGATATGGGTCGATGCTATCTGTATTGACCAGAGTGAGACGCCGACCGCCACGACAGAGCGAAATAGACAGGTACAGATGATGGGCGAGATCTATCGTCGTGCCCAGCAGGTCGTCGTTTGGCTGGGCCATGGCGACGGCAACCGATCTCGACGTATCTGGCAGTCATTGAGGCTCCTCGCAACCGCAAGACTCGCCGAAGTTGTATTAGATGACCTTCCCCTAAGCCTTCGAAATGCTTTTCGCCATATCACGAAGAGTGTCAGTCGTGTGGTGGAAACCAAGGGACTCAAATATCTCGAACGAGACTCCGACCCAATCTACGACGATTTCCTCAAGATCCTGGAAAATTCATGGTTCTTTCGGGTCTGGACAACCCAAGAAATCGCCTTTGCAAGGAGGTGTACCGTTGTGTGTGGTACTTCAAGCATGGACTGGACAGGCTTTACCGTCGCGATCAAACGAGCCCATGCTTTGCATCACTCAACCACAAACACAAGAATGATATCCTTCAAAGACAACATGCGGGATGACGTTCGAAACAGAGACATAGAAGACGAACAGTCGAGCGATTATAGCCGTATGTATGACATACAGCTACTCAAATCTATGTGCAAATTGCAATGTAGTGTTCCAAGCGACAAGGTCTACGGGCTGTATTCAATTTTGGAAGCCCGCGGTACCCCAATGCCAGAGCCAGACTATTCGAGGCCATCAATCGAAGTTCTCGAAGAGTTTGCGAAGGCATATACGCGCAGTCGTGGACAACTAGATGTGCTTCGCATTACGCTTCCCGCTACGGAGGCCCGTGGTCTACCGTCCTGGTTGCCTGACTGGTTCGAGGGCATCGCGGTCAGTGAACTGACCTGTAGCGATGTAACTGGCACCTGCATCGTGTGGTTTGATGACTTCCCCAGCGGTATTTCGGCGTGCCGTGAGGCCTCAGCGAGCCGTGAGCTGTCACCGGCATTTGGGAAGCTGAGGGTGAGAGGGAGATTTGTGGGCAGTCTCACGAGGTGCATTGCTGCGGTACCAATCGGCAGTGTTGATGTCGATGACTTCCCCCGGTTTGAGGATTTCTTGCAGACATGTCAAGATTGGTGTTCCGCCTTTGCAAGCGTTAAGACCTATCCTACCGGTGAGGATCCATCTCTTGCTGCAATTCGCACGATTGGAAGCCATCGAAGCTACGGTGGTCTGAACCTGAGCCGGGAGGATCTGACACTGTGGTATGAAAGAATGCTGCAGCGTCGCGACGATCAAATGGTTCTAGATCAGGACAGCCCTTCCCGTACCAGAGATACCGTGAACCTTAGCAACAGCGGAGATTCATCCAATCCTAAGGAACCCGGTCAAAGCTACGATAATAGCAGGATGCAGAAGGTCCAGAGGTTCGTCAACTACAAAGCTAACTATGCATCTTTTATTCTCGACAGCGGCTACTTTGGTACTGCATACAACACATGCCAAACAGGTGATGGCATCTATCTATTAGCAGGTCTCGGAGTACCGTGTGTATTGCGAGCTGTCGATGAAGAGTTCCGGTTCGTGGCGCTTGCGTACGTACACGGCGCGATGAGAGGAGAGCTATGGCCTGACGATACATGCGAGCTTCGTGACATGGTCCTCATGTAGCTACTGATTCTCCATGCCTCGAGATAGCCAGAGCTTGAGCTGTATCTGCCATATAATCAAATGAAATATGTCAATGAAGTAGTGCCGGAGTTTTGTCGCATAACTTGGGCAACATCTGGCGGTGTTCGCCAACGATGACTTCGCATGCCGAGATCTTGACGTCCCTAAGCAGTTACCAATGATGTGAAGGATGGATAATGCATTGATTGGCTTCATTTGCTCGTGTCACTGGTGAGAGCAGGTTAGTTTTGTTGGTACGACCTGTGTATCGTGGGACAAGCAATTTTAAGGGCGCATGCGATCTCAGCTGTGAGCCCGACAACATTCATACTCCTTATTGTTTAGAATCCTATCTTTTTATCTCGAAACGATTTGTTGTTCCTTTGATACTGTGTCCGTCGACATGATGCTGCGTCCTTGCTTGCATCACATCTGAAGGGAGCCAAGCTCAACTTCGCAATATAGGGTTCCACTCTTAAATGAATATGAGAGTATAGCTGAGTGGGCGAGAGGGATTTGGCGCGGTGACAAGGATTCAGAATACCCAGAAGAGGTAGTAATGGCTCTTACAGTCTGCAAAAAAAGCGTCCGAATTTTACCGAGTTATCACGTATTTCCCAAGGTTCTTGGTTTCGGTTCCAAATACTGACAGCCCCTGCTTTAATCTCACTTTCTGTAACGTACCGTGGTTTCTTGGTGTCGTTACCAAAATTCGAAAGCCCTTGCTTCATATAGATGTGAATCCAGAGCCCTTTACCTATATCACAAACATTTGCGAGACGAATAACTCCAACAACCACTCACGCCAGTTCTACTCCTGTCACAGCCGCTGCATCCCCGAAAGATACCAAAATTCTGAGAAATAGCAGATCTCCATCATGGCCAGGGAAGATGAAAACGTGAAGAGGAACCTGGATAGTGTTCAAGAAAAGCAAGCACAGAGATGGACATTGAGCCGTGCGGCTGAGCTAAACCCGCCGAAGACACCACAGCGTATCTCAAAAAATCCTTCTGACCCACAAATAATCAAGCACGCGGTCACTACTGTTAACAATGCTCGTCAATTCATCTCGCCGATCACATCTGAGCCGCAAAGAAAGATCTCATTGACAGATCCGCAAGAGCTCGAAGGAAGAGTGAGAGTTGCGAAGAGAACGAGCGTGTTTCACGCGGATGAGTGGAATACCCCCAAGAGGTTGAAACGCGACCCTCATATCACTGAATCTGTATGGAAATAGACCAAACAAGCAGGGAGAACTCCTTAAAAATCACATAAGGGGCAAAGTTGCAGACATGGCGTACGTTGATGCAATGATTATCTAGTATCTGCTCTTGGCTGGTTACACATCCTGAGGTAGCGACGGTCTACTCGCGAACCTGACATGGCAAAACCCCCACAGCTAAGGCTTTGACTACGCCACGCACATGTACGACGCACCCTCCGCGCCAGAACAACGAAAATTGGCTGCCGAACAACCCCCTGAAGAACTCCGACATGGTCCTGCGCCTCCACCACAAACCTGATCGCATACTCGGCCCGCTTCATCGCCAACACCTATCCCCTCGTGTTCATTCTTGCCACTCAGACCAATGCACTCATCGATCGCTTCGGTCAACCACACGCAGCTAGTCTCCACCTGTAAGACAGCTGTGTGCTAGCCATGCTCGCGGCCCCCGGCCTACTTGTAACTCCGAATTTCGAGTTCCTCTGGCTCTCGTGTACACGCGACAGAGCCACGCGGCGCTCTGGCACCACTGATTTGTACGGTATGTTTCATCCTGACGTGAATCTGGAAGCATGGCATGGCCGTGAAGTGCTGTTTATGGAGACACTACAGGTGTTTATGCGTTCTGGAGAGGAGGTTGCAGGGCGTGTTGTGTAGATGCTGGGCAACTATTTGACGAGAGCTGGGTTTCTTTGAGCTGTATATTCCAAAGCCTATTTCTGTGTTTTGAGAATAATCTAGCCTACGGCGCACTACAAGTTCTAAAACCGCCATTCACGTTGTCAAATTCCATAGTGTTGAATTGCCATCTTAGTACGCCCTGTTCCTAACAATCTTAGTTAAATTCCTCGTTCCAGTATCCCTATCATTCGCAAACACAATCTCCAGCTCATTCTCTGCATTGACTCTTACACCAACACCCTCGCTAAAGGTCTTGATAGAGTCTATGCCAACAGACGTGTGTCCTAGATGATCTGGCTTCTTTGACTGGAGAGCGAGTGCAAAGAGCTCAGTTCCAGAGTTCCAGGCTGTTGAAGCTGAGCCAGTGATGAGAGTGTATAGCATATAGCTAGCTGTGATCGCACAGTATACAGTTAGAACCGCCATGGAGAGGTATACTGGTGTTGATTTGGCTCCGTAGCCGTATCCATAGTTGGTTATAACGAAATATAAAGCCGTTGAGTTTGGCGTTGCTGTTTGTAGTCTGTCATGCCACTGATCATCGGGGTTGGGCAAATTAGCTAGCGTTACAGCCAGAACCTGCGCCAAACTGCGACCCATCTCAAACATCTCCATGAGGTAATGGAATCTCGAAGCGCGAAATGTGTCGGCATGCGTGAAATTCAAGATAATCGGTTGGGCATCCAATTGCCTGCGTATTGATAAAGATTTCGTTTGTGCGATCGTCGTAAACCCGTTCACGAAGTACTGTATCTCGCCAGTATTCCAGTAGGCGGAGACAGTGCAAGTGGTGGCGTACAGCTTGATTCCAGGGCTCTTCGGAGCCTCGCTGAGCAAATCCTCGCCCTAAAATGGCATGCGTGGATTCGTTCTTGAATTTACCGGAGGTGTGACCAAAGATGAACACTCCCACCGATGATGCGGAACTAAAATCTGGTGACCGAATCCAGACAGGACCAAACCAAACCGTCGAAGGAGTCCCGATCGCGTATGGATTATTCATCTCCATGTGGTCTGAAACTTCGTTAACAAAAGTGCCTACCGCTGGAAGTTCGCCGACCGTGATCCGATCGTTTCTCCAATATCTGATCTTGCTGCTGGCATTGAGACTACTGGAGTTCTGCGTCAAGCATTGCGCCTCTACAATTGGATGTGCCGTCACGCTTGTTATGCTGCCATTGGTCAAAAGATCTGAATCGTAGGTCATAGCACCGGTAATGTATGCTGTGGGCAAAGTGGCAACAAATCCAGTTTCTTGATTTAGGGGAAATTCAAACCCGAAGGGGAGCGACCGTAGAATGCGCCGTCTGTTGAGGCCGGGGATATTTTGATACGCGAGTGACATGGGACCTTGACGGCCGTTGTAATCCCAGAATGATGATTGATATAGACTCGAGTTGTATCGCTCAATGTCACTGTCGATAGCTTAGCGTTTGAGTTGCAATAGGCCAGGCGTCGTACACGGTCAATCCTTCAGCAACACCTATCTGACTGGGGTAAAAACTCTCTGTAGACTTGTTGAGGTGGATTAAGTTCTTGTAGCTAGAGAGTGGACTGTTTGGGCGTGGTTTCATGAGGATAGCGCTTGATGGCCCAACTAGCGATGTCAAGCTGATTAGCGCAGGGATGGCAACTATAAAGACAATTCGCTGCCACCTACTAAGAGCAGGTGACCCGAAGAGGGAGAAAAAATCAAGGGACCAGAGGTATGATACCTGAGTTGTCTGGATAGTACTCGTCAGTGCGCCAAGAGGGACCATGTTGTCTATTAGACTTGTTCGAACAAGACAGAGCAGGATCTCTACAATGGACGCTTGCATCACCAGCTCATGAAGCTTAGCTGCAAACTGCAGGGACGTTGAGTAATCTTCAGCCCAACTAACCCAGTATTCAGTCCACTGGAAGACCAGAAGTATCATAGCCCCAGTGAGAGGAACCAAGTGTGACAAGCTGTGTGCAGCAGCAACTGTCCGACTTTTGTAGACTACCGTCTTGCGATGCTCTATGGCAGCATTCCAATTCGAGCGACCTAGTTTGGCAAGTATAGGGATTGCAAATTGGAGTCGAAGATGACGCAGCAAGCTGCTGAATGTGATGTTTTTGTTTGGAGGAGATTTGTTCTCATCGTGTGAACGGTCACACGCACCATCGCTCGTCAAAAAGTTCGTGTATGAGCTTTGAGACCTGTTAAGATGAGTTCAAATGCTCATAATATCGGCATGAAATGACTAACGGCATCCTCGGCAGCTCACGCTCAGATCCAGCCTTGTGGCTCATTGTATGCGATTGGGTGGTAAGTGCTACAAGATGACAGCGTAGTCTTTGTTTCTGACGATGATATAGATCTGCAGCCAACGATCAAAGGAGGTCTGTTTTTGAGGTTGTTTAAAGAAACAAACATGAAGAAAGACACGGTTGATATTCGAAAGGCTACCGTGGGGGCTATGTTACAGCCAAGTGTGTGTGCCACCAACGAGGCCTCCTGATAGGTACCGGTGAGCACGAGACGCACGGTGTTCAAAAACAAGAACTGTCAACCAGCATGTAGCAGATGTGCCCTAACAATTTATACTGTAACTGCGTTTGGAGTAAAGTGTCTCATTGTTTAAGCTCTTGCAAGGAAATGATATAAACAACTGTTCTTGTATATGGTGTAGGGTTTTTTTTTGAACATATACGGAACATGCGATTTCCAATTTCTCTCGACTGCAAAGATGGACACTGACCGGTTCTCGGGTCCACTCTCTCGAACAGGGGGAACTGTAGACCTACGGTGTGCTGCTTATGGAAACACTGCAGTGACACATATTTGCAGATCACGTAGCTCGACTGCAATTTGTGTGCGCTGGAATGGCATTAAAGATGTACGTATGAGCGCATTGGGTTCCTGCTTACGGCGAATATGGCGGACCCGGAGGTATCCGTAGGTTGCAAGGAGCAAGTGGTGTTACGTGGTATGACTGAAGTCTCTATGAGCCATGGATGCGGAGTTGTAACTGTAGATGAGAGTCTTCGTCTTGTGGAAGCACCCACCGAGTATGTCTACCGATTCGCTAGATTACAGTGCAGTGAGAGCCACAATCGCGATCGTGTATAGATCATCCACCACATACCAGGGTACCTACCACAGTTCTCCCCGCTTCTAGGTACATTCCATGGTCTCACTCTCAGCACCTCATTGGGCAGCGCCCTGACAGCGAAACACATAATCAACAAACCAGACCGTTATAGCCAATCAAAGCACCACTCAGCCTCATGTCCGCCCATCAAGAACAGCAAGTAAGGCAAACTTGTACCACAAGCACCGCGCGTCGACACTACCTAAGCCTCCCAAGCGACGATTACGCGCTCTGCCACTTCACAGCCGAGGGCGACTGCGCCTCATCGACATGAGCCATGCTGTGTCGTGGCGTACACTTAGCCAGTTAGAAAACCAGATAGAAAAAGACAACCATTAGCTTTACAAAATCTAACTATCCGTTAAAAATGGCACTTAGCCGGTTACAGCGTCTAGAACATGAACTGGTGATGGTGTTGAGGAAGCAGCGAGGCTGAGAGCTGGGGACGGAGTCGCTAGGTTGCGGCTAGGTGTCGCGTCATGGTACAACGAAAGAGTTGCGGTAGGGTATTCGTTTCGCATTGTGATGGCTATGTATGGGAGCGGTGCGTTGGTGTGGGTATATCGTGGGGTAGCTCCATCATCCCCATGTCTTCATCTCCATCATCTCGTCATCTCCTCAATCTCCATCTCCTATCCCTCTCAAACCTACAACCGCGCCCTCACCGCCTCAACCGGCAACGCCCCACTCATCAACACCTCCCCGCTCCCCGCATCCTCCCTTCCAAACAACACCGCCTCCCGCCCACCCCCCGTAGTCCACCACCCCACCGCCACCCCACCCCTCTCCGCATCCATCTCGCCCACCAGCACCTCCCAAACCCTCTCCTGCACCGCGCCCCTCATCCCGCTGTCCTCAATCCCACTCACCAGCCCCGCCACAAGCGGCAGCCACTCCCCCAACACCCCCGGATCCACATACGGCAGCGCATCGACCAGCGCCAGCGCCAGCACCGCCTGCTCCGACAGCGGCGGCGGCGGGGCGTCGCTCCCTTGCAGCGCGAGCGCGGTGGCGTCGGGCGGGAGCGGGGCGGTGGGCGCGTGCGTTGCGCGGTGGAGCACGAGTTCGAGCAGGGTGGCGGGGAGATCGGGGTGCGAGGCGCTCAGGGGCGAGGGGGGCGCGGTGACGCGCAAGAGCGTTTTGAAGGCGAGGCGGAACTGGCGCGGCGACAGGGTGTGTGGGAACGCGGTGAAGAGCGCGTCGATGTAGAAGGGTAGGTGGGTTGCGGTTGTGGCTGCGCTCTGGGGCGCGGAGAGCACGGAGAGGATGACGGAGTGGGCGGCTTCGAAGGCGGGGGTTTGCGAGTGCGACGGCGAGGGCGTGAGGTACGGGATTGCGGTTGCGATGAGGAGGGTTTCGTTGATGGGGGCGGGGAGGGTGAGGGTGAAGTGCTCGCTGGTGTTGAGGAAGTAGAGGTCGAGCGTGCGGTCGAGGGGGTGCGAGGGGACGGTGCCGAGGTGGGGCGGGGCGATGTGGGAGAGGAATTTGGTGGCGGCGGCGGGGTGCGTGGAGAGGATGTCGATGGCGGTGAGGTAGACGAAGGTGTGTTGCGAGAAGGACGCGGGGCCGAGCCGCGAGGTGATGAAGTACATGTGGCGGAGGGTGTGGAGGGCTTTGGAGGCCAGCGCTGGAGCGTTAGTGTCGGACGCGAGAACTGGATCGCGGAGGGTGCGCGTGAAGACGCCGCGCAGGATTATAGTAGTGGCGAACAGAGCCGCCTTCAGCAGCTTCCACAGCTGAGGGGTCGTTGTGTGAAGCGCCTCTTCCTCGAGATGTGCCGCCTCGTCGGCGGGGTCGATATCCGAGAGCTTGACCTGCCGCCACTGCGTTGTGAGTGCGCGCGCAAAGCTCGCCAGATCGTCCATCATGGTCCGGATGATCCACGGATTCCTCACATTCTCGACCGCATGCGCAATCAGCCGCGACAACGGCCCCATCGACGCCACCAGCGGCCGCGCCAGAATGCCCTCGACCTGCCTGAACGAGCTCGACGCCGCACTCCAATCCAGCCTCCCGTCCCTCCCAACCCTGACATCCAAATCCAGCCCGCCCAGAAAATACGCGCTCTGGAACCCCTCGACCGAGTAGAAGGCGGTCCCAATCAGCACCGGCAGCGCCAAGTCGTAATCGACCCTCGCGCGCTCCGCGTCCCGCACACACCCAAACGCATGATTCAGCACCAACACCACCGTCTGCCCACCCAGCCCATCCGCCTCACTGCGCTCCCTAACCTCCTCCAGCGCCAGATTCGCCGCGTCCACCAGCGCGGCCTCGAGCTTGCCCCGTACGCCCCCCGCCCAGTACAAATCCACGCCTTGCTCCTCCAGGCTGCCGAGTCCGATCAGCAGCCCGCCGAGCACGAGCAGGTGTTTCCAGCGCCTGCTGCGCTCGTCGGCGCCCGCGACCACGGCCTTGATCCACGCATCAAGGCCCAGGCCGCCGCCGACGGGCGTCTGGCCGGGCTGCAGCGCGGGCGCCGTGTGGTGCCGGGCGTCGTGGTGGTGGGTCAGGACGGCTGTGGCGGCGGCATGGAAGACGGAGAGCAGGCGCAGGGGCGTGCGGAGCCCGTCGGGGCGGTCCCAGAGCGCGGGCGCCGTGAGCAGGTGCGAGGTCAGGAGCGAGAGGTTGTGCGGGTTGCCGAGCGAGGTGAGGAGGGAGGACGCGGTGCCGAGGATGCTGGGTGGGTTAGCTTGGGTTGGGGAGTGTCGGGGGTTGGGCGTGCCGTGGCGTGTCTTCCTGGTCGGTGTAGACCTGCAGCGCGCGCAGCAGCGTCGAGAGGAGGCGGTCGGCCGGCATGGTGCCTGCGGTGGGCGAGATGGAGATGTTGTGGTGGTGCGGCGCGTGGAGGCGCGATGGTCGACGTCCAGCTGCGAGCCGAGGTTGCGGCTAGCGCGGTGAGCACTGTGGGTCCCATCGCGGAGCCGCATCGCCAACCTTCACCGTCGACGACGCGCTAACGAACAACCAGCGAGCACTGACGTCGTGTGCTGCCTCTCACGCCCGGAGCGCGTCCTCGCAATGCCGCACCGATGAGGTAAGACCTTCTCCTCGTTTCTAACCCTGCCCCACGTCTGACACCCCCAGCTTCATCCAGCGCCTCGACAGCGCCGCCCCGTTGGGCTACACAACCCCCCCCCTTCCCATCGCTCTACTGGCCGCTTCCGCCCGGCGCCGCGCAATCCTACTACCTCTACACGCCGTCAGATATCCTGCGCTTCACCGTCTACTGGACGCTGCTGCTAGCGGGCGGCATACACCTCGTCGTTGCGCTGTGGGCATGCATCACGCAGTGGCGCAACTGGAAGTACGTGTGGGTAGTGCCGCCCCTATTTTCGCTTGTGGGTGCGCTCGAGGGCCTGTTTGCGGGCGCCATCGTGGGCGGGCTGCTGGGCGGCGTCTACCAGAGCGGCTATTTTGAGATGAGCACGTGGATCCCGTTTGTGTGGGGGTGCATCAACGCCCTGGTGTTGATTCTGGCCAGTTTTGCAACCTATGGTGGGCTGTAGTCATGGCGAAGAGACGCGCGGCTTGAATGCCGAGTTTCGGCAAGCAGGACGAGAGGTGAACAATAGTATTCATGGAATATCATACTCAAGCCACAAGTGCAATCTAACCCGATATGTGTCCCTTTTTCCTTCTCTTAGTATGCAGTGTAGGAAATCAGTAACAGACCGAAAAATAGCGAATGACTGCTGCAGCCAACTCTGCCCTCCGTGCTGCGCATCAGTTCTCGTTCTCCCCAGTGGTGACGTCGAAGTAGCCAGGACTCCTTCCACTGCCTTCCTTCTGCTTGTTCGGCGTCAAATCGAACCTCGGGCTGCTGAGTCCCGCACTCATCTTCTTGATCGCTAGGAACGTCGCCTGCAGCCTGGTCTGGCCCGGGCTGCTCACACCACCAGTGCCGGTAGGTGATTTGGCCGTGGGCGTCAGCGCAGAGGCACTGGGGCTGCTCCCCTCGCGCTTCAGCGCACCGCTCCAGCTCATTGCACGGCTCAGTACCGGCGCCGCCCGTCTTGCCGCGATCGATTGGGTGGGTGGGCTGCTTGCACGCTGCGTCATCTTCGGGCGCATCCCCTTGTGCAAGTTGTGTTCTGCAATGGGGCTGACCATCGGGCTCGAGATCGGATCGGCAAACTCCAACACCACAAAAGACCCGCCTTGAGACTCATACGTGTTCGGTCCCGGGACAAAGTTTCGCACTTTCCGTGGGGGTTCAGTGAGCGCTTTGTGGTGATGGTGCGCTGAGTGGTGGCCTGGTGCCCTGTCAGTCTATTACTCCGCATCAGAAGAGGATGTGATTGATGACGACGAGTCGCAAGACGGAGATGCATGCACGGAAGAGCGAGGGCTCAAGGCAGGAGAAGATATGGTTTATATCTTGGTGCAGGGGCGTACCTCGACTGTGGCGGGCGGTTCGCTCCATACTCTGCAGTTTCAGCGGTGGCGGGTGTTGACCAACCGGCGTTGCAACAAGTGTAGAGACCGCAGTGATTGGGCTAGAGGGCTGTGAATTAATTGCGAGACCCAAGCCTTCTGTTGTGATCCGCGGCGTCGGTGGGAGTACACGAGGCGTACAAACAGTATGCCCGGGAGTAGGTGGTGGATCTCGGGCATCAGCGGTGATATCCTCGGACTCAGCAGGACTGAGATTGATCTGCGGACCCGGCAAGTCTGTAAACTCTGCATGGGGTATGCTGTCGACTCGGGGCAGGGTTTTATGCTTCATATCGAGATCCGTGACCTGTACATCACCGAATTCTGCAGCATCGTTAGCTTGACTTGTCACTAGACATGAGTTATGACTTACCTTTTTGCAAATTTGCCAGTCGGTCGTCGTATGATTCCAGGAGAGTGTTTGAAATGGTGCTGACTGTGTCGGACGCGTTTGAATCTGGCTTCCAGTCGATCGGACAGAGAATACCATGCTTTGCAACAGCCTGGAAAGCCTCAAGGAGTCGCAGGGCTTCCAAGACACTCCGCCCCACAGTGAGATTGTTCAGTGTGATCTGTTTGACTGGTTAGCTCGTTACGCCGCAAACAAACGACTCTTTCTGATGAATGCGTGTACAAACCTGCTGTACCAGTCCTTGGCCGTCGATGATGAACATGCCTCGCAGACATACACCTTCCTCCTCGAAGAGTACGCCATAGTCCCGACCGATCTTGTGAGTCGCGTCACTCAACAGCGGTATTTCGATGTTACCGAGACCGCCATACTGCCGTGGCACATTCTGCCAGTGCCACAAGGAATGCTTCGTATCGACCGAGATAAAAGCAATACTACAGTGTCTCTCCTGAAATTCTTCGTAACAAGTCTGGAAGGCAATGACCTCAGTCGGACACACAAAGGAAAATGCGGCTGGTATGAAGAGCAAAAGCAGCCAAGGGGCATCCGAGTCGGCGGAGCCAGGTGAAGTCGAAGGACGAATAAAAGTGCTGAGCGATACTTCTGCCCTAACGTAAGTAGTGCTGCGTAAAACCGGCATGGGTCAGTAAATACCCTTGATGGAGCCTCCGACGACTGCTTCACAGTGGAAGTCGGGAGCTCTATGCCCGATGCGGACTTGGCCTAGATGGCTCATGTTTATTTTCACGGCGCGCAACAGGCACTCCAAGACTGGGAATTTCTTGTATGGATATTCCGAGATTGGAATCGGTCAGCCATGTCCGCGGAAAAGCTTGTATATAACACCTGTCATGCCATTGACTATCACTGACCTCATAGTGTTTTGGACGCAAGCAAATCGCGCCTGCCCATTCACTCTAGTGTGTCTCTGTTGCTTGGGGTGTTGTTTCTGAATCTCGTTCCACGCGGCCGGATCGGGTCGGAGCGGCATTTTCTTGGCATATGGCTGCTTTGTAGGGCTGTGCAACATAACATGATAATGATGGTGCTGTCGCATGCGTGTCTAGAAGTGAAGTAGTTAAAGTGCTAAACAAGAAACCGCTCGATACAAACCATGGAAAGCGTGGAGATGGTACTGCAATTCACGATTACGACGAAGCACCCCTACATTACTGATGTTTTGCGCATCTGATTTGTTTCGGATGTAGCTAGGCGAAGCTCCATCGAAAATGTTTCTCATACTAATCTTTCGAGCACATGTCCCATCGAATTTGAACTTGGCACGATCATCCGGGTGGTGCCACAACACATCTGCGGTCCTCAGAATCCATCCATTGAACTATTTGCATCGCCAAGCGTCCCTCTATCGCGAACGTCAATCCGGCACTCCGGGTACCTAGGGTAGAACATGTGGATCTGGTTGCGGGAACGTGGCAGCAAACGAGAGAGAAGAGCCAACGGAATGAAGCTCTAATGGCAGGCTCGGGTTATATGTCCGATGGCAGCGTCAGCTTACCGTGAGATCTTAAGACACCTACTTAGTGGACCAACTCTTACCCTTGCAAGTGGACCAATGCGGCCGATATATAGCCCATATCGCTGGTGGTTGCTGGTCTTATTGCTCGTATAGCAAATCTAGTCGTGGTCGTATATATCGACTAATCAACCAGTATGAATCCTGAATCTCTGCTTGACTTGCTTTCGACACATGGGACAATTGGAAGGTCTGATTGGGATGTGAGAGTGCTTGACAGGCACAACCACGTCTGCGCACCACTCACACATGACCATGTGGCCGCAGGGCAACACAGCAATATCGGCCAATTGCTCGTAGCACACCTGGCACGCGATCACCTTTGTCATCTCCACATCTGTCTTCGGCGGTGGTCGGTTAGGTTGGTTGTCCAAGGTTGGGGCAGGTCGTTCAGGCTCCGGCTGAGTGTGGAGAGCTGGGGAGATAGCCTCTAAAGTCATTTGCAACCTTCGCAGTTCACCAGTGTAGTATTCAAGCGTACTACCCAGAGAAGGAGAACCCGTCGCAATAGCCTCATCTGCAACTGCGCCCATAGGTTGTACGTTCAAATTCAGCCAAGGCGGGGTGATAGTCACCTCATTGGGTCTCGGTTCAGAGCCCGAGTCGGTCCTGACTGGAGCGTAGCTCCACACGGTACTTTCCGGATCTTGATCGAGCTGGGACTGGTGTAGCACACCCAAGAGGAGCCGATCTTCAACTTCTCGACGCTCCTGGCCAGACAGCCCTTCCAGAGGAGACGCTTCTGTGTCGCCAGCGGCTCGCAGGCTCTCTGCTTGACGATAGTGGTTCCATGCTCGATCGTACATGGCCGACAGAGGAGACTCATCGAGATCGCGCTCGACGTCTGCAAAGGGGGTCTGAAATCGTTCCCGCGCCCTCTGCCGCTGCGCGGCAAGGCGCACTGCAACTATGGACTGGAACGCCGGTATGGGGCCTGTGTTTAAGGTTGGCGTCTCCGGTGTTGCTGGTGTCTCATGTTCTGCAGCCTCGGCGTCTGAAGCCGCTTCCAGAAGGCTGTTCAAAGCATCTTCGAGACTCTGCTGCGGCTCGGCGGGCCTTTCATCTTCCGATGTCAGTCGGTGCCGTGCTAGCCTATTTTCCGGTCTCCTGGCGTCATTCTCGACACCTGCTCGTAGCTGATCCAATGTTCGTGGCAGGAAGCCAGGGCTGACTTCATGCAGAGGCTCGCCCATGACTGCGATGCGCTGCTCGGTGCCATCAGGACGCGTTGCTAGCCGGAAGCCTTGATGAAATTCGAACCATCGCTCGAGAAAGCCCTTCTGGTCGGGTATCTCGGGGATGCGTGACTGGGAGATCTCGAGTGGAGGTTCGGTGGCGGCCATGCGGTTGGTCCAGAATTCTGCGCACGATCAGCTGTCTTGTCGGGCTGGCAGCACGAGAGAGAGCGGCTACCTTTACAGAACCAGCAGTAGCCTTGCCACCGGGTCCCTCGCTGCACGAAACCGATGCCATCTATATACACTCTGTAGGTCAGGCTGTGTGGTCGCTCGTCTGCACAGGCACAACAGTTGAGTGTGGATGTCAGCCGGCACGACGTCGCAAGCTTGTGGTCGCAATGCGCGTCCAGCCGCGGGCAGTCGGCAGTGAGCGTGCCCATTACTGCAATAAAGCCAGAGGCCAATAGCGAGGGGAGTTAGTGAACCGTTGAGGCAGCTATAGATAATTAGTGATGATCGATTGTTGCTGTGGCCACTGGCTGCTGAATACCTGCAATGACGCCGGTGGTGGGGCTGAACGATGCGGAGGACGGCTTGCGGAGGAAGGCGCTTGCCAAAGCTGCGCGGCTGGACTCGATTATAACAGCCAGAGTGAGTTCTTGCTACACCACTCGCCAATCGTGTGCTACATTGCTCTCTGTCGAACGCCAGTTATGATGGTCATTTTCGGGTCAGCCAACAAGCCCATCGGAGAAGAAGTAAACGCTAATTTAGGGCATTGAACAGGTGAGACTCTACAATAACTCTGCATCTACCAGTGGATAGTCGTTACTAGCTATTGTGCCGTTGAATAGAATGATCGGTGTTTGACAGAGATCACGGTAGCTGCTTTTGCTTCATTCTTTTGACAGATTTCACTTGTGTCGACGTTCTGCCCATTCTATCGAAGCGCAGGGGAAGCAGCCGTTATAAGCGCCAACACCCCTCCTTAATCGTGGTACCTTTGTCTCACGAACAAGCCAGCACTCGGCCACCCTACTACACGAAGTAATGTGTGGAGCAGCAGGCATATGTTCTACAAGAACGACTTACGAGGTCTCGCAATCAACCCCGCGGCCAGTCGCGTTTTGACACAAAACAATTGGCCTCATGGCTGCCCTGGAGCTCACGAGAGAGCCTCAGACGGTCTCTCTTCTACAAAGTTCATATTGGGCCCAAATAATTCCTGATATTGCTGGCTAGTGATGCTGACGTAACTGCCGTGGCGTGGTACGGAGGGCCGAAAACGCGGGGAACCTTGGACATTGACGGCCCGCGATTACCTTCGTACGAGAATACCGACCGTAGAGAGCCACCTCATCAAAATGACTCCACCGGCCTCCGCTGAGCTGTCTCGGAAACGACGCGCTATCAACGCGTGTATCTCCTGTCGCTCGTCTAAAGTGAGATGTAATGGCAGGCAGCCCTGTGAGCGGTGCGACAGAAATGATACCATCTGCCAATATCGCGACGTGTCAGTGCAGGACCCCAGTATTACTCGCATAGAGAAGCTCGAGGCAGAAGTAGCGCTTCTCCAGGCGCAACTGCGACGAGATCAGCAGCCGACTGGAATTCCGCCACCGCAGACTGCAGAGACCAGTGTCGGGCCTAACTTCCTTCAACCAGGGGAAGTGTCGATAACACAGCCTCATATATCGATGAACGCGGTTACAAAAGGTATCATTACATACGATGATGCTCTGCAGTGGTTCGCTGGTTTCTTTGCTGGTAGCCATTACCTCGTCCCGATTTTCTCGGAAAGCAGCGACGTGATCACCTCGGTTGCCACGCGCAGTGCGTTTCTTTTTGATGCCATCGTCAGTGTAGGTTGTCGAGCGGAGCAAGGTTTCAACTCCCCAGTCTTTCGGCGACTGCAGTCTGGTCTTCGAGAGCATCTCACCCATCTACTCATCACATGCGAACCACCAACACTGGAGGCAGTGCAAGCTATTGCGCTCATGGCAGCTTACAGCGAGAATGGATACATCCTAATAGCCCTTGCCCTGCGGTTTGCTACACAGCTGGGTCTTCACACGGCTACTGACCGGCTATTGGCTCCCGTGAATGACCCAGATCATTCGCGTACTGAACAGTCGGAGCTTTACCGCTTGCAAAGAGTTTGGCATGGCATCTGCAATCTCGAGCTTTTGTAAGTTTTTGATCGTCTGCATTACTAGATTTGATTTAACACTGATTTCGGTAGCTTCTCGCTCGATGGTGGCCACGTCCCAGCTGTAACGCCACGCTCAACGCCGCGCAAGATACGCGCCCTCCTTAACCATGCAGACTGCACACCGGTAGATATTCGATTACTCTCACAGGTAGAGCTCAACCTCATACGAATGGACGCGTACAACGATGTCCTGAAGTATACCAGCACCAGTTCGTCCCTCTTGGAAGACGAAGAAGTCATTCGAGCCAAGGTTCGCGACACGACTACCGAGCTGTCACTTTGGCTAAGCGAGTGGACCAAAGTCATGTCTGAGGACCCAGTACTCCACCAGCGTGATCTTGCACTACTCAACCTCCACATTCAGTACGACTGGGCACTCACTACACTGCATCTGAAAGCTGTGTCCGCTTCAGGCATAGAGAATATCGCCATTATGACTAATTTCCAAAAGGAGATGATTCAGATAGCCAAGGAAGCATCGACAAGACACTTGCGTCATTTGCTAGGAGTCTCCACTTGCCCATCATCGCCGTCTGGATTAGCGCCTGCGTATCTCAACACTTTTAAGTGGACGATGGATTATGTGTGGGCGAAAGGTGCATTCTCCATATTGCTCGTGCTTCGACTGTCTGTGCTCCTCCGCGATCCAGTCCCTCACACCTTGGCTCTACTCCGCGACGCCCATCGCGTGCTCGAAGAACTTAAAAAGGTCACGATCGGGTATATACCGTACTTCCAAATTCTGCAAACCAGTATCGAGAAGTGTGAGGCGGCGTTAGTTGACTACTCTGCGCAGCAGGACATTCCGGACCCGAGCTTGGCTGTCAGTGGTCCAGCAGAGAGCGACTTCCAGGGCTATGCCCCAAATCAGTTCACGTTCGAGTGGGACTTTCCTGGCTTGAACCTGAAGCATATGCCGCTTGGATGGCAGGATTTGTTTGTTGATGTCGACAATCTCTTTTAAATGAAGACTGGCATTACAAGAGCGCAACTACACGAAGAGCAAACCCAGGTTTATCAATATCTAAGACCCGAAGACTCGACATGCAAACACATGTCTTGAGATACCGTACACGTTGAGTCATTCCCACTAACAGATATAGACAAAATCCTCGCTCTTGAAGTCAGTCTGGTTATTGAACGCTTTGTCGGCCATACCGCTTGCCTGGGCATTCTCTGCATTTCCAGAGTCGACATCACGACTCGCTTGCATACTCGTGTTGCCAATATTTGCAGACCTACCCATCGCCTCGCGAGTAGCTGCATGCTTGCGATTGAGCTTTTTTAATGCATGCTATCATCAACACAACGAGCAGCACGAGGGTGACGAGCATGACAGATTCGATCTCAAGCGTTGGCGATAGTGGGGTCGCTCAGAAGGCCTGAAGAGATGAAGAACATTCATATTGTCTACGCTAGCTTCTACGACCAGAATGTTTGTCGTCACATTTCTCTTTGTGTCGCCTCCAGTGTTCTGTCCTAGTCTGCCAAACGGGCAACTTAATATGCATAGAAAACATTGCCTCCGCTGTTCTTGAGCCTCCTGTTCTGCACAGTAAGCCAGGTGCGGAGTGCCCAGGCAGCGGCAATGGTTGCGAAAGCAAATGAAGCATTACTGCTCATCGCAATGACATACTTCGGCCCGTCCCACTTGGGATACATGTAGGGTGTGTAGATAAAACTTGCCATGGAGACGACGTTGACGATAGATAAAGAAACAGCCTTCTTCTCTGCCGTCTGGCCGAGAGTACCAGATACCCAGCCGAGAATGACTGAATTGACCGAGTAAACGCCTGTTGGGTTATGTTAGCTTGGAATGTCCAGCAGATGGGCTGATTTGCGCGTACCTGAAGCGAACAGAAAACAGGACAGATACCGAGCAGGAAGGTTTAGTGTGACCGCACTGATGATGAAACCAACCATTGCAATTCCCATCATGACGGTGATGTGCCATGTGCGATCGTTGAATCTGCCAGATGATATTCCCACACAAATGCCCACCACACCCGCCACCAACGATGGGGGTGCTGTGAGGACAAGAGTAATGGTGGTGTTGAAGCCGAGAGATGAGACGACGGTAGGAAAGAACTGGCGTGATTGTCAGTAAGTCAGGCACTTGACAACACCCGGTGGGCGGGCATACTTGATTGAAGGAAGTGGCGCTCAGGTGCATGTTTTGCATGAACACCAATAAGTACAGTCTAGGATCGCGCAGAGCTTGCATAAACCCAGCCTTAACGCCCTTGCTAGACTCCAAACCAACAGTATCGCGCTGGATACGGTCATGAGCGAGCTGGCGTTGCTCCGGAGTGAGCCATCTAGTTGTGAGGGGTTCGTCGGGAAGGAGGAATATACACCCGATGGCCACTCCAACAGTGACGACACCTTCGATGATAAATAACCTGATAAATTATGGTCAGTGCGTTCATGTGTCGTGGTATTGATAAAAACTCACCACTGCCATCCGTGCATACCGTGCTTGTCGTCCAGAGTGGCGAAAGTCGCAGCTGCGATGAGTCCGGCGAACGATACTGCAAAGATATTGCCAGCATATAAGATAGAGACTCGAGTAGCAATCTCCTTGCGCGTATAGAACAAAGATAAGATGTACAGCGCCCCGGGGTAGAATGGCGCTTCAACGAAACCCAGGAAGAACCGGACTAGGACCAAGCCGACGTAGTTGTGGACCAGCGCGGTGAGCGTCGCGACACACCCCCATACCATCATGCAACATGCCATGTAGATTGATGGCCTGACTTTCTTCGACGATAGAATCATGTTGGACGGTATTTGGGCAAAGAGGTAGCCAACATAAAGAATCGAAATGCAAGTGTTGTACTGAGAACCTTTGAGACCTAGATCTTTCTCGAGTCCGTTCAGCCTTGCGTTTGCGATGGCGTTCTGATCGAGTTTGTTGCTGGGGATGTCAGTATTCTCGCCTGGTTCTGCAAGCTGCGCAAGACTCACAGGAAGTACATGCAGAACAATGCTGGCATGATACGATAATCCAATCTGCGGACCAACGCAATTTCTTCTGGGTCCGTTTTCGCTATGGCACCGCTGTAGTCGGCACCAGCCAGGGGTAGGTTGGCTTTACTATCTTTGTCGAAGGTATCGACATGATCCACTTGGAGAGGCATATCTTTCTCCAAGTCTGGGCGGTGGTTCTCGGATGAAGGCATCTTATTCAGTCTTGCAAGCGGTTGCGAAGTTTGGCATTCAGATACACATGCCAGTCGAGTTCTATATAGATCAGCTGGGATTAACTTACCCCAGGATCTCCGCAGGTGGACAAAGTCCCCCGGACTTACCCCATACTGGACGCTATTGCCAACAAGCCATGTGCGGCACTAATGTGTGGGGAACATGCGAACGCCGGTGAGACTCGCCTATTGAGTGAGTAGTCATGTCGGTTCCACAGTGTGTTGACTGGGGCTGTGAATCGTTCACCCAAGTGCCGAAGGTAGCTTGCGATGCTACGGACAAAGACATGTCCGCCCCGGATCGCACTAAAGAAGTCCCTGCAGTCGCTGTTGACTTTCCCCAGCCAATGAGAGAGTACGGCGACACAGTGTCAGTGGGGCGTATCTGGTTGCCACTCAGCTGTGTTAACGGACTTTCCTTTGTCCGTGTCGATAGCTTGCCAGTTGCACTGTGTAGGTGGAGTGTGGGGTGCATGTGAACCATCACGTTGGTTCATGCGGCTTCAAGTGCCCGAAAGGTCATATTCTCGCTGAACATATAATGAGGCAGTATTGGCCTTCAACTGAGTCCATCATCATCCATCTCGCTTCATCAATACACTACCATTTCAACCAATTACATATACCTTCACAACATGGGTTCCATGCCTGAGATTCAGAAAGCACCTTTCATTGACCTTGCTGGTCTTGTTCCTGCTCCTGTAACACCCTTCAACAAAGACGGCTCGGTCGATTATGCGGCTATTCAGCGACTAGGCTCCTGGCTCGGTAGCATAGCCGGAGTGAAGGGCCTGGTAGTGCTTGGCCATGCGGGAGAAGGTACCTTTCTCACCCAGGAGGAACAAGTGGACGTCATCAAGGCCTTTGTCAAGTCGGTCGACAACAAGATCCCCATCATTGCTGGAATTACCACCGAGGGCACAGAAGTTGCTGCACTCGAGGCTCAGCGTGCCAAGGCTGCAGGGGCACAAGCTGGTCTGCTGTACCCAAGCCACGGCTGGCTTCGCTTTGGCTACCAGCCTGGCGCACCCCAGGATCGATACAAGACCGTTTACGAGAAATCTGGACTACCTCTCATCCTGTTCCAGTACCCAGACAACACAAAGGCTACGTATTCATTGGAAACGCTGCTGGATATTGCCGCACAGCCCGGTGTCATCGCGATGAAGAATGGCGTCCGCAACATGCGTCGCTGGGACGTGGAAATCCCTATCATCAAGAAGCAGAACCCTGATCTCACAATCTTGACATGTCACGACGAGTACTTGCTCCACACCTGCTTTGATGTTGATGGCATGCTTGTCGGCTATGGCAACATCGCCCCGGAACCGCTTCTGGAGATGATCGAGGCAGGCAAAGCGCGCGACTATGCCCGTGCGAGAGCTGTCCACGATAGGCTCCTACCTGTCACAAGGAACGTGTACCACCGCGGGTCGCATATGGAGGGCACCGTTGCTCTGAAGCACGGTCTGGTTGCGCGTGGAATCTTGGAGCATGCGACAGTACGAAGCGGTCTGCTGCCACTTGTTCAAGGAGCCGAGCAAGAGATCCACGACGCATTCAAGTCTGCGAAGCTTGGTAAGGTTGTGCCACCTAAATCCGGGTGAGAGTACGTAGACTGTTCAATTTGCAATCCAAAAATTTGAAAACTTTCAAAGAAGCCCGTCGAGTCCGTAGTCTGGTCCCATCCACCATGATAGATCGTCTTTGTTAAACATCTGAGTAATATCCTCGTTTGGTCGTGGGACATCAGACGACTGTTGCGCTATGCCTAAGAAGTCGCCGGAGCTGACAATGTAGTTGTTCGTGGTCAAGAAAGCATCTGGGTCAACATGACCTTGCAGCGCGGTATACTGATCCATGCTACTCAGGTCAAAAGTACCAGGAGGGCGCTGATTGCTGCTTTGTGGGGCGGGTCTGCATTGCTCTGTCGTCCCGAGCTGGACACTATTGGAGAGACGATTATCAGCAGTGCTCCCCGAATCTACAGCGCGACCACGACGCGGATTCATGGATTGAGAGGGACCTTCAGATCTGCCTGGACGATTTGTGTCGAGAATCTCTGATCGCGGTGCACCAGTGATTCCTTCACGTGCTCGTTTCAGTCGTGCGACGAGATTTCTGATGCCCACAATACAAGACTCAGGCCAGCTGGTTCCTCGCAAGGCAAGATACTGTAGCACTTCGATACTACGTTCAGCCAGTCCGAAGGCGATCTTATGTGAGAGATGTTTCTCGGATGCGGCGAAAATCACAACGAAAGTGCTCATCCAGATAGCCCAGGTAAAAGACGGCCAGAGGAGAGGGCTACTTTCGTAACCGTGTTGCCCAGGTGAGCCATCGAACGCTCCAAACCCTTTCAGTGCTTTATGTAACGTGTTGATGATAGACCGGGATGCTGTGATGCAGCGCTGCAAAGCTGCATTGAAGACAGTGTCGTGCTTAGGATTGCCCAAAATGGACCTATGCAACGCGAGGATGGTTTCAAAGCGAAGTACTATCAGAGTGACTTGATGAGGTTTCGCGATGCTTTGCGCTGTCTTATAGTCGGAAAGATGCTCGTCAACCGTGGTCCACCATTTGGCGTGCTCCGTCTCTACCAACAAAGCCTGGTCGTCATCTTGAATGTCAGAAGTAAGAGTCGTCTTATTCCGAATCTTCATGATGGAACCTCGAATGTCAGCGTGTCGAGCTAGAAAGTCGATGAGATCGAGCCTGTCGTCATGGACTGGAACTTGTCAGTACGACGCAAATGGGTCGAGCTTTGTGCTCTTACCTGCAACGTCAATATGACCCTGATTATGTCTTTCGGATTGTGGATAGCAAACGTCAATGTCTTCCGAGGAGATCACACTAGGGTTGCCAAGTCTGATGGAAATATAACGATCAATGCAAAAGACTGACCAGAACAGACGCTTTCGTAACTCCGCTTCCTTGTCAGTCGGCGGGCAGGTCCTGCCAGGACATTTATACAGGTGAAGTTGAAATGTCAAGTGCGCAGATATACCCTGTAATCTAGATGCCGCATTGTATCGGTTCATGGAAATCAGAAAGAGTTGAACGCTAACGAGCGCTTGAAGAGATAGTATCGAGCTCTCCTCCGTCAAGATTGGCTGCACGCTATTTATGGCGTCGTTGAACGTCTGGAACAGAAATTCGGACGGCACAGGTTTGTGCGATGGGGCCATCTGTCTCCGGTCCATGGCCGCTATAGACATAACGGATCGTAGTATGATATGATCGAAGCTGTTCAAACTTGATGGATTCGACAGTCCTCCATCTGAGTAGATCAACGCCTTAAAGTGGTCTAGTAGTGCTGGCGCATGCAAGAATGGGAAGGAAGGATGCCAATGATCGAAGTAGCTTTGGCTCCATTCGAGGAAATCCTCAAAAGCTAGAGGCAATCTCGATCCCTCCGTGGCCCTGATTTGCACCTCGTCTGTACGCCAAAGCCATCTTGAGGCGCTATAAGCAGCCCCTGCAGGTAATTGGTCATCCTCGCCAGAAGCACCATCGTTTGGGGCTGGTACCGTGGCTTGTGAGATCGCTGAGTCGGCAGCGCGTGATGCGGGTCGTCCACCGGGGCTGGGGAACGTATTTCGAGATTGGTCCTGAGGACTGACACCTTCGTTGCCGAATTCCCGAAGTTGCTGGCCCATGGTATGGAGGAAAGCCCTACGCTTCCTGGCTTCCACAACATCAGTCTCCGGTAGATCAGCCAAGCCCTCGCTGGGGTCGTTGCGAGCGCGCCGCCTCTTAGTGCCTGCTAGTGTATCAGACATCGCATGTGCACTCCTTCGTCGGCGACGTTCATTCTTGATATTCTTGATGGTCCGGATACATTAAGATGGATGCGCGACGGGAGTTGGCGACGAGAAGCGATTGAAGTTCCAAAACGACTTATCGAGGTTAGCGCAGCCTAACGCGCCCCACTTATCTTCGTTGCTGGTCACGGTGGCGTTAACTACGAATTATGTTCATATCCTCGGATTTATCAACACACGAAATTCAAAATATAGTTTATATTTGTATAGAGTCTCATGTCGTCAGAAGTATTTCCGCCATTTGTCTGCGGGCTCGGCTCTGGATCTTATCGATATGGGACTGGCAGGTGGCAGCGGTGGAGTAGCTGCAACTTTGTCTACCTCCAGAGGTCTTACATCTGTCGCGACCGTGATATGAACGCGATTCCCAGCCTCTTCTGATAAGCCTGCCGGAGAGCCGACGGCGAGCAATGTGCGTTGTGTGGAAGGCTGAACCGGCGAGAAAACACTTTCGAAGTCTCCCATGCTCTCGAATACGTCAGGCGAGAACTCTGATGCATCGTTAATATCCGTATCAAGCATCTCGTGTGTTGATGATGTGTCTGGTCGGGAGATACAGTCCCTTTTCGCGGTCCACCAAGCCTGCCTCTGTTGATCGGTCCCTAACGGCGAACTTTTCCATTCCTCAATCTTATCCGATTTCAATTGCTTTTGTGCGATATCTGTCAAGAGCTGGCGCTGATTGTTGGACAGGCGATGTCGCTGTTCCACCGAGGCCCCTAATTCCTGGAGTACTGACAGAACTTCCAGTACGAAAATCTCAGTCTCATGAAGTCGCTGCTCTATAAGTGAGACATACCCCGAAGGTATCCCCCTGCACATCTGTGAGCTTGGGCTCTGCCTCCCATGGACTGTCGCCTACCTTTTGTTGATTTGTGGATATCGACATGTCACCCCTGTAACGGTGCACTGCGAACAAATTGGACTACGCGATGTTAGGACTAAATCATAGACCTGAAGGGAAGACAGCGCACATCTCGCGGGAGCACTGCGAGGTCAGCAAGAGCCTTTGCGATGTAAACACCAAGCATACCTTGGATTTCTTGTTGCGACATGACTCGCAAGCAATCGGATGGAACCCACTGCTCTCTTCCTCACATGATTCAGCACTAGGTAAGGTATGAAGGATTTAACACTCACCATTACATTGGCGCTGTGTACGGTAAGGAGGATTTGCGGTCCTTTCTTTCTGCGGCACCGGACTTGACTTTGTCCTAGCGAACTTACCCCGCCTCTAGGCTCGGCTTACTAACTGGGTACTCGTCTTTCAAGCATCCGACTCAATTCGCTTTCTATTGTGTATTGACATTGTTGAACCGTTGATTTTGAAGTGCAAATCGTCGACGAGATCTTTATCCTAACTTAAGCACGACGGCTTCTTGAGTTCTTTGCTAGGTGGAACGTGATAACGATGACACTCTATAGAGGGTGTAGCAGTCGCTCGCGGAGAATGCAACACTGTCGCAAATTCGCCTGGCAACGTAGTGGCTAGGTAGATTGGACAAGAGAAGACCCATGAAGGGTGCAGCCAACGGCGGAGACTGCGCGAGGATGGTTGACAGCGGTATGGCATCGCCGGAAGACGATCTGGCTAGCCTGAAGGATTCCCCAAAGTAGCTTTTCGGATTCGGCCAGGCTCACACATTCGCGTTCTTGCCAGAGACCTAGTGCAATGTCCCTCGTGGTGTTTGGCGGCAGCCGGGCGACCGCTGCGACAATGACGTACAAAGGATTTTGCAGGGAACGTTTTGGCCACGAGCAACTTTTCAGCCATACTGTGTTCCCGTGGTGTTCCAACTCTTAATCTCCCAGGTAGGTAGAGATTTTTTTGCTTGTCTAGTACTCGTGCTTCTTCCCTTGCAAATGAAGTATGTTTACTTGTTTTGTGACTGTAAACGGCAGGTGTTCTAGGCACACCTTAGTTTTGGTAACTGGGCCAAGCTAATTGCACAGCATATATACAAATCCAAGTCGCGTACGCGCCCAAAACAGAATCTAGAGGGGAACAGCTAGCGCCTTACTGCCCCTGCACAGCACTAAGGCGTGTTTCAGAAAATTCAATCGCAACATGCTCTTAGCAGGGGGACTATGGGTGTTCCGCATTGACATCTCATATCAGGGGCAGTTATCGCTAAGAGAATCTCTCGCTGGCAAGCTGAAGATCTTGATACGCTCTACCTGACGGCATGAACGTTTCCTTTGAGAGTTCTAACGAGTGACTTCAGCAGCTATCGCTTCGCCAGACAGAACCTGATGCTCGTCCCACATAAGAACCACAGGAAGCCGAGGAAACGGATTATGGACAAGACTGCAGTTGCATACAGCAGGATTCTGAAGTACATTGGTGTACGTGTCTTGTCGGCAGGCTGTGGACTGTCAGATAGTTTCCCGAATGCGTATAGCGACAGACTTACTTTCAATCCCACCATATTAAAGTCATCAGTGGTCACCACTAAGATCAGAACGATGTTTGACAACAGCCACGAATACGTCAAACCGGTTCTGAAGCTCTTGTACGAGTCTTCAGTATCCTTTTTCTCCATCTTACCATCTTCAACCGCTACTGGCGTCAAGGCCCGCCTGACAACTTTCTCAAATTTGATGTCAATGTCTTCCTGCTCCTGCTCGATCTCCTCGACCGTAGCCTCTTTCTCATTAGTCAAAATGTGTGCAGACGGCAAGCTCTCTGTGATGTCGGATCCCTTCGTTCCCCAGCTCACGTCGTGCCAGTTGTTGAATGCATATACCATCAAGATATTGATATATGTGCTCATCAAAACGAGATATTGCGGGAAAGAGTGGAACATATGCCAAGGATCGAGGTACAAGAATGAGGCGATGAAATTGAGGCCGTATATCGTGATAAGAGCGATCAAGATCAAGCCAGCAACCCCGGTTTTGCCACCGAAGAATGTTTCGAAAAATTCCTTGCCAGACGCGAAAGAGATTTGATCCTCGATTGGCTTTGAGCTGAAAGCGCGGTAGACGAGATAGACAGTGAGTATCAATATGTAGAGCTGAATCAAGCCAAAGACAATGAAGGAGGCTTTATATGTCTTTTTGGATCCTTTGGGGCGATTGCCGAGGGCGAGAATGAACTGTAGGATGAGAAAAGCAACATAAACGTATCTGATAACGACGTTGAAGACGGGGGTGACTTGATCACCGAAGGGCCATCCGTGGTAGTCCGCTTCTTTCTGGGGTGTACCTACTAGAGTCATGATTACGACTGTCGTGAGGTAGTAGGATGCCAGTGAGAACCAGGTGAAGAGGACCTGGGCGAAGTTGTACAGAAGTTGGATGTGAAGAAAGATCAGTCGAATAATGCCATGGCCTGAGGAGTAGAGACGTCCGAAGTGCATGATGGAGTAGAGAGAGGCGGCAAATGATCCGTTCAACCACCTTCGCCGTTGACCTATAAACTCTGCGCTGCCTTCAGGTACGTCTGTCTCACCCTTAGAAGCTTTTGTAGATTAGCGTTCGATCAAGCCTATGTGATCACTTCTACTTACCCTTCACATACGACAGATGCCATTTCGAGCCCGCCTTGGCCACGAGCTCAAAACACAGTATTCGGTCCTCAGCAAGGAACATATTTTTCTTGAAGATATTCATACCGTCAATGCCTTTCTTGCCAAGGATCTTTGAGAGCGTATGATCGCCATGAAAATATTGTTCGAGTGGCCTTCCCATGATTGCGCGGAAGCGATATGCTGAAAATGCGCCAGGAAGTACACTTACATAGCCAAACGCACTTTCTAGTGGTTTGTCCAGGACATTCGAGATCTTGTACTCGAAATTCTGCACAGCGACTAGTGGGTTCAAAAGTGCGCGGCCCTGTTTGCCGAGCATAGCGTGAATCTCGCCGCAGGCACCTCCCAGATCTTTGTCATTGTAGAAGGCCTCCCACAGTGATAGCAGCGAACGATACCCTGGCTTTGTACCAGCGTCGATAAGGATCGCCACCTCTGGATTCAGGATTCTGCCGAATGCGTTGAAGAGCCATCGATGCGAGTTGATTTTCTTTGTATTCTTCTGTTTCAAACAGAAAATGAACTGTACAGGCGGCAAGTTCTCAGACTCTTTTCCTGCATTAGGTCGAATGAGCTGGTGCTCAGGTGTAACAGAAAGTTGACTGGTGTACTCGAAAATATGCGCCACTGTCTCCTTGCCATTGACATCCTTCTTGATGATCCCGTCTTGGTAGATGCCAATGGTCGCGAGAACGTCGAAAACATTCTTATCAACATTGTCGATACCATCGAAGACAAGGCATACTACGATCTTCTGCCATGCAGGCCCGCCTTTGTCCCAGAACTGAGAGTTTTTCAAATTGGCGATATCTCGGATGTTCTTCATCACGCCATGCAATGTTCGCGCAAGGAGCGTTTTATCTTCGTTGTAGTAGGTAATGGCAATGAGAAGTTCGGTATGACGATTGTACATTCGTGCTCGTAGGTTGTGTCCGTTTGCCAAGGTGAAGTCGTTCGGGTCACATGCAGCTGCAGTGTAGCGTAGCTGGGTAAACTCTTCCTCATCTATTCCTTCCACGCCGCGATAACAAGGCTCGACAGCATTTTGAACAGCGCTAGGCACAGGATAGTTCGCAGAGAGGACTGATCCTTGAACAAGCTTTACTTTGCGTGTCCTTGAGCGCTTCAAGCCGCTGCCTTCTGGTCGCTGTCGCTGCACCCAGTCGTCATCAGCCTCCAGTGAAAGATCTCTTGGCAGCGCAGTGTTGTGATTGGGATGAGTGGGGATCTCGAAGCCATCATGGCGTTCCGAGGCAAGGTCAGACGACTGCTTGTCATTTGCGTTGGGAGTGTCCGTCTCTGTTAAGCTGTATACGGAAGACGGCGCTGTGTATTGAATCGTTCTTTCGTCTTGGTATGAGTGTTGAAACGGTGGCGGAGACGTAGATACCGGCGAGTCGCTCAAGAGACGTTCGTTAGCATCGATCTGTTCGGGCAGATAGTGATACTGATAAGAGCTGTCAGGAAGGCAACGTGCTGGAGAAATCTAATGGCACTACTTACAAGTTGATTAGACACCATGTCCTGCATAACGTATTCCTGGCGGTTAAATGGATCGTTGTGGTCGGCAGCCATGACTGAATATCGATGACAATGAAAGATAAGACGCTGATATTAATTATAATATGTGATAGCTGTACGTTCAGGACGCTGGATAGCTATCATGTATACGGAGATCAAGCAAGTAGATATGCAAACAGAATGGGTTTGCAAGGAGGCGAAGAATGGGCCTAGGGAGATGCATTTTTCACACCGGTAACATATAATGCATCCTTGTCAAGCACTCACCGCCCAAATTTAAGGGGCGCCTGGCGCATATGCACAATGTGCAACATTAGCTCCTGCACCGTTGCATAGCCTCTTTGAGGTGGCTAACAACTTGATAAGATGCCAGCACCACCACACCTGACATCAGGTCAGAAGTAGAGCACCTAAACTTAGCACATGAATAGCCAACGTGTGCTCTTTGGTCCTGCCAAATACCCAACGCGGGTACCATTGACTGAGTTTGAGCCCTATAGTCATGGTTCAGGATCGTAGAGTCAGCCTTGACTGGATGACGTCGGTCTCGGTGGACCCACTGCTACCAGAGATATTCGGAGCCGACTAAAAATAGATTTCTCCGCCATCACCTAGTACGGACCTCTCAAGAACACAATTCTGTCTCCTATTACTCAACTACACACCTACAGCAATTATACCTTATGAAGCAAGCCAGACGAAGTGTGGCGAAATTTTGAAAATCGGTACGGAGGTGATGGACTTGGACATACTGTGTGCTGGCTTATAGCGGTTAGGTACCTAGGTATTGCTAGTCCGCACGTCCGCGGTCACTTCTTGCAAGGTTCTGTAGTTGTTATCGAGCGACACCGTATCGCCAAGTGTTTCCGTGAGCTTGCACGTCGTCCCACTACCCTCTATAGGCAGCCATAGCGAGATGTCTTGAGATCCTTTGGAGGTATCTAGGTAGGCCGACATGCTGTGCAGCAAGCTCGGCGACAAGACGGGTATTTATCATGAGCTACATTCATGAAGTAGGTATCTCACAAAAGTAAATCGAGTTGTCATCATAGCCACAGGTGAGCAGCAAGATTAGTCTGGTGACGATGTTCCTGCCGCTGATTGGTCGCTGGAGAAGAAATTCTTGTTAGCGTTATTAGGTACCTACCTAAGGTTGTACCACCTACCTGTACTACTAAGAAAATATACTGATATACGATATACCTTTTGAGCAAGTAGTACGGTTGTTGGCAAAACTGCGACCGTGACTTTGCCGCTGGAGGGCGAAGAGAATATTCCCTTGATGGAGTACATCCACTGCGGCCCCTCACGCGAGTACCTGGCTACCTCTCCCCTCCTTGTATATCAAGGTGTTTATCTTCAACCTCGATCTATCTTACCTTGACTCCAAACTAAGCAGCAGCTCTCTACCACGCGTCTGGTGCCTCTCGTACGCGTAGACTGACCTGAGTGATCTCCTACCGCCAAGCCTCCGACGGCAACACTATAGATTATTCTGAGCACTTTTTCCAGGAGTGTAGGGCACAGAAATGTATCCTCGATTTTTCTAGACTGTGCGAAACCGTTCACTTGTAGTGTATAGTGTTGCGCAGTCGGTGAGCGAATACCCAGGTAAATTACTCCAAGATTCATTTGGGTGCACATCGCGACCTTACAAACCTTGACACCTGCAGACTGACATAAGCATAGCGCACATGTGCATGTGTCCGCATATTTCAGCTCGGACCAGATGGATATCGCCGAGTTCGCATATCCGTACGACCAGTTCGGACCCGTGAATGATCTCCGATGCTATGTCCGAGTCTGACATGTCACTAACCAATCGTACATACACAAGAGCCTAGCCGCAGCCGTAAGCATTATGGACTTCGTCAATGGGTAAGGCAGTGCAAGCCACATACCTGGGCAGCAATTGTTAGACAAACGGACGAAAGAATGCGCGTCCGGCGTTCAAGACCCTGCTCTGCAATGGTATAGAAGGCCTCGGGCCTGCAAGAGTACACTTAACCAGCACAGAAACAATTATCACGAACATTATCCCTTTACCAACTAAAAAATGATGCAACGAACACTTCACGCCATTCTAGGCCTTGGGTTTTCTGCTCTAATGGCGACTACTCTAGCCCACCCAACTCACCAGTCATCTTGGACGGCCTTGGCGTCCATCCCGCTGCCACGACAAGAGCACACGACCGTTTTCCTTCCACCCAGCACCATCGCTGTCCTTGGTGGGGTCATTCCAACTAACGACACTGGCGCAATTCCGGTCGTAACAACCAACCTCATGCAACTCTATTCACTCCCTAAGAACACTTGGATCAACGCCCCGCCACTTCCCCGGGCACTCAATCATCTCAATGCCGCTGTGGCGAACGGGCAGATATATGTCCTGGGAGGTCTTGCGGATCTCGGTGGGCCTGAACTGGCGTGGCGCGCAGTGCCGGATGCGTTCATGTACTCACCCTCTACGGGCATCTGGTCGGAGCTACCCAACTTACCAGTGGGAGAAGAGAGGGGCAGTGCAGCTGTTGGAGTGTGGGGGACAAAGATCATTCTCGCTGGCGGCATGCGCGCTCTTGAGCTTTCTGGGAACAGAACTCAGAGTAGCGTTTCTGTTGTCAGTATATTTGACACCAAGAAAAGGACATGGCTGGACCTTCCAGTTACGGCTAAGTATATCCCAGAAGGAAGGGATCATGCTGGTGCCGCTGTGGTTGACGGAAAGATGTATGTCCTTGGCGGTCGTGATAGGGGCCAGCAGAACGTCAAGAATACTGTTTTCATCTTGGATCTGACTGATCTCGAGACTGGCTGGATTACAGCGGATTCCAGGATGCCAACACCTAGGGGTGGTGTTGCAGCCGGCGTGGTGGGCAGCAAGGTTTTCGTGATGGGCGGCGAGGGCAATACAAATGCAGAGACTGGCGTGTTCAATCAGGTGGAAGTGTATGATACGAAAAGGGGCTGTTGGGAAAGGGCGGGAATTATGCCTATTGCGCGGCATGGGACCTATGCTGTCGGCGTGGGAAAGAGGGTGTATGTGCCGGGCGGCGGATTGAGACAGAGCGGAGCACCTGTTGCAGACTTTGATGTGTTTGAACCCTAAGGTTATTGGTGGTTGTCAGTTTTTGCCGATCCTCTTTCCCCTCCCTTTTTTGGCTGGTTGAGGTTCATAATAAATTGATGCTTAGCTAGGACATCACTTTAATTACCAAATGCTTTATAGTACAGACATAACGCTCTATCGCATATTCACGTCATCAACCCAAAGGATAATCCCAGTGCATCAGCAATGGTTTTGGCTTGCGATACAACTTTCGGATTCAAGTTGTACTCTGCATTCGTAAGGCTAGGTGAGCTGCTGGAAAGGCCCATTGGGCTCCACAGGCTGGGAAACGACATTGGGATCCCCATTAAAGATCTGCAGGTCTCAGGCGAAAGGCCCGAAGGCCCTCGCTAAATCTTGAAAATCCTCCAGCAAGTGGTGGCTGATGACTTAGTACGGCTTGAGTGCAGATGTCGGCGAACCCGATCCCATTTGCCGTTTGCCGCATCGGCATCATCGGCACTTTAACGGCAAAGTCCTGGCGTCGGCCCAGAAGATAAGAATACAAAATCATTGTAGGTGCCGTAGCCGAATTCCAAGGTTCTTTCGAATTATTCCATTTGTCATATACTTATCTTCTATTCCTCCACATGCGTCATGTCGTCCAAACCACAAATCGTTTTTGTGCCAGGTGCTTGGAACAGTCCTGAGGGTCTGACCGACTTGGTTGAGAATCTAGAGAGTCATGGTTACACAACACACACCTGTCAGCTGCCCTCAGTTGGTAGTAAAAGCCCCCCAAAAGACCTTTTGGAAGATATAAAGGCTGTCCAGGACGTTATCGAGAAAGCCATTGGGAACGGCAACGACGTTATTGTTGCTTCACACAGTTGGGGTGGTATCGTCGTTAGCAGTGCTGCGGTCGGATATGACAAGACAACCCGGCAAGCTCAGAACTTTAAAGGTGGCGTTGTCAGACTTGCATACATGGCTAGTTTCCTCCTTCCGGAGGGAGTTAGCATGATTAATGCATGTGGCGACCAGGTCCCCGAGTTTATCAACATTGAGGTAAGGGCACGACCAAGTAATGATGCTTTCTGTAGCTAATAAGCTTAATCATTAGGGCCCGTACGCCATAGTGAAAGATTCGACCGCCCTATTCAACGATCTTCCGGCTGTTCAGAAGCAGTACTGGACCTCAAAGTTGCAATCTCACTCATTCGCGTCAATGGAAGCAAAGTCGACAGGAGCTGCCTGGAGAACTATCCCAACTAGTTATCTTGTATGCGAGGACGATCATGCAATTCCTGCTTCAGCCCAGGAAGCCATGATCAAAAGCGCCAGAGAAGCTGGTGCCACCGTCAATTATGAGACACTCAACACTGGTCACTTTCCGTTCCTCACACGCTCTAGTGCTGTAGCTGAGTACGTCAGAAGAGCTGCTGGCGAGGCTATCTAAAATCCTAGAAATTCATTAGTCTGTTCGAGCTGTGCACAGTGTACTGACTCGTAAGTGTGCAATTTGCTGATACTCATGACTACCTAATTACGTGATTGCTGAGAAGGTATCCAGTGATCTTGTAGTTTGCAGGATAATGCATAGACTACCTAGGTATTGTTTAGACGGCGTACGCAATCACCTCTCGAGCTTTCAAAATATCGCAATGTTCATACAGAATGAGCCGCAATCGATGGTCTGACCGTACTGCTTCTGGCACTAGCTATCTCTCCATCTTCACTCCAGTGTCCGGCGACATTCTCAGAATCATCTACCAGTACTCAAACTCTCGGCTTACTCAATGTTTCTTCAGTCGGGTACGAGCACCAAGGCACGTATCTCAGATACCGCTAAAGCCGAGCGATGTAGCGCCGTGCTTGAAAGTAGTCATCGGATTGGTCACGGGCTGAGACATACGGAGATGGTCCTTTTGCTGCAATTTCTGTAGAGTGAACAAGGTGCGGTGCTGTGGGACAAGACCGGTGTGTGTGCCAGTGGCTGAACTACATTGCTTGCACGTACTCGGTGATATAAGGCAGCATTCAGCGATAAGACGAGCGACAAGGCAAGAAAGAGTATATCTTGAACGTTTCAACAACTTAAAGCCAAGCAGAATTGCAGGGCGGAAGATATATTGAAAACTTGCAGCGCCAAGTGAAGCATCTGAGAGATGATTATGAGCAGACCAGATGAGACCTTGTCGGCAGCAATCCCGTCACAACATATTGATTAAACAGCACAACCATCAGATAATCGATTCATGGGTCTTGAGTTGCCGCAACCTACAGGAATGTGATCCAAGCTTTGCAGAGCCGCGGCGGATCCCAGCCATGTGATCAATTCTCAACCCAAATTCTTGTGCGTAGACGATAGCGTGTAGCATCTAGCAAGGTGTGTAAGTTGTTATGGAGCCGTTATGTGGCAGGCGGTCGATGCAAACTAGGTCTGCGAAAGCGCTATCTGCGCGCGAAGCATTAGCTATTCTTCTTTGCCCATATGCTTGTTTGTTTCCTTCAAGACCCAGATCTTATCACTTTGGCATAATATCTGCCTCAAGAGTATGTCAAGCGGATCAACTTTCTCATCTAGTAGTATTGCATTGTAGAGAGCTACATTTCATTACTACATGCTTTCAGTGCCTTTTAAGTTTGGGCCGCCAGCTGAAATCAGTTGCCATCACCACACACCTACTGCGACTATGTTGTGTGCAATCAACTACGGCCTTGCACTATTAGCTAAAGTCAATAGCCTGGAGACCGAAAATATCTTTCTGTCCGTGAAAGATCCAACGAGTTTGGGGATATAAGACGGGAATCCAGAAAGCATTTCTCGCAATACCCCCCACGACTGCTCGCCATCGACTGTGTATGGTTCAGTCGACGCCAGACCAGTTGTATTGAAAGACTGGTACAAAAGAGGCTGTTGCGTGAATGGTACCGATGCTTGAACAACGTTCAAGTCAAGGCCTTCATTATCTAAAAAGCGAGCGTTTCCAACCGAAGCAAAGACTAAGGGCGCTTGGGCATTGACGGCATACACGCGCGCAGCTGCCAAATTGACCTCCAGGCTTTCCCAGTAAGCAGCTGACTCTTCCGCTTCGTCGGGGGTATCTTTTCAAATAATGTTAGCTCAGCGATGTTTGTCAGCGATACGAATACCTACATGGCCAGGAGGCAATGTGCAAGGTCTCAGTTTGCGATTGGGTATTGAATGTCATAGCCGGATGGAAATGCTCCCAGCATTCTAGAATGCCCCATCTTCCATAAGGCGTAGCAATGACCTTGAGATCCGTTGCCGCACCATCTGACCACACACCTCTTTCTCCTGACGATGGCCGCAATTTATGCCGAACAAGATAGGTACCGTCTGGAGAAATCAAAGCCTGAGCCATGTAGAGTGCATCGTTCTCTTTATGCGAAAATCCTGGTACAACATAGATTTTGTTTTCAATCGCGGCACGAACAAGGGCACTCCATTGCGGGGATTTGATCACGAGAGACTCGTCAATGTAGCTCTCTAGCCAAGGACGCATCGTGACATTGTCGGCCATGCCCTTTGGGTATCTGCGTTCATCCAGATTAGCGTCTCTACAGAGCTTGTCAAACCGGTATGAGAACTGTGAAGACTCACCCTGGAAACCAAAGCTCTGGGAAGACCACAAGATTGGCACCGTTTTCAGCAGCTTCGCCGATTAATGCAACGGCCTTTGCGACCGTCGCATTCAAATTGAAAGCATGACCGGTCCAATTTTTGTTCATCAATGGCATGGGCCAGTAAGCCGGCTCAGCTCTCACAATCGCCACAGTGAGATTGTTGTACTCGGCAGTCCCGTTGTTCATATTTGCGCGGGGGTGAGGTGCAGCAAATGCACATGTTAGAAGGAAAAATACGGTGGACTGAAACAACATGATTTATTCCAGACAATCAAGGAGGTTACTTTGAAGCCATGGGAATAGTGCAGATTGATACTTATAAGATACAATGCGAGTATCTGTGATGACGTCGCAATGCTGCTAGGTAACTAGAATGACATTATCGCCAGTTAGTGCCGCTCGGCTTCATTCACGGCATCTCGCCGCACTGCGCACTTACTCGGCGAACATCGATAAGCCGACGAAGAGATAAGACTGACTGAAGAAAATTGAGACCATATTCACAAATTTGAGGCCGTTACTGCGTTAGCTATAGGCTTATCGCCTTACACAGTACACGAGGGCACGGAACCCTGTTCCGCCTTTCGCGTAACCTGCCAATAATTGCAGCACAGTAATGTGCCTATCCGACAGTTTGTATAGCTCTTAGAGACTCGACTTTGTCATCAGTTCAGGGCGAGATACTCTGTGACTATCTGCGCGGTAGCAAGGTCAGGCTTGACTCCAAACTGCTCTATAGGTCCTTGAGTAGTATGTACAAAGAGCCTGAGGTAGAGCTGACATCTTAGTTCATACCTGCGTGTAGAACAGACGTGTGCAGTACTATCTCAAGTGGCTATATCTACCCTCCAACGATAACATGTAAACGGCCTCGTCGTCACCTCAGCTGTCCGTCAAACGACCTCCTGCCACCACGCATGCGCCATTACCTGGTCTATCGTTAATCTAGCTCTTGGGTCAATTCTCGTCATTCCAGCTATCATCTTCTGGGCTTCAGTTCCCAGTTCGTGTCCCCACACATCGAAGCTCATTACTGGCTGCTCTTGCAACGTCTCTTCCGCCACTTGCGATGCCGATTTGAGTGCCTCTGACCATGTGTCGCTATCAACGTGTTTTAGAAGGCCCTCATTCGCTGATCCAAAGTACGCGAAGTGGCGCGTGAGAACTGCTTGCTCAGGTGGGATACCATGCTCGACGAGATACGAGTAGTCGTTAAGCAGTAAGACTTCTCCGGCCCCAAGAGCGTATATTCACTGTGCGGAAGCTTAGCACGAGTCCTTTCAATGAATAGAAATGGCATAGAGTAACTTACGACCAGTCCAAACGAGTAAATATCCGATGCCTTGCACATACCTCTACCGGTCTGTCCTTCTGGGCTGCGCCACATGGCGTTTCCTACTGCATGCGTACTCCAAATCAGAGCCCCTGTTTCACACTTGTATGTAATGTCAAAGTCACCTAGAGCAACGTCGGTACTATCTTAGTGCCCTCTTCGTCGCGCGTCCAGTTGACTAGTATGTTATCGGGCTTGATGTCTGCCAAGATCGATTGTCAGTTATAGTACTTCTTTGGATGGAAGACCAAAGTTGGACTGGCAATCGTATTTACCAATATGAATCCAATCCTTGCTGTGAAGTCTTGAATGGCTTCTCCTGTCCGCAGCAGGATCTTCTTGCGTGCTGCATCAGAGACGTTTGAATCCTCCTGGAGCAGTGCAAGCAGAGTGTGTTGGTAGTACGGATAGATCAAGACATTTTCGTCCTCGTTGAGATCAACATGCATGCGGAGCCGACGAGAGTTAGGAAATTCGGCTGCAAGGCGTAAGGACAGGTCGAAGAATGGTTTGGACACGCGCTTGAAGACAAAAGACTGGTCCTGAGATCTAGATTGATCTTCTCAATCGAAAGTCTAGATGTGAGTTTGATTCAACGTACTCGGCTTTGAAGATGTTCAATCTAGGATCTTTGCGCTCCTGGAGCACCTCGCGCTGGATGTATACCCGACCAGATTGGCCTACGATGGTGGATGCCATCCTGATGCCTATGCGTAGAACAGGAGATTTTTGATAAGCTAGACGATTAAGAAGCATGAGTAAAGACTAGACAACAAGATCCTACAGTAAAGAGGTTAGAACAGTACGGGGTACTTTGTAGCGACTAAACAACAGTCCTTCTTAGCGCTGTCCCGCTTGTTTATTTTCGTCGGGCAAGCGCCGCGCTCAATGTTCGCTCATTTTGATTTTTAGCGCAGTGTCTTAGGTACATAGCACGATCGCTGATTTTGGTATCCTGCATCTCAATCACCTGCGGCTTGATCTGGATTTTTTTAAGAAAGGCAGCCAATGTGCCGTGTTTACACGCTCCAGTCTTCTAATAGAAATCGGAGCAACAATGTGAATGCGCTGATGTCAATGCTGTACATGTTAAGTCATGTTCCAACCTCATTCCTAGGACTGCGTACCCCTCTAATTTACCTATTGGCGGGGGGCTAACTAGCGTCGATTGCGGGGTTAGCACTTACCATACCTTTATTGTCGCTAGTCGCCGCTCCCTCAACAAAGGCATCAAGACACATTAAGTTCTGAACGATCTGAACTACATTGCATCTCATTGATCAGCTGACTCAAATACTCTCGCAATGACTAAATCCTCTACTCAGCAGCAAGACGGCTCTAAATTGCCAGCTCTCAATGACAAACTCGTCGCATCAGCAGCTGCAAAGCTTGATGCTGCTAAGATTTCCTCTCTCCTCTGGGGTAATTACATGTTGACCATCTTTGGCGTTCCGAACATAATCGATGTACGTATCTCACCCCAATCTGAGCTGATTAAGTCTAACACATATCTCAGGGCATTGACTTCGTTGTTTACGACGTTTTCACAGGCGCTGCCTATGATACTCCTGACAACGACGGTTTCCAATAAGTGCAAGCCATAAGATTGCAATGGTAATAAGAAACTTCTCTACGCTCTAACTCCGTGTACCCATCTCCATATCACCGAGAATGAACGGCTGGGCCTATATAAAAGACCCGACATTCTGTGGCGGCTTCCAGATCTATCAAATGTAGACGGTGAGAACACAATTCTTGCATCTGATCTTAATCAACTACCCGGTCTCGACGTCTTAGGAAGAGAATGGTGTTTCTAGCAGGATCTGCATCCAGTGCGTGTCCTGGCCGTCTCTCAACTAGTCAAGGTACTACTTTTGCTTGCAAAGAAATATCAGAGTACTTACGGAGGATACTGGATGAATTGGGTCAGCTACATATCGGAGTACTGCACTGCAAATGGTGTCTTCGATGGAAGCCGATTGACCGGGTACTACAAGACCTACATTGAGCCTTTCCTCCAGAGCGATCACGCATTGAAAGACTACGCTTTTGGATATATTGGTCTCATAGAGTAGTTGATTTGTGATAAAGTTCGAGGGTTTGGGGCCAAGGAAGAGTGTCGCTTCGGCCTCGATCATTGTTCCTTGATTGCAGGCACGAAGATCTTAGAGTATTCTAACCAAACCAGCTACGCTGAAAATGCTATACGTCAGGTATCTTCTTCAATGCTATGTAGTTAACCGTGTACAGATACTGTTCCATGATACTACGTGTGACACAGTAGGAAGTGCTCAAAGTATAAAAGCACAGAATCATCAATACAAGAAATGACTAGGTACTTACAACAGCTGTGAGAGAAGTATGCAGAGTCTGAATGAGTGTTTTGTCGTGTTCACCATGAACGTATACTACGCTTCTTCTGCCGGGCTACAACGAAACCGAGGGCACAAAGTCAAATTGATACTCGAGCAGCAAACAGGCTTACGTCATCTTGCACCGCTCTACAACGTTTGATCGTATGGCCTCGCTAGTAATGTACATTTTCGACTAGCCATTTAACTTTTCATCGCAGCGCAACAATGTGCATTTTTCAATATTCTGTGCAGCCCTTCTGGGCGATAAATTCTCATCAATTCGGTGCGAGATACTCTGTCACTGTCCGCGCGGTAGTAAGGTCAGGCTTGACTCCAAACTGCTCCGTCATCTGCCGGAAACTCAGTTTTATTGCAGCACTGCCGTACTCGCGCATACCCTTCTCATAATTTGCCGTTACGCCTTCCCAGGATTTGCCCTCGCCTTTCGCCCATGCTTCTGCAGTAAGTCTACCCAGCAGTTCCGAGTCTCGTACCGCAGTGTTTGCACCGATGCCTCCGGCTGGCGTCATGGCATGCACTGCGTCTCCAATGACTGTTACGCGTGGCTCGTTCGGCCAATCTGGTACGCCTTCTGGGCTGGAACATGTGATCTTCCAGAACGCGGCTTCGCCTTCGATCATGTTGTTAAATAATGGCTTGATACGCTCATGCCAATGTGCAGTCAACGTTTTTGCGATGTCGGCGGCCGGCTTTCCAGTAATGGCGTAATCATCGTTGGGCGCTTGGATGACACCAGGACTCGCAACCATTGTCCATCCAAAGTTGATGTCTGGATTGTTCATGTCGCCTGCTCTCACGTTCGTTATGATGGAAACACGGCCACCGTCAGGTTGAGTAGCGTCGTCAACCACGCGAAACACGCCCTCGCCTAGCCTTCTAAAGGCCGAAGTAGGTGCCTGTCCGTGGATACCTCTCAAACCTAGATCGTAAACCTTGATGGCACCGTTGGAGAGCTGTCCTGCTACTGCGCTCTTCACGCCCTCACCCCCTACTATCAGACTCCCTTCCTCGCTTTGACTACCGTCTTTGAACAGCAAACGTACGCCGTGCGTGGTCTTTTCGTAGCCAATCACGTGGTGGCCCCATCGAATACTGTCCTCCAGCCCTTCCATGAAGATCTTCCGCATATCACCACGACTAATGCCAACGACTTTACCGTCTCGGCTCGATAATTGCTCACTTCCTACGCTTGAAGCGTTGCTGCTGAGCGTTTCACCTGTCAAAGGGTCGATAGCTGCTGACCCCGCGCCACCTGTTTTGCCACATGCGTTGTAGAATCTCTCAAATCCCTCCGGGCCAAGTACCGACTCGATGGCGTCAAGTCCATCAGCTGAGAGGCGTAGACGATACCCTTGCGCTCGGAACACAATAGACGCATCGCGTTCGTAGACAATGAATGGGATGCTCTGGCGATGTAGAGACCGCGCAAACAAAAGTGCAGCAACACCGGCCCCAGAAATGAGAATAGGGTTTGGAGTCTCTATGGAGCCCATCGCATTGGTGAGCGTGTGTGCGTGCGAGCCTGCGTGTGTTCAAAGAAAGCTTGCTGCCTGTGCGAGTAGACGACTGATCAATAGCGGAACGCAATAAAACGGCTGCATGCGCATGGAATTTTCAAAGGTAGTGGACGAATACAGTATTTAGAACAAGCGCCGCACTGCATGATGGTGTATGTCGTCAGCTCGGCATCGGTGAGGCGATTTGCAAGCAATCGGAAGCCCGCAGTACTCAGCATCCGAGCGTTTGTCATCAACTACATACAAGGCTCCACAATAACCTAGATCAAGATTAGCCTACCCAACGCACAGTGCATGTTGTCAGATGTTGCGACCAGGGCCCGCCAAGATAGGCATTACTTAGCCCCAATCAGATAAATCACAGCTACAGTAGCGAACATGAAGCGAGAAACCTTGTCGCATTGTTAACCTATGTGAGATCGGCTAATCAATCACTGACAAAATTTCCTAACATAGTCCGAGCCTTTACGCTGCGCAGTCCACTGTGTAAATCACCACTTTTGGTTGCATATTTTAAGAATCTCGGTGTCAAGGGACTTTGTTGTGCTATCAAGGTCAGGCAGAGAAGTGATCTGCCTTGTTGCTCCAAAAATTACCCCATTCTAGCGTTTAGATCTGTTTGCCACATTCCAGCGAGAGTTTGATGCCGACGTTACTAAATCTTTTGCCAAAGTCAAGTAAGCCTTGTGGTCAACCTCCAACCTTTGAAGAAAAGGCTTACAAGGGATTGCTCCATCGAAAACTTTCGAGCCTGATCTCAGCCAATTGCAATGATCAGCTTAAAACCAGCGGCGTACGCGATCACGGAAGGAGTCATTAGGATCGTGGTGCCTAAGCCAACCAAATCGAAGGCTGGTGAGGTGTGGAGTGCTCGAAAATGTCTGACGACGCGGCTGCTGGCCGTAGTTATCTTGGTACGTGCTGGCAGATCGTTGTGCGCGGCCACCATAGTACTCGTCGTTGCGGTGACCATGGGACTGACGAGAAGTCTCGGGTACATACCCGTCTGCCCAGCGATCAGCACGGTGGCTGCGGGACCTACGGGTAGGCTCAAGCGCGTATTCATCTGCCCAGCGATGGCTGCGAGACCGATGAGAAGGCTCAGGCGCATACATATCTGACCAGCGATCAGTACGATAGCTGCGAGACCGACGGGAAGGCTCAGGCATGTGTTCGTCCTCCCAGTGGACGTTGCGACCAGCGCGATTGCGACTAGACCGACTGTCGCCCATGTTCAAGCCTGCGAAGCTGTATGCCAGATCGTCGGCATTAGAATGTCTACGATCACGACGACGCTCTTGCTGATAACGCTCGCGCCTATCAACATCGTAGGCAGCGTAGACATTTCCCGGGTTCCAGCCAGAGCGTTGGCCAGACGTGCCGCACGGGTCTGCATATCGACCTTGAGCACGGCGGTAGGCCTCTTCTCGCTCTCTACGGGACATGACGCGAAGTTCAGGGGCCGATCTGAGGTTTTGTTGGTTCTGGTTATGGTAATAGGCTGGGGCGAGGGGCGCGGGCGTTGACTCTACAAGCGTTTGATTGTAGAGGGAGGAAGGGGTTGAAGGTGAGAGTGTTGGATTGAACTACAGTTGAGGACAGGGGAATTATATATTATGAAGCGTGTGGGCTGGCACACGCTTTCACTGTCACTTCTGAGAGCAGACGCCAAGGTTTGGGATACATTATGAAGGTACTACGAGACATCCGCCTCCTTATTGTGAGGCTAGCTCTGGTCATCCGTGAATCTACACTCATCCGAATCCACAGAGACCTCAAATACTAGGTAATTGTGATACTGTCACTAGACATGACAATTCAACAAACCCGAAGTTGCACAATTTGCTTGGAGCTTGGTCTTTCACGTTGTTCATCTTGACTGCTTATAGTACACTGAGGAATCGATTTCTAGCCACAGGTCAGAGTACGGACAAGCAGAACGTGAGTAAGGCGATATATGGGAGTTTCCAGCAGTGAAACCGGTGATTAGGATAGGGGGCTGAAGACATAGAGCTCCAATCGTAATGATTAGATGAAACTAGAAACCCCGTGTAGTCAGGTGGATCATTTCGAGTACATTGTGATGATGAACAAAGTCAGATGTGTGGAGAATAATGGTAGGGGACAAATGGCGAGGCGAGATAAGAGGACAAACAAAAGAGGTAGAGAACTCATTGAGTCAAGGTACAATGCCGACCGGTCATGAGATTGATAGTGAGGAGGAATTCTGCAGGGGGTTCAAATCAGACATCTGAAGCAGTTTGTACACGACATACTAACTGCACGTGTAAGCCAGGACTGGAAAGTCCGTGGTGCCTCGATAAAGACACAAATCTGGTAATCGGGTGTCTGAATAGCCATGACGAGCGTTGGGTCAAGCGTTGAAACTCACCGATGCTCAAGTCTGCACGTCCATCAAGTAACGGCTGTCTAGGTAACATCATGGATCACAGACAGTTTAAACATGGTCAAATAACCCGCGCTTTCGTACAGGGTTCCCGAGGATTCAGATACATCGGTGCGAGAGCAATGTTCGAGTCAATTGATTTTCGTCATCTTTGTCAAACATAATGTGCATCCCAACAATGAGGGAATAATGTCCTCCGGCTGCTGTAGTAATTTGAGGTCACCAACAGTGCTTGCAGTGCAGTTCCACATTGAGCTTTTCTGAATTAGCATAATGCCTCCTTCCTCAACAGCCATTCAATGGACGAAGTTTTTGAGTTCCGCGATCTGCAGGGCGGAAAAGGTAAGCACGACTGCCTTGCCGGATGCATCCCTCGGCTTCGACGATCATTGCTCCCACGATACACTTGCTCAAGCCCAGAGGTAGATCTACTCAAGCGACGACGCCCACAATCAGCAAAAGGGTCACCATTCACCATAGCTTTTGGACGAACGACTCGCTGCCGGATGTCCGCACGTACATCTGACATTCTTGTTTGATTTGGTTACTTTTTTCGTGTTTCTCAGTTCTGTGTTTAGAGTTCGGGCTCGCAGCCGAGAAGGGATCGCCGCAGGTAGAGACAGCCGCCAACCCTGGACCATATTTGCCGATAAAGCTCTCGATGTTGATTAGGGATACATATTCAAGCTATACGTTGATCTCATCAGATGCACTCGAACATATCTCTTTTGCATTTTTTTTGCGACATTTTTCGTAGTTATATGATCCGTATGGGGGAGGTGGGGGGTGCTCTTATCCTTACGTACTTGCACAGGTCAGGATGAGATATTGCAGCCAGGAGCGTCTGGTTGTTAATCTTCAAAGTCGCGAGGGTAGAACCGAACATACCCAGACAGTGATAAGAATATTCAGTCCAGTGCGCTCAAGTGGACACATGGCGTGGTCGTTGTCTTTTGGTGGTGACAAGGAAGATCGATAATCTTAAGCTCGCAAAACGTGGGTCGGACGTGCCTTAATGCGGTATTTCATGGTTAGACCTTGATTGTAGTATGATGAAAAGCTACGTGGATTGTATACAGTCTCCAAACTTGCGAGAGTCGTCCACCTATAATTGAAGTCGGGGAAGTCAAAGACTCGGACATGAACGACAGGATACCGAAGAGTAAATTAACATTGGCAAAGATGTCCTTAATAAGACGCGTTCCACCACGCGCGTGCTGCACACCATATCTGTAAGGCAAGTGCTCAATTCGCACCATCTACATCCCACCTGCGTCTACTTACTCATGCGTCCAAAATGCGCCCGCCCCTTTCCATCCGTCTTCACTTTCTGAACCGCCTTCCCATTCAGACTGACACTTCTGTTATCCCCATCGGGCAGAATGACCACCACATCCTCCCACGCTGGCTTGAAACCCGGCTGCAGCGCCTTCACCAACTCTACCTCCACCACATCCTCTGTTGTCGAGTATTTCAGCTCGAACGCAGAGATACTCGCCGGCGGTGGACTGACGCCATCGTCTTCGTACCATGTAGTGCTGAATACTCGACCGTTCGACGAGCCCTGGGGCGGGAACACTTCAACGCCGCGGTAGTCGTCGGCCGGCAGGTTGGCGGGGTTAGATGTATCGCCGACCGCGAGAGTTTGCTCTGCACGGCCAACAGGAATTGCGCTACCAACTTTGGAAAGAACGGGGATGCTCTCATCCCACTTTGCGGAGACTTCGATCCACTGACCGGCGGTGTAGTATGTCTGTGGCGCATTGTTGAGGTCGAGGAACTGCAGGCTGGGGTCTGAAGGGTCTTTGGGCAGGTACATTTTGGCACTTGAGACGCCGGGTTCGAAGACACCGCCGACGAGGAGCGAAGAGCCCAGCCAGTACTGAGTCTCGCCGTCCTTAAGGGTTTTGTTGGTCCAGATCTCAGGATCTTGGGAATAGCCCCAGCCCACCCAGCGTTGTGGCGGGGTCGCGGTCATGTGGCTGTCAAGAGCAAGGGAGTACAGATAGGGGATGAGCTCATACCGCCTTTTGATGATGTCACGGACGAGCGCCGTAGTCTCCTCGTACATCCAAGGTTCAATAACGTCGCCGAGACTGTTGTTTTCGGGTGATGTCTTGAAGCAGTTGATTGCAAAACGTGGGGAGTAGATACCTTGCTGACACCAGCGCACGAGCAGTTCCGGCGACGGCTGTGGCCCTTCAAAACCACCGATGTCGTGGCCGTAGCACTGCATCAGACTCAGACCTGCACCGAGAGACAGAGCGTTGGCACCTTTCATGCCGTCCCAGCTGGTGACGTTATCACCACTCCAGGCGCTTGCGCAGTACCTGAGGGTTCCAGCGGTAGCGCTGCGAGTCAGGATGAATGGTCTTTGTTTAGGTTCGGCATCCAATGTGGCTTCGTATGAGCTCTTGCCCATCAGTTCAGTGTTCAATGATCGTCCCCAGAAGCCAACCTCATCGCCATAGCTGTCCGTTCCGTCCTGATTCACGGATTCTTCAGTCAGAGCGCACTTCCATGTGTCATTGGGAATTGTGTACTCGTTATTGTCGTTCCAGATACAATCAATACCGACTTTTTTGAGATCGCGGATGCCATCATACCACCACTTGTAACCCGCTTTCGAGGTAAAGTCCAAGTGACCACCTACACCGCTCTCACCACCACCCGCACTCCAGAGTCGTGCTTCAGCGGAGTCGTCACGAACAGGATCCGTGAAGAAGGCACCAGCTGCCTTGAGTCCCTCATATGCTGGATGATTGGCTAATACATACGGCTTAACATTGGCGATCAAGCGTATACCCTCCTTATGGAAGGCGTCCATGAAGCCCTTTGGATCGGGGAAGCGGTGTTTATTCCAGGTAAAGACGTTGCGAGTTTTTGGTTCTGTCTCTGCAACAGTGTAGCCGGAGCTCATTTGAAAGCCACTGCAGGGAATTTCATGCTTCTTCATTTTGCCCGCAAACTCCATGAGTGCTTCTGACGCACGCGGCTCGTCCAGCATGCTGTACTTCATGCCTCCAGCCAGGTATCCGAATGCCCAGCGCGGTACTAGTAATGGATATCCCACTAGGTCTGCGTAGATGCGTACCACGTCCGGAATGGTCGCGCCCATGATGATGTATTCCTCGAGGCCGCCGTGCTCCTGACGGTAGACCTTGAATCGACCCCACATGCCGTCCATTTCAGATCCTACGGAGTAGAAACCTCGAGCATGAGATGAAGAGAAGACTCCGACACAGCCTTTAGGTGTTGCGTTGATCAGAAGAGGAATGTGCTTGTACAGCGGATCTGTACGGTAAACGTCGTAGCCAAAACTGTCGGTTGCCGACAGTACAAAATGTCGGTTGGACAGATCAAATGGCGCCGCCTTCTCTCCAAGACCGACATGTAGCGTATTCTGATTGTATCGGGTGTAGTGAGCTATTCCAGTGCCATCCGCTACATATGCGCGATGTGGGAGATCGGAATGGATCGGAGCGTCTTGACCCGCAAAACCAAGAGACAAGAGGGGCGGTCCAGTCGTCCAGTCGACGGTTGCTTTGACATTTTCTATCTGGAAAGACTTTCTGGTTGAAGCAGAGTCTTCATGCTTTACACTGGCCTGTTGCAGATTCCTTGATGGGAGTGCGGCGGCTCGATGGGGAGGAAGTAAATGCTTAGGGGAAGTGAACGTTGTGCGGAACAAGCCAGGTCTTAGAGCTTCAAAGCTGAAGTTGTACCCGCCTTCGGACGATTGGAGATGGACTGAAGTGTTGGATTTACTAGCAGTAGGCTGGGAGCTGAAATTGAGAGGGACGATCTCGAGTTGACCCATGACTTGGTTCGATCTGACAGTTTTTGGGGTGTTTGGGTCAGAGAAATGCCCAACTCCTTGATGCGACTTGTAAAGGTATCGTGGACTGTTTACACTTTATGTGAGAAGCTCCGGCTGTGATCGGCGCTTGCTCTCGGTATTGTCGGAGTGGAAGGATGCTGCGATCCTCGCGCCATCGCTCTTTCAACCTAGCGCCGCGGCTTATCGGTAACTTCGGCCGCAATGTCTCTCAGGATCAGATCATCGTGAAACTAGAGAAGTGGAGTCTGGGGTGTTATCCCTGTAGTGAAATGTATAGATTAGTTACCTAAACTAATCTTACTTAATCTCTACAATCTCATGTATGGCACGCGATGGCGCCAAGAGCGCAGAATCTGGGGTTGTGGGGTTTGACCAAATCCTAAACTGTGGGAACGTAAGGATGCGGAAAGTCGGGACTTTGCGGGTCACTTTTCAAGAGTCCGAGTATGGAGCAGGTGCGCCCACCGCGGGAAGCCGGAACGCCTTTGAGTCTACACAGTAGTGTCTGAAGCCTGAGCCGTTGTGGAATAGAGTTCAACTGTTGCTTTGGAATTGATGAGCGAGGTAAGAAAAATGCCAATCTCTTGCGGGGAAAGATCTCGCCTTCCTTCACGTATGGAGTGCTGTTGATGCGATTCGCCAGACCATCGATACAAACCAGCGTCGAATAACGAACTGTGCGATGGCTTTCTCCCCATTGCAATGAGTAGGGCCGGCAATACATAGATTCGTTGTCTAGCTAATCCTTGTATCTCAACAGCCGACATTGGTATGAAGATACACGATTCATGGAGTAATCTTGTTACGCTTTGCACGGCTGCTCTTCACGCGATCGCGTCTTCTGTTGGTATCTTCGCGTCAACGTTGACCGCGTGAACCCAAGATCTCTTGCTATCTATGTCCGATGTATATATTCTGTCTTTCACAGGTACCACGCTCTACCGTGGTATCTTGCGGCGCCATCGTGGCGTTGAATTATGGGGTTGTGGAGTATAGATGCAAAGGATGCCTTGGCGAATTGCGGCGATCCAGGCATTGCGGTAACCCGCGCATTGTGCACGCAAATCAGATAGGGAATAAGCTATGCCACATTGATGGTTAAGCAAAGTGGTGAGTCTATTACGCATTGGATTCCTTCGCTGATATTGCGGATCAATCGTTGGGCACAAAGACACAATACAATTAGGAGGGCGAGGACGCGCTGATTAATCGGAATTGCTCAATTGACTCTCGATAAAGAGTTCCTCCCTGAATTGATATCCCTTGTCCAGCTCGCCTACAACACTTGCTTAGCTTGTTCTACTAGCCGAGGTTCTGAGTTCTGCTAGAAGGCTAACGCTCGCGCAACGCCGCCTTACTTGTACAAGAGGGTGGCATCTCGGCCAAAGTTGAGCTCGAGTTCACTCAGAGAACCATTGTTGGTGAGTTCGAAGTACTTCGTGAAGATCGGTGTGAAGTTCTGCGTGACTAGTATCCGGTTGAATAGATCGACATCGTTTGTAAAATCGGCACTGGTTGGATTCGCGCGGAGATTCATTGCCTGTTTTGCCGCAACAATACCATCTCTTGGGAACAGAGTTAGCCGCTCAGTGATTTCTCCGATGTGAGTGTACATGTCTTGAGGTGAATCGAACGCTTTGTTGATCCAACCAATTCTCTCCGCCTCTTTAGCTGTGATGTCCTTGGAGGTCAGAATATACTCCATTGCCAGGCCTTTACCAATCAGCCTGTGCAGTTGTTGACTCCCTCCTCCTCCAGGAAAGGTGCCGAAAGCATTTTCCACCTGACCAAGGAAGACGTCTTTCTTTGTCGCGAAGCGCATGTCCATTGCCATCAGCAACTCATTTCCGGCAGCGCGAGCCCTCCCTTCGACGGCAGCGATGGTGACCTGGTTAAGGGTCGAGATGTTGTACATGAGTGCAGCAAAATTGTCCACGGCCTTGTCTGGTTTTTCAATCAGTATCCTCCAGATCTAAAATTGCACTTTTCTAGTTGAACACAGAAATGAACTTACCGACAAAGAAAATCGCAGGGTCCAGATGATTCAGGAAGAATCTAGGCACATCGCTCTTGAAGATGACCACTCTGGTCTCATTGTCCTGTCCAAGTCTTTGGACAAGATCTGTGAGCCCATACTGAATATCTTGACTCCAAGTATTGATGATAGAGTCGGGGTTATGGATCGTGACTTCCAGGACGTTGTTGCTTTCAGTCGTTTTCAGAGCTCTGTACTGCGGAAGATCCAATGCCAGGATCGAAGGAATAATCAAGGCCATCGCTTTCATCGTGAGCCACTTAGGAGTCATGTTGTTCAGCACAATGGATATGGATTTGAAGTAGGTAAGAAAGATCAGTTGAACTAGTACTGTGTGAAAGGACAAAATTGAGGATTAGCTGCAGGAGAACTGTACGTAGCACTTATATAGTTTAGAAGCTTACCTCTACTGTTAAGATTTGTTTGCACGTTACTGATCAAATTTATTATTCTACCAAATTGCTAACGGCTTCAAGGCGAGGTCAAATTCTGCACTGACTTGGATTATACTCTAGCGTAGAGCACTAATGTTTAATAGGAACCCGCTAACGTTCGCAACAAGATGGTCCGTGGAATGTCGGAACAACTTTTCGTGCGACGGATGAACACATGCACCGCGTTTGGTAAAAGTCCTCCCGTTTTGCAAACAATAAAACTCTTTTCGCAATCTTGAGTCCTGGAAGGATTCTTGCGGCCACGCGTTTACAACCGTGACTGCATATTAATCACTCGACATTCTTGAGCATAATAGCACAGCACTCAAAGCTATGCAATCAAACATCGATCTCTGCAGACTTACGCTTTGAAAGGCCCCGGAAAGCAAGCCATGAAAATTTAACAAACCTGAATCAGACCCAGAGAAAAGACAGACTCTTGCAATTGCAATGACGAGAAAAGTTACAAAGACTATTGCGGTGGTTGGTATCACTGGTAATCAGGTATAATGTCCTGATAAACATCTGTTAATGATATTGTATCCTGCTAAAAGAAGACAGGGATCATCTGTTGCAGCGACGTTCCTTGCCGATTCCGATTGGACTGTGAGAGGCATTACTCGGGACCTCACAAAAGAGACATCCACAAAATGGGCCAACCGCGGTGCTGACATGGTAGCCGGGGATCTTGATGTTCCCGACAGCATGACGAGGGCTTTCCATGGCGCGAACATTATCTTTGGGACGACGGACTTCGTACAACATCTACAAGATCCGCAGATCATTGCAAGCGCAGGGGCTCGACATGTCAATGAAGCTGCCACTGAACGCGAATTCGAACAAGCAAAACGACTCATCGATGCGGCTGCTGCGCACACCTCCACTCTCGACGGTTCATTCTCAGTACGCTTAGTGATTGCAAGGCATTGAGCGGTGGCAAGATACGATATAACTTGCACTTCGATTGCAAGTGGGCGGCGGTCAAGTATCTTCAAGAGAGATACCCGGAGCTGTGGAAAAAGACAAGTCTTCTTCAACTGGACATCTTTGCGAGCAACTGGAGAGTTCCTTACTATACGCCCAAGAAGCAAGCGGATGGGAGTTTCAAGGTCAGCTTACCCATGAGCGGTGACAAAAAGTTTCCAATCATAGATCCGAACAGTGATACTAGTAAGTCACGAACAGAGACACCTCGTTCTCCAGTCAGCTGATCTTCACAGGTGTATTGACCCAGGCTCTCCTGAAGAGCAAAGCAGGAACTCATTTGGTTGGAGCCAGCTCAATGATAAGCTGGATAGAGTGGTGTAGAATTTGGAGCAGTACAACTGGAGTGGAGTGCGGCTTTGAAACCATCGATCGTAAGATACTGGAAGACGCTATGGGGCCTCTTGGGAGAGAGATTACGGATATGTTCCAGGTATGTTGAACAATGTCGTGCAAGATAGTTTGCTAAAACTTGGAGCAGTACATGAATGACTTTGGATATGATGGGAACGATCCAAAGGTGGTGTACCCATGGGATTTAGAGATGAAAGTGGAGACTACCCCTATCGACGAGTTTTTCAAGATACAGGGTTGGTCAGGAGTCTTATAGGACGTCTGTTATTGTTAACAGGCTGCGCATAGGGTTGTCAATACCAAGGATAAGTTGATAGAAAATTAAAAGACCTGAATAACGACCAGATCGTTAGCCAGTGCGGAACTGAGATTCGTTCCCTCACATACGATCTCGCCCCTCGGATATCGTATGATAAGCTAACAAGTTCGCATCCAAGAATATTGCATTTTGGAATTCAGAGCATCAGACCTAACTTTGGTCTTTCAAGAGCGCCTGCGAGCCAAGCCAGAAAGAAGGCGAATGGAAGAATTCCAACGAGACTTTTGTGCTCTACGGTCAGAGCGACTCATAGGTTTAAGAATCTCATGATGGGCTTCTGATAGGCGGCCGTCTTCCTGCAGTCAAACTCTCCTATATCCTAATTTTTAGCTCTATAGCTTTTAATATAAGTTTTTTTCGATTTTAAATTACACTTCAAAAATATATATAATATCTACCTATACTTTAAATTCAAGGTTTATAGCTATGATGTTAAGAAAGTTATACTAGATATAAGATCTACTAAGGCGCGCACTAATATGCTGCGCACAATTAGAGCATAGACGCTGTATCTTGTTCTAAAGCTTTGATAGCGAATGCTGTCGTCATGCCTCGACTACCGATCCGTTTTCGACTCCGCCCAAAGCAGCACACCCAGCCTATCTCCCATCCACCATCCAGATCCTGTAACTCCCTCAAGTAATGGATGTCTGACCTTGCGCACACATCAACTGCCTGGCAGGCAAGTATTCTTGCGGCAACTGCAAGCGCGTCGTCACGTCGTCCCACGCGCTCGCGACAAGCATTTCCGAGCTCCCGTCGTAGTAGCCTTTGCAACTCTTCATCCCTCCGGTTTTCTTCAACTGGACACGAACAGAAATATAGAAATAATTCTGGCGTGACGTAGTCGTGTGAGCCATCCACATACGCTCTTGTCTTGAGCACCCTGCTTACGTATTCCAGCTCAGGCCGCACTTCCGCACCGCGATTGTAGTGGTAAAATAGGCGAACCACGTTTGTCAAAACCCAAGGATCAATGCGCTGGCGTTGGGTGCAAAAGTAGGTTTGTATGAGCTGCCTACGCGCGCATCTGTTGGAGAGAAATTTGTCAAGAACGATGTTTGCGGAGGAGATGGGTGGCGAGAAGGCAAGTAAGGCCATTGCCGTATCGTCTACATCCGTGGGTAAGGTGGACGTTGTGCCGATGGGAGAACCGATGAAGTAGTTCCATAGCTTAGCTTGATTCATTGCTTTTGAGATTTCGCACTCAATTTCCGTAGAGAGCGAGTCGGCGAGTGAAAGACTTATAAGGCTGGCGTCGCGTAGAATATGATAGATAAAAAACTGTGAGAACGTATCACGGATCTCGGGTCCGTTTTCTATGCGTGAGAAGCTGCTTCGTGCATTGTCCCTCATGTATTGTCTTGCTCTGGTGATGGGGTCGAAAAGGCGGTTTTGCAGCTGGCGTAACAGTTGTGTGGGCGAACTGAAAACAATGCCCTGTAGACCGAGAGAACGTGCCTCGAGCACGTTCACGACTTTGTCATCCACGAAAATCGCAGAGTCGTTGTTGACTAACCCTATCGTACTCAAGACACGGTGATAAAATTGCTGTTCGGGTTTGATCATGCCTTCTTCAAATGAGGTAAAGATTCCATCAAACAGACTCCAGTCCTCTAACACGGATTTGAGTCGGACAAAGTCCGGTTCCGAGATATTTGTCATGGCGTAAATCTTGAGTTGTCCATCCATCTCCGCCTTTAAGTTTTGCAGCTGGCTGTAAAGTTCGTGATCTACACAAAGCGTTTTTCGGCATTGTTGTAGTGCTTCTTCGAGTGACTGTTGCTTGAAATCAAGCTCTTTACAAATGTTCTGGATAGTTTCGGTCTCGTTGATATGGCCGCGTTCGAAGTCGCCCCATTCTGGTGAAAGAAGACATGCGTGGAGATCAAGAGAGCCCAAGGCTGTCAGGTTCTGCGAAGACCAGTGGAATATCACATCTCCTAGATCAAGAATGAGTGTGCGCGATCTCTGGCGTCGGCCTTCAGTCATTGAAATGTGGTTTGAAGGTGCCATTGTATCAGACTTTGAAACCTGGTGCTTGTGTATAATGCAAAAACTTTGTCGTTGAGGTTATGGTAGAATTATTCTATCGAGCAGTACGTGTCATCGCCGGGCGAGGATCCTTAAGCTCTATGTTGGGTCGATGGGATTCACCTGACAATTCAACGTATCTTTGGCTCAATCATGGTTCTTGATCTACAAGGGCACATGGATCTACGTCCTACATCTCAAACGGCTATAACAGCTTCAGGCTTGCTTAGAATTGAACGAACTAACGGAGATGCTTCCTATCGAGACAGCCAGTCTATCTAGTGCTGACCTCAGATCCGCAGTGCATACCAAAAAGATCACGGTTAAAACCAGGCAATATATCGGGCGACAGATTATATCTAGAGCTGACAATGCGCGGCATGCACCTGCATGATTCGCAAGTGATACATAAAAGCTGCAGCCGTAGAACCACATGTGACAACAAGTTCCCTGCAGAGCGAATCAGGGCTACGGCTTACCAATTCCTGTGAGCAAGGTTTCATGTCGCTTTCTGGAGTCATTTATGTCCTAAATTACTTGTTTGTGTAGAAGTTCGTGATCGGGGGTTGAAAATGGTCCAGTCCGTCAAACCTAACTAAAGATGATGTGGCTCAAGACTCAGAGTTCGCGGTCTATCTGTGTGGATAGCACCAAAAGGACTCAGGATACATAACCATATTCCATTCGCTAATAGTCTATGATCAATCATAACTCCACCATAGGTTTGCTTTTGTTTGTGTCGGAAGACTGCTTCAATGTTAGCTGTGGATGTACTTGCATAGTGTCAGAGACAAGTCGCGTCCGAAAGCAGGGAAGATCTCCTGTAAGCTTTAGTGCTGACTGTGTATCTTAAGCGAAGGGCTTTTGCTATTTATATTAAGCGTGCGTCTTTCATCTCAATGCGTGTACAAATTCGAGACGTCTCGCCTTGATTGTGGCCCTTCAATTGAGTCCGGATGCATTACGTGGCCGAAGAAAAGCCGAGCGCCATCAGGTTTCGTCGGTGATCTTGAGGCCCCACCCAACTACATAGCTCGGTTTAGGAAAGACTCCACAAGCTCGCGGCGCCTCAACAACCTCCTTGGTGGTGTTCTCCATACATACATGATCTGTAAGCGCAATTCGGATTCTTGTAGTCAAGCTATCGCATATCGGTATGCGACTGGATTGAGACGGCACGGGCAATCGATTCATGCTCCGATGGCTGCCTGCCTGAGACTGGACTAGGCACACGTGGCACGAAACACAACATACACCCGATCGATCATCCATTCAATCTTACCTCAAGTTGTCATTTTGTATTGCTCACACCAATCACTTGCAAGCTTCGCAATGTCACTTCTGAGCCTATCGAATGAATTGCTTTACTGCATATTGGAAAGTCTCGAGTCCGAGAGAGACATCAACGCTCTCGCACAAGTCAGTCGTCGCCTATACCGCTTGCTAAACACCTGCCTTTATTGTTTCAACATACGGTATTCCGGATGCTCAGCGCTGCTTTGGGCTGCCCAAGAGGGCCAGATAGCAACAGCTCGAAAATTACTGGACGAAACAGATGACGATCAAGTCAGCAGCGACCAGTTCAGGATATCACTCTGTGTGGCAGCAGCAAATGGCCATGCGGAGATTGTAGAGCTACTCCTTGATAAAGGTGTTGATGTCAACGCGCAGAGCATCGCCGTAGACGACGGAGATGTAGAGTACAACAGCACCTTCGCGCTCGAGGCAGCCTCAGAAAGAGGCCACGAGCACATCGTAACGCTGCTGCTTAACAGGGGTGCCAATATCAATGCGCAGAGCACACATTATTTCTCCAAGCAAGAGCAGTTCTACGCCAGCAATGCACTTTGCGCAGCTTCAGAAGAGGGACATGAGCGGATTGTAAAGCAGTTACTTGACAATGGCGCCAACGTCAACATGCGTGGTGGATACTGCGGCACTGCGCTTCAAGCAGCTGCAGCAGGTGGTTATGCACAAATTTCGAAACTGCTACTTGACGCAGGTGTCGATGTGAATGCGTGCGGCCAATACTACTGGAAATGGTGGTGCGAATTTCTTGACAGCAACGCACTGTGTATAGCTTCTGAAGAAGGCTACGAGCATATAGTGGAGCTACTCCTGGACAAAGGCGCGGAGACCGAGATGCAGGGCGGTCAGTACGGCAACGCTCTCGTGGCGGCTTCAGCTAGCGGCTATGAAAAGGTAGTAGAGCTGCTGCTGGACAAAGGTGCTAATATCAATGCACTGGGCAAAGAACCCACCATAGATGGCGATGTGTATACAGAGATCAGCGCACTTCAAGCAGCTTCAAGAGAAGGCCATAAGCAAGTAGTAAAGATGCTGGTGGCGAGGGGTGCTACAGGCAGCACCATGCATAGATGAAATGACCAAAGCACTCCAGGAGCCGTTGCAACAAACCCATTATCGCGTACGCTTTGTAATTCTCTCGTACAAGCTACCAAGTTAATTTCAAAATAGCTAGTGTATTATGTGATTGCGCTATCCAATCATGTATCTTTGCACTATCTTGTACTCCATCGGTATAGTAAAGAAAACCAATCTGCATAGATTTGGTGAACCTCGTGCCCAATCTCTAGCTAACGGCGATACAGACCTTACCAATGTGCTGACCAGATACGAGATACTCAAAAGCACTAATAACTTCCTCTCTTGAGAAACCGAACACCCTCTCAACAGGCATGTTAAGGTTCTTTGAAGTAACGAAGCGCGCCACATCTTCCAGCTGCTGTTTCGAGCCAACCATGATACCCCGCACTACTGCACCCTTCCCCAATGCAAGAGCTGCAACGTCTGGCATCCTTTCTTGCGTACAAGAGGCAAGGAAGCCGATCACAGCGATATTTCCTCCGTACGCCACAGCATTGATGCTCTGAGCGATTGTCCCAGCACCGCCGTTCTCGAGGATGAAGTCCGCACCATGACCCTTCGTAATCTTGAGGACCTCCTTCGACCAGTCCGGGGTGGTCTTGTAGTTGATAGTGTAGTCGACCCCGTAGTTCTTCTGAACCTGCGCAAGCTTGTCGTCGGACGAGGATGTGATGATGGTGGTTGCGCCAGCAGCTTTGGCGAGAATCAGACCCGTGATAGAGACACCACCGGTACCTATTGATCTTGTCAGCAAGACGTTCATTCATAGAAGTTGAACGCCTACCGAGGAAAAGGACAGTCTGCCCAGGCTTCAACGGATTATTGCCGTACAGCGCGTTCCAGGCCGTCGTACCCGTACATACGAGCGCACTGAGTTGCGCAAAGCTAAGCTCAGTCGTAGCAGGTATTTTGACGAGAGCTGAGCTAGGAAGGACAATATATTCCCGAAGTACACCATCATAGCAGCCGCCTAGGCTGTGGTGCCAATCTGGCATGGCACCGTATAGTGTCTTCAGGTCAAACGAGGCGATAACCTTGTCTCCCTCAGCGAAATCGTCGACGTTGCTGCCCACGGAAACGACCTGGCCGGAGAGATCAGAGCAAGGGATCACATTGTCTTTGTTTGGGAAAGGGTACTTTCCAGTAGCTACAGCAAAGTCGCGGAAGTTGAGAGCCACATTCTTGACTTTGATCAAGACTTCGTTATTGTTGGGCACTTGGACGTCCTCTTGATAGACCTGGAGATTTTGGATGGAGCTACGTTGGGGCAGACGGAAGACCTGTTGCTTGGCCATGGCGATATCGATGGAAAGGCTTTTTGTCAAAAGGGATGTGCGCGGCACCGGCTGAGTGGAGACGTCATTTAAAGGTATGTCTGCGAGTGCGAGTACGTAAATGAAGTTAATATGAAGAACACAGGGCTGTGTCTTCAACTTGACGAACAAGGGGTGGAGTGGTTTCAGTCCAGCGCTTGTTGGCGCAGCTTTTTGGGCCTTTGCCCGCATTGGTACGTGTTAAAAAACACTCGTAACATCCTTGCTGACCGATAGCAGACGTATGGATTTCCTACCTCTTGGCAGAGAAAACTCTGATATCCCCGGAAAGCTGGGTCAACGATGATAATCCAGTATCAGTTGCAACCTCAAGAACCGTCGAGGACTATTGTAACCTCGCCACCCTCCTTCTTGCCAAGATAGTCAACCTTGTAGGAAGAGGTTCTGCAGTGTTGGAACACCCATCTACATCCGCTGAGATCCATGCACTCTGGATCGGCCTTCAGCAATGGCACGATCACCGGCCTCGACACATGCGACCTCTCATGGAAGCATCTCATAACCACAGGAGTGTGTTCCCTGCTATCCTACTCACCAGCGACTCCTAGCATTTAGTAAGTCACGTTTTTCTGTTCGGCTTTCATCAAGCCTCTCGCCCAATGTCTTCCTGATAGCTAACGATTGCAGGTTCGAGAGCAGCGACTCCACAACTCTTCACGACGCACAAAAGCTTAGCTGCATGCTTCAGGGCAGAGACGTGCGTACAGTAAAGAGATTCCAAAGTTCGACACCCTGTTGCCACATTAAACTAAACATGGAGTTGTATCGTCAGGCCGCCTAAAGTTTCGCGAAACACCACACATTTCCAACCTCGTTCGAGTCGGGCCGCAGCACTGACTCTTTTGTCGACGACTTCCATTTCATCAATGTGCCGTAAACCAGAAGCTTAGCGGGGTATCGTTCCAATAGTTTGAGATATGTCACCATGATTAGATCGTACAGATGTGCCTACTGAAGAGCTTCAGTAACCTCCAGCTATGATGCTGTTTCCGGGCTTTGCGGCTTCTGCGGCTTTTGCAACATCACGCAACTTAACATAAAGCCGCAACTTCAGATAATGACTTATACTCAACCAAACTGATATATTCAACTTTCGAAGCGATTTTCATCAATTACTTCTCCGGCCCTCCAACATCATGGCTCCCTTAAGCGAGATCATTGATATGCTGATTGGGCAAGCTTTCGGCAAACTTCGGATTCCTGACCTCAATCTTACTGGCAAAACCATAATTGTGACTGGCGCCAACACTGGCCTGGGACTAGAATGTGTCAAACATTTGTAAGCGTCGTCGTCCATTTGGGTTATATCATGTTGGCTGACACTGCGAAGAATGAGGCTACAGGCGTCACACATCGTTCTCGCCTGCCGGGACGTCAAAAAGGGCCAGGCAGCCGTGCAAAAAATACGAGAAGAGATCAAATATGGGGACAGTACAAAGCTAGAGGTATGGGATTTGGATCTCAGCTCCTACGACAGCGTCCTGGCTTTCAACAAGCGAGTCGACACCGAACTCTATCGCCTCGATGCGTTCATTGCCAACGCAGGAATGGAGGTCCAGACCTTCCAAGTGGCCGAGAATATCGAGAAACATCTCACGGTCAATGTTGTCTCCTGCTTTATGAGCGCCATCGCTTGTCTGCCGCTACTTCGAAAGACGTCCCGAGACTTCGACACTCATTGCACCCTTACGTTCTGTGGATCGATGTATCATATCTTCGGGCCTGACAGCGAGTTTGATGCTGCTATGACTGAGGATGCCGACATGTTCGATGCACTTAGCGATCCCACCCGTACAGACATTATCTGGAGGTATGCGCTCAGCAAGCTCATGGTGCATCAGTGTTTCCATGAACTAGTAGCGCAAGTCAGAAACGGCGTGGAGCATACAGATTCGCGGGTCGTTGTCAATATCGTTAACCCGGGCTGGTGCGGTACCGAGCTGTCGCGTGCGAAACCTTCGAATCTGGGCGAGAAGTTCTGTTTTGCTCTCATGGGATGGACGGCGGAGAAAGGCAGTCGGATCTATCTTCATGCACTTGCAGGCGGACAAAAGAGTCACGGACAGTACTTATCCGAAGGTAGCCCCAAGATTGAGTCGCAGTATGTGCGCAGTGATCGGGGCCGGCGGATCCAAGTGAAGATGTGGAAGGACTTGGTGTCTAGGATGGAAAAGGTTGCGCCAGAAGTCGCAGGGCTGGTCACGTAGCGACCGAACTCAAGGTGGCCCTCGCCAGTTGTGTGAAGTAGCAATTTGATGTTCTCATTCCTAGACTTGGAACTTTGATCTCAAAAGTTGCAGTACGTTGTTTAGCCGGTTATGAAGGTCACGCAACTATGAGCTAGGAAGATTCACGCAAGGTTCATAAGACAGCATCCAGCATCAGGCAGAGATTTTGCGTTGAACGCCGCGGAATCACTGCCACGCACTGGTATCAATGATGTCTTCAAGGAACTCATCCCAGATCAGATAGGATTGTTGGTCCGACTCAAAGCTGAGAATATCGACGCCGCGTTCGAGATGCTCCTCGGATTGATGATGGATGTTCTGTGCGGGATGGCTGAAAGAATGGAGGTCGTCTGGGGAAGGTAATTTGGCAGGCATGTGATCCAAGAGTGTTTCCAGGCTGAGTTGCGAAGTGTTTGAGTCTTGAGAAGCCACACTTGCTTCCTCTCTCGCGCGTTGCACTCGACGCATGAGGCGTGCTATCGGCTTCCACAATAAACCAGACTGAGAATCAGCGACAATGCGGGCATAGTAGCGGTACGCGTTCGATGCTACTTCGAAAGCTCGATCTGCCAGTGGATCAGATAGCCTCACCGACAATTCGGCAAGAAGAACAGCCAGCGCATGCCATTGCACCCAGTTTTTCCAGGCCCATGGCTTGAGCTCTAATGATGGAACCTCCAGGTGCAGCTCCAGAACTTCTGTTGCAGCTAGCATGACGTCAAAACCATCCCATATGGGCACACTCTCGATAGACTGTCGATAAGGTGGTCTTCGCAGGAGCAATTCCAGACTGCGATGTATTTTGCGACCAGATGTAACGATTAGAACGTGCATTGGTATACGAGATTCGCCGATCTGTCGCGCTAGCTGATCAATGTGAGCGCCAAAGTCCACGACAAGCTGCTTTCTTTCCGACCAAGTGTCGAGCCCCTTTGTACTCAAGTCGTACATCTTGCGTTGACACAGCATTGCCTGATAGGTCATCGTGGAGTGAGTCATGTCTGTAATGGGAGGTCGGGAAGGGGTTAGTGCGCCACGTGCTGGGCTGTTGTCGCTATCGTCAACATCCAGGGGCGGTGTCCGAAATGCACTGGCTGGCAAAACGGGTATCGTGCCGCGATCGAGAGCCGCATGAGTATCGAGCACGCCGATAGCATATAGAACTCTACGGCGAGCGTCCAACTCCAAAATCGTGAACTTCGAAGGGTCTTCATCTCCAAGACGCAACGCTGCTGCAATTCTAGCGGCTACTGCCACCAAAGTCCATGTAGTTGCGCTATTAAGGCAGGTCCTCAGTCCAATCTAGCATGTATACGTTAGTGTCTTGTGCTGACTCATGTAGAACAGCCGCTAACCATATAGATGACCAGAGCTTGGAGGGTGCGCAGATCTGGATGGCTCAGCAGATTTGCGGACGCTAGGTACCGCTCCGCTCGAGCCCGGTAGAACTGAATAAGATCAATGCGCGACCCAAGACCCATAGCCTCAGCTTCATCCTCATTGATTGTGCATATTGCCATGAAATACATCGCATACTCAAGGGCGAGGATGTTTGCGGTCAACGTGCCATCAGAGTAGGCCGCTCTGATCAGAGCCAAGACTTTTGATAAATGGACCACTTTGTAGACTGTGTCGACCCGATCTTTAAACAGGCCGAATAGTGTCTCACTAGTTGCGGGCGAAGCATCCGGTAATTCCAATCCTTGACTTGACATGTTCGGAAAAAGTAAGTGTGCGTCCGATGAGGCGGTCTTTCCAGGGTAAGCTTGTTTTTCAGCATGATATTCAGCTACCTCTTCTTTTTCATCTCCGGAATCTTCGAGGATCTCTCGGACACCTGAGATGCTCTTGGATAAGGATGACCAGAAGTCTGGAGCCAAAAATTGTCTTTGAGTAGGCTGAAGTTTTGAGTGCTCTGCTGCTTCCATCAAATTCATCTATAACTTGGGGGTTAATTACGAAATGCAGATATATAAAGCATATGTCGGAGATTTACCTGGGCGTGCTGATTGATATAAGTCTCCAACTGTTTCAAGCGACTCTCTAACGATTGCTTCTGTGTCTGTTTTTTTCCGCTCTTTCCTCGCGGCAAACGTGCACGTTGCACAACCTGGCAAACCAGGCCCGCATTACGACAGGCGTTGCATGGGGAACCTTTGTCACAGCGGAGCTTTCTCTGCTTGCACTGCTGGCAGGCGAGACGTGGCGCAGGGTCCATGGGTAGATACCGTAAGAGAGAGGCGTTACATATGGCGTACAAGCAAGCTGGATGCTCAAGTCAGAATGTGTACGTGACACTACCTAGGCGATTTGATGTTGGCAGTCGCGAGCACAGCCCTTGACAGACTGCGAGGGTTTCGCCGGCCCGTTTCGAAGGAAAAGCAGGTCATGACGTCATAAGTTAAGCGAATAACGTACAGGAGCTGGCATGCCACCTAACCATGGACGTGCCGAGAGGTGGCATGCCAAGGTGGACGTGCGCGCGCTAGGCTAAGCGAGCTCAAATTATTTTAAAATTAATTTTGAATTGTTTCTACTAACAAGAACCACCTACCTATAACATAATAATAAGCACCTCTATCTTAGTCCTTGCTAGCTTTATAAGTTTACGCAAAATTATTTTTAAATTAATCCTAAATTAATTTTAGGGCCCTTACATAGCTTACCTTGCCCTCCCTATGCTCCTCTTAAGTGCAACCTTCTATAATCTAGATGCTGCTAGCAATCCTATTGTCTACCTTAGCAAGCTCTATATTAAGGTCGTACTTTAAGCAAAGCTTGTAAGCACTATTTAATTAGTTCTTAGGGATAAATACTATTAGGGAAACTAAAGGAGGTCTTACACTAAGGAGTATAGATACAATCTATCTATCTTAAGGGCAAGAGGTAACAATAAGTAGTATAGAGTAGACTATCTAGCTTAAAAGTTAGGTTAAGATCTAATATTATAGATTAATACTTAGGTTAAACATAAACTATAAGGGTTGTGTTCCTACTTACTATATACTATAGAGAGTATAGTAGCTTACTAGGCTTAATATAAGCTATATAAGCTAGGCTTACTAAGCTTAATATAAGCTGCATAAGCTCTACGTAAGACCTACTTTAGCTTAACTACTAAGGAGTAAGCTTATTATATAACTTATAATAAAACTATGCTATATAGGATAGCCTATATAATATTATGCTAAGTGTGTTAGCATTTGCTAGGTGTTAGTATCTAGTTGGTTATAAAAGAAAGATTATAACACTTACTCCCCTCTCTCTTAGATTTATCTTGAATCTGTTAGCTATTCTTTATAAGCTTACCCTACTACTACCTTTAGTGCCTATAGTAGTATTATATCTTCTACTTCCTAAAAGCAACTCTACTTAAGCATTAAAATCTATTAATATAACACTATTACTCCTATTTCCTATAATTATTACTTTACTTCTAGTTATAATTGTTTTGTTATACCTTTTACTAATAACTACCTAAAATGTTCTAAGTATAACATACCCCACGGGCGAGCGGATCAACGGGCGAGCGAATCACTTTTGCCAAGCCCCCACCAAAACTTGACCCATCATGGCCCAAAACACCACACTTTGGTCCTGCACGGTACAGTACAGGCTGGAATATCATTCAGAGACCTCTTCTACATCAATCTTGCACGTTCGCGCGTTGTGTCCTGTCTAATTGCACCTTCCACAGCGCTGTTGGGTTAGCTCGCCCTCTTAAGTGCGCACCTGCTTCTTCACCCTCTTCCTATCACCACGCGCCCCAAACTCCTTTAGAGCTGCCAGCCGCTGCCCATCTTCAACTATTAGGGTCCCTTCCTTCTAAACTCGCTTTCTTTTATGTGATTTTCGTCGCATAGCAGCCTTGTTAGCCGCTCAAAGCTCCTTAATTTCCTGTTAAGCTAAAACCAGCTTATAGGATAAGATTGCTCCCCCCTTTGCGTAGTGCTCAAGCGCGCTTAGAACAGAATTTGGTAAGCTGCCCTGCTGCCTCTTATACTTCTCTCAAATTAGAGTTAATTGCGACCCAAATTCCAGGGTGTTGCTGGGGGTTTGCGACTGCCAGGGTACGTTGTTGGTAGGGAGTGGTGGTGATGGAGTCCAAAGCTTCACATTAAGGGCTGATATGACCCGTTCTAGGTCAAAGGGGACCAATCCAGCACCTCGAAACCCTCCTTAGATATTGCTAGAGGTAAACACCGCATTATAGGCTGCTTTGAAGCATAGCAGGAACTCAGTCTTTATAATGTGGCTGATTCAGTTGCGCATAAGCAATTCGGCTTGGCGCCCGTACGCTGTCTTCAAAGGGGCAAAACAGCCTACATCAAGTGGCTGCAGAAGGTGCGATGAGTGCGGAGGCATATATAGAGTAACAATCTTGTTATCCTTGCAGTATTTCTAGAATTGGAGCAATTCGTGGCTCTCGTGGCCGTCAATAACCAGCAGTTGGTAGGTACCAGCAGTACGCTCCTTTATATGCGCGTCAAAGTGCTTCAACCACTCAAAACCAAGCTCATTAGTAGTCCAGCCGTTACCAGAGACTGCAATAACCCAATCCTGGGGCAGGTCTTCCTCCTTGTACCAGCCGGAGAGGTGGTGGCGCGCCTTGAAGATAACAAAGGGTGGAATAGCCCATCCTTTAGCATTGATACCCTGTATAACCGTTGTCCACTCCTGGTTGCCTGGCTAGACTGCCTTTGGCCTTCCTTGTCTCTCTGAAGCTGTAACAACTGCTCCCTAGGAGATCTGGCCCATCATGAAGCCTGTCTCGTCAAAGTTGTACGTGTCGTCATCTAGGATACCATACTTGGCTTTTGTGTTTCGCACCAGGGAAAACCAGCCCTGCACAACCCCAGAATCCTTGCAGAGGGCTCGCTTATAGTCATACCTGCGATTAAACTTCACTTTGAGCTCTGGTTAACGCTTTACAAACATACTAGGCCAGTTTGTGCCAATAGGGCCTAGATTGCGCTCTGCGCGCAGAGAATTGGCCATTGCAGCCACATCTGCCAGCTAAGGGCCAAATCCTCGCTCGTCCAGCTCAAGTATGTGATTAACAATCACCTGCTCCTCTAGATCATCCAGCCCTCGTGAGTTAGGCATAGTATCGCCTCGTGAAGGTCGTCCAGTGAGTCGATGGCTTAGTGTAGCTTGAGGAACGTTATAGATAGCTGCAGCGCGTCGCTGTGAGAGTTTCGCGTCTTGTTTAAGAGCTTAAAGCGCAAGCTGTATTTGAGCTTCCTTTAACGCGTTAAGATTAGGTTGTTGTTGAGGCATTGGTATGTAGAGGATACTTTGGTGGGGGCTTGGCAAAAGTGATTCGCTCGCCCGTTGATCCGCTCGCCCGTGGGGTACGTTATGCGTGTTAGGCGTCTATATATTAACTTGTTCTAGGAGTCCTTAGATAAGACTAGGGCTAAATATAAGAAGAAGGTTAAAGAGAATAAAAAGTTACTAGTAGAGGTAATATCACGTCTACTATAAAATAAGAAGATTCTTGTATAGGTAAAAGATAGAGCTATAAAGAAGGCTAAATGTTTAGTAAATAAGATAGACATAGAGGGCAAGGATATTTAGGCTAAGGAGATTACCTATCCTACTACTAATATATAGGTTACCTTTTCTCCTACTATATAGTCTACCCTTAGGTATCTTAATAAGTTTATAAACTTTAGTACTAGTAAAGTAGTATCTAGTAGTTTATAAGGTGCATCTCTAGTTCCTATGTATTTTCTAAGTCTAGGTATCTTAACTATTTAACTAGAAATTCCTTGTTTAGTCTAGTTCCTTAATATTTTATTATTTTCTTAACTTCCTATTTATTATTACTATTATTCTAGTAATAGAAGTCCTTCTAGGTTAGTATATTAGCGTTAGCTAGTTCTAATAAAGAGATATAGAATATAGGGTGTATTTTTACATCTTTAGGTAGCTTAAGTTAATAGTTAACTAGGCTAATTTTCTCTAAAATAAAAAATAGTCTAACTTTAACTTTGTCTAGTTTTTTTATTAGTCTTCTTATACGTAGATTCTTTATAAGGAGGTATACTTTATCCCCCTTCTTTAGTAGAGGTGCTATTTTTCTTTTCTTATTAATATAAGAGATTGCTTATAACTAAGCTCTAGTAATATTATTAAGCAATGTCTAATATACTTCCTTTAGTCTCTATACTAAGGATATTGCTAATTCTATTTAGATATTACTATTAAGACTTCTTATAAAGAGATTTAGATGTCTTCTATAATTTATAAGAAATAGCATTGTGCCTATTACTTTTAATAGTTTATTATTATATGCAATTTGTGCTATAGGCAAGAGTAAAACCTAATTATTCTACTATTAGTTATAGTAGATATAGAGATATATCTCTATTGTCTAGTTTACTTATTCTATTTATCTATCTATCTATAGATAATAAGCTATTAAAAGCTTCTTCTTTGTTTCTATTGCTACTAGGAATATTGTCTAGAAATTTAAAGTAAAGAGCTTATCTCTATTACTAATAATTAATTTAGGAATACTATAGTGTTAAACAATCCTATCTAGGAATACTTAAGCAAGTTACTCCATAGTATAGCTATGTTAGAAAGGCACAAACTTAGTAGCTTTTATAAATCTATCTACTACTATAAATATTAAGTTATAATTATAGTCTATTATAGGGTCTTTAGAGATTAGTAGTTATATAACAAAATCTATTATAATATTTATCTATAGTATAGTTAGTAGTTCTATTGCCTATATTTCTCTATACTTAGTATATATACTATGTTTTTTCTACCAATAGTTAATATATCCTTTAATATATTTAGTAACCTTGTCTTTTATATTTAAGAACTTATAGTGTTATTTAATAAGTTCTATAGTCCTTATAATTCCTAGGTAACTATATAGTAGATTATTATAGTAATTATATATTATTCCTTCCTAAAAGTTATCTAGTACTTAACTTAGTATATAATGTTCCTATAATACACGCATAATATTATTAAGTTACTATAATAGTCTAAGGGATCTATCTTAGTTAATCCTAAGTATAGCAGCTTTATTAATTATCTTCTTACCTACTAGGTTGTGTTGTTAGCTAAGAGCGTCTACTCTACTATTATCTTTGCCTAGGGTGTATAAGATCTTAAACTTGTACTAGCCTAGCATTTCTAACTATCTAACTTATCTTTAGTTTAGAACCTTGGTAGTAGTAAAGTGTACTAAATTCTTATAATCTATATAGATTAAAAGGTCTAAATAGCTTTTAGCGTATACTTGCTAATATTCTAAGGATAATACAATTACTAAGAGTTCCTTATTATATATATTATAGCATTCTTCTAGTCCTAAGAACTTACGTAAGTAGTAAGTAATTAGGTACT